AGGTTCTGGATTGTTCGGTCAAATTCGCATGGACCGTTGCGATTGGCTCTGTTGCGAGTTGCTCTGCCTTGGGGGCAGGGGAGCTGACGCAACTTATCAGGCCTTGCAACTTGCTTTCTATCACGTCTATTAAGTGCCAATGTGTTGAAAAAAGAAGTGCCGCCACCCTACAGTGACAGGAGTGAGTGGTGTGCGTAGGGGTGCGGCAGTTTTTCTGGCAGTAGCCTGGAGTGCTTGATTATGAGCATCACGTCTTAGGTCTCGTGTTCTGGGTTCTTGTCCTTGCATTTCAAGCTGTAATTAGAATTAGGTAGATGGTGTAACGGGATGTCGCGTTCATGGCAACGGTGTATAGTATGTGCACTTCTTTCAGTTCATCAGACAAGACTTTATCATCTATTTTCTGACGCAGTGTAGCCGCAGTAGCATCGGAACGGACGACTCATTATGAATAGCATGCCTGTCTTGGTCAAGTTGAGCTCTCTCGGCGGCGAGCGTGGTGTTGTCAGTATGGCGCCACCGCTCCCGGGCCACGCGCTGTTGTTGCAAGAGGTAGCTCTCTGCCTGGTTCACCTCTCTTGTTAGGGCTCACCTCTCGATATAAACGAGCTTCTGGACCTTGATCATTGCTTCTACCAATCTTGCGAAACTCGATATGCCGCTTCTCAGACTCATTCCGCGTTCGTGGGTCCGATTTACTTTCTTACACACAGGTGTAACTTTACCCTTAGACTTGAGCTTGTTCTTGAGATTACCGTTCTCTCCACTGTATCTCCTTCTTTCCGGCCATGAAATCATTCATAATGTGTCATCCATCTTGATGTACCGGCCATCAAAATCGGCCTGAGTGGTTGCAGTGAGGAGCCAGCCCCAGTTCCCCAGCAGTATTTGCAACTCGGTTGTCCTGATGTTCAGCTCTGTGGGGTAATTGAGCTGAGTGCTGGTCGGCGAACATACTTCGTCGCCTGTGGTCTTACGTACATGGGGGACTCGTTGTTTAGGATGATACCAATATCTCCGTAAATGAAACGTGTATATTCCGCATATGTCCGCATTCAGCATCTAAGCCCATTCTGCAAGGAGGTCTTCTTTCTCGCGGACCGTGTTACTGTCAACTGTGCGTGCTAGTGCAAAGCTAGAGTTCTCCCCACCGGGCGTTCAACTCGAAATACTAGATGGTTTCTGGCATTAGGATGGTCGGCTTCACATAGCTCTTCGGGTGCAGACTCTCCGTGTTCTCTACTATTGCACCGAGCCTACACCGGTCGAGTTACTCCTCGAAGTTTGGCTTACAAAGCTGACCTTGTGCTCTTGTTTCTCTGGTTGATGCGTCGGTTATATATATCCTACATAGAGTGGCCTGTCATTTCGACTGTTTTTGGTTGCTAGGTAAATGTTAGTCTGCAATCGCTAGAGCTCGCCATTCTCAGTGTTGAGCTGGCCGGGTCGGTGTTCCATTGGTGTCGGAGTTGAGTATTTCGCTCATTGACTTCGTCAATGTATGCCAAGTGGGCAATAGTGAGGTCGGTATAGTTCCCCCCTCGCCTCTGCTAGTCCTGATAGAGTCGGGTTTGATGGCAACAGGCTGTTACTTCAAGTTGCTACGAGCCACGAGCGGGTTTGTGAAGGTCCAGCCCGGCAATCCGGTCTGGAGCCATTCCTTATTTCTTCTGGCCCATGATCTGCTTCTGGCTTGGAAAATGGCTGGATCATCAACGTGGACCCGAACGAGCTCGAAAAAAAGGATGCACGCCAGGACTTGATACTTTGAACGAAACTTTTATGCGATCGTCTGATCGAGCCGTGGCTCACCTATCGCACCGATTTTAGGTGAAGGTGAAGGATCTATGTGACCACCAGGTGGTGTTACGATTACGCTGGTCGAGGATGAGGGCTCGATTGACCTTTAAGAAGCCCAAGTCAGCTTTAGCTTGGTCAAAATTAAGGTAAGCCTATGAGCCATGGAGTACAACGCCCTCGGGTTTGTTCCGGCTATACGGCCACGCAATCTCTTTTTAGCTATGTTCCGTTTCATTTCTTACTCAGCTCGCTTTTGTATCACAGAAACTTACTCACGAGCTCCATTCTTATGTCGTCAGATATACATCAAGTCGGACAGCTTCAAGGTGGTGAAGTTTTTGATTACTATGGGGTGGTAGTGCAATGAAGAAGAGTTCGTTATGCCAGGATGAAACTTGAATTATTGTGTCGTGATAAAGGGTGTAGATTACCGAGGAAATTTAGTAGTTGTATTTGTGCTCTATTTCTTATATAAATAGTTTGGTGGTATGAAGAAGAGTATAGGATTAATTATCATCTTCGTTCATGTGTGAAAATATGGTGAATCGAACGCAGATTTTAAAGGCTTTCGAACCCTATTCCTGAATAAAATTCACCTAGTAATCAACTTATTTATCTACTCTCTTTTCAAGCTGCAGACTCCCACACAAAACTGTAATACCGCTGACGTGCAATCTGTTCTCATTATCGATAGATATTCGGCAATAATGGGATTTGCCTTTATCTCTCACCCTGGCGGAAAGCACCAACATATTATCCCACTTTTACCTCGTATCAACCTCCGAGGATTAATACCACAGAACTATAGATGACTGAGTTTTGCGTAAGATTGTACTTTTTAGTAACTCAAACTAGTTCATCGTCAATTATTCCAATCCGAACCGAAGTCCTAGAGAACACTAGCATGATTAACAACAAAACTTGTAGCCTAGGTGAGATGCAACTGTAATTTGACAGTTCTATTGGTGATCGTAGTGGCTACTGGTTCTCTCACGGGCAGTCGCGCTGTTAGAAGTCCACTGTGCAGCAGTACAGAGGTTGCACCTGATAGTCGTGGGTATGTGGTGGTCTAGTTGTAATCGAGTCGTTATACAATGACACAGCAGAAACACTCAAGTGCTTTTATTCTGTGTGAACACATGTATCCACGATGAGAAACTGTCGGTACGGAAGCGAGTGTTCCTATGATTGGCCTTGTGGCTATAAATATTTCGTGTTACTTCAGCTAGGGAAGCAGGCGTTCCTCGAATTCTCAAGTCGGCGCATGTTTTTGTCCATATATATTTAGTCTACTGCAGTTCAGATACCGCGCAACTCATATTACCCACATGCGGCAGGGAACTGTATAAGTGGAAATTACCAGAAGATGTCATGAAACCTGCAGCGCAGTACTAGGTTTCTCAGTAACACATAGCTAATCAACCAAAAGCTTGTTATTATATACGCTTAATCATCGATAGATATCCACGGAGCGCCGCAGCGGCAATCGAGGTATGGAGTGGCAGTACGTCATATGCTTCAAAGTTGCTCGACTCTGGCTAATCCCCCTGCCAGAAGAAAAGGGTTCTCAGCAGATCGACGACCTGGTAAAAAGGACTAGTTTAGCAAGTATAAAGAAAAGCTGCCTTTGAGCCTAGATATGGGAAGGTTCCTGTCCTTGAGTAGCCACTGTAGAGAAAGGGGGTTATGTTGAAGAACCAACACTGCAATAGAGTCAGACTGTCGATACCAGATTGCGGTTTCGTCTCGTCATTTAAGTGGCGTAACGAGGACTGTTAATGTGATGTGAACGCGCATGTCCTCTCTTAGGTCAGCTGCAGACGATGAGTAAAAGCCGTAACAGTAACACAACGGGTGTGGATCTGGCGAGTTTCGAGAAGACTGCATGACACGATAACACAAACATTGTAGCGAGGGAACAATTATTAATTTTGACCAACATCCTTTTAGGGACGAGAGTGGAGAGACCGCAACTGCACTAGCACGGTGCCTTGATTGTCACCCAGACGACTCTGAAGTGGTATGTTGAATCTTTAAGGCTGGAGCCTGCTATACGGGAAGAAATACCACCAGGGAGCCGCGGTACTTGAGTGCAAGCGTGGAGCAATGGCGTCGATAGACGGAGTTACAGGCGAGAATATTCATGGCAGCCACGGTGATGGTTACACGGTGCTGCACGGTGAATTAGTGATATATGTTTCCAGTGCCCATTGTAGAATACAGACTGGGAATGCGAGACAACTAACTTAAATTGTAATATGGACGAAAGTTTAGGTATGTAAATAACTTGATGGTCCAGAGAAGAGCATAAGCAAGTAAGCAGATCCCTGAGCGAGTCTATCGGCACGGTTCTCTAGAGTGACAGTGTGACAGAATGAGAACTCGACAACAAGAAGAACATAGACACTACGGTTTTATTAGTGTCTAAAACTCCTTATTAAAATTCGACTCAAGTACCAATGATGTTGATCGCCGTCGGTGCCATGAATATTGGTCGTGATTCAGTTGTAATCGCCAATAAAATGCGTATTTCGTATTCCACGTATGCAGCACCACGCAGCATTTTCAGCACGGCCCAGGTATCATGATAGGAATCTTCTGATTCAATATTACCAATAATGCTACAAACAGCCATATTGATACGCTTCAAACCAGCAAAGTTGAAGATGACAGCATTGTGATCGTCTCCTCCAAATTAGACCTTCTACAACGGATATGCAGAAAAAAATGCGACAACGGTTCACGCTTGATCATCTACCGACCTGAGGGTAGAGTCGAGACGTAGTTACGGGCTGAAGTGAGCTGGAAGTGAGATGTGGCGAAAAGACGAAAGTGTAGACGTGCCTGCCAAGTGGCTGGGCTTCAGTGTCTGTATAACATTTCGAACTTGAGAAGGAAAAAGAACGGGTATTAAATCTGTCTCGTTTCTAAAATAGAAGTCTCCCGTGTTGAAACGTTGTCTCTACTGCAGCGTATGGCGGATACTGTGAACTTTAGAACTCATGTGTCACTGTGTAGCCCTGGAGGGGCGGATCTTCACGTCCCCCGTACCATGCATATCGTAAATCAAGGAGTGGTATTGTTGTATTGAAGTTATTGTATCCAAGAAGAGGCAATTGGGACTAGCTACCATCTCTTTCAGCTTGCACAGTTATCGCAACGAACTTCCGGCAACAATACTTTCGCCAGCTATGCGACGTCTACTCGCCTGTAGGGCAAAGATCGTAGTTCCCATCAGCGTTGTTTCCCCACCAGGTAGGAAACGTAACAGAAGGTCCGCCAGCGCCGAAGACTGCGAACGATAAAATGAATAGTGCAGTAAGTGCAGCACCGTCGAGCGCTCCGGTGATCAAGTACATGTAATCCTTGAAAATACGGGGACGGTAGTTGCGCAGATAGAATTGTGTGAAAAAACCAGCGATGATTTGACTGAAGATAACGCAGGTTTGTGAAGCGTTGTATGGGATAAAGCCGGCGTATTGAATGAATTGTGGCAAGTTAATTTCGTTGGTCGAAAAGCCTCTGATCTTTGGGACGAACTATTGTAAACTCGATTAGCAACAAGCCGAGTTTGGGAATCAACAAGAACGTACATATACAAAGGCACGGTGCACAGCGACGGCACCAGCACCAATGGCGATACCGATGGGTACCATGGCATACTTGGCACCGCTCTTGTAAAGGTACTTGGCCAATGCCCATGAAGTGGCGTTGGTATTGTAGGACTGCATTGTCGCTCCACTCCACGAAGAGTTACCATTGGTATCAGCCAAGAGCTCTCGGTGACTATTGACAATAGAGGTCATGATAGCGTAGTTGATGAACCCACCAAGGATGGTGCCGTATATCTGAGTTAGGAACATGACTCGAGGAGGAATTTTGACTACACCGCTGAGTCAGTATTTGTCGTTATTCGGTACATAGATGATACAACATACGGTATTCGCCCATTTTCAAGTCATTGCAGAGATTGACACAGTTAGAGATCACATTGTGCGACCAAGCTGCAAAATACATGTTACCTATGGGGCGGCCAGGAAGGATTAGACCGGCCAACATCTTTGATAAGTTGTTCGTGGCGATACCGTTGCCATATCGTGAATAGAGGATTGTGCTCTATATCATGATCGGTTAGAGCGGATTAGAAAACAACGCAGTTGGGGTTTACTCACAAATGGCGCGATGACGATTCCTAACAACAACGATACGACGTAGGCCCAAGCCGGAAGGGTGATGTTCTCCTTGATGACGGTGACGAGACCGAGGATGAAGCTGAACACGAGCACAGCAATATACCACCACCAAGGAGCCTCCTTGTAGCGCTTGGCCATGTGAGCATGGTGTCTATCGTCGAATCTGCCCTGTTTTGCACTTTTATATGCCCTGATGACATCTCCACCCCAAAAGAGTATGCAATGGGCAATCAGGGCGCCAATCTTCGAAAACGTTAGACCAAGGCACGATGTGTCACGAAAATTTTTGTCTTCTAATACTTACAGCAGCATTTGCCATGAACATAGCAAACGCAAAACTCCCTGTCAATCGAGGGATACCGTATTCAGCCAAAGCTTCCTCGTCGAGAACGCCACCGACGAAGACTTTGGCAACCGGGTATCTCGAACCTTCATCCGTTAGAAGTCGTGTGGACATAAATGGCAGCGACCTCGAGTCCCATCCATTAGTGTAGTAAATGCCGAGCATAGCAATAAAGCACACAAAGTAACCTAGTGTCGAGTGGATTTGAAGAGAAAGAGGTAGGGATGTGCTGAACGAAGTGATCTAAGAAGAAAATAGATTAGTTCGGCTGCTCATGTTCTTGGGTAGGTTATTTCTTACGTATTGCCAGTCTAAAGTTATACTGAACAGTCCTAATCCCTCGTTATTGGTGGCGCCACCGAAAAGGTTCGTAAGTACGCTGGCCTTCTCCCCTGTCGCATTCATTGAAGCGAGGCAGGGAATGGATATAGAGTTGAGCCATGGCCACATGTAGGCGGGGAAGAACTCGTAGAAAAACATGCCCCCGAAACTGTACCAAAAGAATCTCAGAGGCTTGGAGTTCTTCACGTCCTGCCAATGAAGCCCTTGTAGTGTTTTGATCGTAGGGAGAGTGCTCCAGTAGACGGCGTCAACGTGCCAGACACAGATGGGGCGGAGAATACCACAGATACCGTAACCAAACAGTCCAATGGAAATGGTACTGAGAATGACGGTCGTGGCACTCAATGGCAAATCATAGAATAAATCTTGTGCTGCGAATACCATAATACTAGCCGAAGCATTGGAAGCAGACGTAGCAGTGATGGCACAAATCGCGTGCTCCTTGAGGTTCCAGTGTCCGTGGTTGAAGAATGAGATGATCCGAATCCATCTAGGAGGCACCCCTTGACCACCTTTCTGTCTCCATCGTGCTTCAAAGCGATCACCGCGGGGCAGAAACGCTGCCCATGCGTTGCCGACGAAATAGCCGATGAGTACGATGAAAGTGCCCGAGATCGTGACCGCCGTTGGTTTGAACTGTACTGCCTTAGTTCACGCCGGGCTCGAGGGAGTGATGGAGTAGGAATATTAGATAACTCACGGTATATATCTGGTTCATGACGGACTGGAAAGCGGCGAGAATAGTGGCCAGGAAGACACTGCGGAAGGTCAAGGCAGGCTCACCATCGTCGCGCAATGGCAGCAGGTACTGGGCGGCATCAGAACCAGTGATAATGATGACGTCTTTGCCGTTCTCGTCCGTGTCATCATGACTATCGCCGTCGTAGGCGGGGGCGACAGCCTTGGTCTTGGTATCAATGACACCATCTTTATCAATGTCGCTTGGGTCAACCTCGAGATGGACTTTCTCGTTGATGGCCTGGTGGTCAGGCACAGAGACGACCTTGCCCTCGACGGGGTTGACAGCTCCCACGAGAACGGAGTCTGCAAGTGGTGGAGGCATGATTTGCGGGGGGAACTATTGATGGACGACTGAGCAGCCAAGGAGTGCGTGTGCACTTGGCAGCGCAAGCGCGTCTATTTAAGATACAAGCCATACAGGCTCTCGCTGTGCAACAGTGCCATAAACGAAGTGGGCAATTGACCGTTATGGTGCGATAAGGACATAAACTTATGCCATCGCACGCATCTCGCCAGAAGGACCCGAAACGTCGGTTCAATATCCTTCTGGACCAGGTATAGTTGCTCTAGAATTTGACCAGGGTACTGATAAGAAACACTAAGCCGGGGTAGGTGGTTCCTTTCCCGCCAATGAAAACCCCTCGCTTGCGTACGCAGTACATAGGAAGCAAACGTGCAATAGGAAACTGCCGTATGTAATACTTTTGTGGCGTTCGCAACCTCGACAAAATCATGTTGGGTCGCACGAAGAGGGGTAAATATGACCACTGGTGAAGGTGTCTCTCGTTGTGCTGGGTTACCGCAAGGTGTGACAGGATAAAGAATCGTGAATCAGCAATGCCGCTGCGAAGGTCATAACCAAATAAATCGTAACCGTGTTTGGTTTCTAACATGAAGCTATTCGCAGCCGGAGCTGGTGCGTCTGATCACGTCAACGCCCTAGCTTGTAATTCAGATTGGGTCCTAGCCCCACGTACCACCCAGCCATATGTTGGGTAACTTCGAGGCGCTTGGGAACAAATGATCGCACTCGAGCTACACTATATAAGGGAGGTGCTTTTGGCAAAATTGAAATCCTTACCTAACCCATTGCCACAACCTATTGACGACTTGATCGAGACCATGCCATTGTTTGCCCATTCGGCTGGGCCAAGACAACTCTGACGCCCGATTGGACGGTCCTTTACGCGAATTGACACGACGGATGATCAGCTCGTATGGATATTCAAGCCCATCACTTGGCTAGATTACCATGCGAATCATACAGACGAATGGCATCACCTCGCAATTTCGCTCTCACACCCAATGATCGCTGCTCCAGTCGAAGCAATCGAGATGCAAATTTAATACCACAGCAGTTCACATCAGCATCGATTAACCGACGAGATGACTGTGCAGTCTAGAGGCAGAGCCACGCAATTCGTATAATATGAAGAAATCCTGTTGGCCGACCCTTCTGGTGCGGAGGTGCAGTTTCTCTGCTCGCAATCTCCAAAGTGATGATTGGGTTTGACTGTAGGCCGCGGAGCCCATGCATAATGTAGCGAGAGTCTCTCTGGCTGATGAAGGCAGCTATATGGCACAGCTACAATTTGCGACTGATTGGCCAAGACCGCTTGTTTCGGCCGGTCCGACTTTAGCAGTTAGGTTCCAGCAATCATATTCCAGCAACCAGAATTCCAATAATCAGTGGAAGACTTTTCCCACCCTCAGCAAAAGCATTGGCCATTTCTTTGAAAGATGTTTTTCTTTCCTCTTTTACTTGAAAAAGTACAACATGATGAGAACATGTATTTGGCCAAGTAGAGTTATCATTACACATTCCTATTAACATTTACATTAGCACTAAAGTATAAAACTATAGGCGAGATAAGCAATGTTAAAAAACTTTAGGGACTTGGAACCAGTCCGCCAAGAACACCGCCCACACCGGAGACGATACCAGATACTGAGCCGCTCGACAACCCAGCATAACTGCCATATGCTTCGGTGTATCCTGGATACTTTTCAAAGAGTTGAGTGTTGACGGTCTGGAGTTGTGGACAGGATTTCCCAGCAAGTAATTGGACGACCCTATCAGTCAATGGCGCCATTGCCTTCTGAATATCCGAAAACATGCTGCCAATAACATCCGGAGCTGTGGCCTGGATGATTTGTAGCACAAAACATTCGAGATTGTTGCCTTCTAGTAAAGTAGCAGCATTGAACACACCTCCGGTGAGGTCTGAGATGTCGATGCCGAAGAACGAGTCGGGCGTGCCCGTGTTACCACCGAACGAGAGCAGTGGAGGATAGTAAGAGGCGTGCTCAACGATATCAACCAAGAACTTCGGGATAGAGTACTCATCCAGAAGAGGTCGCTTGTACCAATTGTCTGGGATACGCTCCCATCCTTGGTTGACTACGAAGTTGTCCGGAGTAGTGCCTTGGACACCAAAGAAACTTACCAAGTTCTCGCGTGACAAGTAACCGTCGGGGTAATCATCAGAGTGATTGGCCATCATTGCTTTTGGGAATGAGTAGCCAGCCGGCGAAACAAGAATACCGGCAAAAGGAGAGTAGAAGAAGTAGGGATTGGTGTTCTTGGACTCGTCCCAACGTTGTTTATGGAACGGGGCCAAAGCCGTATATTGCTGATCTGCCGGTAGATTCTCGGGAAGGGCATTCCAGTAGTCAACGAAACGTGACTTGACAACATGGAAGTTGTTGCCTTCAGTGTATAGATCGCCGCGTGTGGGACTCACATCAGACTCATACTTGTTGTGGCTACCGCTGAGACCCGATGGGGTACCCAACAATCCAAGACCGTTGAGAATATTCTGATTATCTTTTGTAGGCCCACCAATAGAGTAACCGGGATTCGTGGATAATGGGTTGCCGTCAAACACAGTACCATAGACGGCGAGGAATCCACCAAGGTCGAGGCTCATGCCGTACACCTCGTTGGTAGCTTCGATAATTGTAGCCATATCTGCTACGCCGTTGTGAGGCAAATATCCATGATTGGCAAGAGCATTGAGCCCTGGGCAAGGGCCTATAGAATAGATGAGCAATGCTGTGGCAAAAGGACTCGCGGATACTGACAACTTACCTCTCTGGTCGCCAGAATCAAAGTTCGGGGGGACAAACGCATATTCACCATCAGTGCGAATGTGTTGTGTGGTCTGATCAAAGACATTGGCACGCTTGGCCTTGGCAAAGGGGCATTCCTCCCCCCGTCCCTGTGCTTCAGTCGCTGCGGCGTAAGGGCAGGCTTCAGCATTGTTCTTCATATATTGGTTGTACTTCTGAAACTGATCTGGTTCCATCGCCGGGAAGGCATCCGCTGCCGATATGAGCAATGTGGCCGCGAGGGCGAAAGTGTTGGTTCTCATGTTTGCGGTTGTTGACGTCAACTAGTACCGGTAATAAGAGTTCATGTCACAAGAAATAATAAGAGGATCGTTGCACTTCAATAATTGCCAGGTGGTTGTGTAAATCTATCTTCTGGCTCAGTTTCTGGCTGCTCTTATAGGCATTGATGTATCTGTGTGCACAAGTCTTCAAAAACAAACAGCCACAATCACCAGCCCTAGAGTCACAATTGCTGTGCACGGTATCCCCAAGAAACGTCGATCTTCGGCGACCTCTACGCAACGTCTTCTGTATAATTAGCCCAAAAAAGATTAGACGGTATCCATCCGATTACGAAGGAGCTATTCTACGATTCCTTTTTTTTTAGCTCGGTCAAAGTCTTCAACTCTAATCGTCATGTTATGTGTCGATCGTTCAGGCCTGGCGTGCCTGGCCTGTCTAGAGTGCCTTTATGCGTAGGCATGTGTAGCCATGCGAGATGGGCATTGTCATTGCAACGGATAGTATAGGTTGCTGATTCCCAACTAGGCGGCCCCAAAGGGAACTAATTGATTAGCCATTTTTATGGCTCGAAGCTTTCGGAAGATCGCCAAACCGTGCTGCAGGTGTTGAGGCTAGCGGAAGAATGATCATCATTGTAGCTTTGAGGAATTGCTCTATTAGATGCAGGTTTTTTTGATCGTTTTCTCTCCTTGTAATGAGCCCGGTGCACGTATTTTCTATCCAGTGTCGTAGTCTAAATGCAAATAGGCATAACAAGCTAGCTTGAGATGTTGGGCGGTCACCGCGATTGACCATACTTGATGAGCATAAGAGCTACGAAATTCCCCAGCTTATGCCTCGGACTTCTTGTTTACGACGCACAAGTATGACTTGGATCTCAAATTAGGTATGTCGTCAATCTGCAACCATAGGACGGGTTTTCACAGTAACGATAAATGAGCCGACACAGCCTTCGGCTTTAGCGCATCATGCCGCCGTGGGACACCGGATATGGTGGCTGAATCAGGTCGTGCTAATGCAAATAAATGTGTTCTTGGTGCCAAGAGCTGACCGCCCAGAAAAAGGACTACATATACATAGAGCCAACAGCATCCCAATTTAGGGGGCCGCTTTCCCCAGAAATGGCGGCCCTAGCGCAAGGAACCGCCAGTGCCTTGACCGTCTCTATACTTAAAGCAAACTCCGTAAATCGTCATTGATCGCTCATAGGATTACCTATCAGCCTATATCCATAGAGGCAATCCACACAGCCACATACTGCTTTGTTCGGATCCAGAGGCTGCCGTATTCTCCGATCTCGATCCGGATCCATCAGTATATCGTCGAGATTGTGCTTCGCAAGTGGAGGAGACGATAAGCTTAGACCAGGATGGAACCAATCAATCGGTTGCCGTTTGCAAGATGCCAAAAGCAGAATGGAGCATTGCTCACTTGCATTGGAGCTGACAGCCTCGAAATGCTGACATCAGCGACATGCTTATCGGGCGCAATCTTTGAACTAACAAGAATTAAATTCACTGCCTTGATTCAACTACAGAGTTACCACTCGTTGTCGGAAGGCCCCAACTGAGCGTTATATTGAGGTCGGATGATGGCTGAGTTTGCAGGCTTAGTCCATTTTCGAGCACCCTCTTCTCGTATTCCTGATGTTATGAAGCGAAGGAGATCCTGAATGGCTTTGTCCACGGATCATTCCTCTTCTTGCCTGCCAGCCTGCTTTCACAAGCAAGTGCGTGCGGATAGCGTGCGGCAAGGCGGGCACTAACCCCTGACCTACTGGCTCGCCCGTTTCTGCGCCGTCTCAATTTCATTGGAAAGCTGATGTGATTTACGTTGTGCTCAGACGTGTTCTATAGTTTAATTTTAGGGAGCGAGTATTTTCAAGGGCGAGAACCAATTCAGCGCCAAAGACACGAATCTCGGCTGAGATGGTCATATATCGCCAAGCATCTTTACATTCCGTTGTAATCTTAGTGTTGTATGTGCCGAGGTCACGAATATGACAGTTTAGCACAACACATAAAGCTTTGCAATCTAAGAATCCAGCATATCTATCAATAAAACGCAAATATATTGCCCATGATTAACCGAGGTAACCAACGAACAACCATGTGGTTTCTCGCGGCTTCGGACGTGGGAAAGATTTGCATTAGACGCTACTAAACTCACACAGATTGATTTCAGGTCTAAGGTTAGAATAAGGCTTTGACCTGGCACATTTACTCCCATGAGACCATCTACGGCAGCAGCCCTCGCGGGACATATTACTCTCGGCCCTTGCTCTACACGGTGGAACGCAGCGACCTAACAATATTTATTTGAAGACCATTTGATGATCCCCACACCATTTCAGCTCTTGACTACACTCTGAACCTCTCCACTTGCTCCACAAGATTCTTGGAGTCTGTGGGGTTTGTGAGTGCCAAGACGCTCGCTATGCTTCACTATATTTTACACAATATGCGCCATTTTCTTCATCGAATCACACAGTTCATCGGTGAGATGGCCGAGCGGTCTAAGGCGCTGCACTCAAGCTATCCAGCTTCCCTATCTCCCAAAAGTTAGGGAGTATTGCAGTCTAGTAATAGGCGGGGGTTCGAATCCCCCTCTCATCATATTTTGCCTCCCACATGATCCTGCGACCATGGAGTGCCCTTCTTTTTATCCTTCTGCATGAAGACACCACGCTAGGCTACTGCCATTCTGTTAGAACCATGGTAGAACCACTACTAGTCGACCGACGTTTGGATGTATAAAGCTTGCTCATTACAGCGGTTCAGGGACGGCTGAACAATAGCAGCCCCGGCACCACAAGACTCATAGCCGACTAATTACCTCCTCAAACGGTGCCTAAATATTATCAGTCCAGATCTTGTTAATCTTTCGGACCTTTAACTAGTAGCGTGTATCATTTTTGCATAGTACTTCCTACCTAGGGGCTCAAGTTGCGAAGCTGCCTTTCATTTGTTTGCCAATTTTGAATGTATCTCCCATGTGATAAGTTGTGAACATGGGATTGAAGGTTTTTGGGTCTTTAGTCTTCACTCATTTATATTTCTCTTTCCTGCGCTCGTTCTGCGTGGTCGACCCATGTCTACATCGCTCACAAAAGAGGATATTTCAAAATTTAAAGCAGTTGGAGTAGGTGTTGTGACATTTACGAGGCCTTCACCACCGTTGAATCGAATGTTGAAGTGAAGCGATGACAGTGACTGGCATCCTTCTAGATAAAGCATTATCAGCAACGCTGTCTTGGATTGATGCGGCGGATTTTTATCTTGTCTAATTATCGTGCATCAAGCTTTGTGCAAAACCAGTAATGTATAACGCCGCGCCCTTCGCGATACATGATCTTGTTCTTATACGAGTAGGTGCAACCTTGGTTATAAGCAATTTCGCAAACATGCAATTCAACTGATAACCACGTACACGTTTTAACTATAAGGTGGCATGGCTTCTTCTTCATCGAAGTCTTTGAATAAGTATAATATAGACCTATGGCTAATATAATGCTATACTATACGGTTCGTGATCAGCTTAGAATTGAGAAATGACGTAGAGTGGTGCGCAACTCATTATTTGCTATACACTTATATCCATTTATATACTTGTTTTTTATTACGCTTAAAGGCTGTTGTACTTAAACAGAAGTTGCCTATTATTAAACCATCTTTATCGTAGTCATGTCGATAGTAGCTCGTAAAGCAGTCTTCTCATGCCACTCAAAACAGGCCTCTTCTCGAACTCGAGCCATTAGCTATGCGGACATACATGTATGTCTAATACGCCTAGCGCGAAAGAACTGTTAGGAGCGTGACGATATATATTGACTTTAAGCAAATAGTGGCGCTGCTAATCTATTACAGTAGTCTGTTCTTGTACATAGTAACGGTCGATATTGTGAAAGATATGTTAACTATGACTGATTAGTTCACAGGAAATATTACAATCATTACACTCTACCGAGTCCCGTGGCAAACCACCATGTTAAATACTATCTCTAAGTGTTACTTGATAAGATGATACCAACTGCTTTGCGTACATTCCAGGAACTGGCCTCGTCCCTAGTATGAGTCATGTTCTGCACCATGTATTCCCCCAAGCGATGATATGAAATTGGGATTTGAGCTTATTTGCCTTGGATTGTCTTTGGACGCCAAAAGGCGAGCACGTTTCATAAACTTGTCCAATTCCTACAAGGGGAGCAAGCATCGGCGATGGAATCAAGCTTGTATTATTTTCTTCCTCTCTCATTTTCCTTCCTTTCTATTTCTTTTCAATATAGAACTTTTATGATACGAAATCAAAACTAGACCTTGTGGTTATATGTGGCTAGGTTGCTCAAAATACACCAATTTCTTTGATACATGGTTATCATTTACTAGTCATTGTTATCCAAGACCAGTATCCATGAGACACTTGCATGTCGAAAGCATATTCTAATCGTCAATGGAATTGTTTTTGCTTTCCTCGAAGCAACCGACCTTTTCCAGGCTAATTCGAAAACTGTTTACGAGCATATTCGATTGAGCACCAGCAGCAGAAGGATCAGTCCACGCTAGTGTATTTAATGTAAACGTGTGCGTTAAATCCCGTATATCAGACTCAACTGGCCTGTGCATGTCTATCAGTTGCAGCTCGCATATTGCTCTAAAACATGCATCATGCATCATGCATCCGTAATGTTTGAAGGTCCCAAACAACGATGGCTCAGGCTTGTCATTAGTTACCTGGCTACCATGCCGCATCACAAAACTGTTTGCTGCAGAGTACACCAAATGAGAAGGACAAGGCTCGCGTAGCAAAAGATCACTTCAACGAACAGGTACTTATCAAGTTGAAAGAAACTTGGCGGGTGTTGAGCAAGGAAGAGGGCACTACTAGATCAGTTTACATGGCAACATAGTTGTGGCATTTATTTATTGTACACGACTTTGATTGCATATTCGAATCTATGCCGCAGCGGTGGTCTTCAGTACAAATTTCTTTGTTATTGCAAGCATATTTGAATATTTGCATGGGATTATTTAGAGTTTGGGGACATGATTGAAGGGGCTTGATCTTTGCTCGTGGACCTTGTAATGGCGTCAACAGTCAGTCACCTTGGGAAATGGAAGAAACGGGGCAGATGATGGCAAGCTTGCAAATTGACAGCATGACCATCATTAGCCCCAGTGTCCGGGTTGATTCCAACATGTTGTCTAATCATGCAATTTGCCTCTGCTGATTTCGGACAGTGAATGACGCGGCTAGCCTCGTATTGCAACGCGGACACGAAGTCCAGCTCCATCACGAAGGGCAAAAAGCCAGCTAAGTTAACAAAGGGCTGCCGACCAGCAGTGGCCCACTCCACAGCCTATGCAGTACTACTGTAGTAGCACCACGTAGTTCCGGGTTGTGGTCCAGTTTTTATCAAAACAGTCCAATCACTAAATTTGACAAGATATACTCCGTACCGGTTGCCAGAGAGGCTTGGCCACAATGGCAGACTGACTTGGCTTTCGTATGTGGCAAGAACACATAGTACATACCCCTTACGATATATGCATAAAGGAGGAGGCTTGCGGTTCCCCAAACCGTTGCTCAAGGAATGCTGTAGTACGTTAAGGGGATGAATGTGAATGGACGCCGTACAGCCCGGCAAGTGTTAACCGAATTACCCCAGGTCTTTTGTTTTCGTGGGCCAGAAGGTAGCGAGCGACCAACCAGAGCGGCCACTTTGGAAGAGTGCTCCAGATATACACGGCACCCACCCGCTGACGCGGCGCTTAAGGTGCAGGATCACCCTGGCGACAGCCATGCCACAAATGGCGGGATGAAGATGTCATAGTTAAGCTGACGCGATTTGTTCCAGTTTAAAAGCTTCGTACTCCCAATTGTAGACTCCTTTGTTGTTGCCGTGGATAATTTTTCAGTTAATTTTTGCTCTCGTAAAACTTCGATACCCAAACTTTTAGTTGTTCGACATTTCAGACGCCGTCATCATGCAGCTGAACGTTCTTATCCTCTCTTGCGTTGGCTCTTTGGTAGCTGTAAGTTTGACGCTATACTGACAATTTTACGTTACTTTACACATACCGTTTGCTAACGATTCTCGGATAGGCACAAGCAGTGACTGATCCTGGCGTTGGTCAGGCTTCCCAAGCTGCCGCGATCGTCAGCAGCTACCAGAGCAAGCTCAGCAGCCTGAATTCCTACATTGCTTCCCAGCAGGCAGAGGTGACCGCCACCGGCACCGCACAAAACGCTGCCTATGCCAGCATCCAGTCCGAGGCCGCATCCCTACAATCGAGTGTCGTCAGTGAATACACCGCTGCGTACGGATCTTATTTCTCCACTGCAAGCACGGTTTCGTCAACGGGAACTGCATCGTCGGAGACGTCAACGGGAACTGCATCATCGGAGACATCATCGGACACGACCACCGCCACCAGCACAGGCACCGCAACAACCACAGGAACCTCTACCGGCTCCAGTACCACCGAGACTTCTACTGGCACCACAACCTCGACCAGGACCAGCACTGGCGCAGGCTCCTCAAGCGCTAGCAGCAGCTCTTCCTCTGCCGCTGGAGCTTTGCCAACGCTGATGGCCGGCATTCAAGCACTTGTCGGTGGTGCTGCTGTCCTCGCTGTCGCCCTATAAGCTTGTTCTAGTTCTAGACCAGCTGGACAATATATCATGTGCGCATACGAAACGATGACGAAGAATAATACTATCGGAGGAGCGATGATCTAGGCGTTTTTTTGGGTTGTGTTTGTTTCTGCATTTGGATTCATTCTTGACGTTGATGGAGGGAGGATCCGGATCTGGCATCGAAGTTTACACAAATTTGTACCAGCGAGGAAGGCAGATAGTAATCCATACATGAATGTATACGCAGACATGCATATGAGAGTAAATTTGTTATTATTTTAAGTTGTCTTTGCAGAACAACCAGTCATATGATTCGATTTTCTCCATACATTTAGTTAGGACTGACACTATCTAGAGATGGCATGACTTCAATTTAATTTTGAAAGAGTCCAGTTGTGCATATAAACTCTCGGTAAGGGAAACTGCAAAGCATATTCGAATCATGGGCCATTGCTCCGGCCTTTGGAGACATGGCGACCAATCCCCGTAATGATATTCACGGTAAGCCGAAATGAAAACCTTATGTACTGCAGCCGTCCTCATTAGGGAGTCGTCCTCGCATGTGTACGGATCGGTAGGTATGTAGGCATGAAACCGATGCCTATTGTAATCAACAGACTAGTAGCACTAGCCTGAGCCTTAAAGGTGGTATGCCAAGCTTTTCATGCAGGCACGTATCTTATCTTGCGGCTGCCCCTCGCTAAACCTAAAACAATATTTCTGGTAGGTTAATAACCCCTCCGATGCTCCAAAGATCTCGCTAATTGCTGACCTGATTATTGCGCGCCTTGTATCCGTATGTAGACCATACATAGTACTCACCCTGGGTATTTGTTCCCTCATGCGTAGGTCCACAGTGAAATGCCCCCACGCACCGCTAAGCTCTCAGACCTGAACCTCATGCCCAGGGGATTTATCCTATCTGGCAGTCAGTCTTACCTAAGTGGACCTGAACTGACCTACTCTATATGTCCCTCGCGTAGACCCTGCTTTCGATGAGCACATTGTGCCCATGATAGGAGTATGCCACGGTTTTGAAGATATCGCACAAAGAATACCGAAGGATAATATGATTGTTGGAATTGAGAAATAGTTTGGCCATGGCGTATGCTGACTTGTCCTTTTCCAAAGAGCAACAGACTACACGTCTCGCCAGGATCTTCCGGCACCAAAAGAAAAAAAAAAAAGGAAAAAAAAACCCCCCACCATGGTCCTGCCAACAAATTATTCGAGGGCCGGCAAGACTGTGCTATGAGAGTATCTGCTTGTCAACCTCACAGTTATGGATGCTTCTGGACGCTTCCTGGGTGGCCTCAAACCTGCACAGGACGCCGAAATGAAGAGTGTTTCGAAGAAAAGTTGCAGTGTCTCCTCAAGACAACTTTCTGCCCGGTTCTTATCGAGACGCCCTCCTTCAAGTCTTCGACGATCAAGACACACCACAATGTCGGTGACCTAGCAGCGCAAAGTGAACAAGCAGGTTTCGGTTTCATTTAGTCTAGCCGTTAAGGAGGCTTAGAAAGACGAGAATCACGCAACCATTCGCGCATTAAATATCAGCAAAGAACTTGCCATAAGACATTCCTTCCTAGTTAAAGCATCGCCGTACGCATACTGAGCGAGGCCACTCCGGAATGTGCTGAGACCGCAAGAGAGGCTGGTAATTCATCGTATGATCAAGGAGATCAACCCATCAAACAGCATCAGTCGAGCTTATACATGCTTAAACACCAATCGACCTACCGACGTTATAGGCGAGGAATGCTACGAGAGATGTAAATCATCATCTTCCAGGCCGTGCTCACAGCTGACTTCGTGTGGGTGAAACCCCCATGCTTTTTTGTGTTTCTTGTTTGATGAAACTCTTTTACGCGCACTGTCAAGAAAGTCGTGTCAACATCGTTTCGTGTGCAACGTAGAACAAGAGCAACGAGCCAGTTGCTACGACTGGGATGCGATAGATCAGCTATGGCTCAACAAGTGAGCTATAACAGCGGTCTTCGGGCACGGGAACGAGCCTTTGGTTTCAAGCAGCAGGACCAGCCGGAGCATGCCACTTATATAATTGGTACGGAATTGGAAACATCTCGTATGAAAAGGTAACAAGAAAAGGACAAACTTGATAACCCTTAGTTGTCCACCACTGAAGGGGTATAGGAAGGATATTAGAACAACCTCACCCCTCTCGCGGCATAAAAGTGTCCAAGAACGCACGCTACCTTGCCGTCACTTGCCATGATGTGGCTATATGGGCTATAACCTCACCAAAATTCGTTTAGTCAACCAATAGCCGCAAAAGCTAAGCCGAAGCCGGCAATTATTGCGAGAGTATTGCTTGTATGAACCATAATAATGGAAACAAATATTTGAGCTGGGCATATCACACCTTCCTAACCTCGAAGCCGAACCCGCTACACACCGCATACCGACAATTGCCCTCCACCGAATCATTGAGACGGAGGAGTGGCGATGCCAAAAGTCTATGGGAATGCCTTTCCCGGAAGGGGTTCGGTTTTCATTTTATTTTGGGGGGTTGGGGGTTGGGGGTTTCACACTATCCCAGAGACATCTGCACCTGAGTTACCACGAGCATCGCTGTAGGCAATGTACCGCACATTTGCCCCCGGGCTTGGTTATGACTTTTGCAGCACACCCATGGTTCTTTAGATTATTAACGAAGAGAGGGAAAAAGTTGGCTGGCGATGACGATACGGGGTCCTGCCCTCCAGTGTATATTAAAATGCTATTGGAACTCATTGAGCGAAACTCAGTCGTTGTAACAACCTTGATGGTGACCGGATCGAGATGTAGCAACGCCTTCATAAACCCCTAATTACGAGCTTCGTTGCGCATTCGTGGACCAGGTTAGATGATCGGAAAAAAAAAAAAAATTCTTCGTTTTGATGCTTGGGCAAAACTGTGCGTTTCTTCCCATCATATACTGGTGCGTAAGATAGAAGTTGATCATTATTTCAACGCCATCTGTATCACTGCCGAAAGAACGCCGGAGTTATATACCACTGCACAGAGATAGTGAAAGCCTGATTAGTGATGTGTAATTCAAGCTGATGAACGGGTATCTATTCTTGCGTATCTACTCGCCGAGTTCTCTTCCACCCCGTTAGCAGACAGCCAAGCATGCAGCGGCCAGGTTGAACCACCGGCGGACTTTAGACTATCCGGCACCGCAGCTCTGAAGAAGTTATCCAGTCTTGGAACGTCTAGGCTTGGGTGGTTGCTGCTTACTGGCCTGGCGTCTGGCCTCATGACACTACAAGAACTTGTAGATGACTCGACACGGCGCTGCGGGCCTCGAGTCGACCAGCGGCGACGTATCGCACGCTGCGGCCTGTCCCTACGAACGAGGCATGGCTTTGATGTGGTATTCTGTCTCTTGCCAAAGATTGGTGTTTCAGTTGGCAAAGATTCTGACGTTCAGGTCGACGCTACCAGTGGCGATAACGCACCGCATTTGTACTTCAGGCGCAGCGGCGGCCTTGGATGCGCTGTTGACCGTGCCGTTCTGGCCGTCGCCAGTCCCGTTGACTACGGGCTCTTTAACAACACCCGGTGCCCAACGTAAGCATGAGATGAAGTGACCGTGGGCATCATCGAGCTTCTTGACCACTTTGCCATCCTGACTCAAATCCCAACATCGTAACGTCTTATCGTCGGCCACACTGAGCAGATACTTGCCGCCCGGATGAAAAACCAACGCCCGCACCCAATTGTCATGACCGACGAGTGTTTTGAAACAGTTGCCCCGCCCATCCCATAGCCTGATGGTCTTGTCTCTCGACCCGGTGGCCATGAACTCTGCGCTGCTAGATGCGGAAGGTGTCTTTTGGCCGGCGAGTTTGGCAAGATGCTGGTAGGAGGTCGGGGGCGCCATCGTGCAGCATTCGATGACGTGTTCGTGTCCGATCAGAGTGACCTTGCTTTCGGGATTGGCCAACGATACGTCCCATAGCCGTGCCGTCTGGTCGGTTCCGCATGACAACAAGAAGCGGCCGTCGACGGAGGGGAAGACATCCCGGACCCAGTCGGCATGACCTCGGATCGTCTTGACGCAGTAGCCGGTCGTCACGTCCCAGATTCTCAACGTCTTGTCTCTGGATGCGGATACCAAGAGGTTACTAGAGGAGGGTGCCCCGGCCGCGCCTGAGGGGATGAAACGGACGGCGCTCACGCTGTGGTCGTGGCCAGGTAGGGTCTTTATGTTCTTGTAGTCGTCTGCGGGGTCCCATAGCTTGATAGTCAAGTCGCTAGAGCACGAGGCCAGCAGCGTCCCTCCCCTGGGGCCGCCAAAGTCGACGTCGAGGACGGCCTTGGTATGGCCCTTGATGGTCCTCTCGAGCTCGCCCAGCTCCCAATCCCAGATCTTGATGGTGTAATCTTCGGAGCCGGAGGCCAATGAGGAAAAGACGGGGTGGAAGGCGACACAGGTGATGGGCTCCCGGTGTGACTGCAGGGTGTGTCTGGCTGGGGACCTGGGCAGCCAGCTGGTGGGATCCTGATTCCGTCGAGCGAGGGAGGTGGGCGTCGCACTGTCCAGCTCGGCTTGTATACTGGAATTTCGGGCTTCGAGGTCCATTATCTTCTTCTGCAAGCGGACGACACTCGTCCACTTCTTCTCGAGGAGCCCCTCATATCTCTTGGATGTGGCAGCATCGAAGCTGTCTCCCAGGTTTAGTTCCTGCCTTAGGGCTTCGGCGGCGTTTGGTAGGTTGTTTGAGGATAGGTATGCGACAACGGCCTTGTGCCTGTGACGTGTTCCACATGATCAGTAAAGCTCAACTACACTGCCCTGCGCGTCTATGGGGGCATACGAGCAGAATAGAAATGAGTGGAGGGGAGGGAACGGACAGTTCGTCAGCTTGGCGCGACGTCAATATTTGACTGCTCATGCTTGCTAATAATCTATTGGGGGCGTGCTCATGAGTTGGGCCTCGTCGGGGCGAAATTGATTGCGACCAGCGGGCTGCCTTTTCTTTTTTTTGCGTTGAGCCTTGAGCCTTGAGTTTTGAGTGGGCGGTCAGGAGCTGGACTTGGGGAGTTGCACTCGGAGCTGTCGCTGGAGCTGTCGCTTGGAGCTGGCAACTTTTGAGTTTGGACTTCAGGATATGCTGGGGGGGCCGGTCCCCGGAGAGGAGATGAGAGGAGAGGAGAGAGGAGATGTGGGTGAACTATGGCTATGACTTGCGACTTATCCCAGACCTGATCGCAACGTCAGGAACCTCTGCCCCATACGGTACGGTCAGGGAAAGGGTTTCAAGGGTATAAGTTCGGGAGCGGCAATCCCAAATGAGCCGCCGTCTGAGTCGGATCAAACAGACGACTAACGAGCACAGATCAACCAGAAGGGTTTCCAAGCCAGAGTTGGCGGGTTGCAGCGCATACAGTTACAATAGGTACAATAGAGCACTCCGTAAGTGTGTATGCAGCGCTTGGGCGGGCCTTGAACACAACTTGATCATTTCTATACTGTTGTGTGGTCTTCTGGGGACTAGGGTGTACCTGCAGAAGAGTACTCGTATTTCAAGCATTTGATTCGGGACCAAACAGCCTTCGTTGTGGGTTTGATATACAATGCCCTTTAACACCAGGTGGCATGAACAAGCAACTTACACGAAGCGGCATTTTGTTTTGTCGCATCTGAGTTTGTTGATGCGAAATGCATTACTGCATCATGCCCGTCTCTTCGAGCGTTGTGGGCTGTTCCTGTGGCCATGGTAACTGACTTGACTTACTGGTAGCAGGTCTACTACATTGGTACAACCACCACGAGAAAGAGATATACACGTGATCGAATTGGGCGTTGACGGCAATTGGGCGCTGGTCTGAACCCTGAACATGAGCATCGTCCCGTCCTGCGTTCTACGTTCTGCGTCCTGCGTCCCTGGGTCCCCTGCATATGACATATGTCGGTCGCGTCACTGCATCAACACACTGACCATGCGGGACGAGGCGGGCTGTCGCGACGGTGGGATGAGCGCACAATACAACGTCCATGTTTATCAGATGCTCAACAGCTATCAATCTACGTATTCGAATGTGTACACGGTAGTCGAGAGTAAACTTGGTCGGTAACTGGTCTCGTATGACTGCTATATGATTTAATCTGTCTTCCTCTTCTTCTTCTTGATCTGCTCCTCTAGTGCGGGATGCGTACTGGAGTAATACAACCCCGCCCCGACCCCCCTCTGAAATCTCCACTGGGAGAAGCCCAACGGTGGCCCTTATGGCTGCAATCCGCTGGGTTCAGGTTTGGTCAATTCAATTTGTTCGCAGTCCCAAAGGTTTTTTGTTTGTTTGTTTGTTTGTTTTGTGTTAGTCCGCTTGCCTCTCCTCACACCGTGAGGACAATGCACAGTTATCAACATCTCCTTGAAGTAGCAAGCCTCAAGTACTTACTTCCAATGCCCACGGCCAACCCAACATGACATGACAGCTTCACGGATTCGTGCTTATTACAATACTTGGTAACTTACTCGGTAGCTTAGCTTAGCTTAGCTTGCTTGTTAGGCCGTTGCCCGACGCGACCCCCTGTGTACTTTTCCCATGTGTGTATGTGCTGAGCCCGCAATCACATTGGACGATTCTCTACACCCCTGTCGCTTCTGAAAGTACGGAGCAGCGAGGGCACCAAACAAACCGACATCATCACTCGGACTGTGCAATGCGAATTTCTGAGAATTAGTTTTGAGTTTGGCGTTCTCTGTTCACACACAACATACCAACATCCCACAAGTCGCGACCTCATACCATACCATACGCGCGCGCATAACCACATTACCGGAATTACCCCATTGCTTTTCAAGTTGAGCTGCTGAGCGCATTACATTGTGCATACTGCTCGGCAAGAATCAAATAGAATATCCACCGTACGTCCCAGCATATCTGATTCATGACCGCCTCACCCGGCAAGGGAAAACAGTCCCCGATTGTTGGCGACGGCGAAGGCGACGGCGAACGCGCAGGCTGTCGTCCTGAATGGAATAAGCTGGATGAAAGGAAGGAGGGAAGTTGCACACCACTGAAGTGCACCTGCTCGGAATTTCATCCACGCTTCCTCTCCAAACCCCCTCCGGCGCATTGCATTGCATGTCATTGCATGTAGTCCATGCCTCTCCCTCTCCTTCTCCTTCTCCTTCGGATCCGAGCCCTCACGAGCAGACAGGATGCAACGCGGCCGTGGTTTCTTGCTCCCATCGTCACTTCCCACGAGTCGCATAGTCTCTCCTCCTGCAGTTTCCATTTCCATTTCCATCTTCACTCTCCTTCTCCTTCTCCTTCAAGCATGCTTCCGAATCCCATGTCAAGATGCCCTTCGACCTCTTGCGCCGACCATCTGTACAAAGACTAATCCAGAAATTAGCTGATACCCTATCTCCTTCCCCCACAACAAGCGGCCGTGGCAAGACCGAGGAAACAACAGTCTTTCACAAGAGCTGGAGGTTCAGACCACGCCAGAAACGACAACAGCTCACGCCGTCTGCCTCTGTCTCTCCTGCATCGCCCAGAGCAGAAGCAAGAGCACAAGCAGAGTCCCCTCTACACACCAGATCTACCGGCCCAGCCTCCCTGTCCTTGCTGCCGTCCATCGAGTCTCGCCCTACCGCCCTCGCCGCCCCAACCAAAAACATGGCCGAAGGAGAGCCTGACTACAGCTCTCTGCCCCTCGAAGACAGATGGGTACACAAGGTCTGGAAGGTCCGGAAAAGCGCGTACGAAGAGGCAGCAAAGCTCTTTGAGGCCACGCCCGACGAATACGACCCTGCATTCCGTCCCTTCAACCAAGATCCTAGTCTATGGAAGGCCGCTGTCGTCGACTCCAACGTCGCTGCACAGACCGACGGAATCGCTGCTTTCTGTGCTTTTCTGAAGTTTGGTGGCAAGGAGAACTGCACTAGATCGCGGAATCACGTCGTCACTTCCATTTGCGAAAAGGCCCTCATCTCGACGAGGCCCGCCACGAAAGCATCTGCCCTCGAAGCATTATTATTATTGGTCGAGCTCGATGTCCCGGGACCTGTCATCGAAGACATCCTGCCTGCGCTATCCGCTAAGCTGCCAAAGGTCGTCGCCGCCTCCTTGGCCGCTCTCACCGCCATCTTCCACAACTATGGCTGCAAGATTGCCGACCCAAAGCCCGTCCTCAAGATCTTACCCAAGGCCTTTGGCCATGCCGACAAGAATGTCAGAGCCGAGGCCACCAACCTCGCCGTCGAATTCTACCGCTGGCTCAGGGATGCCATGAAGCCCATGTTCTGGGGCGACCTGAAGCCCACACAACAGACGGATCTCGAAGCACAATTCGACAAGGTCAAGGCTGAGGCCCCCCCGAAACAGGAGAGACTGCTGCGCTCTCAACAAGAAGCTGCCGCCCGTGCCCCGGCCGCCGGTGCCGGAGGCGAAGAAGAGTATGATGAGGGAGACGACCTGGAAGAAGCCGGCGAGGTGGATGTTTTTGACCTTGCCGAGCCTCAAGAGCTCTTATCCAAGGTTCCTGCCAACTTCCATGACAACCTCGCCTCTTCGAAATGGAAAGATCGAAAAGAAGCCCTGGAAGCTCTATACGCCGTGCTCAACGTGCCCAGGATCAAGGACGGCGACTACGGGGAGATCAATCGCGGATTATCCAAGTCCATGAAAGATGCCAACATTGCCGTCGTCACACAGGCAGCCCAATGTATTGAGGTCTTAGCCAAGGGTTTGCGGCAGAGCTACGGCAAGTACAGGTCTACCGTCATGGCACCCATTATGGAACGCTTGAAGGAAAAGAAAGCATCCGTCTCCGATGCTCTTGGTGCCGCCCTCGACCAAGTCTTTCTCGCTACCAGCCTGACCGAGTGCATGGAAGATATTACTACTTGCCTTGTCCACAAGAACCCTCAGGTCAAGGAGGGCACCATGAAATTTCTCGTCCGCTGCTTACGCACAACACGAGACGTGCCAAGCAAACAGGAAATCACTACTCTAGTCGAGTTTGGCAAGAAGTTGCTATCCGAATCAAGCGAGGGCCTACGTTCAGGTGGTGCAGAAGTGCTGGGCACCATCATGAAGATCGTAGGTGAACGAGCCATGAACCCACACCTCGAGGGGCTGGACGATATTCGCAAGAACAAGATCAAGGAATTTTTCGAAACCGCCGAAGTCAAGGCTAAAGAGAAGCCCAAGCCCAAGCCCAAACCTGCACCTGCACCTGCGGCCCGCGCTCCCCCCGGTGGACCGAAAAAGCTCGTCAGAAAAGCGCCAGCTGGGGTCAAGAAGGCGGCTCCGCCTGCTGCCAGAGTGGCGTCCCCAGAACCGGCACCGCTTGCGCCTCAACCCACTGCAAAGACACCAGCTCGACTTGGTGCTCCCAGGCCATCTGGGGTTGCTGGCTTGAAAGCTCCTCGGGGACGACTCGCGGGTCCAGGTGGACTTGCTTCTCCTCGAAGAACCGCTGCCCCGCCGCCAGACCCAGTGGAAGATGAAGAGCTGGTCCAAGAATCGCCACCGCCGCGGCCCAGAATCGGTCTTGGCAGGGGTGGCCTGGCCGGGCGGTCTCTGGCAAAGCCTGCCGCGCCCGTAGCAGCGCCCCCAATGCCGACGTCTCCTCCTCCCTCTAGCGGTTTCTCGGCAATGGAGCGTGCCGAGCTTGAGGAGCTTCGCAATGCAAATGAACGGTTGTTAAGACAGGCCGATGAGATGCGACAGGAAAGGCAAAAGCTAGCATCGGAGATCCAGGAGCTTAAGAATCAAAATGCACAGCTTATCGAGGATCATACAAGGGATGTACTGAGCATCAAAGCCAAGGAGACCCAGCTTGTAAGGGCGAGAAGCGATGCCGAGGCAGCTGAGCAGACCAACGAACGACTACGACGCGAACTTGAGCGCCTCAAGAGGGCTCTCAGTCAGGCCGAGGCTGCCGGCGCAAATAATAGTATCACGAGCCCAGGTATAGGCAGTCCGACGCATGACGATATGGGCATTTACCGTGATGGTGGTGGCTTCGCTGGTGGCAGAGCCACAAGATCAAGTTTTACCAGCACGATGTCCGAAGAAAAGGAGAATGGCGACCCGCCACCCACCTATACAAGGAATAAGATGATGAGCCCAGAACTGAGATATGCCAGTGGATCAAGCGGCAGAGGGAGCCCTGCGAGAGGCTTCCGAAGCACTCCAATGGATGATGCTGCAGGATACACTGCGCCGGCTTCGGGTACGGCTTCGGCCACGGGTAGTGGCCCCAGCAATGGTGTCGAGAGCTGGAAGCGCGCCGCTGAAGTAACCAGCCAGCTCAAGGCCAGAATTGAGCAAATGAAGGCAAGTTTCATTTCGTTTTCGGAACCAAAACCAAACTAATAGTAACCAGGCGAAGCAAGGTTTCAATCGACCATAGGAGTAGTAAGATCAGAGCCATAAAGACACCAATACGTCGGGATTCCAAACGTGGGGAAAGAGCCACACATTGCTCAAACGGGATCCCCGGTAGACCAGCAGATGCCAACGCATATGACAGTGTCGGATGGAGAAAGATGCCGATTCCGGGCAACTCGATCGCTGCCTTGGGCATACTTCGTGCTCATGGCGCGGAGCTGGGCTATGAATCCTTCTGAACGGAAGATCTTGGTAACGATGACATGAAACAAAACGGACACAAGGAGGTTTTTAGGGACGAGTCCGAGAATATTCTACGTCAAGGTGGAATGTGGAAACATGTGCGCACAGCGTATTTGACTTGGTGAATGCATTTGTACGGCGTCAGATCGGAAATCATACCCACTCTGTATTAGGCTTCTTCGTGGACAACTATATTATATAATAGATAATTGTCTATTTGATCGACTTGTGCGCATATGTTGGTACACTTTATATCGCTTTTGAGGACAACCTTTGATCGCTAATTTGGACGATGGCGACAGGCGTCGGTAGCGTCGGCCTAGTTCGTGCGTACGGAGCTATAGTTTATACACTTATAATCACGTAGACTAGGTTCTCAGCTTCATGATGCTCCCACTCGCTAAGAACGTACGAGTATGCACCATTCCAGGACGGCTATCTGACCCCTGACCGGGATCGGTTAGCTGTCAGATTTAGCGCCGCCAGCGGAGCTCTGCGGGGACTTAGTCCGATAACTATAACTTATAACCCGAGAGTGAGTGCCGTGCCTTCGGGTGCTACTTATAATCGACTTGCCCGCCCTGGTAGCTCCAGCCGTTTTTTTTTGCACAGTCCGTACCATCGATCTGCTACGAGTCCATATTGAATAGTGCCATACTCGAGTGCAAGGGCGTCGCTCAAGCACACAGTACGTGACATCATAGGCAGATACGTTTGACGCGGCTTAATGACGCTGCTCAAAATTGGCTTGGCTGATCGCGGCCGCATGGACGCTACCAGTGATGATATATCACTAGAAAAGCAACTGGATGCGGACCCGGAGAAGCTTATCAAGCCGTGGAAACTTCCCCCTCGGAAGTCATACGTCTTCACCAACGCCACCGTGGTTGATCCTGTTGCAGGCAGCCTCATCCGTAACGCCTGGGTCAAGATCTCCGATGGGCTGATCGTGTATGTCAAATACTCTCACGGACCATCGCCACTGGTCGAGGTCGAGGTCGAAGAGGGAAGTACCATCATAGACTGCACCGGGCTGTATCTCTGTCCGGGTCTCATAGACGCGCACGTGCATCTCACGGCGGTTCCGGGCTCGGCGTCCCTGGACGGCAGCATGGGCGACGATGCGGCCGTGAGCCATTTCCGACAGCCCTACGTGGCCAGCCAGAGCCTGAAGCGCGGCTTCACAAGCTTGCGCGACTGCGGCGGTGCGACGCTGGCCCTCAAGGAGGCCATCGCCGACAACGTGTTCCCGGGCCCGCGGCTGTTCATCGCCAACCGGGCACTGAGCCAGACCGGCGGACATGGCGACCGCCGGGGCCCGCACAACAAATCCGCGCCCTCATGCTGCGGCGGCCTCAGCGTCGTGGTCGACGGCGTGGACGAGTGCATCCGGGCGGCGCGGGAGCAGCTCCGCACCGGCGCCGACTTCGTCAAGATCATGGTGGGCGGAGGCGTCGCGAGCCCGAGCGACCGGCTCAGTAATACGCAGTTCACGTCGGCGGAGATCCGGGCCATCGTCGAGGTCGCCGAGTCCTACGGCACCTTTGTCACGGCGCACGCGTACACGCCGCGCGCGATACGGCACGCCGTGTCCGCCGGCGTCCGCGGCATCGAGCACGGCAACCTCGTCGACGCCGACGCCGCCCGCCTCATGGCCGAGCGCGGCGTCTGGCTCACCCCCACCCTCGTCACCTACGAGGCCATGGCCGACGCCGACAAGTACGCGGGCTTCCTCCCGCCTGAGAACGCCGCCAAGAACAGGGAGGTCCTGGAGAAGGGGCTCGAGAGCCTGCGCATCGCGCGCGATGCCGGCGTCAAGATGTGCTATGGCAGCGACCTCCTGGGCCCGCTGACGGCCGAGCAGAGCGGGGAGTTCGCGATTCGGAGGAGAGCGCTGGGAAATGTCGAGGTCCTGAGGGCAGCGACGGTCAATCCCGCCGAGATGCTGGGCCAGGAAGAGTTTCTGGGCCAGATAAGAGACGGGTTTGCGGCAGATCTGCTGGTATTGAATGTCGATCCGCTGGAGGACATCACGGTCCTGGCGACGCCACAGAAGCACCTATTAGCTGTCGTCAAGGACGGCAGGGTCTGGGAAAGTCGGTGGAGGGCGTTGCCTGTTGATGTCAGGGAGCCGAGTGATTGGATTCAGTAGGAGACGCAGCCTGATAAGAAACTATGGTATGATTGTCTTCCTCACAACCAGCTTGATAAGGGAGCTTATTAATGATAGTCCGGCCGGAAATGCTTTCATGAAAAAGTGTACGCTCGACAGTAAGTTGATGGACAGTTGGGTCAGATGCTCATACCTCATGCAAAGCGCCAGGTCCAGATGCTCTTCCATTCTCAGTTTGAGCAGGACCAGCTCCGTGACTTTTATGTTAGCCCATGAGTCCGTGAATGGTGTCGGGTCTGCTCTTATTCCGCCTTATTTCTACATGGAATCGTAATGCCTAGAGGTACATATTATTAGTGTATAGATGTTGTGGAGTTGGAGCATGTTGTTCCCTCGTTTGACTTAACTGAATATTGGCAGGCTCCTTCTGCTGGGCTGTCTTGTGCTTCTATGAGGAAACTTGTTACCAGAATCCATTAATACATCATCCCTAACAAAAGCCCGGGAGAGTCATCGAAGAAAGAGTAATTTGCCACTGACTCAAAGACTACCCAAGCACGTAATGGCTCCAATATACAGGCAACTGAGATCTGTTTACAATTCATGTGCGTGCAACTGTGCCATCATAGAGAATCTAATCGACCCTAGCCATAACTCTTGAATACACATTCTAAGATATTACCAGATCGAGTGGCTTGTACAAAATATGTGCGCTAGATTTGTATGAAAGACTTCAACCCTCACGAAGCATGGAATACAATCTAACTACTGTGACGCTCTTGAACTTACAACCAGAAGGAAATGCATCAAGAGCGCATGATGTAGGATATAGATGGTGTTGCATCCAAGCGTTTGTCATCGGGTTGCTGTGATAGGTCATCTCGTTAAAGTCATCTAGTTTGCGTATACTAGTTTGGCCTTCCCTTCGACTTCGTCTCACTACCACTTACACTGTTCCAGCATGATTGAATGTCTGTCAGCCCAGGCGGGTGCGGGAAAATATTGCCCGTCTATATCCATGAATCCTGCACATATTGGACGAGGTCTTAGCTAATCCGGGGCACATCCTCGAATGTGCGTTAAGCTCTCGGGTTTCATCACCTTTCTGAACGCTGCGAGACCTATTATATACACAGTACAACAAGTGTCTGCCCGTTCCGACTTTGAACTGACTGCGGAAGATACACTCCTGGTTCCGCCTGGACTTCTGCTAAGTTCAGAATCCACAGTCAGTATTGAAACTGCACAGTGAAGGGGCACGAGGCGTGAAATCGATAGCTATATGTGACGAATTGGCGACAGCCAGTATGCCGCCCAAAGGACTTTCTCTCTTCTTTCCGGCCAGCTTGAGGGGTACCCAACATCCGGCAAAGTTGCTGCAAAGGCCTTTAAAGACACCATAGTACGTGGGGCTGTCTAGCAGGCAGCCTGAGAAGCTTCTTGGAGCCAAGGTAAATTCTCCGACACAAGGTCATTCAACCCCGAGCATCCCGACCGTGATATATTCCCTACGAGGGGTTTGAAGAAGCCTTACGTGAAATTCTCTGTAATACCTCTTCTGAGGCTGATTTGCCCCATCAAACCCAAACACATTGCGATTGCGATACCCATGCGGTGTGGGACGCTGAGCGTATATCGGACTAGTCTAGACTAATACAGTATCTAACAGTGTTCTGCAGTTTCTGGGAAGAGCGGGTGCTGCCTGAGCTGAACAAAGCAAACGAGCTTCTGCCAGGTTGGAAGAAAATGGTGACCCGGGACTTTTCAAGGCGTCTTCGAAAATCCTATCAGTCAATGAGGCTAAAGTTCAGCTGAAGACTGGGAGAAACAAGGCATCTCAACAAATCAATCCCCTCAGTGTTTAAATCGAATTTCATTTTGGAACAGACCTGTGATATATATTCCCATTGGGCTCACGATGCGAGGTTCTGATGTACTTCAAAGTAACCGCTCAAGAGCCTGGCTCGTCTCATCGCCTCGTTCCAAGTGAATCCAATGACCTGAATTTACCCGAAGTGTGACAACGTCTGATGCCCACACAGAAAGCATCTGCTCTTGTGCTTGATTTGAAGCGTCAGCTTGTGTCGGAAGTATTAGGATAACCGGCTGCTCGATTATGAAATTTGCAAATTCTACCTCATCAGATACTGATAGGTTCAGGTCCAGCATCTTGTAATAGCATGATGGCCCTCGATATCCGTTGGGTCGACGAAAAGCCTCCAAATGTCGCCTGCGAAGCTCTTCAACGAACCACGTGCCAACGGGTTGGCGAAACCCTCCCTCCACAAATGACTTGAACCCACCAGATGGGTGAAGGTGAAGACCCCAGCTCTGCGAATCGGATGCAAACATTATCTCCATAACGGACTCGGCGTGCTCCTCCATCATCTGATGAGATTCTGGGTCGCGACTGATATATGTGACATAGCCCAACATCTCCGATCCAGTGGCTTCCTTGGCCATGCTGTTGATGCCATCCAGGTCGAAAGTTGTGCCTGGCTTTGGTGCGCCAATTCCCAGGAGCGCCAGAGCTTTGAGGCGCCGGGGGTGGTAAATAGCGAGACGCGAGAGGATGGTGACGCCCCAGTCGTGACCTACGCCTACCACCTGCTCTAGCTGGGCGTGATCAAGCAGTTCTGCCAGATCTTGGCTGATGAGCTTCAGACGATACGCGTCCGCTTCAGCGGGGGCGCTACTTTCACCGTAACCTAGCATATCGGGCACCAGAAGGCCGTAGCCTCTAGACTCAAAATAGCGGATCTGGTGGATCCAGTCATCGATGTGGGAGGGAAAGCCATGGATGAGGAGAAGTGTCCCACGGTTCGAGGCGCCTGTGATGTGAATATAAGAATAGTGGTAGCTGCGCGAGGTGAAAAATAGCTGGCGTGGTGGTAGCACGAAATCCATGTTTGCTGCAAACCTCACTGTGTGATCCACAACAGCAATACTAGTGCTAGTACCTGGAGTGGTTTACTTGATGTCTTGCTTCTACACAGCACCTGTGATGTCAAATAGATATATGAACCTGAGTGCTATTGCGTCAACCCCAGAGGACATTTCTTTTCTCCCACTCGGGAATTATTCAACTCGAGCCCGCATCCATGGATTCCGTTGTGCAACGAGTTAACAAATGGTAAAGTGCCCGACCTTTGTAGGAGTGGTCTACTAGCATGCTGAACATTTGGTACCAAGTTACTTTTCCTTTGTAGGTTTCCGCCCCGATGGACACTTTTCGGCGACTATTAGTGTACTGTAACGTTTGCTGTAGTGTAGCGCTTTCGCAAAAGTGGCCGAGAATCTTGGAGGCCGTTATTTGTGACGGTCAAAGTCCTGTAGCGCAAAACCTAAAATCAACGAGTAACTAGCACAGAAGGTTTTGGGAAAGACCCTTGAATGGTGACCGGATCTCAACCAGCGGCAAAGATGTGCTAGCGAGTTGTCTCGCCCATACTATGAGACCATTCCAGTTGAGTCCGGAAACCAGGGCACATAATACAACTCTCCGTGCTCTGATTGGGACCGGCTCCGTGTTTAAAGCAAGTTATAAGCGTGGAGATGGCTTTGTATACTTCGATGAATGATAAATTGTTCACAAGGAAACTGGAGGGGCGGAGAGGGGGTTGACGGGTTTTCCTTATTTCTTTTTCTTCTTCTTTTCATGGCTGCATAATTATTTGGGTCTCGTTCACTGAAGGTGCAATGCAAGGATGCAATCAACGTATTTTATCCGGCTGTTCACAAATGAACCTCTTATTACATTCGTCCTTAGACTGATCGAAGAAGCTCAAATCGAGTCGAGCTGATATGACGAAGACATAAGGCTGCTTTGGTAAGTTTTCTCTATATGTTGTTCTCTATATATGATAGCACGATGCCGTTGATTTTCTTTGCCTGATATCTCATTTTGCATTCGTGGCAACAGCCTCCCTGATTCGCTCCAACTTGTCCTTCTGCCGCCCCTCTTCATCAAAATTGCTCTCATCAATCCACCTCTCCAGCGCCTCCTTCCTCCCTGCCCACTCCCCCTCCACGATCGAGAACCAAGCCGTATCCCGGCTCCGGCCCCTGACGATCATGTGGCTCCTGAAGACGCCCTCGGCCACAAAGCCCAGCCTGCCGGCCGCCCTGCGGCTCTTGGCGTTGAGGCTGTCGCACTTCCACTCGAGCCGGCGGTTTCCCAGGCCCTCGAAGCAGTGCCGCATGGCGAGGTAGAGCGCCTCGGTGGCCACGGTAGTGCGCTGCAGCACAGCCGAGAAGGTGACGTGGCCCAGCTCGACGCAGCGGTTCTTGGCGTCGATGCGCATCAGGCCGAGGTAGCCGACCGGCGTGCCTGCGGTGATGCCGGAGGAAAGATCGATTTCGGAGATGACGGTGAAGAAGAGCGGATCCGTGGATACGGCCAGGGCCGAGATGTGGTTCGCAAACGACTCGGAGCTGGCAAAGGGGCCGGCGGACATGTAGGCCCACGTCTCATCCGGGGAGTTTAGGCAGAGCTGCCGATGTAGGGCGGGTGCATGCGAGGGAGAGATGGGAACAAGTGAGGCATGTCGGCCTTTGATGGTGATATGTTCGGGTGTTCTGGCCGCAATGGCATCGACCTCCTCGCCCAGGGGCACGTTATTGAACATTTTGATAGCGGCTCAAGGTCTGTATGAAAGTTTCTGTTCAATTGTGTGTTACCTTCAGAACCACTGGCTTGACGGAGTCGGGCTGGTGATGGTTAGGCTCAGAGTATATGTACGTGGTGTAGTGACTCAGCTATGCGGATCGCCTGTACCTTCCGATTGGGGCCGAGCCGGTGAGTGGAGGTAATCCCCAGCCGAACAATTAGTTTGTCCATTCGGATGCCCTGCCGCACGATTATAGCAGTCAGCTCATTGCTCCAAGATCACTGGGGAAACTCAAATGAAATTCAGAGTACTTACACACCTCTAGAGCAGCGAATATTTCTTTCGCGCAATGTTGCACACGGACCTACTCGGGAGGGATAATATAATAGCAATCAAGTGGATACACGCATACATGGTTGTACAAATAATCTTTTCTCATCAAAACCTTCGTGATTCGCTCTCACATACTAATACACACAATAATGCCGCTCTAAGCGGCGCCTCTAGAAGCACATATATAATACACCACAAGGTCTGACATATTCCCCGAACTCCAGGTTTCCAAATGGAATGTCTTCTAAGACCTTACGCTCGTTGGTCACTTCCTTTACATTCAGCGAGGCCTACAACTCCTCGAATGCGTATTTAGCTATGGACTCGGTATTGGCGAGGACGGAGCCGCCGCCACGGAGACCCAAGCCAGTCAGCAGGCCACGGCGTGCTAGGGGCCGTCAAGCATCTCCTATACGACAACCTCCTCTTCGTCGGGGTCTTCAATACTCGAGCGGGCCTTAGCCTCGTGAGTACTCTTGATCTTTCCACCGTCATCACTAGTGATGTCATCTTGGTCTGGCTTCTCGGCTTCTCCCTCTTTGGTCTTGTCCTTATCCTTGTCTTTTTCCTTTGAGCCAAACCCTTGACTGCTAAACGGCCATAAACTCGTAAATCCCGAAGTCTTTTGGTTCTGGCTCGGAGGATGCACTGGCAGCGGCTTCACAATGACATTGCTTTTTTCACTGTCGTTGTCTTTTTCAGGCATGGCGAAGTCGCCGAACTCCTCATCCTCATCTTCTCCCTGCTCATCTTTATCAGAGTCGGAGTCATCGCGGCCGTCTCCAAATCTCTCTTCCCGGTTCCGGGAGAGGGCATTACGCCACCAGCTACCACGTGGATGCGAGCCCCAGCCTGGGTTTTCTTCATCGCCGATGCCATCGTCGCTGTCTTCGTCGACATCCTCTGCGTCATCGCCAAATGGATCCTTCAGAATACTGTCGGGCTCCCTTGTCAGGTTCAGATCACCATCGTCATCATCACCGCCTTCGATTTGAGCTGATTGAGCTGAAGCACCCGCATTGTTCTTCTGGTGCATGGCCAGGCGTGCCGCTAGCTGCAAACGGGCACGGGATGGGGGTACGTTCAACGGGGGCGGCGGCGGTGGGGGAGGCGGAATGGATGGAGGATCCAAAGAAGAAGGATCGTTCAGCGAACTCGTGTATGTGCGAAACTGTAGATTTCTGTTAGACATGTACTAAACCATGGGTTTGCATCATCATATGGCTGAGAGATCGCGACGTAATCGGTAGACACACAGAGAGCCAGGTCACGAGAAGGAGACGACGGAAAAGAAAACAGCAAGATGGTACGTAGGCCAACAACCCAGCTCTGGACTCAATGGGGCAGTTGCATATCAGGAACGCCAAAGACGATAAGATAAACCTCATGAACTTACATCATTGACCACATCCTCTTCGTTTTCCTCGGAATCTTCGTCCTCGTCACTGGAATTGCGATCAAAGTCGGAGCCGGATCCTCCAGCACCGCCGTTACCAACGGTGAAAGCCCCGCCGTAGCTGCTTGCACTGCCGTTGTCGTCGTTGCCACCGTTGAGACCAGCGTCAGAAAGGGCGTTGGACCCTTGTGAATTGCCCAAACCGATCTGACCCAATGCCATGCCCAGGTTATTTCCAGCCATGGCGGCGCGGTTACTCATAGCTACCTCTGGTCTGACACCGCCAAGGATGGCATTATCCCTCTCACGCGTTTCTGCCAAGGCGCCCTCTACATAGTTGATCCAGTCTTGGCTCATTACACGGTCGAGCACCAGTTCGGACAGGAGCTCAGGTGGGTTCCGCTCTGTAAACTTGACTACCTCCTCTGCAATGAGGGTCAAGTGACCCATATAACCCATGCGGGTCTTGCTCTGAGCTTGTGACTGCTCGCTACGGTTTTGTCCATTTATAATGGCATTGGTGACATCAGCTGCCTCGAACAACGAAATGGCCAAGGTTGGATTGTAGCCACGGTCCATTGGGCCATTGAAAACCTGTTGCACAATGTCATAGACGACGTTGTGTAGAAAGTTGTTCCAGGGGTATTTGAAGAAGAATGAGAGTATTGTCGGCACCACCTTGTGCTCGACGAATTGCATTTTGAGATAATCACCCACGACTGGATTGGCAGGGTCATTAGCCGATGGCTGTGCAGGCTGACTCGCCTCATGCCCAACAATGATGGAACCATCCCCTTGTTCGGCTGCTGGCGTAGCCTCGGGCTCAATAGCAACAGGCTTTGCGTCGTGAGGAGTAGACTTCTCCGTGCTAGGCTCAGTCGACTGTGTGATTTGTGCCGACGACTCGGGGGAAGTCTGGGCTGCTTGAACACCTGAGAGATCCGAAATGGTGGAATCCAACTCGGCCTCGAGCATGTCGCCTGTTGAGGGATCCAATGGCAACTTTGCGTTGGTGGAACGCTCATCTGTAAGCCCCGCCTCTGATACTTCCGCCTTCGGGGAAGGTGTATCCTGTGCAGACTCGGAGGTCTGCTCTGCCGCTGGGATCTCGTCTGGCACAGATTCATCACCAAGGGACGCAGTGCTTTTGGCGACAGTCTTCTTGGGAGAGAGCGGTGCAACGACAAACTCGGGGTTCTCCATCTCCGGGAGATCATTGAGCTTGGCGTCTTGGACGTGCAGTCTCGGGGAGCTCAGAGGCTCATCGACAAAGTCATCGTCGTCATCTTTGTCCAGGAAGGAAGACACGGGGCCAGACGGGATTTCGTCCTCGGCCTTGACGAATTCGTGTGAAGTATCCTCAGTCATCTCGCCGGAAGGCGCAACTTCTTCGAATCCGTCGTCATCAGAGGCGTTGGTCACCTCTAGACGTCGGCCATCGTCAGGTGAGGAGGTATGGCGGCCACGCATGGTGAGATCATCTGCAGATGAATGGGCCTCTTCGGTGCGAGCAGGAACCAACTTGCCCTCGACGCGCAGGTTTTGCCGCTCCTGGTCGCGCAAGGCAATAACCTGCTCGGATCCAACCTCGTTGAGCAGAGCCATATTGCTGCAGTGTAGCAATTCGGCCATGAGCTCACACGTCTTGAAGCGATCAAACCCGAGAGGCTCGATGCCGTCGTCGAAGGTGGAGGGAATACGCTGCTTGTGGGCGCTTGTATTCATGACGAGGCTCATAAAGTCGGGGACGCGATCGGCAAACCGGCGGAGAAGAGTTCCGAGATAGATGGGGTCTCGAGAAGAGGGTGTGGCATTGTTATCAGGACCGACATCCGGGTCATAGTCGGAATTGTTTTTTCGAATCACTTCAATAATGATGCCAACTCCCACGGTCAAGGGATTACCACCCCTCAGCATGTAGTCGATCAGTTGCTCGACACAGGGCTTGGAGACGAGTTGGCGGGTGAGCTCGTTGGGTCCAATGCAGGCCTGCTCATTTTGAGAGGCGTTGGCGGAGACCGTGATGATGGCCTTCATAAAGTCGCCGGCCGAGGTCTGTGTGGCCCAGCTGTGTTCAGGACCGAGGAAGGAGAGCAAGGTCGGCATAACGTCCTTGGTATACAGCCACTGAATGTTCTTGTGTTAGTTTATCGAGAAAATGCGAGTAAGTAGTAAAGCTGGTGGAGAAGCTGTCTGGATTCCTTTTGAAAAAGAGAAAAAGAAAAAAAAGATGAAAACAAATAAATAAAAATTGAAAGAATTGGTAATGAAACGAAACATACCTCGACAATGCCCTGACCACTGTCGGTTCTTTCCAGGCTGATGATCTTGAGCAAGAGATCCATGATCATGGGACAGTCGACGTGGCGCAACATGTCGGGGACAGCGTTGTCGAGCGATTTGAGCAAGTCGAGCATCTCTTCCGTCTTCTTGTCGAACAGGGACTCGTTGACTTTGGTGAAATAGCTCGCCTGGAGGGGGTCCAGCGGTGCGGGGAGCTTGAGGAAGTTCCAGAAGTTGCGAAGCAGTGATGTACTCTCCATAAGTGCCTCGTAGATACTCCAGTTGTCGGAGGACAGAACCTCGGCCGCAACGTACGCGTAGCGGTTTCGCTTCTTCTCGCCCTCATCCTCATCGTGCTCGCCATCGTTGGTAGCTCCTGACGAGGCACGGGGCCGGCCAAATGGCAGAATGAGTTTGCCCTTCTTCTTATCGTCGTCGTCCTTATCTTTGTCCTTGTCCTCCTCCGGGTTCTCTACTGGCTCGAGCTTGGGAGCGACGACATACTCGAGGAGCTTCTGGAGAACCTTGTCGTCGCGCAGATACTCGATCAGCTTCGTGTTGTGTTGCTTGAGCTCTTGTATCAGATCGCTTTCGTCGAGGAGGTCCTCTAGCGAGAAGTCTGGCTTCTCAAGGATGGTGTCGATGGTGGAGATGTTGGCGTATCCGCCGAATCTCCAGAACATGGTGGCTGATGTTCTGCGCTGCGCTTATGTCACAAGACAAGCGCGGGGGGAGAAATGGACGTGCTGACGTTGAGGCCCTATGAGTTCCAGCATGCAGAGTGCTGTCGGCGCCGGCCTGTTGAATAGTTGTTGTAACAATAGTGGTAAGAGTAGTGGTGGTAGTACGAGTTGTAATACTCCCGTGTCGTGGTAGTCGCTGGTGCGTTCTCAGCAGGCTTTGGGCGTTTGTTTTGCGGGTGGGACGGCAGGATCCGCTGTGGTGCAGTCAAGGGCAGCTGCAGCGCCGGGATGACTCGCAATCTGATCAGTGGGCAATGGCGCTTCTGGGGATTGACCTTGGTGGGTAGCTAGTCGAGGCTTTGACGAGTGCGCTCGTTGGCGATGTGACGCGATACAGTGCGCTTACGGCCGGTGGATAAGGAGTAGAGGACTCGGACTCGGGGCCAGGTAATTATGCAAAAGGCGACCAAGGCAAGTATCAATCAATGCGAGTCCAAGTTATCCCAGGTGGAGGACTCATGTGTTGACGACTGGCGGCTCTGGGTGTGGGTATCTCTTGTATGTATCTGTATCTAAATATGCCGACCGAATGAAACTTTGAGGTGGAAAAAAAGATGCAAACGTGGGCCCAGATGAAATATCAAGTCAACATGGGAAAGGAAGACACGATAGGTGCACTCGGTGGGAGGAGGGAAAGGAAAGATGCAGATGAGCGAGGTCCAAATGCGATGTCAGCCCGACGACGTGTGGACGGTTGTACAGCACCGGGGGGTTTAAAGGTTTTGATTTGATTTGATTTGGTTTGGTTTGGTTTGCCTTGCTTTGCTTTGATTTGCTTTGCTTTGGCCTAAAGATTGATGGATGCACCACAACAGAGCTAATCAAATTGCTGACAGAGAAGTGTCTACTTGCGCTGTAGGACCAGCAGTTCCAGCAGCCCAGTATGGTACGGTACGTGGTCCCAAGGTGTATCAATAAAGGCGAGCGAGTGACCTGAGTCACGAATAACGTTAACCATCTCAACAACACTTGACTCACTCACTCACTCACTCACTGACTGCTGGCAGTCGAGCCTGCTTCTCACGCGACAGTCAATCAAAGTTCGAGGGATCACATCCAGACCCCGTCAACAAGTACCAATCTCTTGGAATTAACCATTTGGTTGAAGAGGGTAGGGCTTTGGCTTCTACTGTAGATGATTGCAGTGTATTTACGGATTCTGTACGAAAGACTGGCCCTCTCTTCTCTTCCTGCTTGCATCTTGCATCTGCTCCATACTGATGGTGCACGGAGATTGGGGGACTACGAGCAGTCTAATCCCTACTTGGCTTAAAGCTCTGGGTCTACTCCTGCGATAAAAGGCGATAAAGGGGGGGTTTCAACAGGTTAACATACTGTAGTCAAGCCCTCCAGGGCCTCAGCTAGAGCTATGCGACGCCTCCCGTAGGGCCTAGCGACACATGGACCACTGAGTCCAGGCCAAGGCCCTCAGCCCCTCTAGAAAAAAAATATTCCCCAAACCTCCCAAATCTCACCCAATCTCGTCCAATCTCACCCAATCTGCGGGAAGCAGCCACGTGAGATGCCGGCGTGACCCACATGTCACATATCACACCCCCGACATCGAGCGTGGCCAGTTTTCAGGTCAGTGCACACCCGCAACAAGAAGCACTATCTATGTATTCACTCATCGTCTGTGTTAGGTTGGACTAGTCTAGTATAGACTAGACTTGATCTTCAGACCCAAGCCATGTCTTTGCTAGCAGTGGGCTATGTAGTACTGTCCAAGGACTTTCTTTCCTCTCCATTGTTATCCTTCACATCTAAATTCTTCTTCGTCGAGGTCTGCCACGGTGATGTATTGCCCGCATGGCACGGAGCCGTCACCGTTGCTGTTGGTGTGTTTATTGAGTGGACTCCTTCGCTCCATCCTGATCTGAGCGATTCACTCCACGTTGGTGCTTGCCCACTCTGCGGCTGTGACGTCGTCGTACTTAGACGCCCTGTCAATGCCAATCACTGCAAAAAGAGAATCCACAGCCGTACAGAGGCAGCAGCGGCGCCTGCCCCCATGGCTCAATGTTGAAACGTCTAAGATGCCGTCACCAAGCTATAGACACAGCATTCATTCATCAAGATAGACCATCGTAGAACAGCGACAATGAATGCTCTCCGCACTGATCGGCTACTCAGCGTTGTTGAGTTGGATCCTAGCGGCATAATACACAATACATATGCATGGTCCATCGTGTGCCCGAATGATGCATTATAACCTCACGTTATCTTCCCGCCGAAGCCGAAGCCGCTGCCAACCCGTGGCCGGACCGAACCACCAAACACTGGTGTGGCACGGAGAACTGTGCCTTTGTCTCAATACTGCTATAAAAACCAGCAAATGCTACTTTGGTGAAATGAAACGAAACTTTAAATGCTCTTGGCCAGATCATTTTATATCACAGTGCAATCAACAGCGCTTTCACAACTATCAACGATGGGCTCTGAAGTACCAGGTCCTTTCCCAGTGGCAAACGCTACAGCATCGTATTGGCGGAGCGAGCCTCATACCTTGGATGAGCATCGAAGCACTCCAGAACTGCCTGATAGGTCCGACATTGTCGTTATTGGTGCCGGCTTTACCGGAGCAACGGCAGCGTATTACCTACTCGAGGACAACGGCAATCCCCGCCCCAGCGTCACTCTGCTGGAAGCAAGAGAAGCATGTTCGGGGGCCACTGGTAGGAATGGCGAGTAACAAAGCGCTTCGCAGCTCTTGTATCGCTGTTAATATCGTTCTTAGGCGGGCATCTGCGACCGGATATATTTCTACAGGTTCTAGATCATATCCAGCTTTATGGCACCGATGTCGCGAATGAGGTTGCTCAGTTTGAAGTCGCCAATGCTAAGGCGATAAAGGATCTTATACACCAGGAGCATATCGAATGCGAGTTGCGCGAGTGCACAACCGCTGACGTCTTTCTTGACGACCAAGTGGCCGATCGGCTGAAGCAACAATATGATGAGCTGCTGGCTGTTTGTCCGACCATGAAAGATGTCACCTATCACGGTTTGGCCGAGGCAAATGAGTTGACGTCTGTCAAAGGTGCAAAAGCTGCCTTCACGTTCTCTGGCGCAACTGTCTGGTGAGTTGAACGACTATCGTATGCGCATATGTGAATAACTCTATGCAGGCCGTACAAACTTGTGCTGGGTCTTCTCGAAAAGGCTTTACGAAATGGTCGTAAGTAACCTTTGGATTCATTTTTTATCCTTTCCAGCATGTTGCCAGACCCGGTATTGCCTATCAGAGGCAATCAATCCGTTCTTGCCTCCTCACAATAATCCGAATAACCCTTTGGCGCATCCTGAAGGATTAGACGCTGATCATGAATGCTGTAGTGAATTTGCAAACCCGTACACCCGTTGTGAATGTATCAGAAACAGCTGATCACGATGGATATTGGAGTGTCTCAACACCACGTGGCAACATTAAAGCGAGACAGGTTGTTTTTGCCACCAACGCCTACACCGGCGGCATCTTACCTCAATACAGCGACAGCATCATACCCGTCCGCGGTCTGATGGGTAGAATAGTACCGGCACAAGGAGCGAGTTCCATTAAGCCGCTGCTGCACTCCTCTGCTACGAGGTACTCAGGGTACGGATACGATTATCATGGCGTTCAGCCCGACGGAAGTCTGATTGTCGGCGGAGCATTTGTTCCCTATTCCAACCACCCCTTACGATATAATACTGCGGATGATTCGACTCTGTACGAGGGTAGCGAGGAGCTTTTCGACGGATGGCTGCAGAGAAGCTTCGACGGTTGGGAAACCACTGCAACCAGAGTGGAAGAGACCTGGACAGGTGTTATGGGGGTAGGTTGCCTATTTTCCACACGGGCGCTCCGAGGAAGACTGACCGAGGCCTTAGTATACCTCAGACCAACTCCCACATATCGGCAAAGTCCCGGGAAAGACCGGGCAGTTTGTCTGTGCTGGGTTCAATGGCCACGGGATGCCAAATGTGTTCCTTTGTGCTAAAAGTATCGTGCAGATGGTACAAACGGGGTGTTCGTTTTCTGAAACAGGAGTGCCGACTTGTTACGAAACGAGCTTTACGAGGTTGCAGAAGAAGCGGCAACAGTAATGGTTATGCTTTTCGTTCTCGGTATAACGAAGATGCGAGTCGAACTCAGCTCGGCCATTTGCCCTTGCGAGCATACAATTGTCAAATTACATCCGTATTCACCCTTGAATGGGTTTGTCAACCCCATTGCCCCCCCCCCCCCCCCCGCTCTCTCTGAACCGATTCCTGTCCGCATCGGGCTGAATGTTCCGAATGAGTCCCACGTGGTCGCAACCATAACCTTGAGGTTTTCCATTACCAGCACAGGAGTCGCTGTCGCTTAGACTAGTGCCGCGCGATTTCGATCTTTGAATACGAGAAATCTCGACACACGATAATCTCGTAACATGGCAACACGCCGTAACGAGACTGACTGAATGTGAGCGGTCCAATTGGGGCAGAGCCCAAAATAGAACACAAGTTACTGGGAGTATTGTCGAAAGTCGGAACGTGTAACTGAGTATCATAGGGGCTGTTACTTGTAGTTATTGCTAAAAGACGATGACGAATTGCGTTTAGACGGCGGCTGCCCTACCCACCTGCGTAGGTTGGCCCTTGCGACCCATGCTCAAGCGCGTGACCGAACCACCTCGTGTTGCTTGCAATGTCCAATGAAGTCCGGCGAGGTTCCTTGCCGCGCTCAGAATCCGTACTCACATACAATACATCAGGTTCTTACTCTTATTGAGACCTGTAAAATATACTCCCAGTGTCGGCGGCTCTCCCCAGAAGCGCGGGTCGCGCCAAACACGAGTTACCCACAAATCAAGAATGGACGCTGTCCTCTCCGCTCCGGACCACTTGGTACGAGCGGCGTTGATCGCGCTATGCAGCGACGAAACACAATTGAGCAAAGCAAAGGACTACCTTAGCAAGATGGGTCATAGTGCACCGGGCCTGTCGGCGTTCTCACCAACAACAACGGGCTGAAGCGCAAGGCGGAGGACGAAGTTAGAATATGCGTCCAGTGTCAGGAGCCGTACTACGAAGGAGATAACGACAAGCATCCGTGCAAATATCATGATGGTATGTGAAATCATGTGAAAGTCCCTGTCAAGAAATTTCTGACGCCCCGTAGGTGAACTCGTGCAAGATTATGACTCTTCAGTGTGGGACGACTGGGACGAATGCCATGGCGAACAGGACTGTGAAGAGAACCGAGAGGAGTGTCCTGATGGATTCTTGTGGTCGTGTTGTGACAAGAGCGGAACGCACCCGGGGTGCACGCGAGGGCCACACAGAGCAGTCGGCGCAACTCGGGGCAGATATCCAGCAAAAGGCCTTTACGAGACCTGCAATTCTTCAGATCAATGGTCAGACAGTGGCGATGACGACGAAGAAGACGAGGATGGTGAAGAATAAGAACAACTATCCGTTTCAGCTCGACGGAGCAAGATCGCTTTCTGCGCACCTGTTCCGCCATCACGTAATCGCGAAGAAATAGGGTACCTCGTGAGAATATGGAAAAGCTTTTTGTTAGTATTGGTTAGTCGTTTCTAAATCGCTGGGTTGAAGTTCCAAACGCGGCGGACAGGGGCGGCGGCGCCGCTTAAAACCACAATACGAGCTCAGCTGACAGGCTAAGCGCCCCAGCCAATCAGAGTGCCGCTGCGCACGTATAACCCACGGGCAACTTTTCTGTTTTCCCTCCATACACACGCGATATGGCCCAGGAGGCTTTTTGAGACACGAGAAGCTCACCAATACGCATGCACGAATGCAAACAAGCTGCAGGCCCGTTGAAGCGAATATGGATAGACCCACCTCGGGACTCCACGATCTATCATCTTCCGCGCCTTGGAAACGGGGGTCCTACACAACATTCGGAATAACGTCACTTTTATAACTTCGTGATTGACGAAATTCTCAGAATAGCATCTCGCTTTCAAGTATGACCGATATGACCTGCCGCCTCTTATCAGTCCGGACATCGCTCCTCACGTACGATGCCGCGATGGCTTTTAAAAGTCATGACAGGTCCGCCATCGGCGACAAGATGCCGGGCGCAATGTATCAACACAATGGCATTACAAGCGGAAGCTCATGATTTGAATATTCGTCATGATCACAATCGGAGAACTCTACCAGCCGACCTGGCCGGCGGCTAGCTGTCCGACCTTTATCAAGAAGTACGAAATCCGTACACATCTACCCGTTCGGTGAGTTATCTTAGCTGATTGAAGCTACTCACAACCTAAGAAGGAAGGCAACTCACGCATGACCTGTAGTGTATTCCTGCCACAATCATACGACATAAACTCAGGAGCAGTCTTGCCCGTACTATTCACGATACATGGCGGCGGGTTTTCAATGGGAGATGCAACAGACGATGATCGCTGGAATCGGCTAGTAGCCGACACTCAAGGAATTATGGTCATAGGGTTGAACCATTCCAAGGCCCCCTTTGCGCCGTTTCCTACAGCCATATATGATATTGAAGCAGTCATCCTCGCCGTGGTGAGTGATATGACATTGCCCATTGACCGCCAGCGAACTGCGATCGGCGGTTCCTTCACCGGCGCGACACTTGCCTTCGCCGTAGTGCAGCTCCAGAGCATCCGACAGCAGGTCAGGTTCCAAGGTGTGTTCAGCAGTTGTGGGCTGCTGGAACTCGGCATCTCCGCGTCTGTCAAAGCTGGGACACGTCCCTACAAGCCGACCCTCAGTACCGCCCGCGCCGCAATGACCGACAATCTGACACACGCGCTCCCATCGATCCAGTGGAGTTACACACCGACGGGCACAGATATGACGGATCCATTATATGCTCCGTTTTATGCGCCAGCCAGTGCTCTGCCGCCTCACGTCTATCTGGTAGCGGCTGAGCTTGATGTCCTGTCGCACGACGCCTGGCGCATGGCATGCAGGTTAGCCGGCCGACGAGTGCCTGGCATGGAGGAGTGCGTCGGTAGGCCTACCGTAGGGGCCAAGTGTAAGCTGGAATTGGCTGACGACAAGTTCTCTTTCGAGAACAGCACGACACGACCGAACGGCACAGAGAGCAGCATCAAGTGGCTGCTCGTGCCAGACACGTTACACGGGTTCGACCTCAGGACGCCGGATGCTCTAATAGGCGACGAGGCGACCAGTGAAGACGCCAACGACAAGGCTAGGCAGGTGGTAGCTTCACTCGGGCAATGGCTGAGAGAAACGGTTTGGGCTTAATGGACGGAGCTGAAGTAAGCCGGAAGAAGGGTCGCGCCCACGCAATGCGCCACATTACTATGTTGTGCCGAGGTGGTGGCATGTCGAATGGAGTTGTGGCGTTTTCAGGGTACATTCAGAGCATCAGGAGGACATCTTACCCTCTTAACCTGCAGGTTCAGAGTTTCAAAGAGGCGGCAAAGCCGCCGTCGACGCAGACCGGACGCAGTAGAACAGTATGCCTCGCGCTGGCCGCACCGCACCGTCTCGATGCCGATTGGGGGTGTTAGGATTTCATGTGAAACAAAGGATTTTGCGAGTAGCTCGATGTACATAGCTGTGTGGATGGTTTTCGGTGGTGAATTGGTTCTCATCTGTCAAGCCCACGTGGTATGTAGCTTGGCAGTGTATAATAGCAACGTAAATGGATCTAGACTCGGCTTGTGGCAGAGATGTCGCCATCAGTCATAAGACGGGGTCCTGTTCGAGTCTTCATTATTTGGGAACCTGTTATCTGAGCTGCATCCTACAGCCCCGCACTGCGACCATACAGCTCAGGAACCTTGACCATTGGTGGGCACCACTGTGCTAGCTGAACGTGATAACGGCTGGTATACCAGGATTGATCGCCGGCTGAATTACTGAATGCAATGTAGTGGATGCTGCAGTCCCCGGGGCTAATAGGTGTAACATTCACGAACTATGAAATCACCAAGTTTTGTGACCAAGGCAAGCGACTTGCGATTTCGAGTTACGACGTCACCCAAATTGAATGCGCATACGACTTGAAGCCAGATTCGAAACCAAACTTCATTCTAGGTGACAGTTAGCCATCAGATCATATAATGTATGAGATCATCAAATGTAATCATGTTGAATATGGATAGGCCCCATTTTCACTCAGTACTCGTCTCGGTTAGACTAACCTTAGTTGCATTGGTGCTAGCTTCCGCAATATTGGCGGTCTTCATGGCCAAGAACATCACATATCCGTGCAGACAAACTGGTCAAAAGGAACGCCGCGAATGTACAACGCGGATCTATACCTAAACTACACCATTTGCGGGAAACAACCAGTTCCCAACTATCTGTAAATAGCGCTCTTAGCGTGGGTGAAACACATGGTGCCTGGGATAGTCTATGTATGGTTGATTACCACCATACCAATGATATTGGACCTATGGCGGCCTTTGATCGTGAAGGCAAAATGCTGCAACGCGTCGATCTTTTGAAAGACCTTTTGAGTCGTGATGCTTTCTATTTGGCGGAACAAAGTTTCGCTTACTCTGAGGATGCCACGCAGTTAAGTGATCAGCAGTCACGGCCGTGCAGCTAAGGCATTCGGTGACAGAATTCAGCACCCACTGTGAACTGTAACAACCACTGGGCTACCTCTCCTATCTAGCGCTTAGTACTCTTGGTCTACGTCCCGAAAAAAAAAAAAACGTATTATCTTGGATGCATAGCTGCAGGTGGTTGAATGAAACACACATGGACAGGCTGGTATGTAGTCCTGCATGCATGCATGCCACAAGATCCTGCAAGGAAAGTTTACGCATTCCATAACGGATGGGAATTGATATCAGACCAAGGTTACTTAGCAATTACTGTCGAAACATCAGATGACCTGCAACAAAGTGCAATCGTGAAAGTTTGACGATGCACCACATGAAAACACTTGATCTTTTGCACAAATGACGTCGACGGAGTTGGACATGACGGAGGGGAAGAATGCAAGAATTCAAGATCGATGTCAAGAAGAACTGGATAAGCTGTTTGCGTAAAAGCCTACGCTTGGCGGTCGCAGTGCGGGTACGCAGGATTCAGACGGAGGTAGCAGGGGCAGAATCCTTCAGGATGGATCATCGTCAATTCACAACTTCGCTGATACCAGCCCGAAAGAGCTGGAGGGCGCCATCAAATATGCACCGTCGCAGTCATGGTGACCGAGCCGGTCAATTAAATGCAATTCTGGGCAAGCTCATTGGATGTGCAGAGTCGAGGAGAGAAGACGTGGTATCGCGGAAGAGAACTACAGTACTGAAGATATATCGACGAGATAAGCACTGGTTGTCGTAGTAAACAAAGTTGGGGTATTCCGCGTTTTGTTGTGGGGAGCGTACATTACTTACTGCTGCCGATCTGCTGGAATGGTCAAGTTAAGCAAGTTAGGTAAGTGGTAGGAAACATTTTGGTGGAATGTTTTGGTCTGGGGGGTTCTGGCTACGGGATCCGCACGTAGTTTAGTAGTCACGATTAGTTAGGCCATGGAGAGAGTCCCCATCGCACTGCCGCATCCGCTAGCCCCGGCTTGGTTTAGAGCATTCTATGTTTAGGACCCCAACTCAACGGCCCTTTCGGGAGCCGAGCTGGCTGTACTCCGTAATGGCCTCAGCCTCGATTTTCTTTTTTGGGGGAAGCTCAGCTATGTACGGCAGGCAAAGTTCTGAAATCAATCCAAAGGGCGAAGGCTTCAGTCTTCATGATCCACTGCGAGAACCTCCACCCAACACCGCAACCTGCTTCGGGTTGGCGCCATCTTTCCTGTCGTATGGGCGTTGTTGAGCATGTCCGTACTCATGCCTTTCAGCTACAAGTGTACTGTGACGGTGTACTGTGACCGTGTGCTGTTGGGTGTGCGACGGGGCAGCCGAGTATGATAATTGGGTCGGAACCTCTCGGAGTGCTTACTACACACCACCAGTCTGCGTCCTCATGCAGACCTCTGAGGTGCCTGATGAGTACTATGGAACCCTCCCAAGCCTGGAGCCCCGCCTCTTCCCGTCGTACTAAAAACCACTCGCCTGCTGAGTAGTTCTCACTTGGTGTTGGACGGGGTACCCCCAGGGACGAATCCGCATTCCGTCAGCCTGCAGAGCCGTGCCACACCCAATAAGACCCTGAGCTAACATCGAGTTGGTGTGATGTCAATGGGGATAGTAGGCTGATCCTGCAGACATACATGAGCATCACGCATCAATCTTAGCGCAGGTCAAATGTCAGCTCAGCCTAAAGTTATGATCTTGTCCGCTTACATCTTCGACCATGTTCGGTTCTTGTACTCTTCTTCCAAAATTTCCTGCTTATCAACTAGAACCACGCTTTAAAGCATCACCAATTGTTATACTCTGATGGTTCACGAAAACATCTCGTACTAGAGCCTAGTACACATACTTCACATCAGGATTAAGGACCATTCAAGGTTGAGGTAAGTTGCGACAGCCTCGCGCTCGTGCTGGCACCCGCCCGAAAGTCTGCTGGCCTATCTCTCCCGGGAAGTGCTCTAACACCACGTCAGTACAATGTCGTCGACTTTTCTATCCTTACCACCTATCGACACCACCTTGAGGCTGTTTGACCAAGATGCTGCTCTTCAAACTTCGAGGAGGATACCGCTGCCGCCCATTGATACTGATATGCGGCCCCCAAGCCAAGACATACCAGACGAAGTTATAGCTTCGGCAGCCGAGGCAGTCGCCGAGGCGCTCGGCGTCTCCCTCAACGATATTCCCGAGGCTTATGTTGCGGCGCTCAGACCTGTGGACGGGGTACGGCGGTCGAGTTCCGTCTATCTCCCCCCGACCGAGCGAACATGGACGTCGCCTCTCGCACAAGGATCCGTGGAGAAACGGTTGAGCATGGCAGTGGCGGAAACACTTGGTCTCGACAGTAATCAGGTGCATCGGGACGATTCTTTTGTTGATCTTGGAGGGGATAAACGTGCTGCGATAGCGCTCAGAGCGAAGTGCATGAAAGCGGGGCTATCAGTCCAGACCAGAGATATCCTCAACTCAAAGACTATCGCCGAGCTGGAGACACATGTAACTCCGTTCAGTCCTTCACCGCTTACCGGGAGGACGACGGACTTGCTGCCAGCCAGTCTTGTGAGCCCGCTGCGACTCAGTTCACCCCTGGCTCCGGTCGCCGCTTCGAGACAAGCCCTGGTTCAACCGCGCCGCTCTATATCGAGCCCCGAAGCTCCGGCACCAATCGTGCCGAAAGTACACCTGAAGCCAAAGGCATCCAGGAGGTATCACAACCAAGTCGAGCAAGTCCTCTCACTCAATGGAGATGTCGCGAAGGCTTCCGTGCTCAAACCGAAGGCGGGACTTTTTGAGGGTCAAACCACAGCCTTCTTGACCCTATCAAGTTGCGTGATCGAGAGACCTCACAACGACGAAATCAAGCTCCTCAACGCCTACTATACCATTCCGCTGCCTTCAATCAGAGAGGCGGTTGAGGCCAAGGTACCGCCGACGGTCGTTCCAAAAGTATGGGTAGTGCTTGAACAGATGCCAATGGACGACAACGGAAGAATCCACCGGCGCAAACTCCAGACCTGGATTCAGAACGCAAATGAAGATCTTTACCAAAAGATCATGTCTATCGATTCACGCGATTCTATCGCCAACCCAACTAGTGACAACGAGAAACGATTACAGAAGGCCGTTGGAAAGGTGCTGAATATGGAATCAAACAGCGTCAACATGAATCAGTCGTTCCAAAGTCTGGGAGGCGACGACACGTCAGCGATGCAGGTGGTGGTCCGATGCAAGTCACAAGGGCTGTCGTTTAAAGTTGAAGACGTCCTCCAGGCTATGTCACTCAGCCACCTTGCTACCATGGCCACACCGAGTGAAGTCCTCGCCGGAAGGGCGAATGAAGAGAATTCCGAAGGATTCGATCTCACTCCCATGCAGCGACTGTACTTCCATACGCCCATCGGCCAAAGAGCGCCCCAAAAAGTGGATAGGAAAGGGCGGCATCGCTTTAATCAAAGCATTTTGCTCCGATTCAAGAAGTCTGTGGCCGTTGAGGATGTACGTGCAGCTATCGAAGCTGTTGTAGGACACCACTCCATGCTTCGAACACGCTTTCGCATAAAGCAAGGATCGTGGTCTCAGTATACCCTTGCAGAGATTCCCGCATCGTATCACTTTGGACATCACACTGTGGGGACCAATACCGAAGTTGGCACGGTTATCGAGCAGGCACAAGCTAGCATTGATATAGAAAACGGACCAGCATTTGCCGCGCATCACTTCCATACTCATGACGGCCATCAAATGCTATATCTTGTTGCTCATCATCTCGTTACAGATTTAAAGTCTTGGCGAATCATCGTCGACGATCTGGAGGAACTTCTCATGAATGGTATCTTGGTTTCAGGGCGCTGTATCTCATTTCCGGAGTGGAATAATCACCAACGGCAACGACTGGAAAGTTTAGAGTCGGCGACGAAGCTGCCATTCAAAGTCAGTTCTGCAGATATGGATTACTGGGGAGTCAACACTGCTTCAAACAAGTATGGAAATACCACGAGTCTTGGCTTCACCTTAGCACCCGACGTCACTGCAGCACTGGAAGTCAGCAATCGCGCACTTCGAACCGACTCATCTGACGTGTTCATGGCCGCGTTGCTTCTTTCATTCTCGCAGACATTCCGAGACCGCCAGAGCCCTACGATTTGGAATCAAGAGCATGATCGAGCCGTCCTAGATACAGAGATCGACCTGTCAGAAACTGTGGGATGGTTCACATCCTTGTGTCCATTAGCCTTGACCATCATGCCTTCTGATGATGTGTTAAACCTTCTCTGCCGGGTGAAAGATGCGAGACGTTCCGTGGTAGAACGAGGCGTACCATTCTTCGCATCGAACATGCTGAATGCAGAAACTGCAGAGTCCTTTGCATCATCGTTGTGTCCGATGGAGATCATGTTCACGTTTGCTGGTTCCATGCAGAGTCTAGAGAACCAAGAAAACCTGTTGGAACAGCTGCCTGTGCCTGGAAGATCGTTGACTTCTAGTACGTCAGATATTGGAGCGGACGTTGGCAGAATCTCTCTGTTTGAAGTCTCTGCTGCTATAGATCAGGGTCATGCTAAATTCAAGTTTCTCTACAACCGGGACTCTCGGCATCAAGATCTCATCCAGACATGGGTGCGCAATTATGAGACGCTACTACGGGACGTCATTCATCGTCTACAATACCAGAGTCCCGAACTTTCAATGGCTGATATCCCCTTGGTGGACATGACATACGATGGTTTGGCGAAGCTCAACCGAGAAGTCCTACCTAACCTCGGCATCGAGATATCCAACATCGAAAATGTCTACCCTGTTACAGCAAATCAGCAGAGTCTTTTGATAAACGAGCCTCTCAATCCTGGAAGCTCGCGCTCTCAGACTGTATATGAGCTCAACACCTTCGGAAGGTTAGTTGACATCGGTCGTCTTTGCGCAGCGTGGCAGCAGGTCGTCCAAAAGCATCCTGCTTTGCGGACCGTGTTCTTGGAGAGCGTTTCTCGATTGGGGCTCTTCGATCAGATAGTCCTCCGAAGACATTCTCCCAACATGCTTTTCATTGAGAATGACCACCCCGATACCGCGCTATACTCTATGGAGAAGCTTACACCAATCAACCTCATGAAGGGGACCCCTTGGCATAGGCTAGTGGTTTGTCAGGCTCCAGGAAAGACGCTTCTGTCTCTTGAAGTCAGCCAAGCGTTATGTGATGTAAGTTGACTTTTGTTCGTTGGTTGTCTCTTACTAAGTGCAATACAGGCTGCAAGCATCACCATTCTGTTTAATGAGCTTGAGGAGGTATATTTCAACCATGCATTGCCTAGTACGGCAGATGTCCACTACTCAGACTACCTGCGCTGCTTGAAGACAACACCAGTCAGCACTGAATTTTGGCGTGAATTGCTCCAGGGTGTTCAACCATGTCACTTCCCTAGCTTGGTGTCCAGTTCCTTGGACACAAGAGACTACGAGCATACCTTTGTCGATCTGACTGTCTCTTATGAGCAGCTCGAACTCTTTGCCCAGAAATACAAGTTGGACGTGTCTGCCGTTCTGCGAGTAGCCTGGGCTCTAGTTTTGCGAGCATATGTAGGCTCCGAGTCTGCATGTTTTGGTTACCAAACTTCAGGGCGTGATATTCCGGTGGATGGACTTGAAGATGCCGTTGGTTGTTTTTCCACCGAGATGATATGCCGACTTGACGTCCACTCCTCGCAATTCCTTGCGCAACTACTTCTAGACTCGGAAGAAATTCACCAGGAAGCCCTCCATCACCAACACGTGTCTGTCGATAGCATCCACCATGCGCTACAAACGAAGGGCCACCGTCTGTTCAATACCTGCCTGTCATTCGGCTATGAAAGTATCTCTCGAGACCCCCCTGCTGGTGCCAAATTTCGCCACCTGAGAAACATGCAAGCTTCTGAACATGACATTAATGTTGACGTCGCTTTCAAGAACGGCAGTGTGGTGATTGATCTGGGCCACCGAATCCTTACATCTGATCAGGCCACGCATGTCGGACAAGCATTTGGTAGAGCAATATCAGCGCTCATGGAGGTTACTGGAGGACAAGTCAAAGAAATCGACCTCTTCAGCGACCACGATCACCAGCAAATCCTGGCGTGGAACAGTCAACCGAAGATTGTCACGCCAAAGGAGCATGTACACGAGCTGGTTGCTAAACATGCCATTGAACATCCTGACATTCAGGCCGTCTGTGCCTGGGACGGTAACTTCAGTTATGCGGAACTTGACAAAGTTTCTATGATCTTGGCTGGCGCCTTAAGCCAAGCTGGGGTCAAGCATCAAACGCCAGTTCCGATCATTATGGAAAAAACCCGTTGGGCCGTGCCGGCAATGCTGGCAGTCCTAAACATCGGTGCTTGTATCGTACCAGTTGATGCTTCATTGCCCTCCATATTTACGTGGGTCATCAAGAGTGTCGGAGCAAAGGTTGCAATAGCATCTGAAAGCGTAAGGCAACATCTCAAGGATGTGAGTTGCGATATCATCTTCGTCGACGATGAGACTATCGAATCGCTTCCTGACGAGCCAGCACTGGTCTCCTCGACCAAGACGGACAACGATGACGTCGCTTGTATCCTGTTCAATTCGGATGTTGTTAAGACTCGCAGGGGCATTACATACAGTCATTGTGCTTTGGCAACTGCCTGCTTGGGCCAAGGGCCGGCTCTGAGAATCAACCCATCCAGTCGAGTAATGCATTACTCGTCATACAGTAGCGATATTGCTTTGGCAGAAATCTTCACCACCCTGATCAATGGAGCATGCATCTGCATTGGCCAGTCTTCAGAAACGGTCAGCTTCAGTGCTACGGCCCAAAAGATGAATGTTAACTGGACATATCTTACACCAACTTTATCTCGCAGGCTCTCGCCAGAGAGCATGCCTGACATGGCCATTGTGTGCTTCCGAACCCATCAGCTTGATGAAGATGTTTATGCCCAGTGGGCTGGGAAGGCCCGAGTAATCCTTGCATATGGCTCTGCCGAGGCCTGTGTATTGGGTTTATCAGCTTCTGAAGTCAAGGATGCCTACGCGGTTAGAGGCATCGGTAGTCCTTATTGCGGAAATTTCTGGGTTGTGAATCCCTCCGACAGCAACAAACTAATGCCTATTGGCGCTGTTGGTGAACTAGTCATCTCTTCCCCGACGATTGCAATCGGCCACAACTTAGACAATGGTCCTATCAGGCTGACCGCCAAGAGCAAGGGTGCTGCAGTTGGCGGTGCTGCACGGCTGCTTAAGACGGGCCATTATGTGCGATATGTTGAGCATGGCCAGCTGGAACTGGTTTCGACGCAATCTGAGAAGGTCAAAATTGGTGGTGACATTGTTCAGACCAATGAAATTGAACGCAAATTGCGGAGGTGCCTTGGTCGCAACATTGATGTTGCTGTTACGAAGATTGCCTTCAACTACACTGACAGTGACTCGGCTCCGATCATAGCAGCATTCATCGAGCTCGACGACGAATTGTTCCGCGGAGAAGACTTGTCAAGATTGAGCCCACAGACAAAGGAAAGGCTCTACCTCGCCAAGCAAATGGCAGGCTTGTCGTTGCGGAGCGCGCTCCCCGACACATTTGTTCCTGTACGCCAGCTTCCATTGACGCCTTCGTTTGAAGTGAGCCACCGCGACCTCCAGAAGATGATCAGGGGTCTTTCAAAAACACAGCTTCTGGGATTAGCTCAAGTACCCAACCCTCAAGAGGTACAAGCCGCTGGGATTGAGCCTCTTCCATTAACACAGACCGAAGAGCGCATGCGGACCCTCTGGCAAGATGTCCTCGGACTTTATTCTTCCTCGATCAGAGCCAACGACGGATTCATGAGCCTAGGGGGCGATATCAATTTGGCTCATGACCTGGTTGTTGCCTGCCGAGAGCAAAAGGTTTCAATCTCAATCTTAGATGTCGTCCGAGATATGTCCCTTGCCGAACTGTGTCGGGGCATCACGATGCCGGATACTCCAGTCTACCACGCCCAGCAGAGCAGATACATGCAACCTAGTCCATCGAACGCTTTTGTTGACGACGCTATCGTGCCACAGATTGGCGACCGTGACAGCATCGAGGATATCGCTGAAGCTTCTGCAACCCAGACCATGTTCCTGGAGGGCATGCTCAAAAACCCTCCTGGCAATGTCAATTACTTCCTCATCAATGTGAGCGGACCTCTCGACTGGGGTAAGCTCGAGAATGCTTGCTATCTTCTCACAATGGCGCACCCCATTTTGAGAACTGCATTCGTTTCGCACAACCGACAGCTATTTCAAACAGTGATTAGGACTTACCATCCTGAGTTTCAGCGTTACCAATCAAATAGCTGGCGTCTTGGCGGCCTGGCCACGAAGGTTGTGAAGAGAGACCAAATGATGCCCGTCGACTTTCGGCAACCGGCAACCAAGTTTTGGTACCTAGATGCGTATAAACAATCAGTTCTCATCATGAGGCTTTCCCGCGCACAATACAATGACCTCACTTTACCCATACTCATCTCAGATCTATCCCGGTTCTACGAGCAGGCCGATCCACCCACCCCAAGACCGGGATTCTGCGACGTCGTTCGGGCCACCCAGGGCTATTCTCAGATCGATGCCATCGACTACTGGAAAACATTACTCGATGGTTGTTCCATGACCGAAGTAGTGGCCAAGAACGGTCCCGAAATACCAACGTCTAAGCTCGACTCCAAGACTGTGTACCAGGTGATCCCTACCGGATCTTTGAACAATTTGGGCATACCCTTCGAGACCATCCTGAAGGGCGCCTGGTCTATCGTCCTCTCTAACCTTTCTGATTCAGAAGACGTAGTGTTCGGCGAGTCAAGGACAGGGTCTTTCCCAGGCTTGACTGACGCTGTCGGTCCTAATGGTGAGCTCTCGGATGGCATTCGTTCTTGCATGTTGAGACTAACATTTTAACAGGTAACATCATCCCAGTGCGCACACAGATTCCTATGGTTCCAACATCGCCGCTTGAATTTCTTAGAAGTGTACAGAATCAGCACATCGCGAGCACGAGCATCGATCATGAGAATATGCAGTGGTCTGATATTGTGAAGAAATGCACGAAATGGCCAGCGTGGAAGAGGTTCTCCACAGTGGTCCAACATCAGAATCAGGGCGAGCGTGACGCAATGATAAATTTTACCATTGGTAATGCGGCCTGCAAGTTGAACTGCATCGAGTCCAACCACCAAAACACGGATGTTTTTGTCAGGTCCATGACTTCGGGCTCTTCGCACGTCAACATCTCACTCACCTTTTCTGAGAAGAAGATACATCCTTTCTTCGCGCAGGAAGTTCTTTCGATGCTTTGTTCAACTATTTCGCTACTCACTTCGGCCTTCATCATGGAGCCCATCTCTCTCAAAGGTCTTCACGACAACTCGACCACTCCACGGATCCCACTACCCGCAGTGAAGCGCGAGGTCCAGTTTGCAACGCCAGTGGTATCCGTTTCACCAGATAATGCAAGCGCCATCCATGCCGTCATTTCAGCTGGCTGGGATGGTATACTTGGTGCACTAGGGATGGCCGAAGATATGCGCTCCATTCCCTTCTATGAGTTCACATCATCATTGGTACCTGCAGCAGAACTTGCTCGTTACTACACTGATAGCATGCCCCGACTAAATCTTCCTGGTCTGGTGCATGCGACATTCTCTCTCGAGGACATACTTGAGAATCCCACCATGATGAAACAATACGAGATGATTATTTCAAGGCAACAGGGTCCTCAACTGAGGAGAAGTCAAAGCTTTGTACACACTGTGAAGCGGCGTCTCACAGTGACAGGAGGACGTATCTCGCCCAGCCCCACCCAATCACCGAGGAGGATCAGGGGAAGTAGCGAGGGTAGCTCCATGGAAACAATGACCAATGGTAGCAGCCAGAGCGACGAAGAGCATTATGACGAAGTTCCACCTTTGATGTCGACGCCCCAACGGAAGGCAACTGGGGCGAAGGCTTTTGAGATGAAGAAAAAGAGGTCCTCCATGTTACTTGGAAAGATGAAATTGAGCTCGGCTGCAGCTTAAGGGTAAACCGCAGGAATGGCTCCACAAGTCGCTTACTTGATTTTTTTAATGATTCTGTTTATATAAAATGCCGAGCTATTGACGATCTCATGGCTATATTGTATTATAGAAGATACCCCAGATATGTAATCGTATGTTGCTCAAGTTACTCCTTTAAGCTTTCCCCGTGCAATCTCTGGTTTCGGGACCAAGTTTGGAAAGAATACTCGCATTTTCCACGCGGCTAGCGACCCCGATTGCCGGCTGCTGTCTTGTCGTATCGTTCGAGTCGTTCTTGGCTGACGATTGTTACATCTAACCATATCTACACGTTCTTGTGCCCTCGACACGCGGCCAGGAACCTCCCACCGACTACTGAGGGTGTTCGTGAGTCATGAGAGACCAGGATACGGCCCACTAGCTATTGATGTATGGTCCAAGATCCGGGCTATCTCCGCATTCCCCCACATTCTGCTCCCCTCTCCCCTCTCGCTTCCCTCTTCCCCGGACGCGAACGATTGTCGCCTTCCCCACTACACGGGGATGGCTCTAGGGCAGACGAATGACGACGGTAAACATGGTCCAGATACATATACGGCATTATTTATTTCGCACAACCCAATTCGAATCATTTGCTTTCTGACCTCAACGGATTTGATTAGATATCAAGAATTCTTCAAGTTTGAGTGACACGACCTAGAGGACTCCTCGTTTAACTTTTACCCTATCGACACGGAAAATGAGCTACCAAGATGGAGGGGACCATGACAAGGCGACGGTACATGGCGTCGAGCACAAGAACGGCGGAGGTAATGATATCACCTCGAATTTGCAGAGGCAGTTTGCCAGCTCAACACCGGAGTATCATCAACATATGACCAAGAGGCTTCTAAGAAAGGTTGACCTCCATCTTTTACCGTTACTGATCCTGATGTAAGTCGCTCTGCCATCTACGACACGAAACCACAGTAACACTTCATCACTTAATACACAATGCTAACTTATGTGGCCCTAGGTATCTACTCAACTTTCTGGATCGAAAGTAAGCTCACCCAAAGATGAAGACAGCCTAACCAGTCAACGCTAAAATATCTTCAGTAATTTATCGCAGGCGAGACTTGGCACATTAGAAGCCGACCTTGGTATGTAGTTGTTCATTGGACACGTTACTATTGATGTATTTAACGATTCAAAAGGCATGACTGGAACCGATTTCAATCTGGCAACTAGTATTCTTTTTGTTGGTTATCTACTTATGCAGCTGCCGTCGAACCTTATCATCACCCGAGTTCGGCCTTCTTGGTACCTAGGAATTGCAATGACAATATGGTGAGCTGAAACAAGTGGACGCACACATGGCGATAACTTACAGCGATAGGGGAACCATATCAGCATCGCAGGCTGCGGCCCATTCCTTTGGAGGCCTCATTGCTTGCCGTTTCTTCCTGGGCTTCGCTGAAGCACCTTTTTTCCCCGGGGCCATCTTTCTCATGAGTTCTTGGTACACCCGAAAAGAGTTGACCCATCGGATAGCATGGTTCTACGCAGGATCTTCACTCGCGAATGCTTTTGGTGGTCTCCTTGGAGCTGCGGTACTTGGAAACCTGAGCGGCGCTCACGGAATCTCTGGATGGTGAGGACGAGCAGATGTTTGCGACGAACCCGACTAACATCTTACCAGGCGTTGGCTATTTATCATAGAAGGTGTCATTACGATTGGTGTAGCAATATGTGCAGCTTTTGTCCTGCCTGACTACCCCGCAACAACCAAGTGGTTGTCTGAGGAGGAAAAAGCGTATGCCCAGTGGAGGCTAATCGAAGATATTGGAGAAGCAGATAATGGTGGCGCATCATCCATCAGAGATGGAGTCAAGCTGGCTCTGAAGGACCCTAGATTGTATCTGTTTACCCTCCTCCAGCATACAAGTCTGCTTTCGCAATCGTTCCAGTACTTCTTTCCCACCATTGTCAAAACTTTGGGTTATGGAAATATCGAAACACTTCTCATCACCGCCCCCGTCTGGATTGGGACATTCCTGGTGTCGCTCGTGGTCACTCATACCTCGGGCAAGTACGAAGACAGAAGTATACACATCATCTGTCTAATGCTTATTTCCGTAATTGGCAATATAATTGTTGTCTCGTCACTCAATACCGGTAAGTAATTCAGAAGCAATTAGATACTCCGCCACTAACAATACTGTGAACAGGCGTCCGGTTCTTCGCGATGTTCTTAATGCCAATGGGTGCAGTTTCGGCCTATCAGATCATTATAGCGTGGGTATCGAACAGCTTTCCGCGCCCCCTCGTGAAGAGATCAGCTTGCATTTCAATCGCCAATATGATTGGAAACTGTTCAAACATCTATGGATCATACAGTAAGCCCCAACCCCAAAGATTGGAGTTAGGTCTTTACCGAACAACTAAAATAAGCTTGGTTCAGCTCACTAATGCGTTGTCCAGTGTATCCATCATCTGACGGGCCAAGATATCTGCCTGGTGGTACTGCAACAGCCGCAGTCGCCTTATTTGTGAGCCTGAACTATTATCAGAAATGAGCAGATTATTGATTAAATATTAAAGGTCGCTTTACTAGCTATGATTGTGCGCTTAGTATTACAAAGAGAGAATAAGAAACTCGCAGCCCGCGAAAGTCTTGACACCGAAGACAGAGAAGGAGGCGATGGTGGGATTGCGCTAGGGGATCAGGCTGCTGGGTTTCGATACGTTCTTTGAGCGTTCCAAGTGTACCAGGGAGAACGATAATAGTGTTCGTGAAGCCAAATTGCCTTCGCAGCGAAAGGCTTTTCGATGTTCTGACTTTATTCTCTGCGTCTTGTATCACACCAGCAAACACAATGTAAAGTTTTCTCGCAACCACGGTCAGCCAGAATTATTTTCTAGTCTAGACCAGTCTGAGAGCTTAACTGTCCTGCAGCTGTAACAAAATTCATATGCCGGTTCTCTGACATCTGTAGAAACAGGCAATACGATATGGATCTTACAATTGTTTTAACAAGATTAAGCGATATAAGATCCATATCGTATTGCTGCAAAGGACGAAGCCCTAGGCTCGAGGCGCAGCCACCGCAAGACCACATCTTTCTACGTCAATGATTAAGCATCCGACGGCCCGATAACGGGGACATTCTACGATTGTGTACTTGGAAGCAGGCTGACAAATTCAAAGATCTCGAGAGCCATCTCAGTGGTTCGTTGGGGACTCCAAGTTGCGCAACCAACGGTGTAGATGATGATAGCGCCACTTCTATCACGTGCTAGCGATGGTGAAATAGTGCTCCTGTATTGCGACTTCGCACAGCAGCGATTCCCCCCACCATAAGATGTGAACTAGCTCGGCGACAAGTTTAATCAATTAATTCAGAGTTTCAAATTACTTGTAGTTCATAAAATGGGCCACAAGTATAATGTCAGATCTGTTGCAATTGTGGGTGGGGGTGCGGCGGGTAAGTTCTTGGTTCGACTATACTGTTGTTATCTCTAGCTGGGAACTCACGAACCGCTACAGGTGCGGTGACGGCGGCTGCTTTCAAATCCGAAAACTACTTCGACAAGATTTCTGTCTTTGAACGAAGAGAGAAACCCGGTGGAACTTGGTAGCTCATTCACTTCCGTGTTTTTGTTGGCGGCAAATCTAATACCAGCAGGATCTACGATGCAGACCCTCAACCTCCGCTGGAGGTCCATCCAGGCGCACTTCCGACTGAGATCGATCCGCAATTATCACTGCCAGGACAGCTTCCGGCAGTTTTACCCCCTTCTCGTCAGGAACGCTACTCCAAGACACCAGTATATGACTCCCTCACGTAAGTCAACCATTTGTAGGGTAAACGACTGCGCTTACAATCCATAGAACAAACGTGCCTGACATTGCCATGAGCTTTTCAGACGAGAGATTCGCTTATGGGCCGTTCGCACCGCATTACGTCCCGCGCCAGTATGTTGAACGCTACTTCGCCACACACGATGCAGACAAATTTCTCGTTCTCAACACAACCGTGGAAGACGTTACTAGACTACCGTCCACATCAGATGAAGAGAGCGACCAATGGAAACTGACGCTTCGGAAATACGACCCTGCACGCCACGTGGACATCTGGTGGGAGGAGACTTTTGATGCTGTAATTCTAGCTAACGGGCATTACTCTGTACCTTATGTAGGCTGCACCGCCAAAGGTTATAACCCCCCACAGCGCTCAAGAACTAATCCATGCTTCAGGTACCACATGTAAAAGGGCTTGATGCTTATATCGAGAAGTTTCCCGGCCGCATAGTCCATTCGAAGTACTACCGGTCCCCTCTGGTCTACTCTGGCCGGAAGGTCTTGGTTATCGGCAATTCAGCTTCGGGCCATGATGTATCCCTCGAACTTATATCGGCCGCAGAACTCCCGGTCTATCAGTCACGACGTTCGAAGTCTCGATGGGACGGGAAGGACCCACCGCCGGGAATTGCCTGGAAGCCTATAATATCAGAGTATCGGCTTGACGGGCGTATCGTGTTTGAAGACGGTACACACTTGGACGATATCGACACGGTCATATATGCCACTGGTTACAGACCTTCGTTTCCGTTCTGGAACAGCAAGGCCAACGGACGGCCGTTGTGGGATTATAAAACAGAGAAACTGATTAACGGATACTGGCATACGTTCTTTCAAGATTTCAAGACGCTAGCAATAGTCGGTATACCGCGGGCTCTGAGCTTCAGAAGCTGGGAATACCAAGGGATTGCACTCGCACGACTTTTCTCCAATAGACAATCTGTCGACCTACCTGGAATAGAAGAACAAAAGAGATGGGAGCGAGAAAGAGAAGAGGAGGTAAAGAGGGAGGGGAGAAAATTCCATGGCATCAATTGGGAAACAGGTGAAACACATGAATGGCTTGGCGGGCTGTTCCATATCGCAGGTCTTGGTACGCTGAAAGGCGAAGGAAGGATTCCGCCAGTACTAAGCAAGGATCTAGTATGGGCCCTTGAGCATCTCAGGAAGTATCCTGAGCCTGAAAACAAGGATAAAGGTGGTGACGATAAGCACGGGGACGAAACGACTTCTGCAGACGGACAAACCGAAGATCATGGCGACTGGGTCCTCGTCCCCGAGCGACGTAAGGACCTACTCGCATTCATATAGCTACATCGTGAAGACCCAGTGTTTTCTTATTTACAAATATAGAAGCAGATTTGAATGGAGGCGCATATGTTTGCACGCTTGTGGGTGCGAGGGGATTCAAGCATATCTTTCCCTATATTTATTGCCGCCCATACTTTTTGAAGCGTTAATTTATGCACCAGCAAGAAGTATTCGGCTGTGAGACCGTAGAACTGAGTTGCTGGCGAAGCTGAGAAATCTGTCTCGGAGGTTGATTTTTGTCTCACTCTCAAGTACCTCGAACCTGATAGGTTGCCATATACTATTCCGGTTTCCTCGTCTTCAGATTCTTGAGTGTCTAATTCTTAGATAAGTGTTTGTCAATCTTGATCTAATCGGATTTACGGCCTACGTATGACTCTACAGTTGCTTGTATCTACCGAGTAGTGATCTCACATACTTCGCCAGGACTTAATTTGGGATTACACTCCAATGCTCTGCAAGGAACCGCCATTGATTGAGTGGTAGAAGACAACTGTCTGCTGCAAACGCTCCAGAACTCAGCATATGTGGGCTTCAAGTACATGCTATAAACGTAGCTGTGTTATAATATTGCCCGGTAAGGACGCTGCTGATGCAGCAGAGTCTGTCTATGCATAACCACGAATATTGAACCATGTCAGGAGTCAAACATGGCACTACGATTATAGATGCTACCCGATGGTTATATTTGTTTTACTGTGGGGAGAATCTTGCTGTAAGTCAGTTCTGGTCAACCCTGTCATCTTTGTGCTTATGACGACAATCGCCGTACGTTGCGGCGAAAAGTCTTTGTACGTACCTGACAAAGACTACCCTGGTAGACGCGAAGAGTATCCGAGATACGTAGTTCATTCTTGCAGAAACATATCCTGAGCTGTGCCTGATAAATGTTAACCAATGGATATCACAAGAGCTAGATCGCCAGTATTTGACATTGGCATTGAAGGCCAACTCCCAGACTACCGAGCAGCCCCTGCGCTTGGCCGCCGCCATGCGACAAAGCGACAAACTGCAGAGCCACCAAAGCTTTCGGTTACCAAATCCCAAGAAGTAAAGAAGGCCAAGTTCTCTTTCGGAAAGCCTTTAGAGAACGTCGATCGAGCGATTCAACAGGAGCCCTCTGCCGATTGGCTGGCTCTGACCGAGAAGAACTTGGAGCAGGATATCGAGACATCGAAGAAAGAACTTGAACTAATTAAATCAATACTGGAAGACATTGATCAGTGGTTACAGATAGAAAAACAGCCAGGCAGAAAAATTCGTGATCAGAAGATCCTCATGGGTGCATGTCGAGAGTATTCTGACTCGATGATACAAGTAAGTCGTGTACACATCTTCTGCTTTTTATGGTGGGCACTAATATTTTACGCCCAGGTGCGAAAAGAACGCCTCAGACAGACTAAGTTTTGGCTTAACAGTCGCGATATGGGACGTTCTGTTCCGGTCGAGGCGCCCGCTGAATGGCGTGCTGTAGACACGGAATGGAGACATTGGTTAGGCGAGCAAGCTGCTGCACGCTCGAGCCAATCGCCGATTGAAGATATAGACGATACTGCTTGGAGAATTCTGGGGCCTCTGCCTCATATTTTGGCAGCTTATACCTGGCTTGAGACCACTCAATAATGGCATCTAAGGCAGCTCAGGTAGCTTAGGGATTTGTATTAAAGCTATAGGATGCTACAATCGAATATTACGGACCAGAGAAAAACCGACACCCTCAATCATGTACGTTTTTGGTCATTTCATGGTAGACAAGACTATAATGCATCAATAACCGCCACCCCGCTTCACCCAGATTGGGCCACCCACGAGCTCATGCCTTTTTCTACCAGTGACAGCCATGAATCCGGTCGTCAAACTTTACTCGTGCACCGCCGTCATTGAGTGCCTAAATTGACAATACAACCCAGTTCTATCCGTGATAATTCAGAATCCCTTCTGGCACAGGAAAATCCGTTTGTGGCCCAATGTTTTTGTTCATCCTGCCGAACTGCCAGCCATTGACAAACAGCTGTACTCAATAATCCCCTGATGTGTTTTCATTGGCAAACGTGAAGGAAGATGGATATACCATTTATCTGAAAGTAATCCCAGGGAGAGCGAGGTAAAATGGAATGCTGTTCCAGCCTCGGTGGTACCTTGAAATGGAGACTTCGTCTTTAATGAGTCGCTGGGTGGTTCTGGCAGGTGGTAGCCTTGGCGTTCTCCAAACGTACCGCCCTCGTTCAACGGGCCTCGAGCTTGACCTCTGTAGTCTTCTCCGCCAAAATCACCTATAATTTTCCACACAAATAGAAATTCCCTTTTGTCAGCTATCAGAAGACTCCCATCTAGAACGCTACGCGGCGATTTCATAGATTTCATGCCAACAGACTGTTTGTTGTGATCCATGTTGTCTACAATGACTGTCAGAACGTAGTGTTTGTGCGGTACGAGTACCGGAAGCGGCAATTACTTTATCTGGTAGTTTTCATTGTCCTTGTGAGAGAAGAGCTTGCCGCCGTTTAACCAACCCGACCAAGCTTAGCCGCTACTGCCTTGTGTATAGAGAGCGAGATACGCAAAAGTGCGGTTAACACTGAAATGACCGCGATACAAAAGTATCCCGGTATTTTATCCATGATCTGAAGAATATAGCGAAATTGGCGAAGCTAGCGGTCTAAAAGTGTTATTGGTGCCCGCGTAATCGGCCATTGTCCATAAGGAATCATCGTAGTCAGACTGAATTTCGGGAAGCGAATCAACATATTCCCACGCCAGAGATTCAAGGTCCTGAATGACCACCTGAGGTTGGAAAGTAGTGATCTTTGCAGTGAGTGATGTATATGTGCTTTTGAACTTTGTGATTTTACCGTTGACCACCAATTTTTCGATTCCCTCTGGAGTGCCAATCGCCTCCCGAGTTGATGAAACATTGAAGTCGGCAATGACATTCAGTGTGTTTCCCTCGATCACTGTATATCTGACTAATTATGGGCCTCACACGAGAAGCTGTGGTGTCATGCCCTTGAACCCGAAGCCTATGACTTTGCTGAAAGAACCTAGCCGCCGGACTCGGATTGCGTGAATTATGGAGGACTTGACTTTTGATAGATGGCAAATTCGTGGTGTTCGCATGCCTCGGCGTACATGACTAAAGTTCTTCGGATCTCTATCTTGGAAAGTGAAAATGTCTGATGTAGAATAGAGCAGGTTAATATCCTCTAGATCCACGTTTGTAACTATTAGCTTAAAGCATCATCCATATAGACTCAATGAGCTATTGGAAATTGTTTAGAATGGCGGGATCGGAATTGATACACATCCCTAGGTTGTGGGTAACGTGAGCTTGTACTTTGTACATGGAGTAATGCTGAGGTTCGTGTGACAAAGGATATAGGAATCCGGGCCACTTGCATCCTTCAAATGAAGCGGAGTGAATGCAATTTCCACGCTACCAATATAGAGGATGAAATAGTTGTAGTTATAGCCGCTACGTTGTTCTTATGAAGGATCCTCGCGTACTCATACTCATGATTGAACGAGGCAGCACACTTACCAAAGCCAACTCCGCCCCAGTAATTAAAGGAACCTCATTGAAGAGAATAAGAATCGTGGTCGTATATATCAACTTCTCCAAGGCCAGTAGCAGGAGCGTTATGACCCAGTGGATCAGCATCATTGCTAGTATTAAGTAGGTTATCCGTCTGGGAACGGTTCGAGACTTACAAAAGGAACGCTTTAACATAGTTGTCGAAGACCAGTGGTTAAGATTCAAACCAATTTAAACGGTTGAGTGCTATGGGTATGTGCAGGCTACGTCGTAGAAATCCGTCGAAGTAGTTTCGGTAAGTTTTGATGACTGCTCAGTGATACTTTAAATCGTGATTGGAGGCGGTAGGTCAACCACAGCTAGGAAGTTGAGCACCCAACATCACTTCATCGATGCTTCACTCCCATTATGTGGACGGAGAACAATATATTTTAAGCAAAGACATCACTTGCGAATATGTTCATTCCATAAGACACCATTCCAGCGGCAAAATCTCTGGTCAGATAGATTGTTTAGCTCCTGGAATGTGAAGCTTGAGGCTTTGCACTTCACTGGGCATCGATCGAACTTGGGTTGAGGCAAAGTTATGATTGAAGACAGTTCAACTTTTGTAATAGTTCAACTTATGACGTTCGTGCTTACCGCCCAACGAGTCTTAACTAAATAGTATCAACTTGTTTCAAGGATGAAGACTTATTCATCCAATTTGATAGGAACAGTTTTTGTTATAATTGACGTTTGGTACAGGAGGTGCCGCATAAGAGGCAATTGTCCGGGCTGTTCACTAATCAGTACAGAAAACCCCACTTGAGCCATGCCGACCGCATCGGCGTTTGATTTGCAATCTTATGCACCCTCGACTTGGAAGGTCCGCGAACACGTATTGCAGCTATCCGACAAATACCGATGAAGTGGGATGAACAATCATGGCGTTTGAATTCGGTGGCTTACTGACCGTGTGCTCTCCTCTCCGCTTGCATTCACTACCAAGTATGGGGCTGAATAATCATGTAACTCCGATATATGCTAGAGTGAGCATGCGGTTCCCCTTTGGGATGAGGTAGAGGCGTGCGTAGCGTGCCACATTTTGTGGTATAAGAAGGGTTTATCGTGCAGAGACGTAGGTTCTTGGTAAACACGCACCGACTTCAGCATTGAAAATAACAGGCTAGCTTTAATAATCATCGCATATCATTTATCAACATGTCAGTTTTCAAAAACATTCTTCTCATTGGTGCAACAGGCTCCATAGGCAGTTACGTGCTGGAGGCGCTCAAGAACGAGCCCACATTCACCTTGACACTCTTACAACGGACCTCGTCTAAAGCAAAGTTGCCTGCATATATCCGAGTTATTAGCATCACAGACTCGTACCCTACGGAAGAGCTCATTGCAGCTTTTAAGGACCAAGATGTTGTGGTCAACTGCATGACGACCCTGTCGGTATCTGATCAGTTCCGCATGATCGATGCGGCCATTGCCGCCGGCGTCAAGCGTTACGTTCCCACCGAGTACGGTCTCAACAACCTGCGGCCAGATGCGCAAGCGCTGAACGTGGTCTTCCACGACAAGGGCAAAGTTCAGGAGCACCTTCGCACAAAGGCAGCAGAAAGCGCGATTGAGTGGATGAGTATATCTTGTGGCATGTGGCTTAAGTGGAGCATGGCGCACAGCTTTCTCGGAATGCACATACAGGAAAAGAAGTTTGTGTTCTGGGACGACGGTGAGGGGTTGTTTTCCTGTACGACAGAGGAGAACACGGCAGCTGGTTTAGTACAGGCGTTGAAGAAAGCAGAAGAGACGAAGAACACCAACATATATCTTAGCGATTTTGCTATATCCCAAAAGCACTTGCTGGAAGCTATCGAGAGAATACAGGGCGTCAAGTATGCTACCGAGACAGTGGATAGTCATCTTTTGATCGAACAAAAGCAAAAGGCCGTAAGGGACGGGGATGATTCTGCAAACTTTGACCTCATTGAGACTGGGTTCGTGACTGGCCGGTTCGGAGGTCATTTGGAGAAAGAGGGAGAGATACTAAATGAGAAGCTGGGCCTACCAAGAAAGACGCTGGACGAAGTTGTCAAAGCGGCCCTTGAGTCTCTCAGTATCATCTGATACGAGGTCAGCAGGACTGAGCACTAATGTCCGGCACAGTATCTTCGGGGAGCAGAAGACTTTGAGGCCCAATGTATCCCTCAGTGTATCACGTAGGTAGCCTCTGCGAATACCAACTATAAAAAAGTTGATGTATGCATGTTCTTATAGTCAAATATTCCGTAAAACAATCAGTTATCCAGTTGCTCTAAATATGTTTAGTTGTTTTCCGGAGATTGGGTTAATGTGATTTGGGCCTCCTACAAAATCGGCGACTTCGAATCACTCCTAGTATTACTGTAGGATACGGTTGGTTTCCAAAGTGCCCCGCTTTTCCGGCAATCGAGCCTTGGCGGCACCGCGCCGTGGCGCACTGGCTGGACGCCATCCGAAACTGGTTGCAGCAAATGAGCTTTGCCCTGTGGATTGCGCAGGTATCGTGCTGGCTATAGCTAAGCATATGAATACGGTTGTCACGACGTGAATGTTGTATGGAGATCTAGCAAACATCGTCGGTGGTGGGTTGGACGGCGCTATAGGGATTATTGCACTCTCACTCGGAGGCTGTGGAGAAAAGGAATGCCAAACTAGTCTAACCTAGTCTAGTGTAGATAAGATATACATAAAAATGCAAAAACATAGAACACCGGGGATTTCTGTGATCAACACTATCCACACAGTTATCGATTAATTTTCGTCTAAATCGTTAGCCTTGCTACGCGTTTAATAGAAAGATATACATCCACTTATCCGTCAAATACTCGTTAATCTCACATGAAGGCTATCACGGGTTATAGGCCGTCTACGCCATAAGTACTACATTATCCTCCTAATAAGTGCCTCTCGAACCTCCGGGCGCTGTAAGGCTTTAGTGGGGAGTCATTTATAATAATCTATGGCTAGCGGGTCTTCAAGTCATAAAGAGCCGTAACCGTCGGGCTGAGTTCGCCAAAGACGTAACTGATATACGCGGACGTAAATCTAAAGATGCCGGGGCATCTGATATAATAGCCCACGGTAATATCATGGCTGTCGTCCAGGATTTAGTAAATGCCAAGGGAAAGGAAGGTATGCTAATCGGTTCAGAGATAAGATAATAACTTGGCCGCAATGTAAGATAAGTGTGGAAATGTTGCGCAGCATTGGTTGTGTGTGTCCGGTGTCAGTTGGTTTGATACTAAAGTTTGTTCTGTCAGGTTACCTTCCATGGCAACCTGACATGAAAGGCTCATATACAGAAAAGGCAAAGTACGATATAAGCGCACGCATCAGAATCGGAGTGCTTATAAGAACGGATGAAAGCCATGACGAACTTTTGGTGTTGGACACGTGCACTGAGGTAACAAGGCTGCGTTGGATAAAAATATAAATACAAAAAGCAATATGCTATGAATCTCGAAACCACAATATGCGAGAAGTTTCTTTGCTGACCCCCAGCCTCATGCTTGCTTTGATTGATGCTCAGCGGGAGCCCTGCGATGTGATTGACAAGTCGGGGTAAGTAATAAAAAAATTCCACATTCCACATTTCGAGCGACGTCATCCATATCTAGATTTTGGCGTATAAAGCCTGTTAGTTTCTGCAGCCACGAGCCATGCACCACTCGTCTGCAGCAGCTCAAATCAAATGTTGCTTGTATTTCAAGCGCAGTCTTTCCAAAGGCCGTGGATAGACTCTGTAATGAATAGTTGGCACCCTCCCAGTTTGATCTGATGTATTTTCGATGGGTCACCCTAGTAGTACAAAAAAGGCTTCGTAAGAAACCTAGTGGACACATGCATTTTGAAACGAACCAGCGAGAGATATTCTCTGCGGCCAGGACATACAGACAATAAGCAAATAGCTCTTGCGCCAGTCAATGATAGATACAGGTACCGTGTGGAAGCGATCTGCTCAAAAGAACGCTTGCGCTTTGCTAGGTCATTTGCGGGGGGACTCGTGCCTCTTGAGCTTTTCCAAATATTCTTCGACGACATGCTCTGCCTGATCCGGCCTGTCAATCGTGATTAACATCAAGTAGATTCAACAAGGCTACCTAAAATAGCGCTTTCCGGCGTTTCCAGTCTCGGGGCAACAAATCAAGTGATCCGTACTCCAGAGCTTGCTTCCGCATTGGATATTATGGGCTTATCACAGTGACTTACGAGGATACGCTCGAAGATATACCTGCTGCTTTCAGCTGGCACCATTGGAAGTCAAAAAGAGAATCGACCAAACTTGTTTCAGTCTCCGTGATGCCATGCGGGGAACTTCCTATGGTACAAGTGCGGCTGAGCCTCGTGTAGCAAGCGCTAATCATCGCCAATACCTGAAGACTTTTACTGAGTTATCACCTCTCCAGAGCTAATATTGCATAGAGCAATTCTATTAATAATGGAGATCAATCGATGGGGGAAATGGCCCTTTTCCAGGCCCTTGTCCATCGAAAATAGAACTCGTCGGGTCTCAGCAGCTTAAGAGCATCTATCGGCAGGTGATGGTTGCGATCCTGCACGTTGAGGCAGGCTGTGAAGGGCCAGCTCAGAGAAGTCTCGTTGACTTATCAGGACCAGGAAATGCTCATGGTTACTGGACAACTCAGCGGTGAAGTGAGTATCGCGCGATGTCACTCGGGTGCTGATTGGACAGTCGCGAAGCATGAAGAAGGTCTGTGTGTAGGCCCCCAATCAATCTCCGACAATATCGTTGAATCATCTCAGGGCCATCAGGAGTGTGGCCGTTCTGTCATCTTTCTTATGATGCGGCTCAACTACCCCGCTCTGCTTCCCAGAACATCGCATCGAGCCTGCTGAGGGATTGCTCGCCCGTTGACACCATGAGGCCATGCAAAATGGCCGGGCATAAATGGTCGCTCCTGGACAACGCAGCCTTTCTTCACAGCATTTCCCCTGAACAACGCCCCTATGGGAACGAACATCAGGAAACACTGCATATCTTGCTTCATATTACGATACGGTAGCGAATCTTCCAGCCCGTCGACCAACACAAAATGCCGGAATTCGATCTCGACAAATATAGACTTCGCGAGGATGATCTAGAGAAATATCTCAAAGAACTGTTCTCTGGGGTGGGCGAAGTTTCCATCACAGTGAGTGCATATAATTGCCGCTAAATTTGTGTTGCATGTAGCTGGAAGATTTAGGCTCACAAAACCGAGTATCGCATTTCAATTCCTCGCGAACTGACCGAAGTAAGTCTGCCCAGTGGCCAAGTTGGTTGTCATGCTGACGCAGTGGTTGAAAGGCTGAGAAGAAACACATTGACTCAAATGTTCGATATTATTGACCAGGCACCCGAACAAGGTTGATATAGACTTTGTTTGGAAGGTTTGAGGCTTTGCGGCGGTTGGGTGCTTGAGTGAAGATGTGGGGGAGATGTGGGGGACAAATCTCAAGCAGGTGAGGCATCACTGGTAAATAAGATACTGCCAAGTAGATCACGTTGAGTACATGGTGATCTTGTAGATATCGCGAAAAACGTTTCAATGCCATGGTCCTAAAACGCCTTTGTGGATTGGGGCTGTCGATGCTGATGTTGATTTGTGGTTGATACACCCGATGAACCTGGGGTTTTTACACTGCCGTGGAGGCGCAGGAGTACGGCAGTGCCCGTTGGGCTTTCTTTAGTCTAAACGTGTGTTCACATACAGTACAGATAATCAGCCTTGCAGCTTACCCCATACCTCCGCAGCCATGACGCCCTGCTTCCGCGTGGCTGCATCCTCAAGTTTCCTTCTCCTCCTCCTCGGGGGGCGTCATGCATGCAATTAAATCTGGCGTTTTCAGGTATTACAAACTTACGCTCAAGCGGCAGAAGGCGGAACTGCAAATCTATAGTATTCATATGTGCCGCGGAACTACAAAGCTGGAGTGTTGCTGCCGAGAACAGAGAGTGCAGCTTCTGACAACTACCAGGGCTCATCAAGCAGCGACTTTCATGAGCCATGAGTGCCAGTAACACTGTTTTGGCCGAGTTCCTCAAAGCTCGAAGCAAATTTGCTGCATGGCCCAGCAATGTGCTTTCGACGGACCAGTTTGAGCACGAACTAGAAGGGTACCGTGAGGATCTAGAGTGCCAGCAGTCTAACCTCTTCGACCCTCGAATCAGAAAATTGTATTTCCTTGATTACCTCAAGGATAAAAAAGGTAAGTCGATCCAAACCATCCGTCATCTCATACATGGCGTACAAAGACTGTGGGACTGATGACAGGCAGCAGCATTTAAACTGACCCCAAATATGGAAACCTTGCAGCATGTTGAGAGATCGATGCATGAAAGCTCAAAAGATCCTAGTTGCCGATATATGTGAGAGCCGAAATCTTTCCCCTGGCTGATTACCTTTCGAGTTACGGGTCTTGTGTCCGCTATGGACAATTAAATAACAATATGCAGCTTTGTCCATGCGAGGACCTCCAGAGCCCAACTGAGTGTCTCCAGAGACCAGCTGCTGTATGTCTTATCCCATCAGCAAGTGATGCCTGAGTTCGCAAAACATATCCTCACGTTCTGTGTACGGGAAAAGCCTCATTTGCAGGCATCCTTCAAGATAGAGGATGAGCTGACGGGGCATTCACCACTGCTGAGAATCGCAGAACTTGGTCGATCCGGTGTGCGTATGCAGCACTGTTTCAATTTAATCGGTGTAGAGTACAGTACGGAAAACAGAGAGTGGCCTTATGTACTTCGACAGACCGCTGTATACAACTCCTTTGATCTCATTGGCGGCCAAGCATTTTTCCTTGTGCTGAAAGCAAATGAAGTGATCAGGGAACGAATACGCAAAGCATGCAGTAGTATCAAACGCCAGGACCGCATCAACAATATGGGCATAGCAAGTGTTTCATTTTCTCAGAATCTTGAAAGCCATTTGCTCATTTTCAAGTGGTGTGTGGAGAATTGGTGTTCATATCTTGATTTCCTCCAAAATGAGATACGACGGGCTTCTGCACATACAAGGCTCAGTCCGATCGACAAAGTTGTTAGAGATGTCGTTTCAAGAAATACGCCGCCACCTCGTCGACTTACTGGCACTTCCCGGAAAAGTTCTGGACTATCTTTCCTCTCTCGTGCGTCTCGGTCTACCAGTTTCAAGGGGGTTTTCGGGTCATCATCAAACCCTCGAAACGACCCTGATAAGATTCAAAGTTTGGGTTCTACCTTAGCTGATGCTAGTGGCCAAAACCAGACAGCCTCAACGGCGGAATATCAAGACTTGTATAAACTCTTCTCCTTCACAGAACTACAGGAGCTTCATCATACTTCTGGAAAATTGGAAGAAGCACGCTTTGTCATGAGTCAGGATAGGAATGTCATGTCCGATATGATGGCGCGTTTTGAAAAGCTCCATCAATCGAAAGTTTTCACCACACACTTGCCCGTGGATGACATTGGCTTCGACAAATTCTTCCAGGGTATCCAAGCATGCGTTAGAGAATTAGACGACCAGCAAGACCGCCTGAGACTTATGAACGGATCTCTGAACAAGACGATGGACTTGGTAGGCTACAAGGATCAACTTGTGTTAGTTTCTATAGCTAATTGGGAATTTAGTTCAATGGAATACTCCAATATGGAAATATGCGCACTGGGGAGTTCTTTGCAAAACAGGCCAATGCATCAACAGTGACCATGGAGCAGCTTACCATAAGCATGCACAATCTTGCGACGAAGACAAAGAAAGATACGGTATCCATGCATGTTATCACAATGATAACTCTCTTTTTCCTTCCAGGGACATTTGTCGCAGTAAGATACGGCTTACCACTATTATATCGCTCGCTGTCATCAGCGCTGACTGAGAGTCAGACATTCTTCAGCACGGGTATTCTGAACTTCGACGGCGATAAGCCAATGAACAACCTAGGGGATTGGATTGTGCGGCCAGCCGCTTTGAAGTTGTTCTTAGCAATATGTCTGCCACTAATGGGAATTGTGTTGCTTGCATGGGCTGCGGCGTATTATTGGGCTCGACGCGGATCGATGATATTTCCGTGGACCTCAACGGACGATGGAGAGATTGAAACCGAGAAGGACCTGCCAGCGGTATGAGAGCGGAACTCAACCGGGGGTAAGATGTCGGGCGTAGAAGGGGTCGTTATAGTTTAACGCTTCAGTGAGGGTGGGATGTGGCAGGTCCCACTAACAGGGCATGGTATATTCTAGTTTGGTTTCAGTTGGCAGGTATGTAAGTTAAGTGTAGGCACAATACATGAATGATTATTCTTTCTGACATGGAATTGTAGAGTGACCGAGCAAGATATCACGATCAATGCTTAGCTTCGAATCGGGAAAATGCACAGACGATAAGCCCGTCTTCGTATATCCCAAATATACCAACCTAGTTCTGGACCAAGGTTGGTCGAGACTAGCCTTTAACTAGCACTACAATTCTGATTAACCTACATATTAGACTAACCTAGGTTTGACATAGTCAGCGACTCAAACAGAGCTAGACTAGCACTAGGTTAGTCACAACACCAAAGTTCAATGCCGGGTACTGTATGAATTAGAAGGCAAAAGCGCTCCTGCGGAGCATGGATCGCGACGCCAAGCAAACCCAATCTTAGACTATAGCCGTGGTTCCAATAGATTTGGTGGACCTACCACAGTATGTATCAAGCAGATCGCTGCCTGGATGTTTCGACCTCAACCCAGTGTGTTAGGTAAGTGAACGTTTCCTTCAATGACGACACTTGCCAGGTTTACGATATTTCTAAATTGACAATGCAAGTGGAATAATTGATCTGTTGCGCAGTGATGTCCGAACGTCGACTTTGGCTGCAAGCTGGCTAGACTGCGCCCCGACGGTTGCCTTGCGTATCTGCCTGGCCGGCCTGCCTCCTGTCAACACCACACTGGTTTTGGGTCGTGGCCTGACATCCTTCATCCCTCTATAATCTACCCCTCCACCTCCCCGCTGCGCTGCCGCCCACGCCCCTCGATAAGTGTCAGCCGCCGCAAATACTGTGACTTGTGACCAGAAAGCGATACCCCTGGTGGTTCTGGGAGACGCTTGGTAATTTGTATATCGTCCGGCAAGCCTGGCCTGCCGTGCAACATCATACTTTATTATCACGTCCGGAGGAGCTGCCATATCCAAGTTCTGCTCCCTCGAGGATCGTAGCCATCACATTCTAACGCGCATGCTCGCTGCGCGTGTGCCCACCACTCCCATCTCCGTTAATTTGGAGCGAAACTCGGCCAAACCTTGCGTCATCGACGACGAACCGCACGCGCGCATCATCCAGTGGTGTCCGATATCTCAAAGATGTGCTGGCTGACACGACGGGCAACTTTGGGCATCATCTCAGCGTGTCAATGAGCTTCGGCGGCCGACCAGGGGTGCGCCAATACGCTGCCTCTATGGCAGCGCGCGAGACCTATCGGCCTGTGCATTACGAGTGCCAGGACTTTATACACTATGTCAACCGCAACCAATCGATTGGATATGACGGCACAGCCCAACCGCGGAAGTACATCTCTCTTGCCAGACTGCGAGAATACTGGGACGAGCGGAAGATTGAAGCGGTTCTTGGCCACTACCAAATACAGGTCAATATCAAGACCATCAGCGAGTTCTACTTGCGCGTCTTTTCGACCCTGGTTTACATCGACTATGCGGCCTGGCTAGAAGATTTCACCGCGGAGCAACTGCATGATCAGAAACTACCTTGCGATACCATCCCCCCTCACTGGTTGGAAATTCCCCACGCCAACGACAAGTGGAACAAGTTCAACAAGTATCAATGGGTGTTCTTCCCTTTCACGTTCAATCCTAACCTCCTCCTGAACACACGACTCGATCCTCAAATCATCTTGCCCTTGGAGCAGACACAGCTATTGGTTGATGGAAACACTGCGAGTGTACACAAGATAAAAGTTCACCCCGAGTACAATGAGTTACACAAGGTTAGTGATGCCAACTGCAACCCTTGAAAGCTAGGAAGACGAGACCGATGACTGAGCCCAAACAGAAATACCAAGGCAACGAGCACGACACGTTCGTACTCAAGACTTTCCTTGGCGAGCACAACCACCGACTGTTCGAAGCTGAAAAGCGAGCGTTGGTATCACTCCAAAACATACCTTCTGAACACATCGTCACGTTCCACGGGTCATTTCAGCAGGGCGATAGGCGGAGCTTAATCCTCGAACATGTCGCTGGCGGAACTCTGCAAGACTATTTAGAGCAAACTTCACCACCAACGAGATTGGAAGACACTCAAGACTTCTGGACTAGTCTTTCAAACGTCCTCCAAGGACTGTTTCGCGTGCATCAGCTGAGAAGTCATGATGAGCGAGCCGATTACCGCATTATCCATGGCGACCTCAAACCCGACAACATACTGCTGTTGAAGGACTCGAACAACAACCCCTACAAGTTCACAGCCAAGATCGCTGATTTTGGGCTTAGCCAACTACGAGCTGTCAAATCCGACGAACAGGATCGTTTAGGGATTGACAAGCATGGCCATCCAACCTACTCTGCTCCAGAGAGCACCCATCACCAACGCTGGATGCAAAGAGGCCCGAACAGAGTTTCTGAGGCTGTCGACATATGGGCTATAGGCTGTATATTCAGTGAAGTTGCAGCCTGGATACATGACGGGGCTGAAGGGATGTCGAGATACCTCAATATGCGTCGTGACGAACTCCGCGGCCTGGCTACGTTCGAGGGCAGCGCATACGGAGATTGCTTCCACGATGGCATAAACAGAGCTCTCAATGCTGTCGGCGACATGCATAGACGCATTAGGGATTCGAGACCAAAATGGGACAGTGTGACATACGATATACTCCGTGTTGTCGAAGAATTCATGCTTGCGCAGAATCAGCAACATCGTTGGGATGCCAAGTCGCTTTTGGAAAAAATCCAACAGATCATCTATGCAAGTCAGACAGGCCATCGAGCATCTCTACCAAATACTCATACCAGCCCTTTCATAACACCTGAGCAGAGACTTATTTCCAGAAATAGTTCGCTGGCTGACGGTGTCGCTCTACGCAACATCCAAACCCCCGAATTGCTTCTTTCGCCTGAGAATATGGTTTCAAGTCCGTCGTCGAATCCGATTTCCCCCATATCAACCAACAACCAACTGCCTTCACCTGTACGCAACAACCAGACACACGCGCAGCAAGAATATCCCTTGAGCAGACAAACCTACTTGACTTCACCCGAGGTAGCGAGTGTCCCCATCGCTAATGGCTCAGGTGACAAACCGATATCCAGGACACCTGTCGGCCAATACTTGTCAATTCAAGACGTCCTCAACTACCGTGATGTCAAGAAAAAGAAGCTACCTGTTGCGGTCAGGATTTCTGAACTAACGAACGAATTAAAGAAGATTCTTCGCAGCCGGGACCACATATTTTTCATCGAGGACTCCCAATCGATGCAGCAACATTCTGAGGCTGTCGTCCAAACATTCACAGCTCTTTCGTATCTCGCAAAACAAATCGACGAAGACCACATTGAGCTCGCTTTTGCTTCCAATCCAACCAAAATTCACACACACTCCAACACCAGCCCGCTGATTGCGATGCTCAAGAAGCACAAATACGAGGGAGGTCAAAACATGATGGAAAATCAACTTGGGGAGTTCATTGAGAAAAGAGTAATAAAGCGCCTACCTGGAGCTTCTCTTACGAACTTTCCCAGCATTGATTCTTTCCGACCTAAGAAGCCTTTGAGCATTCTCGTGTTTACCGACGGTTGTTGGGGTGCAGGTCGGGACGAGGCCGGCGGTGTGGAGAATCCTGTCCAGACCTTGATGGGGATAATCAAACAACGGGGTCTTAATAAGACTCGCATTATGATCCAATTCATCCGTTTTGGTAACGATCTTAATGGTCTAAGATACTTGAAGTATCTAGATGATTTTGGCCGGAAGCAGAAGTGGTAAGTTTCACCAACGATCATCAATCGAGCCTGGCTGACGAATCCTGCAGCGATATCGTTGATACACGTTCTGCTAATAGCAACGTCTACGCGATGTTTGTTGGCAGTATAAATCCAGTCTTGGATGATGATGATGGTGATGACGATGGAGAAGACCCGACGAGCGGATCTGAGCTTCAAGGATGACTACCAAATAGCGAAAATCTACTTGTCCTAGATCGAGTTGTTCAACTCGACCGAGCCTAAGGCCTACAAGAGAGCTCGTATTAGATAAGCGGTTGATACGCCGCCGGGGAAAATGGTTTGTTATTATAGACGTTGAGTATAAACTTTATACAAAGCTACGCGATTACGTATTTTTACGTGTTCAGCGATTTAGCCTTTTTATTCTTTAACTTTCTTATTTTCACAATACATAAGGTCAACCGTAAGCTAATTCTTCGTGCTCTAACGACCTTGAAAATATATTCAACTTTTGAATTAGTTATTAACATTTGATTTTAAAAATATATATATAATACAAAAAAAGACCCCATAAGGTAGTTATACGTTATTATGTTAATTACATAGCTTTACCTACTATTGTCGTCACACCGGTTGGTTCGACACACGTTATAGAAGTGAAATAACCGGTAAGATGGAAGTAGTTTGGGTTAAATGTGAACTTGATTACGAGTTCTTTGATAACAAGTTATTAGGTGTGGGAGCAAGGCCTACGTGCGGCGCAGGCTTTAAGCCAGTGGTTGTATCGATGCAGCTTGCCAACATCGGATTTTCAAAGACGGTAAGATTGACACACATACCAGAATGCGAAATGCTCTCGTAACAGAACTATAGCATATACCCTTTGTATATTCTTTTCTCTTATTTCCAATATACACTGGCCATCTTGAAGTGCTTACAGAGATTAGGTCCAGAATGGACAGTTACAATGAAAAGAGTTGGGAGGATCTTCAGAGTTGAACTACCAAGTATCTCAGTAACGGAAATGCGGACGAATTCGCACAATTTGACCAACTGAAATCAGATGAAGGCCTGCGGTCATGTTTTCCCACTGTGGTTCTTTGTAATTCTTTTGAATCTAATCTGTCAGGGCATGAGTGGATGCGGAGTGTCTTTCAATCTCGCTGTGAAAGTGTCAAGTTTCTAAGTTGTGTAGTCAGTGTTTATTTATGCAGGTGCATACAAGGCTCTCCTGGCGCGGATATACTCCTGTTTCTCCTTGGCATAATCTGGTGACACCACAGACAGCGGCAGAGGCTGATCCGAAGACGACGTGACTATGTCTGGATCCAGCGTCCGCACTTTCGCACCTCGTGGTAGCGGCAAGCCCTTCTCGTCCGGAAGGCCCTCCGTTTCCAGCCGATCCATAGCCTTTTGACCCTCGGCGTCAGCTGCGTGCCGCATCTTGGCCCAGAACTCGTCGTCCGACAGTGTCCACAACTCGTCTGTCTGCACGCTGCCATTTCTGATCAGAGCCCGCATGAGGTTCGCCGTCCTGATGTACAGATCTCCATGCGCCGTGTTGCCCCAGACGCTCCTGTCGCAGGCCATGTACGCCCTCGCGAGCGCCAAAGCAAGCTGCGCATCCTGGAGCACCAACAGCCGTGTCGGCGAGGTGGCGCTGGGGACCGCCTTCAGCGAGGCCACTACTCTCCTGGCCTCATCCAGCTTCAGATGATCAAACCCCACGGCGTCGCGCAGCCCGTAGTCCAGCCTGTCGGCACAGAGATGGGGCGCCGGCTGCTCGACGAGCGGGAACAGCTCCTCCTCCAGCGGCCTCAGATCGGCGAAGCCGTGCCGCGCGAGGATCTCCGGGATGCGCGTCGTCTCGACGTAGCGCATCTTGTGGACCTCGTGGTAGCTGCCCTCGCCGGGGGCCGACAGGGCGAAGTCGACGACGTGGCTCATGGTGGTGTGGCCGATGTCGTGCAGCAGGGCGGCGACCTGCTCGTCCACGCGGGCACCGACGTGCCGCACGAGCAGCATGGCCCCGACCGAGTGCTCCATCCGCGTCACCCGCGGCGTGATGTTCAGCAGGCCCGATATGCCGTGCTGGTTGACGCCGGCCAGGCGGGCGAGGGCGGGCGAGCCTAGGAGCTCCACCAGGACGGGCTCCGTGATGGTGTGTCTGCCATATATCTGGTCCTCTACGACGACCTGGTCTGTGGCTGAGAAGTCGAGGGTTTGGAAGTACCCGGCTTTGAAAGGAGAGGTCATCTCTGAGGTTCAGGTCATGGGTAACGTTCCAATCCTCGTTTATTATTGTTTGGTAAAGTACCAGAGCATCAGCTAGCAATATCGTGGGGCAGTGGGGCGCACCATTGTGATGCCTTGGCGGCTTTTGGGGGACCTGAAAAGCCGTCGGTCACCACCGTCTTGCGAGGAACACCGTCATCACAATATCATTTCTATCAAATACCAAGTAGAACATACTGCGGGACGTTTTTTCTTCTCTTTTACGTTTCTAATCAAAACCAGCCATTCAGGAACTCGCTACATAGCATGAAATAAGACCGATTAACCCCATATTAAGGACTTCTCAAAGCAAAGCTAACAGAAGAGAACAGCCGAGCCCCAAAAGAAAAGAAGAAAAGGAAAAAAGGAAATTTCTCCTCCCCCGTGCTCAAGTGGTCGTCTTTGGAAGCCAGATATTAAATTTGAAGTAGAAAAAAATCCAGGTAAATCCAACCCAGATATCCTATGTTTGCGTTGGTAGTATATCAAGATCCTCGTCCCCGTCCTCGTCATCTTCACCTTGATGGTTGACTGCATCTTCGAATCTATCTTCAACATCGGCTAGAGGGCCCGGGCCACCACTTAAATGGTTCCAGGCGTCTGCAGTCATTGGCGCGTGGCTCCAATCATAGAGGGAAGAAGGCTGTTCGTCTGTGGCGTGCATGGCCTGGTTGTCGAAAACATGTCCGATGTTGGCAATTGCAAGATCCGGCGAGTTTGCTGTAGTTGGGGGCTGCCCGTAAGCGGGAATATGACTCTGAGTGTGCATAGGCGCTGCAGGGTTGTAACCGGTGTTGTTCCTAGTGGGAGATGAATTGTGGCCATTCACATGTAGGCTGTCAAAGCTATGTACTAGTGACCCCTGGGTAGGGGTATCATCTTGTGCATGGTCTTGATGAGCACCCTGAGGTGCGGACGAGTTGTTATCATGTTGCGCAGCCCCCTGGTTATTGCGACGGCCCGTGGACCGACCTGAGCCATTGACACCATGGCGACCACCAGAACGGCGAGGTCGGCGTCGAGCTCCCTGAGAGCGTCTGTACGTATTTTCGGTCTGAAACTGATCAGTACTCATTTAACTCGAATGTGCAAGCTGACGGGAGCATACCGGCTGGAGCGACATGCTGTAGAATTGTGGGTATTTTTACGGCAACTGGTCATGTGCTGGGTACGAGGTGTAGAATGAGTTTACTCATCTTGACCATGAGCACTTTCTAATTTCGAGGAGCCATTTATACCCGTTTACAATGACTTCGACTCAAGCTAAATGCGAACCATGTGCATCAACATTAAAAGTCCCATTACCATACGAAAGCATATTTGTGTAGTCTCTGTACATGCCAATCAGGTTTCATGGATTGATCAATCACATTGAATAGTCAACTGGCTTCGTTCTACGAAGGCGGATTTCTTCAAAGCAGTGCCTTGCATGTCGGGATGTGCGCCGAGGTTCCGGTTTGCGTTGACTGGAACTACTCTTACCAGAAACCGGGTAACTGGCGGACTAGTCTAGGATAATATGCTTGATACCCCTGCACTTAATATGTAGGTCGAGGTGTTGGTTGACATTGTTCCCAAATCCCCAAATATGCAGGGTTGACGGGATGGCGCCTGACGGTGTACATGCAGACGGGAGTGGATGAAGCGTGAAGCTACGATTGGTTCAGGCTGGAGGTTTTCGGTGAGCTTTCCACAGTCGTTGGGCACCAAGTTTCAAAGTTGCGCCACTGGGGAAGTGACAACCAAAGTTTGAACTCGTGTGGATCGCTTGCAAAGAGGAATATACTGCCCGGGTGGCGAGTCGTAGCACTTTGATATTCTCCGAATCTAGGAAGAGTTCCGATTGGAATGAAATCAACAAAGACTCCGGTGGAAGATCAATGTGCAGTGGGTGATGGTAGGATGTTGAAGTCCTCGTACTGCCCCTTGCCAAGGTTTGTTGTAGGCAGCGTGCCTATCTGGCTCATCCCGCCCATGTATGTTCTAAACGAGAGTGTCCGCTGTGTAATTCGAAGCCGAATATGTGTGTAAATCTGCCCGTTATAGAAAGTCTGAATTATTGACTCTCGCTATTGGAAGCGAATGCTGCTTTGATGACGAAGTGACTCGAGGGCTTTCAGATAGCTTGAAGGTGTCGTGTCAGATGAGTCATTGGGACAATGGGATGGTTGAACTGGGGGCGATTGCATGAGGTTACCGATTCTGCAAGAAACCGGTTTCGGTAAGTTTCTGCAGGTATCAGACGTTCATGCAACCACGGTCGCTTGTCAAAATCCGAGATGTGACCCTGCAGCGACTGTAAGCTTGGTAGATGCTCACCCCAGGCGGGCGAAAGTAGACAGCGGATATCACTTTTGCCTGTCCTTTCAAGCAAACTCTGCTCGTTTGCTAGTCCTGTACTGGCCGTAGTCCGGATAAATTTATGTTGCAAGCCGGCAGACCTCGATATGTCAAATTTGACACTTGTTGTCCGCGCTCATGTCCAAAGGACCTGGCTGCAACTCAGGGGTATGGGAGTGCAGACAGAAGTGGCAGTTCAAGACTGCCAACAACGTTGGGAGCCGTCCGTGGCTAGATAGAGCATTGCCTCATCAGAGGCCTTTCAGACACCGACACTAGTATGTCACAATCTTGGCAGACAAACATGGTGTTGCGCTTGAACATGGCCGACCCTTCATTGAATTGCTATCAAGTAGATATATTGAGCGGAGGCAGAATAACTAACACGCAGCACTTCAATGGGTGTGTAGGAACTGGGAATGCCAATTCGGTCAACCAACAACCAGTCTAGTGGGTATTAGCTATCTGGTGCCCGGCCAGAAAGACTTGGTAAAAGTCACACTTCTAGCACTTCTATTAGCCACGAAAGCCCACAGAAACCTTGTCTGCCGCAAGACGGTCCAATTCCACTTGGATGGGCAGCAGTCCGGTGCAGTGGCAATCCATACCTTTTCATGTGATGCGTGAAGCGTCGGATTCTGCAATGCATAGGAGTGTAATGACTTCCCTGTCTGCATATCTGCATGACTGCTCGTCACTTCACTTGACCTCGACCACGCACCTTCTAGCCCGGTCCGCGAGTGGCGGAGTGGTACGAGAGGTGCCAAGGCATGCGTTCCTTTGCAGAGTAGTAGTTTTCTTGCGATCTGGCCTGTCGTGTGATGCCTCATGCCAACAGGTTGAGGGACATTGACAGTGAGCGCACTCAAGACAACTCAAGCAGGCATTCCTTCCACGGACCAATCCGGGGACAGAGGAAGACGACGGTGTATATCCAGGCAGGATTCTGGCCGGTCAACATGTCACCAAAGTCGGGAATGCCCCGCACTACGGAGTTTTGCTCACTGAGATAGCTTGCAGTGGGCGAACACCACAACCATCGTCAAGCATCGTGGGCTGCACGATGTGCAATTCCGCAGAAGCGGGGGGTTTGGCGACCACGAGTTTGACAAGATGTCAGGCGTGTTTCTTGCCTTTCACATGTGCTACTTGAGAGCACATGGACCACACCAGACACAAAGCCATAGTTGGATGAAGACAAGGCAACCAACAGCATGTCATTTCATGTCAGTAACCGACCTGTTCGAAGAGGAACGGACATTTGTGCGTGGTGCAATGGTTGCTCACGACAATTGAGGAGCTGAAGGGCAGGCATGACAGCAGTGGCCTTTCCACCGAGGCCCGGACAGCTTGGCATGTCATGTCTGGACTGTTGCAGTGCTGGATTTCAATGGGGGCCTGGGCTGTTCATGGGCATTGCATGACATTTATGGGGATAGGAAAGCTACGAGGGTTAAAACGGGACGGACGTGGGGAGCTATGGCAGGGGAAAGCAACGTAGCGCACCAATGAGATGGAACGCCGAAAGCCCCGGCACCGTCGCAGCAGAGCGGCTGAAAGGATATTCCGATCGTGGGAGGTGCAAGCGACTGCAGAAAGAGTGTCGGTCTCCATTGAATTGGGCTTTTGTGGGCACTGAACAGCTCACCTCAGTTCACCTGAGCTTCAAGCACCCCCGATATTTCGGAGTGAGTCGATCATAACAAATCCGCACCCGTGACTCTACGCTCTTTCTCTCCCGTCACACTATTTTCTGTTCATTTATTTATTCTTTCTTGCCTCAACTCCAGAGCAAGTTATCTGTCGGAGCTAGTCACCTTGTCCATTTCCCCCGTGAACCAACATCCTGCTCACATTTCCGTCACTGACCTCTTCAACATGCTTCCCGCTCTGCGCATCGCCTCGCGCCGTGTGCCTGCTGTGCGCCGGTCTGCGGCCTTCTACGCCGCACGAGCTGCTGCTTCCACCTGGGCCAATGTGCCTCAAGGTCCTCCTGATGTGAGTCGTCTGCAAAGAACAAAGATGCAATTGTTTGTTGTTTGTGTGTGTCGTGTCTCAATTGAGCATTGGTTGCTAACCTATTGAGTCACCCCCCAGGCCATTCTAGGTATGTCGTATATCCCATCAACCGGCACTGGTATTCATGATGCCATGGCCTAAACCGACGTCTTTAATTTTTCTGTGCCCTCGGGCCCTGGGACGCAGCCAACCCCCATTCCCATTCGAACTCAACATAGTAACATGATGTGTCTTCGCAGGAATTACTGAGGCCTTCAAGGCTGATTCTTTTGACAAGAAGATCAACTTGGGTAAATACTCTCTACTCGCGCCACCCCCCGGCCACATTCGCATTCTAACTCGACTTGACTCCAGGTGTTGGTGCTTACCGTGACGACAAGGGCAAGCCCTACGTCCTCCCCTCCGTCCGCCAAGCCGAAGAGAAGGTCGTCTCCAACGGCCTGAACAAGGAATACGCCGGCATTACTGGTATCCCCGAGTTCACCAAGGCTGCCGCCAAACTCGCTTACGGCAAGGACTCCTCCGCCCTCGACCGTCTCGTCATCACCCAGTCCATCTCCGGAACTGGCGCTCTGCGCATTGGCGGTGCCTTCCTTGCCCGATTCTACCCCGGTGCCAAGAAGATCTACATCCCCAACCCGTCATGGGCGAACCACGGTGCCATCTTCAAGGACTCGGGTCTTGAGGTCGACAAGTACCGCTACTATGACAAGAGCACCATCGGCCTCGACTTCCAGGGCATGCTCTCCGACATCAAGGCGGCCCCCAAGGGCAGCATCTTCCTGTTCCACGCCTGCGCCCACAACCCTACCGGCGTCGACCCCACAGAGACGCAGTGGAGGGAGATCAGCGACGCTGTCAAGGACGCCGGCCACTACGCCTTCTTCGACATGGCCTACCAGGGATTCGCCTCCGGCAACACCGACAAGGATGCCTTCGCTGTCCGTCACTTTGTGAGTGAGGGCCACAACATCTGCCTTGCCCAGTCCTTCGCCAAGAACATGGGCCTGTACGGCGAGCGTGTTGGTGCCTTCTCTATCGTTACCGCCGACGCCGACGAGAAGAAGCGCGTCGACTCCCAGGTCAAGATCCTTGTCCGCCCTCTGTACTCCAACCCCCCTATTCACGGTGCTCGTATTGCTGCCGAGATCTTGAACGACCCTGCCCTCTACAAGCAGTGGCTCAACGAGGTCAAGGAAATGGCCGACCGCATCATCACCATGCGTGCTCTGCTCAAGGAGAACCTCGAGAAGCTCGGCAGCAAGCACGACTGGAGCCACATCACCAGCCAGATCGGCATGTTCGCCTACACTGGTCTCGAGCCTGCTCAAATGGACTCTCTGGCCAAGGAGCACAGTGTCTACGCCACCAAGGACGGACGTATCAGCGTCGCTGGCATCACCAGTGACAATGTTGGCCGCCTTGCCGAGGCCATCTACAAGATCAAGGGTTAAATGTACGACTGATATGATAAAATCCAGGGGCGTTCTTGATGTGCGATAAGCGGGAAAATGGCTTGCTCTTAGATCTCTTCATAGACGCAGGAATGAATTGGCCTACTTTCTGGCCGTGATGACGACAATGACTTGCCTACAGCTGCCAGTAATGCATGATCCATGAGGGTTGCAATTCTGTTTAGTCCAGGACAACCCCATCCCCCACCCCCGATTTCCTCTGGCCCGCTATGGTGATATGTCCGGTGAGGCGGCCCATAGGCCGAGGTGAGTGAAACATAAACCGCAAAGCAGGTGTGCACCTCATACACCAGTGTCGATCCAGCAACTTGCAGTCGCTATCACAAATGAGGAGCTGATGTGGCAATATACATTACTATTGGCTTTGCAAATTTGCCAGTTGGTGTTGAGCCGTCGTGGCAGTCCTCGGCGTGCTCCCGTGGACCTCTTCAACGTCCCACACGGTTATTATCCTTTGCCCCTTATCGAGATCCACTCAACAAAGATGCATCCACACATCGGCTGTAGTCGAGCAGTCGATCTGGTGCGGCCATTCGCAGATCTTGGACCCGGGCGCACACTACGCCCGGAAGTTAACGTTGCACCCCCTCGCTACAAACATCATCCCCACGCCAGATAGGCCAGACGAAGCGAACTTACTACGAGAACCTTGTCAGGCCCGCAGGACGAGCCCGGCCAATGGGCCTTCCGCCGGTACTCCAGGAATGGCTGCCCGTCCACACCCGACAGATCGAGCCACGACCTGCCGTTGGCGACGGCCATGGTCCATCTGTTATGGCTGATGTAGTTCGGGATATAGGGAGCACTATGATCGCGACGAGTGCCAGTCGGTCAAAAACGCGGACTGGGAGCCGCGGGGGATATAACAGCCATCTATAAGCATGGACACGAGGGTGGCGACATCCGCCAAGAGGAGAAGCAGGCAGCCGCTACAAAGTACCGGGTAGTAATAGCTTCGTCGCCGGAAGCAGAGCGGTCAAAAGACCCATCTGCTAGAGAAACCATGTTGTGAATATTATTGTGTATATGATGACGCTAAGAACTTTTGATTGAGGACGTATCAACGAGTCGAAGATTTCGGTGGCGGTGTGCTTGCCGTGGTGATTCGCCATGATATAATGTATTGGTAAGCGATAATGAGAAGAGTATAACTCGAAACATGCCACAGAATTTAACTACTTCCAGCGGAAAGAGAAACTAGAAATCGCGAGAAATCGATGTTCAAAGCTCGCAATCCATACAGGGCTTTCGTAGTGGTAAGTGGGACAGCACGAGCTCGCCTAGGTTACTTGGTAAACACTTGTTGAATCGGACTATACACCAAGCCAGCATCATCAGTTTAAGCTCGTACTGCTACAAGAAAGGACTATCACCAGAAATGACGTTGTAACGAATGACGCAGGCCCGATAACCCCGTACATGAATACCCGTGCTGACATGGACAGGATATCCTGAATTGCGAACGTGCCAACAACCTCAACCCAAACCACTGCGAGCGCAATTCCCATAATAGCCATGTAGCTTAGCCAGAGTAATGTGACAAAAGAACGTGACAAGTAGAGCTGGTCTTTGATGGTATCGTGTAGCCGTAGTTCTTCCTTTTCTCTCGCAGATAAGAGGCGGAAATCGGGATTGACGAATGCATCCGTGAGTCTGGCAGCGGGTTCGCTTGTTCGTGGAGGTTGCGAAACATCATACCCCCGGTTCTGTATAGACACTGTCACATCCTTTGCCGCAGCATCGCTGGCTTTCTGCGATTCACTCCCTCGATCGCGCCCACCAGAGAACCACTCCGCAACCGCCAGTGTAGGCTGTAGGAGGAGAAGAAGTGGAAGGATCTGGCCAAAGCTCATTTGCATCTCATCTTGCCGCACCTCCTCGTACACGCTGTACCGATTACGATAAATCTGTGTTACGCCCAGAGCGTTAGAGAAGCCAATCAGGATGAGTGTCGACATGAATGACTCGACAATCTCGACGACGAGGCATAATTGAATGTAGGCGGCAACCACGGCTCTATATTTCACTCGGACGATCCAGGACGGAAATGCTTGCGATATCAGCCGTCTGGCAGCGCGCTCGAGAGCTGCTTCGGGCTTGCATCGAAGCCAAAAGTCAAACTTGCGGCGGCTGCTATCAAACAACTGACCCATCTTCCACGCGTAACTCCCTAGAAGGGTGACTAGGGCTATGATCGTGTCGTCATTTAAAGCACTACGGTTCAAAATATCTGTGCTCCATAGACATTTTATCGGTGCGCTAGCCTGATGAGATGTCGGAATTCGGACGGCCTCGTCAAAGACCATTGCGGTCATGGGGATCATGGCGACGGTAAGTAGCAATAAAAGCACAAACATCCCTGAGATCCGTATGTTTCTGGCCAGGGTACTCTTGGTAGCTTCGATCTTACCAAGGCGGTTGTGGAGTATTGATAGTGCTGCTAGATGGACAGTTGAGCTCATCCATGCGAGGTACACAACGTATTTCCAGTGGTACATGTCCAGATCATACGAAAACGCTTGCACATACCCAGCTACTAGAATACCAATTCCAGTCATCAGCTGCTGATCAGCAAGAACAAGCATCACCTTCTCAAACGGCGGTCTCCATTTCCCTTCAGAATTGGCCGAGCGAGCACGGAAGCATGCTTTGTCTGCACGTCGAATCAGTCTGGATGGTAAGACCCCGCCCCAGTATGCAATCAGAAGCAGCAAGACGGCTGTATACGCCGTGATTAAGAATGCAGAGATGACCTGTAAACGCTTAACCAGAACTTCATATTCTTGTCTCAGAATTGCCTTACTCCTATCCCTGAAATATCCGAGTTTGCCTTGAGCACTTCTGTCGGTTTGCAGCCAGTCAAGATGGCGCACTTGTCTGAGGTATGCACATTTATGAGAACGTAAGGCCTCAGTTGAATGGTAAGGGAGTTACTCGGCGCCGACTGTATGGTGGATGTCCCTGTGCCAAATATTGTGCTTGTCGCTGCAACCAATGGATTTACAGTACAAGAATAAGTGGTCGCTGTGGGATAAACCTCGACCGCCCACCCATCATGTTTATTTGTGTTGGTCTGCGGGATATCCATAGCACCTTGCCATGAACTCGGACACTGAACGTCCACGAACGCAAGCAAAGTGACAAAATATCAATGACCCCTACTCAAGTGAACCAAGTTCTACGTTCAATCAACTGAAATGTATCTCACAGTTTCCACTCTCTGTAGAGTAGATATTCGTGGCAGTTCCTGAAACATGGGGGCGCCAGTCAGCATCAGGCTGCGCCTGACTGCTGCAGCCCTCTACTCTACCTCATAGGAGTATGGACCAATGACATGCTGTCCATCGACAATGGCCAACTCAAAAATGCGTGTGATGTCGTCATATTTTATGAGGCTCCCGGTACCAGGATATGTATGTCGGATTTATTGATTGCACGACGACATCATCTGTCGTGGTATCATGATGCGTGAAAAGTGGTAAATCCTCTCGATGACACAACGACTTGTCTATGCTAGGAAGTATTGTTCAAGAAAGTCGTTTGATACAATTAGCCTAAAAAAAACCTGGCAGCAGAAAGCCTCTAACTAGAGCGGATTCTGACTAAGGTCACGATTGCTACGATGTTAAAGTAGCCTTGATGTATGGGCTCAATGACAGGCTGTGTTGTCCAGAAGAGGTTATCTTGAACTGCAATGATGCACAGCTAAAACTAGTCAACCCCTAGTCTAGTCTAGTCTAAGTGAAATCCATCTGCTGCCTCTTATATTACATTGTACCGCTAAACGTAACTATACCATGTTTACTCTGCTTTCTCTGACTTGCTTTACGAGCCCATCGTATACCGCACGATCATTGCTTTTGATTCTACCGGCAAATAGTACAGAATTTGAGGTTTTGTGTTCGACGTTCGCTTAGTGTGCGGTCGGTGTATGTTCCACGCAGAAAGCTTCAGTTGGGGATATCCGGAGGAGTCCGACCATGGCGTACACGGACATCCAGCATGGACAACAGAACAATCTACATTTTTATTGTTTGACGTGCATTCCAGAGCGTGATGAGATCTCTTCTCTTTAATATTGTAAGAATACAACAAGATAATTATATTTTCGAGCATCAAAGACCATATTGATCATAAGAGCGTTATTTCATGTCAATTTAACTCTAGAGCACTTCAATATGTCCCCCCACGCTATCAAGGACACCAGCGTAGATGAAGAAGTCCCATCCCGAAACTGGATGATGGGCACGGAAGCCTTCAAGCGGCGCATGCCCCACCACGAGGGAATGAAGGCGCTGTGGGAAACAAAGTGGAAGTTCCCCTGCAGCAAGTCACTGTACCCGTTCCACGACGGCGCATACGAGGACTTTGAGCCGGTCTTTGAGTCCCTTATGCGCAACAACGTCAATGATGGCACATCGGTCGAATACACGAACGCCTTCTTCCCCATGGCGGAGTCGCTGGACGAGAGAGGCGACGAGGCCATGGCCAGAGGCGACAAAGAGACCGCCAGCGCTCTGTACCTACGCGCGGCGTGCGTGCTGCGCATCGCGAGGTTTCCGTATATCACGGCCTTCCCCGAGGCCAGCTGCCCTGTGAAGTGGAAGGCGTGGGAGTTCCAGAAGGAGGTGTACATGAAGGCTGGTCGTTCATGGAAGTCACCTGTCACGGAAGTTGACATTCCACATACTCATAAAAATGATATCGACCGTGGCACAATCCCTGTTTATGTCCGCATACCGGAGAATGTAAGAAGTGGAGAGAAGTGCCCTGCCGTCTTACTCATGACAGGTTTAGATGGGTATAGGCCCGATAACACGGTCCGCTGCGAGGAGTTCTTGTCTAGAGGTTGGGCGGCCGTGGTCGCAGAAATTCCAGGAACTGCAGACTGTCCCGCTGATCCGGCTGATGCAGAGAGTCCTGATCGACTGTGGGATAGTGTCTTCAGCTGGATGGAGAGGGACGGTCGCTTCGATATGTCGCACATTCTGGCGTGGGGATTGAGCGCGGGCGGGTACTACGCCATCCGGATTGCACATACACACAAGAACCGTCTGCGCGGCTCAGTTGCCCAGGGCGCTGGGTGTCATTACTTTTATGATCGTGACTGGATGGACAAAGCCGATGGGCACGAATATCCATTCCAGCTCTCGCCGGCGTTCGCGATGAAACATGGGTACAAGAGCGTGGAGGAGTACAAAGAGGGAGTGCAGAAGAAGTTCTCGCTTCTAGAGACTGGGATCATACACAAGCCTTCGTGTAGGCTACTTCTGGTCAATGTAAGTGATGCTTCTCAACGGCTCGAATGTAGATGTACTGACGCAACATTCCAGGGTACCCTTGATGGTCTCATGCCAATAGAAGACTCAATGATGTTGTTTGAATATGGTACGCCAAAGGAAGCGCGTTTCTTTCCCAACGCATTACACATGGGTTATCCATTAGCGAACAACTCGGTGTATCCGTGGATGGAATCTGTGATGGGCAGATGAATTCAATTATCAACCGGCAAGAGATGCCAGAGGCAATCCGTTATGCTGTATTTATGAACAAGGAACTAGCATTCTTAACGTCTTCGATATGAAGCTTTAATCAATGACTCCTTTTAGCTAACTGAGAGATTGGACGCGTATCTGTATTTTAGGCTCGAAATCATTGTACTTCCATAGTTAGCCGTGACAATAACCTCAATGACGCGCGGAGGTTATCGTAGGTGCGATTTTATCGGCCAGGGTTTGATCTATATCCTCGACTCGGGTAATCCCGCTTTCTGCAGCTCAAGAAATCCTTTGTGCAACTGCGCGGCTGTAATTTGTGAATACCGACCCATGCCTACTCTTTGCCGTGATTTTCTGGCTTTCTTGCGGGTGTTGTTGAAGATCTTCTCATACCCTAATATATGTACAGCCGGATGAATGGGATTTCTTACGACTCGAGTCATATCCTGAAAGCCGGCTTCTGATGCTCAATCCATGTTTGTGGGAGGATGACATAGTCTGGTCTGCTGTCGCCTATGAAGACCTTTATTCGACGGCTTCACGTTTTTATGAGACGGGTCGACATGGCTCCTGAGGCTGCGTGGCCTTTCAGTAGATGTAGGAGACGATTGATCAAGACTATATGTATGGTCCATAGATAATACTTGACTGGGTTTGGAGATCTGGCGTTTGGGCGGGCTGCGAAACTACCATTTGCTGCACGTGAAGTCCGGCCCCATTTTCGTGCAGTCATGATTCTTGTGTGGGATTTCAGACTTGCAATTCTGACCACGAGTTTATTGAGTACTTAAGTACTTAAATACGATGGTACGAACTAAGCTAGGGTGATCTATACAGGAATCGAGAAAATCCCCAGAAGAATAGCATGAACCAAATTGTCAAACCACTTAAACGATGGGACGGGTCCAGAATGGAAGACAGGCCGGATAAGTAGCGTTCGTATGCAAAGATGGCGTGCGTGTCTGACTGTGAGTCGAGAGCACAGAACCGGGAAGCGCCAGGGATGGATGGGATGACTAAGTATAGCTGGCTGCTGCTTACTGGGATTGTGCCTCTGTCGGCTATGTACCTTGCTCAAACTGGGTGAAGCTGATTGGAGGGTGACTCTGAAGATTGCAGCCACAGGATGAATCCTACGATATGTACCAGTGCTTGTTAATACTCTGTGCCATGTGTTCCTGGTCAATGCTCATGTTTTGTGCTGTACGAAGCATGAATTATGGCCGACATGGCGCTTGGAAGCCTAGTGCGTGTACTTGACAGGTATTCAGAGGAACCTGCGCTCAGCCGTACCTGCCTACCTACCTAGCTATCTGTAAATATGATTGTGAGTTTGCTGTTTTCAGAGGTCGGAGATACGTGGACGAAAAAGTCCAATTGCAGAGTAAGCGGAGAGTAAGGTAAGCTCCAGCATGTGCAGCGCCTCTCAAGACAATTCTGGATCCTCACCTTTTGGAAGCAGGGCGGCATCGCCGCGGCTCGATTCCGACGGGCTGGGGGCGAAAAGCACGTCCCTCTATGCGCGCCTGGAGGACCCTGCATATCTAATATTTCATATTTCGTTATTGGGGTGCTGGGTAGTTTGGGCTGGGCATGGATTGCAGCGAGTCTCAATGCGATCGCGGGGCAATTTGCAATGTTCAAAAATACATGCCGTCCTTCTGCTTGGCACGTACACAATAGAAGGCGGCTCTGATCCATCCCACCAACCCACTTTGCCGCGAGATAAAGTAGTGGACACAGTCATACCTCATACATATTCACCTACGAGTGAGTCAGAATTCTCGACCATAAAGACGGCGCTTGATCACTTTGCTATTCGCTCATCTTCATTGCTCGACATCTCACTCGTCAATTCCCTCCCCTCCCTCTCTCTACACATCGCAACCAATTCGGCAGCAAACATGGACGGACTGAAGCAGACATTCCGGCGGTGCAAGGCCGAGAAGCGAGTATGTTTGTTTCTTATTGTTGTTCCTCTTCCTACTCCTCCTCAAGATACGCATACGTCATACCTATCTTGACGAGCACCACCTGTCTATCGATTCAACTTGGATCAATCTATCCCAGACAGAAAGTTACAAATGCTAACCACCGACCTTCTATAGTCGGCATTGGTGACCTATGTTACTGCCGGTTTCCCCAAGGCCGAGGACACGCCAGCTATCATGCTGGGCATGCAAAACGGTGGTGCAGGTACGTCTCTTGCCTCCCTTAATCCTTGACCCTCACGCGGGGGGAAAAGAACGAACGAATGCTCACCACCTCGCTACAGACGTCATAGAACTCGGTGTCCCCTTCACAGATCCCATCGCCGACGGCCCTACCATCCAGACCGCCAACACCGTTGCACTGAAAAATGGTGTTACCGTCCGCTCCGTACTGCAAATGGTTCGCGATGCCAGGAAACAAGGAGTCACAGTCCCCGTGCTGCTGATGGGCTACTACAACCCCTTGTTGTCGTATGGCGAGGAGAACCTGCTCAGGGACTGCAAGGAGGCCGGCGTCAACGGATTCATCATCTGCGACCTGCCACCCGAGGAGGCCGTTTCCTTCCGCAAATTCTGCAGCAGCGGTGGCCTTAGCTACGTTCCTTTGATTGCCCCCGCCACCAGTGATACCCGTATGCAGCTTCTCTGCCGCCTCGCCGACAGCTTCATCTACGTTGTTTCGAGACAAGGTGTTACCGGTGCACAGGGCTCCCTGAACGCAGGCCTCCCCGCCCTCGTCGCGAGAGTCAAGAAGTACAGCGGAGACAAGCCCGCCGCTGTTGGATTCGGTGTTTCCACTCGGGATCACTTCAAGAGCGTCGCTGAGATTGCTGATGGTGTCGTTATTGGTTCTCAGATCGTCAGCACACTCCAGAAGGCCGAGGCTGGCAACGGCCCCAAGGCCGTCGAGGAGTACTGTGCTTACGTTTCTGGTCGCGATGCCTCGGCCCAAGACGAGCACACCCGTGAAGTCGGCATCATCGAGGCCATCAACGCTGCCAAGGAGCCCGAAGAGGCGCCCACCGTCGAGGCTGTCATTACTGACCACGACCACGACACCACCGACTTTGTGTCCAAGCTTGGTACCGTCATTCCCGACCGTTTCGGTGAGTTCGGCGGACAGTATGTTCCCGAGTCTCTGATGGACTGTTTGTCAGAGCTCGAGAACGGGTTCAACGCCATCAAGGACGACCCCCAGTTCTGGGAGGAGTACCGCAGCTACTACCCCTGGATCGGTCGCCCAGGGCACTTGCAACTTGCTGAGCGCTTGACCGAGTATGCTGGAGGTGCAAACATCTGGCTGAAGCGAGAGGATCTGAACCACACTGGTTCGCACAAGATCAACAACGCCCTGGGTCAGATTCTGTTGGCCAAGAGATTGGGCAAGACCAAGATCATCGCCGAGACTGGTGCCGGACAACACGGTGTAGCTACCGCGACTGTTTGCGCCAAGTTCGACATGGAGTGCACTGTCTACATGGGTGCCGAGGATGTTCGCCGCCAGGCCCTGAACGTCTTCCGCATGCGCTTGCTTGGAGCCAAGGTGGTTGCTGTCGAGGCCGGGTCCAAGACACTCCGTGATGCCGTCAACGAGGCCATGCGCCAGTGGGTGACCGACCTTGACAGCACACACTACATTATCGGATCGGCTATTGGTCCTCACCCCTTCCCGACCATCGTGCGAACCTTCCAATCGGTCATCGGAAACGAGACCAAGCAGCAGATGCAGGAGAAGCGTGGCAAGCTGCCCGATGCCGTCGTCGCCTGCGTTGGTGGTGGATCCAACGCCGTGGGTATGTTCTACCCCTTCAGCAACGACCCTAGCGTGAAGCTTCTGGGTGTCGAGGCAGGTGGTGATGGTGTCGATACCGCAAGACACAGTGCCACTCTGTCGGGAGGTACCAAGGGTGTCCTGCATGGTGTCCGCACCTACGTGCTCCAGAACGAGCACGGACAGATCTCGGACACTCACTCGGTATCTGCTGGTCTTGACTACCCCGGTGTCGGTCCCGAGCTGGCTTCCTGGAAGGACAGTGAGCGCGCCAAGTACGTCGCCGCCACTGACGCAGAGGCTTTCCTCGGCTTCAAGTTGCTGTCGCAACTCGAGGGTATCATCCCTGCCCTGGAGAGCGCCCACGGTGTCTTTGGTGCTATCGAGCTGGCCAAGACCATGAAGAAGGGCGAGGATCTTGTCATCTGCCTCAGTGGCCGTGGTGACAAGGATGTACAAAGCGTGGCAGACGAGCTGCCTATCATTGGACCCAAGATTGGCTGGGATCTGCGTTTCTAGGCTTATGGGCGGCTGCTCCTTGAGCGCGTGCGAAGAAAATTGAATGGTATGCAGTTGTTTAGTTCGGAGTTGGCGGGGAAACATGTCATTTTCGGCATTATTGGTGCATTGAGTATATATCTCAAAATCTCTGTATATAGTGGTAGAAGGGTAGAATGGTAGAGAAACGTTAGACCGAAACGATACAGGGTTGGAATTTGGTCTGATTTAACAATTGGCTGTGCTTGAATGATCCATCTTTGATGTCTATATTTGATCCCGGGCATGCCACAAATCCTTAGTACATGGTATGGTACAGGCCTAATCATTCTCGTCCGGCTCGGCGTATATTGTACACTTGGAGAAGACTGGTCTGGCGTCTACTTCCTCTTGATATCCTGGGGAAGCTCCTGAGCAGCTCCCCTAGCCTCCTCGGCCTTGCTGGCGGGTTCCTCGGCCATGAAGTTCTCGCCCTGGACGTCCTCGCCAATGACGAACTCATCTCCCCGGTCGAGCATGGCATCGATCTCAGCCATGTCCTCGGCGCTCGGCGCCTCCTCCAGACCGTCGGCCGCGGAGGAGGAGGAGGAGGAGGAAGTAGAAGCCACCTTGGGCGGCAAGCCCAGGGCCTCCCTCTCCCTGGCCCACCTCTCCTGCACGGGGGCGCTCTGCATGACCTTCCACCTGAGCCTCCAGCCGGCGGGGCCCAGCTCCCGGACACGCCGCTGCTTGGTGCCGAGGAGGTACTCGTCGATGCCGCCGAGCTTGTCGACGGTCTTGAGCACGTGGGCGGTCAGGCGGGTGCGCACGAACATGTTGAGGGCGGGGCTCCAGAGGCGCTTCGTGTGCCGGTTCGGCCGCCACGACGTCGCCGACTTGATCATGTGCGGCTCCGACACCGTGTTGCCGAACTGGATCTTGGACGTCCCGTACAGCCCCGAGTTGCGCTGCTTGTACCACCGGAACGGCCCGTAGGGGTAGTCGGGCACCTTCTCGAAGGGCACCTTGAGGTGCGTGGGTGTTTGTCGGGACGCGGGGGACGTGGTGCTGAAGCTCCGTGACGACGACGACGACGCTGGTGACGATGATGGCGAAGGAGAGGAGGCAGAGCTCTGGGACAGGGTGAGCAGGCGCAGACACCGGGTGGGTGCTGCTGCTGTTGGCCGGAGGGCGGCCATTGTATCTGTCGGGGGGCGACTAGTTTGTCGCTTGGAGGCGAGATTGTTTGGGACCTCGACGTGCTTCTGTGGCAGATGACTGTTCGGTGGAGGTGCGCAATTGGCGCTTTCGTCCCTAGCTGACTGTTCGCAGTTGGCTGGAGCTTGAAGCTCTGGATTAAGGGAAAGATTTCTGGGGTCGCATGTTTCCGGTTCGCGATGGAAATTTCGACCGGGGTTTTCCCGCTAGTTTTAGGCTCGATCTTTGATGGGATGGATGGATCAACAGGGGGGTGCTTGAACAGCGACAACGTTGATGTTGACAACAGCCCCTCCCATTTTGTAGGTCTTTTTTTGTTTTGCCAGCAGGAGGCAAGAGTAAGAAAAGAAGGAAGAAGACAAGAAAAAGAAAAAAGAAAAGGAAAAAAGAAAAAAGAAACACATTTATTTCAAGTGTTTGATGCCGACTGCCATCTCCATGTTTGCCTCGCCTTCGCGTGTCGAGCTCAAGCTGTGATGGTATCACAATTACACGTGCCGCACCCTTCACCGTAACGTAGCCAGGTGATACCGCGGTAGCCTCGTGCAAATCAGTTCGGATAATGTACACTGGACTCGTAATGCCAACACCATAAACGGGAAAAAGGCGCGACTACACGAGCATAATGCTACCGCTGATAGATGATGCGGTTATACAAGCCAACCCTGGGTTTGGTCAACTCTATGATACACTCACGAGCGACATTCTCCACCCCGACGGCTCGACCAAGAATGACAAGACTACTAAGCAGCGAGATGAAACTCGAAGAGTGAGTGGCATTTGTACATCCACGGGTTCCTGGCAACCCTCGGCTCCAGTGCTAATCTTGCCCATAGGAACTCGGCGAGTATCGCTTCAAAGCCACCAGGAGGCATCTCCTTAAGCACGCTTTGGCCACAGCGGCACCGCCTTCATCACAACCTTCAGCAAAACACCCAACAAGTTCAAAATCACAATCATCAAGAGACGCGGTTCCACCCCCATCGGAGCTCTTAGATCTATTACTCCTCATGCCGTCATTCCTGGATCAGGGCCGCACTTTGCGACCGGCTGACCTCGAACTCCTGCTTTCGAGTTCCCCCTTTTCAGACTTCCCAGTCCTCTTGCCACAACTCACCGCCATACTGTCATCGCATATCACAGCACAAGCACGTGGCCTGGCGAGAGTGCTTCACCCAACGACCAATCCCTCATTCATTCATCGCGCCATCCCCCATATCCTCCCAACAACGCAGGCTCTGCTATTAACACTATCAAATAATCGCGCGAATCTCACAACGAAACGACTAGCCACTACTTCAAATCTGGTCAGCCACTTAAATCAGCACACAGAAGCACTGTGTCTGCTTCTGCAGGCTCTCGAGGACAAGCATGGTCCGGCCGCGCTGTCTAGCAGCCTGAGAGCCTCGGAGGCGAGCCTGAAAGCACAGCTCTGGGCCACTTCCATGGACCTGCTTCTCTGGGAGACGCGTGCTCACCTTTACCCGCCAGAGGGACAGACAGCCCTGAACAACTACCAGCGCCACCTACGGGACGCTCACATGCAGCTGTCTAACAAACTTCGCACCCGAGAGTTAGAGCTGGGAGAGTATGGCGTCTTCATCAGTGCCGAGGAGGGAGGACTGGGAATTGGTCGTGCCGACGAGTTGAAGGAGCGCAAACTCCGCGAAATGGCCAGGGTGTGGAAGGAGATGGAGCACCGATTGAAGGATGTAAACCGTGATCTCAAACGACTATCAAGGGGCTGAGCCAGTTACCTTACCGCCGGAATGCCCAATTGTCTCATGTTCGGCTGTAACCTAACGAGGAGCACCAGGCTTGCTGTTGGAGGCCAGCAACAGCAGAATGCAGTGTTAGCGTCTTGCCCCTCCCGGGATGGCATCAGGTCCACGGAAAGGCTAATTCGGAATTGGGGGAAGCTGCAGTCCACAGCTGCATCTGCATATAAATGACGCAAAGCTGCATCTGTAAACTCAGTCAATGGAAGGGGATACATCTGATGGACATATTAAAGACGTAAATCGCATGGTTCCAGTTGCTGCTATCTGACTTTAAGTACGACCACCTTATCGCAAATTCGAGCTTGTATAATTCCAACAATTACGCGCCCATCTTTCCCATCAGCAAAAAAGGAAAGGAAAATAAACACAAACACGCAGCACCAGTATCATGTCCGCGCCAAACAGCGAGCGCCGAAAAGCCCGCCAGACCCTCTTCGACGAGGGCCTGCAGATACGCCGAGAGGTGACGGGCGCCGCGCACGTCGAGCGCTCGTGGGCCGCCGCGCCGGACTTCTCGCGCCCCATGCAGGAGCTGGCGACCGAGGCGGGCTGGGGCCTGATCTGGGGCCGGGGGGACGGCGGCGGCGGCGGGCTGGACCGCCCCACGCGCTCGCTCCTCAACGTCGCCATGCTCACCGCCCTGGGCAAGGGCACGGAGCTCGCCGTCCACGTCCGCGGCGCCCTCAACAACGGCTGCACCGAGCTCCAGGTCCAGGAGGCCCTGCTGCAGGCCGCTGTCTATGCCGGCTTGCCGGCCGGGCTCGAGGGGTTCAGGATCGCGCAGAAGGTCGTGGATGAGGAGAGGGAGAAGAGGCAAGGGAGAGGGGATGATACCGGGCCGGAGGGGGCCGGCACGGCTCGGTCTGGTTGAGTCATTGGATGAAGTAGAAATCCGAACTGTGCTTTTTATATACCGAGGCCTTGTTGAAGTGGTACCATGTCTTACTCTAAGATTTACTAAATGGTTTCAGCTAACGCGTACCGAAGCTATTATCTAAGGGACATGCGGATACTTCATATATTAACCGATGATATCGAGCAATAATTAATTCCTCCCAATATACATTGTAAGACGTGATTACAAAGCGATGCGTCCATCGTTGACTTGGGAACCGAGCAGCTGTTTATAACCAGCTGCGGCAAAACGTACATGAATACAAATTGTCCGGCCTAAAGTTCACCGATGACCTGCTGTCTGTCCTGCCCCGCATCAACCACAGGCGCAGTCCGGCCGTCCTCTTCCTCGTCTTCGATGACACCAACAACGAAGAAGTCCTCCACGACCACCTTGCCCTGCTTCATCTTCTCCAACAGCTCCGGCACGCACGTCCCCGGCTTCAACACGTTGCACCTGGCCTCGGGCCACTCGGGGACCTCGTTCTTGACGTCCCAGGTGTTGTGGGGGCCCTCGGTGGCGAACTCGTCCGTAGTGGCGGCGAGCCCCGTGGGGATGTCGAGCCCGAAGGTCGCGCGGTTGAAGATGGACCAGGCGGCCGCGGGCTGGTAGCTGGGGACCTCGTGCCCGGACTGGAAGACGCGGGAGAAGCTGAAGTTGCCGAACTGCCGCGTGAACCCGCTGTGGCCCCCCGGCGTCAGCAGCGGCGCGTAGCCCGCCTCCGCGAAGTCGGATCTTCGCGAGTACGGCACCGCCAGCGACGAGGCCTCGCCGCCTACCCAGTTGCAGGCGTAGTCGCGGTCGCCGTACATCATGTGGACCTTTTGGTTTTTCATACACATGTCAGTGGACGAGGAAAGGTGGGGTGGCGAATAAGAGTCGTGATGAAAGGGGCACAGGATGAGAGGGGACATACCTTGACGCCGGTGTCGAGCAGATAGCCGATGGCCTCGAGGAAGCCGCCGTGGTATATATCGAAGGTCTCCTGGAACTTGGTCCCCACGGCGTCTGAGTGCTCCGAGTAGTTCACGGGAACACCGAGGGCTTCGAGCACGGATTCCTGGGTCAGGTATCCGTACACTTTTGCAACGACGTGAGCTACAATTTTTCTGTTTCGACGCTTGCGAACGATTCATGACCACTTACTGTAGGGTGCGGGAAACGGATCCTCCTTCGGATGCGCAATATCATACCATCCATGACCGCTGTTCTGGTACATAGAAACCGATTCTCCGAACCCGCAGCTTCCGTTCATCGCACCGCATATCTCCCTCCAGTCCTCACCGTTGCTGCTGGAATTGTAGCCGTCACGTGCCTTCAGTGCCTCCTGGCACGCAGCGAGCCCCTCCTTGCAGCCGCCGGGCTTGATCCACTGATGCATCAAGTAATCGTGGGCGGATTGGTTGAAGGCTTGAATGCCGTAGGTCTGCAAGTTCATGTCAGTGCGGTCGGGGAAGTCTATCGCCCTTCCGGAGAAGAGCTAGGTGCCAACGAACGTTGTTATATGCGTAGCTGATGTACGACTCGCCCGCTATGAGCATATCGATAAGCCCGTTGACGATACCCAAAGTGTCGAGGTGAATATAATGTGCGTTCTCCTCCGGCGAGCTCCCGTTGGCGATCTTCTCGTTCTGCTGCTGGAAGAACCTGAAGATGCCCGGTCCATAGTGGCCGCCGTAGCTCTCGGCCCACAAGCTGATCCTGTTGTCGTTGGGTTTATAAGCCGGAAACTCAAAGAACCAGGTCTGGGCAAAGTGCCAGAGCGCGTGGGCTGCGAAGGCCGTGGTGTTGGCCGTGCGCTCCAGGTCCTGGCTAGAGAAGGTCCCAACGCGGTGGGTGAAATTGCTCAAAGGGACTCCGTCGGTGAAATCACTGGCAACGGTTTCCCAAGAAGCCTCGTCCTCTTCAATCAGCCGCAGTGTGCCGTTGGTTGGGATGTCGTATGAAAATCCGACCTGAGTTGGCTGGTCGAGATAAAGCATGTTGACCTCGTTGTTCCAGCTCCAGGGATTGAGGTATGTCGACTTCGAGTCCGGACCTACAAAGCAAGGCCCATTCTCCTCGAGCAATCTGGCCGTGTGAGCTTGCCATATCATTATATGGTGTGAGGGACCGGGAGATCGCTTACCCCATCATGGACGAACCGCCTGGCCCGCCATTGAGCCAGATTGCCAATGGGGCATTGTGAGGGTCTATTCTTGACTCGAAGAACCAAAAGAATCTTGAATGATTGCTTAGTATTCGTAATTTTGGTCAATATGGCGATGTGGTAGTATAGTCTCACGTATTAATGGGATAGTTCTGGACCTCGCCGGTATCATCTAACAAACCGGCAGGTAGATGAACATATCCAGAGTATGATTTGACACCTGGTGTAGTCTCGCATATCTTGGGCTAACGGTGAGGTGAAAAGTCAGTCCAGTTCATCTTCGTCACATTAATAAACTTGGCTTGCCTCCTTGTAGGAAATGGTGACGTTTTCGTGAAACTTGGATTTCAGCACTGTGATCCCTTTTGGCTCGGGCGGGAACTGAGCCACTGCGACGCTCAAAAGAGAGCCCCAAACCAATTGCTTCAACATCATTTTGCAACAACCCTTCTCACTCACTGAGTAAGTTCGATTGATCAATTGATTAAAAGAACATGAAAGCCAAACACTTGGAACAATTATGGTGCTTTTGATATTCGAGTATCGGCGTTGTCGCTGGTTGCCTGCGGCATAGCAACCTGCTTGATTCGTTGTAGCGCTTACTGGAGGACGGCATAACACAGGACATGCAGGGGTTCAATGCCGCGATCCCACTGTGCTGGAATGTATCCCGAACTCCGGCTCGCTGTTGCAAACGCGGGATGGAGTGCGATATGATCATTCCGTCTCACTGTCATATTCATATTGGTTTTTGTCATCTTGCCATCTACTACACAATGCAATTCTTATCCAATTATCTGTCATTTGTGGCGAAAACGGTACACCCTAACCGTCCTTTTTAATTTTTAATTTTATTAACAGCAGACGTGTAGGTTTGATTGGAATGGAATATACCAGCGAAGGCAATCTTCGACATCATGACCGAAGACCTAACAAAGCAACCAGTGATCATATCAGACCAGGCGAGCAATATTGCACATCTCAGTCGTCAATATGCAGAGCTAGCGCAGTTATACAGTCAACCTATGTCAACGATCAGACGTCAGACGCAAATGGTCGCAAGACCTTTCAACAGTCGCCCCTTAATAACTACCATTGGAACTAGCGAAGACGGAAACTCATTGATCTTATTCGTTGTCAGAAGCCGCCATCCAGAATTGGAAATGTATCCTGCGGATTGCCAAAAAGTGACCATTAGTTAAGTCACCTTCAAGGAGAGCCAACTGCCAAGCCGGGGTGGATTATCTATAACTCATTAAAGTCGCGTTAGAGAAACTGAATATAATGGTGTGTAGCTTACTCAACTGTACTCTACTTAACGTTTGGACCTGTGGCCACCTTGCAGTTCGTGGAATACCATGAAAGTGGGATAGATTAATTTAACCGCGTCAACAGCCCAAATAATCATGGCGATATTCTCAAATCTACCACCTGGCACCACTCAGCAAACCGACGACCTTCATGGCTCGCCATCCCGACAACTCTGGCTCAGCACCGCCATCCGTAACCCAGGTCCCTGTATATTTTCACATATTGTGATTGGTATTTGATCATACACTTTGCCGTAAAGCAGTTATTGCACCCGTTTCGTCGGTATATCTTTCGCCAAGGCCCAATTCACATAACCTATATCGATCCCCTGCAGTATGGAATGTCACAAAACCCATTGCATGCTCGTGCCATGCTCGCGCATAGCGATCTTTACCATCGAGAGAAAGGCAAATGCGGTGGTGCGCTTCCAAGTTTTCCTCAATGATATCCTGGAGAACAGCGTAGACGTTCCTCCTCTCGTAAAATGCCCTGTTGTGTATGTAATTGTGCTTCTCCCCGGCCTTCTCTTCCTTATAGAATCTGATGGTCACTTATTAGCCCCCAGCCAATATCTTCGGTAGGAGTGATGCAAGAGACTCACGACAGGATATCGTTGGTAAGGTTGAGATAGGTGTTCATGTCCGAGATTGCCTCTATATAGCATGATATATCCGGACAACAGTCTCTCGGGAAGCTCAAGTATGCAAAAGCCTCAGCTACACCGACTTTATCGCGTATATAGAACGGCCAGCGTTGGCCCCCGGCAGTACGAGCTATCTTTGGCAACGTGGAAAGTTCTAGCGTAGTCGCATTGGTGAAATTGAGCGATGAGGTGACAATAAAGTTCGCAACGACTGGTGAGTAGTACTTGTAGCAGAGCCGCAGGTGTTCCGCCCAAGACTGGGCGATGCTGGACGCCTGTTGTAAGCCACCGTGAAACCGGGGAAGGAATTCCTGCCATTCGGCTGGGTGAACTTCCGCCTCATGGTCAACGAGGACTGCGAGCCAGGCATATATGCCCGTATATATGCGCACATCAAGCGGGTGATTCGGGTAGCAAAACTTGGAGAAGCTTGATCAGCATGGTTCGGCGCAGACACGCAACTAGCTACATAGCGTACAAGAGCGTAGTATACACCTGTTCTAAATGACTGAGAAGCTCGACGGCCTTCACAATATGGTATGCCAGTGTGGTATGCATATTCGTGCATGCCCTTTAATAATGTATCCAGATCATCACCTGGTATGGCCCCTTTATACTCAATGTTCTGGACAAACTGCTTGATCAAGGGCTTGAGCAGACGTTCAGTGCTGTTGTCAGTATCAAGCATAGGTGCTACTGTGGCCGCCTTGACGGGGGACTTTGACGCAATCAAGTGTCGTAGTCGTGTTCCGACCATATCGAATTCGAAAGACATGGCAAGGGTTTTGAGAATTTGATGTTCCAAATCAAGGTATGATAAATTTCTCACTCTTAAAAAATAGAATCTAATAGTCCATAGTCTGTCAGATGACGCTCTATTTGTACTCTAGCAAGGAATAATGGCGCTAGTTATATATGCGGCTTCCTTCGATAAGACCCATCGTAGGTGTCGCCCGATTGGTTACCAGTGGTTTGGAGCACGATTCTTTACCAAGGAAAAGGATTCGTATCGTTGTGTCTTTTTTTTGATGCAATACGCGATGTACTGTGTGATTGGTTGCTACCGTAGTAGCGACGATCATATGATAAGAATCGTATCATGGTTCACATATGTGCAGCGCCAATCATTCTTGGTGGTATCGAAGCTTGGGGTCATCAGAGGGCGCTTTCTCAAAACTGTGCCACGAAATGCTGACGTATGATCTGATGGGCATTATCTTGATCCCGAACTACAAGAGACAAGAGTTCTGCACCAGCTATCATGTCGTGGAGAATCGTATCTGCTGGTCAAAGAGGATGAATTAGACAATGCTGAATAGCTCTCGATCCTACGATTGCTAGATCTTCGATGCTCGATGTTATAACAGTGTGATAGTGACATTGAAAAGCAGGCAAGGTCGTCCGCTAGGCCATGTTGACCTTTCGGGGATTGTTTATTTGCCCCTGTCCGACCGGTTTTTAGAAGACCTCTTGTGGTAAAAATGTAATATTAATAGGCATAGTAGCTTGAGCTGAAAATTTGCAAGTGAGGTTTGTGTCTAATTCACGAGTCGACTAGCACGTTGTTTATGTCTGTGGTGCTGGTATCAGGCGGCATAGCAGAGGCTTACGGTCCCAAATGACGTAGACTTTCTGATCAAGCCAATCCGGCCCAACATCTGACTCGAGATCGAAGTTGTACAGTAGTGTCCCGAGCAAAATTCGCATCTCATGCCAGGCCAAGTTCATACCAAGGCAATTCCTAGGCCCAACAGAGAAGGGCTGGTGTGAGTCCCGATTGTCGCCCTCATACTCCGGGTCTCCCAACCAGCGTTCAGGTACGAAACTGTCTGGATCCCTGCATTGGAAGAAATTTTGATTAATACGAATGTTCTGTTGTTCATTTGGTCTTTGACGGGCTTGCCTGAAGTTTGCTGGGGAGTGGTAGGTCGCAAATTGGTGCACAGACACACGAGTCCCTTCCGGAATCCATTTCCCCAATACACGATTACCACCTTTTGCTATCTCGCGAGGAATACCGGATGGAATGGATGGATATACTCGTAAACCTTCACGAATACCTGTAAAGATACGTCAACTTGGTATGGCCATAAACAAACAGGTAACAGGGTGTGGTACAGGCGTTCAAATAATCCAATTGAGCAAGCGTCTCAAAAGTAATGTCTCTGCTACTATTGAAACGCTTTCGTATTTCATCTGTTAACATCTTTCTCTTGTCGGGATTCATAATCAGGTGATAAGTCAAGCCTGTAAGAAGGGAAGCTATTTGGGTCAACATGTTAGTGAGCATCTACTTGTCAGGACCGGAGACGACCAACCAGTAGTTTCTGTACCGGCAAGCATAAAAAGTTCGGCATTTGTATGCATCTCCTTGAGAGTAAGAATGTTGGACTCTACTACTAAATTCCACAGGTCGGGATTGTCTGAGCCTTCTTTAAGACGTTTGTCGACGCGCGAAACGGTGTGATTGAAATGATCTAAGCGCATAGCGGCGATCGATCTGGGCTCTATAAGATCGTATATCTTCTTGAGCGCTGGATAAAACTCAATCATCTGGATGAATGGGAGAACCTTGGAGAACAATTAGCGCAAGCCAATGGCAATGTGCTTGAGTCGAAGGCCTGACCTTGACAGACTTAAACACTATCGCGATCCATGATGAGTATGCGCCCCTTTCTAGAAGGCCCAAGGACTCTCCAAAAGCTAACTCGGCCATGATGTCGAAAGTGGCCCAGTTAAGTAGTTCAGTCATGTTAATAGTGCCAGCGCCACGGCCCTTTTTTACCACGAGATCGGCATATTTCTGGAACATTGGTTCTTGAGCCCGTAGAGCTTTTTCAGAGAAAGCTGGGGAGAAGACACGTCGAATCGCCGCATGACGTTCTTGATCGTTTTCTGTCACCAGGTTAGGCGTCCCATTGGCAGAAGGTGCGTGGAACTTGACTTCCTTCCCATTCTCACTCTTGCCTTTCTGTACGCCCGCGATATCTTTCCAGGCCCTCCCATCAGCATAACTCAAGTCATTGGGTCCAAATCTCACGACTGATCCATAATTTCTATGGAGACTAGTAATATACCTGACTTGATTTCCCCTCAGGCAGGCTAGCCAGTAGGGTATGCGACTTATAGCCGATAGCTTTGGACCAGGGATGTCACGGAGTGGGTGCAAATAAATGGCGTACAAGGGATATGATAGCGCGACTGTTATCGCCAATGTTGCGAAAAGCCCAAACGTATTGATATCTTCCATCGCGCTGGTGGGATTATTGCATAGCGGGTGCCTCTCATTTACACGGCTTTGCAGCTATGCTGGATTGCTTCTTATAACACCAGGAAATGACATGCGAAGGAGCGCAATGTCATCACATGATTATTTACCAGAAACGTGAAGTGACGATAGGAAATCTTCCTGTATGCTGCAACAAACAACCTCGAACGTACATGGAACTTCAATGCGTTTATGCAATCGTTGTGAGTGGACTGTGCCGCCTTACAGCGTCGATGAATGCCGGTCTCTGCCATCAAGCCCTTGCCCACTGTGACCTCCAATTGTCAGCCAAGACCCATGTGGTTAGGCATTGTGAGCTGGCATCCCAAGGTCGCTGCTTTCTTACTATTTATGTCAGACGGGCCACACCTGAGCGGCGTTGCTTGCGTGTTCACTTATGTTGTTGCGATCGTCATTGCTTGGCTCGCAAATCAGTTGACAGTCGAAAATCCCTGCTGTGCATCACAATCGTTACTACACAACGGCGCCAGTAACTGTTAAACCGTCGCAGATATCGATCACTGTTGCCAAGCCGCATTTAATTTTCTCGCCAGAATCACCTCACTATAAAGCGAGTGCACGGCTCATTCGGAACATGCTAAGATATAGTAGTGCTGGCTGAAAAGCGTCGAGCATTTAAACCTGCAATTCTCTTATGAGCTGTTGGGCTTCAGGATGGCTTGACAGTACATACCATTGCTGATAACGGCTATCACTAGCACTACAAGCGCTGGTAATGCAGTGTCCTTTTCTTTAACAGCCACGAATCGAGCCTCAGTTCATGCAACAAACACAAGGACTTCCTACCAGACTTTGAGACCCAACGAGAATCAATGGGTCAACATCGAAAATGAGGGCGAAATTGCCGTTGTCAGTTTGACAAGTCATTCGGCTCTGTGATCGGCTTGCGGTGGCACCCCTTTGTGCTATTACTTTACAGCAGATTTCTGCCAGAGGTTTCACAAAACAACGATAACAACCTATACTCATTTAATATGATAAGAGCTCCAAAGCGTCAACAAATCTACTAATTCATGGTTCTGAAGGTAATTTAGAATTATATTACGACTAACTTTCCATCTTTGTGCGCGTACTACTTCCTACCACAAGAGAATGGGTCGCCAGTACTACTTACGATATACAGGAGCGGTGTTAATATATTTCACTGGCCCGGTATTGAGGGTAGCTTCATGCTCAATGCCAGAATCCTCGACACCATTACCATCCCACTGGATCGCACATTGCCCACCTAACGATAAGTGGAGGTATCCATAGTGGAAGGCGCACTGAGTTCCTAGACGAACTTAAGCCAATCACACCCACCGGCTATTACAACAATATTTATTACATCGAATAGCCAAGCAATAGCTATGTCATTCTCCCAGGCGTACATGGTCAAATCCAAAGTCTGCGTGCAATTCTAATAGCTACTAAAGGACGACTGGTCAGTATTAATGATGACCTTCATCTCCAATGGCCTGTGTAAGGCCCTAGAATTGGAAACTATGGGGTCATCGTTAGTCTCCGCTTCCTCATTCAGTTACACGACAGCCAGCTTTCTAAACAGAGATGGCGATAGATAATTTCAACAAATAACACTGGGGACTTGGCACAAATTCAATAAGAATTGTTCTGTGAGACCGTTAAGTTTCTCTGGACCGCACTTTCCAGGACGCCGTCCACGACATCAACAAATATGAGTAACGGGCGAGCATAGGTCCTTATTTTGGTATTCTTTCCTCGTGGGTCGAAACGAGTCCCAGGAATAGGAATCTCCTAGCGAACGGCCACGAATATCCTAAAAGGAAAAAAAATGCCGGGAATTGTGTACTATACTACACTGCTCAATATAGTAGCCGAGAGTCAGTATCTCTATCGCAGGAAACGGCTTGGGGTTGTATATAGCTTTGCTTGCACTGACAGCCCAGTGTGCAGAGCTAGGGCACAGGCCAGAGGGAAGCAGTGATTTTCTTTCTGCGTTCCGATTTGTATTGCCTCGAACTACTGACCCACTGTCTCGACAAAAATCACAGTCAATCCGACTGCTTGGACGATATCAGGGAGCCAGTCGTGGCGCCAATGGTCGCCACTCAGCGCACATTCTCTGTGCTGAGACTGAAGGAGGAGCTGGCACTGGTCTTGTTAAACAACCAACCACCAACAGCTTCATCCATGATAATAGCTCAAGATAATCAGGATACCACGGCACTTCCACACCCGACGCAGCTGGAAGACTCATTCATCAGAAACCAATGCATGCTCAGCGAGGATTCTCATGCGCTTCCCATCGTCCAAAGTGGTGTACTTACTCGAAGCGAATACGGCTCTGTGATGCACGAAGACCTGGATAAGGCGGTAGAGTCTGTTGCACGGATTACCAAAAATATCAAGGAAGCGAGGACCGATCTACCACGTGTGTACGTGAAATGAGCATCTAACGAGGAAGCCGGCCCCGAAGAAACCCGAGAAGTATGATTGCAGCAATTGACTCATCTCGGCGCACCCAAGCTTGCATAACATAGGGTATTGAAGCAGCTATACTGGCAAAGGCTTTGCTTTACTCACATGTGGCCGCTCCCGATTCTTGCATGGCTTTTTTCCATCAGTGACTAATCTACTACGGTGTAACTCTACGGTAGTCATGATTTGTCGAGACCGGCATTTCTTGGGAGATCAGAGCGCAGCGATCAGTTAAGTTGCCAACACGCGAAGAGCCAAAACACCCCGCCCCCCGAAAAAAAAAAAAGAAAGGGAAGAGTAATTGGCATTTTCAGTGAATTCTTGGAGGTATTGCTAACAATTGCATTTGGTAGATTAAGTACAGATTGACTTGGTGGTCTGGTTGCAAGGCAACACCCACTGCCGGTAATACGAAGCACTGACCCAACCACCGCTAACCGCCTCCACGATTAGCGCTACTCTTAGGAAGCCGCCACAACAGCCGGGAGTCGTACCAGATCCAACTAGAAGGCTTGAATGAACATGGAAGATCATACTTTCTCGGGAAGCTGCATGCCCACGACGTTACTTTGTATGCATGGCTTTTCCTCGATTGCTCGCTGGCCAATCACAAAAGTGAAGCGAGCCGACGAGATCATTCCGTGGAATATGTGCTCCAGGTACCTGCTGTTGTGGTCTGAACTGGCAAAATACTTCAGTCGTGCGAGCCCGATTTCCACGCTGGGTTAAGTTCTCGACGGGCTATCCCATCACCTTAAAACATCAGCTTTTTATCCAAATGACAAAGGGCTTGCTCATGGAGCCACTGAGATGCTCGATTATTTCAAGTACAGAAGAAATGTGTCTCACCAGAATTATCTTTGTATGTCAGCATGCTCTGCCTTCACAAGGCCGACTAAAAAGGCTGTAGATAAGCAATCGAGATCGGCTCCCGCAGCAATAGTTCGATACCGTCGACAGCCCGCAGGGTAGATTCAGGCTATTCCCGCCTAACCTGCCACGCAGTTTGTGCTGTATTTTGAGCTTTGAATACTTGGCAGACCAGCACAGCCACCAGACCGAAAAACACAACTAAAAAGCTCAAAGTTGACGCCATTCTCTGGTCTACATATCTATTCATTTCACCATGCTTTTTGCGCATATGAATACCTGTAGGGAGTACTCTCACTTCGTCCTAACCCAGAGGAGTTGAACAACACCTCAAGCCCAGGCTAGAGTCTCATGTTCACGAATGTCTTGGCGGCATCTTACGCAGCCGTACAGGGATGCCGCGCGGCTACTTGGCCCACGATCGAGCGGCAGGCCCGTAGGACGCCGGCGCACAAGATGATTGACATTTCGGCGCTTATTACTATTTCGGTAAATGTTCAATCGCAGCAGGACAAGACTTGGATGGGAAGCTTGTTCTGCCGAGACATAGATAGCGTGGCGCCATGAATATTGGCAATACCTTGGTCGGGTGCATCTAGCTCTGGACTCCCTCGGCAAGTCTCATGGAAAGTTGAGCCGTTCCGTGTACGTTCGTCATGTTACAATAGGTGGAATCACGACATGAATCAGACCATATTCTCCCCCGAACGCTCCCAAAGCAGTAGGACTTGTCTAGCTCCGAAGGTGGTCGATTAAAAGTAAGGGGTGCTTGCTCATGAGGTGCAATGATAAGCTTCCATCGATCTCTTGGGTAAATGCGGGAGCAAACCTGCCAAGATTCTTCCCACGGGGGGTTGCTTTTGTGTAGCCTAGTGCTCGCAACAGTGCAGCAGGTGGGAAAACAGAGGCTGGCACCAGCAGGAAACTCACCCATGCCTTTCATCTCAGGTGCGTCTTGGCGGTTCTAGGCTCAGACTTGGCGAGCTCTTGGACTACCATGACTTCTTGGAGTTTGCTAGGTTGGTTCTCTTCGAATATGATATCATTCAAGTCACTCGCGATGACATCGCGTTGACTGACTCCCAAACAAACGAATCGTAAAGCCCGCGAACCGGCCGTCAGATGAGCTTGAAGTGGAAGGTCTCTTGGGCATCATCTGTTGCCGAGACCCTTGGCATGGTATTGCGGGGCGGTAGTAACTTAGTGAGCAGGACCGACCCGGGGTCCCGCTCACACATGTACGTGTACAGACCACTCGGACCCCTGGCCCACCACCCACATCGATAATGAATGAATCGGACTCTCGGGGCCAGAGCGAAGCTTTCCGAGAAGCCTTCATACTGTCTTGATTACCTACCTCGTTTTATAAGACGTAGGTCTAGCTGCTGATAAGAGTAACGTATACACGCTCACACAGCCAGCAGTTGCTTGTCCTGATTGGTTCCAGGGGTCCAGTCTTCTGAACTATCTGGGTTAATTCACGTTTTCTTTTCCCTGTGGTTATCTTGAACGCCAAGATCCAGAACAGGGGCATGTAGTGATTAGATCCGCTCGCATGCTTCCGATGACCGTTCAATATTAATTGCTGCTGCACCCACTGGTAATTGTGCAATCATCTCTACCACAACTTTCGTTCAGTCAACACGGGCCGTCAATATGTCGAGCCAAATCGAGGCGAAAAACGTCAACACGGCAGAGGGTATCCACGAAAAGACACCCTCCGAAGGCTACAGAACTAGTGATGTCGAGTTGCCGCTGGATGCTAAAGTTGAGACGTGAGTCCGATTCACGTGGCCGCCCAGTTTTCCCGTTCTTCACTGACTATTTCAATTAGTGAATTAAATGTCACGGAGCAAGATCTAGCGGAGGCCAAGGAGTTGGCCTCCAACCTCACTCTCGAGGAAGTCCGGCCGATGATGGAGAAGGTGTTGAAGATCCACGAGAATGATCCCAACTTTCCCTACAGCATCATCGAGAAGATCAGATACTTCCTTGGTAGGTCTCGACGCTCGTATATTATCAATAGAAAGACACTTCACTGACTGACACAGGTAATGAGGCCATCTTCGAGAACCCCGAGAAGCATGCTGTCTTGATCGAGGAGATGAAGTTAGAATCTGCCCTGATTACTGTCAACAGCCCTTACGCGGAAGTTCGAGCTGTCGTAGACAACCATGATGATGTAGACATTCCATGTGGCACCATTCGTGCTGTAAGAGATCCCGTTTCAGGTTGTTTGAAGTATACACTGCTGAACATATATCTAGTGGGTTATTGGTTCTGGTTTCGCAGTGCTGCTAGCCTTCATCAATCAGCTTTTCTCGATTCGTCAGCCCGCAATCACTGTTCAAGCCAACGTTGCCCAGTTACTCGCCTATCCTATCGGCAAATTCTGCGAAAAGTCGTTGCCTGATTGGGGCTTTACTCTCTGGGGGATCCGGCACAGTCTAAATCCTGGCAAGTTCAGCAAGAAAGAGCACATGCTTATTACAATTATGGCTAATGTCAGCTGGAACTGTGCGTTGAATGTCCCTAGAACTTGTTCAAAAGTGCGTGCTGACTGAGAACTACAGATCCTTACACCAACAACATCATCTGGGTCCAGTATCTGCCGACGTACTTTAACCAGAGCTATGCCGGCCAGTTCTCCTACCAAATCTTGATTGCCCTTGCTACAAACTTCATTGGGTACGGAATGGCCGGAATGGTCCGAAGATTCCTTGTTTATCCATCTTACTGTGTGTGGCCCGCTAGTTTGGTGACTATTGCCTTGAACTCTGCTTTCCACAATGACAAGACTGGCCCGGTCGAGTCGCCATTTGGCAGGGTCTTTACCATGTCGAGAATTAAGTGAGTGCTTGGCAATGCCGTGCTGAGTTTTGCCGTATACCTCAGAGTTTAACTGATTTGCAGGTTCTTTGGTGTGACTTTTGTAGCCATGTTCGTGTGGTTCTGGTTCCCGCAGTACATATTTACTGCGCTGAGTATATTCTCCTGGATGACTTGGATCTCGCCCAACAACCTCAATCTTTCTAACATCACGGGATTCAACAATGGCCTCGGTATCAACCCTTGGCCCACATTCGACTGGAACATCTTGCTCTTTGATGCGACAGATCCTTTGATGATTCCTTTCTTCTCCACGCTTAACAAGTTCATTGGAGCTTGTGTTGCTGCCATCACTATTGCGGCTATCTGGTACCAAAATGTCTGGAACACAGCCTACTTACCTATCAACTCAAACCGAGTCTACGATAACACAGGATCTCTCTACAACGTTTCGCGGGCCGTCGATGACCGTGCACTCTTTGATGCTGCTAAATACGCTGAATACTCGCCACCATTCTTGGCTGCTGGAAACTTGGTTGTGTACATGTTCTTCTTCGGCATCTATACGGCCACTGTTAGTTACGCGTATCTATACCACAGGTACGAGATTGCTATGGGTTTCAAGAATCTATGGAATAGCTTCCGCAAGGATAAGAACACCGGCGTTGGAATGTACTCTGATGTGCACAATCGCTTAATGGTCAAGTGAGTTTGACTCAACTTTTTCTTTCAAATGCAACACTTTATACTAATACACAACATAGCTATAAGGAAGTACCCGAGTGGTGGTACAGTCTTGTCATCGTTGTGGCCATCGCTTTCGGCTGTGCTGGTATTGCCGGCTGGGAAACCTACACATCGGTCGGCGTGGTCTTCTATGGCCTGGTCCTCTGTGCCCTTTTCGTGATTCCTGTCGGTATCATCAAGGCCATGACCGGTATCGAAGTTACCCTCAACGTGCTCGCCGAATTCATTGGTGGATCCTGGGTCCAGGGTAATGCCTTGGCTATGAATTACTTCAAGAGTTTCGGCTACGTGACTTGTGCTCATGCTGTCTGGTTCTCAAACGACCTCAAGCTGGCTCACTACGTCAAGATTCCCCCGCGCCAAACCTTCATGGCCCAGATGATTGGTACTCTGATCTCAACGTTCGTCTGCGTTGGTGTTCTCAACTTCCAAATGAACCAGATTCCCGGCGTCTGCACAACTGATGCTCCTAACCGTTTCACCTGCCCTGGTATCAACACCTTCTTCACCGCATCGGTCCTTTGGGGTACTGTCGGCCCTGTAAAGGTTTTTGGGTCGGGTGGCCTCTACACCGCGTTGCTGGTCGGTTTCCCTCTTGGATTTGTGATCCCAATTGTCTTCTACTTTGCCCAAAAGAGGTGGAGAAATGTACGTTGGTTGCGCCAGATCCACCCAGTCGCCATGTTCTATGGGGCTCTGACCTGGGCTCCCTACAACATGTCGTACATCTGGCCTGCCGTCCCAATTGCTTGGTTCTCATGGGTGTACCTCAAGGGGCGGTACCTGGCATTCTGGTCAAAGTACAACTTTGTGCTCTCCGCGTCCTGGAGCAGTGCCATCGCCATTGCCGGTATCATCATCTTCTTCACCCTGCAGTGGCTGCAGATCGACCTCGACTGGTGGGGCAACTCCGTCGTTTCTCAGGGCTGTGAGGATGATGCATGCACTCTTTTCACGCTCAACGACGGCGAGTATTTTGGACCAAGACTTGGCCAGTGGAGTTAGGATGGAGGTTCGCAGGGCCAATTGGCTGCAGAAGTTCCTATCTTTGAGTGATCCATTTCGTTACTATATTCATACCATTCATTAGTATATACCACTGAAGCTGTATCAGAGTATCAATTGATCATGTTTCTGACTCTCATTTTCCGGTCTTGTGACCTGATCGCCTGTATTTAAGGATGAGCCAAGAGCGACGTCTGTTTGGTCGGCTACCTAGGGCAAGTTCTCGCACAAGTATAGCCGTGACAAGCTATCAACCGTGCTGGGATTACGACGATTTCGTTGATGATATTCCTGTACTCTAGGTCTTGACACGGTGCGACATCTTGAAACAGCTTTTCGTCTTGTGCCACGCGATCCGTCAACAAAACCTGAGCCAATACCACACCTTCCCTTCTTGGTAGCTTTGGTGCTACGCGTTTTATCCCCCCTCTCTTACCTTTCCCAATCGACCTGTTAACTCGCCTGCAGGTCATAAAACGTCGCATCGCAGAGGCTGCGGGTATTTCAGAACATTTTCTCAAAATAAACGGTTGAAATGGCCGATGTCGACGCATCTGCTGTGATTTTTGTTTGCGAACTTGCTGAACTAGTCTGGAGGAGACTGCTGCTGTCATGCACCCCATCACTCCAACGTCAATTATTCACTGAGGATGAGATTCATATCTTACGCTCAACTTGCCATGACAGAAAAGACCTTGTAGTGATGGTGACTTGACGGAGAGCGCAACGAAGAGCGCTGATTCCCATCCGTACCTACTCCCTGCTTCGACCGACTGATGTTCCTGTAATGCATGTGTCAACGTGACAGAACTAAGATATGAATATAGCTTTGACTGGCTTGCTAATCACAGTTTCCGACAACAGCATTCTGATAAAAATTTGTGTCCAACCACACTCTTTGTGTCAGCTGAATTTGGGCTGACTTTACTTGCCTCGCATGACGTCAGTGCGAGCGAGCCGCATCATTGATTTGAACACAAAGCCCATTTCGTTGCAGCGACAGCACTGAAGCATGTGGAGCATGATCATTGGCTAGCAGCACGCGATGGCGCGTAACGTGTCCAGGAGTAGAAATATCAAAGTCCCCATTTTGGAATATCTCATTTCCAGCAATGCTACACCGCAACTGCGACGACATAAATAAATCGTTCATGACCAGGCTGCTATGGCCGCCGCTGAATCAACGCCGCTAACGGCCCCGCAGCTCAAAGCCCTGTTCGACATCCTCACCCACAACGAGACATATGCTGAGGTCGTGAGCTTCAAGACCCCCGAAGCAATTGATCAGTATGGGTATCCCTTCAGCGACTCAAAGAAAGATGGCGTCGATGTCCACAAGTCTTCCTCGCCATTGTTGCAGTTGCTCTTGACCCGCCTGGTCTTGCCGATACCGGGAGTCAAGGAGCTTGACCCGGACTTCTGGAGCGTCAAGTTCAAGGCCATCATGAAAAACTTTGCCGACGCCGAGCTTTCGGAAAGCTACGACAAGGGTGCTCTGGGTACCAGGAAGACTCTTGCTACTGCCGCGTCCGCATTTCACGAGTCCATCACGCGGGGAATGCTAGGCGGTGTGGCGAGAAAATTAGATTCCACCGGCATCTCCAAGTCCGACTTCAGTACAGCCAGCAGTCTCGAAGATGCATGGGATCACGTGGTCCACGAGGTGGTTTACGGGGAACTATTGGACGAGTGGTTCGATTTCGCCATCGAGTCCGATGATTTTGAAAGCCATTCTCCAGCAGGTAAAGGCGCCATAGACTATGCCACTATTCATGCAGCGACCATATTACACAAAGTCTTCGTGATATCACCAGAGGGCCAGTATCTACTAAAGCTGATCGAGAGTACGCATAAATTAATTCCTTACTCCCTGGTATGCCAAACTCTCAGGGTAGGTAATGCCGCGACGATGATCTCTGGCATGGTGAGGATCTTTTTAGCTAAGGTTAGTATTGGCGGCATCACCAACTGGATAGGTCTGACACAGAATGCTGCTGATGGACAAAATCTGATGCAAAGGTAGGTGGCATATTGATTATATAGAGAGTGGCTACTAACAGGAGTCCAGAATCATTGGCATGGTGCTTGGTTGGGATGCTGGAGACTTCAAGAAAACAGCTGACGGTATCCGGAGTAGGAAGGATATCGGCAAATCAAATTTTCTGGCAACCTTGGATGCATTCCTTGACGGAACCAAGGATCAGCATGATTCCATCAGGCAAAAGAGCATCAAGGCGCAAGAATCAATTGTCACCACTATCATCAAGTCAACGAGCGACAAGCCTTCGGTCGAGCTGACGGATCGGCAACATAGCTTACTGCTCGAATACTATTCGGCGCAACTTTCCACCAGGGATAGGGACAAGATCATTGAGGTCATGTGTCGTTCAAGCCCCGACCATGTCACCTCCATCGTCCGAGAGCTCGTAACCGCTTTTGACCCAATTATAAGAGCGGTCCACGACAAGGTTGACCTGCGGAAGTATGTTGTAAACGTCCAAAAGTTTATCGACGATCTACTCGAGGTCAATAAACCGAAAAGGGACAACGCAAAAAAACTTATTCCCCCATCGATTGAGGACTACGTCTTCTTGATTCGGCGCCATAAGAGTTGGGCGTTTGAATGGCTTCATGATCTGGCGAAAGGTTGCCCTGATGTCAGGGAAAGCTTCCGAGCATGGCTAAATACCCATGTAACGCAAGCATTCCGCCAACGAGGAACGGGCACATCGCAGAACGACTCGAGCACAGCTGACGATATTGATTTGGTGGCTGGTGCAGGCTCGATCAGCAAGCCTCTTCGATCGGTATTTTCGAAATTGGATATTGATAGCCAACAGAAGGTTATCGCTGCATTAGACAGATATGATGCATATACAACCAAATTGGATGACCAGTCCAGCAGAAGGCTCCAGAGCATTGTCAATGGATTGAATGAAGGAGAGAAACAGGGTGAAGAGCCTAAAGTCCGTAGCATGAAGGGCCCGGGCGTATATCATGCGCGCTGGCAATGGCTTCTAGACGAGACTCTGATCACACCTGCGGAGCCGTCGGGCCCTGTAAGGCACGGGAAGGATGTTAAAGACGTCAAGGCACGAGGCAAGACGGGCGCGCTTGCGAGCAAAGACTCGTGGGATCTGAGTTCGATACCTCAGTTGACGTCGGAGCCTGCGCCAGAGCCTCCGGATGTCCACGTTGTGTTTGAAGTCCTCGGACAGCAATTCAAGGATATAGTAGCTGACATCAGTAGTCAGAGAACCAGATAAGGATCTGCGAAAGTCATTAACCCCTCAGAAAATTGTGTACCTCATGTCCCCAGATCGCCATTGTCTTTGTCAAGTAGAAGCGCATGTGTCACTACTACGTCTGAAGGTGTCCCGTTGACAACCTGGATAATGCTACTTGCTACCGCTCATACTTAGTTCCCTGGTGTTTGCAGGTTCGAAGCAGGACCCGATTTCGGATACACCAAGATTTGTCAGTCAAGATCCTGCAGTGGTTTGGGCCTCAGCTATGCGGTTAGACCCTTTACTGTCCAGATTGACATGTACCAGCGTTTGCACAGGACCAGTTAGTTGTTGCATAAAATTTTGACAAATGTTACAATTGATTCCTGGCAGACTTTCGCTAACGCAATCCGGGATAACCTTAACAGTTTCTCAACCCGGTAGGTACCTTGAGTGGACGGTCGGTAGTATTATATGGAACAAGATGAATTGTTAATCAGATATGTAAATATTCAAGTCTGTACAAGTGTGGCCACGAATATATACCCTGATATTACCATCCCTCTGTTGACGGTGGGCCCACTGTTTTTGAATGTCACAACAAGTGTCTTTGGATTTCTACATATAGTCTACTATATGTTCCCGTTTAAATGCCTGGCAAGTGCTTCCCCATCAATCGATACGCAGGGCATGCATTGCATAGATCTTTCTCTATGACTAGAAGAGGGTATGGTAGATACGCTTCCAAGCTGGTTGGGCAGCCAACTCAGCTCTGAAAGCATTGATTTCCTCCCAATCGAGTTCGCGGCGACCGGTGTCGACATCCATTTGTTCGGTACGAAGCCATCCTGCAGAGGTGAGTTAGTCAGAATCGCAACGATGAGGAGAAGAGGAGTGGTTAGGGAGACCAAACACATACCCTCTCGTTTCCATAGATATCCAATAAGCCAAAACACCAGAACGACTGGCATAGCAAGGTAAGACTGGAAGAAAGCTTCCACATCGAGAGGCTGGATCGCAACATAGAATTGAGCGATCAGTACGAGGACGATCAAGATCAGTCCGAGCCATGAGCCATAGACTCCGCCGATTGCCTTGAACGGGATCTCGTCCAAGGTGTGGCCGTGATGCTTCCAGGCGGTGCGAAACCGAATATGGGCTAGACAGATCGAACCCCAGGTGAAAAGGGCGGCAAGACCAGACAAAGCCTGCAACCAGGCAAACACCGTCGTACCGGCGGTACTCAGGTTGACGTATGCAAGTAGCCCGAAGATTAGAATCAGGCTGACGGAGAAAAGAGGCCTGCCAGATTTGTCAACGTATGTGAAAATCTTCGGGGCGTATCCTTGCTGTGCCAGAGCGGTCAAGGTACGACTGCCACCGTAAACGGCAGACACACCAATTGACAGGACGGAAACCAAGATGACGACGTTCATGAAGCTGTCGAATCCAGCGAGCCCCGCGTATTTGCCTACCAGCACGAAAGGCGAAGCGTTGACATTGATGTAGTCGCTGGCGCCGAGCAAGTTCGGGTCGTCGTATGGAATCAGCAGCCCAACGAAGAGAAGACCCAGAATATAGAAGCTGTTGTGAAAATCAGTATATAAATTCTAACAGCTGGCTGGCGATGATGGGACTTACAGAGTAATACGCCAGAAGACTTGCTTGATGGCGCCAGGCAACGCCTTCACAGGATTATGTGACTCTGCAGCTGCCAATCCGACTAATTCAGTGCCGCTGAATGCGAAAGCGGCCTATAAAATCGTCAGCAAGCATACACAAAATATAGAAAGGTTAGGTTTATTAACGTACCGTGACGAAAACAGAACAGAAACCAAGGAAGCCATTGTGGAAGGCACCAGGATCGTGCCAGTAACGAGCACCCCAATATTCATTGTACCGGCCGTTGTCAGGTCCGCCTAGTTACAAGTCAGTATGCAAGACTCGGTGGAACTAACGTTCGGTTTGATTTACCTCCCAGAACCATGACAAAGGCAATTATAATGAAGATAACCGTCGCCGATAGTTTGATGATTGATGACCAAAACTCTTCCTCGGCATATCCCAGGGTACCGAAGAGGTTGGTGATAAGAATCAGGACGAAGAAGACTGTTATCCAGACACCAACACTGATCTTCTGTTCGGTGTCCCAGTAGCCAATGGTCAAACTACACACAGTGAGTTCAAGAGGCAAAACAACAGCCCCTGAAATCATTGGTCAGCAAATAGCAACTTGGAAGCTGGGAGCAGGTGTTGTAACGACTTACACTGCATGACATAATTCCATCCCATTGCGAAACCCCAGCTGGGGTCGATGAATCGAACAGCATAAGTATAGAAACCACCAGAGACCTGTTGACAACCGAGAATTAGCATGTCCTTGAATATCTTCAACATATACGGGGTCGATGATATCTCTATCCTCGTCAAATTGACATGGGAGGGTATACACTCACAGGATACATGACAGCAAGTTCACCTAAGGCGTAGACGACATTGAACATCATGATACCAATGATCAAGAAGTCAAGCAGCAGAGAACCAGGACCACCTTTGCTCAGAGCATTACCAGAACCGACGAAGAAACCAGCACCGATCGACCCTCCGATGGCAATCATGTGCAAGTGTCTCGGCTTCATCGAGCGGTCGAGCTCGATAATGCCTCTGCCATAGTCTCTCTTCTTGAAGGACTCGAGGTTCAATCCATTACGAGTCATCCAGTTCTCTGACCGTACAGCGCCTTCACCGACCCGCGGGTGGCTATGCGTGGGTTCAGCCGGCGCATACCCGGGTAGGCCGACATCCTTCTCCAAGGAGGAGCTGTTATGTTCGTCCAGCGCCATGGTCGAGCGCCAGTTGTTGTACTAGTGTTCAGTGAGGAAAGGGGAGACTACTGAAGTTCGATTCGTCAGGAAGAAAGCATGCGAGCAGGAACGCTTATGTATATTTCAACCACGTTCAGCTAGGTACGGGGTGGAGGCTGTTGAAACGGACCGCGCACCCTAGGTGGACACACGTTATCTTCGTAGGAGTATCCGCCAATTACTTGACCTACATATATAGTAGCAGATATCCATGGTGCAGTGGACACTACCCCATGCAGATCATCGTAGCCTGCCCAAATCTACATGCTACTGTAGACCAGGATGAAGGGGAGTGGGGATGGAAGCTCACTACGTTCTGGTTGCCGAGATTTGCCTCCCTTCTCATCTCTCGTAGTTCTCCCAAGACGAAGCCAAGCCAGCCAAGTTAAGCATTGCCTTCACGAAATTTCTTGGTATTCGCGCTTGCGAGAGAATTCGGTGGGCTGATTTCGTGACAGCCACGCACGACCGATAACAGACGAGACCACACCCACTTTGAGTCGCAGCAGGCCCGACTGATGAACGAGAGCATTTGATGAAAGAATCACCGTAGCTTTTCTCCGCAAGATAAACGATCTGCATATTAGAGACTCGTGTAAGTGGTCATTGTCCCCGACGGTGGGGATTCCCCAGTCTGCCTAGCACTTACAGCGAATGTATGGCATGATTCGAGTTAGTTCATGGTTGAGTCTCCATAAACGTCAAGTTACCAGCCCTTGCCTTCGATGGCAGACTGGCAATGAGGGGGTTAGTCTCGAGTATACATAACCATTACTAACAAGTCATTCAAACGCACTTTCGCCAAGACAAACCGAAGACCCCATTGTGGGGATGGTGCATCGGGGGCGGCAGGCTAGATAACACTACAACAAGTGGCCAATTACCAGCTGTAGAATCTGGGGCTCTCCGGTATTTGTTGGTTGCGTCAATCGGTCAGCCCAATAGCTGCATGTTCATCCATCTCCATACCAAATTGCATGATGCTGTAAAATTAACACAGCCCATCATGATGATCTTCGCAGTAAGATCCTCGGACGTGCTTAATACTGTAGACAGGGTAGGTTCCCGGCTGGAGGTTAGTTGCGATTTGACTACGGAGTATTATGTCATTGGTTGGTTCTTTCTGGTGATGTCGGGTATGCCACACAAGTCAGCCTGGCCAGCCTGCTGCTGAATACTCATGGCATCTGCACGTGCGCGTCGCGGCGGTGGAACCGAGCCGGTCAATTGGGATTGAGTGAAATGATTGTGATGAACCAAGCTGTGTAGATTCAGAAAAGCGTCCTCGTATTGGCTGAATCAGCCATGCCAAGCACACCCAAGGTCTTTGGTCGGAATTGGCAAACGTAATGACATCAACCGCCGAATACTGTGGCGACGAAAATGGGTCCCAAGCTTTGGACTTGCGCACCCCAGCCTTTTCGTGTCTTCTGTGGTAGCAAGCATTTTACTAACCGTTCCACTTTCGACAACAATAACAATCTTGTCATAACACAATCCTCCCATCTGTTTTGTCCAAGAGATAGGAAGCCAGCGCGTACGATGCCGCACAGCGCTCGGGAGGCGTTGTTAAGCTCGGACCGGGTAAAGCATAAACCAGTGCCGGAAATCGCGATTTTAGCGACTGTACCTTCCGCTACCCGACTTCCGGCGGTCCCCGCATCTCTCCCCTGCCTCCATGTATAAACCCCTCCTTGGCAGGAAGATATGCCGCCGCTGACCGTGAATGTTGCATAGAAACCAACTAGAACATTACTCGTATTGGAAAAGTGACCGTCTTGGCCACTCATACCAAGCGGCGAGAACTCGCTAGCTCGTAAACATGCTTTCAGCAGGAAACTACGAGTTCTTGGTCTTACGGTGTTTCCTCACCGAGGCTGTTGTGCTTGGTCTGGCAAGGATACAATCGGCCCATACATGAGCGTTTATGTAGCCTCTTCCGAGAGGGAAGCACCCCCCTTGCGCTACCTGAATAGGTTGGCTTTATTCCCCAAACCATGGCAATAAGCTGCCGGGCTGATGTCCTCATTCGGGGAGGTCCATCCTTGGTACGCCCGACGTTGCATATTCTAGAACAATTCCGTTCCATCGACCAGGTGCTATATGCAGACGCGACACATTGCATGCAGACGGCACTCAGGTGATATATCAGGTTCCGTGCCGCGTTCCTGTGCCCCGGTCAACTGTGTGCAGGCACGGTTAATGCAAGCAACCATGTTATGCAATTCCCGTGTGATCACTATTCTGATTCCTTGCTGGGCTGCCTCCCATTTCACACGAAAAGAGAAATTCGATTTGAGATGATGCAGCTTTCAGTGATGGCATCCTAAACGCCTAGTAAGGCTGTTCAACTTCGGCAGGGCTTGCATATCGCGCGGAAGCAATAGCCCGGTTCCTAGATCGTGCATTTTCTGCATGAGTATAGATTAAACACTCCATTCAACTCGCACGTCTACCGGCGTGACTGTAGCGACCCAATATTGCCTTATGTCATATCCATGGCTTTCCACTTACAGCAATTATTTGAGGTTGTTCAGTGTCGCACAATTGAACTTGCCCATGGAACGTGTAAATTGTGAACACCGCACCCTCCATTTGCATATTCTACCAAAACAGACGCCCCACTATGAAGCTTATCAACTTGGTAACCTGCGGCCAAGAACTGCCCAGATCGCGCGTGTCTGTCGCACCAACTACACATATCGAATTGAATTACGCCGAGAGATAGGAGCTTTCAATGCGCTCCGTCCACGGGGGGTCGAACCCTCTAATTCGTCCAAGAAGAATCGCCAACTTATCTGGGCGGCAGCAGTCCAATGGGTTGGATGTTGGCGGCAGCTGCACCTGGACCATCACGGGTTGCTGCTATTAGTGACTGTGAGTCGTGACATTTTCGGATCTTATCAGATGTGGGACTTGAGGGTCGCTCTATTTATGTTGTCTCCATCAAAATCTCCATCACGATAACGCTCCATCTGGGGTACACCAAACATTATGTAAAAGTTTGATGTAGTTCATGTAGCGCCGGTAGTCCACTATTCTTCAGCGTCTCGGCCATCTGAAAAGAACTCATACGTATATGTGTGGACGACCACCGGAACTACACCGAAATAATGCCCAAGCATGGTGTTGGATAATATTTGACTTCCCGAGTCCCGCCTCAAAGGTAAAAAGTCGTTGGTCCGGCTCATCTGAAAAGCCAAGGCCAGACGTTCCAACTCAGCAACATAATGACAGATCGGATGATCAAGCTTTACCAAGCCACTTTTTAAAACCGAACACACTCATTTGCTCGTGGTTTTGGGTTCTTCGCTCAACTAATTATTGCTATGCAAGTGCACACGAGCACCTTCCCGAGAGAACACTGTTCAAATCGCCAACCATCCTTGAATAAATGGGAATGACGAAAGCTCGTTTGGCGGCTCCTTGTAGTGGTCCCTGTTCTCGAGCCACGTGGAACACTCGGGATCGTTCGTGGATCTATGAGGATATCACCAAGCTGATACCGGTGAAACCTGAGTCAATCCGACACAATTGAAGTTCTTCGTGGTATATCATTGATACCTGTGGATATCCGTTTGCTTTATAATAGAACTTATACTCTGAGTGGGCCGGCTTACCTTGTTTGTACAAGATTGCGGTATATTATAGCGCCCATAGCTGTGTACTTTCAGCATCGGAATACTCCATCACGACAATAATTCGTTTGTGTACCTCTCATTGCAGGTAGCACTCATGTACCCAAAATCACTGCTGAGCATGACACGAGAGAGGTCATGGGTCAACAGTGACTGACCTATTGTGACACAGATTTTCAAACTCAACGTGGGCCATTGCGAGGCATGACCATTTTCTAATGATCATATGCACATCACATATAAATGAGACAAGGTAGGTACCGAGTCTCGAGAACGTTTTGAGGGCAGTATGGCACGATATACTTACTCGAATAACTGCTGCTCAGGCTTACTATCGATCGGATCATAATTGCCAGACCGTACTTCTACCCCAAATGGTCCTCAACTGATATCACTTGTACTTGGGGCAATTACCTGATTACACTGCCTTACAATTGATAATGTACAAATGGTGTAATTTAACTCATAGTTGCTGTATCCCTGACTCAGTTGATGCTAGATAGTTAGGATTCAGATGGAATACTAGGGCAGTGCAGCACCAACGCTCTGCAGACCAGAATATAGTACCATCATCTTTATTTCTTCTCGACTGTACTTGTCGTTTGTCCCTCGTGTTCTGGGTATTAGACAGACTGGTGGCAAGTTCAGCTTACCTCGAAAGTGGCGCCAGTGTCTTTAATAACAGAGGTTGAGCACGTCGTACATCAAACGTACGCTCCAGAATCTTGAGCAACAAGATTCTTTTTGATTAAGAGGCGTGAAGTATACTCATTGGAAAAAGAAAAGAGAAGAGAAGAAAAAAAAGCGGTATGCCAGTATTCAAGATCTACATACCAAGTATATCTCAGCTTTTCGGCACCTCGACGCTAGAAAAGCGGCGCCAGCGGGATGTTCCGGCGGGCCCGGCGCCGAGCACGTCAATATTCCAGAACCTCGGGACGCCACTGGTAGAAACCAATGTTTTGTTCTTAATCCACTTGAACTTTATACTTTCTTTTCTTGCCATCATCTTGAAGCCAATACGGAGTATTATGCTGTACGATCCAACTGGAAAGGCTTAACGCTTAAACACCTACAACCACCAAGCACCGCCACCACAACCATGTCGCGCCTTCTCCCATCTTTCACACGCCGCATCGCGCGCCCTTCAATCCACTCCATATCCCGCCGCGCCTACGCCACGAACCCCTTCGGCCGCGGTCCCTCGCCCCCTCGTCTACCGTCCGAGGAGCAAGCCGAGTTCGAGCGTCTGCAGCGCTCCGCCAACACCCAGGAGCCGCTTGACCCCGTCGAGCGATCCTCGCCCTCCTCCACGCCTCCTCAGTCTCAATCTTCGTCTTCCAGCTCCGCGACACAGATCAACCCCACGCCGCTGAACCTGCACTCGGACGTAGCGCGGGAGAGCATGTCGAATCCCGCCACGCTGGGAGAGGTCTCGAATCTGCCGCTCCGCAAGGGCGCGCCGCCCGAGTTCGAGGGCGAGGTGAATCCCAAGACGGGCGAGGTGGGCGGACCCAAGAATGAGCCCCTGCGGTGGGGACACTCGGGCGATTGGAGTTACAACGGGCGGGTCACGGATTTCTGATTTGGGAGTCTTTCGCCTACTTGTATTATTATACCGATGTCAGCGATGGGAACGGTCCTTCATCATGGCGCCCCGGCGTGGTTTGTAAAACAAGAGCTTGGCACAGTTCACGGGGATCAGAGCCGGCCAGAAGCGACCAAGATTATCGCATCTTTCATCAGACAGCATTACTCAGAGTTGCGTTAATATTGTACCAGAGTTATTATATTATCGATGTCTTTACAGGTAATATCCGAGACGATATTGGCATAGCACGACCGACAATGAGACAATTACTCAAATTAAACATCAATGATGCATCCGTCCTATAGACCGCTTTTGCCCTGTGCATGGGGAATAATGCCGTGCTTAGATACTGTTAGCCTGGCTCTGAATGAAGCCGACGAAATGTCGATATAGCAAGTCAGCCCGTCAGGGCTGGTGATGGTTGTGTATTCGCTTCGCCACATTGGTTTCCTCCTTCGATGAACCTTGACTGCTATCACGCAGACGATTTACAACTTTTTATTAGGTTGAAACAACGGGATTTGATAAAACGTCACGGGGTTAGGCCAGGAGCGATACGGCTGTGACTACGATGCAGCCTCAGAATGATGCTCTGCCGCCAGCGCAATCCAGGCCTCCTTGTAGGATATGATGCGAGTTCAACTTCTCAGCAACAAGACGGCCAACGGAATGTACGGCCAAAGCCTCTCGTTATATCGCGGACTGGCCAAAAAGAACACGAGTTAGAGAGGCCTACGTCAGCCTCAACGCGGGTTCGGGCGCCTGCAGGCTCATCTGGCGAGGCGTGGCATTTGCCGCCATATCTGGAAATGGAGCCTCGCTTGGGATGAACAATGCCAATAGCTGCGAGCAGAGGAGCTGTCAATTGAGCCTCTAGCAAGCCTGCCGCTCCTATATTGTAGTGCCTTCAGTAAAAGTATGGCCTCGAGGAAGAAGAGCAAGGGCATCCTTTGGTACGAATACCTTCTGGAGTTGGGCGAAAACCGGCCATTGTTGGCATTTCCGGATCCAGGCTCCCTCATCTCTCTCACAACGTTTCTAGGTTGGGTGGGATCTTGGGGTTTTACGTAGCCAAAACTCCGAGCCAACTTAGTGTATTAAGACCTAGTCCGAACATAGTTTCTTCACCTCGAGTACTGATATGGTAGTGAGATTTCTCAAGCTGAACGAGCATTCATATATTTGATGTCCTATGTAACATGAGTCTTCGGAAAAGAAAAACCTAAGTAGCCTATTAATAGCCGCGATGGCATTTCTGGTAATATTGTCTGCCCTCTTATACCAAGGGTCGAAAGAGGCGACACTCGACGAGACCGGCCGAGTTCGCTCAGCGTGCTCGCCTCTCCAGCCGGCATCGACCCCTGCACCCGCGGCTCGGCTACCCATAAGGCCGTTGATGTCGCGCTTACGAAGATGAGCGAGCCTCTCTCGTAGGTCCATGTGCTGATGTCCCGACACAGTCCACAGCAAACCCCGTCCAGCACTCGCCCCCCTATCATGGCGATGGCCCGGGAGTTCAAAGTAGTCGCTCACGAGGATGTCCGGTGTATCGTAATAATGGGCATGGAGCCAGACACGGGCTAGTTCCGGGCTTCTGCTTCCCGCCTCGCTCTGCTTCTTATGCATCCACCTCCTCGAAGCGTCGAACCCGGCCGCGATCCCCACCGAAGCGCCGCAGTTCCCGGAGAGTAGGATCGGGAACGAGCCGCCGCCGCAGGCCGCGGAGATGGTTTGCGAGTTTCACCAGACGAGCTCGAGGCTACGGCCGATCTCACCCTCGAGGCCGTCTGCGTGGCCCAGCTTCACTTCGGTCACATGGAAATGTACGTATCCATGTGAGGATACGTGAGGAGGGTTATATAGTTAAAAGGTTTTGGATGTTAGTTTATGTATTAATTTTAAATTATTTATTTAATAGAGAGTGACCTTCTGAAGAACTTAGTGAAACTTGCTTTCTTATAGATTTGTACAATAACAAGCTCTGCCTGAACCGTCGCTGGGGGATTGTCACTAATACCCGAGCTGGTTGACTCTGATCACATCTCCATATCGGGGGCTTCCACCAAATGGTAGCGGTCATGGTACATTGATGGCAACAAATATATTTGCTCCTCGTGGGCGGAAAAAAAAAAAGAAGAAAAAAAGGGTCCGATGTGGTATTCTCAAAGGCCAGAAGCTACTATAATTTTTTCGGGTATACTTACAAACCACGCCAATTTAGCTTTGGTTGACATTGGAGACTTCCGGAAGCGTTGGTGACGTTGACAAAGGGAGCCAACATGGGAGAAATAGAAACGATAGAAGCCTCGAAGACAAGCCACTGCATATGCCCGGGTATGCACGTTGGGGTGTGCAACATGTGGCGTGCAGCCTCGACTCGGGGTCGCAAGAATGGAACAGAGATCGAAAAGCGGTCAGGCAATGCTTGCATACGGGATCCGGCATGTGTTGGCATAATACTCATGCAAGGATAGGATTTGACGACTTCAAGGCATTGCATTGTTGTAGACAACCACCAATGATTGTGGACAACAGGTAGCCCATGCATTCATTATAGCAGAATGCCACTTCGTTGCCATTAGACGCGAAAAAGCGGGATCCAAAAGAACAAACAAAAATAAATATATAAAACTGTTCGCAGGATAGATCCAAGGCCGCGTTCCCAGAAAAACAAACCAAAAATAAGGCTACAAGTGTAAGATGACGATTGACGGTTGCCTTTTGGCTTTTTACGAGCGAGCTGTCGTCTCCGGGGGTTGCAGCAGGGCCAGGGTATACCTTGTCAGTCCCTTGTTCCGCTGGGAAAGGTCCCTTGCTGGCTTCCGTCAATGGTCGATGCGTGCGGAGAACAAAGTTTGGAGTACTTGGTAAGTTGAATAGAAAATAAAAATCATTATTGGTTGTCAGGTTGTGCTGTCGAGTCCTACCGATAGTGAGGATATTGGGAGCATGGTTGAAAATAACCTTTTGCTAGTCTAGTCTGAATGCGCAATCGCAGCGGGAATCTAACCTTTGGCTTTTCGTTGGAAGGTCTGAACGGGTTGAGCAGTAACGAGATGAATGAAATCAACGGGGGACACGAGGTTGCTTTTCTGACGGGCTGGCGGGATTCTGCAGGGGTTCTGATCTTCAGTCACGCTTTGCGCAAGAGAGGGGATTGGACAGTCGTTGAGGGTGCCTGGCATTTGAGACTTGGAGGGCGGCAGATGGCGGTCGATAAGATAAAAATCTGATTCGGAATCTGATTCGATTCATTCAAGGGCACTCTAGCAATGTGAGGGCTGCGGGATCGCGCAACCTTGTTTTACTCTGTTGGGGGGGATTTTGCAGGCTGGCCGTGTTAAGTTGACGCTGTGCAACAGTAATCCGAATGGTAGATGAAGATTGTGCATGCAACCCCTTTTGCAGTTTGTTCGCATTTTGCTGCGCTGTCATGCATATCATCAGTCATGATGACAGCAGAATCGTGGTTTTCATGTTGGTTATACTCCGCGAGAGAGGCATTACCAGAGTTGATGCTGATGGGGCTGATAACAAATTGTGATGTACTCTTTCTGAGAGAAGTGCTTGAGTGATGACGGAAGGTATCCTGTCTGATGGGATGCATGGAGGATTTTGTATTCGCTTGTGCAACAATCTGAGTCCAAGCCAACTACTATGGGACTGGCTGTGAGTTTCTACTGTGGGTTGGCATTTTGCCTCACTTGATGGGTGTTGGTGTTGCGTGACTAGGGGACAGTTGTGGGGTGCGGCGACAGGGAACCCTTGCGGGTTAAAGAGGATGGCGCGGAGCAGAAAATAGACGGCAGCGAATGGTGGCTCGAGCCATGACAGCTACCCTCACTCGGGGAAAGGAAGAAAAAAAAAAAAAGGTGAAGCTTCAGGTCAAGCTCGTGCTCGGGCTCGGGCTTGTGAAAGCCCCAAGGCGAGGCGCAAAAGCTGCATGATGGGGCACGATGCAGCAAGAGTATTCAGAGTGACAATCCAATGGAGTTGCATTTAGACCTTTGCGATAATGATGTCGTTGTTGTCTCGTCGCACTCATGCTTCGCAGCTGAGGAATGGACATTGCAATTCCCATCCAATGCCTGCTTCAAGTTTTTCGGTTTGTCAAGGGACCTTGGCCTTGACCAGACGAGAAGAGAGGTGTGTCATGAGCTACCCAGTAAAGCTGGGATTCAGTGGGCCATTGGGTCCTCTACAGGGATCACCGGCAGGGAGGCCAGCAGGGGGAGGTGTCGAGTAGCAGGGAGGGACAATTCTAGCGCCCGCCCTAACGGAGCTTGCCAAGCTGTGCCTGTCGGGTCAAAGAAGGCGTCTCTGCAGTGTGTCCTAGCAACATCTTGAGCATCTCTCTCTCTCTCTCTGGCTTCCAGCACACAAGTGAATGACTCTCCCCTCGAGTGGCTTCGCACAGCAGCACTAGACTACAAGGTAGTTACAAGTACTCTGCTTGGTATGTGCCAGGGCCATTACCGAAACCTGCTAGCACTAGTGACTGCATGAAGCCCTGTCCCTGTCCCTGCTCCTCTTCCCTTGCCCTTCCTCTTCCTCTTCCCCTTCCCCTTCCCACTGATGCGATGTGATGCGTTGTTGGGCGCCGCGCAGTGCTGTGCTCGTGCTTGTGCTTTTGCTTGTGCTCTGTGCTGTGCGTTGTGTGCTGCGTGCTGTGCTCTTGCTGCAAGTTACTTTTCACGAGCTTGTCTCAAACCAAACCTGAACCTTTCCGCAGGAACGCCAAACCCAACCTTCTTCCCCCGGATTTCCAGTCCAGTCCAAGTCTTTTTTGGCGCCCTCTGCCCTGTTGCCCTCTCGCCCAACCCAACCACTACTCCGAGCTTGAACCCCCAGGACAGAACACATGTGCGAATACCCTCAATATTCACATGCATGTGCGCCTGTTCTTGATCTTGTTCCCATGATATTTCCTCCCCAGAACGTGTTGAGAAAGCCGTCGGCGACGCGCCCCCGAGATCACCACTCTAGCGTGCATTCAATCTATGGAGAGGGAGGAAGGAGGAGTCGATAATTCACAAAGTTAATCCGAGCTAAAAACGTTTCGACCATCGCATCGCCGCCATGGATCCAAGACAGCACCATGGGCAACAACACCAGCATCAGCAACCCCATCCTCCCGGCAGCAATCCCTTTGCGCGCAACCCTGCGTCGCCGCCTGCACAAGGACTAGGACTAGGACAACCTCAGCCTCAACCTCAACCACAACCACAAGGACAATACGGCCGGTCGCCTTTTCCGCCTGCAGCTTCCAGCTCCAGCTCCAACCCCAACCCCAATCCCAACTCCAATCCCAACTCCAGCTCGGCGACACCATCGCACTACCCACCTGCGTCGCATCCACAATCACATCCCCCACCGTCCACGGCGAGTCCTGCGACAAGCGCATATGGAGGCCCTCCAGATCACCAACGACGACCTTCATCCGACTCCCATTCCTACTATCCACACCAACCGTCGCGCCCGCCCTTCGCAGGCCCCGAGCCCATCTCACATCCCGCCCAGACTCACTCCCGACACCAGAGCTCGTCTTCAATAGGAGGAGGACCACTGAACCGCAATATGGGGCCTCCCTCAGAGCATCCCCAGCAGCAACCGATGGGCTCTTACGGATCTCAACAGTCCGCCTCTGGCCCAAGGCTACCGCCCCCCAGTCTCGGCCCGTCGTCTGCCTTTCCTTCGAGTCGAGAACTGCCTTCGTTGAGTGGATTGGCCAGGACAGGCGCTGCCGGCATGCCGCTCTCCAACATGCTTGGCGGACACGCCGCTCAAAGAGAACCAACGCCCGGCAATCATTCCGCGCATCCTGCCTTTCCGCCTCCTGCTTCGGGCCCCGGCCCTAATGGTCCTGGCCCTGGCCCTGGCCCTGCGTATGCCACCGCGGTTCAGGCATCGCCTAGGCTGCAGAACGCCGTAGCTGAGTATCCTCAGTTCGCCCGACGTCCTGACCGACCCGAGACACCGACAAACCATGCGAGACCTTATGACCCGAGAGACCAGCGAGGTAGTGCAGCTGGATCTCCACCACAGCCATATCACGGTACTCCTGAGCTGTCGACTAGATACGGCACCCCTCAAGCACACCAGACACGAGGTCCTCCCATGCCTCCCTACGACGACAGAAGGGATCAGAGTGGTCGTATATCTGCTGGAAGTCTACCTCCTAGACCGAGCAGCCAGCCCAGAGCTTACGCCAACAGTGGTCCGGGACGACCTATGGAGATGGGACGGGGACCCCCTCCCGGTGAACCGTATTTTGGACCGCGTAGAGAAGAAATGAGGCCCGGTCAGGCCGAATACAACCCCGAAGGCCCTCCTCGGCACATGTTCGAAGATCCACGGCGGGCCATGGAGGAGCGCGAATACCGCGAGCGCGCCGAGCGAGAAGCGCATCACCGCGAACGAGAGCACATGGAAAGAGAGAGGTTGGAGAGGGCGCACTTCGAGGAGCAGCAACGACTACAACATCACCAACCTCCTTTCATGTCAGAACGAGAACACATGGAGCGTATGGAGCGTGACCGCATGGACCGAGATCGGCAGTTCGACATGCAGGAGAGGGAGCGCAGAGCGAGGACTTCTTCCGATCCGAACCGTGGCCGTCCTGGGGATTTCGTACCTCAGGGGCCCCCAGGTCCACCAGGACCGACCCCGTTCGGACGAGACCCCAGGGATCCCCGAGATCCTCGTGATGCGCCTGGTTGGCAACTACGCCCAGGCTACGAGCAGGCTCCCCCAAGAGGGCCATATGATCCTGGGTACGGACCACGTTCGGGCCCTGCTGAACATGTCGCGACGGCTGCTCCCCCATATGGACCATATCCTGCCCATGCGCTTGCACCTGGCGATCGTTTCCCGCAAAGCGGCCCTCCGCCTTCGCACGCCGTCCCTACCAATCAACCCGAGAGGAGGCCGCAATCTTTCGACTCCCCGGACAGACATAGATTTACCACACACATGCCTGTCCATCACCCCCAACAGCACCCGTCCCATCGCGGGCGACACGAAGAAGATGGGCCTCCACCATCGGGACCGTACAACGGCGGACCCGGCGCTGCCATGCATGAAATCCAGCGCCAACAGCCCCGGCCTTTGGACGATGGGCATCCTGCTCCGCCCTTGGCTCGCCAGCCAAGCAGTGGTTTCTTGGCTGTTGGGGAGATGAATCGCAAGGGCCGCATCTCCCCACTGCCCCAGGCTGTGCAGGGAGCCCAACCACAATCAATCACTCCTTCCGGCGAGCCTGGAATCAAGAGCGAATTCGGCCGCATGTTTTCCGGTATAGGATCCGGTGCTAGCGGCTTCGGTATGCCCAGTCCAGGACCGGCTCATCTTCCCTTCACAAACGCCAGTCTCGCTCGTCGTGATGATGTTGAGCCGCCTCCTCCCGAGGTGACCGCAGACCCGCCGCCGAAGCGCAAACGGCAGAGGAAGCCCAAGAACGAGGACAAGGAAGGTGATGATGATAGCACCGGCGGCCAGACTCCTGCTGGGAGAACGACCAAACGCGCCAGGACCAGCCATGCTAGTCATGCTCATCACCACCATCAGTATGTTCCCACCGGCCACCCATTACAGCACAGTCAGTTTACTGATATCGCTCTTTCCAGTCATCATCACCATCATCATCACGGGCCCGAGAGAACTGCTTCTCCACTGCTCGCAGGCGGCACACCACTCAAGAACGTGAAATCAGGCACGCCTGTTCTGTCTCCCACCGGTCTTCCGATGACTCATAATCATCAGATCCCCAGGTCGAACAACAGTGTGGCTCCCACGAAACAAGTAGTACAGGCTCCGGTCGTTGTCCCGAAAACCAAGAAGACAATCGACTCCCAGCTGGTGCTCAATAGCGTCGCCCACAAACCTCGCAAACATCTGGGCGACATACTCTACGACCCCGAGATCAAGGCAGATCATTTCAGAACACATTCGAAAGGCGGCTTCAGAACTAAGCCGAAGCCTCTGCCCAGAAATGTGATATTGGACAATGAAAACTCTACCTTGACAGTCAAGGTCCACCGCAGGCATCTGGAACCCCACTGCCGAGAAGAGGTCACACGAAACCGGTCCGTGTGGGGAACGGATATCTACACGGACGATAGTGATGTCGTCGCTGCTTGCATACATGCAGGGTGGTTCCGTGGAGAGTGGCAGGAGGGCGTCGATATCGGTCTGCTCGATCTTGAGCGCCAGCCGCCCAAGACTAAAGGTCGGGGTGGGATGGTTGCTGAGAAAGGACCTCAGGATCTCTTGACCGCACCTCCAGTGACGGGACCCATGCATGTACCAGCCGACCGCGACCTGCACGTAACGATCCTGGTCTTACCCAACCTTGTCAAATATACTGGTACCACGAGATTTGGCATCATGAGTCGCGAGTTCGGCGGTTCGTACAGAGGACGGAAGAGCGTCCATGACGGTCTGAGCTTCAAGATCGAGCAGATACGCTGGGTGGACGGAGCTGCTCCACAGAGCAGACTGAGGGGCAAGGCTCGTCGTGAGCGTATTCGCAAAGCAATGAGCGAGGTCGACAGATCACAGGTCATCGACATTGGAACTGGCAAGAAGGTTGAAAAGTCGACAGAAAATACATCTGTCAGTGGAGACACCGACAAGGAGAACCGCCTTACCGCGGTGGAGAGCCCCCCAGTCGTCAATGGCAACCGAGACGTGAAAGACAACACAGACACAACGCAGGAAATCCGGGAACCCAGTGGTGATATCGACATGCAGGCTATGGAAACAGAGAAGCCAACCACTGCCGAGCCTGAAGCTGTGAAGGCATCATGAGTTCCTGCGTTACCATTGAGTCTCGGAGCCAATACAACGATACTGACATCGCATACGGAGCGGCACAGACTCCTTGGAGGGAGACCAGGTTTATCTGAATGAAATTGGGGCTATGTATGATACACATGGAAAACCCATAGCGCTGCTTTATCCCGTTCTGCTTTATACTCTCGAGATACCTCTGGGTTGGGGCTGGGGTTGGCAGCATAGCGCGGCGTTTGCAAACACATCCTGCGAAAGAATTGAAATTTCTCATTCTATGAATAAACTGTCTTGGTGATCTCACTGCTTCAGACGTACAAAAGTAACCATCGGCATTACTGCATAGAAGCATTAGTTTGCATTTCTCTTCGAGCCTTTGGCAAGTGTTGCCCCCCCCCCCCCCCCCCCTTTTCGAATTGTGTCTCGAGACATTTGGTGGACCTGATACATCCTCACCTACTTCACCAAAAAGCAGACGCTGCTATATCGGGGTGTTCATCTTGTCCAGTGTCATCGGGTCCATCCATGTCTGCAATTGTGAGTGTCACACCCTCGGTACCGCCCGTTCGATAGAACTCAAAGAGATTGGCAACGCACACCGAGGGTGCTGCGTTTGTGCGCCAGTCTCGGTTTTTGGCCGAGATAGAGACGAAAAAGATAGTGGTGGTTCTTCGTTCTAATGTTCATAGGAAAATACTCCGAATTTCTTCTACTTCCTTTGGAAACTAAATCTTGGCCCAGATTCACACCCGGTCTAGTGTGGAGGAGAACCAGAGGACTGCCTCTCGGTGGCCAACCTTTTTTCTTCTCCCCAATCGTTCCCTCGCTCCTTTTGGGGCAGGATAAACGATTACATATTGCGAAAAGATTAACTGTTTGAGCGGTCGGGAGGCCTGTGGCCTACCAGCTGTGGTGGGACTAAGCTAGACCGTAATGCACTCGATAGAAAAGGCGGTACACCTACTGAATTTGTAATTGATCGGCTACTCGCCATCACTATAGGGAACAAGAACAGGAAGCCACTGGAAACCTGGAGGTGATCTCAAATTGTCGACAGGAATTGCCTTAGCATAACAGACTAATTATATATAGGATAACATGGGTAAACGTTAGTTACCGATAATAACAGGATTCAAGGCCACTGCGCAAGTTTAGCCTCGCACTACCTGTATCAAGTTCTGCTGACGGATTTTGAAAATAATATGGGTTGAAACCAATCAACACCGACACGGTGTTTCTGGCAAGAGAAAGCAAAGGTTGAGCGTAACGCCGGCTCGTAATCCCTACAGAACTGTCGCAATCATATAATATGCACTGCAAACCTCGTATGAAGACAAAGTTCCATGAACTTGTATCATCTCGAGAACACCCGTCCGCTCGGACACCAATGCGACAATGTACGGGATACTTACAGTACGCCGTTGGCGATGCTGAGAAGATAGGGTGGCAAATATTCTATATAGTAGGGTATATTTGATGAAACACGGACAGCCATGCGTGCTTGGAATATCACCTGCCATAATACCGCCTTTGCATGACAAAGCCGGACCTCATCAAACTGCATCGGGATCTAGATTATCAATGGGCCAGTCGAAGACATCAGCAGCCGATACCCGTCGCCTGGAATTAGATATCATACGCACGTGCAGGGGCCCTCTTTTCGACGCGCACAACTAACTGGCGAATCACATCAAGCTGAAGTGCCATGCACGTGCACAAGGCACGATCTGAGGAACGACTATCTATGCGGAGCACCAGCACGGATTACCAAATAATCGAGCCTCGAGGCGTCGAAGGGTCCACCCAAAGAGGTTCGGCACTGTCCTTGAAGACAAAAAAAAAAGCCCTGTGGTCAGGAATAATTCCCGAGGCGGAATCGCAGACACGTGGGTCATCCGTGGGGAGCCATTGGAGTTGATACCCCAGGGAGGGTGACAGGGCTGTCAGACAAAAGGGTGCCAAGTCCTGCCCGGAAAGCTTGAATGCGCCACTCACTCAAGTGGAGAATCACACGCGACCCTTAACCTGTTCGAGAAAAGAACAACCGACTTCTAAGCACCATCGGCTGTGAGAATGGGGGCCGGTTGGGTAGAGCAACACACGAGTGCGCTTTAACGGTTGAGCATGGTCTGGTCGTTCCCGATGAACACGGTTCTCTCTCATGTGGAATGGATCCATGCAGGTAACGCGCGAGAGGCGCACGTGCGCCTCTCAATGGATGCAACGAACGTCGTACCTGGCGAGTTTCCCAGGGGTTCTATCAGATATGATCCGCTGGCGGAGAACTTCCAGGATCAGAAAGATGCGTGGTGTGAAGTTTTCCCTTGAGAACCGCTTTGTTCGGTTGCTGCGATAGGATCGCTGGGAATCGCAATCGAAATCGAAATCGAAACCGGAATGCTTGCTCAACCAACCGACGACCGAGCCGTACTCGGAGCTATTGCCCGATTCTTGGCACACCCCTGCTCAGGCTATACCACGTGCCTAGTTATGCAACTTCCGGCTGCTGGTTTGGATGTATTTAGCTTTGGTGATCAGCGCTTTGCTGTTCCCACGGGTTTGGGCTTTCTCTGCTGCACAGCTCGAGGCGACACTCCCAAGACAGGCATTGCCAGCGACCAAGGCGATACAGCGAATACGTCACCGGTAACACAGGGACGGGTGCTCGGTACGAGAGAAGCGGGACAGTGTCAAACGATTGCCTCGTACAAAGAAACCGCAACGCCAATTGTCTCTGCAGTCATCGCTAAAGAGTCGAGATGCCAGACAACGGTCACACTGGCGATGTCGAGCAGGCTTCTGCCTCGTCTCATTCCGGTGAGAAGAATATAGTTGCAGCTCAGAACGTTGTGGCTGCGGATGACCCCAAGGACCCCGCAGCACCCTCGGCACAGGTTTCCGGGAGGCGACAGAGGCTGTCTGACTTGTTTACCATTATTGCTGCGGGTGCAGGATTGGCTTCTGACGGGTGAGTTCTGCTCTAACCGAAATGAAAATGACATCGTGCTGTGATGTGAGATTGATAAGTTGATAGATACCAGAATAACTTGATGTACGCACCCTGGATTCCGCGGCAAGTGAAAGACCAGTCATGCTCACATGTGCCAGGACTATGCTGAATGTGCTGTTCGCAAAGGAATATCCCAATGTCTACACTTCAGCCGTCAAGACCCAAGTCTCCAATGCGCTGCTTGTGGGCGAGGTTCTCGGCCAAGTTGTCGTTGGTTTCTGCTGCGACTACTTGGGCCGCAAATTTGCCATCGTGCTGACAACACTCATGGTCATCATCGGCGGCATATTAGCCACCGCTGCTCATGGTACTACAACCTTGGGGATGTTCTGGATGCTGACCGTGGCCCGTGGTGTTGTTGGTTTCGGCGCGGGCGGTGAGTATCCAGCCGCATCAACCAGTGCCAGCGAGTCTGCCAACGAACGCACCCCGAAGAATCGCGGCCCCATCTTTGTTCTGGTCACCAATTTGCCTCTGTCCTTCGGCGGACCGCTAGCTGTTATCGTCTTTCTCATTGTCATCTCGGTAGCTGGTGTCAACCGTCTCTCGACGGTATGGCGCGTCTGCTTTGGCATCGGCTGCGTCATTCCTATCGTCATCTTCTACTTCCGTATCAAGATGCTCAACTCCAAGCTGTACCGCCGCGGAGCTATCAAGAAGAGAGTGCCATACCTGCTAGTGCTGAGATACTACTGGAAGAGCCTGATCGGTACTGCTGGGGCTTGGTTCCTTTATGATTTTGTTAGTCGGTATGCACCATGACGAAAGACATTCAAGATGCTGACCATCCCCAAGATCACCTTCCCGAACGGAGTGTTTTCGGGCACCATAATCTCGAGCGTTGTCAAGAACTCCGACATCGTCAAGACCGCAGAGTATCAACTCCTGCTCGGCGCCATCTCCCTTCCCGGCGTGTTCATCGGGGCCTACCTGTGCAACAAGATCGGCCGGCGCAACACCATGATGGTCGGTTTCAGCGGCTACCTGGTCTTCGGGCTGATCATCGGGTGTGCCTACGACCAGATCACACAGATCACGCCGCTCTTCGTCGTCTTCTACGGGCTGATGCAGTCATCGGGCAACCTGGGGCCAGGGGATATGCTGGGGCTCATCAGCAGCGAGTCGTACGCGACGGCGGTGCGCGGGACGTGCTACGGTCTCTCGGCTGCCGTCGGCAAGGTCGGTGCCGCCCTCGGCACTGAGGCCTTTACACCCATCCAGAACGGCCTGGGCAAGCGCTGGACCTTCATCGTCGCCGCACTCTGCGGCGTCACGGGCGTCCTGGTCACGAGGTTCTTCGTCCGCGACCTCAGGGGCGAGGACCTCGCCGTCGAGGACGAGAGCTTCCGCGCGTACCTCCTCGCGAGCGGCTGGGATGGCGAGATGGGTGAGGCCGACCTCAAGGGGTCGGCGCAGGATGGCGTCGCACCGGGTCTCGTGGCCGAGGTCGAGGACAAGAAGGGCCTTGGGCACTAAGTTTTAGTGCGAACATTTATGTTTCTTGTCTCCGGACTGTAACAGATACGATGGTTGCATCCAAGTGAATGCCAGGGGAGGCGTGGTTCCTTCCTGTCCAGTTATCACTGGCAACACTTCATACTAACCTTAGGAACCTTGTCGCTGTGAGAGCCAATTGATCATGAGAAGAATTATCATGAAACGCGGCATGAGAAGTCTCAAGAACGAACCAATATCAGTCATTCAATTTACCTATATGATCTAGGCAGAGCTAACCTCTATCCAAATGCTTTGTATTGGGGTATCTAGGTAATCATTTGCGGCTAGGCAAGAGCGGGGGTATCGTATTTTGATAACCCATATAAAGTGTAATCATAATCATCGTCACGACACATCGTCAAATGTGTAATCTCAATTTCTAGTGCCATGTAGCAGGCCCTAGGAAAGAACCGTCACCAGGCAGAGCCTTGGTGACAGCGGTGCCGTCGTTGTCAAGGTTCTTCTGCCAGACGGTGTTGCCCCACCAGTCGGGAAAGTTGGTACCGCTCAGACCGAGCGCGAGTGCAGAGACGACTATACACAGGGCTGTTCCAATATCGAGCGCACCGGACATGACATAGTTGTAGCGTCCTAGAAGTTACTGTTAGTTATTTACTCCTTTCAGGGAGTTGTGGAAGGGTAGAAGGCTTACTCCACCAGCCGAAGAAGCGGTTCTTGATAAAGTAGTTGAAGAAGAGTCCAACAATAACATACTGGCCAAGATACCAGGACGTCGCAGGAGGAATCATACCAGCAGCACCAAAGATTGCAGGGAAGAAGACATATCGGAGAAAACTACGGGGGTAGCGCCGCGCTAGGAAGTACTGCGCAACCGGCAGGATAGCACCGATGAGCCAGAAGTAGTTTACCCAGCTGTACAACTGACCAGCACCAAACATCTTGGCAGGTCCAAGAAGACCCCAAATAACCGAAGCGTTGAAGAACGTCTTGGCGTGGGGGCAGGTGAGACCGTTGATTTGTGTGACAGTGCAAATACCCTCAATGTTACCACGGAGGAAGTTGTACGCGGCAATCTGGACGAGTGACAGCCAAACAACAGCGAACAACTGGGCGGCGAACATGGTTCTCGGTGGAATTTTCATGTAATGACCAATCTTCATATCAGAAACTAGAAAAGGAAGACGTCAGCGCATTAGGTCAAGGCTGAGATGTTAGTTATTTCAAAGAGAAAAAAGAAATTACATACTATAATTGAGACCGTTATATGCAAGCATGTATCCCCATGACTTGAACAACATCATGGCAACGGGGCGGCCAGGGGTCATGTAACCGATGACCATCTCAGTGATGACGTTCAAACCGGTCTGCTGGTTGGTGATGGCCTGAATAACTCCCACAGGGAGGATGAAGACAGCGCCGATGACCACACAAAGTATATACGCCCACCATGTGAGATGTGTGTGCCAAACCTGCGATGCGATCATACCAAAGGCGAAGCTGATAACGAATATGATGGCGAACCACCACTCGGGACATTCCTTGTATCTGCGCATCAACTTGAGGTGCACATCAGCATCCTCGAAACGGACGTTGCGGAACCGAGCCCAGATATCCTTGCCATAAAAGAGACCCACGTGAACGACCGTGGAAATCAGAGTGGCGAAAGACAAGCCATAAGACAGGGAAAATGCAGGTCCCAACAGCAGAGGAGAGTACTCATCGTAAGCCGCCTGATTGAAAGTGAAGTCTTCGGTCAAAATGCGGCTGGTGTTGTAAGAATTGCCGAAATGGTCAAAGTTGGAATTCGCACTAATCGGGAGATACTTCATGTAATCAGGGCCAGCGTAGGCGAGTCCAACGCAGCCCAGCAACATGAACAAGATACCAGCACCGACATTGGCAAGGGCAAAGGCGGGAGTCTGCAGTGGGCTACCCATGAAACCGGTGATAATGCTCCAGTCGAAAGATATAGGAATTAGACCCAGTCCAGTCTGACCACCAAAGATCTGGTTAATGACCACATTCTGCGGAGCGATCCAGCATACAAAGGTAAACATCTGTAAGAAGGTGGCCATAACCTGAGGAATCCACTCGTAGCAAAAAGTGCAAAGCGCAACAACGAGGAAGAACTTGTAGCGACCGATTCTCCAGCCGTTGCTCGTAGCCGGGTTGGAAGGCGAGTGGTCGTGTAGCGAATACATAACGGTAGTGAAAATGAGGGTGGCGGGCCACACCATGGCAGCAGGCCAGACCAAAAACCGCCGAAGAACACCGGCCATGCCGAAACCCATGGCCTGAGTCGAGATAACCAGTAGGATCTGGAACCCCCAACCGAAGTGCTGCTTGTAGAACACTTCCTGAGCTAAGAGAATATCAATTGCGTAACTGGCTGACGCACCGGCAGCTGTCATAATGGTGATAATCGTGTGCTCCTTCATATTGAAAGGACCCGGGTTAAGCTCAAGGCCGCCAATCCGCGCGTGTGGCATGAATTTGGCCCATCCCGTGCCAATCGGGTAAGCGATTAGTTGCACGACAGTAGCAGTGATGTAGGTAGGTGATCGACGTAGTCCCAGCAGGATATTGCAAGCGGCAACTATGGTGCAAAGCAGCCAACCAATGGTCCATGCGCGAATGGTTCCGACTGGGGTCTCGGGATCATCACAAGGTTGAACCTTTCGTACACGTTAGATTGCAACACGAATGTGAACACATAACCGAGTACATACAGCAGCTCGCACTTCTGCATATGGAGAGTCCTCTACTAAAAGGGTAACTTCGACGGCAGCCTCCTTTTCAACGTCATCAGTACCCAAAATGTCGTCGACGGCGTCAAGCTTCTCGACGTCCAAGAATGGATCCCACTTATGAAGACGCTTGAATTTCTTCAGATCAGCCTCGAAATGGACAGTCGCTCCACCGACCTCAATGGCAGCGCTGGTGGCCGTTGAAATATCATCCGCATCAACTGAAGTCTTGTTGATCTTACCACGAAAGGAGAACCCCATCTCGATAGACTTGCTTTAGATCAATACTTAGGTGAGGAGGAGCCTATAGGAATGAAGTTGTGATGGAATAGAGAGAGTACTGCTGAAGCACACCCGTAGGTAGGCTGGGAAATATGTGGGATTTCTACCAGCAGGAGCGTCGCACGCTGAAGAAGGGACCAGCGATATTCCCCAGGGTATGCAATGACGGGTATGGAACAGGAGGAAAGCGTCTCCCAGTATCTCGGGGTGGCGACCGAGATTTTCCAGGCCTTCCTTATTAAAAAAAATTCAAAAAATTCTGTGGCTAGTGAGCTGCGACTATGCGATTTCTGTAGATACAAACTGCGTATAGCGAGTAATAAATTGACTCAAAGATCATTAAAGGTACACGAGACCGTGCAACACAAAACTCCATGCACTTTGAAGACAAACGGGTGTGGATTTTATCCAATGGCAAGGACAACGAGGTAGCTCGGAGTCCTCCATTTCCAGGTACTAATTAATTAGGGCCGAATGGATCGATACAGTTGCTCGCGGACCAGACAAATTTACCAGTAGAGTTAAACACACGCCAGACATCGTAGCTCGTCGAACATGAGTGGGTTAAGTCAACTCGTCGACCGTGGACCAGAATCCAAATCAGGTGTCTACCGCCAGGTCGCCCCTTTCACACTTTCATAGCTTGCTGCGCCGAGGGAGGATGAAGGACTGGCGGCTCAAGATTCCCCTGAAGACAATGATTTGATTCTTGGCCTTCGCAATTAGCGTATTTGGCCCCGCTATAGCATATCGCTGGCGTCATCTTGGCGACGGTGCGAGACACTGGTTCGGCTGGGCATAATTGCATACTATGACCATCGACTCTCATGTGCACTGTTGCCCACACGGCAGACAATCGAGAAGTTTTCCACTTCAGTAGGCGACAGTGGTGGACAAATCAATTAAGAAGTGCCCAGATCTAAGCAGTCCCCGCACTCGGCATATTCATATGCAAAAAGGTGAGCAAGAACTACTCTGCTTGTCGTCGTTGGCAGCAGTATTCAGTCTTTCGCGATTCAACGACTGCGGTCCCATGGAGGTTTTGGTGCTTGTGATTGCTGCGTCATCAGCACTGACGCGGCTAACCTAGGTGGATGTGAGCTGTCCCAAGGGCATGGGTCATGATACAAGTAAAACCTACCTGAAAAGACCGCGATTGGGATTTGATAGGTCCAAAATGAATTCAACCAAGAACAGATCGTAATGCTCGCCGAAACATGGTGAGATGGGGGTGATAAGGCGCAGTCTCGTTGTTTGAAATACAGGAGCAGTGGTGGAACGCACTTTGAGCACTTTTAAGTACAGTGGGGATCCAAATGTACTCGGACCACCTCTCATTTCTCACCGAAAACGTCTCTGGCGCTTTGGATACTCGCAGTCACAACGTCTGAAGCGGCTCTATGTAATCGAGCTCCTCGAGGGACGTAAGCAAGTTGAGTACCCCCCACACCAGCGAAACCAAGTTCCCTCATAGTTGCCTCCCATAATCGTTCCCCGAATTCCTACCCCTCTTCTGTGTAGCATATCTCGGGATACCTGTTTGCAGATTTGAGCTTAAGGTACATGATGTTCTCCTACCGTGGTCAAACGCACAGTAATGAGATAGTAGAGAAAAACACTAGAAGAGGGAGATTATTACGGTTTAATGACCCAATCACCGATAAAGCAGCCGTGGGTCTCCGGGCCGTGAGCTACCACGGCATCGGCATACGTCGTAGCGGCCACCACGACCGATCTGCCCACGACAAGATATAGCATGGCCATAATCGCTCCGTATAGTGAGGGCAACTCCCGCTTGATATTCGTCCCTCTGGTCATGTCCGGGTTCACCATGTTGACAAGAACATTGTTGGGGTCGACATGGTTGACGAGCGTAATGATAAAGAGGGTGAGCAAAAGTTTCGACTTGCCATACCACGCCATCTGCATGAAGCCCTCAGGATTGTCAATCTGTTAAGCGCACTGCTGGCTTTCATGTTAACCCGCGATGTATACGCCATGTCAGAGCCTACGAGACTCAGCACCGGCGGTTTGTTCGTCGCATTTGTCTTGGCCTTGAGAACAGGGAGAAGCAAGATGGTAAGCAGCACATTCGAGAGGTAATTAACCTGCGTCATGGTCTCGTGGCCGTAGCTGATACGATCGTGAAGCCATATTTGGCTACGGCGGCATTTAGTATCGCGAAATCGATGCGAGGGAATGTTTCACAACGGCTCACGAAGGTCCGGATCGAGCCGTAGGACTCGTGATCAGGGTGCCAGACGGAGATATTGGAGCCGGGAAACTCTCTGCGTAGGGCGTCTGCTGCCGCGTCGCCTTTGCTCTGGTAGCGCACGCCCATGATCAGGTGTGATAGCTGGAGATGCAGCAGCTGGCGTGAGGCCTCGAACCCGGTGCCCACATTGCTTCCCGTGACGAGGCAACTTGGTTGGTCAAGTGGATATTCTGGGGGAGAGGCTTGGGCCTTGTAAATTGGTGCGATAGCACTCCGAGGGCCGTCTCTTCTTTCTAGCTTGGATGACATGGCAATAAGAACTAGGGAAACCTGTTGCGAGCCTCAAGATTGATTGGAGCGAAGTGGTTCCAGTTGATGCATTAGAGGTGGTGAAAGCATGTTCTGAGAAAACCTGTCATCCTGGCCTCGGATACTAACATGCAGACGCCGTGGCCAAGTCCTGGTAAACTACGGAAACTACCTTAATGGTAGTCCACAGGCCAGATTACCATGCCCCATGGGCCCCAGGACATTGTGAATAATTGTTTAGTGCTACCAAGATAATGATATTCTGATTTGCTTCCACCTATAAAAACTTTTTGTACGCAGTGGGGAGGACAAAACCCATAAGCCGGGAAATTCAACTATAACGATTGGTTCTGACTGGCAGTCGGCCGCATAAACTTTTCAATACTATAAAGCACATAGATATCCACCCTGGGATGCTCTGATTAGCTTCGGAAAGGACTTGACAAGTGAATGGGTGTGTATAGATATGTGTCGCATTATGCAAGTAATATGTAACAGCCGAGTATATCCTTCAGTCGGACTAGCCTAGGTCCGTGCGTATAACCCATGTACAATGAATATGCATGTGGTACGTCAAGTGAGATTTGAGGTAACTATGCACGAGCATGCATTGCATGACAAACACAGATATGAGGCAACTATACAGAAGCATACACGGCAAGACCAGCACACCGAATTATCAATCAATAAACAAAGACTTCTGTTCCATTACATTATTAAGCACCTCACATATGGGTATATATAAACCAGTCGAGCCACGGTAGTCTAGACTAGCCCCTATTGCATTCCACAGCAACACATCTAAGTTGAAATCACTCAATATGTCCGTTTACGTTATTACCGGGGTGTCGAAGGGAATTGGGGTGAGTATGCCTCATGCTGCGATGCGTATTGGCTTTGCTTACTCCAGCCTAGTTCGAGTTTGTGAAGCAGATCTCTGAAGACCCGAAGAACCTAGTCGTCGGCCTGGTCCGCGACAAGGCTGCAACAGAGAAGAAGGTGGCGGCAGAGCTGGGCGCCCGTTCCAATGTTCATATCCTCCATGCAGACCTCACCAGCTACGCCAGCCTGAAGCAAGCCGCTGCCGACACTGCCAAGACTGTTGGCGAGCGTGGCATCGACTACCTGGTTGCCAACGGAGCTTTCCCGTCCCTATTCGACGCCTTTGATCCCATCGGCAAATTGTAGGTCTACTTCCCTCTGGCTAATGTCCGGGCTGGTCTGTGGTTAACACTGTGTTTTCGACAGGGGCGACAATGTCGAGGAGCTGGAGGATGTTTCATCGAAGCTATTCCGGACCAATGTCGTCGGTAACATCCACCTCTTCAACCTCTTCCTCCCTCTTGTGATGAAAGGGAAGGTCAAGAAGGTCATCACCATTTCTAGCGGTCATGCCGATCTCGACTTGATCAACGATTTCGAGATTGAGATAAGTGCCTTGTACTCTGCCTCTAAGGCGGCTATGAACGTCATTGTGGCCAAGTTCAACGCGCAGTACAAGAAAGACGGTGTGCTCTTCGTGAGTATCAGCCCGGGAGCGGTGGAGGTGGGCCACTTTGTGAATGGTACGTATGCCTGTTCTCAAGATTGAAACATATGGACATTTTGCTAATACATACCCACAGCCACTCCAGAACAGACCCAGGGCTTGATGGGATTCATGGGCAAGCTCTCAGCCTATGCACCTCACTTCAAGGGCCCAACCCCCGTAGACGAAGCGATCCGAGATGTCAGATCGACCTGGGAGAAGGCCAGCATCGAGGGTGGCTATGGTGGTGCGTTTATTTCTCACCTCGGAAACAAAAAGTGGTTGTAAACCTCACAAAAGGTGGAAGGGTGACGCTCTTCTGTAGGAATCTCTAGAAACACCTGTACTTCTACTTCATACCACACACAGATATCTATTTCTATAGAGTCCAATGAATTTAATTCAGGACCCATTATCTACTTACGCATGTAGCTTATTAGTGGCTGGTGATCTAGAAAGTTGCGTGTCTTACTAACAAACAACTTTTGACGTAATGGAGGTATCGCCCCAGAGATGTTTCGTAAGGTAATGTTCATTGACAGATAAATAGGCCGTACTAGAGTATGATAGCTGTTTTATGGATCTGTGAAATTACTCAGGCGCAAAACGAATATGTAAGATGTGCCAGCCCTTGTCTTAAGTGTACGAGGTTACATCATTGTTTTCTGGAAATTTGTCATGTAATGGTTCTTGATATGATCCTCGCTGTCTCTCTTTGTACACGACTCTCTAACTCACCTCATTGACCACAAGTGTCTCAAGTAATTTATCCCGAGCTAGTTGAGTGTCACAAAAATAACGCAAAATACAGACCAACTGATAAATATAGTCATTTCTTAGACAAAGACCTATTAAATAATGCAAATCAAAAGGCGGGATGCTGGTTCTTACGGTAGCTTGAGCCTTGAGTAGAAAGGAATATTCACCTTGAGCATCTTATACTAGCCAACCAACCATAAGGATGATAAGAAATAAATGTTGCCGTGGATACCACGATATTTCTATAACTATTTCTATAATTATCTCTAAAAATCAAATTACTTCGATAACAGGGTGCTTAGCTAGCTAGCTGGCTATCCGTCCTGTTAGACGGATAGGGAAAATATACTGATCCTAAATGGTGCTCTCTGGTACTCGCCAATTTCCGATCGTGATTACCGATTCGCTTAGATTAGATTACGCGCGTGTCTAACGAGCTCACGCAATTCGTGTCAGCAAAGTAAGCAAGCGCCGTAATGCTGTTGATAGTCCCCACCAATGTGCTTTATAAGCATGCATGGACCCGCATGATGCAGTGTAACGTCGAATACCTAGAAATGGCAAGTTCATAAATATATGTCTCCGCTACCGGTTTAAGGGTCCACGAATTTCCCTCCATGTTGCACTGCTGTGTGCTTCGGCTCCTTACGCACGATTGATCAGCACAATGATGCGGGAAGGGCAGATGACAACGCCGCGCAACGGTTGTGCCGCATGTAAAGGTAGGTAGTGGATAGGACCTAGAAGAAAACAAGAAGACACCTAACCCGGGCAGATCGTGCCATCCGTTGCGATCGCGTCAGGCCGAACTGTACAAACTGCTCTCGATCCAACCGGAAATGCCAGTGGCATGGTCTTAGGCTGTTCTGGCCGCGTGCCAACGATCGCCGGCGTGCTGTCGTCTCCGAGTCGCCTATGGTGTCTCCGTCACCCCCCACCGCGGGCCAAATCTCCGATGCACGGTTTGTCCACACATCGCATTGGGATATTGAGTTGTATCACAGCTTGACAAGATCTGTTCCGGTGCGCACCCTGTCTTTGCTACACGTACCAACGGTCTGGAACCCATCTAAGCTAGAGGACTCTGACCAAGAACTGTTGGAGTACTGTACGTTGTGCAAAACTCGCATAGCCACCTACCAAGCTCAGTCAGGGGAGGAAGTGCTGACAGTTCGTGTACACCATCTGTAGTTTGCTGTGTAGCGGCCACGTCCCTGGGTACCTTTGGCCACGATGCCACCGCCCTCGGCAATATCCTAGTTCGAATTGCCCTGCAAGGGGAGACGGCCTCAGCTGCGGCAGTGCTCCAGGCGGTGCTGGCCTTTTCTTCGCTACATCGCTACGGATTACAGTCCCAAGCCATCGAGCTTAAAATTGCTGCGCTGAGAAGCTTGGCAGAAGGATCTGTAGCGCCAACTCTGGATGCGAAAGAGACCATTCAGCATACTGCCACGGGGATGCTGCTTTGTTCGTTTGAGGTCCACCAGTCATCTTGCACTTCAGGCCAATGGACGGGATACCTCAGCGGCGTCAAGACGGTCATCAACGCGTCTTCTATCAGAACACTACTCCAGCTTGGCTCTGATATGGCCGTCTTGCTAGACTGGGTGCACTACCACGATGTTCTCGCTCACTTTTCACTATTACATTGGAAAAGAGAAGGGGCCCCGGAGCTCCAGTCGACTCCGACAGACCTCTTCTGGTCCGAGGTTCGTAAATGACAAAGGCTACATGACTAAATGAAGTGTTGATCTGATGTTTAATGTTTCAGATTTCCAGTCTGCCGCCGCCTGTTTTCTCCATGTTAAATCTGTTATCCCAAGTATGCGATACAGTATCTAGCAGCAAAATCCCGCCAGAAACCAGCGATAACGTGGGAGATTACAAGGGCTTCCTAGAAGTAATGGATTGGAGAATCAGGAGCCTACCGATACCAAAAGCCACACATGATAAAGATGGTGTTTCGGATGATGCGACGTTGGTATTGCAACTGTATCAGCTTGCTATGCTCCTGTATCTCAATCGCAGTTTTGAAGGTTTGATCGACCAACCAATCATCACGCAACAGCACATCGACAAAGCCTTCGCAATCTTACCCAGACTGAGTTCTTGTAGACAGCAATTTCCCATTCACGTCATTGGCTGTGAGGCGCGAACGGATGAGCAAAGGGCCGTCGTCCTCGACCTCATCTCCAGGACGGAGAAGATGAGCTCGTCCCGATCTTTCAATTATTGTAAGAGGATATTGCAGGCTGTCTGGGCCCAGGATGACCTCGCGTATGGGAGCAACATTAGCTATCGCGATAAGTTGACCTCAGTAATGAGCCTTTGTGTAGTTGTTCCTGCTTTTATATAGTCATTTTGTTTAATCATTTATGAATCATGAAGTACTTGTTAAAATATCAAGGCGAGGCTAGTTTATCTATATGTCGTGCGATGTGCGTAACTGGAAGGATGATGTCCGATACAGCGCGTGTTCAGGCCATTATCTGTTTTGTTGTGTTCTGCTTTCAGAATTCTCTGTCTATGCTCTTCGCGTTGTACATGTCGCGCACAAGACCATCCGTGACTATATAAGGATTGGATGATGATCTCTATAATCCTATATTACCCTGGATACATCGCCTTTCAATGACCGCCAAAGAACCTGGCGTTTGCAAACCAACTTCTCATCTGTGGCGGCACTTCATGACAAGTAGCGTGTCACGAAAATCAGACCTTAGGGGTAGGTAGTACATGTACTGAGACGTCGTTGAATTGCGGCCTAATGACCCAAAGCGCCTCGCGCCACACGCAAGAGGCGTTTGTAAGCTATGACACCAACATCGGGGCAAGAGCTCACTTTCAGAGAGCGATGAAGAGTGGGTAGCTAGATTGTTTTTTGGCCAAAATAGAGTGTTGACGCCAAGCCGCATGATATGTAAGGTAGCAAGAGTTCTACAGGTAGGTAAATGAGTGCTACAAGATTTCGAGGACTGCCACGAGTACCTAAGTACTAGGATGGAAACTTGTAGGATCGGTAAATATAGCTCCTAAGAGACTATAATAGAAGTCGGCTGACTGCTAAGCCCAGCCTGTAACCTTCCTAAGCAGCATGTTTTATCAGTGTCGAAGACGAAGACGGCGGGGGTGATACTGATGACGACTACTGGGTATGTGGCAGGACAGAACGCGAGGCTCAGGGAGAGGCTCAGGGAAAAGCAGAACAAAAGTTCCCGGGCAAGAAAGTGATGCTCAAGCGAGACGAAGACGTCTTAGATACGTGGTTCAGCTCTGGACTTTGGCCGTTCAGTACCCTTGGATGGCCAGACAAGACGTCGGATTTTGAAAACTACTTTCCAAACACGACTTTGGAGACAGGTTGGGACATTATACCATTCTGGGTGAGCCGTATGGTCATATTCTCTTTGAAATTGACTGGAAAGGTGCCCTTTACTGAGGTTTACTGCCATGGCTTGATTCGCGACAACGAGGGTCGGAAAATGTCAAAGTCACTCGGCAATGTTATCGATCCGATCGACATAATTGACGGTATTAGTCTCGACAGTCTGCATGAAAAGCTGCGGCAAGGTACCTAGCCCAAAGCGAGGTCAAGAATGCCGAAAAGTACCAGAAGAAGGTCTTCCCATAAGGTATTCCCGACATCGGGGCCGATGCCTTGCGGTTCTCGCTTATAAATTACACCCAGTCATCTGGCGGCGACATCAATTTCGACATAAAGACGATGCACAGCTACCGAAAATTCTGTAACAAGATTTATCAGGCCACAAAGTATGTCCTTGGAAAGCTTGGAAATGGGGTTGTTCCTCGTGAGAGCAGTGCTTTGACGGGAAAAGAGAGTCTGCCGGAGAGATGGAGCTTGACGAAGATGAACACCGCCGCAAAACAAATGAACCAGCACTCGAAGAGCGTGAATTCGCAAAGTCCACTCAGATCAGTTACCGGTTCTCGTATGATGAACTATTTGATATCTACATTGAGAACTCGAAATCGATCATCTCGGGTGGCACACCCGAAGAAGCTCATTCAGCCATAGACACACTCTACACCACACTCGAATCTGGCTTGCGACTCGCCTCTCCCTTCATGCCCTTCCTGGCTGAAGAGCTTTGGCAGCGGCTACCATGCAGACCATGCGATGACACACCCTCGATCACGATTGCTGAGTATCCAGAGTATGAAGAGTCCTTTCACGACCCGAAATCCGAGATGGCCTATGAGCTTGTACTGGGCTGCTCGAAAGGTTTCCATTCCCTTTTGGCGGACTATGCCGTCAAGGATAAAGGCGTGGTTTACATCGTACCGCTTAATCAAATGTCTCATGATACTGCGTTAGCTTAGCCTTCCGCGATCAAGTCACTCAGTGGCAAAACACCAGTGGATATCAGCATTCTGGCGGTTGGAAACGTCAGCCCTACCGGTTGTGCGGTATTCCCTGTTTCCGCCGAGGCAAATGTCTATCTTGAAGTCAAGAATCGTATACAAGATGCCGGAAAGGAGGCTGAAAAGATCAAGGCGAAATTGGCTGATGCAAGAAAGGATCAGACGACATCGACTCGCTCAGGGCAGAGCTGAGTAAAGTACAGGACAAGGATGTCGCCGAGGCCATGCAATCAGCCGAGCGCCGGAAGATGGATGTCGAGGCCAGATTGCGGGCATTGGAAGAGACCGTCACGATGTTTGAGAAGATGATGGTTTAGGCTGGATGTGACCCCTGTTGGGCAGTCGCCATGCCCTTTACTATAATCACTATCCTGGATAGAGACCCCGCCAAGCCCAGCACTGAACCTGCTGGGTAGACCTCCGTGCCGTGCCAAGCTGTCATCCGAGTGCGAGCTACCGCCGATTGCCAAGTCGAAGCGTTTAAGCTTGGCCTAAAACCGTGAGTAGGGCAATCTTGCCATACCTTTTCCTGGTCCCTGTATATTGCTTTCCTTGGAGATGGCCAATGCTGAGGATCTTCTCCAATTACGGACCGAAACTCGTGATCATCCTTGTCATCCGTCTCTCTTGGCATAGTGCTCACATGACTACAACGTGTGCAAGATATAAATTTATGGTACATCTAATAATGGAATATTCTGATTTTGGTATAAAGATGTATTAAAGAAATTGTCACTGATAGTTAGTGACTGCAAATAACATTCGAGCGACTACATAGTGATCAAGAGGATGAGCAAGGTAGGATCGTAAAAGACGAGACTTTGCCTGAGCCACGGGACTGGGGTGACTGTGTATACCTTGACACCAAGCAGACCTGTAACGGAACTATGTGTACACGAGGTCTATCGGGTAGCCATCGACCATTTAATGATGCTCGTCGCAGAAGGGGAACGTCTCCAGGCCTATAGTCTAGACTAGTTAGTCGAGTCTAGAAGCAGGGTTCTGATTGGGGCCATGACAGAAGAATTGGCGCACTGGCCACTAACCTTTGACTTGTAGGTTAGGTTAGGTAGTCTGCACACTCAACTGTGCGCCAATTCTTGTGTCACCCACCCCTGCCACCTTTTCTTTGGCAGGGTAGTTAGACTAACTTTCAATGACATAAGTTATTAATTAACCCAAGCTCAGTATCTCCGCAGGAAGTGCAGCTGATCAATGCCACAACCCGGACCAGCGTTTAACCTCGAACAGCTTGCGCCAACCCAAGCAGCCCTGCCTTCGTGACCAGCGCATCCATTCTCTCTGATGTTTATTCCCACCTGAACATTCGGAGCACATCTCCGGGCTGGCAACAGCCATCGCTATCGGCATTAGGATGCTCTCCGCTTTCACCGCTCGGCCCATCATCGAGCTGAAGCAGCGCGACAAGTCCAAGATCGAGACCATCCTCGCATATGGTATGCCCTCCCTCGTCTTCCTGCCTCCCTGTCCCCGATAGCTTACTTGGCCATCCGTGCAGGCGACCGTGTGCTCGTCGGGTTGAACACAGGCGTGCTGCGGGTCTATCGTCTCAACAGCCCTTCCCAACCCAACGGCGACGGCAACGGCAATGCCTCCGCACCCAGCAATGCACCCAGCGACGCCGACCGCCCAAATCCGAACACCGGCTCCTCTGCCAAGCCGACAGTGCTTTTGCGCGAAGTCGACAAGTTTTCTACCCGCGCCATCGAACAGCTCGCCAGAATCAAGGAGGCCAACCTCATCGTCTCCCTCTCTGCCTACCATGTCTCTCTCTACGACCTGTCCACCTACGAACTGGTCGAAACTCTCGCGCGAACTAAAAACGCAACCTGCTTTGCTGTCACCAGCAACGTCGTCAAAGATGCTGCCACAGGCATCCCCGAGATCATATCCAGGCTGGCAGTCGCTGTCAAGAGGAAGCTGCTGCTCTGGAGCTGGCAGGAGAGCGAGCTCAGCAACGAGGTCCAAGAGATTGTTCTTCCCGAGTCCGTGCGCTCCGTCACCTGGTCTACAGCCACCCACATGGTGTGTGGCATGAATGCCGGCTATGTGCTCGTCGACGTGGAGACCTCGTCCATCACGGAGATAAACGGGTCGGGCGCCGCCGCCGCAGGTGGACAGGGCAGTCGCTTCGGAGCTGCCAGCATGGGCTATATGGGGCTGGGCGGGTACATGCCCAAGCCGCTCGCTACCAAGTTGGCAGATGGCGAGATGCTTCTTGCAAAGGATGTCAGCTCGCTCTTCATTGATGCCGACGGAAAGCCCCTGGAGAAGCGACAGATGCCCTGGCAGAGCGCCCCCGACAACATTGGCTACAGCTATCCATACATACTCGCCTTGCAGCCGCCAGCCAAGGGTGCACTCGACGTCTGGAATCCCGATACGCTGAGCCTGATCCAGAACATCAGCCTGCCAGGTGCCGCACAAATGCACTTTCCGCCGCCCACCGTCAGTCTGGCGCACGCAGGCAAGGGCTTCCACGTGAGCAGCGACCGAGCTGTGTGGAAGATGGATGCCACCGACTATGACTCACAAGTCACCGAGCTCATCCAGCAGAACAAGTACGATGAAGCAATCAGCATACTAGGGATGCTCGAAGATGCCTTGCTCAAGGACAAAGTTGGCACCATGCGAGAAATCAAGATGCGCAAGGCCGAAATGCTCTTCCGGGCCAAGAAGTACAGGCAAAGCATGGACCTCTTCAATGAGAATGATGTCCACGCACCTCCAGAAAGGGTTCTCAGGTTATTCCCCAGGTCGATATCTGGTGATCTGTCGGAAGAGCCGGTCCAGGAGGAGTCTGTCTCGGAGTCGGAGCCAGAAACACAAGAGGCAGAAGAGGCGGAGCATCCCGAGCACGGCAGTACTGATGACGACAAGCCAAGTGTGGAAAGGGACAAGGATGCAGAGAAGGAGAAGCCGGCCGACAATGATTCCATCGCAGCACAAGCTGCCTCAGCAGGGCGTGGTGGCGGGTTCTCGAGATACTGGCCGTTGGGCGGAGGAGCGAAGAAAGCCGACTCGGATACTGCTTCTATTGCTTCCAAGAAAGGTCCAAGTACAGCTGATAAGGATGCTGATACCGCAAGCGTCAAGGCACCCAAAACCGAGCCCGCCCCCGTTGTGCCCAAGAGCACTACTCTGGAAGGCAAAGACTTGATGGAAGCTGTTGCAGAGCTCAAGTTCTTCCTCTCCGGAACCCGACCTCGACTTCAACGAGTGCTAGACCCTGAGACGGGAAAATTGAGGCGTCAAACCTCGGGACTATCTGATACGCAAACCACCGAATCATCCGAGGACCCCTCCAAGGGCGCCAGTCTTGATGCGTCATTTCTCATCGATACGTCAAAGCTAGATTCAGAGCAGGAACTCGAGGATTCCATTAGAGAAACTTTCACCCTGGTAGACACCACGTTGTTCCGTGTCTATATGCTGTCACAGCCCAACTTGGCCAGCCACCTGTTCCGCATCCCGAATTTTTGCGACCCTAAAGTTGTCAACGAAAAGCTGCTGCAGACAAACCGGTATAGTGAACTGGTTGAGTTCTTCTACGGCAAGAAGCTGCATCGTGAGGCATTGACGCTCCTCAGGAGGTTTGGCACCGCAGATGAGCAGGACCAGGAGAAGAAGACGGGAATCATGAACTGGCTGAAGCCGAAGCGAGGCGGGACCGGTGATAAAGAGCACGAGAACGAAGGGGTTCAGGAAAACGGCCCAGGACACGGGCAAGCCGAAACCGCAGATGGTGCTGATGCCGAGGAAATACCCATCGACGCTACTGAGATACCATCTCAACTTCGCGGCACGCGACGCACGGTTTTGTATCTCCAGTCGTTACCACCGGATCTTGTCGATCTTATCCTGGAGTTCTCCGAATGGGTTCTTCGAAGAGAGCCGGACTCCGGCATGGAGGTTTTCCTGGCGGACTCTGAGAATGCCGAAACGCTGCCGCGAGACCGCGTTGTCCACTTCCTGGCTGGTATCGACGAGAAGTTGGAGCTCAAATATCTCGAACATATCATTGAGGAACTTGATGATGCCACACCCGACTTTCACAATCGCGTCGTCGACTTGCGTGTCGAGATGCTGAAAGAGATGAAACAAGATGATGCAGCGAGAACCGAAGCGTCGGAGAAGTTGGTGCACTTCCTCCGGGAGAGTTCGCAGTACAGCCTGGGCCAAGCTCACAGGCTGATTCCGAGAGACGGTGAGTTGGAAGTGATCCCGTTCCCGGAGACAGCAGAGACTAACACAACACAGACCCTGTCTTTTACGAGGCATCAGCAATCGTTTTTAGCAACATGGGCAACGATAAGCAGGCACTTGAGATATACGTCTTTAAGATGCAGGACTATGCCAAAGCTGAGGAGTAAGAAAATCTTTTGTTTCGTGCTCATCCATCCCCCGGGCCATAATTGACCATGTATACAGCTACTGCAATCGTATTCAGAAGTCACGGCAGGACTCATCGCAGACGTCACCGACTACGTCATCTTTCCGCCGCTCGTCACGACCCTCGTCGCGACCCCCCTCATCATCTCAGAGACAAACGGAGGAGCCCTTGGACCAGGACGACCCCGATTCGCACCCTTCGATATACCATGTCCTTCTCAGTCTGTACCTCACGCCACCAAAGCCATATCAGTCGAACCTGGCCCCTGCACTAGACCTCTTATCGAAACACGGCTCCCGCCTTCCGGCGTCTTCGTCGCTGTCTCTGGTTCCTGATGATCTGCCGGTCAGGGCGTTGGAGTCCTACTTCAGCGGCCGCATCCGTGCGGCAAACTCGAGACTGGCCGAGAGTCGGGTCGTGGAAGGTCTGCGCAAGACGTTGCTGGTCGACACACAAGCGCTCCTCCTGCTCGGCGACGGCATGCCTGGCGGGCAAGGTGGGCGAAATAGAAGAGTTGTCGTGGGCGAAGAGCGGATTTGCGGAACGTGCCACAAGAGGCTGGGTAACACGGTCGTCGCCGTCCTGCCCGACAACAGCGTCGTCCATTATGGCTGTCTCAACAAGGGCAGCGGGCAGAGAAAGGCTAGTATAAGTGGTGGACGGGTGGTCGCAGGGGCCTGGGGTCGTGCCTCGTAGTGTGGCTGTATATGGGTACTGTAGCATATATGCATGGCGACGGTGTTCTCGTTGGCGAGCAAAACAGCCAGTGAAAGTTTAGTTTGGTGGTCATACCCCTTTGCAACAGGCAACCGATTTTTCCGAGCTTGATAAGATTGTCGTCCTGTGGGTCTGGGCCGTGGAAGCCTGAGTCTCTGCCATCGACCTGCCACTTCTGACCTTTGTCCTTGATCGTATTGTGTCCCCCCCTGCATCCCAGTGTCTCCAATTGTTGATATGACCTCGAAAGCCGTTCTTCCCAGACTCTTTATCGCCAACGCAACGAATCTCTCATCCCCAGCACACCTTTCGTTGGGCGTAAAGGTGCTTCTTTTTCTTCTTCTTCTTCTCCCCTCAATCCTCCTCCTCCACGACCTCCTCCCCATAGTTCAGCTCCTCGGCCTCCTCGTCAATCCTGGAACCCTTCTTATTCTTGTTCTTTTTCGAGTTCTTCTTCCCCGCGCCACCCCCCTCCGTATCATCATCAGCAGCAGCGGCGGCGGCAGCCTCCCGTGCCTTGTCCTCCTCCATCCGCAGCGTCAGCGCCTCGTTGATCCGCGCCTGCGCCGACGTCACCGCCCCCCGGAGCGAGCGCAGGTACTCGGTCGGCGGCGCCGAGGGTTCCGCCGGCAGCGCCGGCAGCGGGGTCGCCAGGGCGAAGGGCTCCGAGGGCGTCGTGGCGGCGGAGGCGTTGGTGTATTCGGCGCGCAGCTCCGAGGCGGGCGGCGTCATGGCGGGCGAGGGCGAGGGGTGGGAGAAGGACGAGGAGAAGAAGAGGATCTGGAGGGGTGTTGGGAAGGTTGACGGGAAGGCGAGCGGTCTTGCGCGCGAGGTGCAGGGCAGGGAGAGGTGTGGCATTGGATTTCGACGGGCCGACTGGAGATAGGGAGGGTCAGGTTTTGTATGCGCCTCCGGGGTGTCGCGACGATGGGGATTGGATGGGGTTTTGTTATTTCGTTTTTGTTTTATCTTATCGGTGATGGCGGGGTTGGCGTTTGGTTGCCCGGATTGCTTCTGCGGCGGTGCGGGGTCAACGTTCGGCTTTGGAATCGTCACTGTGTATAACTAGCACTGAGCTTCAGTTGATTGTCTCTGTTAATTGCATTACGTAACTCACCCGGTGTTTTTTTTTTATAGAGAGCCCTGCTTGGTTGGGTCTGTACCCAGGAACAAAGCAGATGTACGGAAGTACACCTACGACTCGAAAATCAGGAATGTATTCAAGGATGCAACACGTCCAGCAGCTATGGTCTCGGGCTTTCTGCGCAAGATCCTTGTCTCCGTGAAGACCGGCTTCCCAGCACCCCATACGCGTTGTATCGGATATCGTATGTTGACTATAACTTCGTATGCAAGTCATCAAGGCCATTCCTAGACTCGAATTTGTATCGCTGTGAAGATGGACTTGTCCGACCACCATAATGTCGCGAATGGGCCCTGGCAGTCTACGGGAAGGGGCAGGACAACTTGTCTTGAGGAGAACTGCTCTTTTTCACCCCACCCAACATACTCGATGTGCGACTCTTGAGTCTTGCCGGCCTCGGTTTAAACTCTCATTCACCACAGCTCTGCTTAGGGAAGTGGCCATAAGCAGGCTTCTCTATTAAACATATATTCCATCGAAGCCACATTCATTGTCTTTCCAAAGACCTCTGGCTGTTCAGTCAGGCAGTCTCACTGTACTGACACGAGAGACAGTTTACTCAAAAATCATGACCACATTTTACCGTTTCGCTCAGCTTCCGGAAGAGAGCTCCCGGATTTGAGCTGGTAGTTAGGTGGCCATCCCTGAGAGGAGTCTAAATCTCTACAGATGCCGTTGTGGATAGATATATATATACATATATGTGTGTGAAAATGCTCGTGGGACCAGCATTCAGGCACCAGACTAACACGATTTGCTTAGCATTAAGAGCCAGACAGATGGATACTGCAGCCGGCAAGGAACAAAAATGGACATGTTGGGCCGAACGAAACTAGCAAAAGCTCGTACTCAACGAAATGTAAATATGCTTTCCGGAACCACCGTAGTGTTGATAAATTTCTAGAATTTTCGAATCCCTCCTCGTCTATCTCTCAAATTCCACCCATCTCTGGATGTAGCGCAGATGCATGTTCCAAGTTGATCGAGCATTCATCTCCTGCGTTTCCAAGCACGCTGAGTGAAGTAACATGAATCGCTACTTCGTTCGGTATTTCTTCCGTTGAATGGCAGATCGACCGACACATCTCCACACAAGTTAACACGATACCTAGTGTTTGTACTGCGAAGGCATTGTTAAAACAAGAACTTTGGCAGAGGCTCATCCAGCCAAAATCTTGGCCTACCACAGCCGCCTGCCAGTACCATAAGAGCTTATTGCACCATAATTGGTAGTGTTCTTCTCGTCCCAAGGAAACCGACTTGGCGACAAGAGGTCCCCCGAGCAAGACGTCCACGAGATTACAAGCGATGATCTAAATCCCAGGGAAACTGGTGGGAGAGTCTGCGGCTATGGATTGGGTCATGTCGGAGCCTGTCGCATCTTCCATCGCTGAATCTCAGGTAACAGTCTAACCCATTATGTTTCCGGCGTCAGGATACACAAGATTATTCAGAGCTCTCTTAGTTGTGCAGTTCCTTATCTACATGATCATAGACTGGCAAACTCAAGCCGTTAAAGAAGTACATGAAGCCGGGATTTGCGTCACCCTTTCGGGTACTCTATGCGTGAGTGACCCAGGGAGTGGGGGCTAACTATGGTGGAAGTTTCTCGATACTACGAGTCTGGGAGCCATGAGACGCTGTCTTGCGCTGGTTGATCCATGCGTTCCGCGGCTTTCTTGATTGCATCTCTGGCAATTCTCTTGAGGCCTGTGCAGAGCCGTTGAAAATTGCGTACATTGCCTTTTGTGCCTTGGGTGTAGCACACCAAGTCCACGAATAGTCGCTCAGCCATCTCGAGTCGTCTGAGATCTTCCGCACAAGCCGGAGAATGCGTATCTTCTAAAATTCGAGCAAATACAATTGATGAAGCTTCGAAGACATAATGAATCAAGATCCTAGGAGATGAGATCAACCAGGTGTACTCTGTCTTATTTGAGGCAGGAGGTGAAAAATAGCCCGTTCAACGAACAAGGGAACATATTTGAGATGATAAGAGGGCCGTTAAAGGTGATTTTGATGAGAGATCATGACTACTTACCAAGTCCAATAATGATCTGCCCGTGGAATATGCCTTGCCATCTCTAACAAAGCTCGAGCGGCCTCGATGCACTTGGCTTCTGCACCAGTGATGGTCGTGATACTGTCGTCGTAGTTGGAGAATTCTGACCCGGGGGCCATATCAGCACCTCGATGAGCATAGCACGGCTTCGTGTCCACGATCATCAACATGTGAAAGTAAGATATCTGCATCCAGAGACGGGAAATTTCTTGCGAATCGTCCCACTTATGAGCCTCGCTTGTCAAAAGCAGGCCGAATCTACGTCTCCACAATTCCAAATCGGAGTTCAATGCTGCTATATTATTGTGTACTCCAGTTTGAGCTGATAGTGGTTCGGCTTGATGCTGTGCCAAGCTCGGAACCTGACCAGTCATTATCGTCAATGAGATCAAGGCTTGAATGAATTCGCTCTGCTGCTCATCATCCTTGACTATCCATAGATCTTTCTTAGCTCGATCCAGTGTATCCATATCAATGTTGTCGAGAATATGTGTTGGGTCTACTCCACTTCGGATGCACGCCCTTCTAAATTAATACCAAAGCCGACTTCACAAAAAGAAAAAGAAATAAAAAGGAGGGGGAAGGTATCGGGCTTCCCTTCAATTTCTGTTCATTCTCGGGTACATACCTAGATTCCATAACGTGTGTCATCCAGAAAATTCGTCTTCGTAGAGTATTGTGCGTCTTACTTGTGCCAGCAATATCTCTGAATAGTTCGAGTTGGTGAGATAAAGATCGTGCGGCTGTAATCAGAGGTAACGCCGTTTCGGTATCACCATTCAAGCTAAGAAATGTTGCCTGAAATGAATCACTCATCAGTTTTCACACGACACTTGTACTAAATAACGAGGATGAGAGATGGAAAAGCGACTTACAATTCCCAGCAGGACTTGAACAACTTCAAATGTCACTCCAGTCATAAGCAGTTGCGGCAAGACTGAAATAGCGTATCTGAAGCGCATCCATGCCTTCTTGTTTTCCTGGCTAGGGACAGGAGCTCTTGTCATCCTAGTAATATGGCACATTGCAAGTGCGATATTGATGTTGGCGAAAACCTCAGCAGCTGGCGGAATCCCACGTCCGTATAGTGACTCGACAATTTGCAGGAACAGTTCTTGATCATACAAAAGACAGAACGGAGCCGCACGCGAGAAAAACTCATCCAGCAATGCTCTTGTCTCTTCGTATCTTGGGAGACGATGTAACAAAGCTGGATCTGGTTCTTGTTCCAAGACATTGAGATCTGTTGGCCGCAAAATTTCATTCAGGGCTGAAGCCACAACATCCTGATACTGTGGACATCCGTGGGAGTCTTGGATGCGTTGGATCAGCTCCGGTACCTGACCTTGAGGCTCGAGGACGGCTAAGAGGACATTGATTAGCCGTCCGTCCGGAGATAATACGTGCTAGTGTTGAGCGCCAACTTTACCAATTAGAGAAGTAGACTTCTCGGTCACCTCGGGACTTAACTGTCTAAAGTTGATTTATCAGCTACAAGGAGAAGAACCTCACTAGTCATGACTTGCACTCTGCTTTGTTTGTCTTCATCTGATTGGCTTCGTTCCTCGGCTAGGGTGTTCTTGGCTGCAGGGCCATCGATTCGTTGCAAGTCTTGACCGCTGTCATGGGCGATGGGAAGAAGCGATGCTGGGCGAATAGCATCTTGCATGTATGCCAGCCTAGCTTCAAGGCATTCTATCCTTGCTGTCATGCTCAGACTGTCTCGGTTCGTCGTACTGCGTCTAGGACGTTTGGCCTGCCGGGGCTCACGGGGCGTCGTGGAACAGGTGACGCCACGGTGGATGCAGCTGTTGCATCTAGAGTTGTTTAACTCAATGTCGCATTTTGTCTTACGTAGTCGACACGGGTCACAGGCCTGTGAGCAAACACAAGTTAATGTTACTCTTGACGGTCAAGTTCCGGCTAACACTATACTCTTGAACGTTCAGCAAAGCCCCCCGGGTTGTTGCGAGGCCAGCTGTGAGAGTCAAGCGCCCTCGCAGCGCTTGATAAAGAGGTAACGTGGCTGGGCAAACCGTGAGCAAGACCTAGAAACCTGCGCAGGGAGATAAAGAGTCGCCATACAGCTGGCCTGACAATTCGTCCTGTCGAACACGACTCATATCTGTAAATTTTCGCGCAAGTGCGAATGTACAGCTCGGCATAAACGCTAATACTTCTCCATTCGTGAAAGGTGTCGATTGATATCAACCTGTATTCAAAAGTTGACGTCACAAAAGTCGCGGGGCGGAAGATTTTGCGAATGAGCTCGAGCGCACCAATACGCAACTTATGCGGAGTATGACTACGTGTCCCGGCACTTGGAATTTTCGGATCGGGGTTCGTGGATAGGGGGACCGATACACGGGAATTCGAAGAACCGGAACTCCCGCGCCGAATATGGTATAGCGTGTTATGGAGCCGGACTTTTGACAGATACGCTACAGGTTATGTGCCTGCTGCTGCCGAGCGAATAGAAACTCCACGGACCGGGAAGAGCCGTAGTGGTTGCACAACCTTTCATAACTACCACAAAGATTTAAGGTACGCTGCTTGAATTTAAGAGCTACGGAGATGAGCAAATCCGGCCGGGGGATTGCTTGTGGAGAAACCACGAGGAAACTTTATACTATCAATCCACGTGGGTCTTCGCTAGTAGGCGCGGTATTCACTTCCCAACCCCGATCCCAATCAGGCGGTCGATTAGTACAGGAGCGGCCAATCGGCAGATCAGCAAACGCCGGGGACTCGCCCGAAGTCCACTTACCAGGGCAAATGTGGCTACGCGTGGCTTCCATGGGGAAAAGGTTTCCACTATGTTACGGGAAGTGTCTGCCCCGTGGTGCATAAATAAAATAATGCAGGCCGGCACGAGTGGTCAAGATGGCTTTGGTGATGGAAGATCCCTGGCTCGGATGTGTGCACAAAGACTACGCACTTCTTATTAAGAAGGATCTTTCCTACCTAACTTCAAACATTCTCTCAACTTAATCCAGATTTATCCATAACTATGACAATGGATAGGATCGAGTTGACCGTTCCCTTTCGCTTAGCCGGTGTAGAAGCTCCTATTCCGTACTTCGTGGCGATCGTCTTTGTTTTCTTGACGTATTTCACCTTGCAGGGCAACAAGGTCCCCGCTCTCCCGCTTGTGAATGGAAAGAAGTTCCCCGAGATCAGCAATGGTCGGACGAAAAAGCACTTTGCTTTGAATGCTTCGGAGGTCATTCAGCATGGAATCGAAGCTCAGAAAGGAAGCCCCTTTCGCGCCATCGCAGATGTTGGTGAAGTCGTCCTTCTTCCTCCCGAGTTCGCCAACGAAATTCGAAACGACAACCGCTTCAGCTTTGTGAAGCACGTTCGTGAGGTACGTCTGGGATTCAAAATGATGAACAAACTTCTCTCGCACCCCTCTCGCTCATGCATGTTCACAGAGCTTCCATGGCCATTTACCAGGGTTCGTTGGCTTCGATGAGGGCAGCCGTGACTCTATGCTTCTCAGATCAGTCTCACAAAAGCAATTGACTCATCAGTTAGGTTTGAACTCCTCGTGCAAGCTTTATTTTCGCGCAGTAGCTGATTGGTCTCCCGCATTCAGCCAAGGTCACGGAGCCTCTCTCTGACGAAACCAGCACTGCTCTCCAAGAACTTCTCACCGACAACCTGGGTATGCTCCTGGCCCCATCTATGCTGTATCGGCGAATGTCTAATAAAAATTTTTTTAGAATGGCACACTGTTGCACTCAAGAGTACTATTCTACAGCTTGTCGCCCGAATCTCGTCGAAGGTATTCCTTGGAGATCAATTGTGCCGAAACCAGAAATGGCTCGATATCTCGGTTGGCTATACGACAAATGTTTTCGCAGCCGCCGAGGAACTCCGGCTGTGGCCTAGGCCTTTGCGCAATATTGTGCACTGGTTTCTCCCCAGATGCCGCGTTGCTCGGAAACAGGTGAAAGAGGCCCGCAATATCGTTCAACCCTTAGTCGAGAGTCGAAATCGAGAGAACGCCGAGAGGCTTGCTGCCGGCAAGGAGCCAGTTTTGTATAATGATGCTATTCAGTGGTGTGAGGATAATGCGAAAGGGTCGGATTTTGACGCCCCTATTATGCAGCTCATGATGTCTGTGGTTGCTATTCACACTACTACAGATCTCCTATGTCAAGTCATGCTTGATTTAGCAGAACATCATTCCATCGTTGAACCGCTGCGCAATGAGGTAAGGACGATTTTACAAGAGGGTGGATGGAAAAAGACTTCACTATACAACATGAAATTGTTGGATAGTGTTGTGAAAGAATCACAGCGACTAAAGCCCATAACCATCGGTAAGCATTTTGATGGACGCTAGCGTCACACGGGATACTCAAATCATTGCTGACAATGCCGATCTCTTAGCTAGTATGCGCCGTGTAACGACCGAGGAGGTCAGACTTTCTAATGGTTTGGTTTTGCCGCCAGGTACCAAGACTGCGGTTTTGGCAAACCGCATGTGGGATCCAAGTGTGCACGAGAACCCCCTCGAATGGGATGGATACCGATTCTTCAACATGCGACAGCTACCGGGGAAAGAGCAGGTTTCGCAACTGGTCAGCACCAGCGCGGATCATCTCGGCTTTGGACACGGTCAACATGCGTGCCCAGGCCGATTCTTCGCGGCAAATGAAGTCAAAATCGCATTGTGTCACCTGTTGATTAAGTACGACTGGCGTTTAGCTCAAGGGGCCAAACCCAATGTCAGACGCTACGGTTTCTCCCTGAGCGCGGATCCTCTTATACAAGTTCAGCTTAGCAGGCGCAAGGAGGATATTGAAGCATAAGCCACTTCAATGGATCAATGTTCGAATATCACATTGGCGGAAAGGACATTTAAAAGAAAAAAGTATAGCAGATGGATTGAGATCGCCCTAATTAGTAATACCGTTAGTCTTATTCTTATAATTAGGCAGCTGAAGGAAATCATGTTAGTCTGCTCAATGTACCTGTTTCTATCATATGCTCTTCCTAGATCAATCCTGGCGGCAGATACCGTACTGACCATATGGTGAGCGCGATTTGCCTGTCGATGTTCCATGACCTTGGCAAAATCTCTCGAATACTCGGTTATACCCCAAGAAAACGAATAATACAAAATCGATTTACCCAGGTTATCCGTCTTACATGCCGTACTAGCATTTGGGAATTCATGTATGAATGCCAGCCATCTTACAATACTATGTAGGCAAGCGCAGTAAAATAGCGCAAAATGCCGAAAGAGCATGATCGGGGCCGTTGCTTTCTTGCCAAGGTTTACAGAATTCAAACTTATAATTAGCCAGAACTGCAGTCACAGAGTGAGCTGAAGAAGCATCCAAAGGTTTAATAGTTCCATGATCTCCGTGCTCTTCCTAGACAACTGTTGCCATCGGTTGCGCGTCTTGCTGAATTTTAATCATGCGGTTCACACCACGTAATAAGATTGGATCATTCATTTGAACGAAGTACCTACAGTAGATCCTCCGTCATACCTTAGTAGCTTGGCACTCATGAAAAATCACGCCGGGATATCTTTGCGATCCGTGCTTTGTAGTATCTACGAAGTGTGGGGAGCTGGGGAGGTTTGGCATCGAATGATTTGTAACGTACGAACAAGCATAGCATATCTTATCCGCACTGACTGAATTGGAGTATAGTCATTGCATGACATATTAGTTGAGCAACGGTGCCGATCTCGGCAATCTCATTAGTGACTCCTCTTATAGAAACAAAATTCCCATATTGTCTTCGGGATTACGAAACCTGGACGAACTGACATCACAAATTACCCAAAAAGCAGTCTACAATATGAATTTAGAAATGCAAAGTGTCTCCCGCTCGCCGGCGTCTGCACACGACGACGAATCCCATGACCACCTGACTGTAACACTACCACCAACAGATACCGGAGTTGGGGCGTATAAGTTTCTTTTTGGGAGCTTCATCATCGAAGCTTTATTATGGGGTATGAAATCTGCTCTGCGTATCAATTGCCATTTTCCCTCGGCTATGTTATTAACTTTTGCGGTACCATAGGTTTTCCTTTGACATTCGGTGTTTTCCAAGACTACTACTCCCGGCAGCCGGAGTTCGAGGGGAGTTCCAACATTGCCGTGATTGGAGCTGTGTCGACGAGCATATACTTTCTCGGCGCACCCATCGCAAGCCCACTTGTCAAGAGATTCCAGCGGTGGCAGAGGCATATGGTCGTAGTTGGATGGGCGCTCTGCGTCGTATCACTCTTGGCTGCCTCGTTTGTCAGTTCTGTTCCGGGGCTCATTGCGACACAAGGCATATTGTACGGCACGGGATTCTGCGTGCTTTACTTCCCCGTCCTGAGAATGCTTGATGAGTGGTTCGTCCGGCGGCGCGGCCTTGCGTACGGACTTCTGTACGCCGGCGGGGGTTTCAGTGGCGCAGGCCTGCCTTTTCTTCTCGAAGCGCTGCTCTCAAGGTTTGGGTATCGTACCACGCTCCGGGCAGTTGCTGTGGCTCAGTTTCTCCTCGTGCTGCCGATTTTGCACCTCATCAAACCCCGCTTGCCAGCATCGAGACACAGTGCATTCCGCATGATCGACATATCCTTCCTGTCGCAACCACTCTTCTACTGTTTTGCTCTGTCGAATCTATTCCAAGGTCTTGGTTTTTATATTCCCTCGTTGTATCTGCCCACATTTGCCTCCATGTTAAATCTTCCGAGCACGATAGGAGCCTTGGTTCTGGCTGCCAACAACCTCGCCAGTGTTATTGGCCAGGTCGGCTTCGGATATATGTCTGATCGCATACATAATGTCCTAATTCTCGTATTCATTTCCTCATTCACTTCATGTCTTGCAGTCTTCACCTTGTGGGGATTTGCTCATTCTCTCGGGACTCTTCTCGCATTCTCCTTTATTTACGGATTGTTTGCAGGCGGGTTTGTTGTTTTCTGGCCAAAGTTTGGATCGGTGCTATCCGAGGATCCTCAGCCGATATACAGCATGATGGCATTTAGCAAGGGAGTTGGGAATATCGTTATTGGCCCAATCTCGGCCGCGCTCTTAACGGGACCTACAACATCGGGGTACGGCTTGAGCAAATTTCAGCCGGTGATATTTTTCTTGGGAACTTGTATGTTCTGCTCTTCTCTGGGAATTTTCGGCTTGCCTTTAAAACGACGCTTTGCTCAAAGCTAGGCATACGCAACTAATCTATGTTTCCACGCGGGAACATCCTGACACGCTGGTGAGCATGAGCAATCTGAGACGGATTGTCAACCACCAATGGAAGTAAAAGAATGCCAAAGAGGTGCACCGAGAGGCACTGACGTTATGAAATGAAATCAATTTTTATTGTTAAGAGTGGAGGCGTTTGTATATTTACTGCGGCCGCAGGCAGGCTTCTATCAGATAAGACTATTGTGGGATACCCCATTTCTGGGCAGCGCGGAGCTATGAAATACCGCCCTCAATATCTAGATAAGCATCTAAGACGTCACATGGTTTGTCAATGGGTGCTCGTCGTCTACTAGTCATCTTGGGCAATTGCAGGTTGGCAATCAATTCTACGCCCATTACCTTTTTGGAAGCACCTATGGATTACAAGCGCATCAACCATGGGTAAATCAGACATACCACGACGTCTAAAATCGACATTATTGCACGCAATGGTGGTAACATGGGATACGGAGGCACCAAAGTCCGTACCGTCATAAGGTGCTTTCGATGAGCGCTTGAATATAGACGGACCGGGATAAGGGCGCTATAGTTACACGGTACCACCCAAGCTATTAAAGAGGGAGAAGTTTAATCTGCATAGTCGGCGGCGAGTCGGGCAAATGTATCCTACGACCAGACTATATGATTGCAGATCTTATAGGCCTCGTAATATCCAGTCGGTCCAATCTATCTCCTTCCGCATTTTACCAGCGTCATTTTCGCCACTGTGGAGAGTCAGTTTCGTTGCCAAAATTGAGAGGGCGATCAAGAAATGTCTAGCATTCGCGGACCATCCAGTGAGAGATGTCATCTAAAAGTCTGAGGGATGTGCAATGGATGGACCAACTATGAAGTCATTGAAGGAGCGGTTGACGAGTTTCTATAGAACGTAGATAACCACATCGGTGGGACTACCAAGAGGTGGATGGAGTGCGGCTGTTATATATGTATCTCCACCGTTCTACTTTGTTGACTTACGAGAAGGAAGATAAGGCTATTTTCAAGGTGTTCTGCGTAGATCCGCGAGTAACCATTGATGCTGCAAAGGTACTTGCTGATAATTGAACAGTGATGAGGTCCTGCACGTCGGCATACCTGCAGCATCATAAAACAAGAGGTTTATAGAGAGCACGCCATCGGCACCAGTCACCACTGAACGAATCTTCTTATTGGCACGAACGTACTGGCTACCCTTCTTTTTGGACCATGTAGCATCGAAGCGTGGCATTGAGCGGACTGAAGTGGAGATGATTGGCGGACATTCTCGAAATGTGCGTTTTGTTATTTGACATGATACGGAACTGACAATGCTTAGACACTAGAAACAGTTCAGTTGCGTGATAAGTTCTAGCAAAAACTGTTACTAGTTATAATATGCTCACATCAACGCTTCATCCCTTGGCGGCTTTGCAGTCACAAAATCAAGGAACATCAATTATATTGGCTTCCTGACTTTTGTTATCTCTTCGGGTCTCCTGTACTAAATGTGTATGCTCCTAATTCATTCCTCCTCCTCCAAGTCAACAACACTATGTTGCGCTCATCAGCCCATCGTGATCACAGCACGGTGTAGAGCCTTTCCGCTCAGCATGTGGTCTTGAGTCCGTTAGTAAATAGATCGATACAAGTGTTACGTTGCGATTAAGAAAGAAGCAAGAAGACATTGACATACCATATGCCTGCTGAGCTTGAGAAAGAGGAAACGTTTCGATGATGGTGTTGACACCATGCAAATCAGCAAAATTGACGGCTCTCTCCGAGTCTTTGTTATTTCCACCTGGCCATACTTGAACAGAAATGCCATATTTGATTGCTTCGTAGGTGTTGATTGTAAAATCGCCTGGGAGACTAACAATAATCAACTTTCCAAGGATGTTGAGGCCTTTGATCAACGGCGTGATGGCGTCAGATTTCAAAGCAGTGGTAAGCGCCAGCGCGGCTCCACCGAGTTTCCTGAGAGCAAGACCTGGGTCACCTTTGCTTGCGTCAATGTACTCATTTGCCCCGAGCTCTCGGGCGGACTTCTCTTTCTCAGATCCTCGCGACACTGCCACAACTCGGTAGCCCATGTGCTTCGCAAATTGGATAGCCAGATGTCCCAGCCCACCTAGTCCCTGAATCGCGACTGTCTCGCCAGGCTTGACACCGGAGTTTCGGAGCGCCTGGAAGACCGTCACTCCCGCACAGAGCATGGGCGCAAATAAAGCGGCGTCAACGTGGGTCGGAATTTTAACGGACGCATTGGCTCTAGCAATAACATATTCCGCATCTGTTTAATTCATTAGCCTCTGGAGCTAGGTCTCGATTGGGCGGTCGAGTAGATAGTGGTGAGCGTACATCCTCCATTCTTCGTGACGCCATTCACGATACCGGCATCGCATGATTGAAACCAGCTGTTCTGGCATGCATGGCAGGATCCGTCATGGCCACCGTGCCAGCCTGCTCCAATCCGGTCACCGACTTTCCATTCACTCACTTCATCGCCAACAGCTGCGACCTTGCCAATGACCTCATGGCCCGGAACTCGTGGAAAGCCAGCTCCATATCCGTCGTACTGAGCCAATACATCCGAGTGGCATACCCCACAAGCCTCAACCTTGATGAGGACCTCACCTTTGGCTGGCAAGACTAGGTCGACATCCTCCAAAACCAAGGCCTCGCCTTTAGCTTTGAAACTAGCCTGCTTGTAAGTCTTTGGCAGTGTCATGACTGTAATCTAAAAGGCGAGATAGATGCGCTCGAATATTCGGTGCGTAGTTTTGGAAGTGCCGAAAGAATTCTATAAAGGTCGCAGGTCAGATTGATATATATGGCCCTCGGATATCTTCCATAGTTCCATTCAGGAGCGGCTAGGCAGCAGATCAATACAGCTAGAAAGCATGTCAACTAACCTAAAGCGGAAGTCAGCCGACGCTAAGGTACTCGCTCTATAATAAGAGTGCTTCAAGATTAGGCTCACTGTTTACCTATGAACTGGTTCTGCCAAAGTAGGCGATAGAAGAATTGGCGCAACGGCCACTATAGCTCACTAAACAGTGCACCAATTCTTGTGTCAACCACCTTTTCTGCGTATATCTCTGACTACCACCGACTTTGCCTTGGTCCGTGAGTACCCAAAGGAGTTAGTCGTCTTGCTGTCCAGCTGAGTTGACCTGCTGCCTAGCGGCTCCGCTCTATTTACCCGGGATGCCGGTTGCACCAAGGACACTCCAGAGTGATTACAAATGCCAGCCCTCGCTTTAATGCTATAACTCGGAGATAGGAAATTGAAAGTGTCTTCTCAAGGCTACAATTCGGAGATAGAGAGATATTCCCGTTGAATGAGGATGCTGATTCGGTGGCACCCCTGACGAAAAGGCACAACATACCATTCCTGATTGGTCACGAAAGTCTCTCACCACTGATTGACCAATTAGCACAAACATTCATGTGCTGATCTCGGACCATTGGTTCTTGTATAGTTTCTGATCTAGAACTTTATTCCGGAGACTATGTAATCACAAGGCAGAAGGACTAGCACGCTCCATTATAGGGGCTTTACCTATGTGTACTGTCGTGAACACGTAAAAACACACAAAAAACTGTTATTGGTACACGAAACAAATGTTTACCATGTATCAATAATCTTGGGCCAAAAGATTATGTTGCAATGGGATGATTGGCTATCAAGTGTGGGCCACATGAGCCGTACCATCTTTTCCCGACCCGCCGGAGTGCTGAGCCGTTCATACGTTTCGTTTCATACTTGGCATCGTGGCTTTACTATTTCCTTGCACGACCCGTGAGTAATAACCCCAAACATAAGCACTCACCTGAGAGGAGAAATATCCAACCCTTTCGAGCCTCAACGGCCGCACTCCAACAACACTTTTTCCGAATTGGGGGCTCTGAGCGGCCGCCTCACCCGCAGAGCTCAAGAAGTTCGACCCATCCATGAGCCAGGTACAATGACGGCCACGAACAATTACGTGGAAAAGATCGACCCGGTACAGACGCACAGGATAATAGAGCCCCGGCTATCGTCGAGAAATGGCCAAAAGGCAAAGCTTTCATCATAATTATCTCCAATTATCATTCCTGTGCTTAATGATGTTCCAGATCATGGGCTTCACATACACGCACTGAAGCCACGATCACTCGGCACCAGTAAAATCACAAGTTTGGAAACGTCCAGCGATCTTTCACTGTCAACCAGACCTCATAATCAAAACGCTTATTGAGCCAGCTTTTGGCCATCATCCGCGTAGTCACTAACACCAGCCCGACGAAGCCCCTAAAATTCATGAATCAACGGCATGGCCATATCAGGTAATGTACGAGCATGAATGTAAAAATTGTGTTATTATTAACTTGTTTGTTATCCAAATTTCGCAGCCAATTGATCCTAACATATGTTCTGTCGGTGTAGATGTGAAACATCGTAACCGCATGGTGGAACGCTCGCAAGCGAAATATTCCCGACATTAACTCTAATTAATGGCTACATGACGGTACTGGGGGTTGGCTGTTTTATCAAGCCACTGCCGAAGCAAGTGTTGCTTCACAAGACCCATTAGGAGGCCTGAGGCTCGCAGTAGTGACGACTGATACGATTTCCGACAAGTCCTAGTGACTAGGCCGTGGGAACATTGTATTCAGCGGCCCATGTCTTCGTGTGAGATGGCGTCGATATTGTCTGCGATATTCTGACGATACCTTCGTGAGGCCATCGTGGAAAGAAGGTGCGCGACTTAGTTGACGATGGGCTTCTTTCCACCGCAGGTCTTCTTTTGGGTAGGGTAGGCAATGACGGAGGTTGCGAGAGTAGAGCTGGGCGCGGCAGAGCTTGAGAGCACAGGGTAAGCCGCAACGGACGTGACAGAGGCGGAGCTGGCGGGAGCGGAGCTGGCAGGAGCAGAGCTGGCAACAATGGTGGTGGTAGGAGCAGAGCTAACAGGAGCAGAGTTGGCGGGAGCAGAGCTGGCGGGGGCAGAGCTGGCAACAACAGTGGTGGTAGGAGCAGAGCTGGCAACAACAGTGGTGGTAGGAGCAGAGCTGGCAACAACAGTGGTGGTAGGAGCAGAGATGGCAACAACAGTGCTGGCGGGGGCAGAGCTTGATAGAGCGGAGGTGGTCACGTCGGCGGTCGAGACGGGTTCGGCTGAGCTTGCGGGAGTAGAGCTAGCAGGAACGCTAGCAACAGGAGTGGCAGCGGCAGAGCTGGACGCGACGCTCGAGGTTGCGGCGCTGTCCTCGCTGAGCTTGGACACGATCCACTCGGCAGCTCCGTAGGTGAAGAGGTCGAAGTAGTTGGTGTGGTCCGTTCGGACGTCACCGTGGGCGCAGACAGGGTCGCCGATCTGGCAGTAGTCCCTCCAGACGTTTGCGTAGGTGAGGAGAATAGCCTGCTGCGCCTCATCTCGGGGGTTGCTGCTGGTGTTTGCGGAGCCGGTTCCGTAGTTGTACGGCTGGTCGGGAGTGTGGCGGACGTTGCCGAAGGTGGTAACAGCCTTAACTATAGTCCAATTTGTGGTTAGGAAAAGTGGCTTCCTTTGATCGTCGCTGATCAGAAGAGGTGCAACAACTTACTGGCCTTTCCTGCGGCACTGGATGCACTGACTGCGGGTGTCTCGCCAGGCTCTGTGGATCCGAAGAAGCTGCCACCTCCACCAGCAAGGATGTCGCTCACAACGTGACCACCCTGGCTGTAACCGCTGATGACCAGTTTGGCGTCGGGGCAACGAGCGTTGTAGGCGTTGACCTGGTTGTAACCGTTGGTGGCACCCTCGTAGATAGACTCGCTGTACACATCATCGGCACCATCCTTGAAAACGATGTCCTCGTAATCACAGTCGGCTACCCTGTCACAGACCTCCGCCACCAAAACCGACTGGCGCCCCGGGTAGGGCTCGGTGTTGCCGCGTGCCAGAAACAAGTGCACAGCTGCGCAGTCGGTGGTCGTCATCTGACGGCTCTGGATAACGCTCGAGGCGCTGGCGGCGGAAGCAGCCAGGAGGCCGGCGCGCATGATGGATGTTGATGAAGGCATTTTCGAAAGAAATACTGCGAATTAAGATTAAATAGGTCGAGTATAAAGAAGTCAAGTAAACGAGCGGTTGACTATGATGAGAGTAACCGCCAGTGGGGGGGAGCGAGACATTCCCTTTTCATAGAGCTGAAGCAGCCCTGCTTTCACACGGGCTAAAAGGCTGAAAGGCATCGCCGTTACCCACAGTCTACAATACGAGTCTTAATAATATAAGAACCCACACAGGTATATGGGGCAAAGTCGTGATAGTGGAGCGTTAGAACGAGGTCCACTGAAGGTAAGCATCATCCGAACTCCGGAATCTCAGGGAGCAGCTGTACGCTAGGAATTTACGGAAGCTTTTGTGAAGTGTCCGAAATGGTAGGACGAACGATAGGCAATACAACCACTGTACTCAGAGCTTGTTGGTATCTTTCGGCAGTTCATCAGATCGGCCACTACTTCGTTCTCTTGTGTATCCGACATAGTCGTCCGTCATTGCACCAGTTATCTATGGTGGTGATATGCTGGCCATTTTGTTACACATGTCGTGCCTGTGCAGCGAATCACTTCCGATAGTTCAGGACACCAGAAGCCGAATTCGCCAACTTCTCCGGTAGAGCGTAGGGCTATGACGCACTATAATAAGCTTGGCTACAAGCTTAATTACAAGGGGGGACGCGCTAGAAAATTTCCCCGGCGCCTGGGCCAGGTACACAATGCAACGTTATGCGCACCATGACTTGCGGCTCTCTGAAGACGGTCGAGGCATCGTGCTTACATGCCTTACCAACGTTCAAGCCCGCACACTCTAATTGGGACCCTGTTGAAGAGAGGATATCATCGACCACTTCATGGCTACAGACCTGTGTGCTGTGACCACGATGTTATCCATGGGATTGGCATTGGTCCAGCGGAGCTCACCGATGGGGACCCGTATAGGGTGGATTCAATAAAGCGTGAACTGATGCAACAAGGATCTTTACGTACTACTATGCAAGTACATAGTCATTCGATCTCACCTCTCGAAGAGACCGCTTACTAAAAACGAACCACGACACGCTGACCGACGCATTTGCCTACTTAATGCTAGCCAAGCATCATTACTTCGTTGCTCTGATGAAGGACCAAAAAAGGTAGGCTAGACTAGCAGATAGTGCGGCTTCGCTGTGATGATGACCATGTATGCTTCAAGATCGCCAAACAGAAATTTTGAATAAAAATAAAAATACAATGTTCCCCTAGTCAATATTGCAATATGATCATGCTATCTGTGATTTGAGAGCCACCTTGTAGTGCATCCTTACAGATCCCGTACAATGTGATTGTTCCGGTGGACTTTGTTGTGGGTGCATGACCACCAAGGCTGTTTTGGTATTTGAGGGGCCCAAGATCCACATCGGGAACACTCAATTTTCGGGTTCAATTGAGAGAGTTTAATTGGACGAGCTCTCTGTCCGGAATTCACTCCGGACCTTTCTTGTCGTCAACGAAATGCGGATTCACAAGAATATCCGACCAGTGGATTCATCGGACTGCGACATGACATCTGCCAGCAGGCCAAAATCTCGTCCGACCGCCACCAATCGCGGCCCAGTGTCGACCTAGTATAAGTCAACAGAACCATTAGCACTGGCCTGCACTAGACAATACTTTAATCATACTGCCACCGCGCTGTTCATAATTCGAGTCACAATGTACCGGGTAAACTACTGTTGAATGTGTTCAGTAGTCATTTTAATTGCGCTTTGATATTGACATAACAGTCTTGTGAGAATGACGAAATACGCTAACAAAAACTGTAGTTTTCTGCTGCGAGAAGAACCCACGACATGGGGATTAATTAGTACAATGTCTCTGCCACTTTCATCAAGCACTCCAATTAACGGCGACTATTGCTAATCTGTTAGAACGTACTTGACATTTATATAGATTGTCAGACCATAAGAAATGTCAAGGCGAAACCAATGGTATAAAACAGCGTGAAATACACCGGCGGCAGCTTCATCTGACTTGACTACTGATTGAATACGACCGCACTACTTTGCATAGGTTCATTAAGCACATCAAATATATTCCAGATGCTTCGCATTTAATCACAATAGCTCTTGCTATCTTGTCTAGATGCTGCTAGAAATTTGCATCTATCACTACTATATAAGTATGCAGTGCCCCGCCGAGGAAGACACACAGCAGCATAACCTCATGACCATGGTCCAATCATCCCAATTGCGGCTTTCCGAGAAAGACAAAATCTCCCCATGTCAATGGACGTAGAATTTAAGCCTCGCCAGACTCCAACATGGGCTGGGCAGCGTTGTGTTCGTTTTCGTACAACGTCTCAGGCGTTGAAGCTTCTTTGGGTGCATCGTTCAAATGAGCCTCCTCCTTAAAATTGAACTTGACAGGCTTCTACTTGATGGCAGCTTCGGGCAAGGCCTTTCGCTTCTTGGCGGGCGGAGCAACGTCGCTCCCCTGGTCGTCATTGGCGTCGGCGGGAGCCTTGACGTGCTTAACAGGTCGGTCACCTCCCTTCTTTGGGGCGGGCACAGGGGCAGCGGTGTCGTCCTCAACATTGCCGTTGCCAATGGGAGCGGTACTGTTCAGCTTGAGCTTGCGGCGGAGGATGTTCCAACAGGCTCTGGCGGAGGCGGGGCTGGAGTACTTGCCCGGAGGGAAAGCTGCCATGAACTTTTCGATATCGATCTGTGGAAGAAGATGCGTTGTTAGTTACAACTACTGGTTTGACGTGACTGAATAAAATTGATGGAAAGGCGCCATGAAAAATCATAAGAAATCTTGCCACAAATTGCAGGCTTGTACAGAACGGTGAACATAATCACGGACCTGTGCAATGAAGTGAACAGAAGAGGGTCAACCCATGCTCTCATGAATTGTTTTGCCGTCAGGATGCCTCTGCTGCAGGATCAGATGACAACAAAACGGGTTTCTTTGTCCAAACAAATTGTATAAAACTATCGGGCTGAACCTGCTATCATCCGCAAGATGAGATGAAAAGTTCTGATCACGGTGGCAATGAGTGCCTCTGAGTGATTGCGCAATAATTCATGTACAATATTTGCGTGTTTCGGGCGACTAAACTCTGTGTTATATTGACGAGACGAGCTGCCATATCTGACGTGAAAAGAGAGGTAATGGTGCATGGAAGGGAAGTGGAAGTATTGGTGCATGGAAGGGAAGTGGAAGTATTGGTGCATGGAAGGGAAGTGGAACTATTGGTGCATGCATCAGCTGCTCACGCTCACCTTGGTGTCATCAATACAATTGAAGCCAACGCGAAGAACCTCAATTTCATTCTGGGTCAGGGTAAAAGCCTTGGCGGCACCGCTCTTGTTGTTGCCCTTTGGTGCCATTGTGAAAGTTGATGGAGGAGTTGGGGGATGTGAAGCATGAAGTTCGTGATGCTGATTGGTGTTATGAAAGGTACGGAAGAGAGAGTTGTGACTTGAAGATATGTTGGTAGGCAACGAAGGTTGACTTAAGTTGTGTGAAAGGTTGTGGTGAAAGGTTGTGGTGGAAGGTTGTACAAGAACAAAAAGAAGGCTGCTTAAATAGATTTGCCAGAAGCTGTAGATTTGGCGAACTGGTCGAGGGAAGGTACAATTTTAGGGCTGGCAGAGGGTAGCTTTAGTCAATGAAGAGACGAAATGGCGAGTTTTTAGGAAAGATAGGTGTAGAAGAATGAAAAGAAGGGATTTAATTTATTTATCAGAAACTTTAGATTTAGTATACTCGATGAGGGGAAGGTGTATATCTAGAGCAGAGAAACAGACTGAGATGAAATTCGCAGATGATGGCTCTGTCCAGCAAGGTAAAGATGAGTTTTGAGCAACGAAATAAGTTCACATGAACATTCGTAAGTTACATCTTTTATTTAGCTTAATAAAAAAGTTCCAATTGACGCTTCATTAGAAGATGAACTCCGAGCCGCTTATACCATTGTGGAACAATCACCAAGAACCCAGCTACGAAGAGGGCGACACAACATACTTTAATACCCATATGAGGCAGTTTGAATATAGACCTTTACTAGGTGTACAGAAATACCAGGTGCTTTTAGCGGCTTAATGAAGTTAAACAATGGATTCTCAGTTTATCGTTTACAGAGTCGTGGAAAGCTGCTGTCAATGGGTATCTCCCCAATCTCAAGACGACATGATCCACTATGATCTAGGATACCGCTTGATGAATGCCGCAATAGATATCTCTACGTTTATGAGAGGGTTGATTATGGACGGGTCCTAATAACTGGGGCATGGTGACTTGAGCTCCCGCTTAAGTCAACTATTTTGACTATTATAGAACTGCGTAGCGCATACCAAGAGAGACGCCACGAACAGTGTCAAACTGATAGGTTGTTTTTATCGTAAAGTCGGGCGTCGGCATGACATAATTAGCACAGATGGACCGACCTCAGTTCTTTCCGCCGCTCTCGGTTCGTTGGTTCAAAAAATAAGCATAAAGAGGTATTTAATTCAAGCTTAAGAAGTGCTTCAAGCTTGAGGAAATAACAGAACACCCGGAGGCAATGGGGCATTAGCACAGTTGCCACAGCATGATAGTGATGGAAGTGCACCAGCGCATTCTCATGCTTGATGCCTCCATGTTTCTGCTGCATCTCATTGAAAGTGACACGCCGGACCCTGCACAATTTCTCAATTGCTATCATCAGGCTTGTGCATGCCACATGGCACGTTTCCATGATGTGCTTGAGATGAGGCGGCAACTTTATGCACCGGAAATGGGCTTCCGCCAGCCTCCGTAGCACAGATTGACTACAACCCTGGCTAGCATTTGGCTAATGCATAGCATGGAAAGTGACAGCAAGATCTCTGCCACAACTGCGTTGTATACGAAGGCGTGCCATCCCCATGGTGGGATACTTGTGCTTTAAAAAGTAAAAGCCCTACAATGGCGAAGGTGAGCAACCATCTAGTGGTGGTGAGGCCCGTGCACAACGTTTCCGTGCCATTATCTTATCGTATTGCTATCGTATTGCTATCGCGGATCTGTTATGTACCTCGGATTTCGCGATTTCATCTCTGGGAATGTCAAAACACGAACAAGCGTAACAAGCAATTCACCAACCTAGTCTAGGTGCAGAATAGCGACTTCTCTCCTATGACATGACGAATTCCGGGCCAGGAACCACACTACAAAGTCAAATTGACTACCGTGGGTCCGCTTCGGTGCAAGTAGCCCGTGACGTCTTCTTGTTATCGGCTTGGAACAAGCACAAGAAATGACATCATCGCGCTGTAGCTTGGGCCTCATCCGCTCCATGTGCCTTGAAGTCGTCACAACTCGCCTTGGAGCTTGATCATTTCCTATGGGCCGCCCTCAACGCGAGCACCGAGATAACGAGATAACGGAGCTACCGGATATCTTGGAAGCTGCTGTATTTCCTATGTTTCTATATTTCTATATTCCTCTATCTCTACCTTGTGTTGGCAGTAATCGTACAATCGCAGCGTTGCTTGCAGTCTGGACTTGATTTCTTGAAGGCAATTAAAGTCAATTGATTTGTTTTCACGCCCCATCTCCTCTCATCCCGAGCCCCCCACGCGACCATCTCCACTCACAATGGCTACCAAACACGCACCCAACGCCTCGGCCAACAAGATTGAGCTTTTCTCGCCGACATATTTCGCAGCCTGCACCCTGGGAGGCATCATTGGTATGTCTTGCTCATCGTCGACCGCCTGAAATTGGCTAACTGTGCACAATCAATAGCTTGCGGTCCAACACATACCTCTGTCACACCACTCGATCTCGTAAAATGCCGGCGCCAAGTCGACTCATCCCTATACAAGTCCAACATTGAGGCATGGAAGAAGATCTACAGCAAAGAGGGCCTTAGGGGTATCTTCACAGGCTGGCAACCCACTTTCGTCGGCTACGCTTTCCAGGGTGCCGGAAAGTATGGTCTCTATGAGGTTTTCAAGTACTACTATGGTGAGACCCTGTTCCCGAACGCACCCAAGACGGTTGTATACCTAGGTGCTTCCGCCTCCGCCGAGTTCTTCGCCGACATGGCTCTCTGCCCCTGGGAATCAATCAAGGTGCGCATGCAGACTACGATGCCACCTTATGCCAAGACCCTGCCAGAGGGATGGAGCAAGGTCACACAGAAGGAGGGCATCGCTGGCCTCTACAAGGGTCTGTACCCTCTATGGGCGCGACAGATTCCATATACCATGGTCAAGTTCGCATCGTTCGAGAAGGCCGTAGAACAGATCTACAAGTCGTTGGGCAAGCCGAAGGAGGCTTTCAACACCCTCCAGCAAACCGGTGTATCTTTCTTGGGTGGATACATCGCTGGTGTCGGCTGTGCTGTTGTGTCGCACCCGGCCGATGTCATGGTCAGCAAGCTCAACTCTGACCGCAAGGCGGGTGAGGGAGCCATGACTGCCGTCGGCAGAATTTACAAGAACGTCGGCTTCGCAGGCTTGTGGAACGGTCTGCCCGTCCGTATCTTCATGATCGGTACCTTGACAGCCTTCCAATGGCTGGTTTATGATTCTTTCAAGGTATATCTCGGGGTAAGCCAATATTTCCTCGAAGTCGCGTGACTATGAACCCTGCTAACAAGTTTCCCAGCTTCCCACCACTGGTGGACACTAGAGGGCTCATGACTTCGAATTGAGCAGGCGTTCTGGTGGTTTATGTGGCGTTTAGAGGGAGAATGATTTACGAAACCATACATTTACATTACAATCAGACAAGATTTTATTCACCTAGGAATTGGCTGTGTGCGATCTAGATGTTCATACCGGAGATGACCCATCATTCTCCTACTGGTCTATTTGCCGATTCCCCACTCCGCAGCTACCTTGGTGTTTCCGGTGTCCTTCAATTCCTTCGCGACCGCCTTGTATGAACCGTTCTTGACATCCTCTAGAAACGCAGGACCATGAGGCTGCCAGTGTAGTTGGTCTCTTGCTTTCTGGCTGGACACATTTGCTGCAATGGCATTGAAGAATGTCAAGAACTGACCAAACTTGCCAACTCCTTCTTCGAACGTCACGGCCCTGGTCGGTACGCCCATGACCTCACCAACCGCCTCCGCCATCTGCTTCCCCGTGGTCTCGGCCGACGAGACGCCATTGTAGATCTCACCCTTGCCGGCATACTGAATCGCCTGCAGATACAACTCGGCAACATCTTCCACATGCACCGTGCTCTTCGCCTTGTTGCCGCCATCTTCCACATACAGACTCTCGCCATGCCTGAGCGCCTCGCTCATCCATATGACCAGGAACCCGCTACCACCGTTTCCGTACACATAGGGCGCGAGCCGGATCAGCGCCCCGTGCACATCGTCCCTGTCCAGCAGATTACGCTCGGCGCGCCCGCGCGCATCCAGAAGAGGCACGCCCGTCTGTTTGGGAACGTCTTCGGTCGCCGCAGAGCCGTCAGCCGTCTCCACATAGCCGCCCACGCCAGATGTGTGGATGAGGGGCTTGCCCGTGCCGGACAGGACAGACATGATGGCGTCGACGGCCGCGATGTCGTCGTCCGCCACCTTGTTCATGTCAAGGCTGAAGTCGTGGTTCCACGCCAGGTGCACCACGGCGTCGGCCTTGGATGCCTCCGCCTTCAGCAGCTCGTGCTTCGACAAGTCCCCCCGGATGGGCGTCGCGCCGAGCGACTTGAGGATCTCGTCCCCGTTGCTCGACCGCGAGAGGCCGTGCACCGTGTGTCCGGATGCGATGGCTAGCTTGGTGAAGTGCCGCCCGACGTAGCCGCTGGCCCCTGTTACGAAGATGTGTAGCTTGGAGCCTGAGGCGAGCTTGTTTTGGATATAGGTAGACATTGTGGGAGTGGTGTAAGTTGGGGGGTTGCTAGTATGGGTGTATTAGGGGCTCGCTTGATTGTCATGCGACGAGTTCTCCTGACGAACCGGTCTCTCGGTGGCCACAAATGGCGAATTTATATCATTTTTGAGTTTCCAGGCATCGCGGACTTCGGGTTCATTATCATACTTCCGGCGGAGCTTCATTTGTAATCCGGCTTGCTCCTGGCGTGATTACCTCCGCCTGCATTGACTCGAGCCAATAATGTGTCGCCATAGCGTGCCTTCACCGTCAGAAGTCTGATGCTGTTTAGACATACGACACATCGGGCTCCTTTCAGAACCTAACTAAGCCGTTATTGGCAATCGCTATACCCAAGGTTTGGCGTGCATGGTTATATAGGCCACCTGGCGCCGGATTTTAAAAGTGCTATTGCCGTCGTCGGAGCCGACCAATACCCCATTTGTACTGCGCAAGGCAGACTCCTTGTTGATTGGCCATGTTGGATCTTTCGCGCGGTGCATTTTCAATCCGGTGTGGTGCGAAAAGTTGGGGTCCATTTCTTGAAAGAAGAAAAGGGCGTGCCCATGATTACTCCTGCAACGAACTCGTCTGCATTTGTGCTGGTTACACGAGTCTTTGCGTGCCCTGGTTAGGCATCGCTGTCAGGAGTCTATGCACGGGGCATCATCACAATCACTACTCGGCCGAATGTCCCACTCTGTCCTACACTCGGGTACTTGAAACTAGTATACTATCTCATCGCAGAATCTGATTCTTGTGACAACCATGATGAGGAAGAAGCAGTGATTGAAATGCGAACTATACATACTCTGGCGCCCGCGCCCAGTGTGTGCCAGCCGAGAACTTGCTGAACGGTTTTAGTTGGACCCTGCAGTGGCGCCGATGATCTACGATGAATCATAATGAGTTGGGTAATTTAATTGGTTCGTCGAGGCGATCACGACCCACTCTTTTCGTCTGACACACTCTTCCATTAAGCGAGGTGAAGATCGAGGCTATATTCCCGATAGATGTATTCACGATAGACGCATGCGCGATATATGCTTCGCAGTACTTAATGGACCGCATGCTTCATCCTACAACCCACATATCGTATCACAAAACAAAGGAGTACAATCTCGAAGCAGCGCCAACCACAAAGTCCATACCCACATCTGCGTCCCCATTGATGCTGTTACCACTAGACACCACAACACAAGACCAGCAGCACTCCAGGATGGACTACCAGATACCCCAAGGGATGCACGCCATCCCGTCGGAACTTCTGGACCTCCGGCCTGATTCGGAGATTGATCAAGATCTGCTAAACCCCAAGCCCGTCACCGACGAGAAGAACATCTGGCTTTTCTGGCACAGCGGCTTCAGCAACATGCACCCATACACGCGGCGCAACGCGCGTGCATACCATCGACGGCTCTCCAAGCTCGGCTGGGTGATACGGGTGCTCGACAGACTGCCCAACTCACCCCTCAACGTGGCCAACTTTCTCGACACGACGGATCCGGGGACCTTCCCCGCTGCCTTCAGGAACGGGACGATCGGCGGCGATCACGCTGTCCAGCACACGTCCGACCTGGTTAGATGGCCACTGCTGCTGCGGTACGGGGGCGTGTATGCCGACGTGGGCATGATGCAGATCGGGGACCTGGACCGGCTGTGGAACGAGACGGTGGGGAATCCCGAGAGCCCCTACGAGGTCCTCTCGTACAGCGGCGGGGAACCGGAGGCGATGACGCTCACCAACTATTTTCTCTGCTCGAACCGCAACAACCCGCTCTTTCTGCGCGCGCACAAGCTCTTCCTGGCGCTGTGGGACGAAGACGGCGGGAAGGCCAGCACGGATGGCATGCGGCATAGCCCGCTGCTGAAGGGCGTGCCCTGGATGAATTATAGCGGTTCTTTCACGGAGAATGGCATCACGTATGGCCCGGCGGAGGTAACGGCCATGCTGACGGACTACATCATCCAGGGTCAAGCTTTGACGATGGCCATGGCGATCGAGGATCCCGAGGACGGCTGGAACGGCCCCGAGTACGTGGCCACGCATGTTTACGGGATCGAGTTCATGGTGGGAGGACAGCTCATCAACGAGTATACAGCCTGGGATGGCACGCTGGCATACAATCTAATGTCGCTGCCGCTCCCGCGTGACGGGGAGGCGGAAAGTGAACAGCAGGCCAAAGCTAGAGAGATTGTGGAAGGCTGCTTATCGAGGAGTTTTGGTTTCAAGCTGGCGACTGGTCTAATTTTAAGGGTGAAGGGTGACACGCTGAGCTCACTCTGGAGGAAGAACCCGGGAGCCGATGATATTCCTGGCACATATGCACATTGGTTACGACAGGGAATGATTTACTGGACTCAAGACAAGGTGCCGCCGACGGTAGAATGGAAGGCAGTGAAACCATTCAAGACAGGGCCTTTGCTCAGGGCAGAGTAATGTTGAAAGAAACTACATCTAAGGATAGAATAGAGTAGAATAGAACTGCTATGCGTTTATTAGAAATAAATGACTTACATTTTTGCCTTCTACATGATCTATGCCATCCCGTGGTTAATACAACGGTCTTTCTTTGACAAATATCATTGCCGGATGCATAACATTGTCTTATTCACAGCAAAACCTTGTCGAACAAGAACATACGGCCTGGGGAATTATGTCCAAGCCTTTGCCAAGTTGTCATCGGAGCATAAGGCCGCAGACGTAGCGGATCGAGTTTGAACCATATTCTTGGGACGATTGGGACAGATCGACATATCCACCACCACCTTAAAAATTCCTTGCAGAGGGATGTCTGGAATTGCAATGAAAGTGTGCTTTCCTAACATCTCCATGCTTGATGAAACATACTCATATATATTCAAACGGTCCGCTAGACAATGTACGCAATTATCGTGTAGGGTTTCAACATTATTTGATTTGAATGGCCACTACTACCGCATCTAGTTTCTTTCTTGGATATATGGTCACAGTTTTGTTACCTGCCGTTATCAATCGAAGTAAACCTCGGTATCACTCACGAATTTATCACGCGTTGAACGGTCTCTATCTTGATGGAGGTATTAAGGTTTATGAATTATTAAATTAGTCTCAACAATAATTTGAAATAGTTGATCGTAATTTAACACTTAGACCTAGTTATGTTTCTCGTGTTACGCAAAACGTGAGAGCTTTCCCGAATAGCGACCTTTATTAGGTATGAATCGTTCAGCTGGCAAAATTCTATTCTACTAACCCAGCTACCCATTTGCCGGCCTTATCTGCAATATTTTCCGCCTCTTTCCTCCAGCCAAGTAGGTTTCCGGCGAAGAAAATGTCATGGTTCGCTAACCGTTCCACCACATATGTTACATCATTCCCTGGGATGCCCTCCATCTTCTCCACAAACTCAGTGGCATCATCGTAGAAGATCTCGCAACCGCCGCAATAAACCCAGATTGGACAGGGGCTCTTGAATGCTGAAGCCAATGGGTTCATATATGCAGTTGCCTTTGGGTCACCTGTGACAAATTGCTGGGCCCCCCATGTTACGAATGTTGGATCCATATAGTCGTTCTTGTAATTTCGGTTCTCCGACGTGCTCTTTGGCTCCGTGGCGGCCAAGAAATTGATTGCCGGCGAAAACAGCAGAGCTCCCCGTGGCGCGGGTAGTCCAATAGCTTCGCCGTGCTCTGCGAGATAACGCAACATACATATCACGATGTGTGCACCCGCCGAGTCACCGGAGAGAACGATCTGTGACGCAGGTATGGCCAGATCCCGAAGGAGATAATCGTAGGCCGCCAATGCATCCTGAAGCGCTGCTGGGAACCGTCCGTTTGGATTGGATGCAAGTCTATAAAGATTCCACAAAGCGTAAGATCCAACCTTTTCTACCAGTAGGCGCGCTGCGAACGCACCATCCATTCTCACATCGCCCATGACATAGCCGCCAGGGTGGAAATGAAGAACGATGGGTTTGTTTGTTTTAGGATATCCCTCCTCCAAGGCTTTGGGAAACCATATTCCTCCGGTAGCCTGGGATTTAATGTTTGGATCTGATGTTAGAATATCGGTAGATAGCGCGTCAGCTAAGGGCGGAATGGCAATAAATCGATTTCCTAGAGATCCAGGCCGGAGGTCCAGGGGGGTGACCGCCTCCACGACGGCGGTGTGGTAAACAAAAGCGTTCATCAAGTTGTTCAAGACACATTGCAGGACAGACCATTCTGGATGCGGTCGATTGACGTTAGGCAGATAGTAGAGTGAAAGAAACGGGAGTTTGGCAAGGCTGAAAAGGCTTGCACCAATTGCCCAGAAGTATTTGCCCGGGGTAGTGGTGATGAGAGACATTGTCACCTACTCCCGACATAATCGAGCTCAGATTGGGTAGCTAGGATATTGAGCAAGGAACAGAGAACGAAGAGTTCCTGTCTACTACCGATAGCTTATGAGGGAGATGGTGCACCCCATTACTTTCCTCCGCCTTTCAATCGGTGGGAAGATCCTAATAGTGGAGAGACAGCCAGTGAAGCAAAAGCAGAGACAAGAGCTGTATGCATATGTACGGCAAAGCCTTGTATGCCGTGCTCCCCACGGGGTTACACTGCATGGAGGCGCGGAGGCATAGGACCAATAGTAGTGGTTTGCAACGTAGTGCAGACGGAATGAGGGAGGAAGCGGCACAATCCCTCAGGCGTCTGCCAAGCGCAAGTCTACTCAGTCCAAAGTTCCTTGCGTACTATGTCACAAGGCTCAGGTTGCACCAATTATAAATCTTGAACTCCAATTTATGATCCCTGTCGTATTTATATTTGGACGGCCATTACCGGTCCCGAAATACCAAAAGACCCAATTTAGGATTGCATCCATCGGCAGAGGAGATCCTTCGACATATTATTCCCTAATCAAAATCCTTCCAAACGCGACACCAAAATCCTTCAAAACGCAACAAGCTGAAATGATAGTCTTTGATAAGCAGGCAATTGTCCTTGCTAGTCGCCGCCCCCTCTACATAGTATTCTTCATTTTTATTGACTATGTAAGATTCCATGCAAGCTTTTCGCACCCACTTAGCATTTCATTAAGAAAATGGCGCCTTCTGTACTTGTGAGGTCCGCTTCTGCATCTATATCGCCCGAGGTTGCGGCAGCCCTGCCGCCTGAACTCCAAGCTCAAATTCCCCTCTACGACGAGAACCTGCAACCTAACCTCTATGCTGCCGACGTGATTTGCTTAGTCGCTGCGTATCTCGCTGTAGGCTTACGCATATTTGCTAGGCGACTCAAGGCCCAGCCATTCGGATGGGATGATTACCTTATATTTATGGCGCTGGTCCGTACTTCTTGTTTCAATGACCCTACAAGACCGAGAAGCTGATTGTGCCGTAGTTCTTCACTACCATCTTCGTCAGCCTCTGTATCTTCGTCGCCGTGTATGGCCTTGGACGCCACACTATTGTCACCGCCGTGGAGCACCCCGAGAGGATCGTGCCCTTTGCAAAAGCTACTTTGGCAGCCGGAGTCATATACAACCCCGCTCTCGTCTGTTCAAAAGTTTCCATTCTGACATTATACTACCGGCTTTTCCCCAGCAAACGCTTCAAATGGGTGTGTATTGGGGTCGGAGCTTTCGTCATTGCCTACAGCGTTACTGCTGTGATGACGAACATATTCCAGTGCACGCCCGTCGAATCCAACTGGGACAAGTCAATCAAGGCACACTGTGTGAACCTTGGCTCCGAGCTTGTTGCTGTTAGCAGCTTAAACGTATTGACGGATGCTACCATCCTTTGTCTCCCAATGCCTTTCATTTGGCGTCTGAAAACGGACTTCCGGCGCAAGCTGCAGCTCACCTGTATATTTCTTCTGGGCTCCTTCGTGGTTATCGTGTCGATCATCCGCGTAACCTACGTTTCTGGCGTCTCGTTCTCGGACGGCTTCTGGGTCAACTCGTTCCCCTCCATGTGGTCGGTCGTTGAGAGCTGCGTAGCTATTGTGGCAGCGTGTCTTCCTGTGCTGCGTCCTGTGTTCAACAAAATTCTTTACGGCGATCCTGAGAGAACAGACCGATCAGGATCAGGCAAAAACGTACCATCGGGTCAACCGTCGTTCGAGAGGCATATTGTCACTATTGGTGGCAGCGAAATCCCGTTGGGTAATTATTCTAATGGCTCGGGGCCAAAGAGGCCATCGAGAGGTATTAATGTAACCAATTCCACGACTGTCTCACGGGACCAAAGGTTCCCGAAAGGGAGTTTCGAAAGATTGACGGATACTTCTTCCATTGGTCATTAATCATGTTAATCAAGTAATTTGGGCTGAAGTGGCTCACGACACCAGGTCTTCAGTTCCACAATAAACCTGTGTGATTCGTCAAATTGGCTCTTTGATTAATACTAGTATCTTTTGTTAGCTTATACCGTGACTTAGTAGTATTATGTAGATAATCCGCTATTGTTGTTCGAGCTGAAATGCCGAAGGGTTTATTTCCGTGTGATAACTCTTCGAAGACTACCTCAACGTTTACGAAATTGCACCAGTGGACCATCTGTTTTGGATACGAACATGTCCTTCAGTTGGAATTCAGAGTCACGATGTCGTCCGTAACCCTTCTCGCGCCCTCCGCCGCCACGATGTTCCTCTCCGGGCGCAAGTCGCATGTCATAAAGCCATATAACGCGGGCAATTGTGATCATGAGTTCTTTCATGGCCAAGCCTTTGCCAACACAGCCCCTCGGCCCGATGCTAAAAGGACAGAAAGCAGATTGCGCCAGTTGCACGCGATGTTTTGCTTCCTCGACCGTCTCACCTTCGTACGCTTCTACAAGCCAGCGCTGCGGTCTGTAAGCGAACGAATCGGGATAAAAATCCTCGTTATGATGAATCGCATAGTGTGCCACTCCCAGATCCACTCCAGGTGTAAAAACATGCCCCGCAATCTCAACGCCCGGGGCGAGCGCTTCGCGGGGCAAAAGACCAGGAACTCCGGGGGACATGCGCATCGCTTCGTCGATGCAGGCCCGCAGCCATCGACACGAGGTCAAGACTGCGCCACCGCGGATCTCTTCGAGGGCCATAAATCGTGGCCGAACTTCCTTCTTCAACTTTTCATATGTCTCAGGATTGTGCAAGAGATAGAAGAATGTAGTTGAGATGGCAGTTGCAGTAGTGTCCGAACCTAAGAAACAACATGAGCAAAAGAAAGACGGAATACCAAGCTTGGTTCGATGATTTACCTCCGGTGATTAACAGACTGGATTCCCCAACAAGATCTTCTGGTGTAAACAGAACCTTATTCCCTTCTTTCATGCAGTTTTGGTTGGCTGCGAGCAGGTGAGAGTAGACATCGGCGGTCTCGAGGTTTGAATCCATAGCCAGGCGTCTTGACGATTGTTGATTGGCGAAGGCCTCGTAACGCTTCATGGCCTCGTTCAAACTAGCAAAAAGTAGGTTTCCGATCTTCAGACGTAGAATGCCTGGCATCCAGCCGCTCTGTTCGGTAATTGTCAGTATCTCGAGTATGCCCCCCCAAGAGTCTAATTGACTAACCATATTTAGGCCATTGACGCCCTTCGGCAACACATCGAGGATATATCTGTGATCCGGTTTATCCAGCATCTGAAAGGAACCTGAGAAACATATGTCGCCCATGATGTCGAAAGACAGGTAATCTGCCCAGTCTGTCATGTTTTTTGGCGAAGACCACCCTTCCTCCTCGGTGAAATGAATCGAAGGTGATTCGCCAAGGTGTTGGACAAACTTTCGTATATTCCTCAAGACAATGTCTTCCATGGCGCGAACGGAGCTGTCAGAAAGTGCTGAAGAGACCACGCGCTTCTTTATCGTGTGCAAATCATGATCAATCGTGGTGAGCGAGCTATCGCCCTTGAAGACATCATTGAACACATGGTAATAAGTGGACTTCTGCGTGTTTGCTTTGATTCCGTATATCTTAGAAAGCCCTTCGGCTGTGTTGACTGAGATTCGGTTGGGTCCAAACCGAACAAATGGGCCATACTTCTTGTGAAGCTCCAAGAAATGGATATGGCGGTCTCCTGTGGCACTACGTATGACAGAGTACCAATCGGTAAATCGGCCTAGGAAAGGACCAGGATACTTTGCCAGAGGATGGAATGTAAGCCTGTAGACCACAACTCCCAGCATCTATCAAAAGTTCAGCTAATCGTCCTGAGAAACTAGTGTGTAGCCTCACATATAGGAAGCTTATTAAGCAGACCGCGGCTACCACCACGGTGCCTTTCCGGGTAAGTGTATCCGACATCTTGGCACTATTCAGGAATAAATAGATTGAGTCAGCATGTGTTGAGAGAGTTTGAAGGAGTACGGCGGCCAAAGTTGTATAAAGACACCGACGTCCACGGGCAAACCACGAAAGTCATTCAAACATATTCACAATCACAGTACTGTGACACCTCGCCAGTATGGAGCGAATCAGAAAAGAACGCCACATGAGAATTGCGTGCATTGGCGCCGGAGCATCTGGTCTATGCTTTGCATACAAACTTCAGCGATCCTTCGATGATTTCACGCTTACCATATTCGACCACCATAGCACAGTCGGTGGTGTCTGGTTCGCCAATCGCTACCCAGGGTCTGTCTCAAGTTCAAAGCTGGTATTGATTCAGCGGCTAAAGTACGATTAGATGTGCTTGCGATTACGAGGCACACAATTACACGTTTTCGTGGGAGCAGAAATCGGATTGGACGAGCGTATATGCCGGTGCCGCTGAAGTACAGCAGTACTTTAGTACATTTGCCGAGAAGCATGGATTGCTGCAGTACTGCAAGTTCAATACGACTGTAACCAAGGCGCAGTGGGATGATGTACGCGGTTGCTGGAGTCTTGAGCTCAAGGAGACCAGCGGCATGGTGTTCACTTGCGATTGCGATATATTGATTAACGCGTCCGGGGTTCTCAGCAACGCTAAATGGCCAGATATTCAAGGATTGAATGGATTTGGGGGCCTCAAGCTACATTCTGCTGCATGGCCATCCCCGTCGCCTGAAATTGCAGGTCAACGTATTGGTTTGATCGGTAACGGGTGGGTATGATTCAAATCTAGTGTAATGTGAGACTGGAAACTAAGATCTTCATCAGATCATCCGGACAACAGTTGCTTGAAGCACTTCAGCCCAATGCGGGCCATCTGACTGTTTTTATTCGTCAGCCAACATGGGTTCTTGGACCCTTTGGGGAGCAGCCTCGTCGTTACAGCGCAGATGAGCTGTCGACTTTCAAGGATGAGCCAGAGAAGCTCTTGGCAAAACGGAAACAGTTTGAAAACAGGGTCAATAGTTATTTTGGAATCTGCATCAAAGACAACCCCCAGCAAGCTGCGTTGCGACGTCATCTAACGCAAAAGATCGAGAAGCAGCTCGCAGAAAGCAAGTACAAGGATCTGGACAAGGATCTATTCATACCCCAATATGCAGTTGGCTGTAGGCGCCCCACCCCCGGCACCGAGTATATCAAAAGCCTCTCCGCTGATAACGTCACCCTGGCCTTCGGGTCGATCCGCCAAATTACGACAGATTCGGTAGTTGATCAGGAAGGGAAAGAACACCGATTGGACATGCTTATCTGTGCGACTGGTTTCGACACGTCGCATCGTCCGAGCTTTCCTATACTCGGCAAGAATTCAAAGGATCTGCGGGATTTGTGGTCCCAAGGAGCTACTGCCTATTTGGCTCTAGCCGTAGCAGACTTTCCCAACTATTTCGTGTTCTATGGACCAAACAATCCTTTTGCCAGCGGAGCGTTTCTCTCAACAGTCGGTAAGTGAAGCTCTGTATCTTGCTATACCTTCTCATGATTGTGTAAACTTTTACACATGGCTGCGGGTCCGATAGTAACTGGTAGCTGTTCTGGGTCAGGGACGGTGCAGAATTCGTGAAAACTAACCAATCTGCAGAAGCTCAAGCCGATTACATGCTGAAATGGTGTGACCGCTGGCAAACAGAGAACATACACTCATTTGCTCCCAAACAGCAGGCTGTGGATGAGTTCTATGATCATGCAGCTCGTATAATCGAGAACACAGTGTGGTCCGATTCGTGCAGATCATGGTACAAGGCTTCCCCTCAACCGAACAAGGTCAGTTTGTGGCCAGGTAGTGGGCTACATTATATGGAGGCCATTTCGAGCTTACGGGGTGATGACTTTGATGTCCGGTATAGTGGAAACCGCTGGGGATGGCTTGGCTCTGGCTATAGTCAAGTTGAGCAGGATGAGGAATGTGATTTGTCGTACTACATCCGAACCCAGGACGAAAGCGAGTTCTTGAGCTCTAAGAAGCGGCGTAGAGCAAGCACAAAGGGCTGTCCTGTTGATCGTGGGAGCCTACATGTAATTGGATAACGTAAGGGAAAAGAGATATCGAGTAGGATCTGGAAGTATCGTCTGCTCCTGATTGTTTTCCTAGTAACCAATAATATCATACGTTCTTACACGGCAACACGGCAAATGTCTTGAGACTCGCTTCCGACTCTCGGTGCCTAGCAGCCTATTTTAATCCGCTTAGGCATAGTGATGCCGGTATTCCCGGGAGGATTCCATGAAACCTCAGCCCTCTGTAAGTAATTGCCGATTGTGCACACATTGCATAGCACTCATGGGTGATTTGACTTGGCAAGGGTCATGGTAACCTGGTTGCCGATTAAGCAAATGTCGTATAAAACGCATCGGTGGTATGACTTGGCAAGAGTCAAGGTAGCGTCGCAAGTGGATATCCTCGGCTCGCTTACTTGTTTGATATCTGCACATATGCCATTCTAGTCTAGCCCGATGATGCAAAGGTACGATGATTACCAGCTGGCCACATGAATCAAAGCCTATAATGGCTAATAACCCGGTTTGAAAAAACAACGGCGGAATAGCTCTAGCTTAAAGTGATGGGGAGAGTTCATCTATCACTTGAACAGAGGACGGCATCTAACATTCACATTAAGATGATGGGGCTGAAGCTCATTCGACTCGACCAACACCTATACACATTGTACCTCGTCACTGCTAGTGACTTTGTTGCAGTCCTCATACCGCAGACGCTCTTTGCCAGCTTTTCAGTCCTTTCGGGTCAATTCACTAACCGCAATGTACAACTATCTCCCGCCGCATTGCTTTCCCGTTTGCCCTACATTTTGCTTTGGATATGGCTGCAGCTCTTAGTGCTCGATTTGGCCAACCAGCGCCTTCCCGAGTCCGTGACTGAAGACACTCTTAATAAACCTTGGCGACCCATTCCATCCGGTCGCCTCACTCCTTCTGGAGCCCGTGATCTTCTGGTCTTCAGCATCGCTTTGACCTTGGTTTTGTCTTCAATGCAGCTTGGAGGCGCCTCTGAAACACTTCTCCTCTTTACGTTAAACTGGGTTTATAACGACATAGGCCTTGCCAATAGTCACTGGGCTCTACGCAATTTGATGAATGCTTTGGGAATCACGACCATCGGAGCGGGCGCCATAAGTGTTGCCTTCAAGGGGTATGAGTACGACATATCCGTGGACCGCACGGCGATGTATCGGTGGCTGTTTCTTTGCGCTGCCGTATTGATGTCAACAGTACAGGCTCAGGACTTGTATGACCAAGAAGGAGACTCTGTACGTGGCCGATCCACAGCTCCATTGGTGCTCGGGGATTGTACGGCGCGTTGGTCAGTTGCAATTCCCGTGTTGTTCTGGAGCATTGCAATCCCAGCATTTATGGGACTAGGATTGTTCGAACATATGTATGGATACGCCACTCCTGTACTCATGGGAATTATTGTGGCAACGCGCATCTTGACGCGACGTACTGTAGTCGATGATAAAACCTCGTTTAAAGCGTGGGCTGTGTGGACTATCTGTTTATATATGTCACCACTGTTGAAAGTAATACTTTAAGCGCAGCTTCTCATATTTGACTTTATTCATGGTTAAAATAAAATAGACTGTGATATCTTCCCCAAACTTGTGAATAAACTTTGAATGGGTTGATATTCTATAATGAAAGAAGTCACGATCATCAGAAGCTGCTTATCTAATACAAGAACAGAGAGGGGATCTATAGTGGTCTTATCCTTTACATAGACGATTGAATGCGTCATCCGATCCCAAACAGAAAAAGAAAATTCACCAGATCTCGTCATCAAATAGATTTGGGGCTGCTTAAGCAGCAGGTGTGGAATGTGACTCGGATAATTCAGGCACAAACTTTGAGCAATGCCATAATGAGGGCGCTATTGCGCCGTACACAGTTGTCAGATAAGGACTTCTTTGTAAATTGGATGAGAGCACTCCCTCGCACAAGTAATAATAGCTTGACATCCAGGCCATGCTTGAGCTGATATACGATAGCAATGATCGCAGCAACTTGATAAGATGTCGATGTCAGTCGAAACCTTTGACTGACCCAAAATGGTCAAGCTCGTGATTTGAATAGGGCCAAGACTTTGGAAGGTGTTGTAGAGTGCTTACCATGGTTAGAAGCGTCGGCTATTGCTTGAGAAAGTAGGGCCACGGACATAGACACTCTGAATGCGGCTTGTTGCCTAGTTTCGTCAAGAGACTTTTCATTTTAAGTTTCTTGTCAGACTTAAGAGTCGAGTGACTAGCCGCAAGCTCCTCATTTATCATAATATATTCGCTTTGACTTGCTTGCTGCGTTAGGAATTCTACCTTTTGTTGTTCTTTCTAGGCAGTACAGTACGAGCACGCCCCTTCTTATCGCCTTGTTCAGGTTTGGCTTCATTTACACGCCCTGATGCTGAATTTACCTTCCACCATCAACTAACGGGCCTGCGCTGCGTGGATAACCCAGGTTGTACCGTTTCAGAAGTGGCGCATAGAGAACAAGCAATGGACATGCCTGTAGAACGACGAGCCGGTGAATGCCAGAAATACCGCTTATGAGGTCATTTCTACAGCGCAGACCGCGGTTATTATAAGATTCTAAAGCTTGAGCTTTGTGCCTCTTTTTGTAATTATTCTGTGGTCGTTCATCTGCTTAATTATGTCGGCAAATTTTGCCCATTATGTTTATCCCTAAAAAATTTGATCGACTAGTATTATTAAATATCCGAACCAATTTCCTAAGAAGAATACTCGGAAATGTACAGCGCAGCAGACGTTCTCGGAGAGGCGGCTTGTAATTAGGGTGGCCAAAATATTGTTGAGGAAGAGTTTCCTGCTAACTCTATCACAAGAAGTAAGTCCTAGCAGTTAGTGCCAAATCTCTATACGCTATATATGGATACTAAGTACCTAAAACTACTTAAAACGTCGCTATCAGCATTATAAAAATACTCGGCTACAACGTCTGGCTTGGAACAACTTGACATGCTGCCCTAACTACGGTAAGCAAAACTGACCTCTCTAACATATTCTTATCAATGCCCTCGCCGGATATATTTAGTAAGCAGGATTTTAATCCCTGGAGACACTCTTAAGGAACAACTGACTCATTAACACGAAAAGTGGACAAAATTCCTTGCATTGCGGACTCAGAACGAACAACTGATTTAATGTACTTAACAATTAATGCGTTCAAAGACTGCCAGCATACTTGTTGGCGAATACTTCTGATCCAGCGAGTAGCTCACTAAGAATTACACAAACTATTCTAGTCAGCTATAGGACTCTTCTTTATCTTAGTGAATTATACAGTACTGTGTAAAGTAATTCTTTTTAACTTACTCGTCGATCAAGTTTCGATTTAGAGGGAAGTTTCATGAGTCTCATGACTACTTATTGTGTAATACTTGAGTCCTGAGTTAAGAAATCCATCCGAAGATGTAAACGAAATTGTAAGCAGATAACAGTGATTAGGCACTACTTCAATGATACAGTGTTACTATTGAGCACTAGTGGGAGCATCCCTCCACATGCAAGTTTTAGAGAGTATGTGTGAATGCAAGAGTTTTGAAATAACGGGAAATCTGAATCACTACCACTGAATCTATAAAAAGTGCAGAATACAGATGTGTATCCTCTGTGTTTCCGTTGAGAAAAGACATCAACAGCCACATTAAAGCAGTCGCACTAACAGTCACTACAAGATTTCCACATTATCATTAGAGCATATGCAGTTCAATCGAAATAATGGCCAAACTTCACAAGGAGCGCAAGGGAAAAGAGAAAGAGACTGCCCAGGAGCCCAACGGAAAAGAAAAGGAGATAGTTGAGGGGCCCATGAAGTTCAATGAGAAGAGACGGCCCGCCAAACTTCACAAGGAGCCCAAGGACAAAGAAAAGAGAACTCCCAAGGACTCCATAAATAATGTCTGCCATTAATCAATTCCGACCGGCTGTGGTGATTTTCATGCTAATGTCCTCCAAAAAGAGTGAACACACTATCGCAAATGCGATGAGCGACGACGAATATCTCAGGCAGGCAGATGAAAACTTTGATGTATGGAAACCTGACGTACCCGAGGAGGACGGTCGTCAGGTGCGGCCCAACTACAAGCCAAAGGAAACTCACAGGAAGAAAAGGAACAAGGGTAAAGGTCGTGCGAACGACATTTTACCTGTACTCAGTGAGGATGAGGATGAACAACCATACAGCCCAGGTGGCTGGATTTGATACAGCAAAATTGTCATGAGAAAAATGAGTGTCTGAGCTCGGATTGAGCGACTCCGTTATGGAGCCAAGGCAAGAGGCAGATCTTCATGTAGTAGGCTTGCAGCCAGGTGATGAGTCACAAGAGCACGGCCGGCAAATAAAATGTGCTGGGCTGTTGAATTGCAGAATTTGGCGTAGTTTCAATGAGTATTATCCCAAACTAGCCTGTGTTAGCAAATTAGTCTCTTAGAGGTCATCCTGACGGAGGAAAAAACCTATTTTCTATTTCATACGGCCAATGTTTTGGAAACTCTAGCCACCACCACCCAAGGCACCCTGAGGATTGTAGCTGTATGTGAGCTGTTGACAGTAGTTGGTGCTGCCCTAGACGCAGCGACTGTTGGTCAGTGAAGAAGGTGGCTCTGTCGAATATCTTGTGGTAAATATATGGCCGGGCTAATGGTAAGGTGACTAATTTCCTTATTGTATCAAATGCAGCATCGGATGAAAATTTTATCTTCGGTGGTTCTGACATTAAACGCAGAGTTGCTGGGCACGCCCGACCTTCCTTCGGCTGAAACAGGGCTGGTATGGGTCCATGACAATGGTGGCTAGCCATCTTACTTAGATGATGCACCAACCCGCCAACTGAATTTCAGCCACTAAGACAAAACTAGTTTGTAAAGCTTAGTAGTGAGCCCAACTCAAAGAGCTTGCAGACATTTGAAAAGGATTAAAACTTACTGGGATACTTGTCCAATGAGAAAATATGGAAATTTTGTGGTGGCTTTGCTTGTCCATTAGGAGATTGCTTTGCTAGCTTGGTATGGTGAAGAGCAGCTCACCGACGCAGTTGCCCCGCTAGTGGGATATCTCCGTGGCAGAGCTTCCTGATGCGGTTGAGAGATTTATGTGACAAGTTGGCAATAATCAGTAGATATTGTGTGTTGACACAAGCTAGATGTAGGTTAGCAAAAAGGACACCTTGGGCTTCTGGATACTGAGAAAAGTTGTTCGCCACAAAGCTGAATAAGATTTGGATTGTAATAACAAGATGAGTAGGGATTAGAGACGAATGAGGACTGGCAAGCCCAATATATCCGTCAGATAGATAAAGTGGCGCATGTGACCTTAGATGCAGGACTTGAGATTGTGGGAATAGGGACAAACAACAGCGACTGTAAGACCAATGGGAGTCATTATCATATTTGTCAAGTGCGTCTGGGAATATTACCAGGCTTAATCCCGTTGTTGTTCCTTTTATTTTGGTATCTGAATTGTTTATTATGAAACCTCAGCGAATGACTTAGCTGCTATGACTTGTAGCTGATACCGGTGGATTGAGGAAGGATGTACTTGTCGCCAGTTGTTTAGAGTACGCTTCTGTTTTTAGCATTTAATGACCGATGTGTTGGTCGTTACTTCTCTAACCATTTGAACTGTTGTTCTTGTATAACTGATTCAGTGAGATTCAAAGCTAGTGACGTGCCTCCGCCAACCCATTCTGAGCTTAGACTAGATAAATGTGATTTACCTATCTCGAAGTGCCCATCTGGTACCATGTATCTGGAGGATTATGGACTTGTGTCTCCACAAAATATCGGGGAGCAGGCCGAGAGACTAAAGTCTTACGGCATGGAGAGTTCATAACTTTAGCTTGAGTATGAAAGTGACTACACAGTAACCTAGACTTGGCTAAGCTACAAAGGAGCGACACCTGGCACTGACCAGTGGCACAGCTCAACTACTGCATATTCTTGTAATACTCATAACGACATCAGTCCAGCCTTTGAGAAGTATCCAGTCAAGTTATTGATTACAGCTTTACACATGAACCTTGTGAACAAATATATATAATTGGTCAATAACTCCAATGTACCACCTACAGCGTTGTACTGTTGAGACAAGTAATGCTGACTTTATCTCTTTATGCTGCCGTTCAACAAATACACTGCCAATTTGGGGGAAAAGCAGGGAATGGTGATGGCTGCTCTCTTTGTCTCACACAACTGTCGCTGAACGGTCTTGATGCGGAGCTTCTAGTCATGATTCAATCAGCCTAGGATCCCTATCGCTATTATATACTGGCCAAGGTATCACGGTATGTACCCAGAGGAGCTATTAATGTTGTCGATAAAGAAGAAGGTGTCGCGTTCGGCTTCTTCGAAATACGAATGAACAAAATAACAAATATAGTTACTAGATTTAAGAAAAGTAAACGAAAAAGAAACCCGTAACTCGAAAGATCTTTAGGAGCACAGTTATAGATTTGTCACAATCTTTGTGTCGGATTGTCTTCATGATCACACACGCTATATTGGAATCGCGAATTCAGATACGAGGTAAATCGTACCAAAAGAGACCTCGTTCTAGGCGATATCTTTTCCGTGGAACTCATGGAAAATTAGCTCGGAACCACGTGGTGGTGTTGGTGTGACTTGGAGTCAGACCTCAGGGGGTAAAACATTTCATGCTTGGTCGTCTCCGGACAATCTCGAGGACAAACCGGATAAAGAGTTCCAGGAAAAGAGCACAAGGGCCTTTGGGGAAGAATCTATGACTTTGGACTGGGAAGATACCACAGAAGACAGTGCAACGATCCTTGCGATGGTATAATAGGGCAAATCATTCTTTACGACTCTGGGAGGGTGGGAAACGAGCAAAAGAAATATTTTCTTTTGAGAACATCCGAAAAAGGACGCGATGTCATTAGTGCACGAGATCCTCGAGTTTTAACGTGGTAGCAGATATAGGAGCTAAGCAGGGTTAACCTTTGTGATAGGGAAGCAAAAGCACGTGGGGCGTCTTCAATGAGCAGAATATACTCCAGAATTACACACACCCTAGTAAAGCGAGTGGGTATGTATGGTTCTGAAGGAGAATATGTTTTCAATTGAATGAGCTTGAGTGTAATTCCATCCGTGCAGCACAAAATCATAGTATAGATAATGAAACCTGTGACTTGTTGACTGCATAAATGGCCAGATGTACCTAGCAGCCCGCATGATAAATATCAGTAGAGTAGTAATTTATAACAGCTGAAAAAGCCGACGTGCGGGTGAATCTGAGTCTGTGATTTACCAAAGACAATTGCCGGGAACAAAGAACACACCTAGCATATCTGCCGTACCAAATCAGCAGCTACCAAACTGCCCGGTCCGTATACTAATTCAACCGCCATATCGCCGGTAAAATTGTTCTGGCAATCAGATTGGGAGCTCAACTGCCTATCAAGCAGATCTACACCATCTATTTGTATTTAATGGTCAGCATTCAGCACTTGCCATATCGAGGCATCGGCATTAAAATATCCCTTACCATACTGGTCAGGCAGTTAAGCTGGGAATGCATGATGACCCATGGCCCATTCACCATAAATGCGCACTTATAAGGATCGATTGATCACCGGGATGTGTACGATGCTTCCCTTGCATCTGCATATTTCTATCGCCAAGATATAATACATTGTTAAGATGAAGTCCATCTCAGTCGCTTTAGCATTTGCCGCGCAGGTCCAAGCAGGCCTCCGCTTTGGATGCTCATCATTGACCATCCAGCGTCTAGACCCTGTTGTCGAACCCGGCAAGAGTCCTTCTTCACATGTTCACCATATCGTCGGTGGTAATGCTTTCAACGCAACCATGACAGGTGATGTTGGAGCCAGGGGTACCTGCACCACCTGTGAGATGTCGGAGGACTTTTCCAACTACTGGACGGCCGTCCTATACTTCAAGCACCCAACCAACGGTTCTTATCACCGCGTGCCAGTCACCAACAATGCTGCACTCGCCCAAGGCACCACTGGTGGAATGACCATTTACTACACCCCACATGATTTTAGCACAGATGATTTGAAGAACCAACCAATAAGGGCTTTCCCGCCGGTAAGTGCTCTATGCATCCGTCATATTGTTTTCTATCTCTCTTTTTTTCTCCTTTCCGTTCCTTTTATCTTTTTCTTTTTTAGAAATCTAACATTATGCAGGGATTCCGTATGACAGTGGGCAGCCCGACCACCGATACCCTGGACAAGGCAAAGGGCCATATTGGGCTTCGGTACAACTGCCTGAACACGCTCATCGACCGAGGTCCAGAGATGGTTGACTTCCCAACTAAGCCCTGCAAAGCCGGTATTTTTGCAGTCCACCACTTCCCAGCGTAAGCAGTCTTTCATCCACAAAAACCAAGGCGCTGCACTTGTCAACAGAAAACGAGATCATGAGGAGCAGATTGATTAGTTGGTTGAGTATCAGTAGCTAGCTATGTGTGCGATAGCACACTGTATATACATGGTGACTAGGTGGCTGCAGGTGTGAAGGTCAAAATACAGGTGGTGGAGACCAATCTCAACAAACAGCACTAACCGTTCGCAGATGCTGGGATGGCAAGAACCTTGATAGCCCCGACCACCAGTCCCACATGTACAACACCATCACCCGAGACGGATTCACCAACGCGCCCGCCTGCCCGGCATCTCACCCAGTTCGTATGCCGCAGGTGACCTACGAGACGGTATGGGACACGACCAAGTTCAACAGCTTGTGGCCCTCGGGCACGCCCAACCCGTTCGTGTGGAGCTTCGAGGGCAGCAGCGGGTACGGCACGCACGCCGACTACATGTTCGGCTGGAAAGGCGACTCGCTCCAGCGCGCCATGAACAAATCCGAGTGCTTCTACGACGGCTGCGGCTCCATCACCAAGCAGGCCATGTCCACTGCTAACAAGTGCACCGTCAAAGACATGGTTGGCGAGCAGACCGATGGATGTATGTTATCTGGCCTGCTTCACGCTAAGCTTTCGAATTACATGCTGACTGCGTTATAGGGCTTCAAGCACTCCCGGGCATGGAGATGAAGTGATGGTATTTGGCGACGCTTCTCCAAACAGGAATCGGCGGTGACCACTCTTCCAGGGCTTAATGAAGAGGAAGATCTAGAGATACGTTCTTTTGAGGCTACAGGACCTCATCTGGGTCTGAAACTCGCTCAGAGAGTTCTGGCGCATGTCTTGAATTCCGAAAGACTATCCCTGCAACGAATTTATGGTATGGTCACAGAGAATGAATATTTCGAGGTTCTCATGATGGTTGATATTGCCTATAAATCTGATGTCCTCTAGCAGGTTTTGCTAAAGGTTTTGCGAGCTCTAAACTGCACAAAACTTCCAGTAACCCCAGTAGCTCTCATAGCGCAACATCTCTCGCTAACTACCTTAGTTTTATCCACAGTATGCTTTGTGCCACTTGCTGTAGTCCAATACTTTTCTCTGCTTGTCATCTTGAGCTTGTGAATGAGATGCCCTCAGACGATCCATGCTCTCCAGCATGAGCTCCTCTGTTCTACTTAGCTCCCGAAACAAGCGCTCGGCGATGGCGCGTCTGCGACCAACCAGCTCTGCTCGTCTACCAAGTTTGCTAGAATCAAGTGTTGCATCACGTAGTCCAGGGAGTTCTACGGTGTCTCCGTTGACGATGCCGTTCTGCTGCTGTATGGTACGCATACGCGTGGTAATTCGGCGATGCTCAGTCTCAAGGAACAAGGCTTGCTCTTTCTGTATTTCAAGATCTCTGTATGTACGCTCATAGTGCTCCGCTTTGTTACTTGTTTTCTGGAGGACCTTTCGTGCCATTTGCAGGTTGGTTGCCGCTCTTCTCAGTGACACCTCAGTGGATACTGCTCGGTCTTTGGCGGATTCTTTTCTGTCGAAGAGCGCCATACCTCTCACCCACAATTCGCATCGGCTCAAGACGTAAAGAGGCTTCGTTAAAACTTCGGATTTCAGAGATGCAAGGGGGGAAAGAAGAAGGGGAGCTGCTGGCCCGATGGTAGTGGTTCCTTCGATTTTGGGCTCTCTGCTGAGCAAGCGCTTCTTCAGCGGAGGCTCGAGGGAATGCTGCCATCTGACGGGGACAGCAAAATGCCGAAGAGGTGCAACCGCCTCAGTCCCTTTTGGGCTCGACTCCTCCTTCAATGTCAGGTCGATAGTGGTCGGCTGCTGCGGCTGTGACCTTTGGGGATCCTTCGAAGGCGAAGGCGCTTTCGGCAGCGGCTGACGTCTTGTTGACTCTGCCGTCCTCGGGTTTCTTGGAGTCATCGGGTCCTGTCTGCACGTATCCAAAACCGTATCGTAACCCTTTGGATAGAGCATCTTATACTTCACTTGAGCGCGGAGCAAGTCCCTCCCGTGCTCGAGTGTTGTCAGCCTTGCCACCTTCCGGAGATGACTAAGCTGCGAAATGGTCCATGTGTGTGGTGCAACTTCCTCGCTCGTCATGACCTCCCATGGCCAGACGCCCCAGAGAAACTTGATCGTGTTCGTGGCCACTATCGCATCGCGATCGTCGAAATTGGCCAGCATATGTCCGGATGGCATCTCCGTGTCGTAGTATGCCATTTTGTATCTGTTGGACCATTAACTACTGCAAAATCGAGTGGTGTAATAAAGTAGGTTGATGGTGGTGCGCTTGATACCTACTGGTGAAAGTAGTGATGGTAGTGACCGTAATGACAGTGATGCTGGCAATGTTAGCGAGGTTAGCGATAATATCGGTAACAGTGATGGTGGTGATGGTGGTGATGGTGGTGATGGTGGTGATGAGGGTAAGAGTGGTGACTATGGTGCTGTTGTTGATATTGTTGTGTGTGACAAGACGATGCCAAGGAAGGAATTATCATATACCTAGAATGGAAGTGGGGCAGAGCAAGAGGCTAACGAACGGGGAGTTGCCACCGTTACGTTCATTTAATAAATCTATTGGGAAAAGAGGGAGGGTTCTGGCCTTATTGGACCAGAACCAATAATCGGAGGACCGAGATAACCTCGGAAAGTGACAGACATGACGTCAAAGAGTTGTGACTATGTGCTAGGCAGAGCACCGTATTAGTGACGAGATCACTGTGACATGTTGCCACGGTTACAGTATCTACGAAAATGAGTCTATTTAATAAATAATTGATTGAGCGTTCTTAATTCGGGTTTATAACCATGAACTGAGATGGGAAGGGAGTTCATAATGGAATGGCCTAAAATCGATGATGCCTGAGTTTGCAAAAAAAATGGTTAACTTCAAGGCTCTTAAGTAAATCAGTCATAGGACTTGTCTTAATAACGGTGCTAGATTTAGTATGTTAGTGAAAAGAAAATGAAAAACAAATATTTACGATCGCGAGGGAGATTATCAATGAGGCGGGTGTAAACTGTATCATTAACTTATAGTCTGTATTTACTAAATCAAGACACTTTTAAAGAAATGGTCATAATTGTGTACACAAGACACAAACGTTAAGTTGTTTATGATAAATTACGTAATCAGCGATTGTGAAATTTTGCGATTCATAAGTGTTTAGTCTCACAATATCTAGTACCAGTCAAAATATGATAGGAAACAGGCGCAAACTCTTATGTTTATAAAATATAAAATTCGATAGTTGCTAGCTAAGACTTACTCTTAAGTCATGTAAATCTAGTAATGGTCGCTTATAGAGTTTAGATTAGGACAGGAGGCGAAAATATGCGCCGCATATGATTTTCACCTTCGAATTATCGCGTTTCTTGGACCATTATATGTGAAATTCAACCTGTGTCCGTAGAAATTATTCAGTTGCAGTTATTTGGAAGTTAGCCTTACTACATAAGACGAATATTATTTTGAATTATCCAGTATAAGAAGTAATCCAGTCTATAATGAGCATACCCTTGAGACTAAAATTAAGGATATCAGGTTACTTGTCTGTCACTGTCAGACGCTGGTGTTGCAAGGGAGTGCTAGGGTGCTAGTATTGACGCGCTGAGCCCTGCTCTCTATCACATATGGAAGATTCCAGCCCTTATATACCCTATTGCAATCCGATACCGGATAAGCTCTAACAGTCACCCCTTCCTCTCGTCGCCTAACAAGACCACCGAGTTCGGGAACTCTAACAACTTGAAATAGCAAGCGCGGAATTTTATAATTCACATCGACCCGATCAGCAGCCATGTCATAAACTTGCCTGTCCGTGATGGATATTAAGAGGTACTATTCATCAGATGACGTAGCTGCAAATGGTGTATATTGCCAGCGATGCCAGCTGGCATAGGTTTAAGATATTTAGACATGTGTGAGCTAGATGTCAAAGCTTCCTCAACCATCATGGCCAGTGGCCTGTACAAAAAGAACATTGATGCCAGAAATATACTCCTGTCCGTTTGACATATTGTTTTTGCAACGGGAATGCATGTCCGGAATATTTAGAGAGTTCTTAAGAATTAATGGCCAAGTCTTGGAGTGGAGACTCCGCAACAACAACCAGCGTAACTCCGAGATCGACACCGATAATCCGACTACCCCCGCTGCAGAAACCGGGATCAGTGCATCAAGCCCCGGACTGCTAACTTCGCTAAATCCACTTGGAATTGCCTTCGAGTCCACCGGGAGCGTAAAAGCATCGGCATTTCTTGGAAAGGGGAAGGAGGGACCCGTGGATCTGCAAGGGACCGCCCGAGCTAACGTCCGAGGATCATTCAGTAAAGGAGTATAAGAGCAAAGCGTATGGCACACCGCATGTGCCCAAGGCGGAGAAGGATTATGAGGACTCTTCGGTACTTACCAATAGCTCAAAGTCAACATGAAGTCATCGCTTGCACTAGGGGCTCTGGCTACAGCCACATCCACCGCAGCCGCCACAGCAAGGCAGATCTGGAACTTCACCGACATCATCACGATTGAGAACAGTGCTCTGCGCTCAAACGGCCAGCTTCTTCTCACAACTTTCACCAACGCGAGCTTGTACTCTCTGGACACCCTTGCCCGCAGTCCCAAGGCCGACCTCGTCGCACAGCTGCCAGGCGCAACCGCCATCGGCGGCATTGCTGCGATCGGTGCCGACAAATACGCCATTGTGGGCGGCATACGTGGTAACTACAGCTACACCAATGAGACTATCTACACTGTAGACTTTAGTGGGAACCTCTCGACACCCACCGTGAAGATCGTGGCGACAGTTCCCGGCGCTACCATGTTGAATGGACTGGCCTCGTTGCCCTCATTTCCTCACATCGTCCTCGCTACCGACTCCCGGCAGGGCAATCTATGGCGCATCGATACGGATGTAGGGACTGCCGAGATCGCGTTCGCAGATGATCTCTTTGCTGTGCCGGCGGGCGCGGTGACACCGCTTGGTGTCAACGGAATCAAGATCGCCGGTGGTTACGTATACTTCACAAACACTGGTCAGTATATCTTTGGGCGAGTCCCGATTACTGAGGATGGGTCGAAGGCTGGCGATGCGGAGGTCATTGCCAATGCTACGAACGGTTATGACTGGGACGACTTCGCCATTGACACGGCAGGTAACTTCTATACTGCGCAGACACCAAACGCAGCTGGACAGGTTTCCCTGGATGGAACCTACGGTACACTTGCGGGAGGTGAAAACAGCACGTTGTTTCACCGGCCAACGTCGGTAACAGTCAGTGAAAACACCAAGAAATTATACGTGACGACCGGAGGAAATACAATAAATGGGATTATGTACAGTGGACAGGTCATTGAAGTGCAACTGAAAAAGAACACCAGTCTGAGTACATAGGAAGTCATGTTATTGATAAATGGTGGTATATTGAATTAATACTTTATCTCTATCTAGGACATGAATACCAAGGGTATGGAAATGCTACGGCTTCTGGGGACATCAATGGATATCTAAGTGCCCTTGCCCCCAGTGTTAGGACCTGCCGGCCCAGAGACGTAACTGTTTGAGAAAGTTAGTAAACATGTAATGAATGGACAAGGGTAAAGAAACTAACTTTTGCATCATCTTGCCGATCAAGCCTTGTCCAGGTCGTTGCTCTGCAAGGCTCTCACGCTTGGCTACCGATTCGGGGTCGTCTGATCGCTTTTGCATGTACAAATTATCGAGCTTAGGACCGCCGAACTGGTTGAAAACAGCATTAGACCCGAAATAGTTAGAAAATCAATGTGAGGAGAACTCACGTTGGATTCTGCGGTGTTGGCACCGCCCTGGATGGGGCCCGCTTTGCTCCCTGTGGAAGTTTGGTTCTGGCCTTCACTACTCATTTTGATAATTTGTGGATGTGTGGATTTTTTTGGTGTGTTTTATATGTTTTACCGACAGTGTTTCGTAGGAGTTTTGGGTAACTATATAATGGTGTATGAGCGTGATGTGGTCTTTAGATCAGGGCAATACCAGGGCTACATGAATTAAGAATTTTATAGAGACTTATATAGATTGTGACAAGAAGTACAAATGACGTTTTCAGCCACTAGCTCCGTATTTATTTTGTAGGCGTAACTATTCGATATTATGATGCTGTTCCGGTAGTCAATGAGGTCATTGATATATAGTTCACCTGGTACAGCTTCACAGTGGGCCTCGAGGGGACTCTGGCCCCACTAAACAAAGGGTTCACCAGATCCCCCAACCGATCGTACCTGATTTGTATGCAGTTAATGCGACCAAGATAACAATGACTTGGCACCGGCCATGTGTCAACTAGTCCAGGACCTTTGTGCATCCACAAAATTTAGGCATATGCGTTCATTCAAGCGTTTGTTAGTGCACCGCTCATGGCATATTTCCCCCCCTGGGCGAGTTAGCCTGTAAGTAGCGATCACTCCAGCCAATATTCCGAAGATGTCGCCGTTGGCGCCCGCTCAGTATGTATTCTCGAATGGAGTCACATCAATCTGCACAAAGCACGCATGACTGTGCAGCTAACCCAATTTGCCATCAGGCCAAAGCTTATTAATCCGGACTTGGTCGTGGTGCAGTCTTTAGGGTACCGCTTCTAGTTTCCGAGCTAGAATTGACTTAGCCAGAACTCTATAGGCACTCACTCATCGTGGTGATAAAATCCGGCGACAGCGAGTCATGGAGGGTCTACTATAGAGCCCGCACTTGGCGTGTTAATGCTCGTACATACCGTTTTCTAGATGGCGCTCATGTTGTTTGTGGATAGTATACTTCCAAAATGGCCAAATTACTGTCGAAATTTGATAAGAAAGACTAGTCGGCGAGACCAACTTGCTATTACCGCGGTCAGCCTTGGAATGATGCTGGGCATTACAACAGTTGCTTGAATTGAGGCTTTTGGGATGCAATGGAACATCATAGGTCGCAAGCACGAATGCTATAAGTGTTTGTACTCGTTGTTTAGATATATTACATTATTTAGCAACCTCGAATCTGGTCTTCTTGCGAGTTCTAACTCTGCAACTTCCATACCACGACACCGGCACCCGGGATGTCGCCCAGTTCTCCAATTAGCAACTCAGCGTTTTCAATCGTAGGTGCCGCTACAGCCGATGTGCCATAGTTAAATGCCCAGACCAAATTGCCTCTTCTCAGCAACCTCAGAGAGCTTCCCAAATCATTATCCTTGCTTGCCAGTATGCCAGTCAAGGCCGTGATATTCGCTCCGGCCGCGACGTCTCCCAGGTAGGCAACCAGGAAATCGGTAGAAGGCTTGAAAGCCAGATAGTGGGCACCGTCCTTTTCGCACGCGGCAGGCTTTCCCGGTCGATGCGGAGAGGTATATGTCACGGTCGCGCTGCTGGTCAGATTGGCCCTCCTGCACTCGATCCACTCCTCGCGGCCATCGATACTATAGTTTGATCCTCCATATAGGACTCCACTGCCCGCGTAACTCGGCGGAGTCTCAACGCGTGTGACTCGAGTAGGCAACCTATCGCCCAATGCACCGTTGCCAGGGTTGAGGCCGGTGACAGTTGCGAAGTTGGCGTCCTTCGATCCAGTATGGGGCCCGAAGACTATAGGCCCCGAGTAACTCGCAATTGCAGCATTAAACGCCTCCGGGATAATGGGAAGACTTGGCACAACGACCAGCTTGTAGCCGTCGAGAGGCTGATCGGGTCCGATGACGTCAATAGACAGTCCAAGTCGGCGGATGGCTGAGTAGAAGATATAAACAAGATCCCAGTAGTTCACCACCGTATCTGTATACCCTGCTTTCTTGACATCCCAACTGCCACTGTAAGGCTCAATTGCCCAGGTCCAGACTGAAGCATAGTCGAAGACGAAAGCGATATCGGCTTGTGGCTCGTCTACGGTTACGGCTTCTCGGAGCTTGGGCAGTTGCTCTTGTACAAGCTCCTGGACCTCATCGAGCCCTTCGTCTGCTGTATAGTCTGACAAGTGTAGCCCAGACAGTGTCTGCTCCTGAGCATAGGGGACCTGACGCCAACGGAAATAGTTGACGAGACTTCCCGACGACGCAAAAACCTCAAGAGTCCAGAGTTTTACCATGCCAGTCCACGGGCTCACGCGATATTGGTTCCAATTTAGTACACCAGGCTCCATTTCCATCACACCCCATGGTCCCGCTGTTTTATTGTAAGCTGCGCCAGAGACGCCTCGGTAGAGACCATGATGTAGCGCTTGCCAATCGGGCAGGCCGGTGCGCAGCGTCTCGAACAGCTCCTGGTCGGACAACCAGGAGAATGTGCTCGGGCCAGCAAGGGCGTACTGATCGAAAGTTGCAAGGTCAATGCCTACCTCTCGAGCAAACTTGTAATGGTCAAAGTCACTGTATCCCATCATGAAGTTGTGTGTAATTGCGTGCGACGGAGCGTACTGTCTGATGATATTCGTCTGCTCCTTGGCGAACTCTATGACCATATCTGAAGAGAAGGTGTACCAGTCGAGCGTGTGCAGTTCGTTATTGGTGTAGATCTCGAGGAACGGAGGTTGGATGGTTTCAAAGCTTTCATATTGATCCGACCAGAACACTCGGCCTTGAGCATTGTTCAAATTTTCGATAGTTCCATACTTCTCCTCCAGCCAGGTACGGAACCTCGTGATGGCATTGTGGTCGTAGCTGCGCACAGTGTCGTGGCATCCAAACTCATTGTCCAATTGCCAGCCTACCACTGCAGGGTGGCTTCCATATCGCTGAGCTAATTTGGTCGTGATACCTTGGCTGAGGTTCCGGTAATCAAACGAAGAAAAGCTGTAGTGCCGACGAGAGCCAAAGATCAGAGTCGTATTGGTACGATCCACGAAGTTGACATCGTAGTTCTCCGTCAACCAATTTGGTGGCGATGCAGTTGGGGTGCCAACGATAGCCTTGAGACCGTACCTCTCAAGCAGCTCAAGTGTCGTATCCAGGAGGGTGAAGTTGTATTGTCCTTCTGTTGGCTCAAGAATGTGCCAGTCGAACTCATTCACGCGAACATAGGAGATGTTGTTGTCCCGCATCTGTGAAATGTCCGTCTCCCAAGCTGACTCGGGCCATTGAGACGGGTAGTAATCCACCGCCAGGTGCAAGCCGCTCGGCCACCTATCGGTCGATGGCCCTGATGTGGAATTATGAGCCCTCGCTAGAACATTCAACGGCGCTACTGCGCTCAGAGCCTTTTGGAGGAACATCGCAACGGCGAGAGTTCTAGCACCCATGACGTACAGATGGACTCAACGAACAACTTTGAAAAGGGCTACTCGGAATGCAGGCCCAACAAGAGGGTTAAGGCGAGAGGATTCCAACTCTTATGTATGCCGACCTGAAGAACTCATAGCCGGTCTTGCCAGGCAAACCCCGCATGCGAACGACTCGCGTCACGGGGATAGTCCCAGGACTTCATATTCGCTACAGAAACCATAAGGTATCTATGTAGCGGTACGCGAGAACTGTGGGCAGGCATGTTGACATTGCAACGCTCGACTGGTTATGCAAGTTCACCATGTTGACCTGTGGGGCTGCGCGAGAGAGCGATGTCATCGTGCCCTAAATCGGCGTAGAATCTCCTCATAGCTTGGTGGGGTGCATGGAGGTATTGGGGTATTTTGCGGGGTTGAACTGAGACCGTTGGATTTACTAGGCCTCCGACCACTCCCATGTCCCTGCTTCGGCTCAAAATCGACTCGTTCTCGTCCGAGAAGACCGAGTTGCAATTGGTGCGCTTCGACAGAGCATCGTTGAAATGCCGGGAAACCGCACCGTAAAGTAGAGATCCTCTTTCAGTTCAACTACCAGCAGTAGGGCCGATAGGGCCACTTTGGGCCTGCCGAAGAATAGCCAGTAGTTGAGATCGTGAGATGTCTGCTCATCGGGACCCCCTGGAGTAGGTGGACGTTTGCACGCCTTGGACTAATGATATCCTTCGAGCTGCAAGGGTCAAAATAACTCGCCCGTCGCAATAGAGGTTGGGGGTTGCTTCAAGTGTCAAGTCTTGCAGCGGTGTGCAACCGTTTCTACTGCAAGCATTTCTATTGGTTAATCAATATCTTGGGTATCGCTGCTTCAACAAACATATCCAACACGATAGAAATGGAGAACATGATTGAGCTGCGAGTCTTGATCTAGAGTAAGAAGTGGGTATGGTTCGACCTCGACGATACCCTACATGAGTTTTGCAGGGCATCAGGTTCTGCCACGAACGAAGTGCTAGGGCTGGTGGGGCAGAAATATAGTATTTCAATGAGTGATCTCAAGGCCAAGCACGCGGAAGCACTGAAAGCAGGAACTGCGCATGCTTTCACGGATGGTAGAACATCGCATGCGTATCGAAGGGAACGATTTGGAGCTGTGTTGTCCGCGTTTTCTCTTCCGCCGAACGAACTGATGGACATGCTTCTGGAGAGGTACGAGGAAAAGTTGATGCAGTCATTGGAATTGAAGCGAGGAGTCATCGAGCTGTTAGCTGATCTCAAGCAAAAGGCATGAAAATAGCCATTATCACGAAAGGGCCACAAGATGCTCAAGAAAGGACTGTGGCGCATCTAGGTCTCTCACCTTACATAGACTTCTTGGCGACGACAAATGCTTTTGGCGTGTCCGAAACCGACGGACTTTTCGCAGCTGTTCTGGCGAGACTCAATCTGAATTGTCACGAGGTTGTCATGATAGGCGACAGCCAGCATAGGGATGTTATACCTGCTTCGGAGGAGGGGATCTTCTGTATTCACCTAAACGAAGCACATCAGCGCAGTCAGGGACCAAGTATACAGATAATCTCAGAACTCCAGTCTGATCTAAATGAATACAACCAAGGGTAGAATGCAAGCAGCGTTCTTCCCTCCCTACGACCATACATCATCGCTCCTTCAAAGCGACGATTTTGTGCGTACACCCAACAACTTCCTTCCCGTGCAAGGCTCATTTGTGGTTCACGCTATTAATGAACATATCCAGCAAATAGCCCAGCGTACGTACAGAAATCATGGTTTCTGAACACCCAAAACCATGGCTCTGCCCAAAAGTTGGTGGTTCATGTCGTGACGTTGCTGTCCCTCTAGCCTGTCGGGCTTATCATCGGGATGGATTGCGGAACGACTAGCCTTGTCTCCTGAAGCCTCGGGGTAACCAATGATGAAATTTTCAAGTTTATTTATGGCTTCAGTAAGACCACTGGAACTTGCCGAATCGTTGATGCCGAGAGATTGCATGGCAGAGTAGATCTGGTAAGGTGCATTGACGGAAGTACGGGCTTGTAGGCGATTGAAGTGTTCGAGTTGCTCGTTGCCAAGATCGAGCCGCAACTCGTCTCTGAAGGCTCGAATGAAGATTTGGATCATGGTAACATCAGCACATCTTAGGTGACCCAAAGCACATATTCGTCCACACTGTTCCATGACTTCGGTGGGTGAAGCGGAGACGAAGAGGAGCTGCTCAGAAAGACTCATCACACTCTCGTCATCGAGGTCTCTTAAAGTACTGCTGGGGCGAATGCCCATAAAATCGAGGGATTGTGAAATTGCGTGGAACACATGTTCCTCACACATGACACTGTGCTCGGGGCCTTGCATCTCGCAGAGGCGCTCTCCATGTCTGCGCCATCCTGTAAGCTTTCGGGTGAAGACCGTGACCATTCCTTTAACCACTTCATCTCGCTTGTGTGGAAACTCCGCTGTCCGTTATTAGTTTTCGCACAATAGGCGAGGAAATGGGAAACTACTTTACCTAGTAGGCCGACCAAGCTGGGTTCTACGTCGTGGAAGTTGATATGTCCAGGGCGGCTGGGACGCCAATTGAGCAACAGCTTACGGATGCCGTACTCGAAGAAATCCTGATCTCCCAGAACCCAAGCGGCCCAGACAGACCTTTTGAGACAATCAGTTTCATCATCGCGGAGTGAGTGATATTGCTCCAAGAGCTCATAATGTTCAAGCGTTCTTCGTAGTTGAGAGAACCAGGCTTTTGGTCAAGCGCCGAAATTGCAGGTGATATTGTACGTATGAACGATCTTTGCGAATGCGAATATCCCTGCTTGGGACATTTTGGCAGGAATTTTATCGAACTTTCCATGAACCATTCGCAAAACCAGGCTCATAACTTCAATATTGTCCACCTGCAGCCGCAGTGCCAAACAGGCAACAGATTCGTCGGATTTCGCAGTGACCAACGCGACAACGGATGCAGTAAATATACGGGAGAAGCGGCTCAAAGCTTGGGGGCCTGCGAGGAAGCGCTTTGTATCTTTTCCGTTACAAATAGCAAGGCGGATTTTCGCACCAAACGGATCAGATACCAGACGCTCGCTGTCTGTTGGGTCTTGGGCGTCAACAACGCCTGACATGGTGGACTACGGCGCCTGAAGTGACCAATCCAAAAGAGAAAGGAAAATGCAGTAAAAGGGGAAGCCGAGAAAAAAAATAAGGAAAAATAAACTAGAGAAGAAACAACGTGCAAGCCAAACGAGAGTCGTCAGAAAAGCCGATGCTAGGTGGAGTGGAATAAGTGGAAACAAGATTTGAAAAGAAAAGGTCGGAAAAAAGGACGTTCTCCAGGTAGCTGTTAAAGTTGACAAATTATCTCTATTTGCTAATGAAATAAGAAATAAATTTTGTGCAGCTATCTTGTTAGACAACGAGCTTATAGTTGTATATTAGCCAAGGAAGGAAATCAATTAAAATTAAAACAACGATAATGATAATTATGATATGATAATGACTTCATTTAAAGCCTTAACTTAAAACGGAAAGATTAATAAGACTATGTAATTCTTAATAAAAGTTAAGAACTTAAACAAAGAAGAGAAATAATCTCTTTTTAAATTTTGTTTTAATAGCATTTTAAGTCTTATTATAATCTTGATACGAACTACTAAAGATAGTACCTTTTATAACTACCTTGTATTAACTATTAAGCTTCATGAATAAACAGGTAATGAGGTATTTAAACTCGTGCCCACAACGGTCGAAGACTTCAGGTTGGTTTACAATGGATTAATATTTCATATACGGTTAGAAGCTGCCCATTGCAGACAGTCGAGAGATCGAAAATGCATGGATAATGACTGCATTTCATTAAGAATGGGGGTTTGTAGACATAGTTTCATGTCTACGTAAAAGAAAACTGGCAATAATTGGTTTGCAGTTAGAATATGAGGTAGCACTTAATGCCTTGTCAAAAGTCAAAAGTCCTAGGTTTTTTCTACGCGAGGTCACAATACGACACTGGTGATAAAGGATGATAATAACGTTAGCACTCTAGCCTATTGCGACTGCCATCAAACACAATTTCGAACTTACCTCCTTGCGAGGTGTGATTGAAACTGAGCTCATCGAATATTACATACACGTTATAATGTGACACTGCGTGTACTGTCCGTATCTAACGAAAGTCGCGGTCACGGGAAGTCAGACCTGATGACACGTGATAGCCATGGATATTCCCTAACGACGGTCACATTTTAAATTACTGCTAGACACTTCCTTACACAGTCAAGCACAACAAGGGTAGACTGATACAGGGAGAACATCTGTGCTAATGCATCTGAGATTAGTGCTAGTGGACCCACAACGGAGTATCGCAACATGATAAATGACTCATTTTAAAGCGTACAACGAAGCGGCCGGGAACCTAGCCTTGTAAAAAGATAGGAAAGTTGACAAAAGTCTTCACTGTTCCACCCGTGGCGCAGTGCTTATATGCGACTATTCTCTGCACATCTCACCTGGTACGAACAGGAAGTACGAAACATGTCGAAGGTGCCGCCAGCTCCAGTCGAGACTTCTCTCGACATGATCGGGAACACCCCTCTCCTCCGGTTGAGCCGTGTTGTACCAGAAGGACATGCCAAAGTTTACATCAAAATGGAAAGCCTCAACCCCACAGGATCTTACAAAGATCGGATGGCACGCTCCATAATAGAGGAAGCCGAGATTCGGGGTGATTTGAAGCCTGGTATGACAGTGGTCGAGGCGACTGGAGGAAGTACAGGCTCGGCTCTGGCCTTTGTTTGCGCGGTGAAGGGCTACAAGTTCGACGCGGTATGCTCTAATTGCTTCGCGACAGAGAAGCTTCGCACCATGACTGCTCTCGGTTCCGGGCTTGAGTTGATTCATAGTCCCAGCGGCAAGCTGACGCCCGATTTGTTTCCGAAAATCAAGCAGCGTGCGAAGGATCTCGCGGCCCAGCCTGGGGTATTTGCTGCAGATCAGTTCGCTAACAGGGATGCTTTTATTGGTTATGCAAATCTCGGTCGGGAACTCGTCCAGCAACTACCAAGTGGCATTGACAGTTTCTGTGCTTGCGTTGGTGGTGGCGGCATGTTGATGGGTGTCTCGAAAGTGCTAAAGCCAACATATCCACATTGTCGGGTTGTCGTGCTGGAGCCTGCCTCTTCACCTTTCATTACAGAAGGCCGGGCTGGAACACATGGAGTTGAGGGCGTCGGTAACGCATTCAAATTACCATTGCTCGACAACAACCTCTATGATGAGGCTAGGGCGGTGCCTGAAGAAGAAGGACGCGCGATGTGCAGACGACTGGCTAAGGAGGAGGGTATTCTCGTGGGAACCTCGACTGGATTGAACGTGGTAGCCGCGATTGCATTGGCTAAAGAATTGGGCGTCGGAAAAACGGTCGTGACTGTCGCATGTGACACGGGTTTGAAGTACATGAGCGGGCCATTGTTTGCGGAGCAATAATGGATGTTCTGTGACCTCTTACAATGCTACATGGAATAATATTTTGCTACTTCAACAGAATGACCAAGCTACCTGAGTACTGTCTCGGAATCTTAATGATTGTTGCGCCTCAAATTCCAGTATCAGTGAAAAGAGAGAGTTGGAATAGCTACCAACGATAACAGCGGTTGCTCGAGACGACAAAAGGTGACTTCGTTGCAAAATATAGCTACTTCGAGCTCCGTAATACAAATACACTAGCATTTCCAGAGGATATAATCTACTCGGTAGTCCTAAATCGCACAGGCAGATAGATCAGCCTGGGACTATCCTCATGAAATGTACGGAAATTGATATGTTTTGATGTCCGGCGGTCCATACTGTATTTTCTTGTTGCTGAGAATGACGATACTGGATTTTAAAATGAGTGGTCTGCTCCAGACTTGAAGGTTTTCGAGAAATGCCCCTATAAGCAGATATTTGATTGAAGGTCTATTATATCCATACTGATAAGTATCATCTCTAACCAAATGTTACTCGGTTCAAGTGGTTATTCACAGTCAGATTGAGCGGCGAGAATGAAAAGCTTTACAGGGTTCTGGACGATTTCGTCGGGGAAGATGACTCAAGGATCTCATGGTGTAGATATGTTATTAACCATCTAAAGTCCTTCATCTTCTTCGCCAGCCTTCTGCTTACCATCCGAGGGCTTCCAAATATGTTACATTTAAGAAGTTCAAGTACTAGCTAAATGCGTTCTGGATACTGCCATTCAACCACAATTGGAGTCAGAAATTAGCGTATTTTTGCTATCCTAGCCCTAATTGCTTTTCAGAGGTCTTTCTTTCAACATTATTGTTTCAAAGAGAGTGTTTGATACAACAGTCGAAGTCTGAATCGGATATTAAATAATTTATAGTTGTAGAATTGACAATATCCATTCAAGTGATCCATAAGTGTTATTAGACAGCACGGCGTTATCTTTATAAATACCCAACCGGTCGATTAGTTGTTGTCTTATAGCTTTGAGAGCATTTTGCAGCCTCCGTAGTAATTTTTGGAAGACCGGAGTATTGAAGCCATGGTGGACGTGAAGTCCACATGTAACTGTATCTGCGTAGTGGCTGTATTCGTCCCGATCGATCTAACATCAATGATGTTCTTTGCGCAAAATTGTAAAAGCAATTTAATTAGTTATACAGTCCAAGCATCATAGTGAGGCACTAGCGCGTAGGGTTCCCCCATGTGGACGTTATTACTAACTATACATGCATTTCTTTGCTGTTAGATATTTTGGAGCCATTCACTCTCATAAAAGTAGGGTATTGTCCTCGCACCGAGTCTCTATCGGTCTGAGTTGTTAGCCACTCTACCTATGTGCGAATTAACTGATACATTAAACGTGTAACGGAAGTGAGTACTTCTGGGTCACCTGATGTGCTAGTGACCTGATGTCAGCAGCGAATCACAAGTCTATACAGGTTCGCCGGAGCAGATAGTCCAATAACATAAATTGAATAGTGACTGTCTATGATCAGCGTAATAAGCCTTCATTTAGCTCCGTCTTCATCTCTCGTCATCAGTCCTATCCAGGAATCTATTGCGTAGTACAATCCTTCTTAGGCTTCTGCCTTTTCGTCGAAGTAGAACCAGTTGGCGTCCAAGGCTGCTCCTTACTTGTCTCCTGCATCCATCGTGTCATTTTGTGGCCTTCTCCATCCATCCCCACGGCACATCTGGACGCACGAGAATCCTCTGATCGCTTCAGGACAACTCCGGGTGTCGACTGGTCCCGAGGTGTGACTTTCGGGCAATTGATTTGCTTGTTAACAATGACCATTAGTTCACCATTCCATACTATGGTTGTCTTTGGATATAAGCGAACCGGATGCCCATAATTCGAGTCATCAACCCATGAACCTGTGTACGCCAGCATGTTGCCGATACCATCCTTTCTGACTTGATACGAATACTTTTTCTTGCTCTCTTGGGACATGATTGCGTTTGGCGTGAAGTCTCTATATGATCGAAAGCGATGGAGTATTGGGAAAGGCAGTGCTTTGATGAAGAAAAGGGTAAAGGTGACGAAACACTTTAACAGCTTTTGTCAACTCTTATTTATAAGTAGTACAGGCTTCTGCCAGTTTTTTTGATACGTATCATTGTATTTTACAATAGCCCAAACTTAGCAAGGCCGATCACGAAGCTTACTTGATGGCCAATGATCCGCCGTCTTGTGTAGCTGGTGCATTGTACACTACATGCAACAGCTGTGAGCTGTTAAATCTTGCGAACACTATAGAGGTCGATAAAATACAATGGACAGATTAGGTAGCGCGTGGACCATGAGTTGTATGACCAGGCTTGGCAACAGGGGAGGCAGCACCGCTAGGATCTACCTAGCTGACTTCGGAAATTTTACAAACACCGAATTTGGCTTAGACGAGGCAAACTGAGGGTGGTCAACTCCAAGCGTTCTAACTTATGCGCAGCGCTAGTCTTAGAATGGTCATTGGAAATCAAGCATATTCAGCCCTGCTAAGCTGAGCGTCTAATGTTGACTCTAGTCTAGCTCATCCTTGCAATAGGGCAGCGGTTCACTTTGCAACATCAGCTGGCGAAAGACCTAGGTTAAGCAACTTCACTCTGACCTGACTAACTTTTGAACCACCCTGAAGCCCTCTGGTCTACCTTATTAACATTACAGATTACTTTCACTCGGCTTCACATGTTCTGCATTTCTTGTAACACTTCAAACAGTCTCGGCACCTAGCCGGAATTGAACTGTCAGCAGAACGAGTTACACCTCTGGGCTCACTCCAGGCTCACTCCAGGCTCTATTACCCGGGGCTTCATAGCTGGCTGGACGCAGGTTCAATAACGACAAATACTATGGTGCAATGTATGGGCCCCAAGCGACAAAAGGCGAAACAAAACCCAGTCGAAATATGGAGAAGTCACGAGGCCGAGGTCAGGCAGATGCACGGTCCGATGACGGTTGACCAACTGATGCTGCACATGAAGAGCTTGCATGGGTTTGAAGCTACGTGAGACCGAATTGTCATTCAAGACGAAGTTCAACTCTTCATCATTTCTCCGTGGTAGACGGCGCCTATACACAGCAAAGCTGGAGGATTGGGGCCTCCAAAAGGACAAAACAAAAAAGCTCATTCCTAACGATGGGCCTCCCGCACCTGGTGACCATTTCGCTGAACAGGATAGTTCGGCTGCGATAGACGTTCAAGGCATAACTGTGGAAGGGTCAAAACGCCGAAGTAGCATGAATGAAGTTAGTAATCGAAGTAGTGGAAACTCTACCAGGCAAGTATCAAGAAATAAGAAGGAAAGACGACCCAACATGAGGATGTGGGCAAAGCTTATGCTGGCTGGTCGAAAATGACAACTATCTCAGGAAGGATGATTCGACACTTGCTGAAGACACGAATAATCTTGAGTTAAGTAGTGATCCTTCTACGACTATTCTACAGGCAATTGAATACCCCGACACAATAAAAAACCAGCCGAGCCGCATCATAGTGACTATGATCTACTATCATTGCTTGAGAAGCTCCGAGCCGGTACCATAACCCAGTTCTACAGGTCCTTAACTCGTGCATCTCGCATCGCACGGGAAGCTGTGAGCTCAGTGTTTCGCAGCCGGGCAGTAAACTGGAGCATGGCATTAGTAGACGTCTTAAAGCGGTCGCCAGTTTTCTGTTTGCGTTGGGACACTTTGAGAAAGCGGCTAATTGATATCAGGCCATTCACGTGATTGGAGATGCCGAAACGCTCCCTGACGGTCAACTTTTGACACCAAATCTGGTATCTCTTGCACGATCAGCACGGTCCCAGTCTCAAATCAGCTTCGTACAGGATATTCTGGCAAAGCTATTAATACGGACTGTCGGGTGGCAGGGGGCGGTAGCGGAACGGTACGTAATGCACGTACTTATGGCTGAATTATCTGCGTGACAGGGCAACCCCCAGAGCACCTATATGTATATGCGTGGACATGATAAACCACTACGGTGTGTCGAACCTTTGTCGAATTCAGTAAGAGACTGGCCCTATCTACGCCACGCGCCTCGCGGGACTCACGGTTCTCTCTCGGTCGCCTGAGCGATCTCTTCGCGAAAAATTTCAGTTTTTGATCATTTACGCAGAGGTCAGAATCTCGAGTGGTGGACATCCTGTTAGACCAAGGCATTTGATGCAACAACCCTTCTTTTCATCACGTGCGCAATGTGAAAGATCGTTGTCACTGCCTCGTTGATCGGGTTGAGCATATCGACGAGCCGAGAACCACCATTGGCAACACGTCGTCAAGCTTCCTTGAGCTTGATACCGAACGACTGATATCAATTTGATTTAGAATCTAACCTCATGAGGACCAAAACCCCACTCCAACACTCCGTTTTTCTACTTATTACCAGGATTCGATGGTACCTTTTCATCGGACGAAGTGTCAAGAGGGTCATACAACAGAGGGCCACGAGTATGCAAGTACGTAGAGATACAGTCCTGCACCGCCATATTGGATCGTGACTGAGCGCTCTGCCGCCCACCGGTCTTGTCGCCGCTAGCTTTGCGTGGGACGCTCTAGGATATCACAGGAAACTGACGATGCTTGCTTTCCAGGGGCTTGCGCGAAGTGTGCGCCGGGTGGGTGTCGGGTTGCCGTGGCGCCAGTGCGAAGGGGATGCGCAAAATTTCGAGGGATCAATCGCGCGCATTGGTTGCTTGGTCAGAGCCTTCTATCTGTCGCGTCACTAAGCTGGGTGGATGCCTCGCATTATTACCTGGGGTGCAGGTGGGTATACATTTGTGGTAGGGTGTCTGCATGGTGCAGTCAGTGAATCATTCTTTGATGTTATTCGGGGTAGCCTCAAGCATACACTGATACCAATATGCGCCCAGAATTGGGTTCATATATGCAAGCTCCATAACCAACTAGCGCTGCTCCATCTCTTGGTGTATAGAAAGGCTTTGATTGCGAGCTACATGCTAAGGATTGGATGTCGCCGTTTGTTGATATTTGTAAGATGCGCACCTCCTTGGATCTTGAGTCATGAGCGACCTGTCTTTTGATCCAAGCGGGCTTACATTGACTGGGTATCTTCTTACGCATGGACATCACCACTTGCTCCAGAACGTAAATCAAACCGACATCATAATATGAGGTTCTCAGGGATTCAGATCACGGGAGGGGGCCAAGCTGGGCCGCCGTCTCACGTCACGAATGCGACTGCGTTGGTCTATTGCTGGGCTCAAAGCCACCAAGATATTGATTGACGTTCTGATCATAACGGCATACGAAAGCCCCAGTCCCATCTAACAATCCAGTGCCTTGAGCAAGTACCAGAACACGAAAGGGGAGGACTAGAAATAGTGCACAACGCTGTTGGGCGAGGAGCAAGACTGAATCGTGCCTTGCATAATCTATTCATTCCTGCTGACCTGGCGGCCTATCATATCCATAAAGCAGTCGTCGCATGTGAAAAGCCTGAACCATAAACGCCGGAAAGTGTAAAAGCGCCCTAGATGGACTCGCCGAAGGTGTTCTCGCCCGAGTAGGTGATGTAGAGGAATCTGCAGAGGGCCATGTTAGCACAGGATGGCCTGAGTAGTTCCGCATGCATGCGAGGACGCATGGCGTGGAGATGTGCTTACCCGTCCTCATCCTTGTGTTCCTCGTAGATGCTGCTCATGAGAGCGGCGGTGGGGGGCAGTACCTCATCGACGAAGATGAAGATGGCCTTCTCGGGGGACAACTTGATGCGCTTTCGGATCACGTAGACGAACTGGCCGACGGTGAGATCTGCGGGTACGAGGTACTTCTTCTTGTCGATAGTAGCGATGTCAGACTTCTCGACCTTTTCGCAGATGACCTAATGGTTGGATACATCATGTGTTAGCATGGCTTCCAGTTTGGCTGGACGATTACGTGATGGTGCTGGTCGCTGTCGCAATGAAGCTGGCCGAGATAGCGGAGTGGGTGGCGGGGAAGGAGGGCGATAAGCGATAGCAGGCAGCGGTGAGATGACACGACATGACACGGGGCGACTCGTCACGTAACCCCAAAGCAGCAGCGGGGACGAAGATGATGATGGGGATGAGGATGATGAATGCAGAGTCAACTCACGGGAATGCGGTCAGCGTATTTCTGGCGAATGCGCTCGGCCTCAGCCTTGCGCTTCTCGAAGGGGTGCTCGTCCTTGAACTTGGATCGCATCTTGGCGGTGGACGGGGGCGGATTGATGACGTTAGTTGTGTCGGGCAAGGCGGTGATGTTGCTGTCGAGTGCTGGACGACCGAGTGTGAGCTGCAGGGTTCGAGGTTGTCGGAGGGAGGATGAATGAAATGGACAAACAGGAAGGGAAGAAAGAAGGAAGGAAAGAAAGAAGCAAGAGGAGAGCTGTAAAGGTTGCAGGTAACCCGTGAGCGCTGAACCTTGGATATGTGACTGACCTGAATTGCTTGGTTGAATGATGGATTGATTGATTGCTCAGCGGATGGGCGGTGGAGGCGGGTGCTGTAACCAACTAGGTTAAAGAAGTCCACGCCCAGTCTAGGTAGCAGTCTGAGTACTGTAAGTTAGCCGTACAGTAACTTAGGTATCTGTCAGCTGTGTCCCGTATCCCGTAGTTATCTGAAGGGAGCTCGCTGGTCGAAGTGGATTCATTCACAGCCGATCACTGACGTGGGGTCCGAGGTTGCCTGGAAGGCTGAGAGGCGGGAAGGCATTCGCTGAGCAAGTGCCATCATGGCCTCAACCTCATCAGCCAAAGCGGAGAAGCGAGAAGGGGTCAAGAGGGACAAAGGAAAGAGCGGGGCGGGGCAATGAGATCAGATAACGTGATCGATTAAGTCACACCAGCCCGATCAGGCTTAGCGTTCCTTCCTCCCCTTGTGTCATTTGGGTCATCCGGTCAGACAGAGAGCAAGTCACATTCACCTTGTCTCCCTCTTGAAACCCGGACAACAGAGAATCTCAAGATTGGCTTGCATCGGGGCCCGGTCTTGCATTTTGATTTATGTCACGGCTAAACCTGCGAGGCCATTGAACCCGGTATCGTTGGACATGAGTCGCTGGTCAGAGCAATGCACTCTAGATTGAAAGTTGCCAACTGTTTCGAGGGCCCGGTATGCTATAGCTTATCGCTATACCAGCCTGCTTATCTTCACCAATCATGCCATTGCGCCACGGGAACTGCCAGCCGCCTTATTGCATGAGTCATGCATGGCCATCAAATCCAAAGTATGATTCACCTCCTCTTCACCAAGGGGTTCGACATTCTTATTTGCTTCTGTATTGAACAATACGTGACACGAACTTGAAATTCAACATCGGCGCCTACTTTGAATAATTGACACTTGCCATTACAATCACATATCGGACATGGTACGTCGGAATCCTGCTGTAGGATTTCTTGCATGCATTCACATTATGCCACTCCTTCGCTCTCATGTCAAACCACTCCAAGGTCCGTACGATGAGCATGTAGCTTGGTGAAATCCCCAGGTCAGCGCTGCCAAGTATGACCCCAAAACAAGTGGACATCGCATCGTCGGGCCCTTTCAGTTATGTCCTTGCCGCTTCCATTGCAGGAAACCCTGGGTTTCCTTCTCCAAACATGGCTCAACCAACCCAAAGCATTTGTATAGTATGTCGCCATCCTTGGTCAAACATGGGGGGCTGGCAAGTCATGATCATAGTAGGCATATTGAAGGATTCTGGTGTCGCGGTGAAGAACAGAGCTATCCTCTGTTCTACTGAAGACTATCTAAAGTGAATGCCCCAGGTGAATACCTGAGGCATCCATTAAAGATATTGATTATATTGCAATATCCTATGATCAGTACAACACTAGGTTAGTTAGTTGAAACGCTCCACTTTGACTAATAGTAGTCGCACGAGCAGCATATAACGATGCTTGCACTTAGTTGCATTGTTTTCTTTCCTTTTGTTAATCAGACACAATTATCACCATTCTTTCGTGCATCGCGCACTACATTCCTGGTACCGTAATTTATTATTTAGTGTGATCCACGTATATGATCAAGGGTGCTCTCATAACTGGCATAGATTATCATTCAAGATTTGTGAGACCTGCAAGAGAGCAGTAAACTTGCACCGCCCCCTCGATGCTTTGTTTTGAGCTAAATAGCACTCTGAGTACTAAAACAACACGGCAACCCAACACGTGTACCACTGTGCACCGTTTCGACGGTCATACGACCACAGGGGTAGTGTCTTCGGCTGTGCTTCGTCAAATACTTGGTTGAGCATTACGAGCCGATGCCTCCAGAAATTAAAATACTCTACATGCCGCAGATCCGTCTTCAAGTGACCGCATCACCCATCCCCTCACGATGTAGCGCAAAGAGTAGTGCTACTCCTTGGGCACGCGGTTTCTACCTTCTTCAGATCCTTCCAATTAGTCCAGTATCCAAGCATGGATATGACTAGCTGCGACCCGTCATGATTGGCGTCGTGTGGAAGGGCCATATCATCAATATTCCGCAGAACTCGCGACATAAACAACTCATGGCCGAACTTGGAACACTCGGTCGAGCGCTTCATTACTCAAGTCGGTAAGCACTTTATCTGGGAGGCTACTGGGGAGGCAAGAGAGACTTTCAAGCGCCGCTCCCTGGAGATCATGACCCACTTCATCTAAATGATGGGTTGGGCGGCGAGCAGATCCAGTCCAACTGATTTCTGCTGCGAGGTTCTATTGCACAACCGTGAGATCAGGGAGGTCATCGACAGTAAAGGATTACTGTATTAATATATCGGCTTCAGGACCGGACACAGCAGCGCCCGCCTGATTTGGACCAGCTCATATCCCTGGCGCGAAACTATGACGCTGAAGTCGACATAAACCTTTTTATGCTCTTAAGGGGAAGGATTCGCGGCTTTTCTTAGTAGTCCCGGAGGTAGGTTGGACTATTCTCTGATCGAGGTATTGGATATCAACCACCAGAGCGGAGTTAGAGCCGGCTCAGAATCTTTAATGTCTGTCACAAGAAAGGCACCTGGGCCCTAGCCGAGAATGATTAAGTTATCTTGATGACGTCGCGAAGAAACTTTCAAGGCAGGCTGTATTCAATTCCAAATATAGTAGGGCGCCAGGGACACCATGTTCCCAAGAGACGATGACAGAAAATTTTGAGTACGCACTTTAAATTGGCAATTGTCGCTCCTGGGTCGTCCATGCGCTGCGGGAAAAGCTGTACGGCCATCTAGTCGCGGGATCACCAGGCTCAGGGCGGGCACTCATCACGCCATTTGTCCATAGTTTTGAAGATATACAGACTCGAACGAAGCTCCCACCACGTTTCCCTGAAATAGACGGCAGACACTATGGACCACTTTTGTCACGGACACACCTCTTGATGTAAGGTCAATTATAACGATACCCGCTCCCGTAGAGACTCAACAAGGTTGAAGATGGGATGTCCATCGAGTCTATGCCGGCGTGAAAATTTGACAGTGACTGCAGCGGCAGCAGGGCCAAACCCATGTGCTTTCTCATCTTCGTCCTTTTTTCTTTTTCTTTTTGCCACAGATTCCTGCACTTTTAGCGGTAAGCGACCAAAATTTCCAAAAGGTTCGTAGTTTTCTTATAAGACTATCGGTAACTCCTTTTCCGATTATTGGATATGACACGTAAGCTTGATGTTCCTAACTAAGTGCAGCTTTTTCTCGTGGGTGAATAGTCTCACTTGTCATACTTATCTAAGCTCGACTCCTGGAGGCGAGATGACAATTAATACAGCGGACGGGCTAGCCTCAGGTGTCAAGAGAGTCGAGCTTAACGAGCGTTCCATCTAATCATGTAGAGCCTATGAACGACTCTCAAGGTACTCTAACTGGTGGAAGCTTCTGCAGACTGGGTAGGCCTCGTCTAGTGGAAGTTAAGGGGAACAACAATCTGATGGAATCGTTTTCTCGTCGGATAGGGCAATGGATGTGATAAAGACGACATGATATATATGTAAGGCCGGGAAGAATCTTCTTCGTAACAAGTCCCCAGGACCAGTGCTGCTCTCTGTCTAGCAGAAGATTCAAACTCTAGGGCGCACTGATAGAACCAAAAACGATGGTAGATGCTGTAGCGGTGTGGTGCGGTAGTTAGGCAGCATCTGAGGAGCCGCCGGTAGAGGGTGATGACGCAGCCGCGAATGATTAGGACAGGACCTGCACAGATAAAGAGACTTATGCTACTAATCTAATAGTACATAAATTTCACGGTATGCGTTCGAGTTCAAACCAGTGAAAGTTGAAATAAATTGAAAATATTTTCTTGGGAGGGTTTTTAGATCATATGAAAAGTTAACGCTCAGCCCTCCAATTGACGAATCATAACCACAGAGGCTATGTGTGTGGTTGCATGTTCGGTGAATTGGCTAGTCAGAATTCGGCGCTACTATGCAGAAAATACTTTGCATGGACAGATGAGCTCGCACACCCACCTGCTCGCCCTGGCGTGGTGTTCAACGACGACGGTTCCCGGCTTTCAGATTTTGCAAGCAATACAGGTTCTAGTTTTGCCAAATTGTTCTCAAGGCATCTGACCAGGCAGTATAAATGTGGTTTTGTGCGCCAATTGCGCCACATGATGCGGTCAACACACATTAAATCGTTCACACGTTACAATCCCGAGGCCCCCCCTTCCAATGTTCTCCAAGAACCCCACAGGTGTGCGAACCCGTCTAGCTTGACCGTTGGGGGCCAAGCTTGGAGCAGCCCCCCTAACCCCTCAATGTTGCCGGATGGTGGGCTGTCGGTCTAGCGAACGCTATGGCAGACTCCAGTCGCGCTAACAGATAGTCCATGCCAAGAAGTTCCCACAGAATCAGGAACACCAAAGAGACACCTGGGCACAGGACAGCGATGACACCCTGGATCCACCTGTCAGCAGAGCTTATTTCACGACACTTTAACAGTAAGTCTGGGTTAAAGGAAGTTAAACTGCCGAGGCTGGACTTTCTCGAGCAAGGCTGAACCAAAGTTGCGCTGGAAAGCGTTGTCCCAAAGAAGGCCAAAAATTGAGGCTGGTCGAATCTTTGCGTTTTGGAGGTTGACCGGTCAGTATTCTGAAGCGGACTCGTGGACAAGTGCTTCATGGCGGAACGCGGGGCGCCGCGAACGGCTTCTAGAACTTCGACCTCTTTGTCTTGTCGCTATGGCACCAGGTTGGTCGCTTGTACTATGAGGGAATACCCTGACTCGGTCGTTAGGCAAATACCGTAGCGGCGACCATGGGGAAGTTCGATCCATTGCAATGCTCCCTATTTACAAGTACTTTCGAACGAGGCCACCGACCCACTAATAAAATTTCAATCGTCAAACAAATTTACTGGCACAGGTTCGCAAGAGGAGCTGAGATACGTCCGCAGAACAGGAGGTTGACTCTGCAATAGTCTTACGTCAATACCCGACCCGTCACCTGTCGACCAATCTTGCTACCCGCTCTTATTTGCTGCCTGTTTCTAGGTGAACTGGCGAGCCGTGCTGCCAATTCCGCACTCTGCCAACCACTGCGAACCGGAACAAGCCGCTTCTGATCCCGCTTCTCTCCCAGGTCCACTCCGCTGCTATGAAGATCAGAGAATTAGTAAGAGACCCGGTACTCAGTCCTGGTGATCGTTCCTGACACCATATCATCGTTTTATGATGTTCGGTCATGTGGGTAGACACGCCGCTATTTCGACACTACAAGCTTCTAGAACAAATATCTGGAACTTCTGACATTTACTAGCATCCCGACATGTGTCAAAACAGAGGCAAAATCAAGGGAGCGGCTCCCAACACGACTCGACATAAGGTTTGGCCTAGCTGTCCCTAGCAGGAAAATTGCACGTGGGATATCTAGACTAGGCATTTAATCCGGCGAGTTGGTGGATATGCCACTACATATGCAAGTCATAAATTTATTCCACGCGACCGGCCACTCAACCCCCCCAGCCAATAATGTTATCTATAAGGTTCGGGATGATCAGGACCCTGCAGAAGACTGCCGCGTGAGCAGATTAGGTTCACTAGATGCATACGTCTTCTAACGGCTCACGTCACAACCTCTCCATAATGCTATGACCGGCACAGACAAAAGGAGCCATTCGCGTGGAGGCATTTAGAAGCCACCCACAAATCCAACGTTGAAAAAACGGTAGACAGCTAGTACGATGACTGACTTGGTACGGAGGTTGAAGTTTTCAAGGTTCGGCAAATGGAGGTTGCATGGCGTGTAATCCCCTTGGTGCCCACCGAAATATATATAGCATGCTTCGCGACACTTAGAAAATTGTATCTACGTTGAAATAATCTTCAAGAACACTGTGGTACTCTCATATCATATATCATACGTCCGCCTCCGTTTCTAGGGTTCACTCGATGCATTCAGGATACACATCATCAAGCGGCATTATGCCCAGCTTACAATGCATCATACTGTCATTCTTGGCCACTTTCAGTTCATTTACAACAGCAGTACCCTTGAAAGCACATCAAGGTAGCGTGCAAGATATCATTATCAACAAGGATAACACCATAAATGGCACAAATACTCCATCTGTGCCGCTATCGGGGTTCTCTGCCGGTGCTCCTCTTGACATATCCATAGTGAACAACAAGAGTGGAAGCGGTTCCCTAAATGCATACATCACAGGGCGCGATTCCACAGGCGCCGTGGTGTTCCTGTCGCCGTCGGGAGACTGGTACTACCCGGACCCCGAAGGAAGCACGTCACCAATGGAGATATTCGAAGACATGGCATTGCCGCTCAGTGGGTTCGGAGGCTCCAGAACCTTCACCCTGCCGGGATACATCACGGCAGCCCGGATATGGATCGCAGAGGGCGGGCTCAACTTTTACGCCCTCGCCTCCGACGGCACGCAGCTGGTCGAGCCTTCCTTCGCAAACCCTGCAGACCCGTCGGCCATGGTGGACTGGGGCTTCGTGGAGCTGACCTACACCGCCGACGGCATCTGGGCCAACCTCTCCTTCGTCGACTTCGTCAGCATGGTCTTGGGCATGAATCTGAGGTTGGGGAGCGGCGAGGTGCAGGCCCGCAAGGGCCTCAAGGCCGGTGCCGTGGAGAGCATCTGCAAGGCGCTCAACGCGCAGACCGCCGTCGATGGCCAGCCCTGGGGCGACATGTGCATCACTGATGGTTCCGGCAATCCCCTCAGGATCCTGGCGCCTAATATGTATGCCCGTATCAACGGTACAGCCTTCCAGGACTACTTTGATGATTACATCGAACAAGTTGTAAGTTCATATCCCACATTACCGCCGGACGTATGAGGATAATTACTGACCGTATCTCTTCTTCTTTTTTTCAGTGGTCACACTACACAACCCACAACCTGACCATTGACACCCAATCCGGCCCGGGTCTGGTCAACTGCCACGTCGAGGGCGGCTACAACCTGTTCTGCGACGGCGACAACCGAAGCTACTGCAAACCCTCGGCGGCGGACATCTTCGGTTGCAACTCGGGACCGTTCGCTCTTATTGACGGCGACAACGACGTCCACCAGGCCGTTGTGCCGCGCCTCTGCGCCGCCTTCAACCGCGGCACGCTCCTAGGGGCCGGCGGGAACGTGCAGCCGTCACTGGGCAGCGATTCCTACTACCAAACAAGCCCGAACAACCACTACTCGCGCATCGTACATCAGTATGAGGCGGATGGCCTGGGTTATGCGTTCTCCTATGATGACGTAAATCCGAGTGGAGAGAATGAGGCGGGTCTCGTTGCTGGACCGGATCCGAAGTTGCTTGAGATTGTCATCGGGGGCTCTTCGTAGATCGTCTTCTCCACGGCTAGATATCTTTGGAAATTCATCAGCGCAGAGAGTCCAAAGCTATTGGTGGCGACTGAGCTCGGACGACATTCTTTGGTCGTTTTTATGTATATATCATCGCAGATGCATGGTTTGGGATGTTTGTGGCGCATGGGGCGCTTTAGACTCGATTGACTTGCATGTCAGGAGTCACTTGCTGGATATTCTCTTTCGCGATTTTAGACCGCATTTTTGTACTTTTGCTATTATGATATTCATGATGCTGTGCATTAGCTGATTTCGTCTCATTTGCGACGAGAGTTTGATTATATTTCAAGGTTTCAATACATATATTCTCTATACACCCAGGTCTTCTTGTAGTATTGGCAATTCTACTGCTAAGTAGCATGCGAATTGTTGTTTTTAAGGGCCCATTTTTCAATAATCAGTAGTTGTATCAAATGCAACAACAACGTGGGGGCCCCTACAAAGAGGGTATAATATGTATAAAACTTTTTCAAATTCTTTTTATAAATATTTCATGTTTGGTCAATCGTAGCGCGCCTTAAGTACCGTGCCTATTTAGCCCAAAGCTTTATTTAAAACTCGTTCTACGACCAATATGACAGGACAGCAGATGCCGCATTTCTGGTATAAATGGCCGAGATTGCAGAACTATGGATCAATGATTGGTCCTGGGGGGAGACTCCATACCAAGCGGAGCGTCAGAAAATGGTTAGCGTCCGTTACTATTCGGGTCTCCCAGATTACCCTATAGACATGGTGAATTATTACTCCACTGATTGGCCTTGTGATTGGCAAGCCATAAGATGAACCGGATAATAGAGTACAAACTCCCGACATCCTCCGAAATTCCCGAATTGAATGATCTCGGACTACCGGGCCGACATGTAATATTCTAATACTAAACCTGATCCGATCAAGGAATGCGGAGGAATTTTGCTTATATAGATGGTAGTTAATCGGTAGGTACGAAATGTGTGAGCCTTTCGCCTATTCTCTGCTGTCCTTGTGAAGCATACAGAACTCATGCAACATGGCTTTCAAACTCCTCTATTTCAGCCTGCTAGGCTCGCTACTGACAAAATCAGCAATCGCTCAAAGCTCTGAGGAACATCCCTCCCTACCAACATGGAAATGCACCACGTCAGGAGGCTGCGTGCAGCAGAATACATCCGTCGTGTTGGATAAGGACTCCAAATATGCCCGCGGCGCTGCTGGCTCAAGAACGGCGGCTGACTACGCTGCCATGGGAGTTTCCACCTCAGGTAACGCGGTGACTATGTATCACTACGTCAAATCTGGCAACACGCTCAATCCCGTATCCCCGCGCATATACCTCTTAGGTGGCGACGGCAAATACGTTCTGATGAATCTTCTCAACCAAGAGCTCTCCGTAGACGTCGATTACTCAGCTGTCCCGTGCGGAGAGAACGGAGCCTTTTATTTCTCAGAGATGAAAGCCGACGGCGGCGGGTCGTCGGGCGGCGCAGGAGCCGGCCAAGGCTACTGCGACGCGCAATGTCAGGGCTATTGCTGTAACGAGATGGATGTCCTAGAGGCCAATGCGAAAGCGACGGCCATGACTCCACATCCTTGCAGCGGAAACAGCTGCGACAAGAACGGCTGTGGGTACAATCCATATGCGAGCGGACAGCGCAGCCTCTGGGCGACTGGCGGGACTGTCGACACGAGCAAGCCATTCACCGTCGTGACGCGATTCGCGGGGAGTGGTGCCCTAACACAGATCACGCGGCTCTATATACAGAATGGGCGGCAAACCGGCGGCGGAACTATCTCCAGCTGCAACGATGCCGTTGGCGGGCTGGCTGGTATGGGCCAGGCCCTAGGACGAGGAAGTGAGTACCGTCTGTCTTCATGAAACCCCGGACGTCAATTTCCGGACTTGTGGTCAACAAGTAAAATAGGTCATATCACACATGGGTTCTCGAGAAGAGGATGGAATTGAGAGCCTATCTGAACTGATCCAATTTGCTAACCCAAGTCTTATAGTGGTGCTCGCGATGAGTATTTGGAATGACGCTGCACAGCAGATGGCTTGGCTCGATGCCGGTAACAATGGGCCCTGCAATATCGCAGAGAGTACTCCCGCCGCGATTCAGTCTCAGCATCCTGATACTCATGTCGTCTTTTCTAACATTCGATGGGGTGATATTGGATCTACTACCAAAGGATAGGGTTATGGTGGCAACCATTTATATTCTCCCTAGAGGCCGCCTGTTGGTGGACGTGATACGATAAGTAAGCGAATACAATTGCCTTGCGTACGGATATTCCCTAAATTGGTGGGATAAACAAGACTTTGGCTTGCTGGTCGCTGTCTTAACATCTGACTGGACCAGATCGATATTACCCATAACTTACATCGCGACGCTCGCGGCTATATTGTAGGCTCAGCAAAACACCTATAAACAAACGCGAAAAGAGAAACCCTGCGTCGTATTTCGGTCAATCGGTGATTATAATCTGGAACTGTCAATGTAAGTGCAAGGGCGAACGGAAAAAAATGTCTACGAGTAGTTAGCACTGCAATTACTTCCTCTTTCTTTTTCTTCTTCTTTTTTTTTCTTTTTAAATGCCACTGTTCTTTTAGTTGCTCAGCCAACCAAGTTTTCGATTGTCACCTTCCATATAGCACCAAAATACCGTCGACAAATAGTTAAACACTTCCATTTGCAGATCCGGTGCTTTTGCCAAATCAATATCTGTAAATGAATAGCCGCAAGCTCCGTGGGTTTCATTGTCGACCTTTTTTTTTAATTTTTTTTTAGCCCAACATGCTGTGGACTATTCCCTACTGTAATTAACTTCTTTTTTGTTACGAATAAACCTGTGTAAAGGGCTGGGCCTTAGCTTACAGCTCTTGGCGTTCAAGCCACGAAAGGAGCGGCTTGGAGGCTATGTCCCCGTCCATGCTGAAGGTCTTAGAGTTGATTGTGCAAACATAGTGTAGTTGAGAGGTACGCCCCGGGACTTTTGAATATTGGTCATTATAGCTCGTGGCTGAAGTGGTGCAGGAGCTGGGCTTCGCGGGATGCGTCTATGAAGTCTGACTGGATGTAGAGATCCTGCAGTGAGATGGACATTTCTTCCATGGTGGGTGCAGTACATAAGCGCCTGCCAACCGAGATGAACGAGGAGTGAGCAGGTGACTGCAGAAGGTGTAACCTCGCCTACTCCATACTGCCTAGTCTTCACTGCCCTCTGGTGTATTCAATGCAGGCCAGCCGATGTCGTGTAAGTCAGTGAACAGCAACTAGTGCTGCCAAGCCAAGTGGCCCGTGGCACTGGTGAATCAGGATGAGTATCAGATATAGTACATGACGATTCGTACCAGAATGAATCAGAATGAACACCAACGCGAAACGAGGTGCAATGCCCCGCAAGAAAAAGGTTTGCAGCGGTGGGTGGGTCCACCCATTGGTGAGGGGCAAAATTGAAGCATGCCGACGACAAATGGATTTCCAACCATTTCAATTCGGTGTATTGTGAAAGTAATTAAAAAAATATACCCCAGTCATTTGAAAGTCACAAAATGGATAGCTCGCTTTCAACCGTGTTAATCCTGCATGGCGCCGATTTAACGTACAAGGGTCATGAGTATTGAATGTCTTCCAGACAAAGTATAAATTCTGGGGGCCCAACCCCTCCGAGGGATCGTAAAGTGGATTATGACAACATCTTAAACGCTTCTGACAACATCAATAGCATAAGATATTATTGAAGCCTCTGTATACTCGTTCCACGACACCATTCTATCCACCGGCATAATCACTATATCACGTTCGGTTACCATGGCCACGGCACCACCATCAAACCCGATCCTTTTCTATGATATCGCCTCCGGTCCTCCTGTTCACCCATACGCACCTAACCCATGGAAAGCCCGATATGCTCTAAACTTCAAGCGCGCGAACTTCGTCACAGAATGGGTCGACCTCGCCGACGTAACTTCAACCCGCAAAAGTTTAGGCGCAGAGCCTGTGCGCTTCTTCAGTGACGGAGAGCCATTCTACACACTCCCGGCCATCAAAGACAAATCCAGCGACACAGTGGTGGGGGATTCGTTTGACATCGCCGTGTACTTGGACAAGAAACACCCCAGCGGTCCTTTATTGTTTCGCCACTCAATCGGCTTATACGCGGCGTTCAACACTCATATCGACTCCATCTTCCCCACTGCCGCACCTCTGTGCTCCCAGAGCATGCCGTTCAATCCGGAGACTGCGGAGCAGTGCAAGGCTGAGTTCTGCAGGCGGATTGGTGTGAAGACCTGGGATGAGCTTATTGTGCGCGGGGAGGACAGGAGGAAGATCTTGAGTGCGTTTCAGGTCGCCCTGGGGGACGTAGCGAAGTACTTTCGGTTTTCCGACGGTCCTTTTATTGGAGGCAAAGAGGCCGACTATGCCGACATAATTATTGGTGGCTGGTTGATGTTCCTGAGCCAGACCGTGCCCGAGTGGGAGGAGATTCGCACGTGGCATGGTGGGCTTTGGGGTAAGCTGCATGATGGTTTGGAACCGTATAGAGGAACATGGTAATATTCAGGGATGTAGCGCCTGTTGGTTTTGAACATCGATGGTTGAAGCATTGGACGAACAATTTCGAGTGAAGATTGATTACAGTCACTACCTTATAATTGTTTATCCATATACCATCTACACCAGATGCCAATCCAATTCTCGGATTTAGACAAATAAATACCATTAGTAACTGATCAGCGGAGACAATCAAACCACTGTTATTGCATTGTGTAATAGCTACATCTGCCAACTTATCTTTCAATTCAATATCGCGTCTTTTCTCGTTGGTACTAGTGGTCATGTATCATCAATCTGCAGCGTCGTTGTGCCTTGCATAGATCTTTGTTGGCCACGCATAGAGTCATTATGAATATGTTGCGAGAGCTCTGCTGTTAGCGAAAAGGAGCCCAGAAAAACGGAACTGGTGTTTCAAAAGCTCGTTTCCAGCTTGGAGAAGCTGACTGCAACGGCATTCCCAGTATCTCTTTCTGCTCTGCTTGGACCGCAAAGACAGGCATCCGCTGAATCGTGCCGATTGTTAAATTATCTTTCACGTTGAGGATCCATTGTTCTCACCATTATGATTCTTTTTTAACGTTTGATATCGTGTCTCAGAAACCGATGTGCGAAGCAGCATCTGTAGGACTGAAAGTCTCGACACCATTATAGAACGTGATGTAGAGATCGCTCCAAGGAACTGATTGCAATTGAAGTCTTAGGTTTGGAACATTTCCACATCTTCGATGCCAACATCTCCAACCCAATCAGCCATGGTATGCCCAGCGCGGAAGTGCTTTGTCAAGTGGTTCCCTCTTTCGTCCCAGCTGGAAAGTGCTGCTTGGCAGAAGCCGCAGCGACTTTTTAGGTCCTCGCGAGTTTCTTTGAGAATTGCCAAGTCAGGACTCCAGCCGCACCATTTACGACAGCCATGAAACTTGTATAGATGTTGCCACAGATGATCTTTTCTTGTAAAGGTGCGATCTTGGAGACTACGCTCCTCGCATGCTTCAAATTCGTGAGAGACAAAGTGCGTATCGTCTGGACAGACCTGTCCGCAGAATACACATTCAGGGCTATCTTGGTCGATGCGCCAAATGCTGGCCGATTGAGATGCAGCCAGTGGCTTTCCGCATATCCATTTGTCCAATCCAGGCAGGTGGACGGATCTTTCATGGCGGAGCCAGTCGAACCTCTTTTCGAAGACATGGCTACAGAAAGTACATTGGAAGTTGGTCTTCTTAATGCGTCTTGCCTTCAATAAACCTCGTCCCCATGATTGGTCACTGTCTTCCGAGTTGCATGCAGAAGCCGGCCGCGATGGATTGCTGTCTGATTGGTTGTGGGAATAGCTCGAGTACCGGGAATCCGAGGAAGCATATGACGGAAGATGCATAAATAATTCCGTAGAGCTCTCGCTAACCGATAGGCATCGGGGATCAATTGTATTCGCTGCGAGCGGCTCGCATGAGCTTGCTGGGTGGTGAGAACTTTTGAGAGCGTTGTTAATTTGAGACAAAGAGGCAGGCTCTTCTTCAGGAGGAGAATTTTGCCATCTCTGAAGCGGTATTGAGCTGAGAAATGACTCTGGCATTGGAGAGCCGCGAGTAAAAATGTTGTTTTGTGATAGTGCTTTTTCGTTCATGCGTTGACGTCGCCGAGCATTGACAAACCAGTTACCAACTTGAGTCTTACTGAGTCCGGAATGTCCGCCAAGTTCGGCTTTCTCCTCGTCCGTTGGATAAGGATGATCGATATGGTCTGCAAACCAAGTTCTAAGTGGTCGTGTTCTCGCTGTCGACCGTGAACTAGCCTTTTGCTTGCCACTGGCGGCCGTGGAGGTCGGCTCGGCCTGATAGAGCCTACCCCAGGCCATATTTCTTGATCGTCTATCTCTTCATTGAGTCCGTGAAGATGACCAATGACTGGAACCCTAGTCTCAAAATTTGACGCATGTCTCTTTTCCCTTTCCGCCAGGCTACAGTCTCGAAATAATGCCACACAGCTTGAGCATGAAGTGACTGGATTCGGATTCGCTGATGTCGTCTGGAGAATAAGACATTGGAAACGCATGGTCTTGCAGTGGTTGCAAGGCACAGGCGGTCGCTGGGCTCCATTATGGAGTAGAAAGTGATCAATGCCTACGGCAGACGTACTCAGCTCATGAAGCGCTGGACCGGGATCAGGACGCAAGGCTCCATCAATATCATTTTGATTGTTGTTCAAAAGAGGCTCCGAACTCCGAGTCGGAATGACCATAGACCAGTCCGCATCCGGGGAGCTGATTTCAAACGCGGCCTTGCTGTCCCAGCCGATGTAAGGCTCGTCCGAATGTGTGCTCTCCATAGTGGGGCATCTGCTATATGAGATTTATTTGGGGCAATGCTAGCTGACAGGCGGGTAAGAAAGGAAAAAGCAGCACGTGTGAGCTAATCAAGAACGCGTGCTCACTTATGAAAGACGTATGGAGGCTGGTCACGGATGAGGCAGTAGCATGAATTCTCCTCTCGAAGCCGGGAAGTCTTCTGTTGCACCATCGCTGCACTTAAGTTAGCGCATTCGTCGCCCGCAGTGGGTGGATACATAGCGGCCTGTCTTGAGAGGGCGCCTTTTTTCTTTCCAATTACATTTAATTAGGTTAACTAGCTACTTTACCTCGGCTTCAGCCCATCTTTCGAATAACGCAACGCTCTGAATGGAGTGCACCGCTGCCAAGCAGCCCAAACCAAGTTCGAGTGTCTGTGAGATGATAACGTGGCTTGTGAATTTCAAATTCAGTTGTCCTTCCACCTACCTCAACGTCAAACAACTCTTGTGCACAACGCATGCAATTTGTCGTCAGCTCAAGCACCCAGGAATTTATTGTGAATAAGCAGCAATCGTTCTGTCGGTACTGATCATATCATAATGTGGTTCTGTTGCTGCACTGAAGTAGCATTCGAACCACAAATGCAGATCGACTGGCGCGGGTACAATAAGTGTAAGTTGATTGTTCTCTGTTCTGCAAACTCTTGATTTGAACGACAAGCGATGTATGTACCTACCATGTATACTTCAAGAACTACACAAGTTTCCACTGTGTATCAGTAGTCAGAAGGCGTGCTTCTGCCTTTGCAGAGATTTGTTGTAGTGAGAAGGCGTATCTTGCCTCTAGTCTAGGTTAGATTGGTCTAAGTTGGTTGAAAATATGTGGACAGTGGACACACCGGCTTCGCAGCAGCAAGGCATTTACAGCGGCCAGAACCCAGAACCATACAAAGGACAAGCACAGCCTTTTGCGACTCAAACAAGTCACTCATCTCTTCCTCGTAAGAAATCTCTTTTCACCTCTTCCTACTTGTGTGTTTCTTCAGAAACTTCACCTTCCGTAATGTCGGCGCGACGACAACCATTTATTCGGGACGTGCCCAGCAAAGGTGGGTTGGTTCCTTTTGATACCATTGCGGTCACTTCTTTCCATGAAAGTCTCCCTGGTTATAGATCATCTCCACTCATTGAATTACGAGACATTGCAAAAGAACTAGGGCTCAAAGCGGTTTTCCTCAAAGATGAGAGCAATCGTTTTGGCCTGCCGTCTTTCAAGATTCTTGGTGCATCGTGGGGTGCATTTACTGCTATTACGACAAGACTTGTGCTGCCTCTGGATAGCGCCGTTGACCAAGTTGCCTCGGAAGCCAGCAAAGCCGAGCTGGTCCTTTTCGCAGCCACAGACGGAAATCATGGCCGTGCAGTAGCGTACATGGCGAAACTGCTATCTATAGATGCTCGTATATACGTTTCACGAAGTCTAGACGAGTATACGAAGCAAGCTATTCGCGGAGAAGGTGCGCAAGTCATTGTTGTTGCTGGAGACTATGACGACGCTGTACGCAGCGCAGCTCAAACGGCAGGCTCACACCCAGGCGGCGTTTTGGTCCAGGACACATCATTTCCATCGTACGAGGAGACACCTGCAAGAATAGTGGAAGGCTACTCTACTATATTCAGAGAGGCTGATAGGCAGCTGGCAGAGCTGGGTCTAGGGTGCGATGTGGTGTTCAGTCCTGTCGGTGTTGGCTCACTGGCTCATGCCATGCTTCGTCATCACAAGTCGCGGGAGCGATCGCAGCCAACCAAGGTGGTAGCTGTTGAACCTGACACCGCTGCGTGTCTATACAGAAGTCTGCAATCCAAATCAGGCGGCCCAAGCCCGAAGATCCGAACTTCTCACACTATCATGACAGGATTGGATTGTGGTACAGTCTCTTACACGGCTTGGCCCGATCTTCGGTCGTATATTGACACTAGTGTGACTGTTTCCGACTTTGAGGCTCATAACACTGTTCAAGAGCTGCAAGCGAGAGGAATTGAATCAGGACCATGTGGAGCCTCGGGACTCGCAGCACTACGATATCTGGCTCAACATCACCGCGAAAGTCTCGGATTCAATGATCAGACAGTGGTTGTGCTCTTCAACACAGAGGGCAATCGCCCTTACCATGTACCCCACGATGTGTCTAGCGATGATCCGGTCATTTTGACACAAATCCTCACCCAGATTGAATCCACGAATCCCACTCTGTCTGTATCGAGAGGGAGCGGTGAAGGAGCTATTGCAGACTATATGGAGGCCTGGCTACAACATCGTGATATTGAAAGTCATCGCCACGAACTGGTAAAAGGTCGACCTTCGATCATTGGAGTTGTGCAGGGAACGGGATCTGGCCGTAGCCTCATGCTGAATGCTCATACTGACACCGTCAGTCTTGCGGCTTACACTACAGATCCCCTGAGTGGAAATTTGACCGAGAAGAATGGCCTCCCAGCGGTCGTTGGTAGGGGCAGTTTAGACATGAAAGCCGGTTTGGCAGCAGCGATGGTTGCCCTTTCTAATGCGAAGAAAAGACGAGTGCATGGTACTGTCCTCCTGGCCGCCGTCGCCGACGAAGAGGACTCCTCTCGAGGTACCTCGGAAATACTTGCCGCAGGCTGGCGCGCAGATGGTGCTGTCGTGACAGAGCCTACAATGCTTCAATAGGGCACTGGTCACAAGGGCTTCCTATGGGTTGAAGTGGAAATCACCGGAGTGGCTGCCCATGGTTCGCGAGCCGACGTGGGAGTCGACGCGATCCTGAATGCCGGGTCATTTTTGAACTCATTCAAAACCTATGCCGCTGACCTACCGACTGACGACTTTTTAGGACAGGCTTCTGCTCACTGTGGATTGGTTGAAGGAGGTGAAGAGTTATCAAGCTATCCGGCCTCATGCCGGGTTAAGATTGAGTTCAGAACGATACCTGGTCAGCGTTCCGAAGGCATCTTGCAAGACATTACCGCAATGCTGGAGGAACTGGCAACATCCGACCAGATGTTTACTTACAAAAAGCCAAATCTGTTGTTGGAACGCCCGGCGTTCAAGCTCTCTTCTGACAATACTTTTGCCAACGCAGCGATGTCCGCTGCTAGTGAAGCTCTTAGCCGACCAGTCAATCCCCAAGGTCTATCATTCTGGTGTGATGCCGCCTTACTGAATGAAGCTGGCATTCCTAGTGTTGTCTTTGGCCCAAAAGGCGAAGGATTGCATGCCAAAGAAGAATGGGTCGACGCCGAGAGTATCAAAACGACGACTGTGATGCTGGATGCCTTGATTGCTGACTTCTGCAATCAATAGCTGCTGTTTATCTCATGATGTCGGGTTGGGGAGTGGGGATGTTGCATTGCGAGATCAAAAGGCTGCCTTTCAAGATTAGCTGTCGAGTCATTCTAAGCCGCATGGGGGCCAAGGTCCCAGCCCGCAAGCGCATCTGCCACCAATTTGGATTGAACGATCTGGCATCTCCCGCCACATTTATGGTACAGTACGGCGACCAATCACAATTCTCGTACATCTCGCACCACCAACATGTACATATAAGGATGCATATTAGCTCTCATACGTGATTAGACCACTGGTTGCATATATCCAGGCACGACGGCAATACGAACATTCAACCCCAGGTTGTGATACCCTTCCATGCGACTGCTGTCTTCATCAACAGCGCAACCCCTGGTTCTTTTTGTAATATTGTTGATACTTGATCTTTTCCATAGCACGTTCCGGTCGGTATAGTGGCCCACCGCGATGGCGTCTATACACTCCCATCCTTGTGACATCTACAGTCACCAAATCTCTCCGGAACTCGCTCAGCCCTTCCGGCGGTGCTATTGCCGGGATATTTGTGGGCACTGTGTTCCTGTTGCTCCTGCCCATGAGCGTAGGCTACTTATTTAGCCGGTGCTAAAACAAATGACAAGACCAACAAAATACGCTAGTTGTGATCTCGTCTCAATCCGAGTTGAAGGATTCGGCACCAGTCCCACAGCAGCAGTCTATCCAGGAAGTGCAGGAATAAGCAGTCGAGGTTATTCTTGAACTAGTCGTGTGTTGTCTGCAGACTTCCATGCCGTTTTCTATTACTAATAACTTTCAGTCATATAGTCCAAGGACTCGAGCTAATTATTTAATTCCACATCGGGCTTTCCATGCTCTAGAAAGTCAAAGAGAAAATCCTTCCAAGTCCAAATTGGCCCCTTGCACTGTGATGCTCTGCTTGTAGTCCCACTGAAGGGCGTATATTGGTAGTCATGACTATTCAGGTAGCGACAGTTATACAATAATTACATACGCTATGTTTGAGTAGATTATACCAGACCACAACCCCAAATCTGTCATCCCCAAGCCTTATGGGCGTTACCCCGAAACCCATGACCCGACTTGATCAATCAATGGCAGACCATCCAAAACTTTTCATGTCCATCAAGGAGGTAAGCCAAAGCCTTCTCTCCTCTCCAATTTCTTATAGCATGAACAAGGCCGCAGTCATGGCAAGAACAGCGGCGGAGATCATGCCACCAGCAGCCTCGATTCTACCGGCAAACGAGGCGGCAGTAGTAGTCGAAGATGCAGCGTTACCAGTGGTGGTTTTGCCATCAGTTGAAGCTATGTATATGTTAGAACAAACGTGAACACGACGGTGATAATGATTCAAGAAACTCACCTTGAGTCAGAGAAGAGCAAGTGCTCATGAGAGTGGAGTTTGCCATGAGAGCATCAAGCTTGGTCTGAGCCTTTGCAGCGGCGGCAGTGAACTTGTCGATCTTGGTTTGGTTGCCTTGTAACCTGTAAGCATACGTTCCATGCCGAAATAGCAAATGAGGTCACATACCATCGAACTTGGCCTGCAGAGCAGTGGTGTTGCTAACCGTGGCGATCTCCTTCTGAAGCTTAGACATTGTCTTGCAATCATCGACGGTGGCCTGGACAGAGCAGAAATCGGTCAAGGTCGTATTGGAGGTCATGTCGGCCAGCTTGGTAGCCTTGGCACTAGCCTTGGCCTTGAAAGCATCGATCTTAGTGGCGTTATTCTTTAGACGGAAAAATCGTGAGTTAGCTACAATCCCCTCTTAACATTGTCGAGAATAATGCTTACATCGAATTTGGCAGCAAGCTTGGTGTCATTTGCGGCGGTGGCAATATCCTTCTCCCAGCTCTGAATCTGGTCGCAAGAATCAACGGCCTCTGCATGGGCTTGGATGACGGCACAATCGCTCATGAGTGTGCTGTTGGACGAGAGTGTATCCAGCTGGGTCTGCTTGTCGGCTGCCTTTGCCTTGAAGGCATCGATGGCAGTCTGGTTGTTGTCAAACTTGTCAGCAAGCTTGGTCTCGTTGGTAGCAAGCTCAACCTGATTGCTAAGCTTGGCATACTCCTTGCACTGAGACTTGACGCTGGTAGTGCCATTCTTGCCCTTGGCCGAGACCGCAGCGGCGAGGAGGAAGGAGACGAAAACGTTGGTCAACTGCATTTTTACGGCTTGACTGTTTGGATGAACTTGGTGGAGATAAAGTGAGTGGAGATAATCCCAAAGAAGGTTGAAAACAAGCTTGTTATGTAAAATAAGAGTCGAACCGGCGACGAAGAAGCAGAATAATGATGTACAGAGAATGAAATGAGTTCAACTCTTGGGATCTTGGTTGCTGAATGATGATGATGATGATGGTAATAGAAAATTGTATAAGCCTCATGAGATTGTCGCAGTCTTATAGACTTGCCCCTCGATGAAGTCCGCGTCAGCAGTTTGATCATGATTGCTAGCAGCGACGGCCACGAACAGAATTGGGTGGCAGAATGGATACCATCCCATCTAACAAGTTTCAGTGTTCATGGTGACAAGTGCGTTTCGTCTTGGGAGTGTCTATTTTTCGTTGTTGAGTATGAGATAGGTGGTAGAAGCGCTAACAGCCATGACGGTGGTATTCTATTGGGACCCTGTCGTCCGTTCTCGAACCTCTCTGAACCAGATGAAGCATTCAATGATCCACAGTCTTGGCGCAAGTCCAATCACTAGGCCCCGAGAGAATCACTTGCGACGAAAGTCGACGAAGTCTCTGGCGGATTCCGTGCAGCGCGAGCCAATCAGTGCGCACAGGGTCTGAAGTTGTGGTGTTTCAGAGTGGACGTTGAAAACACCGCAAATCCCAGCTTTGGGCAGGTTGTGGGGTAGACACCGACTACCGCAGGCTATTATAAGCCACAGACTCCACACTCTTGGAACCCGTAACGACTCAACTGCCGGGTATTGCTTCAATGTGACTTGACTTCTTACCGATACCATTTGTGCCTTGTCTCCGTATGCAGCGCATGGCTTGCAAAGATCTACGGATGAGCCTGCCCAGCCTGTCAGTTTGCGGGGTTGAATCAAAGAAACACAAAGCGGGTCGGACAATCTTGATGCAGCGGCCTGCGCAAAATATAGCATCAGCGTATGATGCGCGTCAGGGTTTATTCACTCTTCCATCATGGAGTTGTAGCAGTTTATCGCATCATTGATAGACTGTAAACAACTCACTAAAACATTTATCATCATGACCCAGGGCCGTTGCCTTTTATTCCGCTCGTCTCGAAAAGCGCTCACGGTATGTGGGGGCTCAGATAGGTCTCGTAGCCGGAGTTGACCGTCGTACCTCTAACGACTTCAGACGACTTTGAGACTAAGATATGGATCTTGGTTATCGGTTCCTGGCGCGTTCATTGTGAATCCGTCCTCCATATAGAACTACCACGTGGTCAACGAACTGGACTCATGTAACATTCACCATGATGGGTTAGAATAATGCTAAAAGTAGCGTCTTCACGGGCCCCGCGGATGCGTTCGTCCTCCAGCTGGGGTCTGAAATCCGAAAATGGTTATTGAAAGTCAACTGCTCCACATGTTTGCTCCTACGATTTGGAACCTGGACTGGACCAATCTGATCATGCCTTGAACCTCAAGTATCGTTAATATTTCAATGATATGTCTTGGCATCTGTTCTTGCCGACAATCGAAGAAGAACACGGACCGTTTGTTGGAGACGAGTCCGAAGCTGAGCAAAACTTTTTTAACCTTGTGAATTCAGACGACGCGTAATACCTAATTACGTCGCGGAGACACAGAAGAACCGTCCCTCGGGTAGATGAAAAATGCCGCCGCTGCTCAGGCGTACCTCGTCACTGCTCATCTGAGTCGTCTTCCATCGCGACAGTCAGGCTTGATCAGTTTGAGATGCGCAGTTTAGCGCTCGCCACAACTTTGCTGGTGGTCTCTCTATCCCCTGCCGTTGACCCACCTTGGCCAAACAGGACTGCATCTAGAATTGATTTTGTTTTTCACCATGAGACATGAGTCGCCGGCCTACTCGACCTTAACGTCGACTATGCTCAACCCTCCTTTCCTCCGTCTGTATTACACATTATCCCACAGTAAAAATGCCGCATAATAATACACGCAAAATATCACAAGGACTTACACTCGTTCCAATAGAACACCTACTTAGAAGCTAATGGGCGGCTAGGCCAGGCCAGCCTAAGTATTACACCCATACGAAACTGTCTTATGCAAGGATGTTTAAATGGATGCGATATCCATGTTGAGATATAAACTGTTTCCATGCTCTGCTCGGTGAAACCTAACATACATGATTCCCCTGATGTCTTCGTTCTTCATGACAAAGGGCAAGAAGCTAAGCAAAAAACAGTGCAACCTCGGCTCCTTGCAAGTTCTGAAACGGCGTCCTTGTCTCCTCTGTCCATGGTCTATTGTTACGACTTTCCAGTTGTTCAAACTTTCGAAGAATAATGACCATCACATACGCCACTTCCACAAAGGCAAGACGATAACCTGGGCATATGCGTGGACCACCACCGAATGGCGTGTGCCCCCAAGCGAACTTGGAGGTTTCCCACATCTCCGACCAGAATGCATCATCGTCCTCTCCCCAGAAGGCTTTATCTCGCAATATGCATCTGAAATTCATCTCAACGGTGTCTTCTTTTTGTAGGTAGAGAGGAAACCTCTCGCCTTTTCCTCCGCCGCTGGAAATACTGCCTTGTTAATACATCGTCGATGGATCATGTTCGAGCTTAGTGAGACTGTGAGTTCACGAATCACATTTTTCAGATGTTAATACGATTTCATCAGCCCATATTGATTGACGCATATTTGTGAGCGGTATCCTCTCCCTGAGCTTCGCCCAAGCCTGCGATTTTCTAGAGAAATGAAAGACATTTCTAAGAAAAATAGCCGCTCCGTCGTGGCCGGGATTGAAGATGTTCTGCATCTGAAGCTGGAGCTGGAGACTGTCTGATATTTTAACACCATCTCGTCGATTTGCCGAAGACATCCTTTCTTGTCGCCGAGCTCCATCGTCTTGCCTTTCCCCATTGAACCAGCGCTTCATCGACGCGTTTGTCGAGGATATTGTGACCTGTGTTACTATCAGGCCACCACTTCGGGTCACGGTGCAGAATAACTGACTTCGACCAAGCATAAGCCGCACTCGACAGCCTCTCGTGAGTATCAAATTCTGCATCCATCAATTCCTGGTGGGCATCTGGCGAAGCTAGTGCGCCTAGGGAATCCCCCAATATAAACTCGCTTGTCATGTCCACGCTCTGCGATGGATTCGTCAGCACACAGCCATAGAATCAAAACAGACACGCTTACCAGATCTTAGAACAATGGTATCAAGCCCACTGTTAATGCATCACGACGCCCCAGCTCCATAAGCGCCCCGAAATAGCCCGCGAGGCCCGCGATTCCCGAAATTGGCTGTATGGACAACACCCAATGGGGCCTTGAGAAGATTTCAGCGTACGACACATTTATATCTTTCAACGACATTGCAACCGTCAGCCTGAAGGTACTGAGGGTCTGAGCGGATATTTTCAACAACACAATGATCCAAGTACGTTGCATGGACGTACTTCGTAGTTTCAAGGTCGATAGTCTCAATCTTAGGTTTGCCCAGAGGGTAGGCTCATTATACCTTGCAATACCTCTGGAGGAGTTGCTGATTTAAATTGAAAAGCGCCATGCTTCGGAAGATTCCCTTCGGAGGCGAAGTAGGTCATTTCCAGAAGAAGGGGTCTTTGTGGGGGGACTTTGGTGGCCATTGACAGGCATTTGTGCGCATTATGGCCTGTCATATAGAGCCATGCTTTGATCCACAAATAAGAAGCATGAGCAACCCACAAATCCAGAAGTATTCAATCGATGAGAGATGGAGACAAGAAAGGCAGTCGGTGTCTGCATGACATAAGGTAGCCTTTCTCGAAGATAATCGGTAGTATACGTGACTTAAGCTAGGCAGTTGTTGATGTAAATATCAGCGGCCATGGACTTTGAGTACCAAATTGGTGTGCGGAGTTTGAGTCGCTATCTAAACTCTTGGGCTTGATATCCAAGTTGTTACAGCTAGGTGACTTCAATGTTGTTGATCGGCACGACTTCTGTGACTCCTTGGTGCCTATATAAGGGGTCAACCCCCCTCGTGTAGCAGTTGGATGTCAACTCGATACGTGGGCTCTTTGACGATATCTAGATGTCATATTTTATGCCCCAAATGTACCGCAGAAAGTGCTGGATAGGAATCCTGCAACGGTATCGACATCAGAACTAAAACTCCTTCGTGAGTAGTATTGCATGTATGAAGCATAGCCTAGACTAGATAAATTCCGCCCTCGCTCACATCAACAATACTACCTCAACCAATCCTAGAACTCTTGCCATCATCCATAATACCACATCCTTTTCAGTTACCATTGGCAGAAAATGATCTTTATCTAAACCTTGATGATGCATCTAGACTGGGCTAACCCTGCAAACAGCCATTTCGAGAATTTTACAGCATCGCGAGCAACTTATGTCAGACGTCTGGTGCACCGTAAAAATGAGAACCCTAAGGCTCGAAGAAGACCTCCGAGTAATTAAGTAGCGGGTGTGCAATCGCAAGGCCCCGTTGAACTAAGCGATGGGCTGATAAATACCACTAGAGCAGCGGCGTATGCAGCAGTCGCGGCGAAAACTTGATCCCTCTTTGCATTCGTCAGGACACGAACACGCAGATCAAACAAGATTATCCACACTGCAACCATGCCCAGTTGGACGTACGGCATGTTCTGCATAAAATAGAGTGACTTGGTGGATCCGAACAGAACTATCGCGGAAAAGATGCAGCATAGCACGGCAACGATTTTGGCAAGAGACCGCTCTGGTACTATGTCTGAGGAGGTGTCACCGTTACCTGACTGCGCCATCAGTAGTTTACATCTCTTAACCAAATCGGCAGATTTGGATCTCACCTGGAGGACTCCGCCAAAGCAATAGAGAATAAATATCGATAGTCGATCCTGGTTCGCGGGAACTTTTAAGGCCACCAAGTCATCGACATCCTCGTACCGTTTCTCGGTGTGGCCCCAGAGCTATGGATGAGTATGCCCTGACTCCTTACCTAACACCAATTGCGCATCCGTTTCACTGTCGTTCGTGCTGGTCTCTCTAAGTTTAGAAGGACCTGATGCCTGGCCAGTGCTTCGTCTGTGGAGCGTTAGCCCAAGATCGAAACTATTTTACCAACATATACGATACTTCTCCAGTCTATCTCTGATATTCATAGTCAATTCCTGTCATCGACTCAACCGCTTGCCTCTTCAAGCGAACTTCCTAATTCTTCTAGAAATGGAACACCGGGAGATTCTAGCTCAACAAAGCTCACGGCTGTGTTCTATGTCCTCCCTGGGCTGCCATGCAACGTCGTCTTGGGCCGCGACCTTGTTGAAACTACGAATGCTTTTAATCTTTGCTCAGACCTCAAGGCGCCCGAGGGAACCCAGCTCAGTATCCTGGCCCAACTGACATCATTGTCGATCGGCAGAGTCGCGGAGTTCCTAACAATGCTACTAATGAAGCCAGATCCAGCCACAGATGTGCATGACCACATCGAGAGGCGTGAATGTGCGAGGCATGCCTATTGGTACCGTATATCGCAGCTGGAAGAATACATTGAGCGGTCTACTGGCTCGATCCGAGAACAGCACCAGGCGGAAATGAAGAGTTTAGAGACAGAATGGGAAATAGAGCATATCAACTGCCAGTTCTATACTCAAGCATAAGTGGTGATAGTTCTACCAGGTGCGGGATAATTTATGCTTTGCGCCGGCCTTGATGAGTGACGCACCGCGCAAATATGAAGTGTTGGCAGTGCATGACGACTACGAACTTGGTACTATAGGCAGATCAGTGAGTAAACAGTACTATACTTGATGAGTTTCTAACGCAGACTATACATGAATATGGCACGTCGCTAAATCATGCCAAAGCTTAAATGGAGCATGCACGAGGCAAGTCACTACGAGTCCGATCTACCAGTATAGGTAGGGCGTTGACCCCGCGTTGCGCCCTGCGATTTGGCAATTACAGGCGTCGGCGCTGAAAGCATATTCCAATCTCTACTTCGGGACGAAGGCGTGATAAGCACAGCAACCAGCATCTTCAAGGTGACGGAGAGAATTCAATTAAGACACCCAGTCACAAGGAAGCACGGCCTCGGACCAGCCACCATTCTTGCGGTTCTCGCGAGCGCTGCCCAACTTCTGACGCGGAGCACACCATGGCAGCAGGGAAGTCTGACAGCGCCGACGCAGTGCCGCAGTCGGAGCAACTGAACAAGAGAAAAATGATCGAGTTCTACAATTCTTATATCCGAGCCATCAACGAGGGGCCCTCAGAGGCGGCTCTTTCACGGTTTGTGCGACCGGAAGTCACCCACAACTCCAAGGGCATGCCTCTATCGCGGTACATCTCGCTCATCACCGACACCAGCGTGGCTTTCCACGACATGCTCGCGCATATCGTCGACTTGCTTGTAGACGAGGAGCTGCAGCTTATCGCGGCCAAGATTGAGTGGTCGGGAACTCTCATAACGCCGCTGAGGGGAGTTGAGCCGAATGGGCAATCAACGAGGTTTTCGGAGATGGTGCACTATCAGCTCGAGTCAGGATTGATTGCGCAAGTCTGGTCCGTCGTTGATTGGGACTCATTCGCATCGCAGACGAACTGATAGTCTATACTTGAATCGGTAGCTACTTTGTTTGAAATCATCACGATTACACTAGGATAGATTTGTCGAGCTTTCACACTGCCTATTGCAACAATAGCCGTCTGGGTAGATGGCGCATCATGGCCAAGATAGTGGTATGTGGGTGCAACGCTGGGCTTGGCGACAAGAACTACTTTGACGCCTGGAGATGACCAACCAGGCGGAGAAATCTCAATTGAACGGTGAGTTGATGTACCACCATGCCGGGGATGAATTGCCACCTGCCTGAGCGTGTACTTTGTAGAGCTGGATCTGGAATCGGAAATGACATTCCTTCAGAGCGTGCCTGAGGATACACGCAGTGACTAGCTTTTGATCTGCTTGGTAGTGGTAGCTGTTGGGGCGGGCTTCTTATTTAGCTCTTCACTACTCCGTGCCAACCATGCCGTCTATGGGTGGAGCTCCAACGTATTACTGTAATGGCGAATGTATGTAGCTTGAACTTTAAATGCCCGTTTTGCCACTAATCTGACTCGGTCATTCTTCTTTCTGATGATGCGGAGAACCATCACATTCAACTTGTAGATACGGACTTTGAGCAACGGTCCTTGGATCAAATCTAATTGAGCAAGTCATGGCAGCAAACGGCGTGGTGTAGGTTCGTCATTCCCAACGGCCGAGCTAATAAAACGACTTGAGCCCTCTCAAACTCCACGGAGATTGCTGCTCAACCGCCCGTCACCTAAAGCCAAGAATCCAGTGCGTAACTTAAGTGTGAAGTGTGTGTGAGTGAGTGAGTGAGCGTATGTGCGTGCAGCCAATCAACCCTGTTCTACTTGGTCCACGGGAGGAAGCATGCTGCCTCTCCGACCATCCCCCTCCCACGCTGGGGCAACTATTCGACTACAGCCCATGGCCAATCAACGGTTCTTCTGGAAGAATTAGCGACCACTAAATAAATGGACAATGACCAAAAGCGATTCTCGCTCCTACAACCTTTCGAGCACTGGCGTCATTGGCCGCATTGAGACGTTAGCCGGCTTGAGCATGAGCAGGTGGCTGATCCCGATTTGACCCAGAGCATTTAGAGTTTGTTGGCATAACGGACGTCGGCAGGCTATAAAGGGTGCTTATACCCCCCTACATGCAAACCAGACTAGCCACCGGAGGGGATATATCGTCTGTGTTTTCTTGATCGCGTGCACCGCCTTGAGATACGAGGACATTTTCTACACAACTTCGCCAATCAGCGAAATGTCGTTGACGAGGTTGGTCGTCGTTGCCTTGTTGCCATAACAGCGAAAAACATGTCGCCCTCACGGGGGGGTCTCAACCCTTCGCCGGACGACTGGAGCACACTTTTGGCGGTGACGGCGTTTTGTTCGATCGCGCTGTACAACTTCGTCGAGCTCAACGTCATGATCTTCACCACCTTCAAACGGCGCTCGGGGCTATACTTCTGGAGTTTCCTGGTCTCCACCAGTGGCATAGCACCCTATGCGATCGGATTCCTGCTCAAGGACCTAGTCTTGTCGCCCAGCAAATACATCGACTTGACACTTATTGTTGTCGGCTGGACATGTCTCGTGACGGGGCAGTCGTTCGTGCTCTACTCGCGCCTGCACCTCGTGATGCGGGACCGGGATAAGCTACGGCTTGTCCTGGCCATGATCATTACCAATGCCGTCATCTGCCATGTGCCGACCACGATTCTGGTGTTCGGGGCGAATTCGCCAAATCTCGATAGTTGGATCGTGCCGTACAGCATCTACGAGAAGGTCGAGGTGACGCTCTTCTTCGTACAAGAGATGATCCTCTCTGGAATTTACTTATACCAGACCTTCTCATTCTTCCGTTTCGAGTCGGCATTGCACGGGAAAACGGTCAACAAAGTCATGGTGCATTTGGTTTGGATCAACATCTTGATCATAGTGCTAGATATCACTATATTGGTGCTAGAATACGCGAACTTCTACAACATCCAGACTGCCGTCAAGGGAATGATATATAGCATCAAGCTCAAGCTTGAGTTCAGGGTCTTGAATGGTCTGATCGAACTAACAAAAGCGGGAGGCCAGACGCGGATGGACAGGCCTGAGTCTTGCCTGAACCCGTGCTGTTGCTCCAGAGGTCAGCAAAGTAACGGCGGCGGCGGCGGCCCAAGTGGTGGTATCTACGACGGCACGGACCCCCGGAGCGCCACGGTGGACTTTGAAACATTCAACGAAACCATGACCAGCCGCGCGCGCGAGGGTGCCAAGAGCGAACGGGCGGAGAGCGCCTACGAAGTGCGCATCTTCGCGGACGCTGGCGAGCCGGCGGGCGAGAGCGCAAAAAACGGCGGCATCACCATCCGGACGGAGACGCAGGTCAGCACCATGCGGTTGGAGGAATGGGAGGCCACCATGGCGGCGGCATGGCCGGGGCTGGAAGCGTTGGAGTCCGAGTCGGCTGCTAGCAGACCTGTCACTAGAGGCTCGCGGCCAGCGTCGATACGGCGATCTTCTGAGGTTGAATTCGCGAGGCCGTCACTTAATGTTCCTTAGAAGTGATAGTAGAATGGTATGTCAAACAAAACAAAACCAAGAACATAACATGGCCTGCTTGCAGCTAACTCTCCATGCACACGGGGGACGGCACGCAATGTTATATTCTGCGTGATGCGGTCTGCAAAAGCTCGTGGCACGGTTAGCTGAACCAAATACGGAGCCTGTGCCCCGGACCCATTTCTCAGCCAGCCATACATGCAGTAGGGGCACTCGCCTAACCTTAATCCACAATTGGCACAGAATGGGCCAGAGAGCCTCTAGAATAAATAGTCAGAAGCTGGGGTTTGGCCAGCCACTTACTCGCCAATCTCGCCGCCCCTGGTGAGCATCTTGACTACTGCAAGGGTCGTTCCAAGATTCTCGATTCCCGGCGCCAACTTTTCCAAGTTTATTAGGCTCCTATTCGCATCATGATACTCACGATGCCGATGGTTAGCTGGTCCGCTGGTTCGCAATCGCAGTGTTCAATGTCTTTCGTGTCTGTGTAACCGGGCCAATTGATAAGGTTTCCTTTTTTTGGGGTTTTTTTTCTTCTTCATTAAAGGCCGTTCGGATTGTGTTGACGCGAGAACGGTGTGACCGTGTAAACAAAACGTATCCCTCGACAAAACACCAGATCACACGGCACTGACCCGAACCTTGGCCAAAGGGAAAACTCAAACGCCATATCTGATCATTAGAAAACAAAACCAAGCGGCATGGCCACAATCGCAGATGAGGCAGCACCACATGCTGCGGCCGAACAGCCAGTATACCAAACTCCGGAATGGGAGACGCGCACTCGACCGCAACGACACTCACTGCTGGGCCGTCTCCTCGCTCCGGGCGCAGGGGCCGGCGCGACATCTGCCACCGCGGCCGCGGCAGAACCCCAAGATGCGCACGCTGCCACGAAGGAGACCCACGCGTCCGACGCTCCAGCAGCCGATGAGCCCTCCCCACAACCGCCCGCCGGCGCCGTCCCCGGCGGTCGCCCGACAATGCGACAGCGGCTCGACCGCGCCCTGCCACCGCAGCGCAGCTACTTCGGCCACTCACGGCGGTTCCTGCTGCTCCTCGTGCTCCTGCCGCTCGCCATCCTGCTCTTCGTCATATTGCCCCTCGCCGTCGGCCTCGGCGTGGGGCTCTCGCGTCGTCACAGCAGCGGATCCTCGTCGAACCTGCCACTCCCGTCCAACACGGCCACGTTCACCGGCGACCTGACGTACTACGCGCCGGGCCTGGGGGCGTGCGGCGTCACGTCCTCCTCCGAGGACGACATCGTCTCCGTGAGCCACATCGTCTTCGACGCCGCAAGCACGGGCAGCAATCCCAATGCGAACCCGCTATGTGGGAGGAAGATCCGGATCCAGAGGGACGGCAGCGAGGGCAAGAAGAGGGCGAACAGCAGTGTGGATGTCACGGTCGTGGACCGGTGCACCGGCTGTGCACAGGCGGATCTGGATGTGAGTCTGGGCGTGTTTACGCAGTTAGCCAAGGAGGAAGACGGGAGGGTGGAGATGAGCTGGGCTTGGCTGGATTGAAGGGTGTCTCAGTCGAGGATGGGCCTAGTCGGTGTGTTAGGAGACAAGATGATCTGAGTTTTGTCTGTTAGCGTTGCATGCTTCACAATGATACCCCGGGTTCCTGACTACGCTCAGGACAAACCCGAACACGTTGCAGATGACGAGTATGTTCGTGTCATGACCCACCCTCCAACTTGACCTGAACCAAGCCTCCACGACCTACGGCGCAACAATATAATGATGGTAAGCCGAGATATTCCGCCAGCAGCCAGTCCTCTTACAGGGCCGATCCACAAGATATCGCCTTCGAGACAGACAAGCAATTACGTGTAGCAGTCTATGGTGCCAAGAGAGCGACTATCGTTCGCACCCACGAGCTGTTGATCACTGCCAACTCATCAATCGGGGTTCGTATACACGAATACGATGAAAAAGCTGCCGGACGCGATGCGGAAACCTCTGGCAAGACCAAGAATCGTGTTCTACCACACTGCCGTTTGCCTCATCGTTTTTGCTTGCAACTTCCAGTAAAGAATATTGCCCGTAGCCGGCAGCATTATGTCACGTGCAAACGATGTTTTTGTAAAGGATGCCTATACAAATACCAAAAAACTGACTCCTCTAGGACTAGCAAGGGTGACTGCCCGCAGTCATGTAGCACTGATTCTGATGCCCGCCATGATACTGCTGCCGATGTGGTACATATCCGCGCCAGATCATCGGGGTAAAGAAAGCAATAGCCTCGCCACGGACCCGCAAGGGTATGTTCTACGCAAGAAGACCGGACTGCTTTTGCTGCACGCGAAGCTATGTGAGATGTCAAAATGCCAGTAAACGCGTCAGCCGACGTCGTATCTTTTCGTCGCATTTAACGGGTAGATGGGCGTTACGCCCGTTGGCATGCAGCCGAGGGACAAGTTGTTATTCCTTATTGACGACCCCTGTACCTTTCATCTTACAACCTCCTGTGACGATCTCAAGGGACGCCAGGGAAATCTTGTCCATCAGTAGGCGAGTGTTACGTACACGATATCAATGGGCTGATTGCAGGAGTATAGAACATAGGGAGAGGAAGACCTCAAGGTTCGTATTAATGTGTATATTCCATTCGTGCGCTTTCTCGACTTCGATTGTATTGCACTTTCGCCTCTTTTTTAGGTACTACAGACTTTCGGGATAATCAAGTGCTGGGTCTGTATTTTGGTGTCTGGCTTAGACACATATGATGTTCCGCTTTTCTCGGGCCCATGACATCTTGGCAAATTCCCCAGAGTGGCGTGGTCAAGGCAGGTGTTACTTTACGAGAGTATAATCGTTTATTATGATGCGTGGTATTGAGGCCGTCAAGCGGGAATGGTGGTCCCCGCTGTCGGACTCAATCGTCGTGAAGTACAATAGGTGAAGTCGGTCTCAAACCGGGTTGCTGGAAATATCCCCCCTCTCCTAATATCTCTTTAGATGCCTCCAAACCGGGCGGCCTATCCACACAAATCTCCGCGCCCTAGGAAAGTAGTCGGGAAAGTACTGCTGGCGGGCTGTGGTTTTCTTTTCAATATCCTAGCTGATTATCATTCACCTGATCTCCTAAAACATTTTCCTGGTGCAAAAAATTCGTTATTGACAAGAGTAACCGAACTAGTAACATCTAGCTGCACTCCAACTCCTCTGAGTATTCCTTGAAAGAACCTAAAGTTGGCGGATTGCGTATTACCTGGTGTCACAACGATGCCGCCGGGTCCGCTAACAGAGGTGTCAGCCGTTTGGCAGTACAACCGCACCGTAAACAGAATTTGTTTCACTAATTCCTGTGATGTTCGACGAATCTACTGAACTGAGCTCACCGGGGTTTCCGACGACTCCAATTGGTATGGTACCTGCCACGATCACAATGTCTGCTGCAACGAGACTGGCCGGAGAAAACATATCAAAGGTTTCTTGAACCACAACGCAAAAGCCCGCTGATCCGGCCAACCACGACTTTCCTCGCATAACTCAAGGTCAAACGTGTGCAGGACCGTTGCCAGTATTAGTCTCATCTCATGCAAGGCCATGCTCTGACCGAGGCAGTTTCTGGGTCCCCAACCGAAAGGTTGGTGCGCATCTAGGACGTCACCGCCGTACGTCGGGTCACCCAGCCACCTCTCGGGGGCAAACGTCTCGGCATGCCTGAAGTTGGCCTCTGAGTGATAGGTCGACCAGTGATGGCAGGAGACTCGTGTCTCTTCCGGCAGCCAAACACCCAGAACGGCCCGTCCGCCCTGGGGTATCACGCGCGGACTACCAATGGGCACCGGGGGATAGATGCGTAGTGTCTCCTTCAGGCAAGCATTTAGATATTTGAGGTTGGCGAGACTGTCGAAATTGATGTCTTGGGTGCTTTCGAACGAGCCACGGATCTCTGCGAGGAGTAGCTGCATCTTGGTCGGATTTGCGAGCAGGAAGTAAGTCACGCCACTTAGGAGCGTGGCTGAACAATCCAGATTAGCAACTGTACTAAACATCCATCATGAATTTGCCTGGGTGACCAACCTGTCGTTTCAGAACCAGCCAACATGAAGATTTCTGCATTTGAGTGCATTTCTTCCAACGAAAGGCCTTCTCCCGATTCTTGCGCTGCCATCACCAGATTCCATATGTCTGGCTGGTCGGAGCCTTCTTGCAATCGGTGATTGACGCGTTCTTCGGAGTGTTTGCAATGTGCGATTCTTTGCTCTGTGATGGACTTGGGTTCAAACCGCTCGAAGATTGCCTTGAGGGGCCGATAATAGTTTATCATCTGGACAAAGGGCAGCATCTTCAAGGACTCAAAGATCGAATTGACCCATGGGCTGAACTCATTTTTGATCAATAGTCCTAGAGGATGACCAAAGCACAAGTCGGCCATGGTGTCAAATGACGTGAAGTTGTACAGCCTAGTCATTTCAACGGGCTTGTTACCTCTGGAGAGCTCGTGTAGTTTCGATATCAAAATATCGACACTAGGTCGAGCCCATCGGTCAGGTGTTGCTCTTCTCTAACATTTGAAACTGGAAATAACGTACTATCTCCTGAAAAGAGGCTCCTGCCTTCTCAAGGCACGCTCAGAGAACGCTGGGGAGAACAGACGCCTTACTCGAGCATGATCCTCAAAGTTGGCAGTCAACATGCTGGGAACACCTGACAGTGAAAGTCTTTAGCTCTTGTTAGACCGCACATGAAACGCCGGCATAATACCATTTACGGGCTGGACAGAGAACTCCTGTGCTTTCTCCATCTCCATTTGACCCTTGGAATGGCCATGAACATCCCTCCATGCTTCCACTGAGGCATAGCTTACGTCAGTGGGCCCGAAACGCAGGACGGGGCCGTATTTAGTATGAAGGCTATGAACCCAATTCACATCGTTACCTTTCATACAATGAAGCCAGTATGGTATACGCGAGATGGCGCACAGGGGAGGACCGGGTATCTTCGCAAGCGGATGCAGGGTCCAGAAGTACAGGATTTGGACGACCAGATAGGTGCCGAGTATTGACACGAGAAGAATGACTGTACCGACGGAAACAATGCCATTGGGAGTCAAGAGGCGCAGCAGCCCATATTCGTCGCCTCTCGAAAACGCCATGTTTGCAAATGGTGAGTTGAAGGGGGGTGTGCACCATGAAAAGCTCTTGTGGCATCGGACCGGCTGCTTATCTATCAGGTTGGCGAACCTAGAAACCCCCCAAAGCGCAGAGCCCTGCAGTTGGTGTGTTTGATGCAATGAAGCATGCCATGCTCAAAGAGCTGCAAGGGCTCTTGTAGCAAACTCCACTCTCGTACATGACCAGGGTAGATGTCAGGACCCGGCCATTTAGACAAAGAGACTGCGTGGGACCAGGTTCTGTAGATTTGGTGAGCCGGTACACTTGTATTGGATGTGTCTAGAATCACTTGTACAAAATATGGAAAAACTGTTCAATTTAGCAATACTAGTATATCATGAACAAGTCTACGTAGCAGAGACATTTTAAATATTCCCGTACACCTTGCGCCAAGAAAGTTAGCTCCTCCAGACCCCTAAACCTGGCATTTCCCGCGATTGGTTCAACCGAAAAAAATGGCATGTAGGAGTTACCCCCTGGCATTGAAATGGTCCACCAGTCATGACTATCCATAGAAATTCCGGGAATGTCCATGGATTGTGGCTTTTGATACATAGAGCACCATGCAAAAGGATTTCTCTTCATGTTGGCCATGGCCAGTAGCCTAATGCAAGGTCCAAGGTCCAAGGGTCAAAGTTTGTTGGTAAGGTTTGAGACTCGGGTTTGCAGCCAATGAGCCAGTTGTAGATCGTCCTTTACCTTGGACAGACACTTTCAAGCAAGGGCTCGATGCAATTACGGAAAATGGAGCCGTGACGATCATTTTTTGTCACACCACGCCGTGCCCAGGCAAGCCAGGATGATGGTGGCCAGCTCGACTTGGTGATAAACGTGAAGAACAAGGTCGCAAGGTTGGACCTCGACATATATAGATACTGATTCATATCCATTCCATATGAGATACGTGCTAGATAAGTAGCTAGTTTTGCTTGAACAGGCGCATATTTCTTCACCTACCGACTCTTGATTGTTATAGTAGTTGTTGAACTACACGAGCAAGTCTCGGAAGATGACATCAGGCGCAATCTCGAGCAGTGCGATCTCTGCAAGTGCCTATGCATTAGATCCCCTAATACCCACAGGTCTCGCGGCTGGTGTCGAGGCCACCTCCATTTTTCTTTGCATACTTACTACAATCGTCGTTGGTCTTCGGATATGGGTACGAGCTGGCTATTCGGACGCGCAGACCAGAGTCTGGGGAATCGACGACTACCTTCTTGTGATTGGTTTCGTAAGCCCTGGTCCATATTCCAGTCAGTCCTCTTGTTGGCCAGACTACTGACAACAGTCGCTTGATAGCTTCCGTTCCTACCCTCGATCATCTTTAGTGTATATGCAACACACTATGGAGTTGGCCTCCACGATTCCGATATACCGTCACCGTACTATGCCATACGCGCCGCGGAGTACATTATATTCTGGGAACTGAACTATTTCATCTCTTCAACCATTGTGAAATGCGCTATTGGTTTCGCCTGTATTCGCATAGACCAGCGTCGGCGTATCAGGGTCCCCATTTTGGTCAACATGCTCGTCATGGTGACGACGGCAATCTTGGCCCTGATATTTGTCTTCGCCAATTGCAAGCCCTTAGCCGCCACCTGGAACCCGTACCTGTGAGCTAGCTTCTATCATATGGTTATCATGGGCTGTGAATAATGAGACTAAACTTCACCCAGGGGCACATGTCAAAAGGTGATTACTCTGGAGACCGTTAGCTATATCGTATCTTCGATACAAATGGCCACAGACTGGACTTGCGCAGGTGTGCCGTGGTTCATCGTGGCAAAACTGCAGATGTCTCGCCGGAAGAAAATCTCCGTCATGATGATATTAGGTCTGGGTGTCCTAGCCAGCATTGCGACTTGTGTTCGAATGCCATATTTAAAATATTACGACACTAATTTATATCCAAACGAGTTCTTGTGTATGTTGAGATTTCTTAGACCGTATCAACAACGTTCCTCGAAACTGATTAACCTCCGAACAGATCATGTCGGTCCGATCATGATATGCTCGAATATCGAATGCAGTCTTGGCATCATGGCCTGCTCTTTACCACCACTGAGGAAGCTCTTTAAGCATTATTATGGATCCTCCCATATACCGACGTCGAACAATAGTCAAGTGAGTACCCACTCTGGATACAGTGAGAGACCACGCTAATGGCACCCGTAGTCTGGCAAGAGCGGCGGTTATGGAGCTAAGTTGGACTCTCTTACCCCTCATGGTCATAAGTACAGAGCTACGGCCCGGGCTCGAGGGCGGACGGCGAATGCTGAATGGGATAGCTTAGACGACGATAACTCGAGCCGGAAAGGTATTATGCGCAGAATGGATGTCACTATAACTACAATAGAATAAGGAACGTCTGTGTCAGGCTAAACAAGAGGCTTATGATATGCTGCAAGACTTTGATTCATATGAAGACGGTTAAGCGATCCTGGAAACAAGGAGGTTTAAATGTCACGTGTGTGATTTATCGATTCATATAAGATGATATTCAGTAGCCAACACATCTGGAGCAACGTTAAACACACTAAACATCGTCAATCATAAAGTAAGAACCAGGCCAGTTTAGAGATCAAGGCAGAAGCCTTGCTAAAAAGAGTTTGTCCGACCTCATGGCTTGATAAAGAACTTGCCAGTATTTCATGGTAGTAGAACAGGAAGGGATATATGGAACACAATCCAGATTTGAGTGAGATCGCGAGTGTTCCTTTGTTTATCAAAAGACAAAATTAAAAAAGAAAAAAAAAAGAAATGGAAAAGGGAAAGCCTGGCCAACTCAAATCATGACGGCATAGACAACATAGAAGCCTCGTGATGGAATTAATTAGCTGCCATAAGACATGGTAGCCTCACGAGCTATGAAGAGCTTCTGAAATGTCCAGACACGGGAAAATGACGCTCTCTAAATAGATACTTCGAGAGAGATCTGGTGCTAAACGTGTCATGCTTTTTTCGTCACTGTAAGAGCTCTCGTTGATGAGAGCTCAGGGTTTTTCTGCAACCTTCACGCCAACAAAACTAGATGCTGTCCTGGTGTCTTCTTCTATAAGCCAGATAATGACGGCGCTAGCCTTTGAGTACATTCTTTGTACGGATATATTCTGTACAGCCCTTTCGTTTCATCCGCCCGGTTCATGCTTAAGGTATCAATTCAGAGGATGCGAATGTCATGAGGATAGTGCAACGCTTTAGTGCCGAGTACAGGTTTGACGAGACGTGTATATTCCACCCGTCGCATCATAGAAATAACGAAAAAGCAGAAGAAGAAAAAGTAACGAAGCTTGTTCTCACCGTGGATCACAGGCGTATTAACGTTACTAATTTTGGAGTATGTGGGTTATTTCAAGTTTAGAATACTGCCTCCAAGAAGGGGTTTCGACCTAAATTATCATGCCCAAGATTGACTGCAATAGTGCATCTACAGCAGGTCTCGATCTGAGGAACGACCGGTAACAGACACTATCAATCGCTCGACCTACTTCAACGTGCGCATCTTCTCGTCGCGACGGAACGCCAGATAGCCGCGAGCCGTGAGCCAAGATCGTAACGCGACGCTTCTTGCATTGGCCTCAGATGTTGAATTCGTGTGCGTAGCCTGCAGAGTCTTTGAGGCTTACTGTGCAATGATCGTAATTCTACTCGTGGATCTACGGGTTTTGATCTCGTCGGGTCCTATCCATCTTGACTCAACATTTCTGTTACAGGCTCAGCAATGGTGGAACCAAAAGTCATCACTCTGGAGCGTGTAGGCTGTCAGGGAAACCTGCTAACCATTTTACCCCACTTATGCAAATCCCCCCCTTTTGCAACGCAATTTCCGAGAAGTCGAAGATTCCCTCTGAACTGTAACTACGTGATTCCTTCACCACCTTTTGTTCAATTGATACTATATTCACAATATGGGTAAAACAAAGGAACGCGACTTACAAGAAGCAATTAATTTGGTCGAAAACGGCGAATTTCAGAGTCGCGCAGCCCGCGGCTTTGGAGTAGTGGCTTCCACTATATCACGAAGAAGGAAAGGATCGCAACCACATTCACGAGCCACGAAGGCGATCAAATACTCTCAAATCTTCAAGAACAAGAGCTTACCGAATGGATATTACACGAAGAACGTTGCGGACGTGCTCCGGCTAAGAAAATCGTGCGAGAATTCGCTTGTGAGATCGCGTCAGGGCTTAGACCCGTTGACGAAGCTGTGAAGATTGGTCGTAATTGGGTAGATAAGTTCTTGAATCGCCATCATAACCTCAAGACTAAAGTAGGACGTATTGTTGATGCTGATCGAATCGATGGTATCAATTCCAAGTCCATAAAACACTTTTATTTATACGTCGACCGTACTCGAACCTATTACGATATACAGCCCGAAGATACATACAATTGGGATGAAACTGGTGTTCAAGAAGGAGAGAATCGTAATGGAACAGTCGTAGGAACGTCGAGATCTCGTCGATCACGTATAAAGAAGTCACTACAAACTGGTTGGATGACCGCGCTACACTACGTAAGCGCGTTGGGTATTCATGGCACCGTGGTCTATATATTAAAAGGCACACATCTTCAAGCATAATGGCTACCACAAGATCTCGAAGAACATGAATACACAGCAAGTCCGAAAGGATGGACAAACACCACAATTGCTTGTGAATGGCTAGAGGATACATTCGGTCCTGAAACCAAACCTCGAGAGTCAAGTCGCCGTCCGAAACCGTGGCGGATGCTCATCCTCGATGGCCATAATACCACGTATCCCCCCGTTTCATGTTATTAGCGTATAGGATGCGTATCGCTCTTGTATACCTACCAGCTCATACCAGTGAAGCTTTACAACCACTCGATAAGTCGTGTTTCTCGTCCCTCAAATGGAGGTATCATCAACGACTGGCCAAATATCAAGGAATGCAAGCAACAGGACCTATTCAAAAGCAAAGAATGCTAGAAGCTTATGGCTTGGCTGTTCAAGATGCCTTTACAGAGGAGATTATACAATCAGGTTGGAAGAAGACTGGTATATGGCCCCCAGATCCTTCACAAGTACTTGAGGATATAGAGCTCTTCCCTCCTACCATTCCTTTAAGGCCTATCACACCACCACAACCGAAAGATCAATTAAAAGTGATTCCATTTACACCAGAAACCTCGAAAGAATATAGGGATTAAGTCTCTCACGTATTACGTCAATACCCAGGGCTACTAAGGGACGTGAGCATGCTACTCAAGAAAGGCGTCAAAACCATCGACTTGATGAGTGTTGAAATAGCAACAACACACCAAGATAACTTCATCCTCGATACTGAACTTGGTAAATACAAACCAGATAAACGTCAAACAGTCGAAAAAGATCCTAACAAGGTGTTCAGTAGCTTGCCAGATATTCGATCAGCGTAAGACAAGTTGGAAAAGAGGTTACGTGAAATGCCGCACGAAGATCAGCTTCCTATTGACTCTTTCGTCACAATGACACCATCTACACGTAAAAAGGCACGTAGAAGACGATAGGATTAATTATCATAATCGAGTTACTATTAAATTGCTTTGAAAACGTTATCCGAAGTTAGAAGTATAGTTTCGGGAACCCCGGAAATAGTGTTGCAAAAGGGGGGGGGTTTGCATAAGTGGGGTAAAATGGTTAGGTCGGTGGTCGCCCCACTCCGTAGGCAGGAAACGAAGGCACAAGGAGTAGACAATGTCATAGTGAATTCGGTATTCAACAGACCAATGCATTGCCGACTGCATCAGTGGCGTGACTGATGTCATGAAAACGTCGGCGATTACGCCGTTGCATGAGATATTGTGAGTGGTCGGGTGACATAGCTAACTTAGGGCTGCGATTTTGTTTGATATGCAAGCGGAACGTCTCGTAGCTTTGCGAACTCCTTTGTGGCGGAATTCGACGGGGCTGCCCGTGTTAAAGAACCAGAGATCGGGGCTAGCCGACAGCGGAGTCCAACGGTGGTCAGTAAGCATTCTAAGGTTAGGCGGACCTGCAGCGAATTTCTCGTGCCTGAGAAAGCCTGTGATCACCGACAACATCTTCCGATGTTCCGGATCAAAAGAGGCATTCATACCCTTCCGTCAAGTGCAACACGCCACGCTCGGCAATTTGTCTGCTATAGCATGACAAGGTCCGTCTGGTAATTCAAGCCGTCCCTGACTACGTTTAGTCTAGTCTTATTGGGGCTCGTTCTGCTACTTTTTATTTTAGCGCCGGTCCCAAACCCCAACCACAGCCTTCGTCCCAGCGGGGGTTGCCCATGTATAGTGAGACCCGTTTCTGGGACGAAAAAGATACTAAAACGACCCTGTAATTCTATATGCAGCAGCGAAGAGCCATAGTATATACCGGTACAAACTATATTTCCCTGCCCACGCTCACCTCCTCCACGAAATAGTACTCTAGACAAAGAAATGCAAAATGTCCATGACTAAAACCATGTTGTTGAATTTTAAGTAACATTGCATATGATTATCTTTTCCTGTTTATGGCATGAACACCTGTGGGAACCTTGCTCATTAACCATTATCAATACTTTTTGTTCTGATGTTACATGATCAAAATTGTTTAACACGTGCGCATGTTTGCTGTCGTAGTCGTTCGATATCCTGTTTTTAGTCCGGAGGAATTCGGGACAAGTGGTATCACATCACCCCACACTCCGCACGGATCCGCACACGGTGGAGCAACGGGCCTGGAGCTGATAGTCGAATATGGAACACGCATACATATTTTAAGCCAGCCTTCTTGGAGATGGACTTGAAATATCTATTCAATACGAGCAAAAAGAAAAGGATTTCAGCGACTTAGAATAGTCGAGCCTTACGACAGCTACAAGTTCAAACGAAGCCACCATTCGTGTGACAATTCATTCCACTCGTATATACTCCGACACCTAATACTACTACAACAACTTAATATACCCAATCATGGCCGAAGAGTTGATCTCGGTCCGGCCGCTAGCCAACAGCGCACCTAAATACTTTTATCCCCCACAATACTACTTCACACCTGAGCCGTACCACACGACAGCAATCCCGAAATACCATTACCAAGAGCCTGACCACACACCCAGCGCCCTGGAGAATGTCCGGCACGCCATTGGTCACGCATTTCACTCGATCGAGGAGCTGGGCCACTCTGAGAACGAATACCCGTTACCCCCTCCTCACGCGGATATCCGGGAATCCAGGACTCGCTACTACATCGATGTGGAGCTGCCCGGCGCGCACGACAAGCGCGACATCGTCCTCAAGTGGACGGGTCTCAACACGCTGTACCTGAATGCCACCACCAAGCGGCAGCCCACACCGGAAGATGAGCCCGAGACCGGCGATGCCGTCCCCGCCTCCCCATCAAAATCGCCAGAGCCCAGGCCTGCAGATAGCCAGAAAGAAGGCGTCAACTCCGAGGAAGGAAAGAAGAAAAAGGCAAAGCCGGAAAAGCCGGTGCATTTGGTCAGGCACGAGCGACGCTTCGGCAGGCACGCGCGGGCATTCACTTTCCCCGTCCCGGTTCAGCAGGACGAGATTACGGCGAAGTTGGCGTATGGCGTCCTGAACATCACGGTGCCGAAGGTAGAGGTGGACAAGAATGCGGAGCATAAGCACGTTGATATTGAGCACGCCGGTCATTAACAGTTGGAAAAGTAGTCGTTTTGAGTTTGAGATACACCCCGATATGGGAGTGGAGGTCCATGAAGATATCGAAATAATTAATCATAATGCACAAAAGTTTCATATAGCCACGGTTTTGCATGACCCCTTTCACGTACTAGAAGTAGTTTCAGAACTTCCGGGGAGAGAAGGGGGGAACATTAATCTCGTTACTCGTGCTACAAAACACAGAAGATCAGCGACAGATATCTCAGAATATATGTAAATAACATGAGACGATGTGATAGTTGCAAGAACAATGAGAATATGTTTCAGTCGTTGTCGCAATAGCCAAGGAGGAGACCAACCGGGTTCATGAACTAGTCGTTGCTCTTCTCGAAGGTACGGAGAACGTTTTTTACGTTTATGATACATGCATTTCTACTTAATTAACAGTTTCACATTAAGGAGACTTCAGTAAGCACATAATGCATCAAATCAAAATTATAGGAGCAGTTCAAAGCTTATCAAGGTGCATAAGGTAGTAATGCGGTGTGTATCCTTGTTCATAGCTCCTATCTACGTGCTGAAATTGAAACTCCGAAACTAAAATTCAAATGATCCCATCAACTCGACTTAGTCTTTGGTAACCTTGATTAGTACTGATCCGACGCCACTTCCGGCGCTCCATTGCCGATGAGCATTTTGGATGTCATCCATGTCCCACACCTTCCTGATTGGAACCGTAAGAGTTCCATCCTTAATCATTTCCAGCAACCTTGTGACGTTGGGCACATAAGTAGCTGAGTCGCGCGTGAGCCCGAAGAACGTAGTTCGCTTCCCACAGAATACGTTCAGATTGTGTGCAAACAGCTTCACTATGGGAAGTACGGGATTCCTTGGCTTTCCGTCGACAAGCGAGTCCTTGTTATTCCCGTAGGCGACCAGGAAGCCAGTTGGTGACAGGATCGAATAGCTCTCATCAAAGCTCTCGTAGCCAAGCGGATCAAAGACGGCGTCCGCGCCGCCGAGTTTCTTCATCTCGCCGATCCACTCTTTGTCCGTGTATACGAACGGCGTTGCTCCATGGCGACGAATATCGTCGTGGTTGCGCTGGCTGGCGGTGCCGTAGACCTCGGCGCCTTGCAGCTGGCTGAGGATCGTAATGGCGGTGCCCACGGAGCCGCTCATGCCATGTACAAAAACTCTCTGGCCCCTGGAGACCTTGGCAGTGTTCGTGATCATGTCATACGCCGTGTTCCAGTCGCATGGAAGTGCGGCTGCTTGCTTGTGGTCGACGCCATCTGGGACCTTGATGCAGTACTTCTCGGGCTGGTTGACAAGCTCTGCCTCGGCGTCATACTTGGTCAGAACGGCTACGGCGTCGCCGGGCTTGAAGGCGACACAGCCAGGGCCGTTTGCACGTACGGTCCCTACCAGACAGTATCCCGGTGTGAGTGGTGCCTTCTTTTGAAAAGGGTAAAAGCCCTTTCGCATGTTGACATCCGCGCCGGTGAAACATGCGTATTCCGTTGCGATCTGGATGTGGCCGGGGGAGGAGGTGGGCAAATGTCGTCCACAACCTTCAGAACATCCACATCGCCGAATTCGGGTATCAAGACTTTGCGAATTGCAGTCATTGTGGGGTGGTGTGATGTATGTTGAGTTGGGTTTGATTACTGTGTGGCCAGTGAAAGAAAAGGGACGCGAATTAGATAATGAGGCAGCTTGAGGGACTGTGAGTCTCTGGATGTCCAAGCGGCAAGATGACGATGTGGCAGTTTTATGATAATTCTATGGTGTTGATGGTAATTTGGTGGAGAAGTCGCAAGTGAGGATATCACTAATGGTGGAATGAAGTCACAATGAAATGTTTAATGAACTTCCATATTATAAATTTACGACATACAGATGAGCTTTTAACACATTTCAAACCAATGGAGGCGCTGTCAATGATATGGCCGTGTATGCCTGTCACGGTCGGATAACCGTCCGTCGTCCACTCACTCAACGGGTTCGGTCGAATCCAGGTATCGTCTATGGGCGTTCTCTATTTAGACGGTGTCTCGAAGCAAAGTGGAGGCTCCTTTGGGACCACCGTCTGGCCACGGAGCCAGAGAAGCTCCGCTCGAAATCCGAGCTGAGGCGGCATGAGTATTAGCCCGTCGGTCGGATAATCGTTGTACCAGCGCCGCTAACCTAACCATCTGGTGTTCCCAAGCTGAGCTGCGCCCCTGGTTTGCTTGCGCGGATAAATCAGCAAATCTGCGCAGGGATATTGCACCGGTCAAGCACAATCATTGGGCAGTCGATCCCCTCCATTCGCATTCGTTTCCTTCCCAATTTGCATCCTCTTGTACTACCGGGAGGCTGAGCCAACTGAGCCTCGTTGCAGCCACAAACACCATAGCGCAGTGAAAATATTCAATACAGGGCCATTCGGGTCAATCGATGTCAACTCTAACCATCCACGGTCAAATGATCTACACGAATGAGACGCCTTCTATCGCTAGCTGCTTGAGCGTGTACATCTATCTCGTAACACCGCTGAAACCAATCTCCAATGCACAGGTAGCGCCTACAGGGGGGCCCATCTCTAGACACAGAACTAATGCTCAATCCCGCCTTCGAGGCAATATCTTCAAATGTATGCGCATTGCGTCGCTTCCCGGCGAAATTCAGTATCCAAATGTCCAATGCCGCAATATCGAGTGATGGCTTATCGGGAAGGAGTTGCTCAGACACGAGGACTCCCGAGTCGCGAGCGCATGCCGCCCGGACGTGGCTGAGGATCTTGACACAATCCTCCTCGGGCCAGTCGTTGAGCACACGGCGAATAAAGTATACAGGAGCGCCTGCGACGATCTAACCGTCAGCTCATTCGTCCGGTTGATAGATACGATCACGCATGAAAGGAGACAGCATCACCTTTGGTGGGCCGCGTGTCGAAGAAACTCGATGCAACCTTTTTGACCAGATTTGTGTTATTCTAGGAACACCATAGTACCCAAGCTGATAAACGAGGCCATGTTGTTTGAGGCCTGGTAGCGATAGTTGCTGACGACTCAGTGCTGGGCTGGGTTCAGGATCCTCTGGGATTGTCCCAGCACATCCAGCTCCGATGCGCAACGGAAGGGTAAACAGAAGAAAGAGCTATTTAATGCTCAGCAAGTTGTTCAGGGCTGGTAGCAAACATCTACGCTCACCTGTATTGAACCTATCCATGATATTGCACTCATACTCGACCCTTTGAGAATCTCTTCTTGGTAGTAAGTTTGGAATGTGCCATAAGAGTCAAGCAAACCTGAGCACAGAGTGTTAGTACGCATCTGGAGGTGTCTGTTACACAACAGCTAGTGTTTCATACCAAATGTTGCGCAGTACGTGATGAACCCGCCAAAAAGCACTGTCCACGCCTCTATCCCGCCATCTGAAGCTCCAGGGATGGTCTTGCTCGGCCTTGTCTTGTTATCGATGAGAACTACCTCTAGAGTTCCTAGCAATGATGAAGACGATAGCCAGTCGTTCATGTTACGAGACGGCGCATTGTTCGCCGGAGGACGAGAGGGAAGTGGGATGCCGCTGTGCATGGCAAAGTTAAGTCCATGATGGACTGCGAAAGAAGTGAAGCGGTTGATGTCGTTTGATTTCCGCAAGGATTCAGCATCTACCAACAAGGAAAAAAGGTTCATGGACCGTAAAAAGAGATAATGGCTGCCGAGTCGCCTTGCTGTATTTCTAGGTTGATTGTTATCAACACCCTGTAAGGTCTGATAAACTTTGTAATCGTATTAGAGTCCGACGGGAGAACTATTGAACCATGATCACCAGTGTTCGGGCCCAAGCTCGCATCCCGACCGTTCCACTTTGACTAAGCTTTTGCATCTTGTAGTACTTTCCTTTCGGCGCAGGACGTCATCGTTATGTGGGAGAGAATATGGCCAATGTAGTGGCTTCACATGCATTTGAAGTTTTGTTCACGAATTACAACATAGCTTGGGCAAATAAAGAACCCCGAGCAGCAGTCACCAACCTGGACTTCGGGAGACTTGGAACGCCGTGGCTCAAGGGTGATGCCCGAGTTAGATAAACAAAGAAAACGGTGTGAATAAAATTGACAAGCACATCCTAAATGGCCGTGAGGCAAGCTAATCTCCAAATCTCTGATCAGGTGTTGAAGAATTTCAAAACGGAAGTAGCAACAATGAATATAGACTCTATGTTATGTATGATGCATTATGTCTCTTCCTATCCCCTTCTCATTAGTGCCGTTTCTGCAATATATTGTATAATGGGTTAAGAGGCAAAGGTAAAAGAACGAGTTTATGCTACAATATCAGCTTCCAAATCTTTATCATTAGTCTAAAAAAGGGCTGTATCAGTGAGAAAGGAACGCAATTTGATTTGTGTAGGTGTGTGAAGTTTACCTGTATATTATCCTGTCTAACTACCCCTCGTAATAGTCTAGTACAGTCCTGGCTCCAAATAATTCTGAACAATGTTGTAGCTGCGATGATTTAACCGTGGTACAAGACTAATCGTCGGTGGTATATTCTTATTTATTCATCATCCATTTGCGGAGCGCCATATTTGGCGCCATGAGCAACGAAAATAAGAACGTTGACGCCGATCCAGAGCACCATCGACCAAGAAGTCCTGAGGTAACTTTACAAAAATTCGGACCTAAGCATTCGACTAGAAGATTTCTAGCTCAAGAAGTGATCGAAAACTGGGTAAGAGTTCTGAATCAGGACTTCATTAATGCTTGAGAAGCGATTGTTCCAATAAATGAGTGTAAGCTGACGATAACATCAATATTCTTATAGAACAATCCGGAATTTGGCAGCACGTCACGCATATGCAAGTATATTTTTGTAAACAAGACATCATCACGGCCGAAGATGAGCTCACATCCTTGTTCCCATCGACAAAAGACGACTTCGGCTACTTCAACACGCGCTGGGTAGCGAGAATCTGCTTTATCAGGCTGCGTCGTGAGGCTTCCCAGTGACAGTAATACGAGCGTCGGTCATCGACACATTGTTGTCCTCGCAAAATGCCGGGTCAAACTCCAACCTGGATGACTTCGCATCCGTATGATTCTGAGTATGGTTGAGACGGGTGTTGTGCTCCGGCTCGAATCCTCGTCGCAGCCTTCTTTCGACGTCGGCGTGGTGCCCGTAGAGTACCTGGCTGCTTCCTTCGTCTCATTGACGACCAATGCTACCGTAGATTCTTGTCGAGACAAAGCGCAGATCTATCATATAGGATATCCTCAGCTGCTCAAGCAGAGAGATCTCCCCAGCATAATTGACAAACTTTGGCCTAAGCTCGGAATGGTTAAAAATATTTCAATGAGAAGTTGGCTAAGGACAATGGAAGGGACGGGGGAGGAGTCAAGGATTCTGCGGCTGCGGCATTTACTCAAGGAGTACCTTCCCCGTGGCAATGTGATGTTCTCGCTTGATGAAAGTAAGACTGGGCAAGTCTGTGTGAGACACTACCTTATCTGCAGCAGGGCAGCCCGAGTATCGACGTATAATTGTTGAAGATTATGTGGAGGTCTTTTATTGGGAATAAATGAGAGTAGGCATATGTCGAACAACAGATTATTGCCTTGAAGTTTATTCGCGAGAGCATTTTCCTCTTAGACTTGATCGTGAACTATGTAATAGTATATAGGTGAAAATAATCAAAGTTCGTTGGAGTATCTCACCATCGTCGTCAATTGTCGTAAGATGTCGTAAGCTTCCAAGAAGACACCCCGCTTCGTGTCCGGTGGTGCTATTGCAGGCTGCTGGCCAGCCATAACTACCGCTGAAGCTGTTTCCTCGATTTCGATTGCCATGTAAACGCTGTTCCCGAACTCAGAATCCCACTTAGCAGATTAAATGGCCCAGTAATAGCTCGGTACTGACCGGCGTACCCGCAAGGTTATGTGCATGGCCGACATCATTTATTCGCGACTGAAATTTAATACCACCTTTTGTCAACTTTTTAAGTATATAGACAAGATGCAACTGCCCGTGGCCCGCTATAGGATATTCTCCATTGATTCTAGAACATTCGGAATAAATCTTGGAAAGTATCAGGGAAACAAGGCACGAAGTTAAAAAAGGTAACCCCCATTTGGAGCCCAGATACGCTTCTTCTTTTCTTCCATCGGCAATACTCTAAATTTAGTTTAAGGTTACCGATGAGCAACACATATTTCGTTGCATCGTATTTACAGCATACGACGTCACAATTCCGATATGCTCTCAAAATGCCATGAGCATAGCTATTCGTTTGGGGGTGGCGTTGCGTTTGCGTTTAGCCAAGCTGCGGCAAATCCTAATGGACCATCTCATCACACCCTAACATTTTAAACCATGAGTCACGTATCACACGGTTCAAAGAGTGATATGTAAAGACCGCTTTTTCATCATATTCAAAATGAGTGCTCTTAATCTAATCTACGAATTGCTATTCATGATCGACAGATTAGATTTGGGACTTCCAAAATTGAGTTTTAACACATCATTCTGACGTCAACCTAACATTCCGCGGATTCCTCAAGTTGAATACAGATGTTTAATGCCTCTCAATCATCTAAAAATCGGCTCTACTACGTATAGCTTCTCGATAGGACGGCCCGACGCGTTGATAGTCTCCAGCTAACACAAAATTGTGCACAAGCTGGGTCAGATGGAACTCAATCGATCAGAAGGCTTTTACATACAAGCCTGGGCTGAGTAATCGTCAAGCTTCAACTAAACCTAAGTATCTAGATTAAGAGTAAAGTTATTTCATTATAATGAGGTCTAGATGTGTTTATACCAAACGGCTTCGGCAAGCAGAATCACCGAGTATCGATAACGATGGGAAGGGATGTGTATATAAGGTGTCAAGTTATCCAGAAAACCTCACTGTCTCAACTCTCCAGCCACATCATTCAACATCTTGCCTACTCCGACGTATTTTCCTCAGCATAATCAGTCAAAGATGAAAGCATCAATCGCCCTCCTTTCACTGCCCTGGGCCGTCACCGCCTCCGCTGTCATTGCTAGAAATGATCATCACTTGGGAATTAGGCAGGCAACTGTGCCGAATCCCTGCACAGGAAGTCCAGATGGGTTTCTTGTCCAGGTGTGCTGCCAGACCGGTCTTGTGGGCTGTGTGCATATAGATGCATGCAGTGTGGGATCCATTATCTGGTGCTGTAATGTGGTAAGTTTGAGCGGATTTTTCCTGCATTCCAATTCATCCTTTACGTGGGTGGGAGGCTGACAGATTCATCTCTTAGATCAACGTTACAGCACCATCTTGTAGGGCTGCAGCGTCTTCGACAGCCACAAGTACAGCCTCCGCGGTATCGACTGCAACATCAGCTACGACAACTGCGGTAACATCGACTGCAACATCAGCTACGACAACTGCGGTGACATCGACTGCAACATCAGCTACGACAACTGCGGTAACATCGACTGCAACATCAGCTACGACAACTGCGGTGACATCGACTGCAACATCAGCTACAACAGCCTGAGCTTTACTGCGGTCCCATCTCAAGCCACGATATGCAACAACTGATGGACAAGTTTCTCGACCTTCCTTGTAAATACACTCACGAAATGTCCGAAGTGACACGCATGCAGTAGACAATATGGACCGACCAAGGTGCCGAAATCGGTACAAAGGCTTCAATCGTTTGGCAATTTGAACATTTCACGGTTATAGATAGACGTTATATCTAGCAAGTACTTATAAATATACATATATAGTGGAGTGGTTCGTATGGTTGCCATGCTGCAACAATTCCCACCAATTGGAATTTACTGTGACATTGACCATTTTCATGTTGGAGCGGCAACTCGGCCCATTACTATGTATTAAATCAGCCATGCAGATCTAATGCGATCTATTGAAGAGGCAAACGTTATGTTACTTTCCTTGGACTGTTACAAGCAACAACCGACCTCTGTTCGAATTATAATTTGTTCGTTGTAGATCTTGATTGTTCCGATAAGCGAGCATTGGCGCTACACCTTGGCGCCGAATCTAATAGCTCTTTGCATGCCCGATCAGCACATGCAATAAAAGCGCGCTAGAAACTCTGCTATAATGACGTTGTACTCAAGCGGTGGCGTCTAATATTATGCCATTTTAGTCATTCACACTTAGAAATTTCCTATTTGATAATAAGTTAAAGTTTCTCGTGGATTGACGCCTCGGAAAAGCTGTTTAGTTATATCTTGCGGTTCAGGTTTATCATCAGAATGTTGTAAGGTATTCTATACTATGCGAGCGAAGAGCATTCGATGTACCTGTATTTTTTATATCTCCACCGGGCCCAGGTTGTCATTGGTGATAGCAACGGGTTGCAGCTCAACATCTTGCGTCGAGTATTGGCTGAAGGGCAAATATGCAGAGACCGCGGCTAATGGTACCGCCAGGATTATTGAGAGAGTACACCCAAGCACAACATAGCCTTTGTCTAGGTCCCGATCATCTTAATCAATCGGCGATTAATGGTTTTGTTAGTCTAGACTAGGCTTTTATTTCATGGCACGACGACAAATAGGGCACTTTTTACCTCAAATGCAGGAGAATGAGTTTTGCTACAGCCCCACAGGTTGCAAATGCCATGTGTCGCGGACACTGCATGGTACAGTGACAGTGACAGTGATAAACACTACTGCGGATGGATTGTAACAAGATCGGGTTTGAGCAATTGCGATAGAATGAGGCGCTAGGGTATCTCTCATTGTGATTACTACCTAACAAAAGATGGGGCATGCACGAGCGGGCGTCCGATAAACCTAAATTTGAGTATTGGCGCCCGTAACGTTAAACCTTATTTTAAGTTATCCATATACCGAGACCGACAAGGCATAAATTGTGGCATGAGTAGCAGAGAATATCCTCAAGAACATGAGCTACGACCGGCGGTTGTAAGACCTGCGAGGGGGTATATATGTTACGAGAAGCAAGCGGAGTCGATTTCAGCGGCATAGCCTCCGTGTAAACAAGCGAATAAACTCTACTGGACAAGACGATATAAGAATTGTGATTTAAATCGGAGCAACTAAAGCGAACGTGGCGTGTAGTATTGTGATTAGCTAAACACTAAGAGATATAGGCCTTGTAGCGGGGATATATACACAGTAGGTATCTATACTATCCATGTTATTACACCACGATCCTAATCTTGACTAGTTAGGTTTTGACAAATTTTGTTAGGTTCCGCTTCGCCTGGATAGCCATCTTCTGAGGGGTTGTAGTTCATATATACTTGATGGAGAACTAGATCCCTCAGATCAAAATCAACCATTATGGATAGAAAGGAATCCGAGAATTGCATATCATTGCAATAGTATTCAAGTGAATATAATTCCATTCTTGAAAAATCTGATTTTTTGACTACAAACGTAAAGAGACAGGACGCCAGACTTTCGCTAAGCTTCGCTCCCACTGAAGTTAGTATATCTGCGTTAAAGAATTGGTAGAAGTCCCCCAACCTTTATCCCAATGAGACCGAATAGCCATGGATACATCCACCACTAACTGAACGAACTATTCACTTTGTCAATTAACGAGGATACGAATGAGAGAAATGTAATTAGGCCAATTTCTTACAGGATATATGCAAGTACAAAGCAGACGCGCAGAGGTTAATCCTAGTAATGTACACCACTCAAAAATTGGCGAATTAATTCATGCAGCCATCCTTGTCACGATATTGAGAAGTTCAAGGATGAAATTTAGTAAAACTTTGCCAGTGACTACGGCAGGTCTACCGAGTTCCGAAGCTTGATATAACCATGCTCAGGTGCTTAATTCAGTTAGGAAGCGGATATGCTACAGTAAGAAAATGCTGCGGTATTCGTTAAGTCGATTCGAAACAAGTCAAAATGACATGGTTTCACTTTTACGCTTGCAATTCGCATATTCATACTTGTTGGATATTCAAGTAGCCCGACTGCCCATACCACTTTGAACTTCTGAGTCGGAGACGGCACACTTGGCCGGCCGTTGAATTTGGATGTTAAAACGCAAGCAGATATGGGAAATGTTGATGGTGGCCGCGGGCCAGCACCCGTAGATCTACCGTATAATAAGTTCCGTGAGTCACACAGGAAGTCACGCACTGGTGGAAGTTACTGTAGGCAATGGTGGTTTTAAGTAAAATTTCCTCAATCTCAGTCTCTATTGCTTATCGTCGCCGAGATGGGTCTTGAAGTGGCATAGTGGCAATTACCTCGCGGTATTCGCATAGTAGTCCAGGCTATTGGTTTTCGTAGGATACTTTCCATAACTGTGAATGGAGCTGGACCGAAGCCACCCACCCACGCCACCTGAGACGCAGAACAAGTAAAATTTTGGCGAAAAAAAACATATCATGATTGACCATGGATTGAGAGTATCATCTCAATTACCTTTATCCATTGGTCAATCAAGCTCCAGAAACACGCAAAGGGGGATATCCGAAAACGACTGGCATGCCGCAGTGGTGTTTCCAATACATATTTGGAACGAACGCAGACCCAAGTCCGTTGCGGAAGCAAGTTCCATACGATCATGGCCCAGCTCTATATCCATGATGATGAGTACGTGGACATGGTGATGTAGAACGAGCCCAGCGTGCCAGTAATCTTAGCCCATTTCGTTGTTCTGCTTCAGACTCTGGAGTCAGTCTGGTTCTTGAGAGGATGGGCATCACATATATTACAAGGCGTCTCTGATATTCTAACACCCTCATCACAAGCGGATCGGGTACTTTGGCCTACAGCACAATAGCAAAATGGGTGAGATACATTCAAAAGGTAGAAAACAAGAACAATGAGCGCAATGGTTATATATTGCGGAGTCTCGACTCACATTCGTGATAAAGGACAGGTAGACTCCGTTTACAAGCTCCACCTAGACTTCCACTGGTCATCCTCCTACTCTTACGTCCCACCGCAGAACCTCAATGTCGTCAGTGTCATCGTCATCTTCCACCCAAATGGTATCCATCTTCCGGAGTGGCATAGGCGATTCCGTGGTTAGGTCCACAGTGCTTCTGTGCTGCCACCCGGTTGTCTGACTTGGGTCAATACAGAAAGGGGCATTGATTTCTATCATGTCGGCCGCACTGTAAGCACTACTACTCTTTCTCCGCTTGACCCTCTCGCCTATGATCTCGACATCATCATCCACGTAGTTATCTACGATGTCGTATTCTCCCTCCTCTTCATACATGCTCTGGTTCTCCACAGCCCTTGCCCTGTCTTCGTTTTCCAGCCAGTTCAGCAAGTGGCCGTAAAGTACACGGACGACGCACGGTGGGAACGCGTTGCCGATCTGTCTCTTGATGTTTTTGCCATGAAATTGGTATGTTGCTGGGAAGCCGTTCATCGTGGCAAACTCACGCAAGGTAAAATCTCGTTGGGCCTTGTAGTGGTAATTTCCGAAGCCGCCATGAGTGGTGATGCAGCGCGAAAGTGGGACGTTCGGGTCCCAGGGTGATCTTATCCAATACCTCCGCCTCTTTTTTTGCAAAGTGGCGCTAGGAGGAATCTTCTTCATCGCATCCAGAACCGTGGTAAGAGGTCTGAGGCCGCTATTGGGGGGAGGATGTCTGGCGTGCGTGTTCAGTGGAAATGTGGGAAGACTTTCTCCAGGGCATGCGCCAATCATAATGAGTCTGTTTCGCCGTGACGGCAGGCCCCACTCTAGAAAGTTGACGACCTTCCATCGAACGGAATAGCTGTACTGTGTGAAGCCGTGGATCAAGGCATTGAAATAGTGCTCGAAGCGAGGATCGAGTATTCCAAAGGTCTGCTCCAGGGTGAAGATTCGAGGTCGCAACTTCTTGATGAGCTCAAAACACGAGAACAATACTGCGATGTTGGCTTCATCATTTTTCCCAGCGACCGTGTGAGCAGGCGACCAGAACTGACAGGGTGGTGAGAGGTGCAAAACATCAACATAGTCCCTTTTGCCTCTCCAGTCTACGTCTTCCTTAATGAAATTCCAGATATCTTCTTTGCGGAGATCTGCCGCTGGAAAATTGGTTTTATGGGTTTCGCAAGCGTGCTCGTCCATGTCGCATGCAACTCGAATATGGAATCCAGCCTGTTGCGCACCGAGAGAAGTGCCCCAGCGCCACAGAACATATCACCCATGGTATATCGCTGACCCGCTTGCTTTTTGATCCATATTCGATCAGTATCAAGTTCCGTTTCCAAGTCCTCAATGGCCTCTATACCTTGTCTGGTGTTCCTATTGTATGAGCCTCCTCGCACTTTACTTCCACGCCAAGCATTCAGACGGGCTGCATCCTGGACTCGCGTAGAAACTGTGGATATCTCGTCGGCCCGGAGATGCGCAAGAACGAATTCGAAAGGGGGCCTTTTGATTTTCCTGGCAGCCGAGCTTTGGTACACGAGTCTGTACTTCCACCGACACGCGAGCATACCGTCACGTTCAATCTCCTCGATCGTTGCATTAACATTGGTGAACCTGTGCTGCGGGAATTCAGTATTGGTGCAGCGAAACTTGCGTGCTCGGACGACATCAGCTATTGGTACTTCAACAGCTCCTTGAATTTCGTCTACACGAGTATCGTCTGCATCAACGCGAAGTACCAGACAAATTTCGTTCCGGAATCGAGGCAGCTGGCCTCGAAGAAACCGGGTGCGCGTGTATGGCAAGCCTCGAAGCACTACACCACTTTCTGTCTGAATTATGAGCTGTATCTCTAGGAATGAAGCATGATACAAGTCCTTGATCGGGTTTACCTCGACCACCATACCAGGTTTGAGTACGAGTCCATCAGTGTCTCGCCCGTATGAGGCCCATATGTCGTAGTGATCGATAGGTGCATTCCGTAAGGGAGGACGGTTGCCGTGTGTGTCTGGTGTAATCTGCATTGGCCCGTCGCCGGTAAGGTCAATGACAGTGGCAATACCTGGTTGCAGTGCCTTCTCTGCTTCCTCTTCACTAACTTTAGGCGACTCCTCCTTGACGATTGATGATACGTCGTGGCCATTGTTGTCCTGCCCGCACTCATAGAGAACTGGGAGGAGATGGCGGAAAGTAAATCGCTTCTCAAGAGAAGCTTGTTTTGCGTCAACTGGCAGCTCTTCGTCTGGTATGGTCTCTGATGGACGCTTAGATGTCCGCGAGTCATCCATTTCTCAGCATTCGAGTCAATTAGTCACAAGTTTCGTTTCTAATTACAGGTGTTTCTTCGATCTGGGAGATGGAATGCTCGCCAAATTTTCTCAAATTATATGCATCAAAATCCGGTCTCAATATTGGCATTCCAGTCCGTGCAGCTTGAATCCAACAAGGCATCTAAGCTATTACATGTTGTGCATAATCCATCAAAGAGGAGAACGGGCCTTTGCCCTTCATTGCCTATACCCTACAAAGAGAAAAGTAAAACTGACCAAAGACATGGTGAACCAGAGCCAGGCTCCATGACAAACCCTTGTTTAGTGGGATTGTTGTGTACCAAATGCGATGGCACGTCTTGGAAAATATTGAAAGTGGAATCATTCAAGCTCGAAAAGCTATGGATTTCCTTCTTCGACCATGCTGTCCAATAGCTCGTGGAAACAGAGTACGTCTTTGAGATCATACCAGTTGTGAGATTGTAACATATTGAACCGCTTCGTGAATATCAATTAAGTGATGGAGATCCTTAGTCAGATCAACCATATCATTTCCTCGTTTGTAAAATATTGGTTCGAGCATTGGCAACGACTATTGCGCACAATGAAGGTTTCAGAACGCGTGTTTGGGCGTGTTGGTCAACTGCTTTGGTGTCTCATCCAGCAGTGCAGTTTATAAGAAGTCCTGGGACGCGGAAGACATGATCCGCACTGCATGAGGAAGCACGAATGGCGTTGGCCTGATCTCGAACGGAAGGAGACAAAGACGGGGGTAGAATTGATGATGGTTGATTCAGCGTCTGCAGCGTTTGCTTAATAGTGCCAAGCTTATGGGCCTGGGCCCCCAATTCCACTGCCGACCACTAACGCATGGCCTGCAGCAGCGATAAGCCTCTTGGCGGCCGTGATGTGGCCCCGCGAGTGCGACCCAAGAAAGACTTGGCTCTCGGGACGATCTCTTAGCAAGGCAGTTGGTAAGACTTACCCAAGATGATTGAAGAAGGCCGTTTTGCTAGTATCGCATCGAACGCGCTTGGCGGATTCGTGATGGTCATTGCCGTTGGAAATCGCCTCGAGCCATGGAAGTCACCGACTGCACTGTAAGGGGGGTCTTTTGATCTTCAAATAGGCGGTTCCTGCTCCCATTATCGCAGTGCAATAAGGTCCTCAAGGTGCACAGCTCAACCTGACAAATAATCCAGCTACCATGGTTCACATCCAGACTCTTGCGCTCCTCGGAGCTGTTGCTCTCAATGTCTCCACCGTTCTCGGTGCTGTCCCTTCGGCGTCGTTTCCGAGCAAGCGTGCTGAAGGGCTCCGGCTTGTCAAAGCATCGGATGAAGACCCTGGTACGTGGATGACAGAAGAGGAGAAGTACGAGAAGTTCACCTCCAAGCGTTTGGGATTTGTCGATATCACGGACACTATGGTATGGTGCTCGAACCCTGGTCCCAACACCGTTTCTAACATGTTTTATAGGAACTTGAGTCAATCCGTATCGATAGACTTGCCAACGACTTTCAAGTGCAGGCCGTCACTTATCCTTCGGCTCCAAGCCATCAGACAGAAGCCAAAGCTCTGATTGCAAACGTGCAACAAACCACATTGACATCGTGGCTCAACAGCCTGGCAGGCTTCTACAACCGATACTACAAGGGTTCGTACGCCGCTACCAGCTCAGCATGGATGTACAGCACCGTCGTCGATATTGCAGCCGCCAACCCAGCCATCACCGTCAAACAGGTCACTCACTCGTACAACCAGCCTAGCGTCATTGCTTCCATTCCTGGCAACTCGACTGAAGTAATCGTTGTTTCGGCTCATTATGACAGTATTGGCAGCCCAGCCAACGGCCGAGCCCCCGGTGCTGACGACAACGCATCAGGAATCATTGTCATTCTTGAGGCTCTCCGGATCTTTGCCAATGCCAAGTACAAGGGCGGTAACACTCTAGAGTTCCACTTCTATTCCGGTAAGTACTATTAAGCGAATCTCAGTCGGTATGGTGCTGATATAGTTCTAGGGGAGGAGGGTGGCTGCCTTGGCTCTCGTGATGTCATGCAATCTTACAAGACAGCTGGGAAGCAAGTCCTTGCGGTCATGAACCAGGACATGACAGGCTATTCTCCCAACAACGTCATCGCCATCTACACAGACTATGTTGACACCGCTCTTACTAATTTCTTGAAGAAGCTCGTCCCTGTGTACAGTGATTTGCCCTTGGCCACGGACACTTGCGGCTACGCCTGCAGCGACCAGTAAGTTTGACGTCAGCCCTTCTTTCTGGGCTGCGCAACTGACATTATACAGCGCTTCCGCTAGAGATGCTGGGTACCCGGCTGCGTATGTCTGCGACGAGAACATGGAAGACTCCAGTCCATACATCCACTCCTCCCAGGATACTGTCGCAACAGTATCCATTCCGCATGTGTTCCAGCATGCAAAGGTAAGTTTTCGTAATCGAGCTGGCAATCATATACTGAGGCGAAACTAATTTTGACGTCAGTTCACTGTCGGGTTCCTAGTCGAGGCCTCGTATTTCTAAACTTCAAACCTGTTCATATTGCTGTATATATGATGGTATCCATAGCTTGTAGGAATAATAAAGAAAAGCTGCTAGCCTAACCGCATACTCGTGTAAATCTAAGTCACTCTTATATGTCAGATGACTGTCCTTGCAGGGTACCTGTAGGTATCATTCAGATTATAATCATCAACAGGCGGCCAGCACCGCTCAAGTGGTGAAGCCAACCTTTAGCGCTAAAGGCACAGCGTGCGGGGCGCTAACTTGTCATCACGGGCAGCCTCAAAAACGAAACTTTGAGACGCATCAGCCACCTGCAAAGAATTATCCGGTCTCGTATCTTTTTCATCTGTTTGTTCTGCCCATGAAACCTCAGCAGCCCTTCTAGCTTGAAATGAATAAACCTCCAAGATGTCAATGATATCATTCAAGGAAATGAGTTGAGTGAGCAGTCGACGGCCCAGGGCACGGATCGCCGCGTATTGGCGCTTCGACAGGGCCACCACCGTCGCTCGGGGTCTCTTCTCTCCCTCTACTAAAAAAGAACTCCATCGTTCTCAGCCGTGCAGTCATCACTTTCTCATTGAACAAATCATTCCTATGCGGTCAACCGTGTTTATTACTATGTAAGTAGTTCAACGGAGCCGTGTCGTGAGTAAGGAATGTGTGTCAAAGCTCACCGGCTGCGTCGGAACCAAACTCAATAGCCAACAATCACCTGCCGCCATGCATCCAAGTCTCGAAACATAAAAATACGCAATTATCTTGCATTTCGTGGGTCGATAGGCCGGCAACCCCGGAACAGTTCAAAAGAGAAACCAAAACAAAAAGGAAACGAAAAGTCGGGCCAATGACTTCTTTCCAGCAGACCATAAAAATCCTCAGATTTGAGGACCCCCTTCCTTCCGTTTGATTGTATGCCCACATAAGCCGACTTTTGGCTTTTGTCTCTAGGGCTTTGTTAGGGCGGGATGAGCCGGGGGGTCCTTCCAATTAAGGACTATATTATTATATCCATCTAGAGCGTATTCAAGACGTAGGACAAGTCGTCGAGGAATGTGGCGCCGCCGAGGCCGGGGAACTTGCTGCTGTCGGTGAAGGAGGTGGCGAAGCGGATGGAGTCAATGTTCCGGAAGGTGGGTCCGAGGGTAATGGTGGCCAGGGGCGAGTTGAGGCGGTTGGCCGGGGTGAAGCGGAGGGTCTGGCCGGCGACGCGGACGCTGTTTCGGTAGGCGGCGATGGTGATGTCGCAGTTGGCCGCCAGGTTGCCGATGATGCACCCATAGCTTAGAGACGTCAGGTCGAACGTCGTCAACAGCGACCCGCTGAACTTGGATGTGATGTACGGGTAGTCGTCGCTCAGACGGTCCAGGTTCCCGTACACCGCCGCGTTGGACTTGGACCGGAGCGTCAGCGCCTGAAGCTGTCCGAAGCTGTCGTAGATCTGGGCCACGCCTGTGATACAAAAATAAGGATATCAGTATTGACCTTTACAGAGAGCGGTAGGAAAGAAAAATTATCCAAGGTGAAAACCACAGAGAGAGAAAGAGACAGAAGTGGGACAAGAGGGACAAAAGAAAGGGCGAGGACAGTAATATCGTACCAATCCCCTTGTAAAAAAGACCACTGGAAGAGCCGAGCTGCTTGTTGACGAGATTCAGTCTCTGGGCGGTCGTGTTGTCAAAGTTGTTGAGGGTGACCACGCTGGCACGTTTCTCAACTTCAGGGACGACCGAGGCGAGCGCACCAACGGCGAAGGCGAATACCGCGGAGAACTTCATCGTGGTTATTAAAAGTTTTCAGTGCTTGAGAGTAAGGTTTTGGGCTATCGGTATTAGAGGTCAGTAGAGATGGGGAAGTAATTGGGTATAATCAGAGACCGAAAGAAGCTGGATGTTGTTGGATAATCGGAAATCAAAACTCGATCATGGAGGGAATCGCTTGCGGGTATTAATAGACGATCGAACTTGAATGCGAGGATCTCAGTCTCACGACAGCTTGCGAACCAGTTTTCATTGGCACGTATCTTTTGTTTAGGGTATGGAATTAAGTTTCAAGAATGCTCACATGCTGTCTACACATTTCGGACATCTTTGGCTCAAAGATTAGGCAATCATTGCTTAGATCGCATCTTGAGATTTCCTGACATATTTCAGCCTGCTGGGTGAGTAGATTCTACTCCCACATTCTCAGCCTTCCTTGACGACTTTGGTCGTCATTGGCCAGTAGGGCTGACGCGCCTTTGCGGCCGAGTACGATTGGCTGTGCTAGTCGAACTCTGTAAAACAACAGATAGTCGTTGATGAGTTTGATGCATACCCCCAAATCTAGTTTCCCGGCTTGGCTCAAAGCAGATACCATGTTTTATTTGGTTGTCCTTTTTCTTCTCAGCTTAGTAGCCACTTGGCGGCAACGCTCTGGGGGAGGCGCTGCCAAGCCTAATCCCGTTGCGGCACGCTGAGTCACCAGGCAAACGATATGTTTCCAGTACTCGATAAGGTTCAGTAGTACCAGTGTGGTGCGGGATGGCAGTGGATTTGATCCGTTGTCGTGTCTTATGGCAAGGCTGGTACGTGAAAGACGACTATGACGACGACAGGTGTCGTGATTGACAACAAAGGTGCTCCACGGTCTGGAAGGATCACTCCGTAGTTCGTATGTACTAAATAAGCATAATAGCGATATATAAGCGATTACGCCACTCTTAACTCGTGGACTATGCCCAATTCTTAATTTTGCACAATTCTATCTCTCAAATTTTGTCATATTATGGCCTGACAACTCGGCAAAACTCTGCCCGACCTATAGCCACGAGTAAATTGAAACACCATCTTGACTAGGCCTGTTCACCGCTTTATCAAAGAATCAAGACCTGGGTTTCTGCTGTTTCCAAAGAAGAAACAATTGCCTCAAGACCGCTATGTACGAGCCTGGTATGAGACAGACCTCTACGGCGGTAGGCCGATCTCCAGCATAATCAGAAACACACTGCCTAGAAAATTCACTTCAAATTCAAGTTCAACGCCAAACGCCACGCCACGCTACCCACCTATTTCCATCTTCCCAGCCGGCTATGTATCATGATATGCACATAAACACGAATCAAATAGGTCGTGGTGATCGTCGTTGTTGGCCGAGACAGATCTTCAAAAATTACTACCAGTTTATGATGAGCTTCCGTACCTTTCTAAATTCTGACCATATAGACAAAGTTAACTTGCAAGATAAAGCGCTGTGGACGGCCAATTGGAGGCCAACTCGTTCAAAGATGATAGCCAAATCTGTAGAAATCCTCGCATAAGTGGTTGCGTGCTAACTTGTCATGAATCAAAGCGGGAGTATAACGCCAACCGGAAACTCGAAGTTCCGGCAAGTGATGCCGCGGTCTGCCCCAATGTCGACACGTGACCGCCACATCTCTGCTTGGAGAAAGAACAACTGATTCGCTTCCAGAAATTCTCTCGGAAGTTTAGTTGCCGTGGAGTCGTGTTATTTATGATTTCAAACATCAACGAAACCTAAATACTCCACAAAAACACTTCGAGAGGCGTTAGGGTCAAGTCAAAATATGCACGACGGTATAAGAATGACCAGAAGCGGGCGAGACACCAGTAGCTCAAAAACCCATGCGACAAGTCATTCGAAAGTATTGTTTCGCAGGAGCTATCTTGACAAGGCATGTCGCCGAAGAAATATTGAGATGCGATCAAGGTAGCAGCCAGAGTTTTAACCTGACACGCAGTTATAATCTTTCCTGATTTCCCTCAGAGAAATGAAATCTGGATTATCTACTTGGTATGAGTCGACAGCAGCTTCAAGACAGGGCTGACAGATGTCAAACCCACAGTACTTTAATGAGAAAAGACATTGAACCGCGTAGTGTGGTCTTGCAAGGCAAGCCCGTCCCTGGAAACGCACGTGCGAGGAAAGATATTCTGGGCCGCGACCCAACGGCTTTAATTTTCAGCATCTTTATCTTTGCATAACAGGTCGATATTTGTCTTAAAGAAACCTAAGAGGTATCTGTTATTAATGATAAGCATCACTGGCACTTCACAGAATCAGGACTTTGAGAGCTGACTCTATGTACAGAGAGGCTGGAAGCAGCCCTTCGAGGTATGTATGCAGTTCCATCTGACCGTTATGAAGTGATATGTTGACGTTCAAGGAAGACTGGTAACATGCCCTACAAGGAGACTGTTGCTCCCATCAAGGTGTTCTTGAAAGTTGTCCCCAAAGGTGAGTCACTGCGTTTAAGAAAGATGTAAAAGAAATATAAATCAAAACCATCAAGCTGACAAGAAGAGAGCACTCTGTCTCGTTCGCATTCTGACTGCGCCATGAGTAGTCCTGTATAGCTGGATCCGCCGCACATTCGCAGTATTCTCAATATCATGACGCTCGCGACGATTGTAGTGGTAAGTTGATACCGAAAATTCTCTCCAGCATCGCATTGTCTGAAGAAAGGCCGCACCGGTAAAGAACATGCTGGTGCCTGCCTGCCTGCCTGCCTGCCTGCCGGGACAAGTGATTGAAGAATGTAAGAGACACTACAACTGCGAGTTCTGAGTTCTCGTGTACCGTGGCCAGTAGCAGCCCCTCATATATGCGTCCGGCGGGCAGAGGTGGAAAGCTACCTCAACCTGCCCTGAACCAATCTTTTCGAGTTCAATAGTTCCGGTCCGTCTACTCGACTCAACGGTCAACTCGCCGAACTTCACCAATATCATCAAGGCTTGGCTGCAATCACACACATGGTGAAAAATCTTTAGCCGCCCTGTGGGATCGTGTGTATGAGAAAAAGTTAGAGGTCTGAAGAGAGATGATGCGAGGTTGGAATTGCAATTCCCCACTTTTACTTTTCGGAGTTTCATTTTAACGATTAGCTCCAGCGCGACGAAGTAAGTTGCACACTTCTAATCTTACTGCGCCTTGATACTTGGACACTAAATATAGCTTTTCATGTCTCACTTGTATTATAGTGAGTAAGTATTTCACCGAGTAGTAGAAGATCAGATCATGGCAAAAGAAGAAAATTCTTGATTTGGATTTCAGGTTATAGAAGTTGGCAAGGTGTGCATTATGCACCTTAATTGTAGCTTAAGCCCTTCTATCTCTTACAGAGCCTCTGATAGATGGAGGAGCATTGAAGAGATTGAAGGGCGATCTAGGCCACAACTCCCCACATGGGAAGTATCCAACTACCCAAACAAATAGATACAAGACACAGTCCGTTTTCCACCTGCCTGTTCAACACTGTATTTCCAGACAGATGTAGACATATCCCAATAGTCCGTCCTCCCCCCCCCCCCCCCCCCCCCCCGGCAAGCCCCCAGCCCAGTCCCAATGAAAAGACAAGAACTCCGCGCTAAGTTAAGACAACCTGGTCCCTTCTAGTTCATCTGCCCGTTCAGACGTAGTCGTGATATACACACAATCCGAGTCGATCCCGTCCTGCTTCCACAATGGAAGAAAACAATCGAATGTGTCCAATGCCCCTTGAAAATGCCATGATAAAATACGCTAAAACCAAATTCCCATGACTCCTTGTGTATGCAAAGGTCCCCAAAACCTCTTCGCTTTGCGGAATCTCTTGTGGAGGAGCCCAGCTGCCTGGTTGCTGGTGATAAGCTGCACATCTGCTGGTGCCGCCACCACCATCCGAGGACAGTGGCATGTGTAAACGTTGATTTGTATACAATATTCCGGTCCACCCGAGTTTGTAGCAACGAGTTTGCCGCCCACTATCGGGAAGCAGGAGACCGGAAGTAACGTAATCCCCACTGAACCCCGCCCGCCTTCTTGAAATGTGAGATAGAGACGATAAAGATACATAGAACAGCAAGCCCACGTGAATAAAGGACAGAACGAAACAAGAAAGCGATAAAGGAAGAAACCATTAAACCAAAAAGCCAGCGTGGTCTGCAGTGGTCGCGACTGGTGAAGCCGAAACATTTAGATCGAAACGAAGGAATCGCCCAATGAAGTTGAGACGATTCTCAGGTGGAATGATCATTATTGTCGTAGCTTGAAACGTCGAGATCGTGAAATAAACCAGTTTCGCGTAGCGGGTCAGATTGTACCCTTCTGCTCATCCCACCAAAGTCGGGTTAAATCTTTTTTTTTTTCTTTTTTTTTTTTTGCCTTTTTGCCTCAGTCTCCTGGTTGTGTACGACAAGGTCAAAAGAAATTTCGTCGTGGTCGTGGGGAAATAAACTGCGGCGGGAGTCACTGGTGGTACATGCCTTCGAGTTGAAAATCGCCGCCGTTGTTCATGCCTTCGTAGTTGTTTAGAACAGGTGTGACAGTGTCGTTGCTAGAAATGACGCTCCCATATTGTGGAACTTGACTGGATGTCATGTACGGGAACGTGGGGCTCATGGGTGAGCATGAGTAGTCGGAGAAGTTGGCAGAGGAAATGAGCTGATGGCTGCTCCAAAGTGGCATCATGTTGGTATCCAGAGGCAACTGTCCAGCAGCGTAGAGGCTGGCATAGTTCATACCCGACATTATGTTTCCGGTAGCATTCTGTGGCATGGAGTAATCGATTGGGGGTTGGCTTATGTCGTTGTCGAGGTCAATGTCCATCTCAGCCGAAGGTTCACTGCCGCCCTCTTCTTCGTTATCCTCGTCAGAGTCGGTCTTGGATTCGTCTCTGCCCACCCAAACCTCTTTCATCCAATTCTTCAACTCCTGCATAGGAGGCCAATCACCTCCACCTTTGCCGCCACGCTTGTCGTCGTCGGAACGCGAGCCGCCGTTGCTCTTCTTGGCGCGAGATGGTTTTTCTTTGAAGTGGGTGCGACGCAGGTGGGCGGCGGCATTGTAGTAAGCGCCGTACTTCTTGGCAGCCTTGCAAGCCTTACACTTGTCAAGAGGATTGACGACGGCGACGTTGATGGGCAATCCGCGTGTGGTCGGGTCGATGCAAATCCACTTTTTGACCATACCACGCTCGGGATGCTTAGCATCACGATGGCGGCGAAGCTCGTGCTCTCCTCTGAAGCCATCTGGGTGCTCTGTGCACTTGTCGCAGAAGACCTTGGGTTGGCGAGGTCGGACATATTTGGCTTTGCTAATAACCGCCTTCCCATCCTTCTTGTTAGACAGACCGTCTGTGTCTCTAGCATCGGCAGATGGCTTAGGCTTCAGCAGTGTCTTTCTTTCGTTTTGCTTGCGGAGTGTTTCTCTTGCGCGATAACTCAGAGATGATGTGGATTTGATGCTAGTGTTGGAAGCCGATCGCGACATTTCCTGAGAGGTGGGTGTCTCTCCAATTGAAGCATGCTGGCCTGATGGGCTGAGAAAGGATTCGTTCAGGCTATAGCCTACACCGTTCAAGTCCTCTTCGCTTAACGCAGCACGGTTGCACAAAGGCGAGTTCTGGCCGCTGCCAAGATTGGAATACAACGGGCTGTCAAGTTGTGACATGTCCGTGCCTTGGTACGAGCCAAGCTGCATCATGTGCATCGCACCTCCGACGGACTGATTGTCAAACAAGCTGCTGTTTTCCCGCGTCATTGGTGCCGTGTTGGGGGTCAAGCCAGTGGTCATGGAGTCGCACACGGATGCGTTGGATGCGATCCAAGCAGGCATGTCCGTGTTGAAGTGCATCTGGTTCGTCGGCATGGAGGTGCTGAGTACTGAGACACCTGGATCTTCGTAGTCCTGTTGAAAATTGGCAAAATAGGTCTCGGGATCCATTAACCTTGATTCGGCAACTGTGGGCATGCCAATCATGGCAGACAATGGCCTTGTCCGGGTGGACTGCGAACGAATCATCCTGGGCTGGCTGGTCGGGTAGGAGTTGACGGACTCTTCTTGGTTCAGGTAGTTGAGCATAGGACCATTGCGCGGCCGCTGGCCAGAAAGATTTGACTTGGGCGGCGGCGTCACGGGACCATTGCAGACGAAAGGGCTGGCGGACTGAGTGGACAGGTTCGACTGGCTGCGCTGCATTTGATGCGTGGGAAGAACTTGATGAGACCAGGTCCTCGGTCGCTTAGTAGCTTGAGAGGGCAATATCTAGTGAGGATTAGAGGATGGACTAGTGTATATTCATGGTTCTATTGAGTCTCCAGATGCGCATTATTATGTTACTTTACTTACGGCAGAGTGTGGGGTGATTGGGAGGCTATGGCGACCTTGCAATGCGCCATGAGGGATCACGATGCTTCGTGGGATCGACTTTCTTCTCGAGGTTCCATCTTGCTGGTCGAATTGTGAATTGCCCGAAAGCTGAAACTCGTTGCATAATGGCGACGATACATCGACATGACTCGGTGCTGGGCTTAATGATGTCTGCAATGGAGATTGATGGCTCAAGCTTTGTTGTAATTGCAGCTCATATATCTGCTGTTCCCTGAGTCGCAGTTCTTCTTCTAGCCTCTGAACCTTGGCGTCTTGGCTTTGATTTTGGCTCATGGTGTCCATACTCTTATCTTCAGATGGAAGTTTGATGCAAGGTTTGAAAGTCTGGACAAGAGAGATCAAGGCGGTGAAAAGCGATGGGTAGCAAGGCGCGATGACGAGTACGTTGTCTGACGGTTGGGTTCCACACAGCCTTGCCTCGTTTTGTTTTGTTTCTGTTCTGTTCTTCTCTGCAAGAAAAACGTTGCGTTGGGTATCGAGATTAGTTGCAGGTAATGGACTTGATACCTAGGCCAGCAAGGATTGGAGGTGAGTACCGGAGGCTGTCGACTATGCGTGTAGAAAGAATGTGTCCCGATGGAAATATGACGGAATGATGTACAGCTCTTTCAACAATATCGAAGCATCAAATTAGAAGACAAGAATTGTTTCGAGGCCGAGGATTGGAGGAGGCGATGAATGTGATTATGTATGATGAGATGAATGTCTGGCTAAGTAAGGTATGGCCAGGGTTAAGGTCAAGCTCAAGGTCGGAGTGCTTTTGTTGGTTCAAGTCTTTTTGGGGTGCAGATGAGCAGGGGGGGAGGCAGGCTCCAGGGAGTAGGTAGGGAAGCATCAGCATGCACGGCAGCGGCTTCAGTGGGGTCATGATTGTATTTCACACCTGCAAGTACGGCCAGACTCCACTGTTTAGCACTATGGCGCGACCCCGGTCTGTTGGATCGTGATACAAGCAGCCTCCTCAGTTGAGGTATATTCCTTGGCAAGGAACATACAATACAACGAGATAAAATAAAACAAAACAAAACAAAATGAAAACAAGAGCACGTACCTTTCTTTTCTTGGCTCCTGATGCACGAGACTAGTCGCTAGATCAGAGCCCAAACAGGCCTGGCTATGCTGTGCAAGACGCGGAATATGGTGTGGATCAAAAACGGAATTGTTTGAATGAGCAAATCGTCAAGTTGTAACAGAAGTGGTCAAGACTAGAATCAACTGACCAAACTGTGGCCCCAGCAATAAACAAAATACGCGCTACGAAATGAGTCTTACCAGCCTACGGGAAGTACAGAGTACAGGTAGCAAGCAGTAGGTTAGTCAGTAGCAGTAGTCAGTAGCTGAAGCAGTGTGTCGCGCCAGCAGCCAGGCCAAAGCACCCAAGCCTTACAAGGATGAGAATCAATTAGATCACGTATCCACAATCTTCTTTTCCATCGGTACTTTGAAGATTGGCTACGGATGGCGAGCAATGCCTCCATAGAATCGGGCGGAAGCTCGTCGGACTTCGCTATGGGAAACGAATAACCATGAGCAGGTGGGAGCTTACCGCTATCATGTGCGCTTGTATGCATATCGGTCCCAAATGAGACCAAAGGAGGCTTGGAAGATGGTGTTGAGGACACCACAAGCGTCCTACGCCATTCGTTACTCGAACTCTACACTTGGTGGGCGTCCGACGTGGGATGGCATGGCTGCCAATAGCCCCAAGCCCGCTTCTGGAGGACATATAATGGAGCTAATGCACAATACCTGCAACTATGCACAAGTGATTCGATCCAGTCGTCGTATGGTCTTTCTGGAATGCGCTACTTCAACCACACTGTGGTATGCAATATCAACGCACAGGTTAGATTCTACAGCTGGCCGTTGCCAAGGAATCAAACGCCCGAAAAAGACGATCGACGGTGACGCAGCCCAGCGCCCAGACCCGGACGCCGGATTGCGGAACCTCACCCAAGAGGCTTGTTCATGATGGTATTATTATTGTTGTTATTGTATCTACGTAGTTCACATGTTGCTTTAAGTTGGGCAACATTAGCATCAGGTAACTTTGACTGCCTAGTTGGCGTCATCCAGCCCTAGGGCACGATGCATGGACCGCATTGCAGTCCCCGAGCGGTCATCTGGGCTGAGGACCCAAACTAAAACCATCGTGCATTTTTCTAGAAGACTAGAAAGAACACTTGTTCCGAATGTTGTTATTTTGATATGTAATTCCAGAATACGGGCGCGGCATTTGGGGCATAGACAGAACTGGTCTTCGGTTCACCCGCTGACTACTGGCATATCCACTTCCGCAAATAGCCCGGTAAGGGTGTAGATCCGTACCATGTAGATCTCCATCGTCTCATCTAACCCATTCCATGCCTAGCAGCCTGGTAGTTGTATACTGCATGCATAGAAGAAATGCGGCCTTACACTAGAGAATCCACGCCTAGACGTTTGAGGATTTGACCAAGGATGTTTTATGCCCTGTACTTTTGACGGCATTTCCGCAGCAGCTGCTGAAGCTCTGAGGTTAGTCTTGGTGCTAACTCAGGGAAATATTGTGTTCTGATCGTGAGCGTACTTTTGCAGGTGGTAGCGAGAACCGTTAGACCAGGTTAGCGATTCGATTCTATCCTCAACTCTACAGCTCGAGTCCAACGACATAAGCCCACGCAATTTCACTACAAGACGAACCACTGGCATGGAAGATGAATGCAGATGATTGTGTCACACAGGCGCACGCTTCGCGCTTCAGAATGGAGCCTTGGGCTGACAGACACAACCACCATGCGTGGGGTGCAATACCTGGGGAAACACCACTCCCAATTTAACCGTTGCATTGGGCTGGGTGATTAGGAATCCGCAGGCATAAACATCACTCGGCCCTATCAGATCCAACATGTTAAGCAATCTAGCTGGTCGCTGGTCAGTTGAAAATTTAAGGTGGTGTTGTGGTCTTGTTGTGTTGTTGTGTATTCGGCGTAGTGGTCAGCCGGGAATGTGTGTGGATCTATCCCATCCATACGAATGTCTGAGCTAGCCAGCTGTCATCGTTCATGTTCAGCGAACACCCATGAAGTTCAAGGTACACGCGGTAAAACTAGCCAGTCTCATCAGATCCTGCAAGGTGACTCCTCGTGCACACGCGGGCTTGTATGAGTCGTATGGGAAGTTGCATGAGAGAAGATATGCATGCATAGTAGCTTCAATTGGTGACAACGTTTGCCTGGCTTCCAGGCATGCGGGCTCTGAGCTGGCAGTGGCTGTGGTGTGTCGGCGATTGGATCTTGATGTGTCGTCCAGAGTGAGGCGACGCCTGGCGATGTTTGAATGGCTGAGAATCCATGCACACTGAGCGAACCCCCCCCCAGCCAGAGTGGGCCGCCGGCAATAGTCCAATTCTGTCCTTCAGCATCTTCCACAACACCGAAAAATCACCATACCACTGGCAAACGAGTTGCGACTTTATACTTTGCGTAAACGTCGACTATGTAGTACTCCTGTCACACCAGCCATGCCGCAGCCAAAGGAAGCTCTGCTTCGTGCAACGGTGCCCAGCATGGGAGCATGGGCTTGTACTTCCACAGTGGCACAATGCCATTGAAGCGCGCCAGGACGTTGAACGTGAACCTGAACCTCCCACCCACTGCTCCGCTGCTTCCGGATGCGCTGCCAGGATACCACACGTTGAGATACTAGGTTTAAACGTTGACCGACACGTGCACTATCAAATTATCGGCCGACAGCACACCGATCGAATTTCATCCCTGTTTCACCAGATCTTTCATCGATAAAAGTTTCCCAGAATCGCAACTCTTGCCAGGATAGTCCAAGGTCCTTCGGTGAGTATCCGGTACATTGCATTGGTGTGGCTTTCCAGACCGACTATTGCACTTGCTTAACCTCTTGACCGCGAGTATGCCAGCTCTTAGGAGAGAGAGCGCGCAAGAGGGTCTAGCTGAGCTTTGGGCATGCGAGTCAATCATGCAGAGTTGCATTGAAATCTGCCTTATCACACGGTTCCTGCGGGTCGCATGGTGCCCAGCAACAATAAACCAGGGATTTCATTGAGATCATCTATATTCAACCCTCCTGGAGCACATCCCGGAGTACCATGTAGCATTCCGCCTTCCGCGAGTCTATATGCCTCGATGCTGAGCTTCGCCAGGATGCTCTTCGGAGTTTGCTGCGAGTCTAGAACAATAGTTCCCTCTCGATTGATTGCTGGTCGTGACGACACCTCCAAGTCAAAGCGCGCTGGAAAGCCAACGCCTCAAATGCACTTGACCAACCGGAACAATTTGCCAGGGTTCTCCAGGAACTGCAACCTCGCCCTACCCTTGAAACCAATCCCGATTCAGGCCGAGATCAACCGCTTTGTTTGATTATACTTCGTAATCGCTATTAGATCCAGGAACAAACCCTGATGCCCATTTCGCGCATTTCTAGACACCGGATCGGAAACCTGGAGAAAGTCGTACGAGAACTGTGTCGATCCCTCACTTGTCAAATTGCTTTTATCTCCCATTGGAGGAGGCGCGGGCAGTGTTGTTTGTTTGACACGTTTTTGAGCCCGATTAGATGCATTGGTGCTACTCCTTAAAAACCAAGGAGATCTGCATCATCCCGCTTGCGATTGGCAGCACAAGAGAAACGTTTGATCTCGGATCGGCGCTCCTTTGCCGCCACCCTGCTCACCGGACACGAGTGGATACTAGATTCGGACTTGCTTCCGTACGTGGGATGTGTTCAGAAAAACGACCACTCTCGTTCTCAACTATACTGTACGGTCTCTATCGACGACGATGGGAGGCAGGAGAGGCTCCAGAGAGAGAACGATCCTGCAAACATATGGGCAGGTGTGTTTGGGTGGGGGTTTCATCACAGCAGCCACGCGCAGGGTATCCTTGTGTCTGGGCCTAGGAAGATACACCACCAGTGTGCGACTTCAACGAAGATATGCAGCAATCGCCATGATCTGATTGCCTCTGGCATTCTAAACTATTGTGGCATACCTGTACCATCTATACAGCCATTCATACTATCGTTGCTATGGGCTCCGCTCTCTTGGGATACGCCTCGTTGGACCGCAAAAGTACACTGGACAACAGGCGATCTTGGAGACGGCTGCGCAAGCTGACAATCGAGCTGCCTTGCCTCCGAGGAGATCATATTATACCGTGTGTATTGGTCGAAATGCTACAGTTCTTCGAGCCAGAAACGATTAGGCCAAGGATGAATGGCTGCTTGCTTACGAGAAATGATGTGTCTGCACGTCCAGCTATACGACCAACGGCGCTCTGGCGTTCCATCATGCGACATCGCATGACCATCTTGCAAACATTGCCTTGCATTTTGGAAGAGATCAATATGGGTGGAGCAATCATTAGTAGGTGATAGCCCAAGTCACATTAGGTTCATCAAGGTCCGGCGTGAACCGAATTAAAAGGGGTGATGGCAATTTGCTGCAAACCTGATCTGTCAAGTCGTCTAGTCGGGAACTGCAACGCTTGCTGTTCCTGCTACTGCGTAAGGTGAAGGTTCTGCTGGCTGCTTCCCTCCTCCACGCCTGTGAGTCATTCAGGGGCGCCTGGCTGTGACAGGTGAAAAGGAGTTCGACCAAGGAGCAACTGCCTCAAGTTCCTGCCTCAAGTTCACGCACATGTTTGTGTATCCTGCCGATGATGACTACATGGACGTGCTACTGGTTGTATCCACGGCGCGGGTTTTCAAAACTGACCGAAAATAACTCGAGCGAGCATTCCTACCGTTTGCATACTAAGGACAGATACATGTTCTCACGTGCATGTTCTCGCGTTCAGCCTGTGCAGCAGGAGAGGCGGTGTGGATAGCCGTGATTCCCGAATGCCTTCTGTTTGCTCGTTCTCGTCAGGTCTTGGAGTCTTGGAGTCGTGTGCGCTGGAGGGTCCTTTGAGGCAGGCACTTCTCAATCTCGATAGATACTGTGAGTCAAGATGTTGCGCGAAACAAAGGATTCATGCCGTCTATCAATGGCGTCCATGTCTTCAGTTTTGGGATGAGTCGGTATTCCTGGCATACCGCTTTGACTCTGCTAGAAGTTGGAGACCGTGAGGCCAATGGCTGGCTCGAACTGCACCAATGCTTTGAAGACAGCACGTGCTGAGCTGTCGGACAAGTTCAAGCACGCATTCACTCAGGATTGATTATGAAGTAAATTATATGAACGAAATAGAATCCCCTCGAGCGTAATTGATTGAGCTGCGGTATCACGGGAATACGACTTGATGAATCAAACAATAAATTTGCTTATGAATGAATGAATGAATGAATGCATGCATGAATCGTAGGCTATGTTGCTTTGTATATCTCACTTGCTGTGTATGTATATCTCACCTGCCGAGTATCTATTGTTCAGTCACAGAAATGTCAGGTTAAGCTTGGGCCCCACCTTAAAGCCACCTTGACCTTTAGCTCTCGGATGCGAGGCGACATCGTCTTTGGCTTCATTGTCCATCCCAGACTTGAAGCTTTGCGCCCAATTCATCTATCACTTCGCAATCTCATGTGAATTAAATCCTTCTCCCTCGCGGCATCATGCGCCGTGTCAGTACATTACTTGCGGCAGCGCAACTGTGCGCTGCCACCCGCCACGGCTTTAGCATCCACCATGATCTGCTAGCATTTCCACAGGTTAGCATCTATGCCTATGCCCATGCCCACGCCCATCCCACAGTCAGGGCTGACCCGGCAATGCTGACCATGGTCTCTCTTTTCGCAAACACAGTTTGACGTTGTACTATCAGATGCATACATATCTGAACCCGAGGCCAAAGCCCTGCTTGACCCAAGCTCGAGCCGCGATGCATCGGCGAGGGCCAGCGCAGACGACAAGGACATACAAACAGCCACACCGACACCGATCGCGGCGGCCCCCGGTGGCGATCAGAAGACAGCAGAGACGTACGAAGTCATGACCATGCATGACACAAGATACCTCTGTGCTATACCCGTCATAAAGACACCCCCGGTCCAGAGCAAGACCGAGACGGAGCTCGCCAAGGCCGAAGAGGCGCGTGAGCTGGCAAGAGCTTCAGCACATGGCTGGGAACTCGTCAACGCATTGGACGGTACATGTCTGTATTACGTCTCCGGATGGTGGAGTTACAGCTTCTGCTACGGCCACGATGTCGTACAGTTCCACGCCATGCCATCCAAGGGGGGGAAACCACAGCGAGATCCACACAGCCAGGAATACGTGCTTGGAAGAGTACAAGATCCATCATCCTCATCAAGCCGCCGAGGACGGGGCGGCAACAGCGACAACAAGGACTCCAAGGCCAACACCGGTGACCCGGTACCAGCAAACAACAATGAGGCCGCCAACAAGGCCACAACATCGCCGCCGACTACAGAGCTACAGGTCAAGGGCGACCAGCGCTACCTCGTCCAACGCATGGATGACGGCACCGTATGCGACCTGACAAACCGCCCCCGCACCATCGAGATACAGTACCACTGCAGCCCCGGCAGCACCCAGGACCGCATTGGCTGGATCAAGGAGGTCACCACGTGCTCCTATCTCATGCTCGTCAACACCCCGAGGCTCTGCTCCGACGTTGCCTTCCAGCCGCCCTCGCCCTCGCGCGCAAACGTCATCAGCTGTCGCACCATCGTCCCCGAGGCCCAGCAGGCCGACTGGCACGCCCAGAAGACCCTCGAGGCCAAGGCCGCCATGGTCGGCCAGCAGCGCAGGGACGCACAGGCCCCCGTCGTCATCGGCGGCGTCGTCGTCGGCGGGCGCCAGATCCTCGGCAACGGCGAGGACGGCAAGGCGGCCCCGCAGCTGAAGGCCCCCAAGAGCTTCGCAAAGCAGGAGCCAATTGTGGAGATTATCGCCCTGGGCAACACAGACGACAATGGAAACCTCGAGGTCCTCAGCGATGCCGAGCTCGAGAAGCTGGACATCGACCCCAAGCTGGTCGAACAGCTTAAAAAGCAGATCCAGGAGATGGCCGGCGAGAACGGCTGGAAGCTAGAGATCGTCGAAGAGCCTGGCGCCAACGCTCGCGAGATCCGTGGGGTCATTGATACGGAAAGCGGCAAGGGAGACCAGGAAGGCAAAGGCGAGAGCCAAAGCGAAGGCGAGGGCAAAGGCGAGGGCAGCGATCATGGAGAGGAGAAAGGCAGCGAGGAGAAGTTCTTCAAGGAGGAGCTGTAGTGTAAGGGTCCGTGGACAACATAGCATGGGCATGGCGTTTTTCTTTTTTACACGGCTTACAATGAGCAGATTTCTTCACGTGTCACGCACGTATTCCTGCATTACCACTTGAAGGTATAGGAACTGAAGAGTTCCCGGGCAGCTGCTCGGTCACATCGCATCGCACGCTCATGAATTTGATCAAAATAAGCGCACATCCGTACAGTACGGGCACACTAAAACAAAGAACGTTCCGAGTACCCTCCTGTCGTTGCCTGCGTATCCTCATAACAGAAGTAAAGCATCCGCCAAGATGAAAATAGAACAGAAGAAGATAACCTAGTGAGCTGGTGTTTTTGTCTGCAGGAGGGAATTGATAATGCAAAACCACGTAGAACACAAGCAGTAACCCTGGGTTCTATCTATCCTGTTGAGTATTATGGATGGCCGTCACGTCAGTAGTTGTCCGAGTTAATTAAATGTCGACGGCGACGGCTTCCTAAATACATACATAAATCAGTCGCCTTGGTCATGCCGATTGTGATATACTCCGTAGGGATGTGATCATTTCGAGAGAGTGTTCGTGCGTGTTGGGTTATCGTCTTGGCATGTAAGGGGGCCGTCAAATTTGAGGGGTGTTAGAGATGAATACCGCGGGATATATGTGGGGAGAGGGCCCTCTGAGAGATAATAGAGAGTGCTGAGGTTCGTTCTTCTGTGTTCCGGATCCCTGCGTTCTGAATATTTCCTTTTTTGAAGAGTACATCGATCTACGGGTATTTGGTCATTTGTCCTAGAACTCCCTCGGGCTGCCCTACTTCATGGTTTGAGTTCCGACGAAGCAAGTACCGCCGTCCATTATCTACTGCACCCTGAAAGTAACGCGTTTTCCACCATCCCTTGCCGGCTGCGCGGAGCTCGTCAGTTGGTGAGTCTAGTCGCGCTTCTTAATGGCCACCGAGTGGCATCTCTCCCCGTCCAGAACAGCCACTGGGTAGTCATGTATAAACCAGTCTCCCCCAGTAATGCTTGGGGCTCGCTCTCTAAGTCCAACATCAACTCGCATTCCATTCCCCAAGGAGAAATTTCATTTTCTGTGTATCTTGATCATCGAGTCCTTTCTTCTCAACCTGAACCTACATCGGTCCTGTGATTTATTGGGCGCTCAGCGGATCACCACGATAGCTCATGGACAAAGTAAATAATTACAAATCTTAGTATGGGGAAAGCCAACACCTTTAAAGCCAGCCAATAATCCGGTTCCTGTCAGCTCCCAATATTGGCCCAACTCCTCATGAGGTCGTCGAATATGTCAGGGACACAAAGAACGAGGAACAAGTCAAATCTCTTGCGGTGCTGTTCTAGGTTACTGTATATTTCGCGGATTAATAGATCATAATGGAAAGATCATGCTAATTTTTTTTTATTTTCTTTCAAAAAAATAACTCCTTTTATCTTGCTATAGTCTTCCTATTACGGTCTGGTACTCGAAATGACAGTATAGAAGGGAAAGGCATTTTGTACAGAGTTGATCGACTAGGCATTCAGTGGCGTTAGTGTCGACTCTAAAGGCGATGATGATATATGCGACTCCCTTTATCATTATAAATACAAAGGTTCTGAGGTTGTGATGTATGTCAAAAAGACGAAGCCAGGGGGCTTCAAGCTTCAACCCAGAGAACAGATCCATTCAAACAGAACGTAAGAGAGTGGTCAGTGAGCGTGGACCCGCCGAAAACTGCCATAGAGTCGACGGCGGGCGTTACCGTGTCAAGATCGAGTTTGGTTCGTCGGTGGCAGACATCTCCTGACAGTGACCAAGCCAAATCTCTCTAGCCGCGCTGAAGCCCTCTTCGAGCGGTGGTACCTCCCCATTGGGGTCACCCACACGTCCGGTCGCCGAGTCAAGCGGGCTGGCTGCATTCGTTAACGCTTTCGATCTTCTTACAATAAGCAAGCCCAGCCAGCCGTAGACTCTGGCTCGATCTGACGCTATACATGGGTATTCGTTCATTCTGCCTTTCCGGTGCAGGGAACCAGGTGGTGTTAGGATCTTCCTCTCTCCATCCGGCGCGGCTGTAGCCATACGTTCATTCCCCGGGCATCGGACATCTCATAGGTCATCTTTTTCCATTTGTGGTTGAAACTACCTTGACATTCGTTTAGAAGACCATCAGAACTTCCCATCTCCAGCCACGTTCCCAGCAAGTCAGTACCGTGATTGATAACATAGTCTTCGTGGCGCAACTCAGAGTCGAAGACTTCCAAGAACGTTGAATTCGACCGACCCACACAGCCATCGCTACCCAGATGTAACAGGAGCATGCATCCAACCTTTCAGATATCTCTGAGGTAGGCCACAGTCTTCTTGTAGGACTTTTCTGTGCACTGCGACCGCATATTGATTTGGAAGCGTACATTCCAGTGCATAAGGCTCCTTACGTTCGCGGGCCGCAAAGCTGCTTGTGGAGTCATGCCTCGGTGTTATGGATAAGTATCGGTCGATCATTGAATTTCTTCGGTGGAGAGTTTAATTGATTTTCATGCCGGATCGTCGTGGAATAGGGAGCTCAAGTGGGCGAGGATAAGAGAGGCCAGTAGGGCGAGAGGAGGGGATGAAGATGCCACGTCAAGGTAAGTGAACCAAGCAGATCGGTCCAAGCCCAGAAACGGTGATCAAGGTGAGCGATTGCGTTGAGCCAAGGCTGTTATTATCTATAGTATTATTATTCGTTTTCTTTTCAATAATGAGAACGTATATCGCCGCGCTTAATATAACAGGCTTCTACAGCCATGCCCCTAATCTCCACGAGGATGGCCTGGGTTATTTGCCAAAGACAACTCGTCGTCCAACCTGACAAACCCGCGCTCGGTATCCGAAGGGGTAGGTATCAGACGGGTCGGCGCCTTGGGGGCGGCGTGTACGACGACCTCGTAGTCGATCTTCTTCTGTATACCACCAGCGAGCCCGCTGTCGTCCGAGCCGGCCTCTGAGGACGGTCGTGCCGTCACTGCCGCGGTAGCATGGGCGTAGTTCTTGAGCTGGACATCTTGATCGTGGTTCGCGGTACCGCGGGCATATCCACGATTCTGGGGCCCGGTGGAGTGCGAGCCGCCTCCCATGTTGTAGTCGGTGACGTTCTTGCGCGCGAGCTGTCGGATCAGGTTGGCCATGGTCATCTCGATGTTGAGCTTCACCATGTAAGTGACCGGGTGGAACTGGATGAAGACGACTTGGTTCGGTAGGAACATGAGGCCGATGAGCATGAGCTGTAGAGAGCCGAGGCATGTTAGACGGGTGCAGACTTGGAAGATAATGGCCGGGGAAACCCCATTTCTTTTTTTCTCTCTCTCTCTCTCGGAAACTTACGTCCATCAATATCGACACGAACATGAGCTTCGAGTTGAAGCTCACGAGGGGCGCGTATTTTTGAAGTCCATGGTACTTCACAAGTCGTTGTCGGACAGTTCGGAGGAAATACACATTAAGTGCGGCATCAACGATGCAAATGAGGACCTTTGAGATCTTATCCCAGTAGGCGTTGATGGCGACGAATCTGGGAAAAGCATGGTCAGCTTAAATATTTTTCTTTCCTTTTCTTCCATTTCTTTTTCGTCGTTCCATAACTGCAATTTACGTACCCTTTAGGAGGATCGGCCAAATGTGCTGGAATAAAGATGCAGAAGACTGCAAGGTTGATGGTAGAGATCACCGCTACCGTTCCCCACTGTGAAAATAGATAAATTGTCAGTCATTGTCTCAAAAATCTGGAGTCGTCAAGTCTTGATCGTGCTCAAACCGAAGGCGACGGCGACACGTCGGATAGGTAAAGGCAAGCGGGAGGAGATATGGGCGTAAACGTACTCTGATTTTCTTGACCGTCCTCTCTGATTCTGAAATGACAGCAATCCGGTTGATAATGATTTGCATAAGAAGTTGTATCTCGAACACCCAGCAGAGAAGGATGAAGAAGAAGGTGGGAACGCTAACACGTGAAACATCAGTTTTCAGCATTCAATGTTAGATAAGAGGGCATCAGTGACTTACCTGGAACCGATAGTCTCCTCAAGATATAAGAACGCCAAAATTCCAAGTACAAGGTTCGCTATAATCTCGCCCCAGATCATGTATATGTAGGGACTTCGGATGGGGTCCTTGTTCCTGGCTGTCTGCTTCATGGCCTCCCAGACGGTAAGAAACCCGAAGCCGATGGTGAAGCCGGCAGCCAGCGAGGCTACCTGGTAATCCTGTCTGGTAGCACTCATATCGACGAGTTGCCGACCCTGCTGGAGGCTTGTGGGTACGATTGAACAGGACAGGTAGGTCCGACTGGGTAACTATCACAACTGAATTCAGATGGTGGGCCATGAGAGGAACTATATATTACGGGCGACGCGACCCCTAGAACACCCTTAATTGTTCCTAATATCTTAGTGATCGTCGTTTAATATGGTGGCTTAACTAGAGTATTTGACATTTGCAGCTGCTGGCGAACTAGATGCTGATTTTACGTCAATCAGTCTCCAGATATGCTCCATGATCACCATCCGTACCACCCTGAAGACGGGGTTTCGCAAGAGGTGGCCAAACGGCCCCACGGATCTGGCCAGCCGGGGACTGGGACTTGCGCTATAGAGTCAGGTTATTAGCGAAAGTGGTGTGGCCTCAGATATGGATCCTAATGTCTCGCATAGAGCTGTTCCTTCTGTCTCTTCTGTCCCTTACAATCGGGATTTGTTGTTCAATTGAAATACCGACACCAATCAAGTTCCTCAAATCATCCGCATTAGGCTACCCACCAGGAACAAAGTCTCCGCATAGTACCTGGCCAGACTAGTTTGGATGCACCATTCGGTTCATGATCCGTATCGGGAGTTAAGTCCGAGCTAGTTATAAACTTGATCGTCCCGAATTTAGCATCCCGATGGTCGTGTGGCCCTACGCCTTCGAAGGAGTGCAACCGCGCACACGAGATCAATTCTGCAAGATACTAGGTTAGTATGAGGTATCCGTTCTCTCCAGGCAAGTAGAAGTAAACAGCCCAGGATCCCACTTCAGACATGTGTACCATGCCATGTAAATTCGCTTTCTTCTGTGTAAGGAGCCAGCCCATCAAGGCTCTGCCAGTTGTGGATGCTGTAGAGACGAGGTCGCGCTAACCTACAGCGACCTACAGCGCAAAAAGGGCAGTTTCAGTCCACTGAAGGTGTAGAGAAGCCCTGTCCACGAAAGTTTGTGTGGCAATTGCTGTGTGCACGGACTGGAGAAAAATATAGCGACAGACGGGAACTAGGGCAATTAGCCACCTGTTCGCGCCATGAGCATGCCGTAAGCCGAGAGCAAACTGACTACATCCATCGTTCAGTTGTGTTCATGACAAGCTCGGTCGGCATCCGAACGCGAAGGCATCGTTCACCTGAATGATCGATCTGCTGATCTGCAAATCTCCAGATGCTTGAGGGACGAAATCTCCATGTGGATGGAGTAGTGTCGGGACAATTACGGCGACTCCACCATAGAGACATCATTGATGATGAAGGCCGTCGCCTGCATTATATAATTATGTAATCGGTTCGTTGGTATCTGGCGTCTGGCGTCTGGCCGTTCAATCGAGCAACATGGAGAAAGCTTCCAGGTTTGTGACAAGATTTTCACGCCAATCACGCCAACAATGGCAGCCATTCCGCAACAAGATATGGAACATGTTAGTGGCCGGCGGTGCCAGAGCATAGGTGCCGGACTTAGTCATGTTAGCGTTGTTCCGTCCGGGCAGTGAGCCCGAATGACCTTGCTGAGTGGTTGGGTTTATCGAAATGTTTCATTTCGAAATCTGCCTGCCGAGGCAGGAGTTTCGATACTCCAGATGGTGCGCAAAGTGCAGCTGTGCGTTAAGCAGTATCGACAGGAAACAATAATATCATATCCGGCATGGCGAAGCTGGAGCACGAGTTCGGGAGATACAAGGCTATCTGAAGCGCAACTTGTCGTCAATAGATGATGGCTTGGCTCACATGTGTGCTTGTTCCCAAGACTGATGCGAGCATGTCGAATACGTGGTCGATCAAGCCCTTTCAAAGGTACACCTACAGTCCCTGATGCTAGGGGCAATGGGGAAGACTCCAGTAGGCATACTTCCGGGCGCTACAATCGTTGGGTGCCATTAAGCACAAGTCGGTATAGCCAATCGCATAGCTTCACTTATTATCTGCGACACGCTGCCAAATTTTCCTGACTAGAACGGCCGGCAATGAGATTATCTTCAGTAAGGGCTTGTTTAGTATTTGTGGAACTACTATGAGACACTGACGGTAATCAAGATTCTACCTGCCTACATAACCATTCTAAGTCTTCTAAAATAGGGGTTGCGAAAGTTCAGCGCCAGCCCTGGACTAGTTTTTGGCAGCCTTGTGAATCTGGAGCTTAGTGCAGACCACTGTAATGGATGCGCTGATGCGACAGAGCCTTACCGCCGACTCCCCGCGGATACTTTGTATGGTCTTGGAAAATATGGAAAACAGAGTAACCATAACCTTCGACACCACGACCTATATTGTTTCAACCTTGCGCCTGTGCCTGTATTGGTATTTGTGTCTGAGTAGTGGATTTTATCTTCCAAGACTCTTGGCGAATACCACCTTCCTTCTGTCAACATCGAAGCGGAGTGTCTATTACCGGTGCGTACGACGGGTCGCAACCTTGCAGGAACCATCATGGCCAGCTGGATGGTTTCGAGAAGCTGGGGCACGTCTCAAAAAAATGCCTCCCCACCTCCCTCCTTATCTACATGGATCTCAGTACGCATAATATAGCTTTGTCGTGGCGCATATTTATTGACTTTTTACTATATGCATCGTACGTCGCCATGGGAGGGAGCATGCAATCGATTTGTTCATAAAAGTTGGAAGCCGTTTGGTATACCACAGATGCAACATTTTAGCGCTCGATCGGCATGCTAGCAGGTACTGACTGGCTAGCCCATCCTTTTTTTTCTTCTTCTTCCTTTTTTTTTTTTTTTTTTTCTTCTTCCTTTTTTTTTTTTTTTTTTTTTTTTCCCTGTTCAAGTGCACAAGAATAAATAGGCAAAAGTCATGCAATAAAGTTGGCCTTCAACCAGAGAAATAGGAAATCTTGCAAGTATCTTTCTCGGATGGTTGTTCCTAGCGCTGCTCTGTGATCAGGAGTGAATGTGGCTATCCAGATATGATAATTCTTAACCGCAAGGTGCATTTTCGTCGAAAATAATGGGTATCTAGGTTTGCTATTTCGATAATTACCACCACCACCACCACCACCACCGCACTTGAAACCTCTCTGTATATGACTTGATCCGATGATAACATCCTTGATACAGCACTTTTCAGCAAGTCAAAATCGTCAACATCTTCAAGCCTTCGCCTCAACATTCTCTGCGACAGGCTGCTCATGGCCGTGCTTTTCCAGCACGGCCTGGATCTCGGCACCGAGCCTGGACTCGCCCTTCTTAGTCTTCCAGGGCTTGGGACCATCGGGGCCGAACAAGATCTCAATCTCCTCGAGAGTCTTGCCGCAGGTCTCGGGATAGAAGGCGAAGAACCAGGCGGAGGCGGCGACGCAGAGGACACCGAAGACTATGAAGAGGTTGTACTTGATATTGACAAAACCGGGCGGGGTGAACATGCCCAACGCGAAGTTGAATACCCAGTTGGATAGGGCGGCGAGCGACATGCCCGTGGCGCGGGTGCCCAGCGACCAGACCTCGGCGGCGTATATCCAGCAGACCGGGGCCAGGGTCAAGGCGTAGACGACGATGAGCAGGTAGGAGAAGACGATGACCGTGTTGGCTGGGGCGCCCGAGGTCACGGCGAAGATGACGTTGGGGTTGTTATCGATGCCCTCAGGCACGTCGTAGTGGTGGGCAGCCATGACGCCGCCGATGACGAAGTGGCAGAAGCCCATACCGAGGGCGCCGTAGACGAGCAGGGTGCGACGGCCGGTCTTGTCGATGAACAGCCACATCACGCCGGTAAAGATGATAAAGACGGCGTATTGCACGCCGGAGGTTACCATACCAACGTTGCCGGTCAGGCCCGCCATTTGAGCGATGTAAGTAAGGTAGTAGACAATGACATTGGCACCGGCGAGTTGCTGTGGCACAGTTGTCAAACAAAACATCTTCGGATTGCGGGGCACAGTTGTGATGATCTTACCTGCCAAGCCTGGACGGACATACCGGCCATGGTACGCTTCCACATGCCATTCTTGATGAACTTCCTCCAGCCCTTACCCGTCTCACGCTCAGCACGGAGCACGGTCGAGATTTCCTCCCACTCGGCAATAACCAGGGGATCGTTGATGTCGCCATTGGCCTGGATACGAGCCAGTGTCAGAATGGCCTCCTCATCACGGCCGACCTTGGCAAGCCATCGAGGAGAGCGTGGCAAGAATGGCAAACCAATGAGAAGAAAAACCGCGGGGATGAACTGGGTGCCCCAAGCCGTTCGAAAAGACGCAGTGCCCTCGATGAAAGTGCAGCCATAGCCAATAAAGTACATGACCAGAATACCAAACTCAATGGCAAGCTGCTGGACAATAACGAGGGAACCTCGCTTCTCCGCCTTGGCGATTTCGGCAAGATACACAGGAACTTGTGCGGATGTGACACCGACTGTAAAGCCATTGATAACGCGACCGGCGATCAGAGTGCCAGAGTTCTGAGCGGCGACCTGAACTGAGGTTCCGATGAGCCAGAAGAAAACGGCAACAAAGATCGAGTCACGGCGACCGATCTTGTCGGAGAGGGGACCGGCGACAGCAGAGCCTACAACCGAACCAGCTGCAAGGGCAGAACCGATGGCACCCTGGAGGGCACCGGCAGGGTGGTTGAAGAACGTGAGGTATTGTTGCGATGTGACAATCGCGGCGATAGATGAGATGTCAAAGCCAAAGCTGTGGAGATGGGGTTTAGTATAAGTGGACATAAAGGGTTCATAATGGGATCGTGCATTGAGAAAAACTTACAGAGTTCCACCAAGAGTGGCAATTAGAGCTACAAAATGAACATTGTAGATCTTTGGGAATGTTATACCCATGACTGCTTATTGCTGAGACGAGTCTCAGACTTATACACAATTACCTCGATTGGTCTGCAATCGCCAGTGCAACGAAGCATGCAGTGAGAAGGGAGTAAACAAAGTTCCCAGTGAGCTGGATATTCCCCTCTTTATCTAAGAACGGCCATGATCCATAGGAGGGAGCTCTTACCCAACGTGCGTCTGCTGGGGACCAGGTCGCCAAGGGTGAAGCACATGAGAATGTTACTTTGTCTACTCTTTGAGCTCCGCTCCCACGAATTAGGTGCCATGCGGTCGCGAATCCAACGGGCGCCAAGCTACAGGGTCAAAGCTGCTGACTTGAGGCGAAGCTACCTACCCCAGACAATAATCGGGGCATTTAAAGCGACCCCGGATGACAAAAGTCTTGAAACCGCACCCGGCATCAAATGGCTGGAGAGCACCCCGTGGAGAAAGAAATGGGGTTCATGTCAGATATTGGAGAAACACGGCTGAAAACTTTTTGAATACTTAAGTTCCAGCCTAATTCCAGAACGCCAAGGGTGTTAAGCGCTTGATTGACAGACGGTACGGAACTCTGATCTCCAACACGAGGGCTGGAGTCGTCTTCGAGAACCGCCATTCGTAGGAACCCGCACTGTCTCTGTGCACGAGGAGAACGAAAGGATTCATCAACATGAACTTTTCCCGCACCAATTGCTCGCCGAAAAAGAGGCCAAGAAGACTTCGTTCTATATCTAAGGCAGTCAGAATCAAACGCCGCCAAATGCCAAGCGTGAACGCGTCCGTCTGGGCAAAATGAACATGGATGATTCCGAAGTCATGCGGGGTAGGTAAAGGACTCTATTGGTGCGCATATACGATGATGACAATACACCAAGGCAAGAATTGGAGTTTTCGAAGTGAATGCCGGCTTGGTTCAGTACTTGTCATGATAATCATGGGGTTTGGCACTTGCTTGTTCGCAGTGGAGATCTCTAGGCACATTAGAGCACCAAAGTGAGAGTAACAATAGGCATATATGCCTAACGGTGAAAATACGTCAAGTCTTCGTTGTAAGGAAGGATATGGACCTGGTGATCTTTGGTGGACCGTATCAGAGCTCCCAATGATGGATAGGGCTTGGCAACTGCCGAACAATGCGGATTCGACAAGGATCAGACGCATGTCTTCCCCCTGGCGAGTGGTTGGGTCGTAAGTTGTAACTCGCTAGAGCCTCGGCATCTGGAGATTACTTGGCCACATTGGGATCGCTTAACTGGGTTACCTTTACCGATTCGTTGCAGACTCCAGATCTATACGCAGAGTGAAGTAGCGTTCGGCGGAAGATGTCCCGGGGAGATACCCTTGTTGGCACTTTCCAAGGACTTGACATCTTACATAGTACTTGCAGCGTTGTATAGGATATTATAGCAGAGCGGTGGGCTGACTTCTGTGAGCTTACCACGGCGAGGACCATCTGCACCCAATCTGTGATGAATGCAAGATCGTCTAGGAACAAAGAAGTATGCATATGATCACGGACTCTTATATGTATAAGAAGAGAGCAGGAGTGGACTGGTGCGATTTGGAGACAAGTTAAAGGCCTTCATCTCCCTGTACTCTGTGCTCTGGCGGACGACAACAACCAGAGACTAAAGTCTTCACATGTAAGACACCCCAGCTGAGAGCCACTGTGTATCTAGTTTCTTGACCGTGATACTCGATCTGAAACATGTATGGTCCGCATCTACCTGCTCCAGGCCGAAAGGACCTTAAGCGCCGGCGCAACAAACTAGACGCGAAGACCCAGCATTGGGTTCCTCGTCGCCGCATCACTCCACATACTTGGCAGTCTAGAGCTGCCTCGGCGCCCTTTAAACTGATAACTCCATATCCCAGCTGGCTGGGTAGATGCTCACCAGAAGAGACCCTACTTGCGGGCCAATGGGGAGACGAACAGTTTTTATAGTGAAACCTTGAGCAAACGCTGCCGTATTAGTGCCTGGCAGGTATATTCACACCAGCACTTGCATGGCCACAAACCGATCACCGTGGTAAGTTGCAGATTGCGGGTGGACAGGCCCAGCCAGGCGCTCGCGTGGTTTGATCAAACCCCTTATGGGGCGCTCAGATCATCTCCCTTGGAAATTCCCAGCTTGTAGACTATCTGATTTCGAACCTCACAACACCCTGCTCTCCCACCTTCCGCTGGAACCGGGGACCCGTTCCATGCTCTTCTTCTAGATTCAGCCGTAACGTACCATCTTTATGACGCTCAAAGCTCCCGGGCGCCAAAAGACCAGCCGCCTCGACGGCCTCACCTTGCATGAGTCCCGGGACGAAACACTCGCCCACAAACCGCCAGCTGCCTCCTTCCGCCGGCCGGAGGACGAAGGGCACGATGCCACCGAAAAGGACGGCCACGCGATCACCAGGCTGAGCAGCCGCCGGCCCCAGACCGAGCTTGCCATCTCCGCAGTGGAAGACCCGCCGGCCCCAGAGCGTGTTCAAGGAGCACAGCAGGATCTCCTTGGAAATGCCACCGCCGCTCTTCGCTGCTTTCTCCATGCGCTCGTCCGAGATGTGCAGGAGCTCGTTGGGTCTCCACGAGCTGCGCTCGCGCCAGTAGATGAGGAACTCGCCGAGGTGGTCGACCTGCGCCTTGTCGCCCGTCAACATCTCGACCGAGGACCGGATGCCGTACTTGCCGGGGACGCCGGTGGCTGCCGCGGCGCGGATTCCCTCCCTGACGATCTCCGCCTGTTGGGCCGGGTCCGTGAACCCGAAGATGGTGTACTGCTCGATCTTGGAGCTCCAGGAGGACCGGAGGAGGTTTTCCTCGTCGAGGAGCTGCCCCATGATGCGGCTCAGTGCGGCCCGGTCTTTCTCCCGGGTCATGGCCCGATGGCCGTGTTTGTGCCTAGTCATGAGCTCGCTCACTTCCGTGATGGGACTGCATTCGAGACCGTTCAGGTAAATACTCTTACCGTCTGGACTAAACGTGTTGTCGTCAGGGAAGAACAGTTCGCCGGCATTGGCATAGTATCCTTGCTCTTCTCTAAGAGCCAGCGGTTCAGCATTGTATGATTCGTTCCATTTGGGCACCCAAGACGGCCAGGAAGGGTCGAGGGTTGCACCATGCTGAATTGAGCTCAGCAAGCGTAAGTGCTGGTCCTGCTGTAGCATGCGTGTGGCAGCTCGTGTGTAAACAGATCGCAGGTCCTCAGTGTAATCAGGCTTCAAGAGGAGCCCTCGTCCCGGGTCGTTTCCAGAAAACGACATGCCCAGCAGCGCGTAGATGCGGTCTCTCGGATCCGTGGAGTCAAAAATCCCCACGGTGATACCAAGGATCGCAGATAAGTCGAGCCTCGAGAAGTGAGTGATGGCGCTATGTCTCGCTAGGGGAAGTACGTATATCAGGAAGGCATTGAATGCTGTGGTCATCGGTGCTCCAGCCTGAAAATCCCACCCTTTGGATAGTAGCCATGTCGCACATATTCCAACCAAAGGCCACGCTATATGGTGCTTGCCCCAGACCACTATTGCCGACTGCGACAAACTTAACTCCTGGATGATCCAAAAACGACGAAAGTAGTTTGATGAAAATAATGAGTGAAGTGCCGCCCAGGCATTCTGATTAACTCTTCTGTGGAGATATTCTCTGGCTCCAGAGCTCATGGGCTCAAAAGCTTCTGCGTAGCTGGTGTAAGCGAGCTTATTTCCGGGTGGCTTCCAAGAGCGCACAATGTCGCATACAGCCTTGAATGCTGCTGCGGCCTGCTGTGACTGGTCTGTACCAAGCCAGACCAGAACCCTAGTAGCCCCATGGAAAATGTCGCGCATGATAGAGACCTGCTGTCCACGCTCTTTGATATCCTCCTGATTGATGCACACTGCGTCTGCCCAGACGTATCTAGGCCGGTCATGATACCTCAATTGATTGAGTGCACCATGCAAATTGCTTGGAACCGGGACAGAGCTAGAGGCGCATGCCAGTTGGACCTTGTCCTGCGGGTCTCCCCAAGTATATGAAAGAGCTTCATACTCCGGGTTGTCTTGTAAGTCAACCAACACCAATGTCGTCCTCAGCTCTGCGGCAATGTCGCCTGGAGCCACACGAAGTAACCTGATGTTTGTCGCGTGAGGTAGTTTTTCGTAGAGAGAACCACGAGATTCATTCGGCCCGTGGAGATGCTTTACACCCTGGCGCCGCTCGTGTAACTGCGCGTCTAATGTTGTATGTACTGCATCATATCTACAATCGTTTGCGGCGTCTCCCGCAGAAAGCCATACCGCTCGCGCGAGGTGGGTGGCCTCGGTGGCAATTTCTGGCGCAACAGGATCACCCGGCTTTCTGTCCTTCGCAAAGCCAATAGCTTCTGGTTTCTCCGGCTGCTCACAATGCCCTTGCGCCAGAATTGCGCCTAATCCTCTAGTACCGCTATTTTCGGATTTTGTCGAGATTCCAACTTCGACTCCTCGGCGAACCCATATTCCAAATGTCCACTTGCTACCGTCTGGAGCCCAGCTGTGCGTGTGATCGTCTGCCACGATCGTGACGGAAACACTGGGTTCGAACCAGACAGGGAAGAGGAATGTGTCGCGGTCAAAAATGATGGTGAGAACTTCATTTTCCGCTTCGTCGGTGATTTCAATGTTGAGTAACGATACCGCCTCAGAACTGCGTTCAGGGAACTCGCCGATGTGACTTGCTTCCAGTTTAAGGCTTTGATACATATCCCAAAATACATGGCCGTACATTCGCCTGACATGATCACTCCAGTCATGCAGCGGTGATCCTGGAACCTCTCGACGGGGATCTACAGGAGACTCCAGGAGATTGTACCGGGTCCGTCGCCGCCAAAGGCCATCATCCCAAGCACGGCCGGGCACCGCACCTACTCATCCCACGCGGGTTAGCAATTTCTCAATCACACTGTTCCGGGAGCATTTTGGAGCACTATGGTGCTTTGAGAGCATGGATGATCAAACATAGTCCATCTCAGCTCCCGAGACAGCCCAAACAGGAAACAGGCGACCATGGATACTGACAGGTGATGTAGTTCCCATTTGCCTGCAACGCAAACTCGAATTCTCGGGCGAGGCCCGAGGTCTTATCTCGCGCCGTCTGCGCAAGTTCAGGAGGTTCGATCAGCCACAAGCGCCGTAGAGCTGTGGTTACGATCATGACGGGCATGTTGTCAGCAATGTCCACGGTCCGCAGGGTGGGACCCTCCCAGGTCTCAGGCGCTGCGACTCGGGTCATTTTGCCATGACTGATTTCATGAGCCATATTTTATCGATGTGGGATTGCCCATTCAAACAAGAAGCGAATATCAAGAATAGATGATCTTTTAAGTTGTGTGCATCAGGTTGATTGGGCTGAATTTCTCCATTGTGGCGGTGCTATATGATGCCTAGCAGCGTGCATCGCCTTACTGGCAATCCTGCCCTTCGAGCCCATTCCAATTTGCCGAGTTCAAGTCTGAAAATGACCCGGAATATCAAGATGCGAGTACGGTATCGGCCGTGCATGGTAGTTGTGATTTACGAAGTTGTGTACCCGGTAACTAATCAGACATGAATTCCGTTCTTGTGGTTGTGGTAATTAACTTGTGCCGTACAGATCCGTGGTCTGATTAACTAGGGGGCCTATGAATTGAGAGCTAGTCTAAGCAGGTTAAGTTAGCCATCTGCACTCAGTACCACCTGCTGTCGGCCTGTAAGGACGCAATGCTCAGAGCACTGCAAGTAGGTAGAGCTGCCACGAGATTGCGTTACATGATAATTGGCCAGAGGCCGCGCGCACCCATCTCTCAGTTCTGCAGCCGAATAACCTGGTCACGAATGCTGTCGTGCAATTGATATAAAGTACCGGGGTCTCGGGATACTATCTGTATGTGGTGGCTGCCGCTGCGAAACTTAGCGGGATGTTATTTCACGGTCAGATGACTTTGACAGGCAGCAAATGAATCTTTGCCAACTGCCCACATGCCCCCACTCGTCGGCGTCATTCGTTATTCGTCATTCACCATTCGTGGCTGGAGAGAGACAGAGAGAGACAGTCAGAGAAGGCTGAGAGGGAGAGAGCCTCATTTCTCTGAGAGGCAAGCCACGCGATAACGACGCTGTTCTCGCCATTGGACATTGCTTTTGTGTCCGGGGTGTCGTGATTCGATTTGATGGGTCTCTGGGTCTTTTACAGGCAAGTCCTCGACTCGCAATTGAGGCTAACAGAGCAGCCAACTGCAACAGTAGACGGTCTAACTAATGTAGAGCAGGCCCTTTTTTTTCTGGGTCCAATGCGGTCACTGATCCATCTCCAGCTTAGATTCCATGGATCACACTGAAGGAGAAATCTGCTAACGTCGACGCGACTCACACCAACCTCCAAATGTTGGCTACGATACTACGGACCTGTAGATAGACTGGGCCGAACCTTCATTCTATTCACCATATCATCCTCAAGGATCCCATCGCACCCCTCCTCTTTCCGCGACCCCGAGTCAGCACTTGCGCATCAACTTGCACCTGTAGCTGCTGAGTCAAAGCGACCTCCGATAAGCATAGCAAGCTCAAAGGACAGAGGGGGGAGTAGTTGTAACGTTGGCCTTGACACGGCTACTGCTCATCTTGGAGGCGAAGAGTACGAACTCGTCGACTACGGCCATCTATCGGCCAAGAAAGACCACGACGACAGGGATCTACGCCGACAAGCCAAGCGAGACGCGAAGAGACGCTGGCTGGTCCAACGAGACGAGATGAAGTTTTCGCACAGCATTCAGTTCAATGCTGTCCCCGATTGGAGCAACCACTATGTCGGCTACAGCAACTTGAAGAAGCTGTAAGCATACCGCTTCCATTGGCATCCCCCGAGCCAGCGTGACCGCCGGGCCAGTGTTCAATTGAGAGGGACACACGGGAAGAGCCTTGACCCGCAATCGCTAACACATGTGCCAGCATTTTCAACCTCGAAAAGACCCTGCATCAAACCGGAACCGGCGACGCCGAGTCGAGACCGCTCCTCCAAAATGAAGATCCCGAATCCGTCTTCGCTCGAGCTCTCGATGTAGAATTAGAAAAGATCACGTCCTTCTACCAGATCAAAGAGAAGGAAATCTTGGATGAGGTCGAGACACTTCTGCGCGACATTGGTTCTTACGAGGAGAACGGGGAGAACGGCTTCGACGCGGCGCCTAAACCCCCCTCCGGACCCAGCGCCGACCATGTCAGACAAGTCGCCAGTGGTAGGGGCGCCCGCAGCGCCAGCGCCAGGTCCACTGAGGACGGTGTTGAAGACAGCGACAGCGGCGACGACGACGACGAGACCTCGGCCTTGACCAAGAAGCCGCGGTCGGCATCGCGGCGCAAGACGGTGCCCAACGTCATGCTCGCCTCTACCGACATGTCGGCATCCACTGAATTTCCACGATCGGCGCGGCGGGCCAGTCTGGCTGCCTACGATGATTATGCCGAGATCGGTTCCAAGTTTTCGTCGGGCATTATGATCAAGAAGCGCATCATCGCCTTGTACGTCCAGCTCTGTGAGCTCAAGTCGTACGTACAACTCAACCAGACCGGCTTCCGCAAGGTCCTGAAGAAGTTCGACAAGATCATCGACAGGAATCTCCGTCCTAAATACATGTCCAACGTTGTTGAGCCCGCTTACCCCTTCACGCGGGACACGCTAGAACGGCTCGACGAGAACATCGGCGAGGTGGAGAGCGCCTATGCCGCAATTGTCACTGAGGGAGATCTTGAACTTGCCAAGAAGGACCTTCGTTCTCACCTCAGAGAACACGTTGTCTGGGAGCGCAACACGGTCTGGCGTGACCTGATTGGTATCGAGCGGCGCGCTGAGGCTGCCAGCCTCGGTCGAGGTCTGCTCGGTGCCCAGAACGATGGAATGAAAACACGACTGCAAGGAGATGACCTCCCAGTTCCTCCTACCAAGGAGATCGAGACACCCCTAGGACGTTTGACCTGTCCGACATGGGTCTTTGGAGGACCTATGATTAAGCTGCTCGTCATCATCGCTATTTTCATAGTCTTACTTGTTGTGCCTATCATGACACTACCAGAACAGCAAAACTGTTTGGCCATGTTGGTTTTTGTCAGCTTACTATGGGCAACTGAGGTTTGTTGGGTTTCCAAGATTTACGCTGTCAATACGCTGACCTCCTGTCAAGGCTATACCCCTTTTCGTCACATCTCTGATCATCCCGTTCCTATGCGTCGTCCTGAATGTCGTTCGGGCCGACGAAGCTCCTAACCAAAGACTGGACTCGAAAGCTGCTGCCGCCTACATCTTTTCTGCTATGTGGACTCCCGTCATCATGCTGCTGCTTGGTGGCTTCACGGTTGCCGGTGCTCTCTCCAAAGCCAAGATCGACAAGCGCATCGCCACTTTTGTTCTTAGCAAGGCCGGCACGAAGCCGAGAACTGTCCTTGTAGCCAACATGTTCGTAGCTGCTTTTGCTAGCATGCTTGTCAGTAACGTTGCGGCACCAGTACTGTGCTTCTCTATCATCGAGGTAAGTTGACTGGTCGTGGTCATTCCCCACAGCGCTGACGTGTATCGATAGCCCATGCTGAGAAACCTGCCTTCTGATTCCAACATGTCAAAGGCTGTTATTATGGGCATTGCGTTGGCCTCCAATGTCGGTGGAATGCTGTCCCCTATCGCCTCACCACAAAACGTTGTCGCATTTGGCTTCATGGAACCGGCACCTACCTGGGGACAGTGGTTCTTCGTTGCCATCCCGGTTGGGATCCTCTCCATCCTCTGCATCTGGGTCCTGCTTCTCGTGACGTTCAAGCCCGGCAGGGGCACGACTATCGTGCCGATCCGAACGATGAAGGAAGATTTCACGATTGGGCAGTGGTTCGTCTCGATTGTCTGCTTGGCAACCATTGGTCTGTGGTGCGCGAGCCATCAACTCGAGTTTGCCTTTGGTGACATGGGTGTCATTGCAATCATTCCGATCGTCATCTTCTTCGGGATTGGCATCCTGACCAAGGAAGACTTCAACAACTTTCCGTGGACCATCATCATTCTGGCTGCCGGTGGCTTGTCCCTCGGTAAGGCCGTCAAGTCTTCTGGCCTGCTGCACACGGTGGCCGAGGGCATCTCGTCGGAGGTGAACGGCATGAGCTTGTATGGAGTCCTGCTCATTTTCAGCGTGCTGACTGGCATCGTTGCTACGTTTATCAGCCACACGGTTGCTGCCCTAATTATCCTGCCGCTGGTCGCGTCTATTGGCAAGGATATGGAGGAGCCGCATCCGAACTTGCTGGTCATGAGCGCTGCTCTCATGTGCTCGGCTGCAATGGCCCTGCCTACCTCTGGCTTCCCAAACATGAGTAAGTTCTCCTTCTTTGGTCCTGACCCGCAGATAGGCGCCTGAATGTATTCGTGCTAACACGGTGGTTCGCAGCTGCCATCATGAAGGAGGATGCTACTGGCCAGCGATACCTGACGGTCAAACACTTCATCACCCGTGGTTTCCCAAGCACTGTCATCACTCTGGTTATCGTGGTGACCGTTGGCTATGGTGCCATGAGGGTAATTGGCCTGTAAGAAGGCCGAGGAACGGATGGGTTTGAGAGTAAAGTTATTGTATATAGGCTCGAGGGGCCATTCGATGTAAATTGCTCTTGTCGCACGGGCAGCAGGAAACAGGAGACAGGAAACACGTTATCGGGCGCATTGGAGTTTGACGTAGCAGAGCATGATTAGATCCGGAGTCAGTCTTACGATATAAATATGGCTTTGATTCATCACACCCTTCTCTCTATCCTACTAGCAGACTGAGTCGAAAGAGAAGAGTTCGGATGATGTTTATTGTATCCCATGCCGTCAAATGACAAACCCAAACTGGTTTAACTTGGGGTAAATGTGTGTGGCACTTTTGCACACCCTCCGTCACAGGCCAGGGTGGAGTTTTGAGGCTCTTGGATCATGTAATCCGCAACGCGGGGGAGCATGGAGGGGAACAGAGCCGATTGAATGTATGACTGACTGAAATGATTGTTTGTTTGCTTGATTGACTGACCGATCTGATCGACTAAGGTTAGTCTAGGTTAGTCTGATGTTAGTCTAATGTTAGTCTAGCGCACCATTTTGACGCAGCAAACCTTGGACACAACAAGGACATCATGATCATGCCGGTCCCCACGTCGCATTGCCAAACGTCTGTCTGTTTCTTGTCCCATTTCCTTTCCCCCATGGAACATTTGTTATCTTGCCGTTACCATAGCCCAGGGCGTACCTGATTTGGGAGAAGGAGAAGGAAAAGGAGGAAAAAGATACAGAAGGGCGCAGTAAGCGGAACTACGTACAGTATCACTTAGGTACACATCTAAAGAAGGGCGCCTCTCAGTTTGTTTCAGCCCTAGTCCGAGTTACAAGTTAGCAGAAAGCCCGTCCATCGCCCATCTCAAACTCTCAGCTCTCAGCTCTCACGGCGAGGCGAGACGAGACGAGGACGTGTCAGTAGTCACACAAAGAAAGAAAGAAACCCTTCAAGACGCCGCAACCGAAACGTGCTTGTGTGTAATACATCCACACTCAAGAATAATCCACCCGCGCAACATTGAATTCTCCCGAACCCTTCTCCCCGTTTACGAATCAGACACCATTTGATCCGGGCAACTTGGATGCGACGCCCATCTCATCTGCTCCGAATCCAAGATGTGACGAAGTCCCACGAATATTGTTGATAGTCAGCACACCACAACTCCACGGCGACAATGCAGCCCAGCCGTACCCAGCGCGCACCGGGCTCATTCTCGCCCTTGCCGGGCAGCGTCTCCCTGTCCTCGTCGGCAGCAGTAGCCGCCGCCGCAGCATCGTCATCATCATCCAGCAACAATGCACGCCTAGATGATGCCGGCCCCCCACCGCCTCTGCGACCCGCCCCCCAACCTTACCAGACCACCTCTTCCTCACAGTTCTCCTCCTCCTCCTCCAGACCCTTGATCCGTCGAATCGAGTCCTCGAGCAGCGAAGGCGACAATGCGACGACGTCACAGATCTCCCTCCCCAAAATCCGGAGCCCTCAGTCCCCCGTGAGCACGGGGGGCGGTGGCGGCATCACGAGTCCCACGAGCGCCTATGCGAGCTTCACGCAGCTCTCTAACAACAGCTCCAGCAGCCTGCACAACTTCTCCCGCCCAGGCATGCGCTCCAACCAGAGCACCTACGAGAGCAGCGCCAGCAGCGCGCGCACGGCGAGCCCGTTGCCGCCGAGGGGGGGGCTAGGTCTCCATGCGAGGAAGCATTCACAAAGCCAGGGCCTGTTCGATACAAGCTTGGGCAGTAAGAGTACGCTGAGTCTTTCGACGTCCAACCTGCCACAGGAAGGCATGGCGGAGCGGAGGGGCAGTGGCAGCATTCGGTCCCCCTCGGGTGTCTTACCCGCGAGCCATATTGCCGCCCAGGCCGCGGTCCAGCAACACCAGCAGCACAGCCGGCATCGATCTCAGACTGTGCCGTTCCCGGGGAGCGAGGCGCAAGATCTGAGGCGACCTGCGGCGAGACCGGTACAGGGAGGAGGATCCGAGGCCGGCGGCAGCAGCCGCGGACCTCTCAGTCCACCAGTACTCAGTCTCACAGAAGCCAGCGTTCCCCGAGATGGCGGTGCTCTGCTGGGTCCAACGAGAAGCAACGAACAGGCATACCAAAATGCGTTGCTGGGAGGGTATTCATCGGCTGCCACGGCTGCGGCGAACATGGTCTTTCCGAGAGCATCACCACAGTCTTCACCGAGCATACCGACGCCAGATCAGGCACATCAATCCTCGTCGTTCTTGCCGCCATTATCTATACCAGAGAAGCCGGCTAAGGCCGAAAAATCCAAAGTCAAGCTCTTCTCGCGACCAAAGAAGATCGACATCAAGGGCGAGTCGAAAGAGAAGCCGCTCCCGAGTCCGGGCAAGATTGGCTCGGCTCTGGCATCACTACAGAGAGGGAACTTCAGCACGGCAAGTCTTGTGGAGAGCCAGTCCATGTACAGCTTGGCCAACTCCTCTTCCGCCACTATACGACCTATCGAGACGCCCTTAGAAGGACCAGCTGCCAAAGAGAAGGAGAAGAAGCACCACTTTCTGTCTAGGCAAAAACACAAGATCTCTGGCAAGGAGGACTACCACCTGCCTCTATCCTCCGCGGCCAGCAATAGCCGTCCAGTCGACCCCAACGCGCCAAGTAGTCTATACAACTTCAACCTGCCACCCTCCAGCCCTGGGCCAACGAGCACTAGTTTCAGCAAGTCTGTCTCCGGGCTCGATCTTCGACATGGTGGGCGGGCTCTGCGCGACAAGCGGAAGGAGGAGAAACTCGTCATGGCGCATGACAACGAATCTGTCTTCACCCTGAACCCTCCCACCAGCAACTCGGAATGGCCCGGCCCCAGCTCGCTGGGCTCCAGTCTCACACAGACACAGAGCAATCATACGCTTGCCATGTACGATCCTGTGGATGGTTCCAAGTATGGACTGCACAACATGACGCTTGACGACGCATGGCCCTACCTCAAGGCGAAGCTGCTCGTCGTTTTCGAGGGCGAGGATTTGAGGTTGCCGATCGAGGACTTCAACCGGGTCGTCACTCTGCACATTCAGTGGTGCATCAAGCGGAACGCGCCCAATATCATTCTTGAAGACTTGCGAGAGTTGCTGTCTACCGGATTCGCGAGTCTCGATCATACACTTCGCAAGAGCGGTACCGAGGATACGAACCGACTCATCCCCGCACTCGTCGATGTCTGGATGGCCACGTTCACGAGTATCCTGCCCTACATGCAGGCCGTCTTCTTGCCTCTCGACCTCGAGTTCTCCGGCACCGGCCCCCTCCTGACGGCAGAGCAGGCCCGTGATTTCTGGGGCGGCGTGGCGGGCAGTCACGGCACGCCGGCGAAAGAGCTGGGGTCCGTCCTAGACATCAGGAGACTGGTCATCATCGCCTTTCGGGACGCCCTGATCCTGCCTCGCTACGACAAGCTAAAAACCATCTTCTCGCGCCTCAGCCTCGAGCACCTCCCCTCCAGCCTGGCCAGCCTGGCCCTAGCGAGCCCGCCTCCCATCAGCGAGGGCGTCATGTCGAGCTCCCCGCGCGACGCCGCCTCGGTCCTCGACATGCAGATGCGCCCCGGCACCGCCATGTCCCTCGACCCCTCGATCGCCTCCTACAACAGCTCCAGCAGCACCCTGCTCAACGACGGCGCCGGCAGCGGCAGCGGTGGCAACGGCAGCAACCCCTCGCGCAGCCGCGCCATCTCCAACGTCAGCTTCGGCTCCGCCGGCTCCGGCACCGACCACCTCCTTCGGCCCTTCGTGTCGAGGGGCCGCGCCGACTCGGACAGGGAGCGGAACAATCGCGATCGCGATCGCGACCAGGAGGCCGAGATGGGATCCAAACAGGTCACGGACATGGTCGGCCGCATGCTGCAGTGCATGTCCGTTCTCGCGTCCGTGGCCAGCCGCGACGAGGATACCGGGAGGGAGGACGCCGGGTCCAGGCAGGTCGCGGAGCTGGGAAGGCTGCTGAAGCTCAACTGGCTGGGTCGCGGTCGCACAGGGCGCAACAGGAGGGGCATGGTCGGTGGCAGGATCAACCTGAAGAGGGATGTGAGTAGTCAGCGCAGTATAGGCGGCGGCGGAGCGGGTGGTGGCCATAGCAGGGCCAATAGTGCCCTGGGAGGCGGAGGAGGAGTGGGATTGGGGTTGGGCATTAGGGAGGGGGTCGGGGTCTCTGGTTGAGAGTCGTGTTCTTTGTGGTTGTAGGATGCTTGTATGTATCTATGTATCTATGTATGTACGTATGGAAGAAGGAGGGAGAGACTCGAAGGCAACTCGGTATGATCAATGGCGTTTATGAAAACAAAGAGATCGCAGGGCATCTCATGAAGTCGGTAACCGAGGGTACATAGGCCGGAACTAGAGCGATGAAAAGACCTGGAGCAAAACACTGTGACTTGCTGCTGCTGCTGTGAAGGGAGCGACGTCGAGTGTTTCTATCTTGTGGTGTACGTGCAGCTCACGTGAATAGAACACACATGATATAAATCTATCAGTGAACCATCTGAACGCTGTGGTTGCATGTTTATTTCTCGTCTCTTTTCTATCCAAGTTCTTTTTTAAAATATAGTCTCTCCAATCTAGTCTAGTCGAGCTTTTGAAAAGGTACGCTTCTAGATTCCCCACGGTAGGAGATAAACACACCCGTGTTGTTCTTTTGGACGACCGTGAACATCGACGTCATTCCCAGAGGCGCTAGAGAAACCATTAGCAAAAACAGGGGGGGGGGGGGGGGGGGGGGAAAGAAAAAAAGGAAGAGGAGACTGATATACCTCTTTTTCCCCTAAGTTTTTTTTTTTTTTTTTTTTTTTTAAAGGGTCGGGGTGGGGGTTCTTCAAACCATTGTTTGGTTGCGCACCTGGGGTGCCTCTCCCTGCCGCCTTGCTAGGTGCTTTATACTACACATCTACGCGGCCTCCTCGACACCTTGCGGCCCTACATCTTCCCAAAGATGTGACAGTTTCAAGTGGGAAAGAAAAACCCAGTCCTTGAACGATGGAATGGCGTTACCCAATCTAGGCGCACGAGGTCGCGGGCGTCGTCTTGCGGTGCGAACAGTATTCACAGGAATTATCTTGATGTTCTCGTGAGCGGCTGATCAGCCGTGCTCAGCCGTCGGCAGGATACGAAATCCGGGCAGGTATGAGTCCAATCAAGCCATTCAGGTCAAGCGCATCGGTCAACGTTGGAGGTCAGGGCAGTCTACGTACGAGCAATTACACATTCACTGATTCAAAAGTTAAAGCAATTATGTGAAATGTTGACCAGATATGATGGACCCCAACCTCCACTGCCACGATGGGCGAGAAAGTTACGGTGAGTAATTGGTCTGTTCAATCTTCCTTGACTAAAAATAGAAAACATCCCACGGAGATTGTAGGGATGCCTCAGAGTGTCGCAAGGTGCAAAAAGCCGCTGGAAAGCAACGGAGAAAATTCACGGGCATGGTTGCTGCGGGCGAAGATGAAAAGTGTGTATTGACTATGCTGCGAGATACCCATGGTCGCGGAGCGCTCCAGCTGGGGGAGAGACGCAGGTGAAGGCAGTGTAGACGAGACGACGGGGCCTGGATGAGCCAGCAACGAATTACCTGCCAATGGCTTGTTAGCAATTAATCATCTACGTGAATGACAAGGTGACGAATGCTAAATGTGTTTGTCTTCATACATCCAAGGAAGGTATTGCTGCCCTCATCTGCTGTCTAAAAGGCTCGAAGCGACAGCTCAAGTGGAAACTGCGAATAGGTGGAAATTTGAATCACTAGATCTTGTGTGGGTTGTGCGCCATGTGAAAGAAATGTTGACTAACCTTTTGAGAAAATGATGCTATGCAGCCTACAGGCTGGTTGGTTAGTTGACAGAAAAAGTCGTTGCGCAGAGCAACGCCAAGCAAGCGAGAAGGTCGAGCAAGATGCAAGAGAATTCTATGGGCATGTTCTGTGAAGAGGATGTTAGCTGGAAAGCTCGCTTGTCTCATATCGCACACGCGCGATTCCAGTGCCTGCTCCTCGAGCCAGATGCACCAAGATTGGTGAAATGGCAATCAGACAGCTTTACTGGCAAGTAACAGCCTCATAAGAGACCGTACAGTCATGATTTCTTCATGGTCGATTCAGTAAGGAAAAGAAGTGTTGTATGAATTGTCATCCGTTGAGAGAAGAGGAAGGAAGCTTTTGCGCGGCGAAGGAGAATGCAGCTTACCATTTCTATTGTAAAACGAAGAGCTTCTGCTTACCGAGCTCATGGTAATTCGTAGATCTTGTAGCAAGCTGAGAAGCTGTGCGGAACGTCCATGATGAGAGTTGTTGACAGAAAGAGAAATGGTGAAAAGACTGAGGTGAGGTCGGATATTTGAAGCTCTGCAAGAGTGGATTGAAGAGCGCAGAAAAAAACTAAGTGGAGTGCTGGGATGCGTGGGGCCGGCGGCGAATATATTGTTCCGTCCCGAGGTCTTTTTTCCAGAATTTCTACAATGGACAGCGCACCTGCAAGGTGCCAGACGCCCGGCGGCTGGAGCACTAGCCTCGTGCCTAGTCTAGTTTGAATCCAAGCTTCACATGGCGGAGCTGTCCACCCCAAATATAGAACATGCGATAGTTGCAATTGTTGTCTGTGGTCAAAACATGCAAGGGGGCCAGTCCTCCTCATCTTCAGATGATAATAAACAACAGCAGAAGACTCTCAACTATGTGGCTATCTACCTCTTTGTATGATACAGTCGTACATCACTCCGATGTCGACGCGCGTTTCAGTCAACATTTTAGCTTTTGTAGCCGAACTCGGAATCTTATTTCAATGCATGTCACAGCTGCAAGTAGATGTCAGGCCATGCATCCTCCAAGCTGTATTCTTGTATCGAAGCTGTTTCCTGATTTTCATGCTCACCGAAGTTTCCTAGGCCTCCAACATTCTAGATTTATAAAATGGAGATCACAGTTCGTGATCCTGTCTACTAGGACTTCTCCGACTCTGCTTTGAAAACTTTGGTTGTTTTCGGTAGTAATTGTGATTCGTGAGTAATTACTTGTTCCAGACCTACCAACAGCCTTTTGCTCACTCCGTTGTATAAACTGAAGGACCCTCCACACTAATTAATACCTTGCTGGTCCGCCTCCAAGGCCATCTTTCTTTCTTCCTTTCTCTCTATCAATCAGGGACCGGACTTGGGTTCTCTCCGAAAAAGAGCCCTTTCGAAAGCACACCAGTCACGAAGATAAGCCCAAGTACACCCAAGACTACATACATCATCATCATCATCATCATAGTTATTCTGTTCCATTCCTTGGTTGTCTTCGAGTCAGTATCTAGCGGTTGGGAGCTTGGACAGATCGACGATTCGACAAAAGACCTGAACCCACTTCGGGGAATATTATAAGTGGTCCGGTCAGGTGCTTGAGTTTCAGTGAGTGTCGCTTTTGCGTACATGGTCCCGTCTACTGTGGTTTACACAGCAACACAAAAGCATTCTTTCTCTCGAGTCTAGAAGCGATTCGGGCACATATCAAGGTTGCGAGGGCCAGTGGTAACAAGGAACTGACCCGATCAAAGCGAAAGCAGATATTAGTGCAAGAGTTTGGTACTTGGACAGTGCCTCCTCGCCATTGCCTAGCTGCCGATCCTCCATTATACAAGCTTTCAAGTAAGCAATATTCGAGTTCAAGGAACAGCTCGGCACTATCGTCTTATCCGGTGCTCATCGCTGCAGCTGCCAGGTTCGTCTGGCGGGGGTGTCATTGGTTGGATGTGGGGAGGGTTTGCAACGGAGAAACAGTTTATTCTTGACCGATCGTCCAATCACCCAATCAGCAAAGCTCCCAAGTGGATTCTGCACCCCCAATCCCATTCTGGGCCTCGTTCCCTTACCATTCTCCATACCCTCGCATTCTCCCACTGTCCTGTTGCTTACTCCCGTCTCCCTACCACCCAGACCAGAACCAGGGGCAGCAGACCAGACCAAACCAGACCGGACGCCAGACGCCAGACGCACTGCACTTGCACTTGCACTGCACCGATCCGAGCCTGGGGGTCGATTCTTCCCTTTTTCTTCCTCCTCCCTGGGTTTCCTACCTTAGGTGTCTGTTACCCGCCATTTCGACCCCTACTTCCTATAAAACCATTGCATTGCTATTACTGCAGTCTTTGCTTTTGGCGCCCACTGCGTGCGACTGTCGCTCGCTTCTTATTTATATTATTTCCTCCCTCGCCAAAAGAAACATTAGAGGGAGCTACTGTAAGCAGCCCAGCTCCAGCTCCAGCTCCAACAGGGTTAACCTGGAGCTTTGGCTTCAGTGCTCAGTGCCTCAGTGCTGCAAGTTCTCAGCACCGCCAGTGCGCCCGTAGAGCTGCCCAACTTCGAAATACCACCCACAATTCAACGAGTGGGTCGACCAGCCGCGCGAACTTGAGGTGCGAGGCCCAGGACAGGGAAGGACAAGAGACGCAGCCCGTTCTCACTTTCACCCCCAAGACAGAGAGAGAGAGAGAGAGAGTCACACACACCACACACACACACACAACCACGCCATCATCTTGCGCCCATCGCATAAGCAGCACCAACTTCGCCAGTCAAAAACCTCACGATCTACTCACCCACTACTTTGCATTTTTCGCATCCTATCCAGCCATACTTGCACTTTGAATTGGCGCACATCGCTCAACTGACGCGCTTCAACATTGTCGCTCAACGGTCAATCGCGTCCCACCGTTAGCACTCGATTCCGTAGCGCGCTGATCCTCCAGACCTTTCGCACGGCCTTGTCGTCTGCCGGACCGACACAATCGCATGTCTTGCTCATAGCATCACCTATCACGACCACGACTCTTCTACGAGTGCATGATATAGTAGTGTTGGGAGCTTGGGTGTCGATATCCACCAAGGTGGATCATCGACAAGACGAATAGACATGATGGCTAGCATGCCTGGAGGCCCGGCATTTCATCCCGGAATGCCACAGGGAGTTCAGCCTGGACATGCCATGGCCCCTGGTATGGCTCACAATCCAAGCCAACCCGGCGCTCACCCGGGTATGGCTCCCCAGATGGCCGGTCACATGGTATCTGGCCCTGGTGGACAACCCAATCCCGCCGCCTTCATGCCTGGAATGCATCCCGGCAATGCACACGGTCAGGCTATGCAGCAGCTAAACCCTCAGTTCCTCCAACAGCAACAGGCCCAGCAGGCGCAGATGAGTATGTCCACCATGCCTCTCCGTGTTCTCGGGGGAAACGCTAACCTGACTCTTTCTGCAGTGGCCGCTCAGCAGAACCCGGCCATCGCGGCGCAAATGCGACAGCAGCAAATGGTCTTGCAACACCGACAGCAGCAGATGGCTATGCAGCAAGCAGCACAGCAAGGCATGTATGGCAACATGGCAGGAGCAAATGGAATGCCCATGGGACAGCAGATGGGTCAGATGCAACAGATGACTGCCCAGCAGTTTGCTCAGATGAGGAATAATATGCAGGGCGGGATGCGACCTGTTGGCGTCCCAGCGCATCTTCAGCAAGCACAGATGGCGGCACAGCAGGGACAGCACCCTTCCCACCAAGCCCAGCAGCAAGCTGTAAGTCCACTCCTTAATCAATTTAGCCTCGGGGAATATCGCTTTGAGTAAGCTAACAAGGACTCAAGATGATGCAACATCTCTTGCAGCAACAGCAGCAGCAGCAGCATCAGCAGCAACAGCAGCAGCAGCAACAACAACAGCAGCAACAGCAGCAGCAGCAGCAGCAGCAACAGCAGCAGCAGCAACAGCAACAGCAGCAACAGCAGCAGCAGCAGCAGCAGCAGCAACAGCAACAGCAGCAACAGCAACAAATGCAGCACGCGAACCAGCCCGGGCATCCGGCGCATATGAACCCGCAACAGCATATGATGCAGCAGAACGCTATTGCTCAGCAAATGGCCACTTTGGCTCAGCAACAACAAGCTCAACAAGCACAACAAGCTCAGCAAGCCGCCCAAAGCCAACAGCAGCAACAGCAGCAACATGCCGCAGCAGCTGCTGCTGCTGCCGCCCAGCAAAATCAATCCCAAGGACAACCACCGCCAGCTCAACCTGCGCGAGTCGGGACGCCAGCCCAACCCACGACGCAACCACCACAACAGACACCTACCCCAGCTGGAGGCCAACCAAGTCAGCCGCCACCCCAACCCACAAGCACAGCACCAGCAAGCCAACCTGGACAACCAGCACCAGCGCCGCCAGGACCACAACCCAATCCGCAGCAACCTCAACAACCTCAGCAGCCTAATATCCAAATTCTTCAGGCAGCTGCCCAGAACCAACAGCAGAAGCACTACCTGCAGCAGATGCAGCAACAGCAACAACTACAGAAGAATGAAAACAAGATGAAGGGACAATGTATACTTGTGCTTGTATCCTTTGCGGACCATCTTTATGATTTTGAGGTAAGCTCTCCAGTCAAGCCTTGTTAGATGAACAAATGCTAAGTTTCATAGCCTTCCGTCGATGGTGGCGACGAAAATTACTGGACAACATTTGTCTCGCTCTTTTTTTCGCCTATTGGCAAGTTTCGCTATGGGTTGGTAGAAAACAGCCAAGAGTCTACTCAGAAGACATACGAGATACTCACGCCTGCACTCCCGAAATATTTTCAGAAGCATTTTGAAGGTGGGATAACACACATTTCACTGACGCTCGGCTCCAAAATTGTCGATAAAAGTCTACCGGATGGAAGTCACTACCTGGAACTTCATGAAGCATGCTTTACCTATTCGTTTGGAGAAAGCACCAAGGTTTTGACCACCGGACGACTACAGGCCATCTTCGACCAGAACCAGAGATTAACACTGTTCGAATTCACTACTATTCATCAGGAGGAGTACGTGTCTCGACAGATGGTCATTGCAGCTGCTAAGCCGATGCACAACTGGGGTAAAGAATGGCACGCTATGAATGGCGGAGACGGGAAACAGTCCCCCGAGATGAGCAAGAAGGGCAAGTCCAAAAGCTTGAAATCACCCCCAACAGCTCCACCTGGATTCGACATTCCTCATTCTCGGGTTCAACAAATGGGTGTACCTTCGACGATTTTCCAGTACCTCGAGATTGCAGAGGTTATGAATCTGCTTGACCCCCTCATGGAGTACTCGATGCAGAACAACATACCTTCCGCATACACGGCCTTGTCTGCGTACAATAACCAGAACATCACCAATGGACCCGTACAGCCCATGATGAATGGGCAACCTGGCAATGTGACAGGCAATCCTCGAACTCCAAGTCTCGGCCAGTTTAACATGGGAGCTTCGCCTGCAGCAGTTCATCAGCAGCTTGGTGGCTCACCGCATATGAGCGCGAGCCCTGCTCTCGGCCATATGCAGGCTCCAGGCATGGCTCTACAGCAGAGTCAACAAGGCACCAGCTCAAGCGGACCCAGCGCCAACACTAGCCCAGCTAGCAACAAGCGCCGAAGGCCGTCGGGTGTCAAGAACGAGGACGAGAACGGTGCTCCTACCCCGGCAAGCATGGGCGGACCGGCTCAAGTGAATGGCATTGGCAACAAAACCAAACCTGCGACACCTCGGATTCAGAAGCGCATGAAAGGCAGCTCCTAGGTTCGGCTGCCGCTGCTTGTCGAAGGCCAGTCGCAATTATGATTAAAAATAGGCGATTGCTTTGAAGCTCGGGTTTTGGTTGTCTTTCCATCATGTATATGGCGACGGAGTAATATCGGGGGTATTGATTGGTTATACGGCATACCCCTTTTTGTACGATATCATCTATCACGGACGAATTGGGCGTCGGGCGTCCGCATCTTTGCTGGCTTGTCCTTTTTTCCGTCAGTACTACTCATTTTGCATTTTTCTGGTGGTCTGGTTGTTGCGCGGCGAATGGAAACTTTCAAAAGGGGTTGCGAAGAGATGAGACTACATAGCCCTGCTTTTCGAGGGTTTTCTGGATACTGTTGCCCTATGCATACCCCTTTGATGTTCTTTTTTTTTAACACCTAAAAGATACTCGTTGGATATTTGATGCATCATATTCATGTCTTCAAGGAGTTAGCGGCGTTACTTGTGACGACCTATCCCATCCCACCGCTGACATGCAAACCGATGGTCATGATACCCCTGGCATCCCTTCCAGAACGGTTGATGATTCATGTCGTTCTTACCGGAGCGAAAAACCTTATTGGTACTCAGTGCTGGTGTTTGTAGATTCTCATTTCCTCTGCTTGCTTGAAATGCCCGATGCGGTCCTTACCTTCTCGCACGGAGATCTATATATGTTGTCAAGGAAGCCGGAAAGCGATTTTTTCGAGGAAAGAGAAAAGAAAGAATGTATCCCGTCTCTGCAATACCATATGAGATCTTATATTTACCATCCAGCCTAACACAGTCCCAGATATATCTCGTCCATACTATGATGTATGCTACATTTGATCCTGCAAATATTACGAAAGACGGCAACGGTGTCTCTTTGCGTTCTGAGCGACTTTGTAGGTATTAGTCAATAAGCTACGGAAATGTTGTATGCTACCAATCGATTGCATTCAGTCAGCCATGCGTGCGTCACGCCACGAGGGTATCTTGTTCCGCAAAGGATCTGCTGGGTCCTTGCTGGTGGCAGCATATTTATGTAACCTAGTTAGTTTGGCAGGCGCCCAATCTTGGGGCGGGATATGTTATGGGATGTATCGTTTATGTTTCTTTCTTTTCTTTTATTGCTCCTCAACATTTCATCTTTATTCTTTCCGCATAGTCTGATCCTTGGTTCCTCGGTTTGTCTACTTCAAATTTGTCCATCACTACCGCCTCAATCAAACATCCAAGGAATCTCTCGGCTGCTATAACACACCTGACTAACCTTTCCATCACGATCCCACGGGCGATGCGAATCAGACGGGGCCAGCTAGTCCTCTGTGCGGAACGGTAGATCTCGGGTCGTGGTTTCTGAGGTTGCCCTCCTATGCGCGCATGTGGTTGTTTCTGTAATGATGAAGGTGGGCCCGCTTACTTCTTCTGGCTTTGGATTCGAATGGAGCTCAGGATTGGTCTTCTGTATGTGGGAGAATCGCACTCTTGTGGATGCTGCTCCGAATACTTATGCGTTTAAGAAGACCAACCGACCCGTGAGTAATATTGCTGGACTAAAAAGTAAGCCCGCTGAATGTCCGTGGTAAGTGTCGCTCTTGTCCAAATTACATAACAATGCTAAAGCTGGTGCAGCGCTGTCATTTTACTTGTGGGATCATGTTCAAGCGGGCCGAAATGGGCGGAGAAGGCTCTCAGGTGTGTGAGCAGGGCACACGCCTGAGCAGATTTGGTGAGGAAAGAGTCGATCGTAGAGTGCTTCCTCATTTCGCGCAGGGGATCCAGAAGGACTAATTCGAACTCACGGACGAGCGGTGTCGGAGAGGGTGTGAAAGAACATGTGTACAAAGTGTGTGAAACTGGAGGGGACAGTGAAGAATTGTTGACAGAGCAGGTTGAGGATTGTGCCAAATGCCACGACGGGTATGGTAGACGAGAGTTCAGCCGCCAATGTTATTGAAAGCCGTCCCCGAAACATGTGGGCATGAGCTTCAAGGTCACAAGCAAAATGATGCCTTCTTGTAAAACTTGTGATATTCGTGGCTGTAGCCAAATCGAGTCTACATGGTAGCAATACACTTCCAGAAGTGAACGAGGTCTTACACCAACCCAGGTGGTGCATCCAGAAAACCCAAGAAGAATATACCATGAGCACCTGCTCATACCCCGATACCAATATTCATGTCCCCGAAAACGCCGGATCCGTGAGGATGTGAGAATTCTTTTTCCCCAGTTATAGTATAAAAATAGAGTCGAAAGGTGGAAAGCCACGTCTCCGAAATCGACATCCATAACAAAAAATAAACAAAAAAAACAAAAACCCCCTTCATGTCTTCCTAAAAAGGCCCAAACCCATCGTTGAGTGCTATCATGTAGCGGAAAATTGAACCCTCTATCTCGAGCCTCGGTAAATCACAATTCACCCGTTCTCTTCCCACAATGACGTCGTTATCTTTCGATCGTCATATAACATCTCATCTCGCATCTTCGATAGACACCGAACGGTGCGGTGGATGTGTTAATTTGGTGGAGACGCTAAGTAATTGAGCCGATCACAATTTCCTTTTTTTTATTTGGGGATTTTTTGGGTTTTTCTCTCCCCCCATGGACCCTGCATCAGCTAGCACCATCTTATTTGGGAGCCGGGACCCGAGAGCCCGGCATCGGTGACCGCGAGCGCGGTCTCTGGGTCTGCGCTGATGATGGCGAAGATAGGTTCTTGGGCGCGTTGATGGGCGTCATGGGCTGCAGGCCGGAGAGGATGCGCTTGGTGGTTGGGCGGCTGGTGGCGGGCATTTTGGATAATTGATGTTGTTTGGATTTGGTGGCAAGCTTTCGTATGAAGGATTCAAAGTGTGATTTTGGAAGGCTTTGACACGTTGGGTGGTCGGCTCTGGTTGAGTGGCAGAGCTGGCTGCTGTTTAACTCTTTGGCGTATCGGATGGCGAAGGTGCGTGAGATAAAATAAAAAAGATACAGAATTGTGAGCGACTGGCACTCGACACTTTTTGACTTTGAAAAGATTGAATGCGTGAAATGATCAAGGAGCGTGTGAGAGTTTGTCTAAGGAGTGACTTGTTTCGTTGTTGTTGCTATGGGTGAATAACCGAAAGAGGAGGAAATAGAAGCCTAACCACCGAGGCGAAAGAAAAGAGCATGTTGAATGATATACTCGTCGGGTGCTAAACACAGACCAGCTATCCTGGGAGCAGTTAGATTGCGCGTCATGGAGACGTTCCTGATTATAACTCCACCACAGCCACGTCCACCCCACTAGATCCGTTGAAACTAACGGCGTGTATTCGCCTTGATTAATGACTCGGGAATTTTGTTGGCCAACTGGCCCAATGAGAAAAAGGGGACGCTTTGTTATCGCTCGACTGTGTGGTGACGTGCATTAGTCTGACGGCCGTCGATCTGTTAGTGGCGCCACACTATAAACGTGCAATTCAGGGGTTTTCCGTGTTCAAAGCTTTTGTTTGCCGGCAGGATCATCGTGGTACGATGCCTATTTTTGAGTTGGGCTGGTCGTGAGTTGGCATGTTTTCGCGAACTCTAACTTAGTGCGTGCTGGCGTGGTGTTGCATGATCTTCTGGAATGATGTTTACGTTGTTCTTCAAGGACTATCCCGACGTCTTCAATGGGTCCACGCTAATCGAGCTGGGCACAAGAACGGTTGTTTCGACCCGGAAGCTCCCGCCGGCTAGCTGTATCATTGTACTTGAGACGAGTCAAAACAACAGATAGTATCGGTATCAACAAGGTGCGTTTACGGCAGTTGCTCGAGTTGCTCCGTGTCCTAGCGTGTCGTGAGTCAAGATCACAGGATATGCTCCTATATCATGCATTAAGCACTCCTGCAAAAGTACCCGGAGGCTCACTAAGATCCCACATTGCAGTAACTTGCTACGAGTACAAGTTTCGTTCCATCGTTATAGATTTGATAACCGGATTGACACGTCACTCAGCTTTGAGTTTCGGTGGTATACCTACACGCGATTGATACTCCGGCATTTAGCGTCATACTGAAGGTTACTTAAGTGCTTCTACACGGGTGAGTATCGCAGGTATTTCGTTCCACCACCAACGTTCAGCCATGGCCAGTCTGAAGTAGTCATATATGGCTAGAAAGCCATGGAAACGATGCCGCAGAGAAAGGATTAAAAGCTTCTATAAACACAACCCTTGCTCAAAAGAGCATCCATAATAAGTGTAGTGTTCCCAACATGATATTCTTATACCATTTTCCCAGAGTGTACTTCCTAACTAGTTATATGAGTAATTGTATCGTCGAAGTTTTCTCGACCAGTACATAGAGAAACCGAATTATCGCCTTATATTGGCTACAAAGAAATATGAGAGAGCAAGCTTAAACGATCAACGATCAACGATTAGGACCACACACTTGGGAACACATTAGTAAGCTAGATTAATCGAACTCACCATTAATATACGAATACTGCTATAACTGTACTTTGCCTTTCCCTTGCATTCTTGCACTGGTACTATCTTTTACAACTCCGGCTGTGGCGTCGCAAATTCGGTCTTGGCTAATCCGAGCTTTTTCATACTCCTAGTCTCATCGTTTTGTCTCTCCTCGAGCCCAAGTCCTTGTTCTACAACAATAGGGTTCTCTCCCGGGCGAAGGCGCAATAAAGAGGTTTTGAGCTGAAGGTATCGCGCTTACCGAAGGGTGTTCTCTAAGAATTATACCACGGATATTGGAAAGGCCAGTTTGCTCCAAGTAACAGTATCATAGAAAGCCGTTTTGCCACAAACCACGGCAGCTTTCGTCTATCCGCTGTGGAAATGAGATAGAGGTGTGATCGGAATCGAATAATATCGATGTTATTGATTACTTGTCCCATTGGCTGCATCCGTTTCCCCGTCATACCTACCTCGCTAATTTGAGGGCTTAGCCACAAGCAGTGTTTCAGCAATTACTAACTGTTTATAAGTTATTTGAACAAGAGACGTGAGCTTTCGTGTTCGAATGAACCCACGTTTTAATCCTTTTCATCTCGGATATGTCTATAAGTCTGGGAAACATCTATTCATTAGTCCAATTGAGAAAGTCTACGCTGCTGCCAACTCGTGGCCGCTACACCATAAATGAAGATTGACCTAGCTTTGATGTAGTTGAGCTAGCCATGACATCGCATAGATCCATGCATCGTCTGGCCTTGTCGAGTTCTCGGGTGTTATACTAAGAATGTCCCAGGTCTAGTGTATTGACGTCGAGCTCGCGCACGACGCAGGTCTACCCCTGCGATGCATGGGACACTGGCCATACAATTTGCAGACACTGACAAGGCAATACATCGTCATACTGACACGTTTGAATTATACATGCCACATGCTGACTAGGTAGGGGCCAAAGCGACTCGGGTGAGTCGTATGAGTATTGGATGGAGATATACCCGACCTGCAGATCGCTGAGATCTGGGAAATCGAAGGGTCTAGTCCACTAACAACAACCGATTTGCTACAGAGCGACTGGAAAACGACACACCATCACGCCACGCATTGAAGATTTCACTAAATGGTATACGTCTGTTGCTAGCGTCGCATGTGCCATGAAACGGTCTAGTTTATCGTCTTCGGTTGTATTAGTTTAGTTATCATAGCATGGTAATATCGTAAAATATATGGTGATGCTAGTCCGACCCGCGGTGATAATAACACAGGCCAACTACAAATAATGACTGGTAATAGCTGGAGCACCATGATGATTCATAGCACAGTGCTCTAACTGTACGCGGTATCAACGGATTCGAGTACATATACACGGTAGGGCCGTTTCAGGCATCGTGAAACAGCTCTATCTGATGTTGATAGTCTTGCTAGCCTGCCATGTTTGCTACGCTTTCCTATTACCTTTCGAAGGTTACGATATAATCGATTTATCGTATCCTCTCTATAGGACTCGAATTGTACTATCGCATTGCCCCGAACCGGGGCCCAGGATGGACGGTCTCGTTGGCAGAGGTATACCCGCTCCTCCTTATGCACCCGGTACCTTCTAGCCAATTTTGCAGGTTCTCGTCATCTTTTGGTTATTTTTGGCGAACTCTCAGCCTAGGGTACGTGCGTTCAACGGATTAATCTTATTATAATTGATCTTCAACTTGACTATCCTGTTCGAATAAGTGCCATGACATTCAAGACAGGACTTAATATCTGATAGTAGAGATGTATGAAGCGTGTCAGCGTATTGACTTTTGCCCGGGGAAGGGGGAGCTGTTTCTACGTCGTCAAGCTGCTCGATCCCCCCCCCCCCCCCCCCCCCCCCCCCCCCCCAGAACCGTCAATCAGTCTTGCTTGAATAGAAGAAGTCGAGCACAAAGCTTATTGAAGCAGCGGCATCAACACAAGGATTACATTGACAAGAGTGCAGTGAAACGAGGATAACCACTCGATAATCCTTTTGTAGTCTAGTCTAGATAAAGCTTAGCGCACACCGCTGATTCTACAGTAGTCTAGACTTCTTCACAAGTGGGGTTAGACGCTTTCTTTTTGTGGGCGGATTCTTTAGCAATCATAGATTCGGGATGACTCGACTGTAGCGCGGTGCCTTCTATCTTCTTCAGTGCTGTCTGTGTAAACGGAACTGATTGGCGTCCATGTTCTACAGTAATCTCGCAATGGTTCAATATAAATCAAGAACGCATAGACGGATTACGTTACAGTTATTGCTCTCGTAGAACTCGAGATTACGGAACTAGAATAATATTCGCCCATAGCCCAAATATTGCGCGGGAACATTAGTCTACATGGCCAGAGCTGACTCTTGTAGGTGTTGCATATATTAGCGGGAACATAGCGCTTGCTAGTTAATGATCCAGGCCGACAGGATCATTACAGTAGAACCTTTTTGCAAAAAAATGCAGTCATCGTTTCTCAAAATTACAGCCCGTTCATCTTTTGCAAATCACGTGGTGTTGTGCCTTTTCAGCAACTCGGCCTTGTTCCCAACGGGCAACGCTATTGTACAGCTCGGGGGCCGGGGGGTCCAGCGTTGCAGCGAAATTCCTCGGCTTCAGATGAGCTGCAGGACAACTGCTGCCCAACTGGGCTGAGCTAAGGGCGGGGCGAAGAACCCCCAAATCCTCAACCCTCCCACCTCCCAGCCCTATCCTCCGCGCGTGACTGGCTCTGGGAGGTCGTGGCAGTGGTTGGTTCTGACTGTCGCTTCATCCAGTTCACACCGTAGTACGCGTCGCACTGCCACGTTAGCTGAAAGTGCCATTGGTCGTCATCCTTGGTTGAGGCTAATTGTGCAGATTATAGAAGGGGGCTGTGGTATGGTGCAGAAGGCCCCCGGCCGTAATTACTGGCCAAATAGCAGCAACCTAGGTTAGCAAAGTGCAGGATCTCATGGCTATAGTCGAACTACAACTCACCAAGAACTGCCTCCTCCCAAGACTTGCAGCTAGATGCCAATTTGCTCATCATTTTGTGGTCCGCAATCTTGATGTTTTGAAAACAGCGACAAGCAAAGCACTACGTAAAGGACTGTCGACATGTCGCAAGCTTGCGATCATGAACACGAATGGCCGGAAACAATGGCACATCTTGAAGCGGAGATTCGGCGGCTTGAGCAAGCCCTCGATCTGGCGCCGGAAAATCATTCCGATGAAGCTACTCAACTTTGGAGCATCGGAACCATGTATTCTGCTAAATACCAAAAAGCGTGGGTAGTGGCAGATCTTGAGGCGGCCATTCAACGACTGCAAGAGGCCCTCAACATTGTACCAGATGACCATCCCGAACGGGCAAATTGGCTGCAGAGCCTTGGAATATGGTACCGGGACAAGTATAAAAGAAAAGAAGTGACATCAGACTTAGGAGCAGCCATTGAATTACTGAAAAAAGCTCTCGACCTTACACCAGATGAAGATCCGGATCGAGCAAGCCGACTTCAAAACTTAGGGATCGCATATAATATCAGGTATGACAGGACAGAAGCCACAGGGGATCTTAATGACGCCGTTCAATTACTTCAAGATGCTCTCGATCTTACACCAAATCATCATCCCGATCGCGCGTATCGACTTGAAAGCCTCGGAAGCGGTCATTTAGATGTTTACAGGATGTCAGGAGAAATGGCAGATCTCGAGGTAGCCATTCGAGAACTGCAAGAAGCCAGTGACATTACACCAAATGGTCACAAATATCGAGCAACGCGGATTGGCAGCCTCGGATTCGGTTGGGGAATAAAATACCAAACAACAAAAGAAATAGACGATCTCAAAACGGCCATTCAATGCTTCCAAGAGGCCCTGGATATCACGCCATCATATCACCCTGATCGGGCATCGCAACTTCAAAACCTCGGAAATGGATATCGTTGTAGGTTTAATGCATTAGGAGAATCATCAGATCAAAATATAGCCCTTCAACGATTACAAGAAGCCCTTGATATCACGCCGGTAGATCATCCTAGGCGAGCACAGCGATTTTACAGTCTTGGCACTATTTATAACGATCGATATGAGGAAACAGGAGATATGGCGGACCTTGAGGTGGCTATTCAAAGGTTTCAAGAGGCCTTGAATATCACACGAGAGGACCATCCTGACCGAATAAAACGACTTGAGGCCCTAGGGAACGCGTTTCATGATAGATATTATTCAACATCAGCAGCTGAGAACCTCGACATGGCAATTGAGCAATTCCAGGAGGCTCTGGATCTTACAACAGAAGGCCATTTCGATCGAGCACACCATCTTCACAATCTGGCATTGGCGCTATGGGATTTATACGGAGAGACAGGGTCACTGGTAGACCTCGAGATTGCAATCCAACGAACACAAGAGGTCCTCAGGATCACTCCGGATGATCATCCCATGCGAGCTAATCGACTTCAATTGCTTGGATGTGGTTTCTTGGATAAATGCGAAAGAACAGGAGCAATGGCAGATATTGAAATGGGCATTGAGCAAATCGAAGAGGCTGTCGATATTACGTCAGACGATGACCCCAGTCGCCCTGTTCAGTTCCATCGTCTGGGCGACGGATATAGACTGAAATACGAGCGCACAGGAGCGATAAAAGATCTCCAGATGCAAATCCAACATGGCCAACGAGCCCTCGATGTCACAGCTGACGACGATCCTGATCGACCAAGGCGTCTAGAGAATCTAGGGTTAGGGCTCATGTCGAGATATGAGCGGACAGGAGCAATGACGGACCTTGAGGCGGCCATACAACTACTCCAAGAGGCACTCGACCCCACGTCAGATATAGACTTCGTATCAGATCGTGACTTCCTTTCAGATGTCGACATCGTGTCACATAAAGACGTTAATCGTGCAGAGCGATTGCGGGGTCTCGGAGATGGGTACGGAGCTAGGTATGAGCGAACAGGAGCAATGGCCGATCTTGAGGCGGCGATCCAACTGCTTGAAGAGGCCATTGATCTCACCCCAGATAAACATTACGATCAACCGAAACAATTGGGAATACTTGGAAATCACTATAGACAGATGTACAAACGGAAAAGGAGTTTGTCAGATCTTGAGACAGCCGTTCAACACTTTCAAAAGGCCCTTGATCTCACACCAGATGACCATCCTGATCGAGCGACGCGATTGCAGGACCTTGGTAACGGATACGGTCTGAGATATGAGGATGAGCGGACAGGGACAAAATTGGATGGCGAAAATAGCATTCGACTTCAACAAGAGGCTATTGATCTCACTCCTGATGACCATCCAGATCGAGCAGGGCGACTGCAGAACCTTAGTGTCGATTACTGTTCGAGATATGAGCAGAACGGGGTGATACTAGATCTTGAAACAGCCATACGGCTTGCTCAGGAGGCCCTTGATCTCACACCAGAGGACCACCCCGATCGAGCAGCGAGACTGCGGAGTCTCAGTCTAGACTACAGTTTGAAATATGAGCAAACGAGAGAAATGCCGGATTTGGAGGTAGCGATCGAAAAATCACGAGACGGCCTCGTTCACAACCTATCCCCTCCGAGCGAACGCTTATTGTCTGGCAGGTTGTCACTCACTTTATGCGCTGATGCTCAGAATTGGCTATTGGCACATGAAGTTGCTTTTAAAGCTGTGTCTCTTATCCCTTTGCTCACACCTCGCTTCCTTGAGAATTCAGATAAACAATATTTGGTGAACCATGTTGTCGGATTAGCCTCGGACGCGGCAGCAGCAGCTGTGATGGCCAAAAAAACACCTTATGATGCGATTCAGCTTCTTGAACTCGGTCGCGGCATTATAACTGGCTCTTTGACTGACATGCGTGCGGATATATCCGATCTTCAGCTGAAGCATCCGGACCTTGCGGACGAGTATTCTAAATTCAGAGATCAGCTTGATAGTCCGAAAATGTCGACACAAGGCAACCAGCGCCACGATGTGGCACGTAAGTTTGATGATATGGTTGAACAAATCAGAGCCCTACCTGGGTTTGACAGGTTTCTCTTGGCGCCAACTCGAGACGAGGTCAAGGCTGCTGCAGTCTATGGCCCAGTCGTGTTTATTAACGTGAGCGATTACAGTTGCGATGCATTTATCATTGAGGAGGAGCAAATCAGAACTGTACATCTTCATCGTCTCCGAAGTGAACATGTCCGCACCCGCGCAAAGGGCCTCGAATCACTGGAGTTGGAGCTACTGGAGTGGCTCTGGGAAACAGTGGCTGAGCCGGTCTTGGAAGCGCTGGGGTTTATCGATCTGCCTGTCAATCAGTGGCCGCGTATTTGGTGGATTCCTACTGGAGTTCTGGCTAGATTCCCCATCCACGCGGCAGGACACCATTCTGATGGGTCTTTCAAAACCGTCTTAGACAGGGTGATCTCATCTTACAGCTCATCTGTGAGAGCCATACTGACAGGACGGCGGAACCGACCGACAGTGAGTGTGTTCGCAAACTCGGAAAAGGCAGTATTCGTTGGCATGGGAGAGACACCCGGTTTTAGCAGTCTCGAATTTGCATCACAAGAAATCGAGGAGCTCGCAAAGTTGTGTAATTCTGCGGAGTTACAAGCAACTCGGCCTCCATCCCTTCGGCAAGATGTGCTTACAGCGTTACAAGATTGTAAAGTATTCCATTTCGCGGGTCATGGGTTTTCCGATCCGCTGGACCCGTCAAGAAGCTCCTTGCTACTCACCGATGAGCCCCTCACTGTAGCAAGTCTTTTTGAAACCACCATTCACAACCGCAAGCCATTCCTTGCTTACCTGTCTGCCTGTGGGACGGGCCAAGTCAGGGACGATGGACTGATCGATGAAGGACTTCATCTGATCGGAGCATGCCAGCTGGCGGGCTTCCGACATGTTATTGGTACCCTCTGGGAAGTCAACGACAAATCTTGCGTAGATATCGCGATTGAGACCTATACCTGGATGCAAAAGCAGCATATGAGCGACAAGTCTGTAGGCGAGGGACTTCACCATGCGTGCAGGAAACTACGCGGTCAATGGGTCTCAGAGAACGGTTTACGAGATGCTTCAAGACGTGGAACAAGGCTCAGACGTCAGGAGGCTGATTCGGTGCCGACAGAACAGGGCAGCGCGGCTGAAGGGAAGTTGAGAAAACTAATCTACATAGAGTCATGTGGTGATTCGCCTCTCTTATGGGTTCCTTATGTCCATTTTGGTAGTTAGGTGTTGGACTCGGGCTGTTATTTTTCAAGCAAATATGCGATCAACATAAAGCACTAGTTTGGAACATACATAGTATTTGTAATGGCATTTCAGCATTTTAATGATTCTGCATTACTCATGCATTATGTGTCTGTAGACTTATAGTATTTTCTTTTCGTAGAGCTCGACGTTCGCATCGAGAAGGTATAACACGCAGAACACTTCACTGCGATTGTGGTCTGCTCTGCAGGTTTATTCACCCCCCAGCCATTTCCTCGCGTCTCATTCGACAGTAAAAATTGCAGTGAAATCTCCACTTAAATCGTTATCAAATTTGGTCGACCATGCTGACAGATTACTAGCATTAAACACCGAGGATGAATATGGCGGCCATATTCACTGCAAATCTAGCCAAGCAAAGTGGTTCTGAAAATCACAGAGGCTCAGCATTGTCACCCGAAATCACCAGGTCCCGTGGCTAGAGAAGGGTAGAACCTTTCCAGCTGTGTAGTTGTTGCCGAAATCATAATATGAGCCATAACGAACTTCATTGTGAAGAGTCAGACAAGCAGGCAAAGACGCAAGCTTGCATGGATCAACAAGTTCACCACTGTAGACTTAACAGATCTGATGAAAAAGGAAAGTTGGAACTAGGGCTTGGAAAATTTAGCATATCTTTAATCTTTGGTTTGAATCTTGCGCATGCTGGAAACTATGAAGGCATTTATTTACAAGTATTTGAGCACATTGTGTGATTATCTTAAAGGCCCATCAGACCAGGGAGTCTGAAGCTAGAAATAGAACCTCATCAAGCGGTTGTTTTCATAGCTTCAGTCTCCATGCTGCGACGGGCCTTAAGATAATCACACAACGTGCCCAAATATCCATAATAAAAAAGCCTTCATAGTGCACAAAGCGTGAACCCCAAATATTTACGTAATATGGCTCAAGTTCCATGGCGCCTAGTTGAATCGTCCTGATACGAACCCCTCGGAGTGTCATTTCCCAGCCTCACACCTTTGCACCCCAGGCAGACAACTTATACCGTGCTTGTTTCGTCGACACACTCATGAGCAGTTGTGATACCAGACGGGCTAGTCAGTCTCCGCATCGAAAATGACAAAACCAATATGCTCCTTATTCGCCAAATTACGAATACCATCTTCGCCACGCAATCGCATGAGTGATGTGGTGTGCCCATCCTCGTTTTTCTTTTAATGAAACAGGATGTCGAACTTGCTCTTAATAGGAATCGGGCTTTCAGTCCTAAGCAGGACAGCGATGCCAAGGCTCGTTCGGCAAATAAGAACAGTCTGCATAGCTTCCTTATGATGAGCAGTTGCTATCGACTTGATCTTGAAACTGGTTAGCATAAAAGTGATCATCTTCAACCCAGGCTCACCACGTACGGTATCATTATGTAAGGGATCTCTCCATTTGCGCAGATATATGCCGGGTGAAGGATCACCACCGAGAAGGCTGGACTTGGATTCTTTTGCTACCAACAAGAGTAGAGAAGCCGTATCGTGAAAATTACCTACGGAATTTTCGTCAGTCTGTCTTGCCTTGCACAGAAGCTAGCATGAACTCACGAATCCATCTCCCCCTGGTTGTTTGTTGGTACCACTCAAGTCTCGGCAAATCCTCGCTTGGTCTTGAATATATTGAAGTTTGATAGGCTTAAATTCAATATCGAACAAGCTTCTGTGTCACTAGATTTGGGAATTGTACAGCTATAGAGTTGGTTTTTGCTTTTATGAGGATATCTTCGTGACAGATCCAAGTCCATTTAAGTTAGCTTGATTAGTAACATCAGGCTCAGAATTTATTGGCTTCTCACTGTGCTCAGTCCGTCTGGGTGAAGATCTGTGAATGTGTTTAGACATTTCACGTTCGTGTAAGGGTTTATACCGAGATTATTGTATTAGTTACTGTCGTATCTTGGGTTTTTAAGAGAACCTACTGTATATGGGCTAAGAATAAACTCACTAAAACATAAACTGTGTTAGAAATTATATAACTACGACTAAAGGGTACCATTCTTACTGTAGTTGAGGCGGAGATTCCTGAAACTTAGATCAAGTCCAACCTTAATATCTGAGGATAATGAAAGGTAATATATCTATGAGAAATATATTAAACTTTAGACTCGGCTGGAATAAGAGCAGGAAATGAAAGAACTACTATTATTTGAAATGAAAGCAGGCTAGGCTTGAGTTATTGTAAAAAGGGCACCTTACGTCTTCGTGACTACGAAGAGCTACTTTCGCGCGCAATATCGCTTTCATGTATAGCTTCAACGACTTCCTCATACATCTGACCATTCCTATACGCGTAAGCAATGTCTATGACTTGCAGATAATACGCAGAGTAGTGAGGATAGGCTTTAATTTTTCGAAATTCCCGGAGGGTACAAGTTTGAGTCTGCTTATATTGGTGACAAATAGGCGCAGAAGGACGAGGCGGTTTTGGGTTTACACCTTTCATTTTTCTTCATTTTTGAAAATGACCATGTTGTGCGGAGTAGTAGCTTTCTGATAGGGTTTGCTTGATCTCTTGATTGTTTCAAGCAGCCTCCGAAGCGACGAAAGCGTTGAACTTAAGTAGTCTATATTTACGAAAACCTTTTCACGTAGCCCTCGGCCAGGTAACGGTTTGTGTTGCTCATGCATAAGTGAAGTCACGGTAATAGGTCACAGACAGGTCCACCTACCGTGATGCACTGTCTTGTGGGGTGTGACAGAATGCAACGATACTTCGCAAGCGACTTCAAGGTAACAGAATTTTGAAATCAAGGTTGGAGATTTGCAACGCTTATCTCTCGAGCAACGATGAAAACGAAAGCTGACGTACACAACAAGTGTCAGAAAGTATGTAGGATGGCTCCTGCTATCCCCAGAGGCTAATACTATATGGTCAGCACGACGTCATGACCTAGGTAGCCGACATGCATATGCATATGGTGGAGCCATTCGCTACGGCCGTAGGGCGAAGACGAATGGTCAGAAATATTTTTCGGGTTGGCGCCTATGCGAAGCGAGCGTCTCATATAGGGGGATGATGTTCATCCAAACATGATTTCAATCGCGATAGGATGTGTTACATAATGTTTATGTTAAGTTCCACGTCCTAATCAGTGAGCTAAACTCAAACAACGAATACAAAGCATACTAGTATGACTCGAATTTATTTAAGGGAACATCTCAAACTTCATTTTCAAAGACAGTTAGTTCTTGTTTGCATTACCGTTACTCCCGAATCGATATTAACAGTATTGGAGATAAGCTAGTAGTTAAAAATTTAGTCTTATCGACAGCAATTGGCTCACAAGGATCCGAGCAAATGCCCTAGAACCTAGAAAAGATAGACAATTATATTCGGTACTGACTCTTTCGGTATACGCGAGCATGAGATGTCTGGTATTGCCAACGGCTTCGCAGCATAGTCATCTCGCGATCATCATTCACGAGGAATTCAGCGCCAGGCAACCTTCTAATTACAACTCCTTTCCAAGTTACAGCCGTCTGTTGCTCCAGATGATTGTATGAGTGCATGTATTAAACTTCAAGTAACACACTTTGGAACGCATGATACCATCATCGAGAGCGCTTGTGGTCTCAGGCATCAGGTACATGTGAAGTGTTTGTTTTGCTTGACCGAGGCTAATTTATTTCAGGCCAGTGGAAATGATCCGTATGTAGAATAACATGCTAATAATCCTTCATGTCCGTCGCTGCGATGCAGAAGAAGCCATTCAGGCTTTGATCATGGCCATTGAGTACCGGGGCCCGATCTTCCTTGACTTGCACCGATTGGGATGCCATTACAACAGTGGACTAAACAACTCAAGATGCAAAAAGTTCGAATGCAAATAAATGGGCTAGAGAAATTACAATGATTTTGATTTCCAAAGGTAGTGAGGTATCTCAGACGGCCAAGAGTGTCACGATCATGCGGTCGCAAGGCATTATCTCATGTATCGTTCCCATGACTTGCATGCGACGCTTCGAGGAACAGAATCGCGAGGACATAGAACTGTTCATTCTCAGAGTGGGCCGGCCAGTCAATTCTGTCTAGGATGTCGTTTCACGGATTGGCACGCTGGCCAGTTACTTCTAACTTGGTATCGGCGATACGGGTGTCGAGATAATGGCTGATCGTGAGCAGCGCTACGGCCGGCCTCTGTCTGAACACTTTGGTACCACGGTATATGCAGACACTGTGGCCTGACACTTCGAGCTGACTATGAATCAAATGACACTTACGCGTTACGAAGTACGATCACGACGGCAGCAATGCTCTCTTAGAGCCTTGAAAACTTTTTCGAATGAGCTAGCGTCGTAGCTGCATAGAACAAATGATGTCTTACAGTATGATTTCGTATTAATGGTCTCATATGGCAGAATTTTCTGTTGTGGTATAGTCGTTCATTACATGCAGAGACCACCAGGTTTTTAATAGCCTCAAGCGCCGATGGCAATATAATCGGATCTGGCGACTATTGACCTACACTACATCGGTGGCAATTCCGTGGGTGACTTCTCGTCTAGGGTCCTGACGATGCATACACTTTGACAACTCCTGCAGCTTGACAATGCATGGTTCCTGACGCCGCATGTAGCCGACAACCTCCGGTATTAAAACGTTTGCGCATTACCATAGGCTTGATTACGTAGCTAGTGACAGCTTCCCGCAATGCAGCAGCCAAATGTGGGGGATTCATATCAAGTGGTTAAGTAGCCCCTGTCCCACATCCCGGTGCATGAAGATGATTGAATAATACCTGCTTCTTATAGTGTCATGCATACTGCACCAGAAATAACCAGGGATCGTCAGTAGAGATCGTAAGACCGTCGAGGAATAAACTCCAAACTCTGTCGATCGCTCAACTATGCGCTTTGCCCAGTGCTATAATGTACATGAAACATGGACAACAGATCCTAATGCATCAAGATGACCGTGGAGTTTAGTGAAAAAGGTTTGGGCTCAAGTGCTCCCTCCGAAAGCGAGAAGTCCGATGACTGTCCAACGGATAAAATAAAAGCTCGGGTTAGGGCTGCGCAAAGAAGCCATCTTATAGCCATATATACAGCGTGTACAACTGAAATTTCTACCTTTCTCGTCGTTTTTCCCGTCTACACAACAGGGCAAGCGTTCGAACTAGGTAAGCTGAGAAGAGATTCGAATCCCAAGGGCCCAAGTCAAGTCCAGCACCGATCATTGGAAATCACTACCTGCTACGATTCAATAACGGCTGAATGTCGATCCAATGACTTCACGAACGTTGGACTTGTCACGATGGGTGGTGGATCATTCCCACTTAACTCGTACGACACCTCCGAACTGGTAGATCCACTAATATATCTGGTTCATCAAGGTTCCATATCAATGGAACTTCATCCAGACTTCCTCGACGAGCTGGCCTTTCTACGGCAGCACATTGAATCGATCCGAGCTGAACTCGCACAGTCCCAGTTTCGATTGAAGTACTACGGCGCGGTCAACTTCCACACTGCAGAACCACCAACTTAATAAACCCAGCGGTTCTCATAGTTTCAATCTAGAGAGGCCATGGTTTTTCTTTTCAGTCTCGTAGGCATCGCGTCTGCCTCCACCGAAGAATGGATGAGCTGAGAGATCGAATTTCCACAGGCTACTGGACTCGAAGAACTGGACGCAGTCACAACCATGTGTTACGTAGGGAGGCTCGACGAGTCGTTTCATGCTAGCGACACGCATAGGAGAAGCCGCTGCCGACGGTCAAGGGCCTTCCTGGAGCACCTGCACATTAGCACGCAGGAATATTCAGATCACGAAGCCCGTGACTGCCGCCATGAGATATCGACGTCTAGGGAGGCTCTCTACCTTTCGGAGTTCAATGGTTTGGAAACCCATGTCCAGAACGACACCAGTTAAACTGGCTTGATAGCCCGAAGTTACAGACTTAAAGGATTCGCTATATACAGAGGCTCCCGTCATACAAACGAGGTTTGCATTTCTCCTATAGTTGACATCAATTCACTCAGGGTGTGTACAAGTGCGCCACACTCATCACGCCGTTTCTATGTGATATCGTAGTATCGACGAAATATGCGACTGACCAGGTTTCCTCTGACACTTCCCTATCTCTGGTTGTTGATATCAGAGCTTGCAGCAGACTCAAACTTCATGGAGATGTACAGGCCATCATATAATGTTGGTCGCTACTGTTCTGCCCCATTTCTCTGAAAAGTCCAGTGCAGAAAAACCATCATGGATCTTGCTATTTCTTCAAGAAATGGTGAAGAGCAAATGGCTAGCCGTTTAGATCTGCACGCGATTTATTACAGGAAAAAAAAAACTACGATGTATTTAGTTCGCGTATACGTATAGTAGGGTATTTCAACAGGTCTTTAGATTGGGAAGCTTGCGATACCCGTGAGTCGTGAAATAAAAGAGCTCAACCAGAGATAGCTAAGCAATGTCTGTTTATTTATCTGGATAACACTGATATACTAGATTGAATAAAACACCTTGATAAAATGTTGCCGCTCATTGCTGTAAGTATTGAGGATAACAATTAGGGTTCAACAAAACAAGTCAAGTTATGCTTCGCCCACTCTGTCGAATGATACTTGCAATTGATGCCGATCATCGTTATGACTGAGTGTAAACAAAGACATTTGAAGAGCAAGCTGAAACGGCCTGGAGTTATTTACCTTCTTGCAAGGCTAAAAGCTGACATCGCGGTGGTTGCATGGGCCTGAGCCCCTCATGCCCTTTGACACGACGTGCATGAGAGCAACGGGCAAATATACCCCATGTCCGTGCCCGCTGGAGAAGCTTGAGACCCACCTAATAAGCGACCAGGGTGGAACTTAAGCTAAGACTACTATAGAAGGAGACAAGATCCGATATTATCTGTGCCAACGGGTTAACATTAAGAATACATACTGGTCCTCTATACATGCTGGGCTCATTCCATTTAACCCATAAACGTAGCTCCATCTTTATCAATGCGTGAGCCGTCTATGGCTCCACCCCTGACATTTAGCAGGATAACGCAAACATTACGTGCTTCAGCAGGGTGCGAAATCGTCAAGAAGCCCGCTAGAAATCGGGGAAGCAGTTCCGTCCGTTTTTCTTGACTGGGGTATGAAGGCTTTGTCGGCAGTATCCCTGCCAACGTTTGCCGCTAGACAGAAAGTACTCGGCAGCCAGACACGAGGCCGCCGATCCAGCGGTTATTAGGTAGATGCGAAGAAAAGCTTGAAGTCTGGTGGTGCTCGCTGGCATCCCTTGGCTTGCGGCCTTGGCGATTCGATAAGGCTGGGCCGAAAGGTTAGTGATCCAGGAGATGAGACCTCATCAGCCGTCGGCAAATTGGACCTTGCATGGCAATGAAAAATTGAATTCACAGATGGCTGGTGGGCAAGTAACGGTGGTTCGGCAGCTCGTAATTGTAAACAATACAAACGGTACCCACCGGCTGCCTGTAAGCGGTGCCAGCAGCACGTGCTCTGGTTGGCAGAAGGGATTTTGTTATTCGGCAAGCTAGCCATAGGTATGATTAGGCTTACAAGCCAGAACAGGAGTTCCGGCTACAGACCGGGTTTAATGAACAGAACACATGGAATCGATGACGACATGGTTGTTTATAGGCCCGGATATTCAGCACACCAGGTACGGCATACATATGAGGAATGAAGAACCCTCGCGCAGGGTAGGAAAAATCCGACACTTGTTCATGTGTATTACTTTTCCCCATATTTTATACGATAATGGGGCATAAACAAAGCTTTCTGTTGATTCAATAACATTAGTATATTCATCAGCTAATTACGACAAAATCTTATGATACATTTTTATCTTTTAAAATAATAATGCTTGTTTTATTACAAGTTAAAATACTAGCCTTTTGGTGTACATTGGGGGAGATTCGTCGGGCTTTGCCTCCCCCCGCGCGAGAACCTAACTACTTAACTTCTAGTTACAGCACGACACAACTTTGTATCACAATTCTGAATTGACAAGGTTGCTTAATTTTACGCTGTCGATCGCTAACTCGTATTTCTTGCCCTACATGTTGATCTGTAGGTATTATGGCACCTAATGTTCCAGGCCTTCATAAGCCAGAACGGGGTCAGTGCGAAGGAGAATATGTGGGCCGAAGACCTAATGGTGGCGCTGTCGCAAGCGTTACCTGGGCAGTCGTCAATCATCATCCACCGGCACCAGAACGTGCAGTGAACGTAGACTGTATGTAAGCGTTGCAGATTTTTTGATTGCTGCATGGTACTTCGAGACACGTGGAGCATGATGCAAGTGGCTTGTGGGAGCCGTGAGGTGGTTGTAAGCTCGGGTTAACACCTCGTTTCTATCTGGCTAGACTGCCCATTCGTTAGACAAATAAGGCTGCTCACAAGGGAGTACCGTATAGTTAATCCTCTTGTACTCGAGCCTCAAGCTACTTCAAGCTTAGCTCGTACTGCTTTGCAGTTAGATCAACATCACGCTCTCTCTAGCAGTTGCAAGTCATAATTTCGTAGCGAGTTTCTTCATCGGGATTTTCGGTTCTTGATATATAGATTATGAACGTCACTTGGAGGCCTTGATGGCGAAAACTACGCAAGTCGCTTACTCAGTCAGGACTTGCTAGCATGTCAGATCTGCAACCAAGCAACGATGTAGTTTGATTCATCTGTTTACCACTCACTGCTTGGGCGAGTGTGCTAAGCGCGAAGGGGCCTGGTGCTCCATAATAAGAAGGATGAGCTCAGCGGTATTGGTATTACGAAAGTGAAGATGGAGAAGAGAAAGGTGACGGGATTCACAAATTGGAAGGCAACGGGAATACCCTTCGACGAATCGGCCATTAGCCTACATGCAAAATGATCCCCGTCGTTGAAGGTGGGGCTCTCAACAAGATCACACAATACGCAGTGCCTCAAACGTATGTAAAAGAGGGCGCTCCCGCAGCTGTCATCAGCATCTATTGGACATCACTTCAAGTTGCTCAAGTCTCACTGCATCCAGCAGCCGAGGCTAATTAACCCGGCCGGACTATGGCATTTGTTTCGCTGATAATGATGATGATGATGATGATGATGGTGAATGCTTGCTTGCTAAATCCTTCATCATCGACCTCAGAGGATTGGCGCCAAGAATGAGATGATTGCACGGAATGAATACTTGTTTTCAAGTTGGTACATTCGGCGTCGTAGGATCACGCATAAGGTTACACTGCAGAACGCAGGCCACTTAAGTACATAATGTGCTGTTACAAGAAATCGCCTTGCGGTCGGCAAGTTATTCATCATTGGGTTCTGAACCTTGCGCACCCTAAGGACATGTAGGTGAGTATCCAAGCACGGTGTGTGGATAGCTTATAGTCTGGTCGAGCCACCGGGTATCACACCATAAGTACAACTACAACACTGCCTGTGCACAACATATATGCGATTTACACCGTGTTTTAATGGTATTGATTAGTCTAAGGATGTTTCGGTCGTGTTTTCCCTAACAGCTTGGAATATAGCACAAAACACGACAGGCTGATCTCTCATTTTTGCCAAGGTTGAAGCAGCAGCGCAATCAGCTAGCAAACCTTTGTTTCTTCTTCTTTTCTTTTTGTATATCTTACAGACCGAGGGGTACAATGATGGACAGATTCAAGGGTGGTATTGTGCTAGAGTCGGCTGAACAGCAAGAAGCCGAACGTTTGCGCGAACGCAATCGTGTTGCCAAGCGGGCTTCAAGTATGTCAGACTACCAGTGGCGTGAAGTTTACAACACTGACTTCATAGTAGGAGCACGGCAGAAGCAGCTTGAGAATAATGAGACTGCTCCGTTGAGATCTAAAACATGGCGAAAAGGACTGCCCGAACGCACATTCCCCCAGCCATCGTCGGTCCCTCCCACCGCCGTGGATGCGGCTATCCTACAATCCTATCAGGCTCCAGGATCGATATCTGGGCCAACGCATGACGGGCTTAACTGTCGCAGTGTCATCAATAACACTTCAGATGAGGACTGGATCCAATTTGACAGCTCAGCGGCACTTCTTGAACCTTCAGCCATACTGTGGGATAACCTACCAGTCTCCACCATGGATGATCATAGCCTAGGGGTCTCGCTTAATAGCCAGCATGCCATGGTATCGTCATCGGGGATCACCCACACATCGCCATATCAGTCAGGCGATTCATCGATACCATCGCCAGTTGGCGCGTCAACAGACCTGGTCGTGAGTTATTCCAAAGACTGCTTCTAGTCCACTTCAGCGACTTGAGTACTTACCAGGCTATAGCAACTTCGAAATCCCACCGGTGCCAACAATTCTTCCATGCTGCTTCATATTGCTGTTCGAGATGGAACCAAGGGCATAGTTTCGTCGTTAATCAAAGCTGGTGCAGATGTCAATTCACTCGACGCGTCAGGTTCCTCTCCCCTTCACGTAGCGGTTGAACTTCGGCGACTGGGCGTTCTGGAACTTCTGGTGAAAAACGGCGCAAATATCAATGCTCGCAATGGGGCGCACATGACACCACTGGAACTTGCAGTAAGGGCGCAGGACGAACAGACCGTTGACGTACTCTTGTCGAGCGGCGCTGAGTTGTATTAAAAAGCAGGTGGGAAAGGAGGGGGTTTGAGTGGAGAAGGTTGAGGAGCACATTGTGTGATTATCCGATCTTGTTGTCCTGAAATCCTAGATGCAACGTCTTCTATGCATGATTTCTTGGCACAACATTACAGATCGCTCGTTGTTTAACTCTTGGTACTTGAAGTGTCCAAATAGATGTGTGGCGGTATTGGCGCATCACCATGAAAAGCTTGTTGATATCAATGTTACTTCATTCGCCGCTTGCAGTCTCCCCCACTCTTTCTGATTCATGCGCTGTTACATTGGCCAATGATCATACCTTGAGCTGGGCATATTCCACAAGCCTGGGCATAGATACTTTTGATCAAGCCCGTTTTCTTGGCCTGCGATCCTTGTGTAACATACACCGGCTACCGGCTTGGCCTATGATTCGTGCCCTTGGCAGCCTTGTGTAACACACTTGTTCCTGGCTTGGCCCCTGTGTCCTAATAGGGCCGCTACAAGAGTTCGAGACATGGTAGCACCTGTATATTGTATACAGCTTTCTTTCGTTTATAAGATAACTGATGCAATAAGAGTTGACAAGATTGTCGTTTGGTCTGCTGAGTTGTCCAAACTCGTTCGAAGCATGACGACATAGAAGGATGGACATCCTCGTGAATTCTGCACGCCTAGATTACAAGATAAATTTAAATTTCTAGTTCCAGAAGGGAATCAAACTATACCAAACCCAGTTGTTTTGATCCCTGGCTTCGGTTGCATTCCGTGGTGCTATTGGGCATACGCCCGCAAAATAACCTGTACATTCTCACACACGTTTTTCAATATCACAAAGTAGCACACAAACCTGAATACAGTTTCACCCCTCGTTTCTTATCATTGTTACATTCTTCTGCTCCTTCAACATTCGGGTGCTTGATCGAGTTGAATTTATCGCTTATCACTACAACATGGCGATACTTGACATAGGGAACTGTAACTTGACGCATCTCAGGTAATACAGAAGTCAAAAGACTCTTGGAGAGTTCGGCTCACATTCAGGTCGAGTGCGGTCTCCGTAGTTTTCCTTAGGTATCTTAATGGAGCCTACTATTGGTGAGATCATCGAACATGCAAAGGAAACATTACGCCTGCCCTTTTAAAGCTCCGCCTTATTTTGCTAAGTTTAATAAAGCAACCCATATGTATAGCTTCATTTTGAGAATACCGAATTTGATATTATCACACACACATATCAGAAACAACTTTCTCGACAGCTTTTGTAAACCCAATCGCCAATCGCGTGGCCAAATCTTTTGACACTGAATTTGACCAGCAAGTGAGGCTGGCTGTTATCCCCCCATTATCATAGCTATCAATTTCCAGGACTATGGCGTACTGTTTCGTCGTTAGCTTCACTTCCAACCAAATTTTGTAGGTTACTTGGTGCTATTACCTCATAAGGATCCTCACTACCTGGCCATTCTTCAAATGAAAGAATACCTCCATCCTCCTGTGGAGCCCCATGGCGTCTGAAATTCACGACGCTGTCGAACAATCCAAGGCTATTGGTTCCATATTGCTCGCGCAGATAGGTTGCAAGATAATGTTGATGTTGTGAAGTAGTAAAGAAATCTTCCTGAACAGCTTGTAGCGTTTTTAAAGTGTCATTCTTCGTACTCAACACCCTACAGGCGACGACATTCAAAACAGGGCCAACAACATGCTCAATATCAGGCATTGATACGTCGCGACCAGAGGATATGAAACCAAAGACGACATCCGCATTATTCGTTTGCTCTCCCAACGCCAGCGCCCAGGCCAGACGCAAAATGGTTGCAGAAGTGATACCGTGGGTCTCCGATGCTGTCTTCACAGATTCAAAAACTTCAGTAAGGTCGATAGGTGTGGAGAATATGCCCTTGTCTTCTCGCACGTCCGTTGCTTTAATATCAGATACTCGTGATGGGGAGGCGTCTCTCAAGTAGGATGTCCAAAAGTCTAGGCTCCCGCGGGAAGGGGCCTGGGAAAGAGCCATGGCATAGTTCTCGTAGGGAACGACATTCAAAGCTACCGATCCGTCTTCATAGGCTTGTGAGAGACATCGGAGTACCACAGACATTGATGAGTGGTCGACCAGAGCGTGACTGATCTCAAGCCGACACAGGACACTCTTCGGGCCATGTTGCACAATGGTTAGATGGTGCTGTGGCAGTTCTAATTGCCACTTCGTCCGAGGTAGTGCAGATAAATCGGGAGAGGAACTGATGGTGACAAAGTCATCAAGTGGAAGTTTGCCAAGAACCACATTGATGTAACCAGCAGCGGTCATTTGTGATCCGGGGATTAATAAAGTTCGTAAAGCTGCGTTAGCCGCAATTACCTTCTTCCATGCGGTTGACAACCTTTGTGGCTCGATTGGTGACGAGTCACTCGTGAATGTCTTAAATAATGTACTCACGCGCCAGTAATTTGGGTTCTCCTGCTGGGCTTGAAGCATCTGATTTTGCATCGGAGTAGCTGGGAAGACTGATTCAACCCAAGGGCCATCTGTTTCGAGCATGCTGATCCCGAGTTCTTGCATGTTGCTTTCTAACACAGCCAAGCCATCGTAAGAAAGAGCAAGACTAGGGAAATCCGAAAGCGTCGGCCTTGGCGGAGTGCTGGAAACATGTATAGATATCTCTTCCAGAACAGCCTTGCACTTGGAAAGCCAATTGCCAATACGGTTGCGTTGACGGATACGCTTATCGAAGGACAATTCTAGCTCGAGCTTGCCATTCTTCACACAGATAGCGATGTCGAATACCGCGAAGCGACGCATATTGTCACTGAAGTCGTATTGGTCGCCACTGCTGTCTACGTCTTCCACAAACAGTCCACCTGCTTCGACGTCTGTCCTTTGAATGCCCGTGAAGTTGACCATTATCTCAGGGATTTTCACATTTTTGTCGTTAGAGAGATCCTGGGTCTTGAAGAAGTCGACTCCATGGGCTTCGGATCGGAATCTTGCGTCTTTAGTCCGTACAAAGAACTGGAGAAGATCCTCCCCGGGAATTATCGGGACATGCACTGGCATTACCGTGGTGAACCAGCCTACCGTATTCGTGACGTCCAAATCGTTGCCAGTCGACTGTCGGCCGTGCCCTTCGAGGCATACAATAGCTGATTCTCTGTCTGGGAATGTTTCGTGGAAAGCCCACGATATCGCGCCAATAAACAGGTCAGTAGGTTTGCTGCGAAGATAGCTGTTGTTGGGGCCCAAGCACGATGCTGTGGCAGAACTGCTGAGCGAAAATGACTCCGTCTCTACCTCTCCGTAGACAAGCGAACTCGTGTCAAGACCCCAGTAGTCGTAATCTGGAGTAGGAAGCTTCCGTCCCGATTCTTGGTTTTGCAAAGTCCTATCGCACCAGTCTTGGTACGATACGAGAGGCGTTGGTCCTAATGTCGCACCTTCGAGTATCGTCTCCATATCCTCTAAAATGAGTCTCCATGACACTATATCCACGGCTAGATGAGGCGCTACAAGGATGATGCGTTGATCACCCTCTTCCTCATCAATCAGCTCGCAATGAATGATGGGGCCGAAAACAGGGTCTGGAATGCTCTGCACCGCTTTAAGCCGGCCCAGTCTGGCAGACTTGCTAGATACGTGACAGGAAGCTACAGAGAATGATGCTTCGGCGTCGTCCAAAACTCGCTGTGTCGGTTTGCTCAAATCAGAGAAGTCATATCTGGTACGCAAGGATGGATGTCGAGTGACAACAGCTCGTAACGCGGCACTGAGGTCTTGAGGAGAGACATTCCTCCGAGACCGCATTTGAACGCTCTGATTGAAGTAATGCGCCTGTGACATCGGAGCCAGAATCGAATACAATCGTTGTATGGGCGAAAGTGCTGTCGACGGATCTTTGTTTCGGTTTATGTATCTGGAGGACACATTTTCCTTGGGAATGACTTTTCGTGAGAGGACCTGGATAGTGTCACCACGCAGAAGTTCTTTCATGGAGATGTCAAATCCTTTGTTGCGACTTCGAGCGATCGCTTGCATGGCCGTGATAGAATCGCCTCCCAAAGCTTGGAAAGATCGATTGGTTCCTACCTTGTCCGGAGGAAGGCCTAGAACAGCAGCCCAGGCAGTTTGTAGCACAGTTTCCATAGGATTAGCTGGTACCGCATGAGTCGATGAGTCCCGGCTTTCTGTCCCGGTCGAGAAAACGGATTCATCTTGGCTTGTGAACTGCTCAACCCACGTTCCGATAATCTTACGGTCCAACTTCCCTGATAAAGAAATTGGCATATCTCGCAAAATCACGAAATGATCTGGTACCATGTAGGCAGGTACTTTACTTGCAACATGCTGTCGAAGTTTCTGAATATCTGTACGCATCGCACCATCTAACTTGAATGGGATGAGGCGATATTCGGATACAGGAATAAGGTTATTAGATCCTCCTCCTAGGACTGCAACCAGACGATTGGCAAATGGTCCTTTCTTGGGAACGAAGCAAAGAGCTGGTCGAGAGGAAGCGGCTTGTTGAACATTGTGTTCGACCTCCCCAAGCTCCAGTCTTTGACCTCGAAGCTTTACCTGATTGTCTTTGCGGCCGATGTAGAGCAGACCACCATCGTCATCGTAGCGAACGAGATCGCCAGTTTTGTACATTCTGCAAAAGTTTCTAGGAAAGTCTGATGTCCACGAGGGTGGTGATATAAAAGCGGCAGCCGTCTTTTCATCGTCGTTCAGGTAGCCGCGGCCGACGATCGGTCCCTCGATTAGAAGCTCTCCAACGGTACCGATGGGCGCGAGGCGCTCGTGGTTTTTGGCATCAACGATCCAGAGAACACAACCTATCGCCTTGCCAATTGAGGAATGGCTTAGAGCATCGGCCTTGACGAGGGTCGACGCGCAAGTAATTGCACATTCGCATGGCCCGTACGCGTTCACGAGGTTGACTCTAGGAGCCCAGACCCTAGCCACTTCAGTAGTCATTGCTTCTCCTCCAGCAGCGACGGTCTCCAAACCCGGAAACTCTGAAGGGTTCACAAGCCGGAGAAATGATGGTGTGAAGAAGGCCCAGTTGACGTTCTTTACCTTGATGAAATTTGCTAGTGCGTCCATGCCAATGGCCTGCATTGGAACGCACAGGCAGGCACCGTGTACGACGGCGGAGAGGATGTCCATGACCGCGGCGTCGAAGGCCACGGATGGGAATTGGAGCATGCGCGAGCTTTTCTGGATACCCCAGGTCGGGCCGCTTTGAGCGACGGTGGTCATGATGGACTGGTGCTCAATCAGTACACCCTTGGGACGCCCGGTTGATCCCGATGTCATGATCATGTATGCTATATCATGTGAATTGACGACTGGGAGGGGAGGACCCTCCGTATGCGCCCAGCCTAACTGCCTTAGATATCCTTTGTCAATAGTCCAACAATTGACTAATGCAAGAGCCCTGGTAGACTTTGCGTTATGGGTGAGGACCAGGGGTCGGTCCAGTTGCTCCAGTATATGTGTTAATCGATCTGCTGGTGCTTCAGTGTCGAGGCAGAGAAACGCTCGCCCGGCCTTTAGAACTGCCCACATGCAGACGATCAAAGGCAGCCCCTTGGGAAAATGTAAGGGGATGATACCGCTCGGGTTCGAGGCCACTAGAAAAACGGCGAACCTTGTAGTCAGAATGTCTAACTCACGATATGTAAGTTTGCCATCCCACGAGTCAATCGCAATCTTATCCGGCTGTATTGTACTCCAACGTGCCAAGTGATCATGAACGAGACCTGGAGATGGGAAAGGGAGACAGCCGTTTCTTGTGGCCAGGGTCCACGCATCTGCCTTACTGACTAAGTTCAGAGATCCTAGCGCTGTACCCCCTTCTACACAAGACAGCTGCCCTAGGATATGCTCCCATAACCCCAAAAAGCGTTCGCATTGTTCAGTTGATATTGCTTCCGTATCGAACCGAGCCTCCATGGTCAAGGCTTCAGGGCCCATGGTGCATTCGAGCACCAAGGCATGGGAGTCTCTACTCTCGTTTTCTGTTCGCTCTGCGAACAAGTGCTTCGTGGAGTCTTCTGGGGAAGGCGATTGTATCACAAGCATTGTCTGAAAGTCACAGGCAAGAGCGGCAGCTGCGCTGGTCTTTCGGATATTCTGGAATCCGTACTGCTCATGGGCATGTATCTCCCGTTGCTGGCTCTCAGCGGCATCAAGGAAGCTGGAAGTAGTGTCTGTTGCATCCCAGGTCATGTGTACTGGAATAGTTGCAAGTGTAGGGCCAACGACCTCGTCTACGCCGGGCATATTCGCGTCTCGGCCACTCATGACAGTACCAAAGCAAATGTCCTCTAATCCTGTATAGACACCCATCGCGAGACCAAGAGCAGCCCGCACAAGAACAGAAGCTCTCACCTTCTCTGACGTTGCATGTTGCACCTGAATCTCGCGAATGGCGTTTAGTTTTGGGCGGTAGTTCGGGAAAGGAAGTCGTGGAAATTGAGCCACACAAGCCGAGGAAAGCTCATTTCTCCAAAATTCTTGGGATGCGTTGTCCTTTGCCGCGTCGATAGAAAAGTGGACAAATCGATCGAAGGATGGTCCTAATGTTGGCGGCGGCGAGTTATCATACAGTTGAGTGACGTACTCGAGGCAAAGCTGTAGGGACCATTCGTCATAGAGCAAATGATGTAATATCAAGATGAATTCATGACTTTCTCCGTGGTTGCTCAGTGAGAATGCGGAGAGCTTAGTGCCCGCTCCCATTCTCTCCATAGTCATTTTGCATTGTAGCCGGTCAACCCCGTTTTCGTTCCAAGCAATCTGCTCACGAGCGACTGCCCTTATTGGACCGTGAGCTGGAGCTACAACGAAACGAGAGCGCAAAATTGGAAATGCTTGGTAGGCAGCTTCCCAGCAGGTCTTGAAGCGATGCAGATCTGTTCCAGAAGACAGTTGAAATCTGTATTCAGCCACATAAGTGCATGGTTGGCTTGTCAAAGATGGCATCAAAGACTCTTGAAAAGAAGTACATTTTTGCAGTGACTCGATAGAATCCAAAGCGATGCCACACTGAGTGGCTACCCAAGGCACAGACTCCATGAGATGGTCAGGAGTTGATCCATAGGAAATGTCTTCGTCCTGCGGCACAGATGCCGTGATCCGGCGCGTTGCGGCCTTTGAAGTGCTAACCAGTGAGAACAGCGAGATTGGTTGCAAAATTTCTTCGGTACGTAAATGGATACTCGCCTTTCGTAAACGTGAGACAAGCCTGATAGCATGAAGCGAGTTGCCCCCAAGTTCAAGAAAGCTGTGATTTAGGTCGAGAGCCGTAGGGGCCAATGAAAGAACGCGAGCCACTTCAATCTTGAATATTCTCTCCTCATCATGCGATTCACTGTGGTTAGTTTGTACTTGAACCATGGGTAACTCCGGCGCGACTTGACTGTGCAATTTCTGGAACTTATCCCGCAGAGCAGCCCGGTCGACTTTTCCAGAGGTAGTCATGGGTAGATATTGGAGAGGAACTATATGTCCGGGTATCATATATGTTGGGAGGCTTTGCGAAAGTTTTGTTTGCAGATCATCGCACCAGGGTTTCCAATTTCCCACTGCTGTGATCGTGCTGTGTGACGAGCCTAACACGAGAAATGCAACGAGGTAATCTGTCATATTCCGTTCCACCAATTCCACAAAGACATTTGGGCCTTGGTGACCGAGGTGTTGTTTGATATGACTCTCAATATCGCCTAGCTCGACCCGCTGGCCCCGGATCTTCACCTGCTTGTCGCGGCGACCGAGACAGGATATTGTTCCATCAAGATTGATTCGTGCAAGATCCCCAGTCTTATAAAAACGCCTTGGTGCGTTTGATACAATAGCAGGATTCGCCCACAAAAGGCCAGTGATGTATGCTGCTGCGGTTTTTTCAGGGTCATTGAGATAGCCGCGGGCGAGAATCTCTCCCTCAATCAATAGCTCACCCACTTCTCCGATCGCAGCCAGCTTATTAGGATCTCTCGAGTCCACAATCCACGATTGACAACCTACAGCATGCCCGATAACGGAAGGTGACGATGTAGGCTCTGTAGAAGCGATGCAACAAAATACACAGGCCTCTGTAGGTCCGTAGCTATTGTATAAGCGAACCTTTGAAGCCCACGTATCAATGCAGTCTTGGGTCAGGGGCTCCCCGCCGACGGACACCGTCCTTAGCGTCGGTACCTCCTCTGGGTGAAGGAGAGAAATAGTTGAAGGTGTAAAAAATGCCCAGTTTACCTGCATCGGTTAGCGCAAAATGAATATAATTTGACAAAGAGTGACTTACAGCAAGCACATTAATTGTCTCGACAAGATGGGTCAAGTCTGGGGGCACGCATATACATCCACCGTAGATAAGAGTGCCGAAGATCTCTGTCAAGCAGGGATCGAACGTGTAAGATGTGGCTTGAAGAACGCGCGACGTTGAGCACAAGCCCAACCGTTGGCCATGGGCCACGAGGCTTGTACATATGGACCCGTGCTGAACCATCACTCCCTTTGGTTGGCCGGTCGACCCACTGGTGAAGTAAACATAAGCCAGATCACTCCTCCCTATGTCTGGCAAGTCGACTCCTGCATTTTCGGGAAGACCGCTGAAAAATGTCGAATCTGTGTTCCAAGACTCGACATCGCCGATTTGTAGCAAATCGCCCCCGAACTCGAGCATCAGGGAAGAACCCGTTTCGATCGCTACATGATGCAGCCGGGCAGCTGGGTGTGACGGGTCCACAGGTGTAAACGCCAACCCAGCGCGGAGAATCCCTAGAAAGGAGACAATGGCCCAAGGTGACTTATGGAAGCGGCATAAAATGATGTGCTCCTTTCTGAAACCTTTCAGCAAAAGCAGTCTTGCTAATCTCAGTGAATACTTGTCCACTTCGGAATAAGTCAATGTTGTGTCGCGGTGGGATATGGCTGCTTCGCCACCCTTGATGGCTACTTGATCCAGAAATCGATCTATAAGTGTCCCATCTGTCCGAAAAATAGTTTTGCTACATCCACCAGGGGAAAGCGGGTGTAAAACACCGTTTGAATTTGTGACTTGAGTAACGGTCCGCATTGTTGGGCGTTTGGCGGAATTACGTTTGAAGGAACATATAATGACTGTGCGGAGAGGCTTAACCACAAAGAAATACAGCAAAATATAGCCTCAAAACTCTAGAACGAAATGAAGTACAGGTTTAAAGGGTGATATGCATTTACAGCAATATCACTAGGTGTGATGTCTTACTTCAAGGATCAACGACTTGGACTAGAGTGTCTGATTTAGATCCAGCATTGAAAACCCGAAGAATGTGTAAATAAGGGAGGTCACACCAGGTGCGAGATAAGAAAGCCAGTTGGTGCTGCTTATTCAATCATTTGATACCCAGACTTGCACTTCACGCGTATCTGGGTATCTGAACTGCAGACTTATGCACTGTCAAGAATCTCTTTTGCCGCTGCCTCCGTCAATAGGAGTGACATCAGATAACAGGCAAACACGCAGGGATAAAATATGACTTGATGTGGTACATGTAAACTCATCATAGAGTTCTGACGTCACCACAAATCCGATGAAGGTCTGTTAAGAGAATTACAATTCCCAAAGATCATGATCCAGAAGAGTTTAGTTACAAGGTAGGATTAAAGAGGCTAATCCTGGAGAGATATCGTAACCGTTCTAGTCCCATCAGATTTTACTTGTAAACGTACAGTCTGGAAGGTAACATAAATATGACCAATTTTGTATTGTTTACTTTCTTTGAATGTTCCCACTAACTCAACTAACTGGTCTATTGCAACTCTCTGTCACCTAAAAAAATAAGTATATCCTTCAACATCGAAGATTTTCCCCATTGATTGTTTCCAGAAAATAGTGACTACCTAAGTGCAAGAAGCATACCCTTCCCGTGTAAGTATTGCCTAAGAAACCCAGAGTTAGACATGCCAAGGGTGGATCTTGCAACAATCGCTTTGGAACCATTTTAAATGGACGATTCTAATTGGTGACCATCCATTACAAGTCTCTTTGGCATGATGTGGGTGCTTATTTCTCAGTCATGCCTACGCGTTTCCCACCACATAGCCGACATTGCATCAGAGCGCTTTCAGGGCCCACTCAGCAGGGACAAATTGGAAACAGGGTCTAATTGAATGGCGAAGTGGGCTGCACTTTGGGCATACATACTGCTCGCTCGTAACCGATCATCGACATACACATGATATTGTGATTTTCTACAATGACGTCGCAGTTTGGGTGCATCTTGCGGAGTAGCATAGCTCCGCTTTCCGCTCATTGACTACACTTTTTCTGTACCCATAATTTTTCTGCCGGGCGATATGCAAGGTCACCTTGTGAAGGATCAGTGAATGCATCCGTGGGATTGAAGATCTCATAAGGCTTACCTAAATGGGTTGGCCGGACTGTTCAGAGTCGGCGCTAATGCAAGGTCAAGGTTGCAGCCGTCCTTGAAGGAGATACCTGGCTAGTAGCGTGGCCACGCTCCAGTCGTACCAAAACCAGTTCCTGACTATTTTTCTCCCTACTCAAATAGCCGTGTTCAGTGGAGTTGGTAGGAGTTACTGTTTCGCAGCGAAAAGGATGTTGTGTGAGCTTTGATGTATGGGTGATGAAAACACATCAGTCTTTGCGCTAGAGAGGTCTACAAATTCGTCAAAAGGCTACCTTCTGCAAATTCTTGACATGACCTCGCACTTTGTTAGGTCTGAGATAAGCCGATAGGACTTGTGGTCGACGTTATCAGTGTTCAATACAGTAGTGAACTGCCAAGTGAAAAAAGGATGACTGTTAGCACCATGCCCTATGGGCAATGGGAGAGTCCTATAACTAGCGAGGCTTTGTCAAACGATTCAGTTTCACTCAACGCACCACGAAGCAACGTTAGCAATCCCAATTTCTGTACAATCGAGATTTGGATGTCACGGCGGACTGATGTGAAAACAGCGCGATGGAACAGCCCTTTATTACCTTGAAGCTGATCGTAACGGACACGGGCGTATTAAACGCGTTGATCCACCGGGCCATGTCACACCAGATAAATTCGATGTTGGTAGCGCTGTGTACTCCTATGGTGGAGGGGCTTTCGTCGTCGATGTGGACGGGTTCCTCGTGTTCACGGATGCCAACACACAAGGCGTATATCGCGCGAGCCCTGATGGCATGACCGTTGACAAAGTCTTATTATCTCCTTCTACTTTGTATGGAGACTTGGCTGCTCATCCAAACGATGCTCGATTTATCCTTGCGGTACGGCAAGTCAACTTACAAGATGGCTCACGATCCGTAGTAAGTATCGTCTGCATCGATACGGTGGATCATTCAGAGACGGTTCTGCGTCAAGGCTCTGACTTTTACTCTCATCCACGCTTCAGTCTCGATGGGCACATGTTATGCTGGCTGGAGTGGGATCATCCCCACATGCCATGGACCGGAGCGAGACTATTTGTCGCTACATGGGGTCCGGTCCTGACTGGGTTACGCGGTATAGGCAAACAATTCGGTGTTGGACAGCCCCGTTGGGGCCCCGGCAAAACACTGTACTACTGCCACGACGATACTGGGTACCAACAACTTTACCACGTCAATCTTGAAAATGATAACGGGCAGCCCGACCCGCAATGGCTCAGAATCAAGGGCATGGAGGAATATGAGTTGGCCGGCGCCGAGTTCTTATTATCAAGTAACACCTACTTCCAACTCGACGAGCATCACCTGATCGTGACATATACGGCCTCAGCTCGAAGCCAGCTGGCTTTGGTTCATTGTGCTAATGGTATATACGCCGATTTGGACGTCGCATTGAATGACATCGCGTATGACGCCTTACAGCGCATTAACAGCCACGAGTTCCTGGCAATTGGGGCAATGAGCGAACGTGCTTCTAGTCTCTATCGAATTCGCCTTCCTGATGTATTGGACATGTCGAAGGGGATGATTTCATGCCATATCACAGCAATTGCGCAGTCTTATGACATATCTAAGTTTCCCAGCGGTATGCTGTCAACGCCGGTTCCGATAAACTTCCGAAGATCACATAAACCACAAGTCGACAATGGAGAACCTACGGCAGACGTTAGAACAGGGCATGCATTTTTGATGAACCCCACGAATGCGAACTATACTGCTGCGGAGGGAGAGCTTCCACCCTGCATTATCATGGCTCACGGCGGCCCTACCAAACACCACCGCCCAAGCATTAACTTAGAAAGCCAGTATTTTACTTCACGCGGCTACGTGGTTGTACTTCTCAACCACGTCGGTTCGACTGGTTACGGAAAACTTTATCGCGATGCTATGGACGGCATGTGGGGCGCCGCCGATGTCCAAGATGCGGTTGACGTCGTACAAGCACTGGTACGGAACGGAGTGATTGACCCCCAACGTGTAGGCATCACCGGACCTAGTGCTGGGGGGTACTTGACGCTGCAGGCTGTCTGTGCACATCCTAACGTATGGGCTGGAGCGATAAGCGTTTTCGGGATCTCAGATATGAGGGGATTCGCAAGAACGACACATCATTTTGAATCACATTATGACTTCCTACTCGTGAGGGGCAGGAACTCCCTGGCCCAGGCTGAAGTGAACGATGTGAAGCAAGAGGATTTCCATACACTTGAAGAGTTATACGAGGACCGCAGTCCAGTTACAAGAGCACGAGATAGCAGAGTACCAGTTCTTCTATTACAAGGTTCTGAAGATTGTGTAGTCACATTGGATCAAGCCTTAGCTTTTGTCAAGGCGGCTAACCAGTCTTCGGATGAACACGGAATCATCCGAAAGGACGTACAGAGCCGTGTAGAGCTGGTCGTGTATGAACACGAAGGCCATGGTTTTCATTTGGCAAGTACTAAGAAAGACAGCCTGGAAAGAGCGGAAAACTGGTGGAAAAGAGTACTTGTAGAAAGATCTGGAGTGTGATCATATTTTTCAATCCTAAGAAAACATTCTATCTAGTGCTTTTCACCACGCCGCAATGCAAATATCATTAAAATTCCGTCTATGCCAAGTGTTTAAACGAGACCTCTACTAACAAATGACGTTCAATTCTATTTCACCGGCCACCTCGATGGAAAGCACATGAACGTCTCAGTTAACCTGAACAAGAGGTAATATATTTTTGCCACTTCAGCAATCAAAATCATGTCAGAGATTCCTTTACCCAACTATTTGCCAACGTCGCAAGCAAAACATTACTTTGTGATATCCTGCCAGCTGGCCCAAGGCAATAAGTTAGTCGACATGTATGCAAGCGTATTGCACACTACCTTTGCTGCGTGTCATGCTTATGACGTCCAAGATCGCGGTCTACCTTGCGGTAGAATTAGTCATATTTGCTCTGTTAACAAGTTTGGAGCCAGTACAGCAAACATATCTGGATAGATGACAAGGCGCCTGCGGCTTGCACAGGAATCGATCAGCATGGCACAGTACCTACGCCATCACCTCGAACTGACCTAGTACAGCGTTGACCGGAGATACTAGTTTTATACCCGCGACAGGGCGCGCATGCCGTGTATGACACAAGCAACAATAGATACCCTTGGCAGCCATCTGAACGCGCACATACAGGAGCGTGGGTCTTGCTTTTTCTTTTCGTTCTTTTCTGGGGCACTGCAGTCTCTCTCGGTCATCACAGTTTCAAGTTTTCAAATCTTGGGTACTCCGTATACATGCGCAGTCTGTAGCAAGATGCACCGCCATCTTGTATTCCTAAGTACCATTAACCTAGATTACTCTGGAATTAAAGGCGGATCCATACCACTACATTGCCAAGATTTGGCGCTTCCATGGGTTCGTGGCACCTTAAATTCCTCACCAAGAGGAAGCTGCAAAGTCAGACTCGGTCATGATGCGAAGTCAAGCCGAGCGGAACGAGGCGAGGAATCATTCGCGGCAGTGAATGCTGCTAGGTTTCGTGCATGTGGCTGGGTGCATCATTGGTTGCTGGATGTTGGTCGAGAGCTATACCCGCCAAGCGGGGAGGTGTGTTTTTAGAGTCGATTGGAATTGTTCACGAACGCGGATATCACAACCAAGTAGCTTATGTCAAAGCTGCTAACCTAGGTTAGGTTGTAGTCTACGTGCATGGAATCTTGTCTGTTTCGGTGCTTACATGGAACACACGTAACATATGTTAGCACGCACAATATGAAAATGACGTTTTTGCAAGCCAATAGAGCGACACAGTTTTACTGGCAGTATGATGGGTAGTAGGATTATGCAAACCTGAACATTGGAAGAGCATTTCCGGCATCTTGATGTGGTCGTTATCGTTAAGATTAGTGGTTATTCTGCGATTGTACCACCGTAACAGCTTATCACCAGCTGGAGTTCAGTCATTCACCACTAAGCGTAGTGCTCTTAGAGGCATGTGGGCGTGTTCCAGCGCCAGAGGCCCTAACAGAGGCTTACGTACGCCCCAATTGCCTCACCTAAAGATACATTCCTTTTCTCTCCCCCCCCCTCCCCTTTTTTCTTCTTCTTTTTTTTCTCTTTCCATCTTATTCTTTGCTTCTTCTTTGAAAAATATGTTCTAGACTTATCAACTGACACTATACACTTCGAAATTGATCTCAGCCTGATTTCACATGGACCGCTTGAGTTTGAGCCGTACCGGAGCTTGGGTCAATTCTCAGTTTCCAAGGCCCCGAGGATTTGTTTTGAGATTATCTTACAAGCACTACTTAATGCAATCAACAGAGATGCCCTTTCAAGCTAGAAATACTATTGAAAGACATTAGTTTTCGCGATGAATCGCCCCGGCATACTAGCCTAGTTGACACGATGGCTGCATGTAGCTTTCTCATCAGCGTGCAAATTTTCGGCGGCTCTTCTCAAGAGCTACAATGTTACCAAGAAACCGAATATTGCAACCAATATTAACTAAATTTTATGGCGCTAGTGTGTTTTATTTTGATTTATCTTGAGGCCTTTTCGAGTAAGGTTCAGAGAAGCCACTTGAAATAGAAATATAAAGATACGCTGAGTATTTACGGCTACGAAAGAAATTAGAAGAAATGCAAGGCAGCATTCTGTTGCAAGCAACCACAAGAATCATGTGTCAATTAACAACCTATTTATGTAGGCTAAATTGGATTCACCAAAACGAGAAATGGATTGATTTATCAGTTAGTCTATGCTGATGACGACAACCTTTTGATAGTGCCACGACCAAAATGAAACAAGAAGAGAGGAATTGCCTAACACATCATCGACAACAGGTTTTACCAGCTTCCTTGCGTCTTGCTTCGCTATGGTTTGACACGATCAAAAGCTTGTTCAAAGTCCCTGATGAGGTCCTGGACATCTTCGATTCCGAGAGAGAGGCGGACCAGATCCTCTGTCACGCCCATAGCGTCGTTCTCTTCCTGTGTGTAGTGCTTGTTGACTCCTGACCAGTGGTGGCTACAGAGTGTCTTAGAGTCTCCAATGTTGGTTGTCATGATGATCAGCTTGAAGGCATTGATTACCTTCTGGGCCTCTTCACCGCCACCTTTGAGGCCGAAGGTAATGACTGTGCCGAAGCCCCGCTGGAAGTACTTCTGTGCTAGGTGGTGATATGGGTGATCTTCGAATCCGAGGTAGCCAACCCATGCGACGCGAGGATGGGCACGCAGCCAGCGGGATAATTGGTCCGTGTTTCGGGCCTGGCGCTCGCAACGCACGGAGAGCGTCTCTACCCCTGTGGCGAATGGTGCTGTTAGCAATCTGATCTCACATATTGCAATCTGAGTAAATTGAGAAGAGAATATTCTCCACGGCAATATATTCGACCAAGAGGAAAAACTCACCAATGAAAAGCTGCTGAGCAGCGTACGGGTTGATACACGGTCCAGTATCACGCATGACTTCAGTCTTAAGATACTGAATGTATGCCCTGTTTCCAGAGGCTTCGTACCAGTTGTCTTGGCCGACTCCCCATTTAGTCAGGTCCGGATCCTCTCCATACAGCCGTGGGAACCGAGCCCTGTTCGCCTGCCAGTCTGAACGGCCAGTCTCCAAGACGACACCGCCGATGGTGGTGCCGTGTCCACCGATCCACTTGGAAGCAGAATGCACGATAATATCAGCGCCAAATTTGGCGGGCTGGCAGAAGTATCCGCTGGCTGTGAGAGTTGCGTCCACTACAAGCGGGATTCTCACGTCATCGGCATGCGCAATTGCCGCGAGTCCTTCGAAGTCGGGGATCGAGAGCTTAGGGTTTGCCAACGACTCGACGAAGATAAATTTAGTTTTGTCATCAACTAACTCTCTGACACGCTCCAGATCGTTAGTATCGCAGAACCGTGCATCTATGCTCCTGAACATCAAAATCAGCATATGACCATCGATATAGGACAACAGGCAGTATATGTGGGGAACAAGGCTGGTTTTTCGCCGCAGATCCTTTAGTGGATGGTGGCATAGCCACACCGATAAGAACTTGGAGGGTGCTTACAGCTGTGTTACAGCCTTTCGAAACTGTTTATATGTTCCTCCATGCAGGCCGCTTGATACTATGATATTATCACCCTTCCCCGCCAATGACACGATGACGCCATGTACAGCGGCTGCGCCTGAAGCGTAAGCGAGCGCTTCAACGCCATCCTCTAGGGCTGCTATGCGTCTTTCAAAGCCGTCATGGGTAGGCTAAAACACGACGATTAGAACAATGAGAGTTTAATAGAGACTATTCACGTCGGGACTTACGTTTGACACTCGGGTGTACAGGTGGTTTTGAGAAGATGAAATGTCCTCCAATGCATGATTCAGGTCGTCGAGCTTTTTAAATTTGAAGGATGCAGTGTTGTAGATCGGGAGAGTGATATGGCCATATCTAGGGTCATCCTCCAAGCCTGCATGGACCTGAAGGGTGTCGAAACCCCATTGAGGCTTTCCCTTTGCAGCTTTGTTTGGCTGAAAACTCGCTGACCCATTTGTCGAGCCATTGGCATAATCAATTGAACCCATTTTGAACGACAATCAATTAGACCCAAAAAGTAAAGTGTTTGGAAGTCTCAGAGATATATGTGTATATTTTGGTGTCTTGTTTCGTTGAGGAGCAGCCATATAAGTAAGTATGCCACAATATGCCAAGGCTTATATGATCTTGTAAACGTATACTAGATCAGATTATCATAAGTGGCAAAATCACGCGAAAGAGGCGACGTGTCATTGGCTGTGCTTTGTTGTGGGGATCCTCCCTAGGTGAGGACATTGCATGATAAGCTGAGGTATAGCCCAGACTAGTTAGATTTTGACCATGCAGGGACAGATGCAGTGTCATAACTTTTCTTCCAAGTGGACTACAGCCAGCGATGTCTGATCTCATTGCGGATTATTCACAAAAGAGTGAAGAAATTAGAAACCAGAAACAGAACAACAAAGTGAATGCGAAGACCCCTTCCGTTTTCCTTGAGGTCAAGGTTTTCTGCAGGGAGTGCCAAGAAATAGAGCACTCTAAAACGTAATCCGAACGTGCTACTGGCGCTGTTCATGCAGAGATCAAGAGCTAAACATCCAGCTGTTGAAGTAAAATCTATCGCACGGACAATTTCAAGAACGGCTTGATAAGCCACGCGTCCGTCCAGCTTGTATCAAATTATCCGAAGTAGGAGAAATGGCGCATCCAAATAGTTCCAAATCATCTGCCCCCCATCATGCAAACTCACATTTACTCCCTCAACAGTTATACATTAAAATCCCCGAGTTCGCCCTGGAGTCTGGTGAGGTTCTACTCGACGCTGTGGTTGCCTTTACTTTTCGGGGATTGCTCAACGCTAAACGAGACAACGCTGTTGTTATTTGCCATGGATTTGCTGAAGGTGCCGACATGGAAGATTGGTGGTCTCCCATGTTAGACCGGGCGAGTCCGGCACTTGACACCGGGAAGTTTTGCTGTATTTGCTGCAACGTGCTAGGAAGTCCTTTTGGCTCCGCGAGTCCTCTTACCTACCGGAAAAATGGAGAGGGGAAGATGGAGCCGTATGCAACTGAATTCCCACGGACTACTTTCCGAGATGATGCGCGGTAAGTGAACTGGCCCATCAGATAATTAAATTGTAGACTCCAACTCATACGAAACCTTGTTGTAGAATACATAAGTGCGTTCTTGACATACTAGGGGTGCAGTCCATCTTCTGTGTCATTGGCAAGGGCATGGGAAACATGCTGGCCTTGGAATGGGCTCGTTTGGGCCAGGATTATGTGCGAGCGATCGCTCTAACAGAGGCGACAGGAGTACGCAGCGGCTTGAGGTCCTTCGGATGGGTGGATGATCAACAATCAAATACCTCATCAGGGGCGAAGCTCAAGACTTCTTTCTACGACATCGATACTGGGTATCCGCAGGGGCTTGAGAGTGAGCAGACGCCTGTCGCCTCGAAACATTCCTCGCCCCAACTCCTTCCAAAACGGTGCAGCCAACTAGACAAGCGCCTGGAATACGACGCAGACTGCTATGGTCACATGTTACAAAAGATTCACTCTTTCAACATGGAACTTGGTGATTGTTTGAGCCCACTGGATCGAGAAGCAGCATTGAAGGAAATGCTTACAAAGATTAAGCAGCCGGCTTTAGTGGTTGGAAGGCGTGCCGGGTATCACGATAAAGCAGCAGCTGAACAATTGTTGCCCTATGATTATATTCCCAATGCGAACCTTGCTTTCATAGAAAAAGAAGAAGGCGTGGAGTGGTACCTCCATGAAGCTGAGCAGCTGGATACCCTCTTACATAGTTACTTTCAGTTGATATCGCCAGGGTCTGCTGGAAGCGCTTAGATTGCTGCAACTAAGGTGGCGGTCCAAGCTTTTTATTAAAAAAAAATAAAGAAAAAACCCCCCGGTTTTGCTACAAGTGTTCTTCTTCATGGATAACTAGTGAGCAGCAACGGCGGATATTCTGTCATTAGTTGTCGTTTTGTGTAGAGAAGCGGGATCTGGCGGGTTGATCTAATGCGCCGTGTATTGCGCTTTGCCCTAGAGCGTTAAATTTTGTGGCACACAGCATTGCGATACACAGACTAATCGAGGTCGTCATCAAGTGAGAAACACAAAGGGCTACGTATAGAAGTAACAAATATAAGTAGGAAACTACCAAGGAAATATACTGGTGGAAAGATACCATCTATGCTGAGGCTGCGCAGATATTTGTTCCCTTGGCCGTAAAAATTGAAGATCGTAGGTGTTTGATGGCAAGCATCGGGGGACGACGCGTGGGGCGTTGGCGAGCTACAATAGTGCTGTCCGTTAACTGGATAGATACCGCTAGCCCCGTATGGCACCTAACTCCAGGCTGCCTACTGCTCGTTTGCTCCAGATCAAATAATACATAAATGAGTGCTTTACCTGGGTGATAGACATGCACATTTGGTTGTTCCGCAATTTACCTTCCTGATTGTTGATCTACCATGCCTCCAGCGTAGTGATAAGGCTTATGATGATAATCATGATGATGTGGTCGAAGTCGTATAACCTCCATTAGCGGTCGCCGAAGCACGAACGGTCCTGTCAAAGCTTATTTTCATGTCATTTCAATGTTCAGGTTATGCATGGCCAAATTTTGCATCATTTTTGGATGTATTACGCTTGTGGTCGTTTTGGAGAGTACCACCATCCTGCACCATTGGTTCGTCTCATAGCAAATAATAACGCGTGCAAAGATCAACTCGACATGACCCATTCTTAGTGATCTACATGATAGATGGTATTGATATTCTGCTAGGGAATGAGTTGGGAGCAACATATCCCGGATTTTCCTACTCATTTGCGACTATTCTCTTTGCTCTAGTCTCTTTTGCTGTGGATACAATCAAAGCCAAATACTCTAAAGGTGCAAGATACACACTTATTTACATTGATAGCTTTAGACTGCGAGGTCTAAAGGAAATATATGCTGTACTGTGTTCTCCAATTTTCACCTTTTACAATTTTCAGATGACTGATGTCTAAGTTGAAAAATAACCAATATTGCCGTGATGCATTTTCCCCAAAGATGCTTACTTCGTAACCGTAGTCAAGCTGTCAACATAGACAAACGGCTTACATGGAAAATATTCGCACCATTTAAATAATGAATATCATCTCCTAGCCTGCTTACATGATTTATCGATAATACTAAGAGCACTCATGCCTCTTCAGAAGACATCATCCCTGGTTCAATATGCTGGAGATTTCATGTTCAATGACCTGTTCCCATATCTTTGGTTTGTCCAGGAAAGGATATGTGCCAAAGAACGCATGCAGGAGATTGTTCAGCTGCTCGCCTTCGAGAAGGAATCCGTCGTGTCCATCGTCACTTTCTAATGTAGCAAAGGTAGCGTTTGGCATGCTTTCGTACATCGCCATCTGTTCACATAATGGATAAAGACCGTCCGTAGGAATGCCAACGACTAGAGCCCGCTGTTGTATCTGGCCAAGAACTGCCTTCATGGCATCGCCATCGGATAGGCTCGTGCATCGACCCCGGGTAATGTCATGGGAATCGATCTTGTCTAGAAGATGGATGTAGCAGTTAGCATCGAACCGCGCATTGAACTTCTTGCCCTGATACCGCAGATAGCTCTGTGCCGAGAACGTGCCGTACTTGTCGCGATGGTGGTCGCCAAGCATAGAGTCTTGCACGACTTCCTGGAGCGAGGGTTTGATGCCTTCCTCAACCGGTGGCGGCGGTTTTGCGTCGAAGCGGCGTCTTCCAAACCGCTTCTCGAACGACGAATGGGTTCGATACGATAGCATGGCTGACATTCGTGCAGCTGCAAGACCTGCTACGGGAGGGTCGTCGCCGTAGCATCCTCCCCGAAACTTAGAGTCGGCGTTGATAGTTGCGCGCTGATTCTCGGCCCACGCGATTGCCCAGGGGCTCTGCCTCGCTGTGGTTGCGATCAGGGCCAGTGATCGTACGTAATGCGTCCCAAAGAAAGACCACTCAAGGGCTTGCATGCCTCCCATGCTTCCACCAATCACACAATATATTGATCGCACTCCCAAAATGTCCATGACCTCTTTTTGAATACTGTTGTGTAGCATCAGCTTCAAAGGTTTGAGAGGGAGGAGATAAAACAGGAACTCACCGAACATCATCCCGTATGGTAGTCTTTGGGAAATCATTTCCATAAGGCAAAGTGCTATCCGGTTTGGAGGACAGAGGACTTGATGAACCATAGGGGCTACCCAAAGAATTGCAGCAGATGATACAAAATCGTCTTAGGTCAATTGCTGGGTTGGCAGGACTTGAAAGTAGCAAAGACCACCAATCCATGCAGTCAGCACTCCCTGAAAGAGCGTGACACAAAACGATCACATTGTTGCGTTCTGAATTAAGTCGGCCCCTGATAGTGAATGCGACAGTCGCGCGGGGCAGAATATCTCCTGACTCTAGAGAGAAATTATCAATTGTTGTGTAGAACTGCCTAGGAAGCCTTTCAGGAAACGAGTGATAGTCATCTAGGGCTCAAGTCAGCTGAGGCTCATAATCGTGAAATACTTCTAGGAGGAGTTCTAAACGCACAGCTGGAGCTAATGGGTAGTTCCACTACGCTGTTCATACCCATCGCGAAGAGATGGCTGGCCTCCGACAGCCAAGTCGCGGGATTGGACCTGAGTTCAGAAGAAAGTGATGATTAGAGCACAACGCCGACATTCCAGATCAACTCGATAAGCCTCCCGGTAGACTGTAGGGCATGATATTACAGATAATACGCGGGAAATCGATTCTTTCCGGAATGTCATATAGCCTGGACACGCTGGTGCTTACGCTTACTCTACCGGGACTCTAAGCAGCGACCCTCGAACTTGACTAAACTGGTATAGATCACCACTAGTCGACATGCCGCTGTCGAATCAGAGGGAATATACTTTTGAAGCCAAAACGATTGTGGAAAAATCTGCGACCAGAGTTGTGCAATGTACAGTACGATATGCCCCATGCGATCATCTGTCGTGATAGCATCCTGCATTTCTAGTTGTGACATCAACGGGTCCTAAGGCCTCGCCAAATTGACATCCCTGCTAACCTGCACTGGAGGGAGAAGCTGGGAAACGTTGGAGCCCTGACAGTTTAGAGCAGTTCCCATAGGCAAGCTGCATTATGCATATGCCTGATGCATTCCGTTTTATTTAGACTAGATCAGATCTTTGACTTCGCATGGAATGGCTTTATGCATGTCCACTGATGTACAAACCTTGATTGGCTTGCAGGACAGGCCTGGTCTAGCGCTGCACAGTCAAGCGCTGTCGTTCAACATCAAATGACTAACCATAGAGTACAATTCTCCAGGATTCGTCGTCAATAACGGTGCAGCGGGCTTCAAGCAAAGAGTTGCAAAAACTGCGTCCAGGCGCTAGGCATAGTGTCATATTGTCGAAAGGTGCTCGTGGAAAAGCAGTTCGACACAGAATGAATGCGATCCCAGATCGCAAGTGCGGACAAGGGTTCGGAAGCGACCATAGATGGCGAATAACTTTTTGTGCCATCCAACGCGCCTGGACGCATCTCCATCCTTCTGCTGGTCTTGTTGACGTTCAAATGACTCGGGCTTATCAATAGAATACTATCGACGCTGTTGTTGTTTGTGACAGAGGCTGAATCGTGACGACTTATGACTTTTCCTCAATTAATTGGACTTGTGAGAATAATTTCTTGTGTTCCGTGCGTGAATATTGTAGCATGACTTCATGGCGAGTGGAGTTTAGTCAAAATCGACTCGGGCATCTTAAAGGTTCAGATGTTCCTGCAGAACCAATGCAGCCGCATCCGGAATGTGCAACCTAGACTGACATCAATGACTGAACAAAACAGGTAGTTCCTCACACCCGTGCTACGTCATTGCGTGAAGTGTAGCCACCAAATTCAAGGCCAAATATCAGGGAAATAATAGACGTCACACTTATGCGACGTCCGTTGCCGATTTTATCACCCACGAATGCAATGTCGATGACATGGATCGTACAGTAACGTTTTGCGAGAGCCTCTGGCTACTAAATTGATGACATCTTAGCTCCACGTAGTGAGACGACCACGCGTCTATACGAAAACAGTCATACTAGTTTTTATTCAGACATGCGATTATCGTCTGATCGACGTTAAATGAACTGATTAAATGAGCTCTGATCGAGGCATGATGATCATATTTTGAAACGAGCTGCAAAACAACGAGACCGCAGCACATCCATGATATGCAGTCGTACTCATTATAAGTAGTTTATTTGAGTATCAAACTCATAGCTGATCGACAACCTGTCATTGATATTCCTCAACATTCCAATTCACAACGTGCCTAATCAAACCACGCTGAACTCAACCCCTTCAACATGTCGACTGCTACGACCACAATTCTTTCCCAGTCTGCCACTGGTACAAGCATCGATACCACCACTCCAGAATATTTAGTCATTTCCTATGCAAAGCTTCTGGAAGGGGATGCCGGCGAGGTAGCCTCCCTCCGTAACGCATGCGAACGTGATGGGTTCTTCTATCTTGATCTCCGTCAGGAGGTCAAACAGCCACATCCCGTAGAGCAAGATGTACCATCTATTTTCAAGGCCGTCAACGAATTTTTCAAGTTAGACGAAGAAGAAAAGATTGGGTACGATATTGATACAATTGCACCGTGGAAGCTCCATGGGTATGTGACCTCTCAAATGCCTGGAGGCGATTCGCCACTATTTCTCATTTCTAATATTTCGATACAGATATACACCATTCGGGAGAAATACAGGACTCGCTGGTGGCGACAAAAAGCATGGTGTCGAAGCCTACACAGTGAGTTTCAGCATGACAGAAACTGATTCAATGGTGCTCTTAATAACACAGCTCTAATCTAGGTGCCTCGAGACGGTATAAGTGACTCTGTGAAGGGCACCGATCCCGTTCATCTTCCTCCTGTCTTGCAGAAAGAATCGCCCCTCATTTCCAAGTTTATGGATCAGCTGCACATCATTGGATTGAACCTCTTAAAGGGTTTGGACCAGAGCAATAGCAGGGCAAAAGGTGAGGAGGGATTCTTTACTTCAAAGCACCGGCCATCCGAGCCCTCGACGACCTGTCTTCTGCTCCTACGATATGCGACATTGGATGTCGGCATACCACAGACTGGTTTGGCCCCACACACTGATGTTGGTACCTTAACGATCTTGTTCTCCGACAAGAAGGGGCTTCAAGCTCGCCATCCTCTCACGCATGAATGGCGGTATCTTGACCCGAAAGAAGGTTGCGCTGTCATTAATGTGGGAGACTCCCTCAGGTTCCTTTCTGAGAAGGGTTTTCAATCTGCTTTGCACCGAGTCGTCCCATCTGCTGATGCCACTATTGATAACCGCTTCTCTTGCGCGTACTTCCTACGCCCCGAGCTCGATGCCGAGTTTGATGCAGAGGGACAGCATTGGAAGAGCATTGACTGGCATCTCAGGAAGTACAAGAGTTATCGGTCAGGTCAAACAGGAAAAACCGAATGAGTAGATCAGGTTTGATGCATTGGCACACGCAGTTTCGAGTGGACTGAGATTCCAAACCGCTGTATATCGTGATCGAGGAGGGGCGCGATGTATCTACCTAGGTACCGTATCTTGAATTCTATACCTCTCCCTGATCTATTTATATCGTAAATAGTGGTCTGTGTTGAAATGAGACAGGTTATTCGGAGTAGAATGATTAATATATTGGTTGAGTATCAGAGAGTAGCTATGTGTGCGGTAGCGCGCACACTATATATGTATACAGTAGATAAGTGGCTGGTAAGCCCGAAATACAGGTGGTTGGGACCTATCTCAACAGTCTGTATGATGTTCTGTCTTCTATAAACATGCAAATAAAGTTAATCTGAGAGTTCACATTTCTTTGTTTGAACATTCCGTCTTAATGCCTCTAATTTCGTTATAAAGCACGCACGAAAGAACTTTGAGCTGAAGCCCATCTGAACCATCCTCAGTGTCAATTCTTAGAATGGTGTTAGTACTATAGTCGAGAGACGCTTGTCAACAAAACGTTTTGACCAAGAACGACCAATTATGATCGCATTACTGATCTACTGTTTGAGTAAATCTGCAAGGTCACCATGCATATGATTTTCTCCACATAGACTAAGCCCTGCAGAGTCCAATGACGCAACTTTGCTTGATGCAAGGTCATATGAACTGGACAAGTAAGCGGTCATCATTTTGTAGCATGACAGTGACGCTGATGACAATGCTTAACCTTAAAATATGTTCGTGGTTCCCAGCAATCATGTCAATCATTGCGTTTTGTTGACAACACGTATCGTTTTGACAGCGCAGCTAAAGATTTGCGGTAGGAAACAGTCCTTCCAGCGGGACTCAATTCACATGATTTCCTGCCCAGGTGACGTAGTATTATACGGCCTATCTATAGTATGAGACGCGCATCTTAGCCAGACATATCTAGTACACTGGTGCCCGTTCTCATCAAACCGCTGAGAGTCTAGGGAGATCGTGGTAAATACAATTGATTCCGTTCAACACGAAAGCATCACCACACTTCGTATCTCCGTCCAAACGACAGAAACGCATCCTTCACGATGGCTGATTATAAGAGCTTTCGCATATACTCAAATATACCAGATCATCAGTGTCAGTTCATTCTACCTGGCTGTGAGAAGTTGAATACTTACTGACAAAATCAGTTTCACTTCAATGTCAATACCACGTCGTTCATGATAGTACAAAACACTTTGAAAACTTGTACATCGCACCAAAATCTGCAGCTAGCGGCATTGATAGCATCCCAGCTGATGCGAACGGAGTATGGATCTCCAGTGGCGATTCCTCATCCCAGGCTCACAAGCTGAGCTCAGAAAAAGCGACAGCGGCTCTTAGCGCATTTCTTTACCAGGCCTCGACCGACCAAGAGCCCGGCGTCGTCGTTCTTCAGATTCCAAAGGAAAATGGTTACGTTGCCCATGCGGACCCGTGGACGTTACGGCTTGCTGATTGTGCTCTCGTCTCGTCTGTCCAGAGCTTTCTTTCACCACTTGCACAAGTGAAGGCCTATTCTGGATCGGTGACCAACCCTGAGGAGATTGCAGCAGCATTGGATGCCAGTGTTGGGGGCATAGCCTCCCACCTTTCACTTCGTGGTGAATCCATCGAGCAGCTCGAGTTCGAATTGAAAAGGCGACTGAACTTCTCGTGGTTGTCTTCGAAGCCAATACAACCACGCCGTGTCGGCGTCGTGGTACAGAGTAAAGTCAGCATCACGGCAACAAAGTCCAGGTGGGACACTGCCGCTGCTCTAGGCATTAAAGTCGTTATTCTGAGCTCCGGCTCTTGGTGGAGAGAGAATAAAGAACCCGACACACATTTGAGAGAGGGCACAATCGACGTCGACTTATCATCAGACTCTGGTCGTCCGCAAAGAATTGTCGACGCCATTAAGTCATACCCGCAACCTTTCGATGGCATCTGCGCATGGTCGGATGGACTCCTGGTTGATGTGGCAGAAGCCGCTGTTCAGTTGCGCCTCTGGACGAGTGGGCCCAAACCATATTCCATATCGACAAATAAATACCTCACACATCAGCTACTCGACCCAAAATCGCAAGAGTACTTTGGTATTAAGTCCCTGGAAGAACTGGAGGATCGTCTACAGTCTAGCAACCCCATTAAATTTCCCGTTGTTTGTAAACCCTTCAGCGGAAGAGCAAGCGAGGGTGTCTACAGGGCAGACGACGCCGACCAGCTGCGCCACGCTGTTTCTCGGACATTGGCTTCTAAGAATGGCCTGGATGTTCTGATTGAGCCGTATATAGACGGTCCAGAGGTAGACTGCCACCTGATTCTTCTGCAAGGTCGACTCTTGCATGCAGAGGTTTTGGACGATTTCCCCAGCGACGCTGACGTTGCGGAAGACGTCAAGGACAAGCTTTTTGCTGAGACGCAAGAGGCCGTGCCGACACAGCTTCCTAAAGACGAGCAGATAGCCATAACTGAAACTGTACTCAAAGTCGTTCGCCTGCAAGGCTTTGATACAGGAATCTTCAACTGCGAGGCAAGGGTGCGCAACTCGTCCATGGAATATGTGCTCGCCGAGGGTGGTACTATACCGGATTTGGAAGTGACCAAGCATCCAAGAAAGGATGGCGAACCAATCTTAGTGTCTATCCATGAAGTAAACGCTAGGACACCTGGCATAGCGAGCTCAGCTTCTTCCAGAATTGCCATCGGCATTGACTACTGGGCTCTGCAGATCCTGTGTGCAGCCAGCGACTGGTCAAGATACGAGGCTCTTGCAACTCCGTTCTCTCACGGGGACCGAAGCGATCATGTGTGGCTCACTAACGCCATGGTCCCCGTCACTCACAAGGGGATCAAACCATTGCTCTCAGATTACCCGGTGGAGACATGGGACCATCAAATGATAGACTTTTGTTATAGCCCGCTCTTAGAACTCTCTAAGGAATATGGCAACCTGACAAAGTATGTAATGCGACATAACGCCAACATCAAGGAAGGCGAGCGATATGGGTATAAAGAGGGAGACTGGGTGTGGGCTGGATGTATGGTAATACGCTCACCCATCAGTCGACAGCATGCGCGTCAACTGGCAGAGACTCTGCAAGAGATTTACAATGATTTCGTGAAACAAAAGTATTATATAGCATAGAACATGGTTCAGTCAACGCGTGGCAACCGGCAGTAGCATAAAGTTTCAGTCTGTGTTTGAACGATAACAGATATATTCATACTGAATCAAATCAGGGCTTAAAAGATGAAACAGCATCTTAGTTTTATTACTCAGTAGTGTCCTCATCAGGCCGATCTTCACAGGTTTGTTTGAGGCTGTCGGTTGTGTTTATATATATTAATTAGCTTCCACTAATGGCCACAATCGCTATTTGCTGCCCCACATCCTCCTAGGTTAGAGCACTTGTACCAACCCTCCCGAGCGGTGGCCATAGACGCATTTTGTTACAGATCAATACATGCTCCCGATTTTTGCTTTGTGCAGTACGATCTTGCTTCTGGATAGGTCTCGTAATACCGCATGCAAGCAACCTAGGGTGACTCGGAACCAAGTTCTAACTGCGATACATTTCCCGTCGTTATTGGCAGTCCTATATATCAGTGGAGACGGTATAAGATTCCTCTCAGACTGTCTTTCTGCGAACGTGCAATGAAGATGAATGTAATCCATTGACCAAGGTCAGGTATATTCTTCGGTAGCTGAACAACGAATGACGCCAGGCGGGGCCAAGATTGTTAACACCATGCATATGCCACCTGAGGGCGGTATCTAGTCGAGGTTAGACAAGACTAGATTAACCTTAGTCTAACCTTAGCAGGAAGCTGCAACCCCGCGAGTCACCAAAACGCATACTTCTCAATTACTGGTAACATAGCTTAGGTTCGTCTACTCCGTAGCGCAAAGCATGCTGCATTTAAGGAGCAACGGTCCTAGGAGAATAGCGAAGTAATTGAACACAAGAAGCTTATAGATACGCACTTACGCACTTGGACGTTGCACAAAGACCTTGAACACTGTCTTAATTGATTTCCGTTATGGGTTTGAAGTCCTCATTCTGCCGCCCACTGAGCAAGTGTGCGGATGCGAAACGGTCTGTCAGCATTTGGTTTGATCCACTTGTGAATTCCTGGCCACCTACCTACGATGTCATTTACACAAAGCTAATGTGGTCTGACGGATAGTCGTCCCTCTCCAGGTGTCCCACGCCAGTCGTGGTGATCTGGCCTCGGTCAAGAGAAGACCGGCTGCTGACACGCATGCGCGTGCATGTCCGAGTCCACTTTGATCCCAGTTCGCGGTACACCTTTGTCACAGTGGAGACATTGTGGGCTGCTATCATTTGCCTGACCTGCGTCTGATGAGCCCTGTATCATGTTTGACTGTGCATTGGATTCACCTCGCATGAGACCACCATAGATTCTATCAGCCGAGTTTCTACTGCTGGCTGAAGCCGTCTGCATCGCGGCTCGTGTTTGCCGTCGTTAGGAACGCTTAGTTTTATAGCCAGGCGAACCAAGTTTTAGATAACATTTCAAAGTTTGCTTATATGATGGGACAAACTCGAGCGCAAATACTCATCCAACTTCTTTCTTGAGTCCTGATTTGAGTATCAGACCTTAAATGACTGGACCTGTTCGATTCATGTATATTTGAGCACATTGTATAATTATTCTAAAGTTCGATTCAAACCACCGAGTTTGAAAGCACGAGCACTCCTGGAAATGGACCCTGGCCATCGTACCGCGGCACCAAGCGTGCACCGTATAGAATTGAGATCAGAAGATTCTGCAGGTACGGACCGGGCGCCTTTTTCTGTCTCGGGTCACATAATAGACAGTTAACACGGCGATATAGTGGTAGTACAAGCAAAGTGGAGTCAATCCGAAGATGTGACCTCAGCAGCCAAGTTTGGACGTAACTTTCTCGATTTCGCTATCCAATCCATCTCCTTGTCCCAGCCCACAGACTTGAAGCACGAAAGCTTTGCTTTTGGTTCAACTATTCTCACGTCGGACGCTAGCAGTCAAACTTCTGAGCAGGTTAAAATCGATACACCTTCTAAGGCTCTGTCTTTGTTATGGGAAACAGTTACAAGATCTTTGGAGGTAGGTCCGATGAGGTTCATTCTCCCCGCAGAGGACGGGTACATTGTTAGGGGTGACTTCGTCGAGGAGATGTTTCGAGGCTGTCCTCTCGCTCTGAGGGCGAAAGGGTTCACCACTCCGGGACAACATTGCATCGTGAATCGGCAGACTGACACCACTGAGGGAAGTGCGCAGAGTTTGCTAGCACTCCTTCAATCAAGCGTGGGGGTCATTGTTGTAAACAGCAAGGCAACCACTGAAGCTCTCGATGATGCCTTCAAAAATCGCCTGTCATGGCCGTGGACTGTCCCAGTACCCTTCAAGCAGAGCCGCATCGTCATAGTTGGTGAAGCGCGTCGAGAAATGATGGCGCAGATTTTCTATGCAACAACAAGAGGGTGCGGGGTCTCTGTCGTCGTCATGGACAGGCCGGGTCACTGGATGGAGGACCCGGCTGGGACAAGTGCTCATCTTAGGGAGCATTTCGTGCCTTTCACTGGCTATACGTTGGAAGATCTGCCTCAACGTGTTGTCGAAACCATTCGAGAGCTACCCTACCGGGTCGACGGCCTCCTTTCAACCGTGGAAGCTTTCCTGCCAGGCGTTGCACGTGCTGCGGAGATCCTTGGGCTACCAACTATATCGCCAGAGGTGTACAGCCGCGCAACGAATAAGTACGAGACCAGGCGCCTATCGCCTGCCCCAACAACCATAAAAGTTAACAGCCTAGAAGACTTCATTCAAGACCTTAAGGGCATGTCCGAGCCCTTACAGTATCCGCTTGTCGTGAAGCCCACGCACGGTCATGGCTCCTTAGGCGCTAGCAAGGTCCGCAACGACGATGAGCTCGTGGATGCCCTCCGGTTTTCCTTTGCGTCCTTAGAAAAACAGCAAGATCTGCTCAAATTAAAGATTGGAGAAGCACGTGTCATTATCGAGACTTACTGCGAAGGTCCGGAGGTTGATGTGAACTTGGCTCTCTGGGAAGACGAACTGCTGTTCTCTGAAGTCAGCGACAACTTTCCCTGCCGTGCCGACAGGCCGGACGCAGACAAGACGGACCACTTGGGGCAGATGGGCTCAGCATACCCGTCTGGTCTACCACAGGCTGAGATTGATATGCTTAAGAAGGACGTGTTAGCGATAATACGGAAGCTCGGGATTCGTAGCGGCGTTGTTCATGCTGAGGCCAGAGTGCACAACTCAACTGTCGAATGGCATACGGACCAAGATGGCGTGCAAGAGTTGCGGCCAAGGACAGGCCCAATTCCTCCGGGCGGCGCGAAAACCTTTTTGCTCGAGGTAAACCCGCGACCTCCTGGCAACCCCGAATTGGCCGCCTCGTCCTACGTCAACGGAATGAGTTTCTACGCCTTGCAACTTATGCAAATCACTGGGGACGAGGCTCGTTTCCGTAGTTTATCACACGGATTTCTGAACAGACCATTGTATCACTATTCATGGACGCCGCTACTCCTCTTCGGCCCAGTAACTGGTGGACGCATGCCTAGAGATCTGGGTCTGGCGAAGTACGGCCTCGACACGCACCACGCTTTCCAATGGCTGCTTTGGCCCGGTGGCGATATAGTGCCGCCTACCGAGCAGATCCCTCATCCGGGATTGGGCTTTATGCTTTTCCGATCCAGAGAAAGCCGCCGGGATGTGTTGGAGAAAGTAGCTATTGCTCGTCATAAGATGCATATTCAACTGGAGTAATCAAACAGAGAACGTCGAATATATAACACCTGCCAGTTGACTAGAACTTCGTGCCACTTGTAGGATTGATGTATTATTACGATATAGTTGTTCTTTCGTTACTTGATTTTGCGCTCAACAATCAGCCACGGGGTTCAATGTTTGGATCGATGGAAACCCCAGGAAATATCGTCGTATCTACTCATCAAAAACTCGGATCAAGAAAGTGGCCGTACTAAATCAAGCCGTTGCCGTTACCTAGCCGATCTTACTGACGTTAGACCATTTTGTAACGTCGTCTGCGTAATGTACCATGAGGACTTCAAAATGCACACTAACTTCTGAATCCTTGGCTGCCAAAGCTCACTAGACTCCCAATACAGCTGGAGGGCCTATATCCCACAATCTCAATGTCCGGAATGACTGATAAAAGATCATTTTGCGGCCAACTGTTGCTCTGTTTACTTTTCGACTTTTGGCTGTTTCCCTCTGGACAAACCGAATTGAGGTATTCGATGGACCCATAGACCTTGCTGTACTTTGTGGGGGGCAGCATGCAATTTCACAATTTAGGCATCCCGGCATGTCCCACTTGACCGCATAGCGAGCTAATGCGGCGTCAAATCCTGGGATACTTATACGTCCCTGTGCCTGGACCCCCACCGCCGATCCGAGTAGCACTTATGGAGCACCTTACACAGTAGTACAGATCCGTGCACATGGTGCTGTCTGGCATTACAGGAAATCCCACACCAATTGAAAGGCCCGGGGAGCTCTTTTCGTCGCCGTTAGTTGCTTACAAGTAGTATCTCGTCCCGGCGCAATAGCTCATACGCAACAATGAGGGGAGCAAGGTTTTGTCTAATCTTAGTGAATGTACATATATAGACTAGTAGTGAAGCGACAGCGAATGCACCAGATCATAGGAAGCGAGGACAGCATCGGAGACTGCAATGCCGCTGCTTTTCAAGATCAGAGTTTGATGTACATATTAGAATGTGCAGGGGTTTGATCGTAGTGCCAGCTTTGGAGCCGAGACCTTTGTAACCTAAGTTAACGTTTCAATCCGAGTCTTGAGCCGAGCTTCGGAGTAGTTTTCGAGCCGAGCCTCGAAATCGAGTCTTGGAGCCGCGCTTCAAAATCGTGCTTTCGAACCGCAATCACACACACCGTTGGTACGCAGTCGTACATGTCATAAAGGAATGCTTTCGATTCGACAGATTCTGTCGCGTGCCTCCACCCTCGCGTCAGCACATTGATCAGCACTTCGCCAGTGCGTCATTGAAGCTGGGGTAGGGGTTGGCGAAGAAAAAGGGTCAAGGTCGCGCACTTCAATAGAATATGATGCTACAGCTCATTCTCATCTTTAACCGCACCTTGAGTGCTCAATCATGTTCTCGACGTGCAACAATGACGACTCCTTCGGACCGGGCGTCTCAGGTTGTCGTGATGATTTCGACTTTACAATCGGTTTCGAGCAGCTCGTCTTCTCCGTTGTTCCTTCGGCACTCTTCATCATCCTGGCCATATGGCGAATAGCTCTGTTCATGCGTAGGCCTCAAATAGTCCATGCGCCGACGTTACGACTTGTCAAACTTGTAATTATACTTACTCATGTACTACTAAGTCCTACTAAGTCCTACTTTCTAATCAATCTAGGGGACCATTGCCATTCTTGCCGCACTCGAGTTTGTTCTTCTCATACTGGCTGCGATCAGGTCTCTCGATATAACCAGTTTGGCCATTGCCTCTACCGCTTTACGATTCGTCGCTGCATTATGCATGATACCATTGTCCGTGTCTGACCATGGCCGGTTGGCAAGACCTTCCGTGCTGTTAAGCATTTATCTATTTCCCACGCTGCTTCTGGATGCTGCCCAGACTCGCACGTACTGGTTGGCTGCCAGTACGCGACCTGAGGTTACATACACCGCCATCTTTACTGCATCATTGTCGCTCAAAGCCACAATACTTATTCTTGAAGCCCGATCCAAAACGAAGTGGTTAAACATCAAGGAGCCTTACAGTCCGGAAGAAACCAGCAGTATATACAGTCTAGGAGTGTTTTTCTGGCTCAATAAAATTTTCCTCACCGGTTATCGGAAAGTTATGGATTTAAAGGATCTGTATCCTCTCGATCGTGCTATAGGTGGCGAAGCTCTATACAAACGGTTTCAGAAGCATGCTGTGTACTCTAAAATGCAAGGCGACAAACATGGATTGGCCAAAGCATTGGTGCGAACCCTGCGGGTCCCAATCATGTTTGTCATTCTGCCCCGACTTGCCCTAACCGCCTTCACCTTCTGCCAACCCTTTCTAATCAACTCTATTCTTGATCGCCTGTCCCAGCCCGTAACCGATGCTTCAGTCAACGTTGGATACGGCCTCATAGGGGCCACTGCCCTCATATACGCCGGAATTGCCGTATCGACGGCTCTTTACTGGTATTTTCATTACCGGACGCTTCTGATGGCACGTGGCGTCCTGGTGACAGCTATTTACACCAAGGCCACTCAAGCACAGATCGGTCCCGGAGATTCGAGTGCGTCTTTGACTCTGATGAGTGTCGATATTGAACGCATCGTCATTGGATTCTCATCCCTCCATGGTATGTCATCGTCCCTCGTACATTTGTTTATTCTTGAATACTAGACATGGACTAATACCCATCGTGCCTCCAGAGGCTTGGGCCGGGAACATAGAAGTTGTTCTGGCTAGCTGGCTGCTCTACAACAAGGTTGGTGCTGCATTTGCGGCGCCAATCGTGATTGTGGTCCTTTGCTTTTTAGCTTTGTCTGTTATCGTCAAGTTTACGGGAAATGCACAGAGGATGTGGATGGCCGGCGTGCAGAAGCGTGTTGGCCTTACCTCCACTGTGATATCAAACATGAAAAACATCAAAGTTTCCGGTTTGGCCGCCCCCATCACCGAATTCGTCCAAAACCTTCGAGTCGATGAGTTAAATGCTGGTAGTCGTCTTCGCAAGCTGAATCTTATTACAACCGCCTTAGCCTTTGGGCCTCTTTTCGTTTCACCCATCATGACTTTCGCCATTGCCCAACGCACTCTGGATGCAACCACTCTATTCACATCGCTCTCGTGGCTCGTTCTCCTCGCCACTCCTCTTACTAATGTCATCAAAACCATTCAGTTGGTGATGTCGGGCTTGGCTTGCTTGGGTCGTATCCAAGCCTTCTTGGAGAGTCCACCACGGAAAGATTACCGGTTGGTTCCGTCGAATGCCAACCAGGAGTTAGAGAAGGTTTCAATTGATACCATACACGCACCAAACCGGCGAGAACGGGGCCATGCTAATCCTGCAATCACTGTTAGTAACGGGAGATTTGGCTGGGAAGAGGACACAGCGGTCCTCAATGGTATTGATATCAAGGTCCCTGAGTCGTCTCTAACAATCGTTGTGGGCCCTATTGGTTCTGGAAAGTCTACTCTGTGTAAATCGTTACTGGGGGAAATTCCTTTCAGCCGAGGCAGCGTCGCCATGAGTACCAAAATCGGCCGGGTTGCCTATTGCGATCAAACCCCTTTCTTATCAAACTCCTCGATCCGGAACAATATCCTCGGGTTTTCACCATTCGACCATCAGAGATACGCCGATGTGATTGACGCCACAATGCTCAGGCTTGACTTCGAGACGTTACCGCAAGGGGATGAAACCAACATTGGCAGTAATGGGATCACACTCTCTGGGGGACAGAAGCAGCGCATCTCCCTTGCTCGGGCTTTATACCTACATTCAGACCTACTCATTTTGGACGACGTTTTCAGCGGCCTAGATGCTGAGACTGAAGAATATGTTTTTAGCCGGGTTTTTGGAGCTGGCGGTATCATTCAGCGACGTCAGGCCACAGTAGTGCTTTGTACCCACTCTGTTCGACATTTGCCATCTGCAGGACATATCATTGTCCTTGGTATCGATGGCTCTGTAGTTGAGCAAGGTAGTTTTGAAGACCTAGTCGCCAATGAGAACTACGTTCATAGTCTTCGCCTCGCGGCACAGCGAAGCGAATCGGACAGCGACACCTCCGAGTCTAAGGATAGTCTTACAGACATCAAGCCGACTGTAGTTGGCCTCGCGAGCTCAACGACTCCCGTCGTACCTAAAGTCCCGGCTACCGCGCGGCAACTGGGAGATTGGACGGTGTACAAACACTACTTCAAGAGTATGGGCTTGGTCCTTGCCGGGTCCCTGTTTTGGTGGGCAGCTCTATACGGTTTCTTTTACAACTTTCCTACTATCTGGCTCAAGTACTGGAGTGATGACGATTCTACCAACAATCCCAGGCATTCATTCAGCTACTATATGGGGATTTACGCCTTCCTTCAGAGCTTTTGTCTGGTCTCTTTAGTGGCCCTGGGGTACTTTATCTGGGTTACTTCCATCAAGAAGTCAGGAGCCCATCTGCATCACGATGCTTTGCGTACGATGATTGGTGCCCCGCTGCAATTCTTTACTACCACTGACCAGGGCGTTATCACCAATCTTTTTTCACAGGATCTTAATCTTGTTGATACTGAATTGCCAAACGCGTTGCTCAACTTCTTGTGCAACTTTGCCATCGCCATAGGGCAAGCGGCGGTTATGATAACTACATCGCCCTATATTGCTATCAGCTACCCTTTCCTATTATTCCTGATGTGGCTCATCCAGAAGTTCTACCTTCGTACCTCTAGACAGCTGAGGATACTAGATCTTGAAACCAAGAGCCCCTTGTAGTGAGTTGCCATTAATATGAGCTTAATGGCTACCTTTGAATGCCCACTGACCATGTTACCCTAGCACCCACTTCATCGACACTACTAGAGGCATCGTTACAATCCGAGCGTTCAACTACGTCTCTGAAGAGCATTCCAAGAGCGTTGCCCTACTTGATGATTCACAGCGTCCATTCTACCTTCTTCTGATGGTACAGCAATGGCTCACACTCGTAAGCAACAAATATTTCGTATTTACATTGATTTCGTAGTCTCAGTTACACATTTCTCTTGAGAATATCTGCTTTACTTTCTCTTCTATCGTTATATCTGTCTTGCGGACCACATACTTACAATACAACAGGTGCTCAACCTCATTGTTATGGTACTAGCAATTATCCTTGTCACTCTCGCGTTGCAGCTTCGATCAAACTCTGGTTTCGCAGGTGCTTCATTAGTCACACTTATGAGTTTTGGAGATAGCCTATCCAGTATTGTTATGCAATGGACGAAGCTTGAAACATCAATTGGTGCTATTGGACGATTACGGACCTTCAGCGATACGGTTGAACCTGAAAGCATGGAAGGGGAGGATATCAGTCCTCCGGTGGACTGGCCACCAAGGGGCCAAATTGATTTCCAAGGTGTCTCGGCAAGCTACGAGTAAGTTCTAATCCCCTATTGTCACGTGGGAGAATCTATGTTCAGGTCCGCTTACTTTGGAATCAGCACCGGGACTCCCGGGGAAGAGCTGAACCTCGCTCTCAATGAGGTCCATCTCTCAATATCACCAGGCGAGAAAGTCGCTCTGTGCGGTCGCACAGGGAGCGGTAAATCTAGCATCATTGCACTACTACTCAAGCTGCTCAACCCGACCGAAGACACTCGTTCGCATGTATATATCGACAATGCCCCACTCCATCGCATAGACCGCCAAGCCCTACGTCTCCGGCTGATAGCAATACCCCAAGACGCCGTCTTTCTGCCCGATGGCTCCACGTTCCAGCAAAACCTTGACCCCCTGGATGTCGCCGATGCCACTGAGTGCCGCGCTGCGCTCGAGCTCGTCGGCTTGTGGGTGGTGGTCGAGGAGCGCGGTGGCCTCGACGGCGCTATGAAGTCCGACACCCTATCTCAGGGCCAGCGCCAGTTGTTCTCGGTCGCACACGCTGTACTGCGGCGAAGGATACGAGCCAGGAGTCTTGGGATCACCACCGGTGGTGGTTCCAATGGAGGCGTCCTCTTATTGGACGAAGTAACTTCGTCGGTTGACCAAGAGACCGAAAGTATTATACAAAACATCATCAAGGTGGAGTTTCAGGATTACACTATCCTTGCAGTAAGCCACCGGCTGCGGTTTGTGATGGACTTTGATCGAGTCGTGGTCATGGATCGGGGCAAGGTAGTTGAGGTTGGCAATCCTAAGGAACTAGCCGAGGGCGACACCAGATTTGGGGATTTATGGAGGGCCGGGGGGAGGTAGCCACCTGTCTGACAAAGGATGTTATCGTCCCTTTGGAGTCGTTAGAATGCCAGTCCCATACTGGCGACCCAGACAGAGCCTGATATGAAACTTTATTTGAAACGCTGGGTTTTATGATGTTCGTCAGCATGTCCGTTACGCACGTACATCACAAGCGAAAAATAGTGTGTCAGAAGAAGAAAATCATCTGAGAAATGGAGGGAAATCGACTCTATTTTTTCCTTGCCAGTGTCAATTCACACTCAAGTATCATGCCCCATTCCCCTCGTGAACGAGCCAGCTCACGTAGGCTTCGAATATGTAGTGTTAGCAGCATTGATCGCGTTAAGGAAAGCGGTATATGCCGGCTTTTTCTGATAGCTGTCCGACCACAAGAGCGCTGCCCCCTCGCCGCTGAAAGTCTGAGGAACCCACGAGTACTTGTCCGATATACCCTATAAGTACCATTAGAGCAGGTAGTCTAAAGACGGGAAGTAGGCTAGAGACACTTACCCAGAGAGTGATTCCCACACACCGCGAATTAGATACGCAGGAACCAGCCACTCGTGCATATGCATCAGCTTGTGCCTGTAACTTGGTAGTAGTAGACGGAGTATTCATTCTAATGTCCAGCTCGGTGTAGGCGACGTCGACATTCAAGTCCGTGTACAGTTTCAAAGTCTTTTCGAGGACGTCCTGCGAAGGAGTCGGTACGGACTGTGTATTGGTTTTCTCTACAACCTGCTGACTATTAGTGAGGACTCAGTACAAGATCTATGAGCGCTAACCAAGTGGCCCTGGAGACCAACACCGTCGATCTTGACTCCATAAGATTGCACTAGCCTCACGATGCGTTGAGCCCCAAGTGCTTTGGCTTCACCGTATTCTAGGTTATAGTCGTTGTAGTAGAGCTTGGCACCCGGATCGGCAGCAGCGGCTATTCTGAAAGCAATAGGGATGTATGCTTCACCAATCACTCGTAGGAAGACGTTGTCGCGGTATGTGCCGTCTTCGTTAAGGGCTAATATAGTCAGAATGAAAGCCTATGATTTTCTTAGGCAGTGGACTCTACCTTCGTTCACGACGTCCCAATGTGTGCATTTGCCCTTGTACCGACCAACGACAGAGTTGATATGGTTGGTGAGGACCTGGATGAGTGTCGCGTTATTGAAGTTGCTGTTGGACACCCAGCTCGGTAGCTGGGAATACCACGCAAGAGTATGACAGCGCAGCTGTTGGCTATTTTGGGTAGCCCAATTGGCAATCTGTAAACCAGGTCAATGACAAAACAACCTGGCAGCCATTCTTGTGGCACTAACCTGGTCAGCACCGCCGAAGCTGAAGGAGCCTCGGTTTGGCTCAGTAGCGTCCCACTTCATGGCATTCTCAGGAGTAACAGAACCAATCTCTGCTTTGTTCTTGATGATGCTCTGCTCGGAGTTGTCGCTCCGGATGGTCAGGGATGTGCCAATGTAGCGGCCTTTAGCTGAAGCTGCTGAATTCAGACTAGTGGCGGCTTGACGTGATACGAGACTATGCAACATTAGATCCTGTCAACTGTAGGCCACAAGGTTACGCGTCGAATATAATATACTCAAGTGGGGTGGCCAGAACAATGGAACTGGCCGCTAATAATGAGGAGAGTAATGTTGGACCAACCATTTTTAGCAGGACAACACTAAAATCTATGAATATGACCTTGTAAAATGCAGTGATACACCAGAGTCGAGGGCAATCGATCATTAAATGATGCTGCCGGATGATGACAAAACACTATGCCATGATCTGCCTCGGGCGTCCGGAAGACATCGGGGTCTCATTCGCCGCTGTACCTGCGTTTATGCCGCCTTGGCTACATCTGAAGCCTTGAAATAGCACCATTTAATATGAGAACGTCCATTTTGAAGTTCTGCGCCAAGACCCAAGACCATAAGCCAAGACCAACGACCGGGTAAATATCCAGGGTAAATTCCTTCGATTGCTCACAACGACATTTACTTTTCAAGTCCGTCATACCACCGATGAAAAAAGAAAACAGGAAATAGGAAAAATTAGAAATCCAAATCCAAACCTGAACCCTCAAGACCATGTAGAAAGACCAGCATTTATGAAATGAGTTGGTAGGTGAATGTCGCTATATACGGTGCCCCTAATCCAGCAGTATGGATTTCTAGTGGCCGAGCGCCAACATCCATCTAGCACATTGGTCATTTTCTTTCCAAAGATCCAACTGTCGCTGCTTCTTGGGGTCCACTGGCACAAAATAAAATAAGAATAAATGAAATAATTTGTTAAACTTATCAACCTGCTGGCAATCGATACGCGGAGATCGCTGAAATCCGTTAAGCAACGATTCTGATCTTGAGTTCCCGAAAGTAGATTACGTCAGTATTGAGAGAAGTTGGCCAAGGTTGGATGGATCTCCGATTGTTACAACTCACACACGACCCTGTGTTGTTATTTTGGTCGATTTGGCATATGCATCGCCCTGGTCAACGTTTCCAGATAACGATGTGTCCAGTACTCTCCCCATATGTGCAACCCAAGCAATTTTCTTATCGTGCCATTACTGAGTATTTAAACCAAATGAGCCTAGCCCAACTTTCTTGGTTGCACGGATGGCTCACGAAGAGTAAAGCGTGCCGGTTCGCACAGTGACTGTTGAAATACTTTCCAATTACCTATATTTCGAACCTTATCAGTCATCCATCATCATTTACATAATCTAACGCTCCACTGGTACTCAACTAATTGACTAATCAACATATTCTTCATGAACTCGTCCGGTACAGTCACGACACGATATTTGACGCTCTCCTTCTCAATACAGTTAGGTGCAGCGCAGACACCAGACATTTGAAAACCACTTGCAGTGCTTGCGAATGGGTTGAGACGTCCACAGGCGGGGCGCTCGTGGGCGATAGTCCCCGGCGCATTACCAAATCACCTTGCTACCGTGACCCAAAGACATGGATCAAAAGTGATTATATGTCCTCATCATTGTAAATCTGGTCCACTGCCTTATGAAGAGTCTGAGATATCGAATTTAGGACGCTGAGGTCTCCATCTTCCTTCAAAAAGTCCATGTAGTCGCTCAGAACGTCAACCGTATTTTTATGTCCAATGCCGTAAGTGGCAATGCAATATTTGACAAGTTCTTCCCCGGCAACAGTAGCATCTAGTAAATATCTAAGTCTCCGGTTAGTACAAAAAGAAAGTACATGACAACCCCTGACTACTTCCGCCTGATCGGGGCTGGGCGGGTAACTTTTTGAAAAACGTCAGCAACCTCATTATCATCTGCAGACCACGCTTGGATCGACGGGAAAGTCCAGGCAGTCAACTCACCTATGAGATTCCGAGATGATATTTGTAGTTAATGATAATCCTTGCACACAATTACCCATCCGATAATAGTTCCAAGCGATTCTGGTTTTGATAGAAAGTACGTCTAGGCATCTTTCTTTCAATGGTTGCAAGGCTGTGACCAATTCCGACAACGCAGATATCGCAGATGCGCCATCCATGACTCCGAAGGAGACAAGGTCTGTGGTCGTTTCAATAGTAATATCTACTAGAAACTGGCTTGTCTGTAACAGATGCTCTTGGAAGACTGCGACACAATTTCGTGCATAGGCAAGCCCAAACTCTCGAAATTTTGCGGATCCTGAATTTGATATTGTCAGAGCCCTGTGATCTCTGTCTACACTTGCACTTACCAAGCTTCAAGATGGAGCGTAGAAAAGTCACGACCGGGTAATCCGGAGTTTGGAACGTTATTGTCGCAAGTGCGTACATCTGCTGTAGAATGGAACGTCCTAAATCGGGCCATTTCCCAGCTAGGCGCAGTATGGCGTGACAAGTGATAATGAAAAGCCTAGGTTCGAAGGCAACCAATATCTTCTCGTAATTATGGGTGCACTTTCGAAATATCCTAAACGCTGAGTCGACCTTACCCTTCCGAAGCCATGATGTGGCCATACACATTCTGTCGTGCCACTGGGTCCCGATGGTACTTGTTTGCAAGGAATTTGAAGCATCACGTTTCCAGGCTCTGGAGTCTATGTTTCCTGCAATATAACCACGCATTGCTTGAATGCAACTCTCCAGAGCCTTGAGATCATCGGGCGAACGCGGCATACGCGATAGTGCTACCGGGGTCTTAGCTACAGGTCAAGAATCGAATAGAAAGAGACAGATTAATCTTGCCAGACCCTGTGATGCATCTTATTTGGCGCCGCTCGCCATCAAGGGCGAGTTGGGGAAGATGATAAGGCAATTGTGCGCTTTTGTTCCTCATGTATTTGATATATCTCTCATTGCTTCCTTTTTGGCTACGAATTTCTGGGATAGCGCCATGGTCCTCGCCAGAGTAAACGAGCTTCTGTACGTCGGCAAAACGCAAGTCCTTTCGTAGATTCTATTGTCTAAGGCGATATTTGTACATCTTGGGTCTTAGAGTAGACTTAGTCGGAAGTTCGTCGACAAGTGTCTGTTATTGCACTTACGTGGCATTGAACCTGTGATGAACTCGCATATGACCGATAACCTCCTTAAGAGTAATATGCTGATCCTGATACAGGGTTGTGATCAATTCGCGGTGTTTATTCCAGTCCGCGGGTGTAGCATAATGATCCTGAGTACCTGTAGTCGCCGCCATGACTGCGAATGTTGATGCTGAATTCATTGAATCCGGTAGTGAGTTAGAGATCGAATGGAACTGGGCGGAATTCGGCTGCCGGTTTGTATGGTTGCACTAGAATCAAGCCTCTCACACCCTGACCCATCTCCCCTCGTGCATGTTGCAATCGGCGGTAGGGGCGCCCGACTTGGACACCATGACTGGATTATGACATGAGGCAAGAGCTATATTAGTTTTGATTTAGGAGCAATTATAACATAAATACTATAAAATTATCTACCAAAAGAATTAGGAAGAAAATTGATAGGTTTAAAGTGTAATCCTCCCGACCTATATCCTAGCTCAGTTGAAGTGAATCACTTGTATGCTCCACAGCTTACAGATGAATTAAGTGGGGGATGTGCGTTCGTGTCACACAAAGGCGTCTTGTCCCCCGCATTCCTCATTGCAGAGGGTTACCTCTCCTTTCTCCGCTCCTCTCGCGCATTTCTCTTTATGTCGTACCGACATACATTTCGAGGATAGGCCATGACTGAGAACGCAAGTTCGCGGTGTCCCTTAGTCTCTGCATAAATGTTTTTGTAGATTTGTAGTTGCACATTTTGTGTGAGTCTTGCACCCACACTATGGCGACGGCAACGTTTTCACCGAACTGTACTTTTCCCAGCAGTAGTTTTAGCTATGTCGCTACTACTCAGCTGCGTTCAAATTTGTATGTAGTCTGGTCGTGAACTTTGACCCTGTTTGCACCAGTCCATACTTTTCTCTCGCTGTATATCATGGCAGACCCGTCGGAGAACGAAAAGGCTTTGTGCGGATGCAAGCATTGTCGGAAGCTCTGAAGCGGTGCCCGACAACATATTTGGCAATGTGAACCCGTGGATGGCGGCTGTGACCTTGTTTGTTCCTAATCTAATAGTAAGAATGCGATCGGCAACAGAACATCGCCCTATAAACTCTTCAGGGCGATGTTCATCGTGACGGTATGGAAAGATTTGGTGCGTCGAGTCCCGCTGTCGATTTCTGTATTCTCAATACCACGTTAAAACGTTTTAGCACAAAACTAAGCACGACTACAACTCATGCTCACTACTCCGTACATCATGATAGGTGGGCCTTAATTATCTTGTTTGAGCCCCTTCGCTCCACATAACGCTTTAGCAAATATCACATACAACTATAACGAGACAATAGTAGGTCCTCAAATCGTTACAGCGGCGACAACTCTAGGGCTTATATCTCCAGGGCCCCCTATTACGAAGCGGGATAACTCAGACAGATTAAAAGCCAACATTCTTACAAAAGTCATAGCAATGTGGCAAGTATGCTGGTTTAATGCTGTCATGATAACGTCCACGCTCTTCACGGTGGGGATAATTTATTATCAGTGCTGTCTGTAACGGCTCTGGTAGCTGCATTATGCTCTCCTACTCAAATAATATCATTCGTGCCAATACGGGTTAGTACCTGTTTCTAAAAGTCAGCAATGTTTTCGATGATATGGGGCCGGGCATCTCTTACCAGTTTCTGGGTTAATGATATAGTCCTTACGGAAGACGTCGACCGATGCAGATTCGGCAAAGTCCATGACTTGACTCCAATCCACACATTGGTGCGGAGAGCTCTGATTCACGTGCGGCAACAAATCCCCGTCCACCCATCTGTGTGTGAGGACTGAGACATCGCCGCGGCACATAGCCGACATTCTGAAGAGTTCGAGGCAATGCTCTGAAAGATAGGTACTCAGGTCAGTCATCAAGTCATGCAGACTGTGGGACATGATTTACATGTAGCAGTCACATACCGGCGTGCTCGGTAAACTCCTTGCGCATCTCTGCAGTGGCGTTAGGGAAGTAGTAATCTGAGTGTATTGTTCGAAACACTCTTTTCTGCAACCACGTAAGTCAACATGACCATCTGAAATCAATGTGAAGATGGAAAGCCAACTGACAATGCAGTGTAATTCGTGGAAGACGCTCAATACCCCCAGATATCCCCCGTCGGGCAGTTTGACTCCTTGGTACTCCCGTCCCAGAGTTTGAACCATTTCGTCAGGTATCCGCATGTTGTTATCTGGATTAGAGAATTGCGTCAGCCTACGAGGTAGACCAGATTACCGAGTTGGTGCTATCCTAAAGTTTGACCTACATTGTAGTAGATCACCCCATACTTCGTCCAGCTCTGGTCCGGGCTGCCCGGTATACGGGCCTTCAAGGAACTTGTCCAGCGGGAAAACTTCAAGATGTGTCTTTTTGCCGATGTACTTTGCCGGGGCTTATTCCAAGTAAGTCATAGCAATGCCAATGGTGAGAGTCAACTCACATTCAACTAGACTGAACATTCCTCCATCACCTCTCCACACATGTGACATGGCTTCAATGAATATAACGGTATATACAAGGGGCAGCCCCAGATGAAGTATCCAACCGCGCCATGATAACCACCAGCTACGACCTCTTGGTAAAGCTAATTTTGAATCTTCCTCGTCGTCAAATGAACCATCCGACTTTTCGCCAGATGAGCGATCGGCATAAAGTCGTTCATACTCTGCTGTTTCATCTTGCTGGTGCATTTTCGGCGTTTCTGTTGAGGTGACGATCGCAAACTGCGTAAGACAGGAGTGCGGACATGAGAGACCATGAAACCGTGTGAAACTTTTTCTATTCACGAGCCGTGACGTTGCACAGCCGGTATAGGGATATTTCAAAATTCGAAACCAACAAGCGGCCGTTGAAGTAGGCATCGTATGTTCCTTTGCTAGGCCCATGTCCTAGAAGTGTGGTACATTGCTAGCGGCTTGGCCGAAATCCTTCGCCTGTCCACCTTCCACTGCTGGAATCGCTTCTCAAGCTTGTCCATTTTGACATACATTTCCGACCCCCTCAATTACAGTGTATGTCGAGAAAACATAGCCTGACAGGTGTGGAGGCTCAAGAACATGTATCTCGATCGGTCCTCCTGGCGTGCTATATCCAGAGCCGCGACCTCGTGCGCCACAAGGGCATAACATAGTGGAGCAGCGACCCGTATAGTCAATCCTATGTTCGACTCGCTGATGGTACTTTTCGACAATCGCAGGCAGATACTGCGCAAGATAATGCCGCGAATTCCCGCTTCCAATGTGAACTACAGACGACCTTCGTGGAGATGCCGATATAGACCAAATCGTATCGATCGCCGTGCTGTCAGCATCGCGATGGTAACCAATCATAATGCGTATGATCCTAGGAGTTGATGAAAGACACATACGTATATTGATACTCCTTCCTGAATTAGCCTCGCGGGGATATACTATAGCTAGTGGTCAGCTGCGAGAACCGTAAGTCGTGGAAGGCAAAATCTGCAATCACAACAAGATCGCCGCGTTAGCAGATTTCCCCTCAAAGTCGCCATTGGAATAACAAGAATCGAAATCAACATGCAGCGCCAAGATGAAACCGACCAACCCAGCATCACAGAAGAGGGGTTCTTATCACTGCCCCAATAGACACTCCGATATGTCACCTAGGACTTTTGCCGCTGTCAAATCATGGCTACGGTGTTCAGTGGTCTCACCATAACCAGGCGTAATATCGTAGCCGACACTGGATATACGGTGGTATAAGTGCCTACCGTGGTCCTCCATACCTAAACCCTGATCGAAACAGTATCTTCCTAGAACACACAAAGAAAGATCAGTTAAGTATTTTGTTGAACTTCGACCGACAAAATGAAGTTTTACAACCTCGTTACTCTTCTCGCCGCTGGCGTTATGGCCCTTCCTGCCGTCCCACGTGGTATGCCTACATCTCATATATACGTGAGTATAGTGGTCCAAACCCTCTAACTATGATGAGCAGCCGATACCACAGCGGACGAGAGCTACCTCCCCTCGAAGCGTGCTGACACGACTGCCGACGAGAGCTACTATCCCTCAAAGCGCGCTGACACGACTGCCGATGAGAGCTACTTCCCCTCGAAGCGCGCTGACACGACTGCCGATGAGAGCTACTTCCCCTCGAAGCGCGCTGACACGACTGCCGATGAGAGCTACTATCCCTCAAAGCGCGCTGACACAACTGCTGATGAGAGCTACCTCCCCTCGAAGCGCGCTGACACGACTGCTGATGAGAGTTACCTCCCCTCGAAGCGCGCTGACACGACTGCCGATGAGAGTTACCTGCCTAGCAAGCAGTAGCTGGTCATCTAAGCAGAAGCATGAAAGCTTTTGACAGAATCATGGTATGATAATGGTACCAGTGAAGAGGAGCGCGTAGTTCGAGGTGAATGGATGTCTGGCGAAAGTGGTTCGCGGTTGGTAGCAAGTAGAACCTGTGCCACGTGTTATCACATGTATAGAGCAATTTTCAGGACTATCATAATCTCACTTGTACCACACGGCGGATAGGTCTTAAATTTCTACCCAGAATCGAGCCTTAACATTGCGTGCATTTGATCTGGCTATTCTCATAGAAATTACTGAGCAGTGTCTTTGCTTCCCAACCCCAACGACGTGAAGAGTAGATGGAAAAGTGTATGCCTCTTATCATCGAGTGGGTCGCGACCATCCCACCCAATCGCAGCAGTCTTGGAGCTTACTCACGCACCGAGATCTAGTGCGTTGGAGCGATCATGATCCGTAATGCGGATGGGAATAAGGTCTGTGACTGAGTGCTTCCCCCGGAGATACAACTCAGCATCTTGCCAAGAAGCATTCCATTGCAATCTCGACAACTCGTGCGACAATTTCCCGGAGTGGCCATATTTTATGCAGCTAAGTTTGTGCCGCCGATTGCAGCGACCGACGAACATTAGCTGACACTGGCCGATCTACGGCGTATAATACCCAAATGTGCTTATTCTCCTCTAACTCTTCGTTTCTATCTTCCCATTTTGCCAGCAGGGAGGGGACTTTTTTATTTTTTACACGGGAATGTTTAAAGCTTTGTTGGGGCTACACGTTCGGCCTCGCTAGTGTCTTCTCCTTGAGCGCAACCAACGATGATCATGAGCGTTGCCCATTTCGTCGTAAACCGTATTAGCGATAACGACCTCGACGATGCATCTTGCAGCATGTGTCCCACTTCTACTTCCCCTGCCGATATTTTTTACCGAGATCTCTTACAGATGCATCGTGCACAACAGAGATGTTCACTCGGTCATTATCGTCTCATTTTCAAGTCTCAAGAACTTCATCATATTGTGGCAGAAGCTCCACACATACGGACGATCGGACCAGCAATAACTACATTCAGTCGGATTCTAGTTCGATCTCAGGTCAGACGTATTGATCACCCAAATATCTCCAGCTTGAACTGGTTAAGTCTTAATTGCTACTGATGAAGTTCCCTTGCTTGACTCTCAACACTATCTCGACGTGATCTATAGACAATGATTCCCTTCTCTGTCTTGAAAGCAAACGAGATGCTTTCATTATGTTCTTGATCTGTCTACCATTCAAGTCGTGCTTTGCCACCAGTTCCAAATCGCTATCGGAGAGTCGACTTTCCGTGTTGCCCCCCTCGGCGAAGGTTTTCCATATGAGCAGTCTGCTCTTAGCGTCTAGAGCAGGATAGCGGATAGTGAGGTGAATGCGCGATTCGAAAGCAGCATCAAAGTTGCTGATGTGGTTTGTCGTAAGGAACATCACGCCTTGGTAGTATTCGAGCTTCTTCAAGAAGACTGAAAAGGAAAACTAGTCAACGAAGGCCTAGAAATAGGAGTTCGGTGGTAAAGAGTGTAGAAATGGGCTTACTTGAGATCAAACGGTTCCGTCGTATATCAGTGGCTGTGCGGGCCTCGACAAACATATCGCACTCATCAAGTAGCAGGATAGCGTTCCACTTGCTGACAAGCTCCAGAACTTTATCCAGGGACTCTTCAACTTCGGTGGCTGTCTCTCCCAGTTCGCCGGCACTCATGGAGTATAGCGGCTGATGCATTTCTTCGGCGACTGATCTGTTTAGCTGACTTGGTGAAATTTCATAGGCAGGGAATACGAACCAGATTCTGCCGTTAGTGTCTTACCAATACCAGGATCCCCGCTGAGCAACATAATGAAGCCTCGGCCTAAGGTGTAGAATGAGCGAGTTGCTTAGTACCCATGGTGTGGGGAGTATCTTCCTACCTTTTCCATAAATAATATCATCAAAGTCGTCTTCACGGGATAATTGCTCCTGCACAAAGGCTCGGATGATGTCTTTATATCCATGAGGAAGCACAAGTTTTGTGAATGCATCTTCGCTCCAGAATACAGGGCTGACGTTCTCGACATGAAACTCAGCTAGTACTTGGTTAGCCCTAGGAACGAGATTTGTGATTCGCGAATTAGAATTACACACCCCAAGCCTTGGTCCTGAGGCAGTAGCCCCGGATGTACGGAGTGCACAGTAATCGTTGCCTGGGAGTCAGATAGTTCGCTGTCTAAATATCAGTTTTGTGACTCTAGCGCGACAAATGGCTAGCCCACCTACAACTATGTTGCAAGTCGGCCATTTTCTGCCTTTCGAACTTCTCCAAGGTCGCCATGAAGCGATGAAGAGCTTGGCTTGTTGCCTTATGTATCATACTGTAACCGAAATCGTCGTCATTACTCGAGACTATAGGTGATCCGGTTACGGTTGACTCGAGATCATGGTTACCCATACCATAGATCTTGAAGGTATGAGGATCGATGATGATGCGGCCTTTTTCGACCTGTCTAATTATTAATATTGAGTGATTCCAAGTTAAGATCAAAACGCTCATTTACGTACGTAGCGCTTGCGGGCCTGCTTGGAAGATGTGGTTGTATAAAATCCGGAATACATCACGTGGTGGAGTCCATTCAACTGCTCACTTTTCTCACCACGCGCGTGCAGCCGCTCAACTACACCCTCAGCATCGTGGTGTAAGTGACAGGGGAATACATCGAGTTCGGTGATTTTCTTCACACCCTCAAACTTGTAGATGTCGATCGAAGTTGTGATGTGCCCAAAAGTCGATCCATCGCAGTCAATATACTGGCAATCCAAGGAGAAAAACTCTCCGCTCATGTTACCTCCGTAGCTAGTGTTCGTTAGCAAAAACATTCGATCTTGGCTATTGACCTTGCTGTAAAGCTCCATTCCCGGAGCGAAGATCGTCCACAGATAGTTATAGTTGATCGCCTCATTCTTGACAAAGTCCTCCATCGCCTCAATATGGGGCAGGATTTCCTGTTTCAGAATCGTATACAAGAGGTCAATATGAACTTTCGTATCGTAGTCCTGTTCATCATCGCGAACCTTTCTTAGTCGATGCCACCGATAGTAGAATGGATGAAAAGGCGCGCTGAATGTGAGCTGCTTCAAGCGGGTATCGAGGCCCTCATATCCTTCAAACACAAGGTTGAGTACATTTTTTATCAATGGGCTTTGGACAGTGATGGAATCTAGGGCGATCTGATGCGTGTCTTGCTGTGGCAATTTCCGGACGATTAGAGCACATTCCTGGGCGTAGGAGCTTGCTTCGACATCCATAGGGGTATTCTCGGGATCCCAGTCATCCCAGTGCGAGCGGCCATCCGTTCGATATAATTGTTTAATTTCTGGTCTCATACCCAAGCTAAACTCAGCATTATATTTGGTGCTTTCGATCATTTTTGACTGTCTCATGTCAGTCAAAACGGTGGCTTGCGCGCTGCTATACGCACCAAGTCACTAGATGTCCCAATACTCCTTTGATATTGGATGGAACTACCGCCGTCCGACATTTCGGGCTCTGGAAGAAGTAAAACCGTAGCGCTCTATTGACTGGCAGTGTTTGATCACAGGAAAAATTGGCACGCATAATGGAAGAGTCGCTTTTACTGTACCTGAAGTTTTTATATCAAGGCGCAGGTGAAGAAGGTCAAGCTGGAAAGTGGTTGTAGCAATTAGGGCGCGCATGCCAGGCAACAGACTAGGTCCGCGCTATCCTGGCAAGTGGCACCATTGATGCTTGGCACCGCCAGGGTTTTCTTCCCGGCAAATGTTTAGGTTAGATCTTACATAGCGCCACTGAACCACAAACTTAATAAACGTAACTAGATAGAAGAGAAATCAAAGCTTTTGTAATGATTTTCTTTCCTGCGCAATGTAGTTAAATGTTTAGCAGCAATGTCACAGCTCACAATCTTCGACAAGCATAAGTAGGCGAATGCTGTAGTTGTGATGGCCACAGCACTTTGATGAGATTTCTTGATCCACTAAAGCTGCTAAATCAGGCTTACGGACTTGTCTCTTCGATGAGAGTTTCTATGCTGAATTGAGGTCTACTAAATTGAAAGGGCAATGTCTAGTTCAGTACCGATTTCGATCACTTTGTAGATTTTGCGTGTTCCACTTGACTTTGTAACTGCGATCAGGTATGGGATGATTGTAACTGTGGCAGCTCCATTCTTTGTGCATAAGATATGGCTTATTGAAATCTGCTGCCAAGTAGCGTAAAAAGTCTTGCTCTTGACTAGACTAGTCTAGTCTAGAAGTATTGAGACAGTATGCGCGGAGGCCCTGAGTTAATTTGGAATTAGCCGTGTTGCCCAGACCTTGATAGAACATGTCTTGAACATGGCATGTGTTAAATTATGGATTTAGTATTTCTCGAAACCTTTCTGCATCTCAGGAACCATATTGTCGCGAGTATTTGGACCATATGAAGAATATGTTTGTTGAAACCCTCAACGGTTATAGCGCTAACTAATCCGAGGTGGGAGCAGCAAAACGACAATCAGATCTGTCGAGAGCTCACAGATTAGCCATTCACTGCATTTAGTCTAACCTAGAGTAGGGATGCACTAAGCGCCATGAGGTAGTTACGGGGTAGGACGAATTGGACGAATACCAGCGTAGACATAGCTGTGTGCTACACTAGACCCCTTGTAAGGAAGGTCGAAAGATATAAGTTAAGTAAATAAAGAACTATACCAAACATCGGGTGACTGCAGCAATAATATAGACAAGAAGTACGGCGCTTTCAATAGAAGACTTTACTTGTTTGTTCTTCTGTCTGGCATACACGTAAGGGCGTAAGGTAAGCACTTGGCAGGCTCCGCATGCTTATTGAATCGGCGCAACACAGGCTTTTGGTTCTACGTAGGCCTGAGGTTCTCATCGCCCTTATCGATCCGTACAGTAAACTTAGTAACTCTGATCGAAGCGCCTGCTGTGTCATTAACCTCAAGTGATAATGACACTGCAACGAACCTGCCAGCCTAGATATGCAAACCCCAAACACAACAAGTAGGGCAATCAAATATATGATGCAATGAATACTTGCGACTTTGGTCAGCTCCCTAGGGTAGAATCAACTTGGCTAATTATTAATATTATCTAATCTGGCACTCCTTGCTGTACAATTCGATTTGCTGCATTCGCCCTTGAGGGCTCAATCCCACATTTGAGTGGCCGAAGACCACCTCAAATAACATCTTAATACTGGCTCCAGTCGATCGCAGCAACATTCTCATAGCACTTCACATCCTCGACGATGATGTCTAACTCATCGACACCGTTGAGCGCCGGCAATTCCGCGCACTGCGCTAACAAATTAATTGCGACACAGTTTGCCTGGACACCGTCCACCTCCAAGCGCACAGCGTACTGTGGACGACCGTAGGCCGGCTCAGACTCGTTGCACACAGCGAATGTGCCTCCGTAAGGGCCAAACAGCTCGGCGTATGGGCTGCGCAAGCCCGGAATAATGCCTGCGCCACTGGTACCAAGCCCGACATTGAGTCCGACGTACACCTCGTTTCCTTCCGCATTGGTCGAGAATTGCAGGCCCATGGGGATATAATATGGGTTCCCGTCGATATTGGTCGATGTCAATGGCGGCAAGCCAACGGATGTAGACGCGCTCGAGACTTGTTGCCCAGTGCCGTTGACGAAGAAGACGCTTCCTACGCCTGGAGATAGCACTGCAGTGCTCTGGCCTGCGCCGACATGGGTTCCGACCAGGGACCAGCCGTTGACGGGCGGATCAAATATGGGTTTACTTGTGTCTGTCACATTGGCCACAAGTGTAAATCCTGAGGATTGTGAGATTGGTGGGTATGAAGCACGCTCCTTGAGGGGAGAAGCGGCAACGAGGCTGGCTAGCATAGCCAGGGGAAAGTATTTGGAAATCATGGTTTGGTTTTGAGTTTGCGACGAACTAAAATACTTGGTTTAATGTCTGTTGCTCTTTTTGATAGGACTATATTGAGGCTGAGAGGTAATTGAACAAGCAGCCATTACGTACGGATCTATCGCGTCTTTATATCTTCAGGGTACCTAGATACTTGCAAGATGTTCCTGAGTGTTGAGAACCTAAGATCATTGCTGACTCCGAAGCGACCGAACTTGAAGCGATAGGACCGATTCCAAGCACATTACTTCAGGATTGCGCTGACACACTACACGGCCGATGATGATCCATTGGAGAAGCCATTACGAAGTGTTGTGAAACAATAAGACCAGTGTGATCGTATCTCACCATTGTGAAAGGAAATGTGACATCGTGTATGCAACACTGTGGCGTGGGCACTCAGGTGTCGCTCGCCTAATACCAACAGCTCGCCAGTACACGAGCTCGAAATGGGCTAAGTTGTCGCCGCAGTCCTAAAAGTACAGGTCTGATGGGTGCAGCAACGTGCCATGCATGCAATTAAAGCAAGCAATGTTACATGACACAACAAACTCAATATAGGCATCTGGAAGAAAAAGAGTGGTAAATATATCATTCAGCACCCCCGACCAGTATCTTGACCACACATATCGACTTGCACAAAGTCCAGAACCAAGTAAATGGGGCGTTCTTGGTACGGTGCGTTAGCGCTGGTCCTTGTAGCCTTAGTTTATCTAGATTAATGGGATTTAGCCACAAATGGTTCCCAGCCCTGCTAACCTAAGGTTAGTACTGGATCGAGTGAGCAAATTTGAGACCCTAAAGCAGTTAGTTTGACGGTTTCACTATGAAACGGCATAATATAACTATAACAATAACCCCGCGATATGAAATGGATTTCTACCTGTATGATATGGTTTTCCACCACTATATCCAGTAGAAATAACGTAGAAGTAAACTTCATTCGTTAAGCCCAATCTTAAATGTGGCCCATTGCCATAATATGACATACCTTCGAGGAATAGAACAACCGAGATAAAAAGGAGAAGGCTTCAGATAAGGGATGATTTTGACAGTCTACCATGTTGACCCAAAGCTGCTCTCTTACTCATGCGCATGCTTCCGCTCTTTCCTCTTATCTTTGATTTCGCTGTCCATCTTTCACTCCTCTATGAAATCCTCTTATTAAGCCGTTAGGCGCCTCATGTGCTGCTGGACATAAGCTAGTTGCCGTAGTCGTCGTTGGTCAGAAGTCCAAGTGCGTAAATCAACGTCAATATCAAACCCAAGATCTTGATGGATGGGAAGTCGCTACGAAAGTTCCAGGAGAGCGTGGCGTTCAATACTTATAAATACTCGCCGGGCGTTTCGATAATTGCTTACACAATGATTGCGCAATCTCGCAAGTCCGCCAAAGTTTCTTATTTTCTCCCTTGGCCTTAGCAATCTGCGCATTTTAGAAATCTTTATAATGGACTTCCTTGTCCTCGACACCGCAACGACCAGCCGCCAGCATCGTCGATTGGTCGATCCCGGGTGTGAGAAAGAGCGACGTATAGTGGGTAGTTTGCAATTGTGAAACATACATTGCTCAAGCACTAGATTTGTCACAACACAGATGCGTTGACCAAACTCATGATAATAAATGTAACAACTCATGCGTCGGCGTAGGGAGTTGATGCTGTAACACCCACCAATATCTATCACATCGCCTCTTGAGCAAATCTACCCGATGCAGCCTTGTGCCTTGCACACTGCCTTTGGCCTCGTTTCACTGAGAGCGCGGTGCCTATACCGCTCGAGCAATGGTTCCTCTGCTCCGGTGCGTCTATTTGTTTCAACAGTTGGCTCTGCCCATCGAAGGATCTCTAGATATACGATCAAGTGTAAACTTAAGGTGCGAGGAGGGCTGTTTGAGACGGAATTCAAGCGCACATTGCTTGGTGGCATTGCGATCTCTCGTGCTCTTTCGTGCAAACAAGCAGTCTTCTAGATCTCTAAACGACCGCCAATATCAGCCGCTGTGATTAATTGATAAATTTGAAGACCTGCGTAGATATTGCCGAGCACTTTTAGCTCTAACAGATTGCAGTCTCCGTATGGGAGCTTCGCAGACTGCCAGGAAGGGGAGTCACAGACAGTGTCGCTCTGCAGCTGACTTACGGCGCATTTTTGGAGTCTGATTGACCTAAACATTGCGATTGCATATAGAAACACGTGGAATTTCTGGTTCCGGATGCCTGAGTTGCCAATCTCTTTATCAGCCTCACTTGGAAGCGCGTGAACCCCTCACGTTTTCCAGCTGAGCCGATGTTGTGCTTCTTTCAGCGCAACTCAAGCCAAAATGGGTTGTGCTACCAGCGACAAAATACATGGAGCGCTTGGTGCATCCAAGACCATGACCAGGTGGTCAGCCGCCTGAATGCGGCTACACGACGAATATCGCAAGAGATTTGAGCTTACCATTGATTTGGAGCAAGAGTCTTCGGCTATTATGTTAGATGTCCTTGCGGCAGCTAATATCAAGAAAGATGAATGTTACCAGTGGCACGAGCAACGCGCCACTATCAAGTGCGGTCTGGATATCTACACCATGGTGCTCAGGTATCTTTCTCGAGTTCTACGATACTATACAATAAGAACTGTAGTTCAACTGATCAAAAGTACTGTGAATGCGAAAACTCGCCTAGCTGACGAAGTTGCGGTGGTTAAAGTCGCCTAGAGGGATCTTTCTCGGCTAGCCTAGTTAGCTGAAGCCAGAAAATCTGCAGACCTTTCGCGCCAAGTTTATATGATGCAGAGAAACTATGGGAAAGATTACAACGCAGCTGTGACAGCAGTAGAGCAGCTCAGGTAAACAGTGTAATCATTATTGGAGCCGATTACTCGCATAGACAGCCGACTTGCAAAGATACATGATGGCCTTCAGTCCGAGCTCCTTGCAAAATTACTTAAAGCAATTTCTACGGTACCTTATGCAACGGTACCTTATGCAACTCATTATCGAGTAACCGGCGACGGATGACTGCCAGATTCTGACCAATGGTTACTAAGAAACGAACAGTACAAATCTTGGCGTAATACTAGTTGCTCATTTGTTTTGTAGTTGCAGGACATCTCAGGCTGTAGGATAACAAAATTATCATCATTGGACGTGTATAACATGAAACCGAACAACCAATTAGCATTCTTTACTGCACCCGAAACCCCGCTGAACCCTTGAGATCTCAGTGTAGGGCTGTTATTGCAAGTCTGTTACGCCAGCTAGCAACCACGGGGGAAATAGAGCAATTCTTTCGGCCGTGCTTGAGCAATACAAAGACGCAATTGATGGATTATCTGACTTTGACGGCCAGGCATGGAAGACATCAGATTGCCTTCGGGTGATTCCCGAGCTGCTTGAAGAGTATCCAGCAGTGACTATTGTGATCGACGCACTTGCCGAGGTTCATAATGGAGACAGACAGGACCTAATGAGTGCACTGGCTAAGCTTTTGCGATCAACGGATACACTACTCAAAGTATTCATATCTAGTCGGAATAACTTGGACATTGCATTATTTCTCCATAGATCGCCAATTGTTCACAGTGAAGCAGATGGTGAAGATATCAGAACTTTCACGTGAGTGTTTCATAGATATAGCATGGTAATTTACTAAATCTCGTATGTCATACATACTGACAAGCCCAGTCAAAAGCGCGTAGCAGCAGCCAAGCTTCTCCGAGAAAATCTATCTGAGCAGCTCCACGATCAAACAATGCGAATATTACTCGATGGAGCTAGAGGCATGTAAGATCTTGACCGACCTCTTTCTCATGGCGCCAGTACTCAGGCTCTAAATTTATGTCAGGTTCCTTTGGGTTGAGCTTTAAATCGAATCCCTCAAGCTCTTGAAAATGGCTGCAGATGTTCGATCACAATTTGGTGACCTCCCCGAGCCGCTGGAGGTATCCTATTGGGAGATGTACGACGGCATCATGGAATCTGTTGAGAATTCTGCCATACTCAATGTTTTTACCTTCCAATGACTTCTGTATGCTCAATAAATTATATCCATCAAGGCGTTCTCCTTGCTTGCAACAGCTGTACTCCAACCAGACGTTGTAAGCACCGGTGAAGCGCTTACGGGAACAGAGGTCCTGGATGTTTGTACCAACCTTGTGGTGTCTCGTGACAACTCTTTTGTTTTTGCACATTTATTTGTGCGCGAATTTCTCGAAAGGCTTCGCTCTCTTAGCGGCTTCAAAAGGTGATCGTCGTGAGGTGAACCGGGGGGTAGATTCTCGCATACTACAGCATTTTATAACCAACCGGAGGCGGTGTAATATTTATTAAGCAAGGCCATCGGACTCAGTGGAATATCCACCGCTATGAGGATGGCTGTTACCGATGGTAACAACAAGGTAACTGCCAATATAAATGGGTATGGGGCATCTAAGGACCATTTCGCTCTGATAAGAGAATTATTGCACGATAGTCCACGCAGCGCAGTTCGGTTGATTTGTGCCGGACATGAGTTCAAAGCTCGTTGTCTGGGCAAGACATGTACAGCTTTGCATTACGCCGCTGAAAGAGGATTCCGCGAAATCATCTTTTGCTCTTCTGGAGCAATGGGTGTCTGTGAATATATATAGGTTGGACCGACACACTCCTAATCACTTAGCTGTTATTCACAGCCATGGCAGTTGTATTATCCTTCTTGAAAACGGAGCTAAGGTCCTAGTAGAAGACCGCGGTAGAAATATCCCGCTTGATACTGCAGAGAAACATGGTCTTGTCCTACTTGAGATTATAATGCGGGACAGCATGTAAACGCTTTACGAAAAGTTACAATCCCAGAAGACTTTGAGGGTGGACACTGGCCAGCAGTGGATCAGGGAGGACTTACCTTAGACAGTTCACAAGGAAGGAATACATAGCGTGTACCTCAGACAGTTCACAAGGAGGGAACACATAGAGTAGAGATACCGTCCATAACTGTCGCAAATATCTGAAGCGAATACGAGGCTTCCAACATAAGATTCTACTTGAAACCAGCTGGGCCAAAGATTGAACGACCATGAGCATTGGATCTACAACAGCATATCCCAGCCGAACGAGTTATCTCTATTGAGGAAGAAGGAGTTACTGGAATTTGAGAATTTGTATTTTCTAAACAGTCTGTCACTGGGCTACTTCAAGTGTACCACGGAATGCTGGGTAATATAGATTCGAGATAATAACCCTGCATTTAATCTTGGTTTAATAATAGTATCTTCAAGAAGTCGGCTGCGTCAAAGAGAGAAGATTTTGCGCTCAATCTGGAGGAAGTTCAGCATTGACCTAGTAAAGCAGAGAATATAAAGAATTCAAATATGGCGTCTTCCGCATCAAGAATCATGCCAAACAACAAAGTAGTCATCGAAACGCAAAGATTTCCTGCGTCACAATGACTGCTCTTCCCTGCATGATTAGAATTATATCGAGATATAGGGTGCAGCACACCTCCTAAATACTAAACATGGTGGTATTCACAGCTTTGTGTGTTATCTAATCCTGTAAGAGGGTGATGATTTGTGTATCGCCCGTTTTAGCCAAAAGTTACGTGCAAGTGAGTACCACCATACAGGGCTATGGGTAATTGTTCGGCGGCTTCTCAATGTAATTGTCCCAACAAGTTCATCTGGAAGACTCCACAGCGCTTGTAGCACATACGAACTCGAATATTCACAAGTAAAAATATAGACTGATATCGGGAGCACTGCTGTTGTCTCGAGGGGAACGCAGCACAGATATCATGGAACAAATTTGGCTTTCGAGTCGAAAAATTCAGGCGATGAATTCATCTATACCAATTAAGTAGGTACTGTCCTACTTTCTCAATGAAGCTGTGCTAAAAGGTTGTGGTTCACAGCCTCAGTAGATAACGTATAATGCCAATAAACTTCATCTCAGCAAGTAAAATGATTTTTTGATACAACTTCTATATTGACATAGCACTCATCCAGTCTGTGAGTTTATGAGTGTAATTTGTAAAGTCAAATCAGGGGAATTATCCCTTCGCCATATACTCAATACGAAAGTTGCAGTTTGGAGACCCTTTACAAACTAATTATCTCGAATCTCTTTCTATCTCAACAATGATATTCTCGGTTTGATTATTCTTGAACGCCTAATCAGATATAACTAGCTAGAAGTATTGGATAGGTTTACAAAAATTTCTAGTTGTACGCCCGTTGAAACGACCATACATGGATCCGAAGCATGTATATACTTGTGGAGGAACGAGGACTTGAAGCAATATTAGAGGGCCGTGGCAGTCTCTTGGCAGCGACCCATGTCTTGTTTACTATACATTCGCCAGTGATTCAACTAACATCTAGAAAGCCCACCAAGCACTCTCATGACTGCTTCATGTTCTAGAATTTGTTCCCAGAGCTTTATCAATATTCATTATCAAAGAGTAATTGACTTAGGGGAAGGTTCGGGCAGTCACTGGCTCGCAGCGGTTCAGCGTGCGAGTCGATCGTCAAATCTGCGTATGGGAGCGAAAGACTAATCGAACCATCTAGTAGCTGGTTACCGCCGAAGATTCCCTCAGCATAGCAATATTCTCTTCAGTTTTATGAGATAAATCAAATGACTAGGGACTCGAGGGCGCCTTATTGCCTCCATTCATTCTCAAACTTTAAACAATTATTTCAAGGGATTGCTTAGGGTAGCCGGCAATACGACCCCGCGCAGTGGGAGTCATGCTCTCAGTTACAAGTAGACACACTAGCTTTGTACGAGAGTGCTTCTCGATGATGCTCAGATCATTCGCTAATGGAAAATGGATGGGTATATAGTTCCCCCACTTGTCGCTAGCAACACGGGTTGGCCGACAATATGTAGGCGTGATGCTTATATATCCAGCACCTACGGAGTTGATGCAGGCATCACGGACACCCACTACTCTTTCCCAACAGGACAAACGAATCGTATTGACAGACCAACTAATTTCATGCAGAACGATTTAACGATCATGACCTTCAGGAGCACCAACTGTGAACCTATGAGATGAGACATTACTTTTCGCATTGGCGCGACTATCCTCTTCGGAACGATCTTATTACTGGTTCGTCAATATTGGAGTATCTCAGATGATGCGTCCAGTATTCATCTTTGGTGAAATATCAAAATTGATCCAGAGTCATAGTTTGATGCAAAACGTTTCGTGCCTATTTAGTCTGTGTTGCCTTCCTGCTTCCTAGTCAGGATCATCACCTATAAGTTGCCAACGTATTCGTTATTCACGGGCCACCATTTGCTGTCGCACGAACACTCCCCCGAAAAAGTAGGCTGACAGGGCAAATTAGTTGAGAATGGATAGATCATGTACCATCACCGGTGCCGTTGACGATGCCCGTAGTGCCTGCATAAACTTCGGATTTCGAAATGGTTAATTGCATCGCGGCTTGACTTTGAATTTAACAGTATTTGTTTTCAGTCTCTATTTCATGACATCGACCACATGTTCAGCCTGAAGAAAATAAAAAAAATAAAAAATAAAGTAAAGCGATTGTTTGGAGAGTATGGTAACTGTCGCAACTTCTCTGCTTCAGCCACGAAACCCTCACAGATCAGTGGCCTCACAGTTGTCGCGCTGCTCTTCTTGCCACTCTCATTGACGACATATTTTTGGGATAAGTGAGCCTTACGTGAGCATTTCTCTTTCGGTGGCAGAAGCCTTTCAAGTCTACGCAGTGATGGCTTTTCTACAGCTCTTACTAGTGTTAGTAGTGACCATTCTCGTTTATACAGACTTGGCAAGGCTCCTAGCAGTGCCCAAGGAGAGGCGAACACGGTACCCTGAAAGGCACAAAATTGAGACTGTTGGTCTGAGAAATAAAGTCATTCATGAACCAATCAATGTGGGATGAGCTCATTCATTTATGACTCAACCTCGATCGTCCCGCTCAAAACTTCCAACGCTGGACGGTGTAAGCTGCTCTTCATTGACGTCCTCAATGACAATTTTGGCTTCTATCTCTACCTCAATGGCGCTATTTTCAAGCGACGCGCTCCGTCTCAACGAGTCTTCGCTTCTGCTCCGGATGTCATGCGGCAACTCATTAGATGACATCCTTTGGAGGGCTCGGCATGGCGGCCACCATGAGCGGCGAGGTGTCGAACGTAGTTCATGGCCTCCCTGCACCATGACCATATTCCCATATATTCTTTGTGGAGTTCTTATGAAGGCAAACTTCTCAAGTCCAGTTTCCTGGATATCCTGGTCACCAATGAAGAAGATGGTGGTGCTCCACAATAGAACGTTTAGCCAACCATGAGAAGCAATTAGCGAGCCTGCAATACCATAGAAGGGCCATCCAGCTTTCACCCCACTCATTGCTGTCATGCGACTGATAGCAAGGGGTGCAGTACAGACAATATAAATGATCTGATAGACGAGAAATGCCGGGTGATGACCAGAGGGTTTCGGTGGCTCGTTTTTCTCTCTTGGCTCCATGGACTTCGACACAGTCGACGGGAAATGGCGAACCGATTGATTGTTTCTGTAGAGGGAAATTATAACAAGAAGGAGCAGGAAAACTGTTACGGCCATGGCGACGAAGATCCAAAAGTACTCTAGCCAGAGACCGAGGGCGCCGTACTGAGGGTTGACCCAACACTAACTATGTGTTAGAATACATCCAAGTAAGTAAGACTGTTCAACTTACCCATGCACCAGCTCTGGCATAGAATCCACCGTGGTCCGCGCCATTTTGCGTCCCTAAGACACTCCCAAATGGCAATGCAAAAGCGATGACCCATACCAATGCCGTGGAAGCATAAATAGCGGTCCGCGATAGTTTGTAGCCACGGACGACCGTGGTGTATGTGTTGATGCTGATGAGAACAAGCATGCCACTGCACACAAGCTTGCCAACTTGCATAAACCATCCCTGTGCCCAACATGCGGCTGTCGGTGCGAATATCCCATCCTCCTTTAGCCATTCGATGCTTAACAGGAAAGCCATAGCTTCAAACAAGTTTGCGAAAAGCAGGTTGTATATGAGCATCAGTATAGGATTCCATCGCGTATATTCTTTCTCAACCGGATGAGGCGCTTTCTCGAGTCGCGGCGTGGGTGGCTCGCTAGCTGGTGCAGACTTTGTCTTCAGATGAACATAATGTCGTTCTTCTAACCCTAATGAGAGATCATCGCTGCTGGTACCATCTGAGCTCCGACCGATCTGTCCTTCGATATGACTCTGTGGTATCTGTCGTGCCACTCGCTCCCATTTGATCAATCGGTAGGTGATATAAAATACAAGAACCCCGGTTGAGACAAATGAGATGAACGACAACGTCGTTACAGCAATGAGACCATGGCGAAGTTCTCCGGGCAATGGTGCCAATGTGCTACTCTCAGCAGGCAATTCGGAAGCCATCATCACCTTTCTGCACCGCCCTTGAAGAGACTTTTGGCCTGTTGAAACATGTCATTGATCAGCGATGCATCTGGGTTAAATTCAGTTCAGTGGAAAAGTTTCACGGAAACAATCAGATGGAATGATCCATCGGCGAAGAGCAAGGGTGTTTAATTGAGAGCACTAAGCAAGGGGTCCAAAGCCCCCCCGCGTTTATAGCGGCAAAGCAGCCATCAAGCGGCGGCATATCCCTTCGATCGCCCCAATTGTGCTCAACGAAGGTTTTCCTAAACAGGAAGTCAGGAACGCTCGCTGAGTCCCTCTGAACAAAACAAAACCAGGAGCATGCGCCCATTGCTCCTTGCAGGCAGCTGCAGGGAAACCCTAGCGACTGTTGAGAACCAAACCCAAGCCATTCGGCCGGCTGTCCAAATATCCGTTCATGGCGCATGTGCAATGACCCAATGGGCTTCAGCTAAATTGTTCACCAGCCGCAATGCCACTGCAACCCCCCCCAAATTCTAGAAATACTGTACGGAGCAATCCAATCCCTTCGCGCCTTTCATCTCAACCCCCAGCCCTATCCGACTACATTTTTAGTTTTGGTTTTTATAGGTCGTCCGGTGGTCTGGTCTAATCTAGCGGGCTGGTCCGCCTTAGCCGCTAGGTTTATCTGAGGCTTAATGCTGGTGACGGGTCTGGTCTAAAATAGGCTTTCTGTCATCCAAGCGCAGTCGATGCAAGTTAATTGTCAAAGCACGATCTCGTATGAGGGTGTTGAGATGATCCCTTGCATATGCAGGAGTATCGCGTGGCCAGTAGTAACTTAGGTTAGTGACGTTGGTACGCTCTTTTTGCCCATCGAGCGAGTGAGCGGTGGCACTATACCTGTATTCAGATCTATTTTGGTTAGGTGTTTCAAAATGTCGCCGATTCAGTCATGAGAACACGTAGAAATGCAAGCAACTATGTTTGTCTGCAGCAAGTATGATCGAAGCAAATTGGAAGGATTATAGTTCGCATCTGGGCCTCAGCGGTCGATTACTTTTGAGGTCATTTAGCGTCGGGCTTGAAGCAAGTCAATCTGGCCTTCACCGGATCTCAATTGACTCGGCAGAGGCGGCAAACAACTTACCTCCCTAATGCCGACACAACACGACATCCGAACTGCTCGCAAGTTTCCTTGTTGACAGGAGAAGTCGTTCTCGCTCTACGTCTTCCCATAGCTGACTCTGACTACCGTTTTCTGTACAATGCCTTTTTCACTGCTTCCATCCTCCATCCTCCCGTTCATGTCCCATGAACCAGTCTCGCTACGATCGCTTTGCCCTGCGTTCACTTCGGTCTGGTTACCAATGGGATATAATTCAGTGTCATCGCCAAACTTTGCGTATCGGTCGGTTCGTCTGGAGGTAAGTTTCGATATAGTCGGAGGATTGTGGGTCGGTCCCTGCGACGATTTTGCACCAGAAGAGCCAAGCAGTAGCCCCGGCGCAACGCAGTTGAAAAACTTTTTCAAGGTTGTCATAGACGCGCATATGATCACCAAGTTTGCTTCGATTATTCTGTAGTACCCAAGTCAGTTTGTAACTGGCGCGAGTCGTAACTGTAGTATGCACTCACGCCCACAGACTTGCCTGTGAAATGGCCCACGTCTGATCGTTGTTGTTGAGGAGAGCCGGGAGCGCCGCACATCGTACTATGGACGTTACAACGGTGCTGAAGGATGTTTGTCAGCCACACCCTCCACATCGCAGTTCGAAGAGGTCACCATACGCAGAAGCAAAACCAAACAATGCTATCACACCAATCTTTTGCCATTTGGGCATGTGAAGACACATGATCAGAGGGATGGGCAGAACCATTACCATGACATCCGTGATGATATTCGCAATGGCCGTTGCGAAGTAAAGCGCCACGACATTGATGCAAGATCCTTCCGTGGCAGGAATTGTAATGTCCCAACTTTTAGAGACGGGAGTGCAGGAGAATACCATCAGGAAAACGAGAACGATGGTGTGGAGTACAACCATCCCAACTGCTACCCAAGACCATGTCTTGAACCATCCTCCCGGTGACAGTCGCAGGTAGACTACCAGAAGGGATAGTTTCGCGAAACTACCACAAAGAACATAAACCCAGGGCCCAATCCATGAAAGCTTGTGAGTATCAATTGAAGGTGATCATACAAAGGAGAAATTACGGCAGGAGATACTCACCAGTAGAAATCTTTTGTACTTCGTTATGCTTAACTCCCATCCATGTACTCCTTCTATGGCTGCCGCGAATTCGTCTGCACAACAATGAGCCATGTTTATTAGTTACAAGTTCGTAGGAGACTCACATATCAAGATGATTTGTGTGGCTTGTGAGCAGATCTATTCTTATCAGTCATAACCAATACTCAAGATTGACACATTCGTTAATTATATTGCTTACCATGGAGAGGATCACGAATACTTGAAGCTTGCCGTCAGCCACCAATTGGGAATGAAGGCGTAGATCTTACCATCATCGATTTGGAGGCCAGATCCAACGACTACTCTAACGAAGAGTCTCTGAGCCAGAAACAAAACGGCGAGGAAAGTACCAATGCCGTAAGCCCAGTAGGCACCATGTTCCCCGTTCCGTTGAGGATTAGCCAAGTCCACCACATAGCCGTCAGGCGCTTGGAGAAGGACCTCGATACCGTTCACTGTTGGGAAGCCAGACATAGTGAAAAATTATCCAAGAGCCGTTGAAATCATTTTGGCAAGCAGAAAGAAAACCCCAAAATTATATTTTTGTTTTTTTACCAGCCTATTGAGACTTAAATCTACGTAGCAGACATAGCAAAAAGCTGAGTTTTGGCACTGGGCGAGAGCCGGCTGTTTGAATGCTTGCGTTGGATTAGTACCCTGGTAATGATTCTGGGATCATATTTGCAACTTGGCTTTCTGTTATGATTCAAGGTAGCCGCCCCACTTCTCCCGTCTCGCCCTGAACTTCTGTTGGTAGATCAGTGGTCTTTATCAAGCAAGACCTCAAGGTAAGCAAAACCAATCTCGCTTGGCTGTTGCAGTACGTTTCAACTAGGTGACTATTTAATTCATTCTGTAAAGACCGCCAAGCTGGATATAACTGGAGATGCGGCAGCAACCGCGATGAAGTGGAACTCATTCCATAATTGATCTTCTTCTAAATCGCCCCTCAACGCAAATCTCGTAAAGGGGATCTTGAGCTCCAATTACCAAATTACAAGTCAAAATGCCATAAACCATGCTCATGATCATTAAATGGATGAAATACCTCGCGTATCCATCTTAATTGCTGAAGACTGTTCTCTCCACAACGGTGCCCGGGATGAAATCGGTAGCAAGGTTCATGCATACAACGACCCATAAGCGCGGAAACATCCTATTGGACACTGATCCTAAATCCCCTCAAGCAATATAATAACAAATCTATGCAGTCACATTTGCAGCGTGATACTGCCGGCAGATATGCATATAGAGATATAGGATCAAAATTTGTGCAAGTAGCTTTTTCTGGTATCATTTTCAAGACACAATCGTGTGCCTCTCTATCGCTCCATTCACGACGAGTTAAGGCAACATGAATAATCGCAGTGGGATATTGCAAATGTTCGGGCGATAGTAGTTTCAACCCATGCAGCCAAGAAATATACCTTGCTTCGTACCAAAGTGCGAAGACCGGGGACGAAAAGACATCTGCTGACTTTGGTCTTGAATTGTGCCGAGTCACCGAAGTTTGCCCCGAGTGCTCGGGCCGGTGGATACATCATATGGCCTCTGACCAACCATAAACTGTCGCAGAAATCACTCGGTGGAGTCCCCATAAATATGCGTATATGTAGCACTTTTCTGCGAGTCGATTCCGGACAACCTCCGCTCGAGGTCTTACAAGGATACAAGGGACCAAGACCCCGGCCCTCCAACGGTAATTGACAGACCTCGTACCCGATGAATCTCCAGTGTCGCCACCAGATCTACCACAGTTTAGGTCGGAGGATGAACGAAATTGTGCACAAATACTGGCTTCAGAAACGCATGTCTTGGCGCATCAAAAGGTCGACAACCCCCCTGGCTGCTGGAGGTCTTTTAGAATCGAGCTCAATGTCGGTGGTTAGGTTGCATTGGCTCTAGTCATTTAGTTGCGAAGCATAAAACTTCACCCTGAGCGGTTGACCCGATTCTGTTCTTCTTTCGAAAGTGCGTCACTGTATTATCCTTTGCGTCGTTCTTGGCTCTGCACGATCGAAACAGTTCCTGTGCAAAGCGACTGCACGATCGCTTACTTTTGCATAAAGCCGATCCTTGGCGTTCTTAATCAAGACTGTCAGAATGGTGATCGACATGAAACGAGCAACGGCGTATCTGGCGTCGTTTGCTGCTTACATTACTTCGGTCAATGCTCTTTGCGCATCTACAGGTGCTCAATGCGTTAGTTACCAATTCTCGCCCTGATCAATTGATGGCCCTAACACATAGTACCAGTGTGGCGCTCTCGCGAAGGTCCTTCCCGGCCAGGTTTTCTATCCTAACACTACAGTCTATAATGAACGTGTCGAGGCCATCTGGTCTGCCACGGCTGCACTGCATCCATGGTGCTTCGTGCTCCCCGAGAGCACGAATAACACATCAGTAGTGATTGAAACTCTTGTGGTTAACCAATGCCCCTTCGGTATCAAAGGCGGTGGCCACACACATTTCGCTGGTGGTAACAGTATTCACGACGGAGTCACGATCGACTTTGGATATCTGAACACTACAACCTACGACGCAGAGAACAAAATTGCCTCAGTCCCGCCTGGTACGCCTTGGCAGGCAGTATACGAAACCTTGGAGCCTTTGTGAGTTCAATTGGCCATATCACCATAATCGTATCTTTAGCCTGACTGACCTGGCTAGTGGTGTAACAGTCACAGGGGGCCGTGCTGGCGGCGTCGGCACAGCTGGTTTCATCACCGGAGGTGGGAATTCATTCCACTCTACATCTCACGGGTGGGCATGCGACAATGTCAAGAACTTCGAGGTAGTCCTGTATAACGGCACAGTCATCAACGCCAACATAGATAAGAATAATGACTTGTGGCAAGCACTCAAAGGTGGATCAGGAAACTTTGGTCTTGTCACACGCTTCGACATGTATGTCATTGAGTTCCCAGACTCTGCAAACCCGAACATCTGGGGTGGTATCGCACAGTACGAACTCAGTGCTGCTGATGATCTGATTGATTCTTATGTCGACTTCACCGAGAACAACTACCTCGATAAGAACAGCTCCACCATGCTTTACTGGGTCTACAGTCACTCGTCAAGATCACTCATAGTGCAGGTGGCGATGGACAACACTCTCAATATCGCATATCCCTCGGCTTATGATCGCTATCTCAACACTTCAGGGATCATTGGTACCTCATTGAGATCTGCCCCTATGTACGAGATCACTGCCGAGTTCGATGCAGGCCAGCCAGATGGCCTCCAAAACATCTGGATTACGAGTGCTTACAAGAACGATGCCCGCATTATCAAGTATGCCGCAGACAAGCACGAAGAGCTTATCGTGGGAACTTTGGCCGGCCTAGTCAGCAACGACAGCGCTTTAGTGTCATTGTGCTCAGCCTTCCCGCTTACACAGGCAATGATTGAGCACGGTAACGCCAACGGTGGTAACGTGATGAACCTCGAGCAAAAGTCAGGCGGTGATAACGGTGTGCTATTCCTTGCCAGTCTAGCAATCGACGGCGAGGAGAACGCAGCCATTGCACTGCCCATCATGAGACAGTGGGTTGACGAGGTCGACGCCTATGCCACGTCGCTCGGTGTCAACTGGGATTGGCAATTCTTGAACTATGCTCATGGGGCATTCCAGCAATCTATCGCGACGTATGCGACAGAGAAGATCAGGGCCGCTTCGCTTAAGTACGATCCTGATCAGGTTTTCCAGAAACTCCGCAAGACTGGTCACAAGATCCCCACGGAATCGTAAGAAGGACATATTTGCTCACTGAAAGGTCAGCGTAGTCAATTGATAAAATCACGTTATATGTGTTGTGCCCATTCATCGCGATAAGCTCTAATACAGTCTGAGAGACTTCAAAGGAGAGCCTGCGCATTCCACCGAAGACCGAGACAGGAAGTTATGCGTTGATGGTCTTCTGACGGCTTTATCTGTCATCCGGGGCGTGGCTGGTCTTGCTTTGGTCGAGCTTGAGCTGGCGGGCCGTGCTATATATTTTTTGCATGAACTCGACGTAGTTGTTGACGTTTTGCCCGTTATCGCCTGTGTCACACTCGTAAGCTTGGTTCGTAGGTACATGTTGATCTGTTAGCTTACCAGCATACTCGCTGATGAGATAGACAAACTCATCTGTATCAAGCTTTGTTGGATCGACAACAGAAAGGCATATTATATCTGTGCGAGACTGTTAATTCGAGCCCTGAGAGGTCCTACGCCACGTCAACTCACATCCCAGCAAACCCTTCCATACATCAGAGAAACCCTGGACGGCTAGATTCCACTTAAAGAGCTGTATTGTTTCAGTATTCTGAACCCGCGAGACTGTATCATAAACCATACCTTGATGTCAACGCGTACAATGGTGTTGTGGACCGCGTAGATAAAGAATTTCTCTTCCTCCTGCTGCCCTGTCGCCGTGTTCTTCAAGAACCTATCCAGAGCAGATTTGACGACTGTCTTTATGCCGAAGACGTCAACGATATATCGACCCACGGATTGGATCGAACATACCTTGAAGCCCTTTCTGGAAGCTCCTTTATCGTCATCATCCCCAATCTGGAGGAATGAATCGATTATTTCATCAGCTTCGTCCGCAGGCTATAGGCGGTAACTCGTCAGCAACCAGAAACGCCATGCAATGAAGTAGCGCGAACCTGATCACTTATTTGAACGGAAACACGTCGGTGCCATCTGAGGGCCCGCGTGCCGGGCACCTGAGTTTTGGCCACGGACTCTGCGTTAAGGAACTTCCTAAAAGGCCACTATCAGCTACTGGTTTCAAACCTTTGCAATAGGCAGAAATGCACTACTCGTTTAGTTGAAGCTGGTATTCGTCAAATTTCGCGTGCATCATCTTTTGGAGAACTTCGAGGTCATCTCTGGCTTTCTCCTCTGCCGCTCTCTTGGACGCTTGCTCTGAGCTTCCAACATCTGGGATGGTTTGTTCCATTTTGGTGTTTTCCTTTCGGGTGTCGCAGGCTCGGTTCCCGATTCTATCGGAGAGGCAAAAAACCACCAACACCAATTAATCACACGCTGTTATGTTAAGCGGGAGAAGCGAGTGGGAGACAAGTTGAGAATCATGTTCTATGTATGTTTAAATCTAGGTGGCGAGGGGATCTAATCATTCCTACTATATGCCAGTGATATTGGGAAGTGGGAGGTGTGGCTGGCTGAAGTCTTTGTGTTCTGCGCTGGACTAACCCAGTCTCGTCTAGATAATTCAATAGCGCCACCTAGCGCACATCCAGACTCTCTGCGGCTCAAAGTCTTGTAGATCCATGCCAATGGTTGCAGCTTCATTTGGTGCGTGCTTGCAGTGTTTACGGATTGTTCATTCAGACGTGATCGGGTTCAGATGATTCAGATATGTTTGTCGTGGTAGAATAACACTACCTTCCTAGGTACCAGCAACCAAATGAAATTGAATGATGAGCAAACTTGAGAAATGTGGTTTTCGAATGGCCGCTTTGAAAACACGACAGCATTCGCTGACGTTAATCTCTTCTCAACATGGGGACAGAAAGGGATATTTAGAACTAGTCTAGTTATAGATACAGAATGGAGTGATTGTTTTTTGAAGTTCATAGTTTGATGCAATGTCTCATCCCAATGCTGGTAGCACCCTGTTGTTATATTGTCGCCCACAGGCAGATCCCTGTAGCGGCCACGCAACGCTGAAGTGAGTCATCTTAGTGCTCAATGAGGGCACAATGCAATGAAGGGTATTGGTCGCCTTTGAAATAACATGATAATGTCAACCAACATATACTGTTCGAACACTACGTGATATCTACGGTAGTCAGAAACCCACAAAAATACCAAAACATACAACACCAGGGATTTCCCAATGGTCACCCACCTGGGTATCAATTCAGCACTTCAAGGATTCTGGGATATACCTAACTACCTGGTAAAATGGGACCACCACTTTCTCAACAGCCTGTAGCACGGTATTGTGTAGCGAGCTCACCACGCTAGACTATGGATCGCACTGTCCATTTTATGCGCTTTATAACTGACAATAATTACGGACATATACCGTAGTGCGTTGGTTTCTTGCATTCAAAGCTAATCCACCGAGCCATCGCATTCAGCGAATTAGTAGTTCGAATGTTGCTAACATATCACGGTACTCTTTTAAGGTCTTTTGCTGGCCGTAACAGCAGTTAGAGGATGATGAACTTGGGATAATTTGGCCTTTAGAAAGGAAGACTTCAAGGAACCTGTCGTGCTTTGCACCGTGTTTCATTGCATCTATCGGACAAGGGCCTAAATCGAAGCTGTCTGATTGATGGTTTGCACTCATCTGCCATATTACTGCACCGGCAGCGCCGCTGTTCCATGCTATTCAAGGGAAGACGTGCTGTTTTAGGATACTACATTATATTGGTCGAAAGTGAGCGTGGAGTGGTTTTTTTAGTTTTTTTTCCCCCGTAACCCGCCGCGCTTAAGCTGCATTTGCAAAAGAATAGCTACGTACGAACATGAGTCCTTGTAACTGAAGACAAATACGTGCCAAAGACAAGCTTAACAACGCTTGACTAGATTGATGCCAGAAGAACTAGTATCGTAGTATCGTAGTATCGCCATGTCTTTTGCAAAAGTCTTTTTTAACACTAAACACGAAGACAATCGCAAGAAACAGAGATTCTGGGAACGGCTTAGTATCATTCAAATCATTTAATTGATGCAGGGACGAAAATAGGTGGTAAACGGAATTGGAGAGAGTTAGCACACAATATCTGTGATTAAGCATAGGAGCGTGAAAGATATCACGAAAACATAGAAGCGCTCGAGGCGGACTATGCTAGCCTTGGAACTCTAACGGCGCCGGAGCATGTATAGTCCTCTCTATAAGGCAGACTAGTATGCACGGCGCGTCGCAAAGGAAAATACGGCAATCCTGTAAACGAGGGAGCTCAGATAGGCACGCTTCTAGCCTAAATTGGCATAAATACAACCATTCGGCGTAGCGCATGTCAACCACATTCACTCAAAAACACCAAATGCTATTGCGATTGAATCATCTGAGGATTGTGTCCAATAGACGTGCCGAGTGGTGATTTTAAAAAGACATCTACCATAAAGAGGTCATTTATACGACGCATTACATTCACTAGACCGAGCATTTAAAGTACCAGGTCCACGAAGCAGTAAACGCTCAACTAAAGTAGCCGATGCAGCGAAGTAAAAAGAGAAGCCCAACACTCGATTGGCTACCGTCACCAAAGAGCTTTCCATATCTGACTATGAGAATGGTGGAACCGGAACAACTATGTAGTCCAACAAAAAAGAAAGGTGCCTACGGAGGAAATTGATATTGAAGCGGCGACGAAAGTTGTAAGCTAGACGCCACGGAGGCTAGTTACCTCACGCAGTAGATTACAGAAGGTGATAAAGGATCCTGTTAACTTCTTTGAAATAAAGTAGTAAAAAGGTAGCGAGGGTCGTTTTGTACATTAGTCGGCTCAAAATGTAGTGTAAGAGAATAGGAAGAGTCCTTCAAATCGTTGAAGGTTACTTATGTTTTCATTAGCCAGTTTGATATAGTTTCTTGCACAGAGTAATAGCCTCGTGCGCAAGGCCAATGGTCTAGAAAATGGTGCACACAATGCTCAATGTTTCGAAGCCGGACATCATGATGTTTTGCAGAATTCTGCTGCTTAACCAAGAGATAATAGATATGAGCGGGGAATATTTCAGCATGGATTGCTTACAGCATTGGCAGAGAGGCTCGACAACCCTCGTTGCGCAGCCCGGCCAATATGCTTTCTCAATAGTAGGATGTTCCAGCCACGGCAGTACTCCTAAGCTGCTGATTCGTAACCATGCGAGCCGATGGTACTGCCAAGTTCGGTGAGCTGCTATCAAAATCGCAACTCCCACAGTGCTGTAATTCCTTATGAAAACGTTATTTTGACGTCGCAGTTTCGCGTCTTATCGCACAAGCTCATCCAATTACATCCAATTTCGAATAAGTAGAAAGCAAAGGCGCTTATGTCTCCCTCAGATCGTGGGTTCTTATAATAGGAAGCGGCGTCACTTTTGCTCTTTATGGCTCTACGCTGTTCGCCCCTTGAAACGTACGTATTGTTGACACTTATAGTAGTATTGCTAAGTATTCACCCATCACTTACAGTCGCATGCGGTTTCTTAGACAAAAGTAAGATCACTTTTATTCAAAGAAGAGGGGTCCTCGATCCATTGCGACACGGCATGTCCATACATCAGACCATACACGTAGCAGGCAGAGATGACACGGTACGTGGGCCTGTTCGCAATATCCACTGGCCGAATGATCACAGGTGCTTGGACCGTTGGTATGACACAAATCAAATCGCCTGGCTGTACTAGGGGCGACCCCGTTCCACTGCCAAAATGTTCATTAGTTTAGGGATTTCCCGAGGCTAGAACAACATCATGGTACGTACAAATTTCCATTGCTTGACACGAAGAACCTGTGGCCTTTTATGGTCCATTCGGCTCTAGGTCCAAACGGGATCCTTTGAGTTGTTTCAGTTTGCTGTTTGAGCTTCTCGCTTCCAGGCCACCTTCTTAGCAACTCCTGGTATATTTCCGGGCACTTGTTCTGGACGAATTTCGTAAAACTGAAAAGAATTTCAGAATGATTCTCAGTATCGATGGTGTGTAACAGTGTGCTAGCGAACCGCAGTATCATATCCCTAAATGAACCGCTGCTTTTGCATTTAATCTCATGGTCCCAAGCTAGATCCCAGTATTGCTCCAGTACTTTTGGGAATGTTATGGCTTGGTGATCATTGTCTTTCACTGGGTATGGCGCCACTGGACCACAGCTCCCAACTTCATCTACCAGAAGTGCACTAATTTTCAGCATGTTGCCACATATTTCCGCGCTGATTGAGGCATTGAACACCGGTGATATGCTTAAGTTGGCATCATACCTACCGTTTATACAGCCGGTACTGTATTTATCGAAGTCTGGATACCAAGATGATTCGTCTTTCAGATCCGTGTCGGACGAATGCCAAACCAATCCCAGGAAGCGCAAGGACTTTTTTGCCAACTCCGAAAAAAGACGCCGCCTTACTTCAGAGCTGCTGATGGTATAATCCGCTTGAATTATAGGTCTTCCATCTGGTTGCCTGGAGAGGGGGTTGCTGAGGAATGCAAAAACAAAATCACGGGGATCTGTTGCCCTGAGTTCATTCATGTTCAGGAAGAGGATATCCAGAAACTCAAGATACTGTTCACAACGCAGAATTTGTGCCTCGTACTGTAATAAAGGAGATTTCCTGATCCACGTGTGCTCGAATGTCAGTGCTCTTGCAGGCAGGTACGACACCCAGACCTTTCCAAACAGTAACCGAAGGTAGGCAGACTTGAAGTCAAGACCCGGGAACTGCATCTTGCCATCGTGATACCCGTAATATGACGACCATGCACATATGAATTGGATCGCCTCCGCGAAGTCAACAGTGGCCGAACCGTAAGCTAGAAGGGCGTCTTTGGCGACGCCTACTTCCTGGAGAACCCATGCACGCCTGAACCATACGTTGCCGAACAGTCTTACAGCGTGTTCGAGTTGGTTCCTTTTGATCATACCATCGGGATCATGAAGCGGGCCCCAGGCTTTGTGAAACTGTTGTGGCGTAAGCTGCTTCTCGACTAGACGGTTGAACGATTTGATGACATCGATCGCGGTCTGTGCTGTCCCACTCATGTCCGTGCCTAGCCATACGATGACACGAGATGCGGACTCGTAGATCGATCCCATCATAGTGACTGCATAGCCTTTCTCGTTGAGATCAGACTGGTTGATACAGATCGCGTCCGCCCAAAGCCTCCTGTCAATGTCGGGGAGGCGTAGTTGCTGCAGCGCGGAAGCTAGACTTTGTGTCGCGAACGTGGCTTTGTCGTTTATACTGATAGGCTCAGTGGGCCTCGGATCACCCCACACATATGATATTGCCTCATAAGGTTGAATGTCTGGCTTTTGACTTAGTTGATATCTGGTACGGCCGTGGTTTTTGGGAGGTGCTCACGTTCTGAGTCAAGGTCGTACGGCTCCAAGGTGCATGAGAGCGGGGACTCCCAATTTCCGGGAGCAAGAACCAATACACGGGCCCATCTCTCACCAGGAAGTGAGGAATATATATCTGTCATATTAATAATTGACTCAATGGCCATACTATTGCGTGAGACGTCTTGACTTGGACTCAATTGTAACAACAGGAGGTACATCGGATTGAAGTGGGATTTGACCTATATACCGCATGTGGGGCTTTCTTTACCGACGTATCACGTAATCAACTCGGCACAGCAGGGCCAACGATGAACTGTCAAGTTTGGCGACTGACATCAATTACCCTAACCAATGACGAAGTTGTCGTGACCATCTAGCTTCTCATCGAAAGATAAGTGGCGACGATCAGAGCGCTACTTGAGGCCGGTGCGGATGTTAACAGCCTCCCATATTTGCTTATGCTGCAACGAAGCGATGCTTTTCTAAGAATACGGGCTACGTTGCAAATATTATCCAATTAAGTTCCATTGTGAGAGTCATGTTCACAAACGAATATCTATCATTGATTTTCAATCAAGATTGCTTTCAAGTAAGTAGTCAACCGCTGTTAAAAATAAAAATAAAAATTTGACGCTGTCACGGATCTATTGTTCATGATGTATAATTAAGCCTCCGCAATATCATCTGGCCTCGCAATCCTGTTGATAAGAGGTTCCGACTCGTACATGTCGATATGTGTCTGAGTTAACCTAGACAATATCACGACGGTACCGTTGTCAGAGATTATCCGGTATCGGATTGCAATAGGGTATATAAGGGCTGGAATCCTCCATATGTGATAGAGAGTAGGGCTCAGCGCGTCAATACTAGCACCCTAGTACTCCCTTGCAACATCAGCGTCTGACAACTGTTCTCGATGCAGGTCGCTGCGACAATATAGCCAAACCTGGAGCTACCGCCAAATATGGAAATGCGCTTATTGTGAAGCTTTTGCAAACAATTCAAAGTAGGTATTTGAGTAAGTGGTAACTTGGTGCGAAGTTTTGTTGACGTCCATCTAATAGACTCGAGGGTAAGTGGCGTACGTGGTTGAATTGTAGTTTCTTTTCTATATCTTTTGTTAATTTCCTTCACAGGTTCCTTTGCAACACTCGAACGAAGTGGCTCTCGTACTAATTACTTAGTAGAGAACCGAAATTAGCCAAAGAGGAAACTTAGAATTATGTGCTTCCCAACTTCCGCAGCATCCACGGCACGGACGTATTGTAGTAGGGACCATTTGACCAATCGTTGTAACAGACCGACTTAATAGTCCTATTAGGCTAACAAAGAAGATTTGAATCAGTCATGAGGAGAACCGACGTTCAATTTTTACGTCAAGGCTGGTCAATCACGAAACGTCCCACAGTATATATTAGACCATGGAATCGTAGTATTATAACCGGTACTTTTACCAGCACCCGCTGGTCTTGATGACCTTGAGCCATAGCTTCTCATTGTTGTTCAGTTACGCAGCTATAATACAATTTTACTCAATAATGAGAGTTTGGAAGTGCAAGATATGCTGCAGTCTGGATATGTCTCTGCCTTTCAGTCAATACTAGCTCTCGGCGATGTGTAGACTGTGACAATCCGGGTCATTGCCCCTATTGCTAGTCAAATCCACTCAGAGGAAGAGATCCCATCACGCTGAGACTTTCATTTCCTGCCAGATTGCCAAAACTCGGCTGAGAGTTCGAGAACCCCCCATGAATCTTTCATGATGACTGGGTGTTCAAGTGATGGACCATGCCTCACTTGGAGACCAATCACCATCGCGCCGACCACAGCGAAAAGACCCTGCCACAAGCGGCTTGTCAACCTATAGTGGCTGTCCCGCAGTATCTACACTGCCGCGTCTTCAAGAGAATTGACTCTGACGTGTACCAGACTACATAATATAGTGAGTGAACCGAACCGAGTTCCATTCCGCCGTGAGACTGCAAAATTATTATCTGGAGTAGAGGGTCCCTACGTGTTGCGCTTTTATCTGGCTACCTTGAATAGCCTAAGGTAGAGAAATTCTGGCTATGGTTCAATATAGATGATCCAGATCATAGACGATGAATATAGGCCATCTCAACCTAAGTCAACTGAACTCTTGCTGCTGTGACAAGGGTTATTACTAAGCAGTCATGGACCGAAACGGAGCATACCAAGCAAGCCCGTTTGTGATGGTTTTACTTTACGTAACTATGCACATAGATACCACGTATAAACTTCTCTTAAGCACTTACCTCCCCTCTGAACCCACAACATGGGCCAATTAATCGTATCACATTTAGACGATTAGACAATTCTCCATCGAAATAAGAGAAGCTTCTGTAGGCAGAGCTCTGCCGGGTTGGTATGTTTCACGGCGTCAGAGCCATGCTACGATTGCCTTTGCTGCACGTCAGCGACGCCCCAAACGCCAAGATTTTGTATTGAGTCGGACCTGTTATTGTAGCTCTATTTAATACTAAGTTATAAGTCTAATATTGATACATCTAGTTATAATCTGTTCCATATCACTTTGGTAAATTAGTAATTCAAATGTCAATTTGAAAAATATGAGGCTTGAAACTATATAGTGTTCAGTCGTAATCACCAATTGGCCTTGTAATCATTAAATGATAGTCTTGACCGCTAATATGTCAGAGTGCCTTGTTAGTCGAAAGTAATTCCACAGCTTGATACCCTTCCTAGCGTTGAACTCGCCGGAATTGGAAAATGAATCGGGCGAACAAGAAATTATACTTAGCATACATTCCGCTGTGCGCCATATCACCATGTCGCGATAGCCATATACTCGTTTGGATAGATATTTCCCCGTTTTATCATCCTGGAACACCGCGTAGCAGTTGTGTTAATCGCAATATTTTGATTTTATGTTCTGCACCATCGAATTGCTCATTTAAATGGGGTGAAAAGTACAATGCCTTTAGGATGACCACGCTCACAGGCAATCCATTGTTCTTTAGCACCACCCAGATTTCTTTTGTGGACGGCAGGCTTAGCTGTACCATCTTCTACCAATTCTTCATAGCTGAGGATTGGACGTCTGTCCTTTTGGACTACTGTGAAAATAAGTCTAAAAAAAGAGTCATGATTGAACGAACAGGTCCAGGTCAAGGTATGGATGACCGTCACTGGCCACAATTTAAGATGATAGTTTTCATCCAATGTCCAACCGTTTGCTCACGGATAGCCATGGAATGTCTCCCGGGTATAAGGTAGTTTGCGACTGTTGCTGGTTAACACCGGCACCCAGGGCATTTGGCTTTGTGGCAGGCCAATCTCGTCAACTATATAATTCATATTCACTTACCAACTGGTTGGTGTATCAGTTTCCCGATCAAGTAGCGACGACCGAGTCATACAATGAGAGATTCAACTGATGTTCACCTATACGGCAGCACATAATGTGCCGGTTGAGATGTTAACGACAAGCCGTGATGCATGTATCCTGTGGGGGATGCTTTGCGAAGTGGGTTTACGCTGAGAGGCTTTTGAGCCTCGTCCTGCTGAAGCTGCATCACATTCAAAGAGACAATATGGCTTGCGACAAGTCTAAACACTGCTGGGATGTAAGTCACATGTCCGTTCTGTAGACAGGCCGGGCTACAGATCTTGTACTGCTCTCAAAAGAAACAAAGGCACACACTGGTGGAGGGCATATGCTTCAATGAGCTTCAGACCCTATTTGGGTTACACCCCGCGGTGGATAGACTTGGGATCAACTACTTGTCGAGGCCAGCGGTACGATCATTTCCCCACTTTACTGGGCCGTTGTTCAAGTGTAATAAAAGCCGTGCTGGACATGTAAATTTTCCTCGTGACATTGCTCATCATTTACAGGCTTTAGCTATCGAAAAAGAAGAAGATACAGCTCGTGACTGTGTCATTTACGGCCCTACTGTACGTCAGACTTTCGCAGTACGCGAGTTTCCAGGTCACTTGAACTGATTTCTTTTTAGACGCCTTATTGTTAGCGGTGACCGTTTACAAAGCGTAGCGTGAGGTCAAAGCACCCAAGGGGTGGAATTACCGATGGTTACATGGAAATGAGCGACACGTGGTTAGCGAACAGTACGGCTACGGTGGATATCAGAGGGCCTAATCATGGCTAGATGGCAAATATCGGATAACTTAGGATTTTCGTATAGGCTCAGACAAATATCTTGAAAGACCATCTATCAATGAGAGAGTTATTACTTTACTTCAGTCGAGGCGTCACAAAATGCCTCTTTCAAGAACTCGATGTGCAACCAGGTAAATCAGCACTTGGGTAGCTTGCCTAACTCCAGCTTGCCTTGAGCTCCTAGACAGTTCTGCTTCCCCGCGACCTTGGGACTGTCGCCTGAGATCTCGCCTTTATTGACACCCTGGAATTGCTGGCAGATCTCACCCTTTACAGTACCACACGAGCCACTGATGGTTGCGGTATCACCATAGTTGGAGTTGATACCCACTATGTTGGTTGCAACGTTGTTGGCCTTGAGATTCTGTACAATAACTTTGCGAGGCGACTTCTTCTGGTTGTCAGTGCCTACACGGTCGAGGAGATTAGCAACTCTCCCCTAAGAGCGAAAGCGTTATGAGGGAATGGAAACAGCTTTGCTTACAATCTCCGCAAGCCCGGTAGACTTTACCCACGTTCACTACAGTGTAATCCTTGATCGTAACAGTTCCCTTTCCATTGTGTTGGATAACCTTGTCTTCCGCATTCTGCGCTCCGCCGCCCTCGATCAGCGCGTCACCAGCTCCTAAAACGGAGACAGCATCTTAAAACAGGTTAGCAAATATATCCCTGTTGTTTTTATGGGGATTTATTGTTCACCCTCGCACACATCGCGGAACCATGCCCTGCGGACTGAACACTTTCCCAGACAGTGAATACCCTCAAGGGCGTTCGCTCCGATTATGACATCCTCTATGGTTGCTCCGTCTTCGAGGATGAATACGGCGTTTTTGCTGCCAGTGTCGCCATCGGCACACTTCATGCCCCGATCGAACTCGCGGTTGCCAAAGTTTTTCACTTGCCCCTTCAGGATTGTTGAAGGGGTCGGTAATGCGGTAACGGTCCCCACGCGCGAAGGTATCTGAAGGACTTGAGAGGCAGAAAGGCCAACGAAGAGGGCGAGAATGGGCAACTGCATTTTCTTTTAGATTGGAAGGTAGGCTTGAGAAATGCAAAGCTTGTGCCTCTAAGCGAAAGATCAGTGTAATGTATCGTGGTTGTAGTTATAGAAGACGAGCTGGCTGGAGAGTCTAAGAACCTTTTGCAGCGACGTACGAACCTTTCTTATACTCCATCGCAAAGTGCTTTGTAGGTGATATACGGGGTGTATACCATACGGATATCGTGAAACTGTCTCCACTCTCGTATGATGAATATTTCTCTCTGCTGCAAAGAGGTGAAATTGCATTGCTTGGCTATATGGACACTTCCATCGTATTCCCACACGCTTAGACTGCCAAGAATTTCGATGACTCGAGACTTCTGTGAATTGTGGCTCGTATTACTTTTGGGCAGTCATCTGCCGTTCAAACGGATGACTTAGTAGGAATCTCTGCTAAGAAGATTAACAGCGACATTCCCAAAAATATTTGCCTTCTCATAAGTGGTGCCTGAAAGCACATCCTACCGGTACAACATCCAGCGTTGATGATGGCTAATAGTCGTGCTGTCCGTTAGATTAGCATAGCTGTTCGCTAAGTGGAGCCTCATTCACCATAGGGAGCAGCACTTGGCGTATGTCTCAAGCAAATTATGAGGGCGCCATCATTTTCACTTCCATGCGATTTCGGTGATAATTTAGTCTGCGAATGGAATGGGAAATGGGAGTTTTCTAGTACAACGGGAAGCCCGACAACCAGCAGAATTGCAGTGCTCCCATTAGCCACACGGGTAGCTGCCCCTGGACGACTTTAGCTGGTGCACGCTTGGAAGCTTGGCAGTTCGGGTAGCAATATGCGCGCAAGTGGTACACTTTTTAGACTTCACGTAGCCGATTGTTTCGAGTTCTAGCGGCTCGGCAGTGGCATTAAGTTAACATAGGCATTACACTCGTCAATGCAGAACAAGACTGGCCACTGGAAGATACTCATAAAAAGAGGCCGTATCAACGCAGATACGTCCAACCGTTTGGTTTTACGAACAACCAGCTATCACATGGCCCGAGTGAGTATGGACAATGACATCGGGAATGGCGTCAAACTGTGGATGGACGGAATTTTTGAAAGAGCGAAACATAGCATGGCACGGTATTATATCAACGCGAGGTGGTTCAGCTTTGCCGTTGCTTCCCTCATAGTAACAGCATCTAAAATATATGCTCAAGTAAGATATTGCCTCGCAGACAAGACATCTGCAAGTGATGTATAGGTTACAGGTGTGCGTAGTCTTATACCGTATATTAACAAATAATAGTTAGTCATTTGGATGACTTGTACAAATAACCGGTTAAGATACATGGAAGGAAAAAAAATATGTAAATATCTAATTGCGTTTGTCTAACAAATGCGTCTATGCCGATCAGCAGTAGATAACTTTTCAAATAATCAATATCAGAGCTTTACGTGTCAGCTCTAGCGCTGTGGTACAAGAAGCTCAAAACATACGGTATTATAAGTCTAAATTCTATGTTTATCAATTAAAGTCTGCCATGGCAGGTTCTATGGCAAGATGTCTTGGTATGTGAATGCTTGCATAGGAAGAATATGATTGAGTAGTTGCTACTAGTTGTGGCATAAATGCATTAGCATAATGTAATAAGTCCAAATGTCACTGCCACATACGCGCACACACCCACTTACTTCACACGAGGCTTCCGTCTACATGCTCACATTGTCAGTGTCTATCACGAGCGACGCTCATCACAGTATTAAATCTTTCCAACTCTTTCCCACTCTTTCCAGCTCTTTCCAACTGTTGAAATCCATGCAATTGCACTAATCTGTGCTATCCTAGCATTTAATCATTGAACTTGAATTTGCTAGGGTCAACCAGTGCCACTGCGGTGTCGCGTCAAGGAATTATGTCTGTAGCACGACGACGAAGAATCATACGAGGCTAGCTCGTATGCCTGGGTCGAGCCCAAATTCGTAGAGCCCATATACGTGAATGATGCCGGGACAAAGGAATGTCTGATTCCAATCAGCTCCAATCTGGGAAACTCGCTGCTCCATTTCCGATCGCCAGATCGACGCCGACGTCTCTGAGCAGATGCTGTGTGGAAAACAGATTCCGGCCATGGCACAGTGCCACATATTTTCAGCCGTGCGCTAAGTGTCCTTGCGTGACTTGGATACTCACCGCGTGAGGTGAATTACTTCCGTACGATTTGACATGAGTCGAAGCACATTGCGAGGGGCTATTTGCAAGCTAGGAGCTATTTTGCAGCTCTGATTAATTGCTCCGGAGAGCTCATGGAGCTTTCGTGTGCTAGGACAGAGGTGGTTACTTAAATACGCTAAGCTGAACAGGGGTATGTCCACCCGCTCAGGATCCTAGTCTGTCGGGTGATACACCCCTCTTCCTCTACCGGGATACAATGTACTGAAGTTGAGTTGAACAACAACTCTATTATACCTAAAATTCGAAATTTACAACACACACACACACACAATATGGCACCATTAACACGTTCGGCTTCGAAAAAGACTTGTCAAAAACCTGTTACCGCACCATCAACCACTCGGAACACACCAAGCTCACTTCTGCTTCTAAGACAACCGATCATACATCTATGCATCGACGTCAACCCGCGAAGCAAGCGGCCGCTCAGCCACGCCGCCAAAGCCAGCTGCGCCGGAGCCGAAGGCTCGAGTCGTCGAATGGTATTAAATTGAAGGTCCTAAATTCTCAGATGCCGCAGAGTTACTACGACTAGTCTAGTTAGTATTCTGCGAGAGGTTCAGACTGTGAGATGCTAGCACGGCAATACTCAACGCAATCGGCTATTCCCAAGGTTCTTGAACGGATGGAAGGACGAACGGGCTTTGGGTTATTTAGCTCGCATGATACGCCCAAGCATCCCTTAAATCAACACTTTTGGAAAGGTCTTATACGGCGTATAAATGGCTGGGCAGAGGGGCCTGTAGGTTACCAGGGACAGCCTGCGCAACGCATGATCTACTATCTTTGGTGGTTTGACGAGTTGGCCCAGCAGCAGTGCAACTAGGAAACCAAGGAAATCAAGTGTGCACGTCATGGGTGGTGGTCGTGAAAGTCCATCCCTATCTTTTATAATGAATTAGAGGATGCTGGAATGCCTGCTTACGAGACACAGAATGTACGGTTCCAGGAGACCACTAAGTGCTACTTTCCAGGGGGATCCCGGACATGCCGAGGGCGTGAACGACTGGAAGACCATCAAGAAAATTTGTTGCATAGCGTTCGCCCAATTCTCCTCGGCTGTCTCATTGTCGGCCAACAAACCAATCTGCCTTCTCTCGGTAGACGACTTCCATTTCAGAGTCTCTACTTCCAAGAGATCATAAACCGTGGCATTGTTCCGCTTTGCGCTAGGAGCTGGTCCTTTGCCAGAGAGAGTCGTAGGCGTCAGGGTACAAAGCGCTAGCAAACCACCTGTGGTTGTCCGTGTTAAGGGTTGCATCATCACTAGAGGTTAGTGCTAATGTGACGCCTAATCTTGTGCTATAGGCAGCATATATCGTGCTTTTATGTGTGACTTCCTTGTCGGTGATATCTGACCTCGATTAAAACTGACGATAGCACGGCTATGAGCGACCTGTCGACTTCCTCTCAGTCTTAATCATGTACATCAATTCATGTAACAATCGACTCAGAACTGGCATCGCCGCTTGCAATGCATTCAATTTTGGATGGGTTTTACTCCATTGTGCCGGTCGCTCAAAGAGTCTTTTCGTTTGGCTCCATTCTAGCTAAGAGGGCATATAGTCATTCTATGGGGGTTGTACGTTGTGAAGGGAACTGAAACAAGGTGAGTCAAGAATTATGTATTCCAGGGAGTGGCCGTAACTTTCGAGTGTTCGCTTTGCAACCAACTGTAGCGTCCATAACCTGTCAATATTTTGGAGAACAATTAGCTTCGGTAAGCGCTCCTACGAGGAATTAGGAAATAGCGAAAACCTGGTCGCCTTGAACTCGTGGAGAAAATGATCTGAATATGGCGGTCTCAAATAGGATCTATTCTATGAAGGAATGAACATTTTACGTGGCGGGATGTCTATATTCTTACCACTTGTGAATGAAGAGATCGTCTGACCGGTCATTTCGCCCATGGTTGATTCGTTGCGCATATTGGTAAGCCAGCACCAATTATCGTTGCAAAAGAAATTAGGTGTGTCTGAAGTGCTATCAGCAGTGTTGCTGGAATCATCAATCACTTTTTGATCACTAGTTGTTGGCTAGATGACCATGTCAGGATGTGTATGAGAGAAGGAGAGGAAGACAGACTCAAGACATAATCACGGTCATTAATGTGCTTGGCAGCAGGTACCTGCCAATACTGTCAGGCTCAACTCCAAAGAATATCTGCATGGTTACGCGAACCGTAGGGATACTGCTGTAAGTGCCCAATGTGGTGACCGTCACCTTGGCCATATCGATTGTTTCAGAAGGCAGTAAGTTCTACATCATGACTTTCTACGATACTGTAACAACGACCATCATACGTGCCAGTAGCTCCGCTCCTGGTGATTACACCCTGACCGATAAACGTCTAAGCCACTTACTCCGTGCCTCTCGTATACACATGCAGTAAAATTACCGCCACTGCGCAGATGGAGCTAATGTGGACAGTCATTGCAATTTAAAGACCTCTGGACACCATACTCATCGTGAACGCACGCTCATTTCCCCATGCATCGGGCCCTATACTGTATTTCTGTTGAGCCGAGACCTTCATATCGAACTGGATGTCCTCCACTATTAGGGGAGTCAATTACAAGCCCCATGGTATACTCTAATGGTTGTTTAGTACTTAGTCAGTACCTATACGTAGCTGTAAGGGCAATATGGCAATTGCTGAGATACCAAGAATCTCTGGGAACATCGAAGTCACATGAAAACAGCAAAGTACTATTGCACTGTGCTGACGGGACAGAGGTATTCCATGTCACCAGTAGCGATATCGGTCGTGTACCGTAGCCGGAAGATGCTTCAACTCGAAACAGGCGCCACATGCCGCTAGCGACACCGTATTTAGTGGCTGGCGCGATGGCATAGCACGGTATATCGTTAACGTGGTCGTTGTATTATTCAGCAACTTCGCTATTATAGTGTGGTCGAGCAATAGAGAAAGGTCTAGCCCATGCGAGGTTGTGCCTGAGGTTGCACTCTCGACTGGGGTAGTGCCACCACAATATTACAAAGACAAATGATGGCAAGGATCTGGATGAGCCTGATTGTTACGCACATAACCGTACGGGGGTCGTTACCAAAAGTCTTCAAACGCTCTAGTTTGTATAAATAGCTGCAGTCGGTCCGCAGCCCAGATGCTAGCAGAGCCTTGAGCCGCAGTTTCGATATAAGCTATAAGCCAGTCGCTATCGAGCACTCATACCACTAAAGATAGCCTTGTGAGATAACAAGTTTAGCGATAATGCTTAGCGCCAGCCGACATCTCGTGGTTGCAAGTTGCGGACCAGTTATTTAAAGTACGTAACGAACGTCTTGGCGAGCGAGGACTTTTGGTAGCGACTTCCGTGCTTCCCAACACTTTCAAACGCAACCAAATAAGCAACCTGGCTTATAATAGGTTACCCGCAGCGCATTTTCGTACGTGTAGATAGTACAAAATGCAAAGACCAACAGGGAAAAAAAACATACAACACCGGGGATTCCCCAGTGGTCACCCACCTGAGTACTAATCCAGCGCTTCTCAGTTTATCTAGGGCAGAGCGGACGGGATGCCGAGTTCTCTAAGAGCTATGGTCGTATGTGCTGGTTTAATTGTTAGAAACGAGTTATATACGGAAGTTCCTATCAAAAGTCTTCGGCCGCTCCGCATAGTCTTAGCATACGGATTTTATGCTGGTGGCCCGGATCTAGCAGCATCATAGTTATCGACAGCTGCGAGCGCTTGAGGGTCGCTAAATAAAACAAGTGGAACAGCCTAGAACCAGGGCGTTTAGTGCTCAAGTGCCCTGGAACTCCTGCGTAGAACAGGTGTCGACAGGGGCCTCACAGCTATTCACACAGAGCGGGGCGGCTGAAGACTTTTGGTAGGAACTTCCGTAGACTATCGCGACACCTAGCCAGGTGATTAACCGTGCCCACCCACTTTCGCACGCACCCCCTTTTGCACGCCGATCTTCCGACGCGTCAACAACACCACGCTTTTCTTGTAAATGCTAGAACTCAACCAATTGTAATCCTATCGATCTGATATTTTCAATATAGGTAAACTAAATGAACGCGATGTAGCAGAAGTAATTAGTTTGGTTCGAAACGGCGAAACGATAACGCGCGTAGCCAAAGCTTTCGGTATCGTACGGTCTACTTTGTCGCGACGACTTAACGGGTCGCAACCACATTCCTTAGCCCACGAAACGTTAAAGAACCTATCTGAATTGCAAGAAATGGAGCTTAAGCAATGGATTTTATATGAGGAATTATGTAGACGCGCTCCGGGCTCGAATATGGTGCGACAAATAGCGGCTAATATCATGACTAGTATCGGCGAAATCGACAATACGGTCACCCCTGGATACAATTGGGTATATAAGTTCCTTAGCCGTTACTTATACTTGAAGACTAAGGTTAGACATGTAATTAACGCTAAGAGGGTTAAAGGCATTGAAAAACAGACCGTAAAGGACTTTTACACGTATATATCACAAGTTAAAGACACTTATAAGATCTTACTAAAGGACATTTATAATATGAATAAAATAAGTGTATAAGAAGCCGAATAAAGTTAAGGCATAGTTATCAGGACGTCTAGGTTACGTCGTTTACGCGTTACGAAAAACCTAACAACTAAATAGATGTTAATTATCTATAGTATTAACGCTATCGGGTTGAAAACAACGAATACATATATATTGAAGTAGTGAGTGTTGGCTATACTAATACTACAAGGGAGCCAAGTGAGTCGTACGACCTTCGTCGTGGTTGTCCAGGGTCTGATCAGTATAAGGTCGAAGGGATGGAACTTGTAAATAGTCGAACGGGCATGCTCCTTCACACTTTTGACTTCGGTAGCATGGTTAGTTTTTACAGCAGTGCATTCGGAAGACGACGAGAGTGGCTCGTCGTCACTAATTAACGTTATTTTGGTCATCAAGTTCATTCTTTCCATTCATTTATTAGTGATCAACCCGCGAGTGAACCAGCGAGTTCGTCGTGAGGCTTATAACCTAAGGGACAAGACAGTGGTCCTGGTTCAATATTAAAAGGAATAACATTACAAGCATAATGGTTACTTGAGGATCTTGAGGAAGCTAAGTATATAGCGACCCTTAAGGGCTAAACCAACTTAGTAGTGGCGTTATCATAGTTGTTAAAGGTCTTCGAGCTAGAAACCAGATTATAAGAGTCCCTAGACTGCCCAAACCTATGGAAGATACTCTTCTTCGATGGCCATAATACTCATGTTATACCCGGGTTTATACTAAGGGCATTTAAGAAGAGGATTGCCTTAATATACTTATTAGTATATATAAGCGAAACGCTTTAACCACTTAATAAGACGGTCTTCTTATCGTTAAAGTCCTATTACTATAGGCTAATAAGCCTATACCGTGGTGTTCAAGTTACTAGGCCCGTTAATAAGTAACAGATACTTAAAGCTTATAATAAAGCTTATGCCCTTGCTTTTATAAAACAAATTATCGAAAGCGGTTAGGCTAAAACGGGTATTTACCCCTTAAATGAATTAATAGTGTTAGGTAACCTTAAGTTCTTCCTACTATTACTTAATACTTAACTTATAATATTATAAAACGAGTTAAATTTAGCTAAAATTGGTCTATTTACTCCTTATAATAATAAGGACCTTCGACTTTAAATTAAGGACGTTATTATTAATCATTCGCAAACTTTTAAGATGTAAAGGAGTTGTTTAGGAAATGTACTAAGTTACTTAATATGGCGCTCGCAGAATTAGTAACAATACGTTAAGCAAACCTCGATTTATAAGCTAAACTAGATAATCATAAGCCTAATAAACGTCAAATAGTTAGAAAAGACCCGAATAAGGTCTTTACTAGTGTTATAAAGATCAGACTAGCGCAAGACAAGCTAAAAAGGAAGATGCCTAAGCTATAACGTAATGAACAAGTCCCTATTGACTCGTTCCTCGAAATATAACCTTCCGCGCGAAAGCGGACACGTAAATAACCTAGAGATAGTTTATTTGAATTAATTTCATGGTGTTATGGCTAGCAGTTGTTGTATCTATCTATCAGTGTGTTTGAGGAAACGTCGGTAAATCGGCGTGCAAAAGGGGGTGCGTGCGAAAGTGGGTGGGCACGGTTAGGTATCTATCTTGTTTTTGCTTGTCATCGCGCGCATTGATATAAGGGAGGACTGCTTTCACCAGAATAGGAGTTGAATGCTGCCTGCTATGAGAGGGAGCGGTCGTAGATGACGGCTGCGCACACTGAAATCTAAAATCTCATTATTTTGTTTTGACTAGGGCCATTTGTGAGTAGATGATCGGTAGTGAGGTCGAGAATAATGCTACCTGATGTTCAACCCTATACTGTCAAGATCGGGCACTACCTCCAACCAAGTCACTTCCTATTTACATGTGGGTCCAGAGATAGTTGTGTTTATTTAATAGTTACCATGCCCATGGCAATTTATTACACAAGCAGCCAAGTTCGCTGTTTCCTATAGTCAGGGCTTTGCTGGTCGGACTGGCAGCGTTTTACAGATAATACTCTTCATGATTCGCGGGATCTCTCCAGGTTGCTCCGCATGTGATTGTGTGTCAGTCGCGGATTGAAGCTATTTCATGGGAAAATTCCGACAGATTAGTAGTAACATTACGTACGGCTATGTGAATTATTGTTTACTAAGTCGGACAAGTATCTAATCATAACTATGGGAAGCAAGCCCACAGCCCAACACTACCTCGGAGCATCAATTATGAAGACGGGGCTTACAAGAGATTAGGCCGCCAAGTTACCGGATGTCATTGCATTGGGTCATATCCCACACGGGTTCGTCAATCTCATCGTCTAGCAGCCTCTCGACCGCAGAAACCATGCATTATGGACGAAGCTGTGCATCATGTTATATCGCCTGGATGCGTATGAGGAGGACCACAATTTTGGCCAAGACAGGGTCGTTGTGATACATCCCAACCCTGCCAATGATGCCCCGATTACGCCTGGAACCATTTGCACTCATTGTTACGTGGAGCCGGCTAATTTCGATCACATGGCCATGATGCTTCAGGGCACGGTTGTGTTCCGTACCACGCAGAGAGGCGTGCTCTTTACGGATCAAGAATCACTCAAGCAAGGTAGACTGCTCTTGTGCGATTTTGAGAACTACGGTCAGCTCAAAGCCTCCTCCCGCGTGTGGCTACTCTGGAGCCCCATGGTCTACGCGTACATCTTCGGGCTGGGATGGTACGGAGACAATGTCATTAGGGACTATAAAGATGCCGATAGTGATTGGGAGGCAAACGCACCGTAAGGCCCATATCTCTCTCACCCTCTCTCTCTCGTAGCACACCGTGAGTCGTGGTTGCTAATTTTGATTGCAGCCTAGATATGGAGTTGCCAATACTCAGGCTTCTCGAAAGCGAAGCAAGAGTACTTTGAAGATGATGTAGATACCGACTACTGGACAATGGCTATCGAGAAGTACGCTTCTGGTTACTTAGAAATGGAGGCAGAGGGCAATGGTATGGCGCCTGAGTATAATCTCGCGAACCTTATGTAGACTACGAGCAGTGTACAACTCGATTGTGACTGGCGTATCAAGAAGTAGGATGGTCCTTCCCAGCGTATCCGATCTGCACAGACTGGTTAATGCTTTGCACGCGGATACAGATTTCTTATGGGCAGATGTGTCTAGTTGCCGGACTCCTCCCTGCTATTGTTTCAAACAAAAATGCCAGGCAGCTATCAAAACGAATGCGAGGTTTATCGCGTGCCCCTCGTCTGAATATGATCTGTGTTGCCGCCATTACCGCACTATCTCGCGATAGATTCAACCCAGCAGTGTGTAGCAGTTAGTCTATCTGCCCCCCTCGCCCCTTTCATATAGCCTGCCTATGCCAGACGCCGGATCATCCAGCAGGCAAGCAGATCGCGCGCTGCACTTTAGCCGATCTCCTTTTTACCTCCTACCCAAAAAAGAAAAAAGGGTATTCAGAATAGCGTTTCTTCTGCTCTTGTCATTTACCCTCTTGCCTGTAGTATCGTCACTTAAGAGTGCATTCAGGAGCCTCAGATGTCAAATGCGACAAATTGATGGTAATTACGTGAAATGCAAGACTGTCTTTGATGTCGACGGGTGAGATACGGAATTGCTCATCATGGACATTTTCTGCGACGAAGTTGTCACCATCAAGAGCCATCCACCGAAGATCGGGATGTTTATAGAGGTCTCGAAGGGTGATACAGCTGGACGATTTTACTGCGTCGTCCATCGGGACGAGCTTCCAACGATTTCGAGTCGAGCCATTGGCCCCGATAATGGCTCAACCGACCGGTTCTACTAAGGTGGTAGCTGTGATGCTTGCCTAAATCGCGCCTGAGGCGGTAGTAGCTTTGCCAGCTATTAGGTCGCTTACTATAGTTGCCCCGCCGATTTGACTCGCCACTACTGCAGCCGTTCCCACAAGTGCTATTGAAGCTCCTGACAGTCTTGCCGATCATGCGCGGAAAACTGCAGCCTCGATGGCTATAGTACCGATGATGGCTGGCCCAGCAACTGTCCCCACAGCAAGGACCATAATGTCTTATAAAATCAAGGACAGTCAGTCTCTAAATCATAGTGGACTAGTGATGCACAGATTAACTGACCTACAGGTTGGATTCCGGAAAACCAAGATGGCCGCTCTTGCTCTTGTTCGTTCTGCTTTTAACACGCAACAAATTCATGTCGTGCTATGTGGCGGCTCTCGATTGGCGGAGAGGTGCATGACACGACAGGAATACGACTCCTATCACCGGGCCAGATTAGAATTACAGCCTAGACTTCGACTGGCGGATGAAGAAAGCAGTGTGAAGCGATGTGCACAAGGCCGGATTCTGCGTCGCCCGGGTCACAGGACGCTTACCATAATGCAAAGCAATAGATCAGTTTAAGCGATATATCAACCAATATTCTTTGCGATCTAACTCTAAAGACAACATAGCTAGTTATCGATGCCTTTGACGAACATAATAAGGATCTCTCTAAGCTACTGAATCTAACTATTCAGAACTCAGTGCTATCGCCCAGCATTAATTGAAATATCTCTAGCTGCGGTTGGCCTGGAATTGAGGACGTTTTACGAGTGGCGTAGCAGAAAGTACAGCTCTGTTTCGAGCCGGATACAGATCTCGTAAATTATACCATAGCTGTATATGTTCGACATAAGGTCTTGCAAGTGCGCAAGCTGCTCAAAAAAAAAAGAGCGTATATGATTGGAGTTTGCGGCATATCATATTTGTTAGGCGCCGTGGCGCCTCTTGGCTGGGTGTGATGCATTAGAAACTATTGAATGTGGCTGCACGACTGCTGTTGCTGCTGAAAGATAAGCGCCGAGCGATGTCAATCACTTGGGGGCTATGCATGGCTGCCTGGATATATGAGTAGGATAATAGCAGTCTGGATAAGTCTTTGATAAGTCTCCTCAAAGAAAACTGCAAATTACCGATCTACTCAAACAATGGCGCTGCAAAGCGATAGACAACTATGTAACGGAGTTCCCGTTGACCACCGCCTAAAGCGATTCCTGTCAAGCGCCAAGCAAAAGCATGCCCACGAAGTCGGCAAACATGCGGAAATAATCGAAAACTTTGGAAATACTATGGTCCGCGATGACAAGACCACGCCAACTCGACACGAAACTGGTTTCGCCAAGTGGCTTGCCAAACCCGACATGACAGGAGGTGTGGTCATTGCGCTACAACAACCTGCCAAATCGCAGGTCTTCACCGCAGATGTGGAATGGGTTAGAGACGAATGTGCCTCATTGGCCTACCTGAACAAGTGTCTCGAATTTGTGGAAAGCACCGGCGGTATGAAAACGACGAGCGTCTTCGATGCGTTCCCATTCATCATCGAGAACATTCCCACAGGAGAACTAGCCAATGAAGCGAGATGTGCATACAATACTTTTCGCTCTATGGTAGATGCGAAAAAGCCCGAGGTTCTATTCGCTTGCTGGCGAATCCACGGTCACGACCTTTTCTTTTCCGGGAAAGGACCGGGTAAAACCAAAGACATAGATCGATTAGAGTTTGCGAATGGCCACGTTGTCCGTGTCGTGAACGGGTTCCATCCTAGCTATGTGGCCAACTACTGTCCAAATGAGAGCTGCTTCCGAAAACTGTTCGCCATGGAGCTGTGTAAGGCATTCTGTGAGCTGAATGAAGCTTGGCAGGAAGATACCTGGATGGACGATCTGAGAAGAACGTGCCGGCTACGAACTGGGCAATTAATGAAAGGTTCATAATGAAATCAATCTTGGTCGTTATCCTGCTAACTCCGTCTTACAGAAAAGGGTACAGACGGCGAGCAGCTTAACACGGAATCAGGTCGCAGGCTTCGAAGAAGTACAGCGGTAAACACTGCTAGCAAATACAAGGCATACACTAAGTCCTTCGATAACGGTATGGGTAGCATTTTCAAGATCTTCAGCCATATGGTATCCTCGAATTACACGTCCCAAAGCACGTGGGAACTCTATATACTATTTGTTTTCAACCACAATACGTCGGAAGGTATTTGTGATACTCTCCTAGCCGTGTCTGAGGCGATGGGGCAATTTGCATCTGAAACCTCAATGAGAGAGCCCGCGCTCGTAGAGCTTGGCAGACACATCAGTCAGCAGACACTCAAGCTCGTCAAAGACGACGTTCCAGATCTACTGGTCTATAAGCGAGGCTTATACAAGAATCTCTGGAGTAACCGGTTTCTGTCGAATAACTCTCGAGGACTGAAGAGGAGTTTGGAGGGGATAACGGTGCGTTTCATCGAGGATCTGACGGAGTCGTTTTCGGAGTCGGCAACGGGCTGGACGTATACTCCACAGCTGGTGAATGATGCTTTCAAAGAACTTGCTGTTAGCTTCGAAAATGCTCTAGGAAAGGAGTATGATGAGCATCAACAGGCCTTGGCTGCCAGCACCACGACTGGTGTTGCTAACCTAAGCGCGTCCTTGTACGCACTATCGATCGCGAGCACTCAATCGCCGGCTTCAGCAACTTCAGCTACGAATAGAACACCAACACGGCCATCTCTCACAGACAATTGCTTCAGATGCAGCCAACGCGGTCACTGGTCCAGGGAGTGTCCCAACCCTCCTGTCAAAAGCACCACACCGCCTACATCTCCATCTAGCCCGAGATGTTATAAGTGCGGTAAAGCTGGCCATTATTCCAATGCTTGCCCGAGTCCTCGCAAGGGAAGTGCCACAGCGCCCACCCGGACGAATTCGGGTGATAAATGCTTCAACTGTAATGAATTTGGGCACTGGTCTGGCCAATGCCCCCGCCGTAGGCAAGGTAGCTTGACGCCGTCGAGATCTAGATCTGGTGACAAGTGCTATTCGTGTGGCGATACGGGCCACTGGTCCAGCAACTGCCCGAGGCGCACGAACAAATGATAATGGTGAGGATGAAACAGGTACCGATAGATCCCCACATCACTTCATAGGTTTTTTGTGCAAGGGTGAAACATCTAGGTTGATTTTGTATTCAGTTTCCTCGTTCTGAGGCTGTACAGCCACAAGCCCTTAGCCATACCAACCGTCTGATCGAGTATCTACAAGAGGATAACAGACTAGAGAGCCATGACGACGTGCCCGCAGATATTTGTCAGATGCTGCACATGGAGGACCAGCAGAGAGTGGAGTTGGAAAGAAAGATGCTGTTGAAAGGGCGGTTATCTTTTGACTTGGATCTCGATGAATTGTGTATTAACTTTTCGATATCCTCCTGCACTTCGGCTGATGGCTCATCTCGGACGGTGAAACTTTCCATGGCTTTTTCCGATATGCCACGAAAGCTGGCCTCATGGCCTCTGTTTTGTGTCTTTGAAGCAAACAGTGCTCGTGGCCCATCCGTACCCATCTTGAGCGGTAATTTTGCAGCTTGTGGAAGCATTTCATCATCGAGAGTGTGCAATAGCAATATGATATTTCGAGGGCAAATGGAAGTAACCAAGGTAAACTGGGGCAGACAAAACCTTAGCTCTGTTTTCATGGGACTCATGGTGTCTAGCTATATGGTTAGAGATGCTACGTTCAGCCGCCTGAAAGGGAACTCGGACGTGAATACAACGAATAGGTCACACCTCTGAACGATGCAAGTAGTCTCCACACCGGACAAAGCATACATATATTACATGTTCAGCTCGTGTGACATGGATTGCATACGATGGTGTCGTAATATACAGACGCTGATCACGACTTCGCGGATTAGAGACTCCCGGAAATACACGGTGCTCAAAGTGCCAGGAGTATTGAAGGGACAACGAGTTGAGGGCGCCCATCCGGCGAGTTTATAAAAAGTGGATGATTTCTCGTTCGCTGTCTCGCTGTCCATATGTATGGGTAAGGACGCCAGGACACTCTGATCAACCCCCTCGTGGCATGAATCACGATGGACAACGAAAACACAATCCGCCTCTCTGAGGATCCGATCGGAGAAGGTGACTTTCACACAGAGAATGCCGAGAGTAAGAAGTTTCGCACTCTTCTCGTGGACTGAGGGGATGAACTGGTCTTGACGATGACATCGTCCGTAAGGTCTCAAGAGACATCAAGCATGTCATCCTCAAGGATTTCTACTCTTTCAGACTACACATCTATTGAGAATTCAACAGAAGCACATCAAACTCGAAGCGATGAACTGAAATTTCGATATACTTGAGAACAATATGATTCAGTCATTCGGCACGATAGTGACTATCCCTTTGAGACTTTATAAGCACTAGGATGTCTCAGATATTTGTCCTTGGCTTCGGCGTCAGCCGAGTGATGCAACAGACAATCCTCAATCTCCTGATACCCTTTTTGAACTGCCAGATGGAGCGGCGTCCAATTGGAGCAACGCCAAATCTTGTTAACCACTGCAGTGCCTAATTTCAAAAGGGTTTTGACCATTTCCTCTTTACCAAGAATCACGGCGAGATGAAGATCCTCAGTGTGCTCCTCGAACAATGTATCCGCCCCATCTTCCAATAACCATCTCAGGCGCTGGATAATGTTCTTCCGGCGGTTCTTAGTCATTTGATCATTGAAGTCACAATTCGTGTCAAGTTGGGATGCGACGAGTTTGAACGTGCTGAGTAGGTAGTTGTCTTGACTCGAGCCAAGAAATTGATGCACGGAAGTAGTCCAAACTTTGAGTGTGGGCGACAAATTGGAGAACTGACTGAGTCTATTTTGTGCAAGTTCCAAGGTGGTGAGGCTGCTGGGTCTCGACTCAGGGTTGGGCTTCGAAGTCCATGCCAACCCCGCAAGCTCGCTGATCGTGTCTATACGGAGCTCACTGATTGTCACTATAAAAGGTGGAGAAGTCAGCCACAGCCAGATGTATCCGTAGGCAACTTACTGCCGAAGGAATATATATCGGACTTCGAAGACGCCGGTCGATTCCGTGCTTCCTTTAATCATTTAGCATTTTCCGGCATGACCAAGGGCAGCTTAAGGTCGCTGTAAGTTGATAAGTCTCACCGGAGGCATGTAAAGGCTTGTACCTATGCCGATGGAGTTTTTCCGATCATCACTGCCGGTACTAACGCTAATGATACCCAAATTGCAAAGCTTTATGATTTCTGTCCCGTTCCCCATAAGATGGGTGACAACTATATCGTTAGCTCAATCCAGATAACTGTTTTGCTCTTTCTGCAAGTACTTTGGATCAGTCGCTTACTATTTGCCGGCTTGATATCCCTATGCAGTATACGCGACCAAGTTCTCTCGAGCGAAAAGTTACCTTCCTTGTCTAACGAGAGACCATGGTGGAGATATGCGACAGCTGCGGAAATCTGGAAGACAAATGACCAGATTCGGATCTCCTCCATCAGTGGGGGCAACAATGGCTCTGGTTCCAAACGCTCGTCATGCCTCATGTTCCAGGGCTGGTTCGAGAACGTTGTTTGCGTCGGTGACCATGGCTCGGTTGACGTTGGCTCTGTAAGAGCTGTGGCATAGGTGTCAATGGTTGAGTTCTGGTCAGGTGTTGGGGCTATGAGCGCCGTCACATATACGTCCAGGGTTGAACCGTCGCTTGGGTCTGCCTCATTGGTGGCGCTGGGAGTAAGGCTATATGGTTGAGCCAACTGTTCACTTATAAGGCCCATCGAGAGAGAACGACTACCGTCGACTTCCTGAGTAAAGGCACATTTCCGAAACTGGGATTCAATGATCTTCCGCATGTCGGGACCTTCGCAGAACTCCGTGTATATAGCAGCTGTGCTAGTATCCGGATCTTCTTCATAGCCAAGATAAGCTACAACGCAGGGATGATTCAATCTCTGCAGAGTTTCGTGTTCCCTGGTCAGGTACTTGCGTGCATTCTTTGCCTGTTGGCTTTGATTCACATCAAACGCTTTGCGGAAACCAACTATATCGTGTTAGCTTAAAGATATCAAAATGGCAGTCATATGATGTTATTACTGTTGGAAATGGGCCCTCCCTTGTCCTTCTACGGACTTCACATCTCGCCTGGGCCCCATTTAGTACTTGTATCTTGGGATCCGCCGAGTAGAGCGATACGTCCAGCCGTCTTGGTGACCACGCCAAGTCGGAGGCTCTTTTACCATTCTGGTCCTGGATGTTTAAGTTTGCTCCACGCTCTATGAGCATATCCTGCACTGCTTGTCTGCCCTTTCGTATCGCATCGTGTAACGGTGTCGAGCCATCGGCGTCTCGTATATCTAGTGATGCTTTTCCATCGTCGATCAGCAAGCGTACAACTCGATCATATCCAGATCGTGCTGCCCAATGTAGCGGTGTTCTTCCTAAGTAGTCCTGTGTGTTAACACAGCCTACTTGCTTCTTCAACATAAGTCGCACAACATCACAGTGTCCGTGTTCTGCAGCCCATGATAATGGAGTCCGGCCCTCTGCGTCCCGGGAGTCAACATCTACGTCAGCCCTTCCAATGAGAACATTTACAACTTTGCAATAGCCACCTTGTGCACCTAGCGATAATGGTGTTCTCCCAGTGCCGTCTTTGACATCAGACCCCTGATTATTGTCGATCAATTCATTGAGTGCGTCAGGCAGCCCAAACAACGCAGCAAGGTGGACACCTTTGGTCATTCGCAAGGTTTCGACACGTGAATCCGGCTCGAACGTCTGAAATGATCCGGCCACCAGATTGCCTCTTTGGGGAAACTCATCAATGGTATTCGAGGCCCCCATGGCAGACTTTCGTGCATGATGGCCCCAGTTCTGAGCGGCATAGTCGTACAGTGGGAATTTTCTGAGCCGATCTTTGAAGGCGGTAGGGGTTGAGCAAGGTCCACTCTGCAAGTCACTGAGCGATAAAAAAGCGATGCATGTCTCCGCGATGGCTACGTGCGGATGACTTGGAGTCATTACGTGAGGCAGTGCTCGGACAAGGTACTCCTGAGCGGAAAAATGAACAAGCGCAGGAGAGTATTCCCGATCGTATCTGATCAGATCTGCCGCAAGCGATCTATACTGATACCAATCTAGGCGGTCGGATATCTTGTGCCTGGGTGAGAGTTCCGTCACACGGGGATTGAGATTAATACAAAGCGTTCCGTTTATCTCATCGGAGCTAAGTGGTCTCCGTGAAAATGTAAGCCAAGAAAGCACTGTCAATATACCATCCTTGTCGCTGTCCTCATCACTTAGATTTATGATTCGCTCCATGACGAGATCATAGGCCTCGTTGAGCCTACTATGTTCATCTGGAAATGCAGCCTTTGCAGCCCTCCATCCAGAGAATGGAGAAAGGAGGATCTGAGCTGTTAAGAAGCTATTTGTTTTTGTAAGTAGCAGAACAAATACTGTCTCGAAGAGAGGGACTGGTTTGGCTCACATTCCTCCGGCAGCTTGAGATAATCCATCGTGTATCTCTTGGATCAATGACTTATTGCGACGTAGCTCTGGCGGTAATCGCTTCGGTATATTCTGCTTGAGGAAACTAGAAATATCTTCTTGCATCAGATCTGGTTCGAGAATGAAGGGTGTACAACTCTTCGAGAAGGAATCTTCTATGTCGACAGCGTATCTGGAAGTAGCGCAAATTTGGACACCAGGAATGGTCAGAAAGCGATGGATCTCGTCCAATATCTGCGATCGTAGCTCAACCTTGATCTCGTCTAGACCATCTATGACGATAATTGTAGTGGTGTGCGTCTTGATTCCGGTAACTAAAGCATCCGAAAGGTTTTTCGCCGACAGATTTGTGCTTGTATCCACACCTTGTGTGAACCAGTCTCTGACCTCACTACGTGAGAGATTCTTTGCTTTTGTGAACTGGCTGAGTAATCCACTAAGGAAGTTCGTTACGTCTTGTTCCTGACGGCGTCGATAATTGAAGAACATTGATGCGACGGCTGCTGACTGGCTCTTGGCATTGTGCGGACATGATCAAGAACTGTCGACGCAAAGACGGTCTTGCCCACCCCAGGCAGCCCTAGGCAAAGTAGCATCTTGGTTGTACCATCCATCCATGACCTGAACTCTTGCGAATTGAGCAGATTCTTTCCTTCTCCTCTACTCGGGCGTGTAATGATAGGACTTCTCCAACTTCCTGTATCATTAGATAACAGTTGGTCGATAGTCACTCCGCACTCTTCTCTCCAGCTGGTCGTCCGGTACAGAGGGGCCGTCATTCCTCTATAGATCATTAGCTTCGTCCAGAACTGGTGTTCCGAGTGATACGGGTGAATCTGAGCTGTATAGGAAAAGTACTTACTTTCTGAACTTCTCCCAAAACTTGTCCACTCGATTTGTGTTGCGTTTGAGATGTCCCCCAAGTTCCCGAACGTCCGATGGCTCTTTACGCAATTGTTTCCAGGCTTTCTGACCTCTAACAATCTGCCGACAGCTAGTTTCGATTTTTAGGTCGATTTCTTTCAAATCGTCATAGCAAGACTGTTGGATCTTCTCGAGCTGCTGATATTCCTTCTTCTCAAGGCGAACCCCATCGAGGACTGAAGCAAGATCCGCGATTGCAAGGCTGAAGCTTGTGAGACTTTCACGGGCTGATTAGGCGCTTGGAACAATACGACTACTTCGCTATTTGATTTGACATACTTGCTTACAATACTGCAAAGTTCCTTGGGTGCGTCTAGCAACTTAGTCTGGATGTTGGAAACCGCAGAAATTACATCCGTCAGGTCCGGACTCATTTCATGCGGAGGGCTCGTCGCCATGACCTATGCTTTTATAGGAATCCTCAGCAGTACCTAGATCTTGGTGATAGATCAGGTGTATCACGTATTTGCAGCAGCCTAACAAAGCTATTCGGACGTGAAGTAGAGGTAAAGGACAAGACTAAAGGTGGAGAACGGCTTTCTCTTACAAGGTTCTGGTGTGAGGCAATCGAAGGCGGAACAACAACTTCGCTGAGTTGATTGAAGTGGTTCCTTTCATCCAGATTCCCCAACACGCCCGGTTCTCGCGCTGAGGAATTTTCCCCAAAGTCCAATCATAGCATTTATACTCTCGGTCATTTTAGCATCCGAGCCTATGGTATGACTGCTCGCAACCCCCAAAATTGCACGTCAGCATTCTGTCCAATCGTGGAGTGGTTGATCCCACCCTTGACAACCTATTCGAGAGTAATAGTCCCTTCGGTGAGGATAGACTGCATATCGTGGTGCACCAAATTGGATTGGCTTAGAGTCAGCTGAAATCAAGCGCTGACAGGTTGCCTGAGATGGTTGTCTCAGCCGACTGTTCTGTTCACCAGGTATTTTCTTCACCCCACCCCCGAGCATTTGTTCCTCCAGCTAAGGAATTCAATTCTTTGTGAATCTCTGCACAAAAATATTGAAGACTATGTCGGGCGCGATCGAAATTATTGGGCTGGTTCTTGCTGCACCACCTGTCTTTGCTCAGATAGCCAAGGGAGTGAGGAATCTATATGACCGAACTGCGGTCGCCAGAGGCAAGCAGATCCTCACAGATTCCATTACTGATTTCCGGCGCCGTCTTGAATACCTTGCAAGGCAGTTTGAATTAGGACAACGCATTTGCGCGAATGAGAAGCATGATAAAGAGAAGCGCAACGAGCTGGACCACCACTTCCAGGCCGTTCAAACAATACTCAAAGATGTGGACACTCGAGCAGCAGAGGCTAAAAGTTGGTCGAGATTCACGCGTTTTCGCGAAGGCACCAAGCTGCCTCAGAAACTACAAGAACTTCAGCAAGATCTGTATCGATCGATAAAAGAGTTCACCGAGATTGTCAGAGTACTACAAGACTTGCAAGAAAACCCCCTTTCATTCGATTTAGAGCCCGATGTTTTCGTCAAGACCACTTTCGGCACCACAACAGTTCTTGTAGCGAATGTATACCTCATAGCTGGCAATCTCGCACAACGGCGTTTCAAGAAGGACCCAAAGCAAGGTCTTTTTGTATGTGAGCGCCGGGCTTATGACAAAAACATGGAAAAGGACAAAAGGCACAAAAACAGTAACATCAAGACTCTGGCGGGCAAGTTGACTTCCAAGCCCTTGGCGGATGGCTTGCTTGATTTCATAGGAGTATACAACAATGAAGAGCAGGAATGTTTGAACTCATGTTCAATCTGCCCAAAGGTTTCGGATTCAAAAATACTCTACGAGACTATATGCAATGCGTCGCAAGCCTTCCTCTAAATGTGAGGGTGGGCCTATGCCGCAAGCTGGCGGAATCGGTGCTCAGCGTTCAGACGCTTGAACTGGTCCACAAGAACATCAACTCAAATAATGGGATAGTGTGGGAATCAGAAGACGATGGCTCAGAAGGCAGTATAGATATCTCATTGGTCAATTGGCACTTCTGCAAGAAATTGGACGACGCGACAACTCTTGAGGGCACGACAACATTGTGAAAGGTATATCTGCATCCTTCCCGTCATATTCGTCTAGCCGAAAGGAAGTATACCATGAATCATGATGTTTATAGTCTGGGAGTATGTATGCTCGAGATATTACGGTAGGATCCCCTTGTGACTGGAAACTCCGAGGCTGATTACGATCTATCGACAACTTTTCGAAATACGGCACTTTCCAAATACCCTATCAGTGGTGATGGAAATATTGAGGGAGATGGACAAATCGATGATCTTGATTATCTCAGTAGGAACCAGATACAGGAGATTGTAAAAGCCATAGCTCGTGATCGTCTACCGGCAGTGGCTGGCGAGAAATTAACGCATCTGATTGTAAGATGCTTGATGGTCTTGGAGGATGGGGGTGAGGGGCCGATTGCTTTTGCTTCTGATCCTAAGCGAACACCTTGGAATTTCAAGGACGATGTGCTTGATGTGTTACATAGCATACAACTATAAGGCTACATAGAGTTGGTCAATTTAACCTGGGTTCAATGGAAATATCCAATCCTTTCTTGAACTGATTCAGTAATATACTCAAACAATAACAATACAGCCCCCGAACAGAATCACTCTTAACCGAGGTACCCCTAGATGGTGGTTATATTGTAATGCAGCCGCCGTCTGGGCAGCGCGGCACCTAGCTTGGTATATACATACCTAGGTAGTTACACACATCCTGCGTCTTAATGTGAATAGGTGAAAGAATTTTACGAGAATTGACGTTAGAGTGTTATCACAATCTTCGCAACTACATGAGAGCTGGTCTGAACCGCACCAAACGGTGTGTTTTTGTTGTTGGTCTTGGTACCGAGATTCATGTCCACCGAAATACCAGCTATAACCATTCGCCCGGCTTCCAAATCCATGGTCGACTTTCAACAAATATACTAGGCATGGTTTTATACGTGTGATACCAATTATTTGGTCTCACGATATTACTTAGTCGATGATTAATATCGAGATTGAGTATAGTGACAATGTCAACGACTTTCATTTCGACTTGGTAATGATGTTTACGACTCTGGTAGGCGACCCGGACTCGATAGGCAAAAGTGTGGGCTGCAAGATTCCCAAGAGTGAAGGGAATTTCAAGTCGCCTCTTTTAGTACCTCACAAATCAGAGTCAAATTTGCTGGATAAGCCAACCAAAGGTGAACCCAGGTAGCCTACGAAGACGGACAGCCCATCCACAATCACCTCTCCGCCAAAGACTGGCACGATTGTACCCAGCTCGTCGCAAACCTCGCAGTCATCCGATGCGACATTCAAACGAGCTGCAAGCGATACAAGCAGAGGGTCAAAATATAACGTTGTTATTCCAGCCGAATGCAATTCACGGGGAACTTCCATAACTCACAAAGTCTAAATCTCGTCGCTTAGTTACGCCGCCAATGCTAAGCCTACGCCGATCCAAGGTACATGTAGTTAACAGTATACCCAGGCTTGTTTTTACTACAGCTCGGCCATCAGCGTCCAACCAGCTCGGAAGACACTCGCTTGCCCTCCAGAAGCTGCCATTACGAAGAAGCTAAGATTCAACTCCCCCGCAGTAGTGACACGGAAATATACTCACCCAAATGCTAACAAGGGGCGCATGCTCGGACGGCGTGATATCAAAGATGCGGTCGGTATTGCACTCCGAGTTGAGGTTCTGTGCGAAGTCGACGAGTCCCCGCCCATGTATCACCGCAAGCCGGCAACCAACAAAGGGGCTACGGCTACCAAAATAGCTAAACCACTCGAAGACTAGGGCTTGTATCTGCGTAAAGTGGTCAAATGTCAGACCATTCCTAGCCCTGCTCTTTGCAATATTGCTAAAAGATACAGCCTGATGCAACCCTCATCCGCAATGTTTTGGAAATGCAGTGAGGTAAGGATAAACTTGACGAATAGAATGGCACGTGCATATTTTAGCGGTATACGAGCAAGCAGTAAGGTATAAGGGCCTTAATTAAAGCTGGCCTTAAAGGGCAGGCGATATTTAATACCTGACTGAATGTAACTTTACGGCGGGGTCAAAACGTAGATGTAATTATTAAGCCACCGTATCCCACGCGGGGAGCTTCCTCAAAGGAATTAGAATTACTATAGATAGAGACTCAGCGTAAGGTCAGGGGCACAAATCCTTATTCGTAAATATTCTATCAAAGCTGTCACGCGAGGGGATTCTCACTGCTCATAAGACTTACTGCATTGAAGCCTATCTCTAGTTAGCTAGAATCGATGAGAACAGAGACGATACTTACTTACTGCAATACACCACCTTGATATCATATCCTTTTACTTTTCATCAAAACTATATTACAATAAGCATCCGAAAAGTCTATTGTTATCTGCTTGCAACTCTAATTTATTAAATTTCCGGCTGCCATCCTATACAGCGCACCATATTCTACCCAACATGGTTTGCTAGCCGCCTTCACCCCTTATATGTCTCCAGAAATCAGGCAGCTAACAATGTCAAGCGTGTGTCCATTATCAATATTGGTCTCCCTCTTGTTTCCATCACCTTTCCAACTCTCGCCACCGGCTGCGCTGGCTATGAATACTCGTGCGTTGGTCGCTGCTACGTCGCGAACTACTTTTCCGCAATGCGATACGGACATTTGCTTCTCTCGAATGGCACGAGTATTAGTACGTTACTCCTCTGCCCAACTTGACATATTATGAATGCTCATTGAATTTGCTACTACAATTTTTGCTAACGGAAACACTTTATATAGACGGCTGGCCAATTAATTACACTATTCCGCCCAACGCCAGTATCGAGAATGCAGCACCGGGGCCGTGGGGTGCCTTCCTTACCCTGCAGGATACCGAGGATTACTATGACGGGACGCAAGAAATCTTTGCAATTGTGACGTGGGGCCAGTACGGTACGGGCGAGTATGATTATGAGACTAGCAATATCATCGATATCGGCGTAGACAATGATTTTGTTGAATCTGACTGTGGGGGCCCGGATGACTGAGTTAATTATAATTTGTTGTTGGAATAAGGATCTTTGCGCCCTCGTACGAAGCTAGATTCTAGATACTATAGATAGCCCCTTATGGCTGGGTATAAGCCACAGCAGCCACCTTATGGCTGTCGGCAGCCAGCACCCGAAAAGGGGGGACCATTAGTTATCGGTCGCGTACGAAGGGATAGAATCCCTTCTTTCCCTTCGTACGACACGCTGAATATAGATCTATTTGTCGTCGCACGGCGTTCGAAGTATACTTGAATGGAGAGGCCATTCAACATTTGTTTTATTTCGTCTACTCTAGTAACACTAGAAGAATAGGCCACAATATTGCCACATTACTCTGTACCAGTCGAAACTCTACCAGTCGAAACCCCAAAATCCTACCAGTCGTCTAGGGTTGCGGTTCTACTAGTAAACGTGCTTGGCGGCGTCTAGGATTGCGATTCTACTGGTAAACGCTGCTTGGCAGCGTCGTGGTTCTACTAGTAATCGTGCTTGGCGGCGTCTATGAGCTTGACTCGATAAATATGGGTCACAAGGCGACAAGGGTGTCATTTCCGGAAGAGGAACCCGCCATTCATGTACCAGTGGGTTTTGCACACGAATGAACATAGCTGCTGCATATGCATTCGTATATCCGCCTATAGATAACACTTTGGTAGCAATTCCAACCACGCGCATCAAGCCGTTCGGCTCACTCCAAACAATGCGCTTGTCTTGTCATCATCGAACCCCTGCAAAGTTATCAGGAGTTGGGTAAAAGCTCCCTCCATTTTCTCCTTTATCTGTCTGAACTGCTCCGAATCCTCACCAAAGGCTTTCGCCGCCTGGTCGGTGACCTGATTTGTCTGTTCTCGCACCCCTTCGATGCCATCACTGAACATCCGCATCTCCCCGTAGCTCACGTTGCCCGCGGTGAGCGGATAATGCCACGTCTTCGGGCCATATGTCTTTTCGCCACTCTCGGAAGTGGACGCAATGGGTCGTGTATACAGGAGAGGGCTGGGCGATTTCAAGGTCAGTTCTGCTGTTTCCTCTTTGATAATGGCGTTTTGGCGGGAGCGAAGGATTGATAACGGTATAAACTTCTTCGGTTTCGACGGTTGGGCTGGACAGGCATGCCAGTGCGCCCCATGACGAAATCGGGGGAGGGCGACTGTTTCGACTGGTGTTCTTAACAGCGGGTGGACTAGAGAAGCAGCTGTGGAGGAAGACGGCATTGAGCTACTTCCTTTTGGCATAGAGCTAAGCGGTTTATTCAATGCGAAAGATTGCCGTGCGCGAAGAGTGATTGAAGTTATCGCCTGTAGGTAGAAACGCGGACTCTTGTTAGCAAGCGTGGGATAGATTGTCCGAGATGGAACAAAAGAGGCAAACAACTTACAAAAGGAGCGACCACCGAACCCGGCGGGTTCGACGATCGCAGGTTGACTAGAAGAGTCGCCTTGTGCTTTAGCGGGACGTCACCAAGGCGTAGAACAAACGACTCGTTAGGTCGGGGGAGCAGCTCAATGAGTGGCCACTCTTGGCGGAGTAGGGTTTTTGTCGAGTTGTGAAGATCCTGCGATGCAGATCATACATGTTAGTTTCTCCAAGATCTAAAGAGGAAGGAATCTCACACGGGGGGGGGGGGGGGGGGGGGGGGGGGGGGGCACATGATTTCCTTACATTTGGAGGGTGCATCTGCACCTCGACGATGACTTTCTGGGACCTGACATCCACTGCGGTGGCCGTGGTAGAGAAGCGCTGCGCGACAACCAAGAGAATCAAGTCTGACGGGCAGGGTAGCACATCTTGTAGCCACGTCCACATTGTCCAATCCCCCTTGAACGGCGCAACAAAAAGGGCCGCCTGTGAATCTGTGTCGGTATCAAATGAGGGAATAGGAGCAGGAGTGTGAAGTAGGGGGCTATAAGAAGAAAACAGTGGTTAGCACAACTTTACGACTTCGTCCCTAAACCACCCTGATAAACCGCAGTCAATAGAGCTTATACGCACCATTCACTGATAATGAAGCACCGCTTTGGCTCGTAGCTGATGAGAGAATTGTCCAACGGTACTCGGAGCGAGTACCGTAGGTCTTCGCCCCAGTACGCCCCTGCTTCTGGCGCCTCGCCCAATGCATTCACTCTGGCTGGATCCGCCCTTTTCCGCAACAGAAGCCTCAACATCTCCCTGCCGTCCACAGAGCGAATATATGTCTCGCCCACCATGAACTGCTTCTCCTTGTACTGACTCGAAACCCCCGCAGAGCGTCGCTGCACATCCACAAACTTGCTTATGTTCATCTCTATCTCGCCTACATCGCGCCAGACGCTGAGACAGCCGGGCAAATGGGCAAGCTCGAGGTCGACAGCGCGCGCGCCTCCTGCGGCGTCGTTTTCGCGCCGCAAGCGCGCAGCATCGTCGTAGAAGGCAAGTACAGTATCATAAACAACTGGATCTTTGGTACGCCGGAATAAAAGGAAGGCGTCGTGTCCCGGCGGCGTCTCGTCTGAGACAATGCGCTCGTACACTGGGAGAAGGAGTCGCACCACATCGATCATCGACCCTGGTGGACGGGCCGGAGGAGAAGAAGAAGAAGAAGGAGAGGGAGGTGGAACGATCGCCTTCGCAAAATCCGTCTCAAGTGCTGCTGCATACTTTCCACCCTTCTCTATCGTTCCTGGCGGCAAGGTAAGCGGATGCATGATCCGGATCACGCCTTCTCTTTCATTGGGCGGTCGAATCATACCACTACCCTGCCACCCGTTGGCCGCATGTATGCGAGATGCAATGGCGTTGATTCACGATCATCGAGTGCGTCAACTTCTGCGCCGTGCTGAATCAGGAGCTTAACCGCAGGCAGGTTCTCCCTTAACGCGGCATGGTGCAACGACGTATGATTGTTCTCGTCGCGCGCCCGAACCAGCGTGCTGTCGTGCGCTAGGAGGATTGACAAGATCTCGAGATGCTCTGCCGACTTGAAGTCTGCGCAGGTGTGCGATGGCGTCACGCCGAATTTCCCGTAGTCTCGGGTCCGCACGTCCGCGCCCTGCACCTTGAGCAGTACCTCGACGAACTTGACGCGTCCGAACACAACTGCGAGGTGTAGAGGCGTTAGAGTGTATCTCGCGGCATCCCCAAGAGGGGCATTGACGTCGCCACTCTTTCCGAGTACGAATTTGACTGTCTCAACGCATTCCGTCAGCACCGCAGAGTGCAGAGGAGTCCAGTCAAATGGTGCCACCAACTGTCGCATGCTACCGAGGCTGCCACGAGCTGACACGAGAATCGTGTCAATCTCCATGTAAATCATAAGGTGCGTGTCCGACAGCTTCAGCGTCGCAACGCGGACGGCAGAAATTTCCGTCGGGCTCGCCATCCCAGCATACACCTTAAGGGCATTTAGATGGACGTCATTACACCTGAGTACAAAGTCCTGGACGGTCTCGGCCCCGTCCACGGCCATCTGGCGGTAGACGGCGATTACGGCGTCACGCATCGTAAGTGCGAATGTCTCATACTCGGGGCGTGCTAGGTAGAGAGCTTCGAGCATCTCGGACGGTAGAAGCGTCAGTGCAGCCCGTTTATAAGAAAACGGAAGGGTGGTAAGGTCTGGCGTTGTAAGAATCTTGTGGTATAGTTGCTGCGAGAGTGCGAGACGCAAGTTCGCCGGCAGGGCGTCAGGCGTGTTGAAAGTGTGGTAGACTTAGTTCATCGTGAGCAAGGCCATACGGTCATGGTCGACGATCTGAGCAGACTGATGAGTTTCTTCGTATCGTGAATGTGATAAAATATAGAGCGGCAACTCAAGAGACTTACCTTACTGCCTAGCTTGGTTGTTCCAAACGGCAAAAACTCCTCTTGGTTGGGGCTGATGTCGGTTTTGCCATTCTCCTTGCTGTTCGCCTTGCCATTGTCCGGCCTCCAACAAGTCAGAACACTTCTCCGCCAGCTGCTCTTCTCTTTCGACTTCTGGCGGGGTTTTATATTCAAGATCTCCTCAACCCTCGCTACACCTTTCCATCGCTCTTCCGGGTTCAGTCTCAGACTCCCCCAGAATAGCTTACCTATTCCGACCTCGAATATTGACCCCTCCAGCTCGTCAGCCGACGACTCAATCGCAAACATGGCCACGCGGTCTCTTTTGTCTAGCCTTAGCGCCTCGGCTTCCTTTGCGGACATTGCGCAGAAAAGACTGAGACCCTGCATCAATGTGAAATACGCAACCAGTCCGAATGAGTACTCATCTCTCGGGCTCTTCGTCGCATGCGCCCTCATCTCCTCACCGGCGGATTTCAGGCACTCGGGCGAATTCCACAGCTCAGTGCCGCCCCGCGGCGCATCTCTCGAAGTCGATAGCCCGCTCATCCCGAAGTCGGTGATTTTGGGGACGACGTGCCGCTGGGATCCGTCCTCGGCCGGAAAGAGCAGCACGTTCTCCGGCTTCAGATCCGCGTGCACGACGCCAGGGAGTGCAGCGCGGCCAAGCCTCGGGCGATGCCCTTGACCAGGTCGATTCGAGCCTCGAGATTCACAGGCACTATCCCGCGGCCGGTACGAGACGAATTCAAGTAGCTTGCCAGATCCGGCGTCTCGGCCATCGCAGGCTCGAGCAGGAGAATGGGAGCGATGAAAAAGTCCGCGTTTGCAGCGACCGTAGAGAGTGGGGAGGCGGAGGAGGAGGACGGGAATACGTTGGCCTCATCAAATGTTACTCCGAGCACCCGTGCTACATTCTGGTGCTGGCAGCGGGCCATAATCTCCAGCTCAAAGAGCAGGTCGTGCATGGCACGCGCGCGCAGGATCGCGGCATCGCTGCCCGGCGCGCACACCAGTGGCCGGAGCGCCGTATAGCTCTTCAGTGCGACAAGCACTGCGGGTCGTGAGGGCGGCGTCCATTTCCCGATCCGCACGTCGCCGAAGGATCCCGAGCGGGGTGGTGCGGAAGCCGCAGCCGTTATTGATATCTCGGCGATTGGCGCGATCCGCACGTTATTCCGTGTCAGTGTAAGCAGGAGCCGCAGGATATCAGGCTCCGGGGGAGCTGAGTCTGTAGAGGTAGCGTACCATTGTTGGGGCAGCGTAAGGTGTTCGGTGACGATATCCCGTAAAGAAGACGGGACAAAGGGGGAGGGTCGTTGGGAGGGAGAAGTGGTCGTTGATGAGGCCGAGAAGGAGGGGAGCGGGCGGCGTTGGGTGTGCAAGCTGAAGCTGGACTCTGTTGCTCTAGAAATTGTTGACATTGTCAAGGTGCCCGGGTGAGGGGACTGATGAATGCGGTCACGTTGTATCACACTCACTATTGAGAGACAGAACAAGGGAATGTGGGAGATGGTAGGTAATTCTATCGAGACGTAGCTCTCTACCCAGCCCCAGACTCGTCTTCAGGCTCAATCGATTGGCGCTGCGAGATTCCCTCATCGGCGCCTGGCCCGTCACGGGCAAAGTACTGTGTTGTTGGTTCAGCGCCTTAGAGGACGTGCATATGCGGACGGTGCGGCTGAAACGAAGCAAATATCGTCACGTCCGTCGCCCCGCCATGAGAACACAAGCACACCTCAATCTTCTATACTGACGGTTCACGAGGATGGCTGAACTGGTTGGCCTTGCCGTCGCTATACCGCCCCTGATACAGCCTATTAAAGACAGTATTGCGGCGCTGGTAGTCCTCATCTCTGCTTACCGCCAAGCCGATACACATCTTGCTCACACAGCGCTTAAACTCAAGACCCATCTGCTGCATGTCTCTGAGCTCACTGACTTTGCATGCGGCAGCTACGCAGCCTTTAGTGATAATGCAAAGGTCATCTTCCACCGGCTTATACGCGTCCTCGATGGGTTGCTTGCAGATTTCTGTGATGCGCTTGTCGGTTTGACAGATGTGGAAAAAGCGTGGTTGAGGAAAGCTGGGTTCGCATTGAGGGGCAGAGGGGTCTTCAAGAAGTTCGACAGTGAGCTTCTGGACTGGGAGAGGCGTTTTAACGATGTGGTGTTTATCACGGTGCTCGCTAGCGGGCGCAAAGTCCCTGCTCTGTTCACAGCTCAAGCCACTGCTGTGCAGCGCTCTCCATCGCTTACAAGACTGCTTGACATGATCGCTCGTACGTTTCATGAGTCTGGCCCGTTGTCGTCATCACTTAGCTCGGCGTCCCTATGCCTGTCGCCGCGCGACATCTCGTCTGCTGGATGCACACCAATCGACTATTCCTCTGTGCTGTACCACCCGCACACAGCCACCTCGCCGTCGTACCTCCTGGAAACCCACACCCTTACCCTCGCGACTGAGGCAGATGTACGCGGCATCGCTTCGTTTCTATCCGCCTCAGACCCAGCCATTACCTCGCTCCTTGCCTGTAGAGGCTATTCAGAGTCCACCCTGAAGTACAGCGTCCCGGACGGCTACAAGGACCCGATATCTCTCCGATGCGCACTGCTGTACGGAACCGACGCGAGGACTGAAGCCGCGTACGCGAAGCACTCGCTCGACGAACGGTTGGCGCTGATGAAGCGCCTCGCCAGCGCATTGCTGTGGGTGCACGTCGCCGGCCATGTGCACAAGTCGATACGGGCCGACAACATCATACTCTTCGGGAGCTCAACATCTTCGACCCCCTCCTCCGCCCAAACTTCCAGACAAGACAGCAGGGAGCGCGATCTTGAGTCAAAAGGATTTCCCCACGTGCTCGGCACGTCTTTCCTGCTGGGTTTCGACCTCAGCCGCGCCGATGCGGCGGCCACGTCGTACACGCAAACGGCGGACCTCCAGAAAGCATACTACCTGCATCCCGACCAGCAAGGTACGCCGGACCGCAGATACTCCCTGCGCGACGACGTCTACGCCCTCGGCGTGCTCTTCATCGAGCTTGCACTGTGGACCTTGTTCGTGCGTTGGAACAGCGCCACCTGGGAGCGCAATCGCGGTCTGGTCTCGGCCAGCACAAGGAAGGCACCGAGTCCCGAAGCGATGCGGGTGAGGTTTCTGGGCTTCGCGAGGAAGGAGGTGCCTCGGGCCATGGGCGGCGTGGTGGGAGAGGTGATTGTGGCGTGCCTGGAAGGGCTGGATGACGTGGACGAGGGGAGTGGTGATGGGGGAGCCTATATTAAAAAGGTACTGGAAATGTTAGATCGGGTGTCTCTATAAGTCTTGGGTAGCCGTATTTTTACAACGTTGCCACAATCTACCACCATTAGCCGTCCGCAATGATCCGCACGCATTATTGTAGATCCCGGGCTCCATAGTGCCTCTCTGTGTCTGTGGGAAGTCTGATCCGGGGAAGGTTGTAGGTGGGTGGGGTGCAGACACAGCAGTGGGACCGTAGACAACGATACCAAGAAGAACACCACCTTGCGGACGTTTTATGTACGTGGTGACTAGGTCTCGATTCCAATCACGCCTCGGAAACGATCATGTTTGGACCATACCTACATATGACAGCGGTAGAACATCGTACTGTTCTGCACAATCTCAGCGAATGGTGGAATGGAAGTTGGGGAAATGATGCGGCACCAATCGTAAATATCTCAACGAGCAGCAATCTGTTTCGCCAGGAGCAACGTTGGGAAAGGCCCACCTATAACGCTTGCTAAACTGCGGGTTAGCTGATGACGTATTTCATCAGTCCTGAATTTGCCCCATAACTTAAGTCCATAAACCCGGCACTAACAGACTTGAACGTCTTAAAGGTGCTTCCAGACGAGTAACCACCCCAGCACTTAAGCCGCAAAGCCACAAAAAGAACTAGTTGTCATCCTCGTCTATGTCTTCAGTATTTGGTAAAATGATATTCATTACACACCCGTAGCTTCTATATATTAGGGATGGAGAGAGAAATATTTTGACACTAGAAAGGCGGATACTACTCGTTCTGAATAATATGAAAGTGTGGGACTTATAGTCTGATTAAGCTTGTTACCCTTTGTAAGTTCCATACTTTGAGACGTCTTTCCGAAATTTCTAGGCACTAGACGATCGGGTTTATTGAATGAGTTGTAATAGATTGATAAAGAGAGATTCGACAAATATTTATATAGTTGTACCGAAGCATTGAGTAGAAGCCAGACGTGGAGCTGTCATATCCGGCAGAGCTGGAAATAGTACACACATTTGGCCCCGCGAAATTGTGCTAGTCTTGCCTGTTCGTGTCCGCATAGCCGAAAAGCTCAAAACAGGATACTTAGACCGAGCCGCGGGCATGCAGTACTACGTTTATGGTAATACCTGCATTCCCAAGAAGCTACAAATGGCGAGAAATGGATCGGAGAAAATAGGGAGCTCAATTGATAGCGCAATGTTCCTGACGACTCATAACGGCTATTGATGTGTAGTTAGCTATAGATCAAATGTCACCTTCGAATCCCAAAGTAAATTTGTAAGCAAAATGCATTATTCAACCCGGTTGGACTGGGACTGGGTAGCAGCCCTGTTCGTCTTGTTTGGATTCTATCCGTTGCTTCATCTTTGGCAGTCGGAAAATCGGGTTAGCAAGACGAGATTAATAGGATAGTGTATAACGTAACGTGGATTAGGGACGGAAATGGGCATCGCTTAGATATCCGGCAGTCCAGGGAGAATTGATGGATGGGTTATTTACGGAGTTTGTAGAACGGTCGCGGTCCACCCACACGTCGGGGGTCTAGGCCGGACACAGTCGGCTTCCGCTACACATTGTAGGGCTTGCTGGCTGTCAGGTCTGCCATCAACAATCCAAGAAGCGGCTAAATGGTTTGGAGGGACGAGAAGTGGTTAAGTCCAAGGTGTCACTAGAGATTCACAGAGACTTAGACCCGGAGATATTTTATGGGGCCGGATTATATTAGATGGAGGACATTGCGCCTGGTGGAAGGGGGACCAATTCCGGATGCATCTTACTCTGCCACAATTTGCGATGCAAATGCCTTTCGAGTAGATTTTGTAACCTTGTGCGATCTTGGTATAATTGCGCTAAATATCTAATGCTCATTGGATGCATCTAAGATCTCCCAGCTTAGTGAGAGCCTGACGACGATCCCGAGTTATCGGCGCATGACCATGCGCTTGACCCACCTTCCTTCGTGTAGGACGCGATAATGTCGCTGATGGTCCCGTACGTACCAGCAATCATGAGGAAAGTACCTGATGCTATCACGAAAATGCTGAAGGCAACCATTAATTTCCATCCGGTTCCCCGATACTTTCGGTTCCAGTTGTCATAGAGCCACATGGCGCCCATCGGCTGGAATGACATCAGGGTGCCGAGCAAAGCACCGACCAAGGACACGAGACCTCCAAACACCGGGATAGCACTGGCAATTACATATGCAATCAAGGTAACCGCAAAAGTACAGCCGAGCCAGACAGACCAGTGAGTCAAGGTGTTGGCTGTCAAGTGTTTCGACCCGCGTAAAGTCTGCACAAAGATGTATTTACTTGGCAACTGTGTTTGTGTAAGCAAGCGCTTCTCGTTGTTTAGTCATCAGAATGACTCACATGGGCGCAGATTATGCCAGAAACTAATAGTCCAGGCAGAGCGATACCATAGGCAATCTTCTTGATGAGAGGACCAGCTGAGCCTGGCGCAGGCGTAGCGACGTACGACCCGCAAAAGTAGTAAATAACGATTCCAACGATGCAATAAGTGACAGTGACGGTTGTCTGGCAAATGATCAAAGAACGGGTGTAGTGACGTGGGTCCCGCATCTCGGCGGCGATTGCAAAGAAGCCTGGTGTACCGGCATAGGCGAAAATGATGGAAGAGACGGCCGATATGGCATTCGTAAACGACGGATTGCCGACAATCTTGTAATCCGGGACCCAGACACCATCTTGAGGAGCGGCATATGGGCGGTCCTCGAGGCCTACCGCAATGGTAACAGTGAAAACTACTCAAGCATTAGAATCTGTTTGAATTTGCGAGTTCGTCACACAAGTCCTTTAAGCGCCACTGCGAAGGATTACTCATCTGCCATAATATCTTCGCCGTCATCAACCCAGCGATTTGATCTCGAGCTCCGAAGGACTCTTAATGACAAAGGTGTGATGTAGAACTTACCAGCGGTCAAGATGCAGATTATGCCTACCCACGCAAGCCAACTGATCTTCCCCAAGGTACGTATGCTAGCCATGCAAAAGATGGCAATGGCAGCAACAGCAACAAATACCGCTGTACAAGCACCGTGATCTGATAGCGCATTTAGAGCAATCGACAAACTGAGCATAGCTGAACCGACAACAAAAATCCAGTCTATAGACCGGTTAGTTTGCACATTGGACGATCATGCCCGAACGTTATCAACCTACACAAAACAAAAGCACCGCCAAAAATAATGCGTCCTATGCGGCCAAATAGCAGCTGACCCACGTCATCGATACCGTAGACCTCGGGGTGATTTAGCTTGAAGACTCCGACGATATAGTCCGACCAAGTGGTGATGGCAGCGATAGCGCAGAGGACTATGACACCCGGTACGAGGCCGAGGGCGTCAAAAGCCGATGGAATTGATAGAACGCCCAGGCCGATCTGGGTCTTCATCATCAATACTGATGTGCCTATCCATCCTACCTGGAACTAGGCATTAGCGTACCCGACAAAGCCAATTGCAATGGGAATCGTCCTACGAACATTACGGTAATTTGGTCCTCCCTCTACTATTTCCCCAAACACAGCGTCGTGAGTAGTCGTGCTCGGCCCACGAGAATCACCAATGTGTCCAGCTCCATATGACGGTACCGGACCTATTCCATGGCCATCGCCAAGGTCCTCGTGTTCCTTCTTCATGATGTCGGACATGGTTGGAGAATGGTCGAGTGGGTGCAAGTAGGCACCACGTATTTAAGGAGAGCTGAACGGAAATGAGATGTACGAGCGTCTGAGAAGCATAACGATATATATGGACAATAAATATTTGGCAGAAAGGAAAAGTAAAGCAGAAATCTAAAGTATTGGGTTAATTATGGCCAGTGATCCTCATACATTTCTCCAGCTGCCGGACTGCAAGGGGCAAAGTAGGATCCTCCTAGCTCGACTCCGCTACATTATCTCTACTTTCTTTAGATCAAGACTACCCCAGATATGACATCACTCTCCGTGATATGCAGTTTTCTAGTGATATCTTGTACGTACACGCGATTCATTTCCTGGGGTCTAGCTCGGTGTTTCTCCAGACTCCATAAGCTTTGTGGAGCCGCGGGACCCTGCACTAGACCCTATCCTGGCATGATGCTGCAACAGAGACGGAACCGGCAAATATAGTGCATCATACGAGCTGGAGCTAGGTAAGGATTGCGGCATTTTTCGTGAGGCGGGCAGAGGCGAACGCGCATGGTGCTAAACAGATTTTCAGTAACCTTTAGAGATGAAGTCAACACTACACGGCGAGCCTATATCTGGCGACCATTCAATTCGTCATTGGCTGTCGAGGTGTTAACCGACAAAAATCGCCGTAAGTCCAGGGTCGGACATACGCGGTTCACCTCCTGGCAGGATGACACACGCTACGGATGTAATGCCGTAGCGCTCTTGTAAAGCCACCAACCTAATAAGGTTACACGCGATGGTCGTTGATCTAATCATGATAACTAGACCGGCAGACCCGGTGTACACCCCACAGCACTTCAGAAGTAAACATCACGTGTCCGCCGATGCATGATATTATGAGGCATAGCTGATAAGACAACGTCATGCTCGTACGAATCGCCTTACCAGTGGCGGTGCTGAGCCAGCCCGGAACGTGCGATCCTCGGAAGTTCCAGCTACAAATTCACAGATAGCTACAACATTGTGATGAATTTAGGCGCATGTCCCGCCTCTGATCCCCTGCGTGACATTCGCGACAAACGCCGCCAATTTCGACCCTAACCAAGTTCAATTCTTCAAGCTATACAACATCGCGGTTAGGACACTGTCGAGTTCTTGGGTCAACTACCAACGGATTACCTTGAGAATATCCATGATAGATGTTAGTTCATACTGCTACATGCCACAATATTGCCACGGTATTGCCCTAAAGACGAATGGCAAAAGGGCTGAGGGAATTCATGCAATTAAGATGGTACCTTTAAATGCAGCCTCCAACACGCGTTGTTTGTAATGGCACTGATCAACCAACTGATTAACCAATTGCTATATTACAAGGTACTATTAGCTTGCATCATTCGGTCGATTATTGTGCGACTACACGGAAGACGCTGTCGCTTTTACTCAACGGCAATCTATGTTGGCGTAGCCGCCTCCTTAAGCTCACTGACACTGACGTTGTCTAGAAGAGGCTGTTAACACTTGTGGTGATGTGTTAAATCTCAGAATGAACAAGCTTCCACTAATTCCCGCGACCAAATGTTAGTTGAATATGAGTCCCGTAAATACTCCACTGACCATTGTATAACCTTGTTGTTGGTGCTGTCAGTCAGCCGGAAACGTCCCATCAGGTATGCTTCCTCGAGGGAATGACAAAAGCATTACCCAATTTTCCTTATCATGCTAGCTCTCGATAGAGTGTGGCCGAGGTAATGCCAGTGAATCTTGCGCATATCAGAATACCAGATAGCCAGGGATCAGAGGAGATCACTTCGGGAGGTCTTCCGTCTTTCGGACCATTTGCCAGAAGGCAGGACGGGCGACCGATTTACAGTAAAGATAAAAATTAATCTTGAAACTCCACAAGTTGTGGCTCCAGACTTGGATTTGAACAGAACACTAACTTATATTCTAGTTTGACCGAAGTGTGCAAGATATTTTGGAAAGTGAGTCTAGTTCACGGACAGCCTTGCCCATGGCCGTGATGGTATAATTATTAACGGATATTGCCAGTTGCTATCTCGTGGCAGAGCTCCAAGTTGTCGATAGTAATGGCATGACAGGGTTGACGGTTTTGCTTAGAATCAAGCGGCGGGATCTACAATGCCCCCAGTATAGTTGCGGGCATTACTTTTCAAGTATAAGCCGTGGATGAGAACCACAGCAAGGGTATCTGTTAATACATCGGTTGATGGTGCGATGCTCTCGATCATAGTGCCCTTATCATATTCGTGTTGAAACACTCTGAAAATTCGCCCTATCCGAGGATATTTGGTTGAAAATAGGGTCAACGGGTAAGATGCCGACAAGCTGTCTCCCCATACATATGGCTCTCTGGCTGCTGTGGATTCGACTGATTGGCAGGACTGCCGCCTTGATACCGCGGTCTAACATCTCTGCCTCGTCCTGGCCTACATCATTCTTGATACTTTTATCATCATAATGTCTCCCCCAACTAGCTGAGGGCCCATCTTTGAAATTTACGGTGACATAGAGACTGCCTTCTTCGATACGTGTTGCCTGATTATTATGCTGACAAAAAGAAATCGAAACAAAGCCACTATCGAAGGCGGCAATGATTTGCACGGATGATCTTTCCGCTCCCATACCCACTTTGGCGAGGATTGTAGAAGAATAGAGGTTAAACTAAGCAACAAAGTCAAGTGGGATGAGGTGGTTCATCTCATCAATTAGTAGCATATCGTCTGGAACATGGGCTATCGGGTCTTCAAGTATCCTGGACCGAGTCAGATGTAGATGGGCAGTTGGACAGGAGACGTTTCCGCTCACGTGTGAAGAGCGATGGAATAACTCTGGTATCGATGGTGGGCACTCTAATCACGTTGGAAGATCTCATACGAGGGACCATTCTTTCGTCATGCCTGGGCGAAAAGATGACTCCCTTCATTGGCGTCTAGGATTAGCACGTGAGGCGAAGCTGAAACCACTTGTTTGTGCGTTTTGGATTTGTTTACTCAAGAACGTTCGTTTCGATTAGATTGTGTAGTTCGTATGGTAATTCCTAAACTTGGTATCCTCCCGTAACAACATGGACAGATTCGACACGATCGACATTCACGACCAGAGGAGACGCATACTATGTGCCCAGAGAAAAATCTAAAGCAATGCAGAGAAAACCTGTCCCCATATCTGCATTTTAGGGCCTCAACATCTGAACTAGGAGATAGTACCCGCCTGAAGTCTTTCATCATGTGACTGCAGTAGGCGAACATCGGTCGAACCGGGTATTTCGTTTTCGTAAATCGACCAGTCGCTGATAAAAAGAACTGGAATACCATCACTTTGTACTAGGTTAGCGCATCATTATATATCGTCCAATCATGATCCAGACATGTCTGTGGCAGAACATCTCAAACTCCTCCTCATCCGCGGCGCATCAACACTTGGCGATGGGGTTGCTGCAGGACTCCTTCCCGCGATGCGTAGAGGACATGCCAATCACGATTTGGATGCTTTCCAAAAATAAAAATAAAATAAAAAACCACTCGTCGCCCTCCTTCTCCTGGAAATGTTGCGGAAGAAGCGTCATCTGCTTTTCATTGCAAGGACATTGCACTTCTCTTAGAGCTGGAGGGGCTACCTTCATAAAATTCTGTTTAGCGATTGATTCTTTGTGTAATTCCATACAACCTGCCCAGTCTGTCCGACTGATCAATCTTCTCGGTTTACCGCTGGGGCATCTCAGAATGAAGATGGTTGATCTCATTTCCACCAGAAACGCATTGCCCTCCTCGCCAAGCATAACTGCTGTGTTCATCAATCTGCTAGCATACCCACCACCCATCAACGAATAATGTCGCCCTCCTTATCGATGCCCTCCGTCATCTCAATGATGTCGCTCCCGCCCATGATGCCCGTTCCCACCCCGCTGTCGACCTCCTACGTCTTGCACCCCATATCTCGTGGAACTTCACACTCTTATCGCTCGCCGCAACGATCAAGCAACCTTCTGCCATTCCTCCCTTCCCCTTCCGCGATCGACGATCACGTAATCCTCGGCTGGACTGCCGTTGTCGATGAGCTCGGGATTCGGAGTTGTCCGATTGTGTATGTGATGTCGGAGATAGGTTTCCTGGATACGGAACAGCATAGAGGGCACGGTGTTCGCCGTCCCACTTTACGCTTGCAACCATTTGGCAGTCCGGCCAGCTGAACACGGCTATCCGAATTGCGTGGTCGGGTTGAGCATAGCCGAACGTGGCAGCGATTTCTCGACGAGTGGTGCTCCAAACGAGGCTGGTGACCTGAGCGCTGACGGATATGGTGGCCAAGGTCGTTCCAGATGTGCTGTGGTAGAAATGAATCATCTTGTCGTTCGAGCCACCACCAGTGGCGAGTAGGTGGGGACGCCAAGGACAAAATGCTATAGCCTTGACAGCAGCTAGATGTGGCCAGCAGTGAAGGGCCGCCGACGCGTGCCAAGTTTTGACCCGGGGAACTGGAGGGGACGGAGGAAAGTGTGGTAGCACGAAGTTTGGACCTTCTGGTGCAGGTCTGGGAAGTCCCAGAGGGTAGTAGTAGTTTGAAAGAATGTCGAAGTTCGTATAGTCAGTCCAAGAGGCTTCTGAGCCTACGCCTGACCTTGGATCGAAACTAGGCGCTAACGGGTTCAGCGAGTCCTGTGGCTGATCGTCCGTCCTCATCTCGAAAACCTCAGGTAACTCTTCCGACAAGCCCATGGAAGTCGAATATCGAGGGTTCTACATTCGAGAGACTTCCACTTGCACATCTTCGTCCTCGATATCGTCACCTAGAATTTTTTCTGCCCTGAAGAGGCAACACATGTTGTCGTTGCCTCCTGTAACGAACATTTCGCCGTCAGGTGACCATGCGAGACCACAAATCTGTTGTGCGTGAACCTTGACGCGAGCCAGCAAGGACATTGACCCATGCCAGGTATCTCGGGCAACTTCCTAAGCGCCTGGCCACTCCACAGAATAATAGTAAACATCGCCAGCCTCTTCACCAACGAGGAGATCCTCGGTATAAGCTGGGACTCCGGAATTGAAAGGATTTAGCGAAGGTCGCATGGTGGTGACTGGACGCCAGCTCATGCACGAGACAGGGTGGGGGTGTGCGGCTTCAAAGCGAGGAATCATACTGTCGAACAAGGAAAGTAGACCAATGTAACCGTTTGATCGTCCATATGCCAATATGGACTTGCCGCCTTCAGTAGATGAAAATGCCACAGAAGTAAGCCATGATCCATCTCGAACACCTGGATTTAGCAGTGATGTACCAGTAGGTTCTGACCAGCCGTACAAAAGGTTCCCAAGACCAATGGCAAGAATGTTGCAAGTTGGAGAATAGGCCATGATTGAGCAGTAAAAATCGTCTCGAAGCCCAGGGGCATCAAGGACCCTCCTGGAAGTCAGCGTATAATGTGACGTTAAGGAAAAGAAGGTCTCACCTGAAAGGAGGATTGGGAATGGTTCGCTGCTTTTTTACACGCTTTTCTGCACTTATTAACCATTAATTCAACCGGCCAGCATAGTAATTGAACGTACTGGGGAGGTGCTTGTCATTGGACCATTCAGAACCAGTCCAGGTTGTCCTGGATACGTTTCTTGAAGCCCGGCATTTATTCCTCCTTCTACGAGGCTGAAATGTAGAGGAGCCATGGTGATGGATAACGCGCTGTACTCGATTCATGTTCAATGCTTGTGCGAGTCTTCCTTCGTGCTTTTCCTGGCGTTCTTCAGAACGTGGCCGTAGGGCCGAAAATGGCATACTGTAAAGGGGTGCGTTGGTTCCGCTGCTCATATATTGGCCCCGACCACCGTCAATTGCCATAGACCCTGGTGCAGTGCCGCCGACAGACCAGATCGTTCCCCCACTAACCTAGTCACTATTAGAGTATGCGACGAAGGGGCTGACATGTAACCGAAATCAGCTTAGTCGGACAGCACCTACTTGTCGCTCCAGGGAACTAAGTGTAATTGCATTACGTGGAATGGCCCCTACCGTAGTGCCTAACATCATTAGTGCTAGTCACTTATATCTTCGATGTCACTCTTACCCCGTCTATTCCTACTGTCTGGCTGCCGTACTGTTACTGTATCAGGTTTGGGACAGGGAGATCTAAAGACGAATGGATCTGGGGTGGCGTCCTGATGCCGAAGTAACCGCTCAGGTGTTGAGAGCTTATGCGATTCTTTCATGGTTCGAAAGTGATCAGATATGGGAAGTGGACTTTGACTGTTGGGCAGGAAGCGATCAGCAGCTGTCGCCAGCCCTCTCTGGGACCCGTTCATTCCGTATCGCAGAAGGCAATTTTGCTTTCGGCAATTAATTTCGGGGTCCGACCAAAAAGGTGTCAATACAGCTGGGCGAAGCTTGCCGATACAAGAGTCAGTAACCGGTATCTTTGAACCCGAGCCCTCTTGCACATCCGGGGGTTGACTGCAGCGACGCTGCGAATGATCAGTACTGGGGGTTCTGGGTGGAGACCAAGTTCCATCCAAATATTTTTCAGCAGATTGTGATCTGTTATTCTCGGCGCCGCCACGTGGACTAGATAATGTGCGCGTGTCTAAACATGGAGGCACTGGAGTAAAATTGGTGAGCTCGGCCAGTTCTTTCTTAGCTGGCGTTGAAAGATGCCTTTGGTGAGTTGTCTTGCAAAGCGTTGTACCACTGGATACCGATTGTGAAGAACGTTTGATGACGGGGGTGAAGCATTTCGAGGCTGTTGTTCTCTTCTGGCGGCGAGTCTCTTCCATCACAACTGTCGATTGTAGCGATAACAAATAAGGAAACGAAAGATCAAAAACTGCAAGGCAGTAAACAATAAGTTGTTGAATGATACTGTGCGCAAGAGTAAGACTGGAGCCGACACAAACGACCAGCACGTGTTGTCCTGATTGCACTGAAGGTAAAAGAAGGAGGGCGGAAAGTTGAGAACGAAAATTTCGATGCGTATGTGGTAGCCAGAGAACATGTTAAAGTACAATGATCTGAGGAAGCAACTCGTCAGTGTGGCGTGCCATCGTTGCTGCTCTAATTGTTATATCTTTGCCGGCAGATGGGCGGAGATGTCCTCCATTATTACCGGCTACGTACCTGATTTATCTTATCATTAAAGTTGACCTCGGAAGGCACAAGGCACGGGGCACAAGGCACAGGGTACGAGAGCACAAGGGCAACTTCATTGTACGAGATACCTCGTCAGGTGATATCTTCCAGAGACTAGACATAGTGCCGTGTTGGATTATCCTATAAGGTATTCTCGACATCAGTCCATCTTCCATTGCGAAGCGGATCGAGTTGTTTCAGTTTCGCAAGCCAATCTCTGGTCTCGCCGGACGACTTTGAATCTCCCGCCGTTGTGCCTTGGCCGTGCTTCAAGGCCTCGAGCGCTACGCTGTACTCCAGCAGTGCCTGATAAATCCACTTCACATCTAGATAATCCGCCACAAGGTCTCTGATCTCCTCAATCTCCTTCTCCACGTATTCTACCCGTTCCTGCATGGTCAGATTAGGCGCTATTGTAGGCCTGTCGATGTGTTCTAGGATGTGGGACATGAGGAACTGATGATAATACCACAGACTCTGGTCTTCCGGGCCGAGGTTGAGCCCGTCTCTTGCGAGATCGAGCTCTTCCTCCAGGAGCCTTTTACGCGCCTCGTCATCGGCGCCTCTTTCGGCAAGTACCTTCAAAATCAGTTGGCTCCGGTTGTGCCAGGCTGAGAAATTACTCAAGTTTTCCCCAATCTTCTGTCTCGTGTATGCAAACTCGGCCTCCGCCATGCTCGTGCCCTGCAGCTCCTCGCTTTCAAGTTTGGCAACCACCTTCCGTCGGTAGCTCCAAGCATGAAAGTTGCGAGGATCCTTGGAAAGCATCTTGGAGACCAGTCCGAGTTCTGCAGTCCAAACCTGGCGAGCCTGCGCGACCGGAAGGTGTGATATGCACAGATGAAGTATGTATGAGCGATGGTTCCAGATCCAGTAGCATTTCGGGAATTCGAGTAGGAGCGGAATGGTAAACTGTAATTCGGACTGCAGTACATCAGCGTCGTTCTTGGTCTCTGGCCGTTGTTGCAGCGCGTCGTCGCCCGCTCCGTTTCCGTTAACTGTTGAGGAACTCTGCCCATCCCTCGTAGGTGTTTGGGACTTTGGGTCTCGCGGGATCGCATCCGAGGGCGATTGTGAGGATTCGGCGGAAGGCAGTTTCGTAGTGCCGCTCGCTAAAGTACTCGGCGACCCCTTCGAGAGCCATGACCCATCCGACGGTCTGGATAATGAGCCAGAGATTAGACAGCGTCGACGGACGTTCCATATTGTGTAGTATTCGGGGTTGAGACGGAGAAGCTTGGTGGTGAGGTGGAGGAGGGTAGAGTCGCTGTATTTTTGTTGGGCAACCTAGCGAGGAAGAAAGCGTGAGCCAGTCGCCACGAGCGATGGGGACATGTGTGATGCTCGGGATTCAAACCTGTTGGCGGATCTGATCCTCCAAGTCGCGATATTTGCTAATCTTGTTCAGATCCTGCTGGCGTTGCTCCTCGGTGCGTTTCCGGACGGTTCGGGCTATGCCATGCGAGCCTCCAGCCTGGCCTGTTAGATCAGTGGGAAGCGACAGAGATATTGAAGCGACACGAGGCTTACACCTGACATGTTGGACGTTGCAATATAAAACCCGGCCTCTGCACTGACCTGTCCTTCTTGTCCTGGCCCTGGTCGTGGATTGATTTACCCGCGTAGGTGTTTCGTGCCGTGTCGTCTCTGGGGGGCTGAAAGTCGCCGAGCTCCCTTAAGGAGGGGCACCTCCCTAAAGACCTAACTAACCTAGGTTAACCTTAAAGGCCAGGTTAATTCCAAGACCTACAGTACATAGTCTAGACTAACCTTAGAGAGCAGGATCGCTAATGAGATCGCTAAATGATAAAACGGCCGCCTACAGTACCGTCTTATCGATAAGAGCTCCAACCTAGTACTAGGCTGGCAGGCTGGGGGCCGGAAAACTGCTCAGGCGAAATCCAGTATAACTTAGTCTAAGGTTAGGTTAGTTAGTAAAACACAAGACCCAGCGGTTCATTATGAGGCCGGCCCATGTTCACCTGGGTTGGTTCAGTTGTAACTCTACCCAACAGCTTTGCCTGTCACGCATCGGGGAAACTATGATACTGTTTGTAAGCCCCCTGCGCTTGACTATCCAATCAGCACAATAACGTCATGCCACCTTCATCCAGAAGAAGAAGACATAATTCATATTACCAATCGTCATCGACTGAAATTCGTATGATCTGATTCCCCATGCTGCTTCTTGTGGTATAAACAACAGATCATTTCTCCGACTGCTCGTTTGTTTTTCTCCCCTCAAGATTAAAAACAAAAACAAAAAATACCATAACACGATCAAGCCTCGTCAATCTGCCACCCCCACTTACATCACTACTTTCACTCACACTTACATTGACCTCGGCATACAACCAAATAACAACCAACCATCCAAAATGACGACCATGAGAGCCCTGGTCACCGTCGAGGACCACAAGGCCGCCCTGAAGAACGACGTCCCCATCCCCAGCTTGTCTGAGGGCGAGATTCTCGTCAAGGTGCACTACGCGGCACAGAACCCCACAGACTGGAAAGCCGTATCGGCAGCGCCTGCTGGCCGGGTCGTAGGCTGCGACTTCGCGGGTACGGTGTCGGACGCCAACGGCTCGCACTGGCGGGAGGGCCAACGCGTAGCAGGCTTCGTGCAAGGCACGACGCAGCGCGGGGCCTTCGCCGAGTATGTCGCCATCGAGGCCTCGCTCGTCTACGAGATCCCCGGGCCGGTCAGCTACCAGGACGCCGCCGTTGTCCCGCTCGCGTTCGCCACGGCTTCGCAGGCCCTCTTCCAGAGGCTGGGGCTGCCCGAGCCGAGCAGGCCGGCAAAGTCGGCGTTCCCCATCCTGATCAACGGCGGTGCGTCCAGTGTCGGCAAGTATGCGGTGCAGCTTGCCAAGAATGCCGGACTCTACGTGGTAAGTGCTGAAGTCCGATTTCTATCTATATCTTGAATTTTCCCCATGGTCGGACAGTCAAGCGCTGGTGGGATGGTGGCAGATCAGGACCCAGATTGAACAATCTAGGGAAATGTTGCATTCATATGACGTCAATCGTATAGAAACGCTACTCACCAAGACTTTCACTACTTATTCGTGCATGCCTGCATATTCAAGATCCTGACTGACTTGTGAACTAGATCGCCACGGGATCACAGAAGAACCACGAGCTCCTGACATCCCTCGGTGCCGACGCAGTCGTGGATTACAGCGACGCTGATTGGGCCTCTCAGGTCCGCAAGTTGAGCCATGACAACCTGCAGCACGCATTCGACTGCATCTCAGAGAAGGAGACAGTCGGCGAGGTGATCAAGGCCCTCTCCCCGACCAAGGGCGGGCACGTGCTCACGATCCTGCCGCGCAAGAACTCAGAGTACCCCGACATCAGCAGTAAGGTCAAGATCGAGAGCACCATCGTCTACACCGTGTTCGAGCGTCCTCTCAGCTACGGCGCGTTCGACAACTGCGGGCACGGCCCCACGCCCGAGGATAAGGCGTTCTGGGAGAAGTACCTCAGCCAGCTGCCCGAGTGGCTGGAGAAGGGCGCTATCAAGCCGAACCGTGTCAAGGAACTCGGTGGGCTCGAGTCCATTCTTGATGGATTCAAGCTTCAGCAGGAGGGTAAGGTCAGTGCTGAGAAACTAGTATACAAGATCGTGTAGAATTCGTCAGGACGTAAGAGGAAACTTTGCGGTGTGTGGATTGAGGGGCCACAGGTCTGCAGCAGCAATTACTTACCCAGCAAAACAACATAACTTGTCTTGATGGCAATTTAAGTCCAAATGATTCTGTCGAGTTCCACTATCTCATGGTGCTGCTACAATGTGGATCTAGAGTTTAGAATCTAAAGAGCAATCGACTGTCCGTTCAAGCAGTACACTTCGCTTTGACTAAACTAGCATCCTGGCCCACTAGTCCATCAAAATACGCAAGCAGCGTCTCAACAGGGACCATATCCAACACGCCGAGACTGGGGTTACTCGATCTCAACGTCTGACCACTGAACAGCACTCTGGCATAAAACCCACTGCCACTCCCATCCCGCCTCGACGCGGCGGTCGCGCTCCCCCCGCTCTTCTGCCACAGCTCGAAGACGACCTCGCTGCCCATGCCGGGCCAGACCATCTGCTCGATCTGCAGGATACTCAGCAGGCGGCTCAGACTCCCGTCATGCGCGACGTTATGCCAGTACACGACCTCCGCCTGGCCCTCGACGACGGCGCGCAGGTGCGCTGCCAGCTCCGCGACCCAGACCCCGTACGTGGCGACGCTCGCCGCCAGCGAGTCCCCCGCGTCCCGGTAGATCTGGCTGTACTCCCACTGGCCGAGGCGGTAGACCTCGTCCGCCTGGGCCTGGGTGATGCAGTCCCCGCTCGTCGCATTGCACGGCAGGGGCTTGCCGTGGCACTGCCGCGCGGACAGGTTGTCGTAGTAGTGGTCGAACCAGCTGTGGAATCCGGCGTCATCGGCAGGCACGCCGGACACGGCGTCCAATGCCGCGTATAGGTCCGTGGCCCGGGTCAGGTGGTCGGCCCACGCCGCGTTGGAGGACGACTTGATGTTGCTGAAGAGCGCACTGCCTGCCGCGCAGCTGTATGCTGGCTCTAGCGAGTCGATAGTGCTCGCCTGCGCCAGCAATGGGATGTCTTGACCCGCGGCGCCCCACATGCCCGCGATCAGCATCCCGGCCACTTGCGAGGTGATCTGGTTCGTGGTGACGCGATACTTGACCTTGCTCTGCCAATCGCCAGATTCCTTATCAGGCAATAAGTCGAGCAGGTCGTGGTACACGCCGTACAGATCGGCACCGTGAGCCCAGGAGTCGTCGAGTCCACCCGAGGTAATCTGAGGGAATTGGCACGAGCCTATCCAGCCAGAGGGCACGAAGGGGTTGACGGATGAGTTGTAGCCATCCCAATACGTGTGCGCAGAGAGATTGCCGGACCCAGCTGGTAGGTGCTGACCGTAGTAATAGAGTCCCTGGTCGTCACAATCCCAGTGGTACGGCTCTACCGGGAAAGCGTTGCTGGCATAAGGTGTACGCTTGTGGTGTCTATGGATCTGGTTTCAGTCAACATTTGGGAGCGAGTTTCGGATGACAGGCGAGAACTCACTACTTCAACGTATTTCAGACTGTAATCAGCACTTGGTTTTATGTACTCAGTCTTGCGCACGTGCGGCATGTTGCACCAGTTGTAGGTTCCATATTTGTCAACCGGTGTATTTGACGAATTGAAGATGAAGCCATATACACCATTGCCGCCAAAAGCCGTGGTGATGTTGTTGACGTCGGTTTGCGTTGGAGCGTGCCAATCCAAATCTACGGCGGCGTGGGCGGTCGCGGAAAGCAATGTGGCCAGGAACGTTGATGGGTGCGAGAGCATGTTCAATCGCATAATGAATACGAGAGATGTGATGATGCACAGTAGAAGCACCAGCTCGAGAGACCGCCGAACAAGAGTCGCCATTGCATATTGATATAGAACGGGGAGGACGCTGTGCGGCTCCACGTAAGATTAGGAGCGCCGAGTGCGTGCCGGATATAATTGGTTTCCAGGAGAAACTGTTATTATGATGTTGCATTTGGCCCAGAAGTGCTCACGACGTTCGCTGATCTGGGATAAGAATATTCCGCCAAGTCTGTCAAAGTCACTGCAGGTTTACATAGTTAGAAGCAAAGCGCCGATCACGTTCCCTAAGGATCATCCTTCAGTGGCTGGGATTTTAGCGGCCGCCAGGTTACCGTTGGGTGCCAGGGTGCGTTGTGGGATCGATCGTCGGGCCCCGCACTTGGATATTGAAGACTTGCAAGGTTCACGTTGAGACTATACTGCAGACTGCAATCAGATTCACGGGTGGGCTGTCTCTCTGAGAGTCTTGCTAGTGAATTCGACGATGGCGACTCCTGTAGTTGACATATTTCCTCTCATGCGACTACCGCCTGAGCCGCGTCATGAGGTCTTTCGCGCGGCGGTTCCGTCTCCCGGTATCAACTTTTTTCAATATACACAGCTGGCCCATAATCGCGAGGAGTGCGATTCATAACACCGTGGGAGAAAGCCCGAAGCTTAATCTTGACCTCCGTCGTCTATCTATTGAACATGACGATGAAGCAGTCTTCGGGTATAATTCTTCCGTTGGCAAACCCGCCACGCGCTTCGACAAACTTGTCGAGAGTCACGAGAAACTTGCGCAATTCCACCGGAGGAGCTGGGGCTATTGGTACTCACTGTACCGAATAATGGGTTGTTCGTACGCGGGGGATGAGCAGCTGATCTATGCTAGTGGACTTAACTCTGTATAATATGGTATTGCGAGGTATGAACGTTCGGTGCGACACCATGTCCAGGTACACAAAGAAGAGATGTGGTGTTTCTCTATCCAGAATTACAGCTCCGATATTACACATCAGCTCTTGGCATCGTGGAATGAGACTTCTCGACGTTATGATGGACCAAGAGGTTCGTATTCCGACCGATACGAAGCTTATCAAGGTGGTCGTTCAGGACACGAGATGGGACTGCCTCAGTTCAGATTATGTGGACTCGGCAAAGGTGGACAAGTAGGAGAAGCAACGTTTCGAACTCGCTCTTCGATGCCCCAGCGTCTACAGATGTAGACTACAAGGGAGGAGACGAGGAAGGAGAGTATTGAAACCACAGTGGTAACGAGGACTAGTACCATATCAGTATTCCATCAGTCGGATTGGATTAATTACCTGTTGAATGATAGTTCATGGTGGGAACACCCATCGTTTCTTGCCGAGATGCCCCAACACTTCTTCAATGTCTGATAGTCACAAAACGATGAGCTCGCACGGCTCCTGGGGAAACCTAATATAAACTTTAAGGGGTGGGTGATGCCGCCTTGGTAATGCCGCCTTTGTAGTATAAAAGTTTACACTGTTCGTCGGCCTACTCAAACCCACTATATATTACAGTTGACATCCAGGTCTTTTGGGGGATCAGTTAGACTATCTCAACAAAGCTCCATGTTGTCAGTACAAAACAATGATAGAAAATAAAATAATTCACGCTAGGTACTTTGAAGTTAGTCTTAAACTGAAAGCTCTCAGACGCTCTGTCAAAAAGTGGAGTTCTATAGCCGAAAACAACTGCCTTGATCGATACAGCATCTACCTCGAAGGAGTTTGACGCCGTAGCGAAGAGATTTGAAAATATCATCAGGAATACTTCCACTGCGGGCGCGATGCTGGAAACACTTCCACGGCTTGATGGCTTTGATCATTCAAGTCTAGTCGAGGCTCTGTCTGTCTTCCTGTATGAAGAGAAAAGCATTCGATACTTCAGTTTCGAGTCTCCATTAGCTGTTTGGAATACGGAAGTGAAGTCGCTAGGTCTGTTTAGTCCTATGATTCCCCAGAACTCAAGAAATCATACCCGCTAGGTGACGGTTTGGCCATTGAGGAGCAAAGAGTGGTACCATTTACCACGGAAATACTATCAAACTATGTCGGGAAACTGGGGTGTGATTTCATTAAACTCCTTGGTCGAGGAAGCCCCTGTAGAATTACTACCTTCCTGGGATAGATGACGCCCACGCTGGAGAGCACGCCCACCTAACTCCTCAACGATGCAGGGTTCGAGATTAGAGAAAATATCGAATAATAGGTTCTAGATTGGCTCCATAAACTGTGTCTGGAAGCTAGAAAAGCTGGACAGCTGAATAGTCTTCTTCGAAAAATGGTAGCGCTCTCGGCGGATAGAGCAAAGGCGCGTGACATCTATTGTCAACTTGGAAAGGTATGTAAATAGTCCAACTGGCTGAAATTACGTCAGGAGGTTCCATTCAAATGCACGTTGATCTGCGGGTTTACAATTTTACTCTTTCACTCGTTTCGCCTATAACGATGGAGTGAGGCTTGTCTGCTTCACCTCTGGTGAAGAATTAAACCATTGGGCGCGGTCGATACACTCAGGGTCTTGCTAGAGAAGAGAATTGGACATCATATTGATGGAGTCCACTGCCAGGCATCTCGCCATTATGCCACTCGAGCGAAATTTTGATCAACTGGAAGGCGAGCACAATTGTTTATGCACAGTGATAGTAAATATTTCGTTCCAGGGACTGGTCAAGGTCTTTCTGTAGCACTCTCTAAATCAGAAGCTACTCGTTACCGCTCAACATGCTTCCCAATTCTCGAAAATAGGACACCCTTGCTACCAATAGCCCAGACCACCACCGATAATCAGAATTGCTCGATCAGAAATTTCCACGACCAGTACGACACCATCAAGTAGCACTGCCCCGACGAGCATGAACACAACCACTGGCGCAATGTTGCGATGCAATATAGCAATTACAGTTCTTGTCACAACAAGTGATGTTACAATGGGGCTCTCTGTCGTTAAATCAATCTAGTGGATTTTCGGGTGTGGCCTTTTCCCGATGGTCTTTCCTACAAGGTAGCATGTTTACAATCAGCCTAACATAGTTACAGAACACATCCATGCCCGCCACGGTAGTGCTGATAGCAGTCATAATTGTTTTATCACGATACAGGTAACAGGGAGTTTGACAGCCTAATGTGGTTTCAACAAAAGAGAATGCAGCTTTTTCTTCCAAAATCACATTCCGAAGTTTGCTTAAAATACACTCACTCCAGCTGTGTCGTGTTGAAGAGGCGGTTGCCCGTGTCAGTTGTGCCTCTCCCCGTGAACTTGTTCTCGGACACTCTCAGAGCAACAAGACTAACATCTCCTTCCCGTACAAGTGCATCACGAACCGGATTTCCTATCGCAATTGCCCCAGCTTGGACAACTCCCGAAACAATGACAATGCAGGTATTGACCGCCAGCGACCGCACGTGTTGGACAAAATCAACCAGCGTTTTACCACTATTCACTACAGAATCAACGAGTATCACATTGTCATGTCCGACGAGATGCTGCAACTTCAGATCACCCGGTCTATGGGCATGGAGAAACGAAGCCAACGGGAAAGCATCATTCACCCCTAGCGCCATAGGTTCTCCGCCGCGCATCAGCGCCACGATGATGGTGCGCGACTCGGCACAGAGACGGAAGCCATTTGTCTGATGACCTTGCACATGCGGGACTAGGTAATCTTCGAGCCCAATCACACTTGTCAGGAGGTCAACTGCGAGATACCATCCCACACGGCGATGGGCTTCTCTCAAAAGCGGACCAGCAAGCTGGGCGTCACGTGTCGGAGTCATGAGCAGTTTGGCTGCATCCTTTTCGGTTGCCTCAAATACATGAAGCTTGCCGGGCATAGCGCCTAATCGATCTGAGAAACGTCGACCAACGATGTTGTCTAGTAGGTCTTGGTCTGAAAGCTGAACAACAGGTAACTTTACCTGGTCCAGGCGTGGCTCTCCAGTATGAGGCAGTAGAGTTTGTCGTGCCTTAAATCCGTTGACCCCTATGGCGTTTGCCAGGGCTGTCTCCATGGATTTGCTTCGGCTGTACTCATCACCGACAACGACAATAGCCTGATCAGCTTCCTTCAGCATTGGCAGGTCTAGAGGGCTGTCCCCGAATGCCCAGACACTTATATGGTGATGATTTCTTAGGCGTCGCACAGCGGTGGCTTTCAGGTCGGGGGTGACGAGGCAATCATGATCGATGCGTCCATTGCCGATGACTTTGACGCGGCCAAGCAGACCTGCCTTCCGCAAGATCTTTTCCCATACTAGTTGCAATCCGCACGTAAGAACAATGATCCCAACGTGCTTATGTGCCACCACGGCTTCAAGCATCGAAACGAATTCGCGATACATGGTAACCCCAGAAGCAACATCCTCGCATAATGTCTCAAATTTCCTTTCGCTATCGATCTCTTCGTGCAAAAGCGCTGTCTGTAGGAAAGCATTGAGCGAGTACCCGAGTGGGCCCCCAAAAAGTCTTTGCAAAGTATAAAGCTTGCCATTCGCCTGTGGCAACATGTTCTTCTGAACCCTTTGCCAAAACAAGACACCGGTATCCACTTCGGCCAGTGTTTTGTCGGCGTCTAGGACTAGCATGGTCTCTAAATCGTCATGCTCGAATACCATTTCATCAATCCCGTCGTTGATCTTCGTGCGGTAGTCCACTTCAGTCAGCTGAAAGATCTTGCAAAGTTGCAATACCTTTGGGCCGAGCGCGGATTCATCAACGTGCAGGACGTGGAACAATATACCTCTATTGTGACATACATATCGCAAGCCATCAATCTCCGCATCCTGCCATCTCTGAAGATTTTCGGGCGATATTTCGGGGCGGCAACGATGCTCATCGGCTCGACGTCGTTTAGCAACAACATCGGCAGGGACCTCCAAGTACAAAATATGTGTGTAGGTATTCAGATCCGCTTCGGTACAGACATGTTCCGGGGCCATAGTCTCGTCCCCGGACCAAAACATGAAGTGGCCTGCGACAATCCCGACACTGCCACTTGTGGAACATTTGTCGCTGATGGTTCTTATGGCCAACTCACGCCAGTAGAGCTGCTCTTGTACGTCCGCTTTCTTGAACGAGTCAAGGCCGCCGGGTACCAGTTCTCCGATGATTGCAGAGCCTTCGAAAATCCCGCAAGACTCATTTTGCAGCTCAATACTAAGCTGGTTGAGCAGATGAGTCTTCCCAGATCCAGAGACGCCATAAAGGCCGATGATTGTAGGTTTATCTTTGACGTCGACGGCAGCCGCTTCAATCTCAGGCCCCATCTTTGCTGACTCAGTTCGCCTCAGGTGTTGTGACATTTTGATAGGAGTCCCATGAATCTGCTGTAGTACTGACATTTTGACGGTTTTATGCTAGATAATTGTAGTTTAACAAGAACAAGGCTGTGAATCAGGGTCGACTGTTTTGAGAGGTGCTTGTTTTAATGGGTGGACTAAGGGTCTGAGGATAGGCTCCTTATGTACAGCTAGGGGCGGTGGCTAAAGTTACAAACACCCATCACATTCAAACTTTGGAAGGGCGCAACTTAGAGGAGGTCTCAGGAAAAGAAAACTCCAGTTACTGCTGTCTGCCGGTTGTGGTGCTGTGATGTTTCCTGTGGGAGGCCTACCAACTTTCTGACCGGTCAACTATCAGTCGTCGCCGAGAGTGGCGTGACCTCTCGGTTTCTCACACGACAAACAAATAGACATGCAGGAGATTCCCTGACTTTTTTGGACGGGGAGAATCTGACTGGTCCAGGGCTATGCGCCTACGCAATCTTATGCAACCTCTGGCCGTCTTGTTGATCACCCACTTCGCATACAACCAACAGGAGAGGACCACACGCCCGACGCAAGAATGAGGTTTCGAAATTATGTCGGTAATCTTTGAGTAAGTTGCTTATTGTGCCTTCAACGGTACATGGTGATTCTAAGCGGCTCCGGCATCGACGAGCTGTAAGTTTGCTGCAGTGCCTATCACCTAAAGTCTAGAACATGCAATCGCCTAGCTCTGCGAACCATATTCTCTAGAGAGGTAGCTACACAGGGAATTTGGAGGTTAGATCATTCTTGTCCATGTCCATAGTTCTTGATAAATAACTGAGAGTGGATCCTAATTCCAAGAGAGGCCGTAAATGGCTTGGTACAGCGGTCACTCGCAGTATCAGGTCAAATACATGCTTCGAGGCCATAGGGATTGTCGGATATGGAGACACTAGACCATCATGATATTTTACCTTGTATTTTTGTTCTCTCAATTCATAGCGTGTGACTTCCTTGGTCTTGCCAAAAGTCAATTGATAGAAACCGTGTTTCTTCGAGGCTATTTGTCACCCAAGAATGCAAAATAGTGAATTAATTACGGCGTCCGAAAGATGCGAGAAATATACATAGAGATTCCCTTGAAAATATTAGATTTGATGTCAGCCTTTAGAGGATTATGCCACCGCTTAATGGCACAAATAAAAGGTTATGCTAGCTTATGCCCTTCAATTGCGCTAATAGTACCGCCCTTCATTTTGCTGGTGTGATAGTAAGAAAAAGAAAAAAAGGCCTCAAAGAAGTTTTAAGACTACCTGGGCGGAATGGTTTCCTTGCCGGGCTAAGCTTTCTGTGAATCTGTCTTGGGAGGTTGGCATTCTTCATACTTCTGTTCGCTTTGTCCTTCCCACTCAAATGGTGATCTTTGCCCAGCGAACGCAGTACCTGTGTTTCTTTTTTGCAGCGTGGTAACATGGCATTCATCATATTCTGGACCTCTCATATATCCACCCCACGCCTCTCTCTTTGTGGAGTCACGAAGAGCATTTTAGCCTACAGGTGCTATCGTGTTAATAGAACAGATTTACAGACAAGTTCGATCGAGTAAGCTTCTAGTATTATGCACTGCAGTTTCGATGAAATGCTTTTACTTGCCATCATAGTTTAGCGTGATTGTTAAATTGGGATCTTATACTTGATAGCCACCCATAATACATTAGATGGCGCTGCGCACATGAAACTTCTGTTGCTAACTATACGACATACAAGGCTCGGCCTGTTCGCTCATGAACAATTTCCATTACAACCGAGAATTGTGCGCGAGACGGTCGCGGGCCTCGATTAGTCCGTGCGATGCGGTTGATATTGTATAACCACAGAGTCTTCATCACAGGACCGGATATCTTCTTCCGGGACCAACGTCTATGTCTGAATAGCAAATTGAAAGTGGGCCGGTGTCATGCACCCAGCCAGAAAACATCAGGACACGCTAAAATTTGTCCGGAATCCGAGCCACACCAACATTCGGAATTACGTGACCAGATATGAAGCACAACGTTTTGTTGATTGTAACTGTAGTGATTAGACAAAAAAGAACGTGCCCTTCAAGCATTTCCACAGGAAATCTCGCTATCAGAGCGCTTATTGGGAGGCAAAAAGAAGACAAGGTTGTTTCATATTCTTGCTAAGCAATCTGTCGAAGAGGGCGCTGTAAATTGTGCATATTGATCAACTGGATTCCCATCACAACCCATAGACGTCGACCGAACGGACAATGTCGGTCACTCTTTCGTCCCTGATCCTTGCCGAACTTGTGGCGACGATCTTCCATTTGCGGGGCGAAAGGCACAATATCCCTTTACACAGATTTGAGATGCAGAATGCGGCAAAGCGAAAAGAACAGTATACGTATGGGTTTAAGTTCTACTGCTTCTTGTGTTTGCCTAACTCGAGGCGGGAAGCATCTGGGCGATCTTGCTTCTAGCAGCGACTGAGACGAAGCACACGAGGCCCATAACTACATGTCAGGGTGATTCGCGATTTCCTCGATAAATGTCGGTGGCAGGACTAGCTTAATGCCTGTGTGTCAGCCATGTCAGAATAGCTTTGTTTTTCGTTACAAATCGTGCTTGATATCAACACCAAAAGCTTGGTCTTTGAACTATGACCATGTTTAGATTGAATGGCGCCAGAAAGATACTCATGGTGAAACATACTTTTGGGTAACCTGAATTGAGCAGGTTTCGAGTTCCCAGCACTTCTATGTGCGTCCAGTCAACAACATGAACATCGCCTGACCGCACTCCGTTACTCTTCCGTTGAGACAAGTTGAAAGGTCAGTACTAGGGGCCCCACACCTGTGAGCAGTGCTTGCAATAACGCGAGGCTCGGAGGATTGAGTACAGCATTCTATGAAGGGTAGTGCTGATATTTCGTTCATACAGCTTCTACTGGCTGATGAGCCGCTTGTTCATAAAGAACTCATCCGTATAGAATTTGTTGCCTGTAGATGCGCCTAAGCTACGAAATTGACGTTGACAAGGAAAGCCGATTTGGCAGCACCATGTACCTGATCCCTAAGGAGAAGAAGTCCTTGTTTTTCAAGACATGCTCTTGACAGTAGAGAACCCATTTGAATGAAGAATGACGAACCTAAACTTTTGGCCGGCCTTGTTAAGATTTTAGATAATTTCTATTATTATTATTATTAAATACGCCGTAGGACTCTAAGTCCCTCGGTACCTCTCCGAATTATATCGTACGGTAAACCTTGCCTTAAGGGCTGGAGAAAACCCGTACGCTTCGTGTGCTCTACGCCCTAGTGGCGTCTACGTTATAGTGTCTATAATGCGACGTTAGTTCTCACCTAACCAACGTAATTACCCCTGAAAAGACTGGCTATCCCCTATATAGGATAGTCTCCCCGTTTGTAATAGCCACCGAACTAAAACCTTCGACACTTCCGGGATTAACGTAGCCGCGGCGAGGTCGCGGCGTGTATTTAGCTTTACTGGAGCTATAAAGCTCCTTAGGCGTGCTTGTGCCTCTTCTAATAGCCCGCAAATGGAGGAATACGTGTCCGACTGTTTCGGGGGCTTCGCCACAGCGGCAGAGGGGTGTATACGCTCCGAACGCGTCTATTCTAAATAAGAAGGCTGCGAGTCCAATCCGTTCAGACCGGATTTGGAAGATTATCGTGGCTTCTCTCCTCTTGAACTTCTCATACTGCTTTAGGCCAGTTCCGGGGGCTTCATCGGCTAGTGCTCTGCGCTGGCGATCGTCTTGAGATAATTTCTAAAACACTGAATCCAATACTTGCCATTGACTATTTAATGTAGCGTATCCCACGAAGGGAACAATTCCTTGTCAGGAGCCAGTATGTTGAAGGTGTCTGGTTCGGGAAGCAACGGCTGGATAGATAGTCCATTGGTCAAGTACAAATCGGTCCCGTGTTACACTACTGGACAAAGCGACGCTGCTTATTGCTTGAGATTCGTTCGTAGCGAAAGATTGACTCTTGTCACAGCCTGCTGGCTTGAACGCCCTGCACTGTAGATTTAGTGTGAGTCGCTTGGATCGACATATATACCTGGCGTTGTTGGGCTTGACTCTTTTGCGAGGGCGTGATCGCAAGCAGTCATTTCCGGCAATTTTGCAGTTTTTGCGAGGCGTTTCTCGGTCACACTTGATCTAATCTCTTAATAAGCCACAAAGTTAGCATATGGTCGTTAAATATTCGAGATTTACCCTTTTGAGAAACCAAGGGTCGCACTGAGGGTTTTGTCAGCACTAATCAAGGGTACGAAAACAGGCAGTAACCACTATGCAATCTCCAGGATTAACCTTCTAAGGGTAGCAAGAAGGATCAGTCGCCATTAGGTCTACAGCCGATGTCTTGCTGGCGTCTGCGACCCCCATTAAGCATTCTAGGTCGTAGGCGGAAGTAACAGCAATGGATTAAGCTAAACCTGAACTCAAGCACAAATCAGCCTAGACGCCAACTTGTAGATCATTTCGAAGTAGCAAACCGATCGAGGACAGACGTTATGGTACGGTTCGGCACTTAGCCGCTACATCAGGGTCCGCAAGAGCTTGATGGCCAGCATTTGACGAAAGCCTGAATGATACAGCCTTGCTTGGCCGTATCAGAGCTTCTCTGGTTTCGGACTGTAACTAGGTATATAAGGGCTGTAATTCCCCACGTGTGATAGGGAGTAGGTACCTTGTCGGCCTTTTAGGCAGTAAGGGAAAAAGGGGGGGGGGGGGGGGGGGGGGGGGGTTAGATATGGAGACTCCAGTGTTAGAAAACGTTCCCTAACGCACATATTAGAGTTTAAGTATACCTGTTCAATGCATGGATTACTGTGAAATATCGGAATGCACTTCGTTAAAAATCGTAATACACGTTACAATAGGTCATAATCGAATTGTTTGACTACTCAGAAATTTGCTTGTTCAGTGTACAACGTGGTCCTAATGACACCGTCTGTAATGTGAAAGCGGTAATGCATGTTCCACTTCGGAAAAGATTGATAACCCTGGTAATTCGAAACATGCGAAAATCATGAGATTTTCGTATCGAACTTGTGTGGAGAGCCACCCAGCCACCACGGCGCTAGCATGGAAGTTCAAGGGTGACCAAGTGGGCCTGCACTCCAGGGTAGAAAATGGTGATATTCTCACAACGATTCTTCGGTCGTCGGGTTTTTGTCACTAATCAATGCTGAAGTGAAAAGCATTGCCGAAATACCGGTAAGCCTATTTCTCGATCACTGGCTAGGTAAGCTACTGCGCAGATCTATAAAGTAGATACGAGAATCTACCGAAGTCACTTTGATTAAATCCACGTTACCAATGACGCTGTCAAGGCCGTTGGATAATTCAAATTACTACAAGAGCTAAGTCATTTGACAAGGGCCCGGGATTTAATGTATCCTATTGGTAGCACTGTAGTTCCAGTGCTATCGTGAGGCATGTAACGAAGGGGTCTTTATCGATTATGCCGCTCCTAAACGTCAATCCAAATATATTGACTTGCAGCATCGCGAAGCCAGCTGAACTACACAGTTTGATAGGCGGAAACCATCTATGCCGCTCGATTTCACAACTTGGGTACTCCATGACGATGTACTCATACAGATATGAGGCTGGAGGAAACAACGGGATAGTCATCTCGCATGTCAGTTGTCTACAGCGCTTTCCAGAGCGAACCAAATAAGCTTCACTCGATTCGCTCAAGTTAGCGCCGACCAACATAGTTACAATTAATACATAATCAGAGGATACAATCTTCAATATGAAGTCTGTCCTCGCCACCATTTTCACAGCTACCTTCTCGCTAGCCTATTCCAAGCGAGACGCGACATGCCATGCCGTCACGGCCTTCTACGCCAGCTGCAGTCTGCATTCGCTACACTGCAAGTTTGTGATATTCGTACTGTCCCTCTCCCTCTCCTCCGCCTCTACTCCTCACGCAAACCAAGCCAACATAACACGCTCCCTAGGTACGAATTCAGAATTGACGCGGCCACGAGCTGCACCCGCATGCTTCTAGGGCCAGGATACCTCCTGAGGTGATACTCACCGGCTGCGCGGACCGGAGCTACTCCTGGGCTGTAACGATCACGGCCGATTCTGGGCTAGAGCTAACCATCACTAGGGTCTCTGACGCTGATGCTACCAAGAATCTCACCAGCACGCACCACATCGCGAGCAAGGAGCTAGTCGTCAGAGACTACGGCAGTGTTCAATATCAAAGCTATACTGGCCCGCCGGATTTCGGGGTCCAGGTTGCTTGAGTACCGTACGGGTTACAAAGCTTCCGAGTAGGTCAAAGGCGAATAGTCGGTAAAAGCGAAAACTGGTTCTAGTCTTGCGTTGATATTTGGATGCTATGCTCCGTAGCGATGTGGTACTCAAGACGTATGTGTAGCGTGCGTGTGCAAGATATCATTCCCGAATTCGAAATGAAGACACCGGTAGATAGATGCAATCCAGGTGGATTCTGATGAGGCAGGACAAATGCAGCAGCATATGACAAGTCTAGCGAACTCAAGTTGTGATAATCTCTCGAGAAAGGAAGGACTCGGTACCTCATGTCGCCGGGTGCGAGTTGTGATAAGAAACAAAACAAACAAATTTTGGAATTTTGGCGATTCGAAAGCGACTGTAGATAGTTTTTACCAAATACTTTTGTTGCTTGACCTTTCATGCTTATAGTTATTCAAATGGTGCTTAAGATGTGGGTTACAATCGAGACAAGTTTGAAGTGATGCGCATATTTCCCGGTTTTTGTACGCCACTCTAAGTTGTTCGGAATCATTGCTACTCCCGAAAAATTATAAACTTGATGAGAGCTTTGTTTATCGTTACGAACCATGTCAGCCATGTCGGCCCCTAAAGCGAGACCGCATCATGATGCGAGCCCCATAAAGATCAAACGAGGGTTGGTCATCTGATCTAACCTAATCAAGATTAGCTCAGCTCTGACCAGCTCATATGTAGCTAAAACGCTATAGTAGCGGTTACGCGCTAGCGCAGTTGAACGCGTCGGCGCGCTATTGTCAGTGTCTACGTAGTATAAAGTGTTGACATCGAAGTTCTTGGTGTTATGTTTGAGTCGGCCGAACCCTCTGACATAGATATATGGAGTCATCCTATCCAATTCGAGACGTCTTGGAGAGCCGGTCCTTATCTTTCTGGAATAACGACGGTAGTCTGTATGTTAGTAGCAGTGACATGCTTCTTCGAACGCGTGGCTTCAGACCACCATAGTTAGCAGGTCAATCCAGTATCTAGAATAGTACCGGCCGCGAGTCACCCGGGGGTCTGCATACTTACGAGAAGGACTCATGGCGTTGCTTGATAGTCGCTGATAGTGGTACAGGTCCAATGAATTCAGATCCAGATTTTTACGATCTTCACTGCTGAGAATGAAACTTCTCTTAACTTCGCCTATCCGAGAGTTCCGCCGAGCGCCGGAGTTGTTGGAATTTGACTATTGACCGCTATCAAATGGCTTCTATTACAAACCCATCTACCCGTCTTAATCAGGCCAAAGTAACAGCCATCAACGCTAAACACGGAGGACCTTGGCAGGCCTTGTTGACAGGCTTCTCCAATACATTCCGTTAGTATCTCGAAAGCACGGCGCTGAGGTATGGAGAATAACCAACCCCTAGGACGCCCGCACGGGAAATGCAACAACTCTCACGCGGACTCAGCCTTTTAATAAGACCGCAATCTGGATTTGGAAGTGGAGATTTATTAAGATATACATAATGTTTTTAAACGATGATCATTTATTTATTTATTAGAAATTAAAATCCTAAAGGCTTCTCAACATATGAGTGAAGTTCTATGTTCTGGTCGTATCTGGCGGGGACTTGTTGCATTTTCCGTGCGGGCGTCCTGCCCCCTATTCTAATCTGATAAGATCACGCATGGAGAAAAGTGGTACAATCTGGTTTGCAGTTGCCCATCCCCGCCCGTTTGGAATGAATTATACCTGATAAGGCTAGATGGAGCTACTAGTTCAGCTAACCCGAATACGGTTCGGGTTTAAAAACGTTTGAAATTCGTACCTGCTGGCTGCTGCACGCGTCAGGTACGAACGCACTAGCTTCCGAATTGCTAATCCGTTGAAGGCTAGGCCGTATCCACTTTCATGTGCAACGAAACCTCAATATCCGTACCGTCGGGTGCTTCACGATTGACCCGAATGGACCTCCTATGCAGTCTTACGTTAACAATCATAGAGTATGTATGTGTAGTTTGATGGGCGGTCATACATCGAAGACCATGTGTATGCTGTTCCTCAATTTGCTGTGGGCGATTCCTGGCGGACCCTGAACGGTGGATCTCAATAGAGTAGCTGTCAGCTCTTTTAGGGGTCCTGGGGTCCAAATTGAATCACTCTCTGTCACTCCGTAAATCCTCTCCTTTGTTGCTTTGGCCGGTCAATCAGTCTGATCCACGTTGCGTTTTCACTTCAAAAGCAACGCATGACTACGAGTATGGCTCGATGATTCACCACAAACGGCAAAGACTGTATGTACGGTAAGGCATCTGCTGTTATTTAGCTTACATGGGAGGTTGCCTGCATGAAGCCGTCGGCCGATCCTCACTACCCTTATGTACGTCCCCTGACCAACGTGAGATATGTGCATCCTATGTACGCATCCGGAGGCACTACGTAGTGGCGCATGATCTGCTGCGCCGATTTGGTTGGAGTTGGTTCGAGGCAGAACCCTTTCACCCCCCTGTAGAATGCTGACTAACAGAGCCCGTCTGGGGACTGAGTGATGCTGACGCCAAGTGGGAGCGTGCTAGAGCCTGCTAGAGGCTGTTGCCAGCCCCCAGGAGGCTGCGGATCCGTACTTGCGGAATGCCCCCACTAAAACTGCAAGAATCGTTACAGGCGCTAGCTACAGGGGCTAGCTGATCGGTGAGAGAGAACTTTCTTAAAACCTTTCCCTTTCCGTATACGAGTACAAACTCCCTTCCCTCCTCTGGCTCGCAACGATTTCGTTCCCTTCACTATCGATCGTCCTTCCTATCACCCGTTGACGAGCTTGCGCCATGGCTTCGGAGTCATTAAGCTCGAAGAGTGACCCGAAACCCCCACAGGCATTTAAGCAGAAAGCCGATAGGCCTCTGCTCAAACATGCCGAGGACACGCGGTCACTCGGATCCACCGCTCTATTCTTTGCTGTCTTTGTCTTTACTTGGCTCAACTTCAGCTCGCCTATCTCCGGCGGCCTAGTCTCGTTTATAGCCTGGTTGTCTCTGTTTCAGCTCTCCTTCATGGGTGCAGTCTCGACGCACAATGCCATCCACGCACCTTTATTTTGGAGTTCGCAGTGGAACAGCCTCTATCAACTCTGCTTGTCGCTGCAGTATGGCTTTCCCGTCACCGTCTTCATTCCTGGCCATAACCTGTCCCATCACAAGCATCCCCAGCAAGCCAGAGATTTCAGTGAGTTCATCGCACACCTCCATTTTGCACCATGCCATGTCTCCTAAAGTGCTAATATGGTGGATTAGTGCGTACCACCAAGGTTCACTACCGCTGGAATCTCCTGAATGGGCTTCTCTTTTTCTGGCACGTTGTGTTGACGGGAGGCGATGACGAAAAGATGTACTTCGCTGCTCAGGCTCGTCACAATCGACCCATTGTACGGCAACGACGGCTGGAGCAGGTGGCGGTCTTCGGTACCACAGCGGTGCTGCTTCTTCTTGACTGGCGTCGTTGGATCTGGTTCGCCCTAATTCCGCAGTTCTACGCAAAGTACTGCATCTTGTCATTGAATTTGCTGCAGCACGATGGGTGCGATGTTACTTCCAAGTACAACTTTGCACGTAATTTTACCGATCCGCTACTCAACTACCTTTGTTTCAACAACGGTTTTCATACCATTCACCATCTCTATCCTGGCCTGCATTGGTCAGTCCTGCCGCGGAAACACGAGGAGCTTATTGCCCCCCACATCGCCCCCAGCTTGGAGGACCCCAGCATCCTAGCTTATATGTGGCGCACGTTTGTTTGGCCAGGCCTCCGGCTGGACTATCGCGGAAACCCAGTCGTCTTCACCAAGGAGGAGATGGAGATGCAAGACGAGCCGTGGCACTATGACGTGGCGGAGACCTTTTCTGAAAACAAAGAGTACCTCCCTGCGGGCATGAAATGAGGACATACCCACACATAGCCCAAATTCGCAGCAACCGGATCAGCTTGGACTTAGATGATGGCGTCCTTGGGGTTAGGAGGGTATATGACCGTCTTCTGGCTTATATGGCAGGACGCTGTGGACTCGGGACTTAGAGCAACAGTCAACCACGCTTACAGTCTTCTTGAAATGAACGTCCACCTGTCTCGGCCCAGACATGACATACACCTCCGGTCATGCCGCTACATAGATTCACATGAGCTATGCATTAATGAGAACTTATCATTGCCTAGACTTGTGTTTCGGATGCTAAAGCACAACCAGTAGCAATTTTGTGCAAACGAAGCTTGAGCCTGCATCATCTCTGATCCGTTGAACATCGCTTTGATCTGCAAACAAACTAGGCAAGGTATGATGATCTGGAGCTGTTGTCAGACGAAATGGAACCAAAACTACCATTAAAGGCTGTATATAGTACGGATAGGCGGATCTTTCGCGGCATGGACGCAAGGACTTCCCACAAGTTGGCGGCTGCCCCCGACTGGCTACGGTCTGGTAGGACATGTAACATGAACATTGTTAGCACAATCATCTTGGCCCATGTGCCTAAGGTTATCTACATCAGGCGCTTTATCGCGCCGAGAATCGCTGTATCAGCCAAGAGCACGGTATTAACGTCAGAGCTAATCTTAAGCCAAATTTCAACCGCGTAGTGAGATAGCTGGTCATTACTTTGTCTTTCACAAGATTCTTCAGTTGACCATTGATTCTATTTGCGTTTGAGAAATGCACAGTCCTGGCGAAATACTCTAACAATGCCTAGCATGTCAGTCATGGCCAGTATTCGGCAACTTGGCCTGATATGAGTCCCGATAATGGTCCAGTAAGGCGCTCGAATATTTTGTGCGCTTCCTTATGACCGTCCTCTTCTTCCTGGCTCGCAAGATCATCGGGGGAGGATTGTAGACTGTAAAGATGGGAACATAATTCGGCGGCTATACAGGAATTGGCCATATGAGAATATTCATGTCCTCGATTCTACAGATTACAATTCCCTCATCATTGATGCGTCTTGTAAAATTCTGACAGGATGTGACTCAGTGTTTTTCCAATGTTGCGTCGAGGAGTTTGTCGATCAAGGTCGAATATGCATCTCTTCTCTTTTTCTTCTCCTGTTTCTTCTTCTGTTTCTTTCTCTTCCTTTCTTGTTCCTCATTGAAACATTTGATGCCTCATTTAGTGTGTCTGAATTAGTAACATCATCATACCAGTCGAGCTATTCGCAAAAGCCTGGTAGGTTGCTATGACATCTTCGGAGTGTCGGATCATCGAAACATCATATCACATAGGTCCAACCAGCCTTTGGACGAAACTTGACCCCACTACGCTCTTGAATGCCTTTCGCAGCCGATCGTGCAGCTAGCACTATATCCGCCTCGTCACCGCACATAAGCTTTTTATCCTGAACCAACATCAAGCCATCAACCATGACATGAGTCACATCCTTTCCCGTACAAGTTCCACCTACCAAGCTGACAGGGTCCATACCGCCGGGCATGTCTTGATCCCATGGCGCTGCACAGGCTCCTTGGACGTCGAGAACAACCAGGTCGGCTTTCTTACCGACCTCGATACTCCCAATCTCTCTCTCGAGGCCCAGTGCCTTCGCACCGCATATCGTAGCCATCCCCAAAGCCTCGTGAGTGCCGACCGCCGTAGCGTCCAAGGTAGCTCCCTTATGCACAATTGAAGCCAGGTGCATCTCGCGTAGCATATCGTATGAATTGTTGCAAGGCGCCCCATCCGTGCCCAACGATACATTGATCTCGGCCTCAAGCATACGCGGCACCTGTGCGATCCCTGAGGCTAGCTTCAGGTTACTGGTTGGATTATGCGCCACCGTCGTTCCGGTCTCGCGCAAGATCGGGAGGTCGGTATCCAAGTCGAGGTGGCACATGTGGGCCAAGACCATCCTTGGCCCTGCCAGGTTCGCGTCGCGACAAAACTGCATGGGCGTCCGTCCTGCGTAGACCTCACGAAAGATGGGGAGATCTTGTGGCGCCTCGGCGCAGTGCATGGTGATGCCGATGTCACGCGCCCTGCATGCGCGGCCAACCTCTGCGAAAGATGAGAGCGGGGCTCCGCGCGGCGTGCCGCATGCTGCCCATACGTGTATGCGGTTGTTGCTGGAGCCATGAAACTTGTTGTGAGCTGACATTAAGGACTCGATACTCATATGCGAGAGATCTTTGTCACGGGCGTCCGAAATGTTGAGTGCCGGATTAGTCTCGACAAATTTTACCAGCTTACCCTACTGTGATGGTGAGCAATTCACTTTCTAATGGCGGCGCGGGGACGACATGTAACGAACCAGACATGCGCGAATGCCCATCTCAGACACCGCCCGCGCGACGTTGGCAAATCCACTTCCGTGTGTTAACATGGCTTCCAGAAAACAAGTCGTCCCGCTCAAAAGCATCTCAGAGATAGTCGTGCGCGCGGCAATATAGCCGTCGGCGTCATCCCCCTCTCCTGCGTACGCTGCCTCGAGGGGCCATATACGATCACAAAGCCAGGAATGCAGACGTAAATCCTCCGCCAATCCGCGAAGCAGTGACTGAGCCAAATGTGCGTGGGTGTTTATCAGGCCCGGTATCATAATCCGGCCAGGCAATGATAAAACATTTGTGTCTGCTCTAAGAAATTCCGGCTCTTGCGGTCCAACATGGAGAATTCGGGATCCTGAGACGAGGACGTAACCCTTTAGGATGACTCTTCGCGAGGAATCTACCGTAATAATAGTAACGTCCTTGAAGAGGGTCGAATCTGCCTGCTTTGCCATATTTCCGCTGGGGCTTCAAGAACCACGGCGCGGTCAGATCAGTACAACTGAATTCACGAAAGCTTTTTGTTCACAACCAAAAGGTCCGCAACAAAACGTCGTCTCGTTTTATAATATTGGTGAATGTTGCCTCGGCTTGACACAAATACCGATGAAGGCATAGGAACATCAACCATCAACCACACGGTGAGTATGGCACTACCCTGTTATGGTAGCGATTGCCGCAGGAGCGGCGGTGCAGGAGCAAGAGAGTAAGGCGATAAGCCAGGCTCATTTCTCCGCAGTCGGGTAGCTCCGGTCAGATAGGGTGCATGCCGGATGGTGAGTGTACGAGCCAATCAATTCCTCACGCTGGAGTGACATACATCAGAAAATACTCATGCGGCGGGGCAATTTGGATCAAGTCAGCCGGGGAAGCAGTATCTTGGTGAGATATGTGGCAATCGGTTGCGCCGCTCCGATCCTCCCCAGGTACGCGTCTTCAGGTAAGCAGATTGTATGGTGACTACATATAGGCTCGATGCTTTTGACTCGCCCGAAATTTCTAAAGCGTTCATCTCGTGCCACTTATTTAGCGTGTCTCAGATCGAGTTCCGTTGTTGCCAAGTTCGACATGACCCTTTTTGCTCAGAAGGAGGCGACCGCTAAAACCTCTGGACCGCAGTACTCGGAATCTGCAACAGGTCTAGGGCAAATTTCCGATTCAAGTTGGAGGAATGAGCTGTCGTATCTAAAGTGGTATTTCACGACTAAGGAAGGTTGGTTCGGGGACTATGTAGGTTCATGTTTTTTCAGTCTTCACTTCTTCAAAGGAGTCACTGCTTTAGTGGGCGAATTCCCCCTATAATACTCGTTTCGCCGGTCTGACTGTATATAAGTATTAACAGCTCGTAGGACTACCTCTATCTCATTACGCCTAACTTATGGCCGTTGAATAAGAAGTATAAGGGCTATAAGGCGCCTTTCTACGGACTGAACGACGAGGTGCCCGTCCTGCTAACCGTCGTTCTCGGGTTACAGCATGCGCTATGCATGATTGGCTCCGTCGTGTCGCCGCCATTGGCCATCGCAGGTGGTGCCTTCTACTTCGACTCGGCAACGACGCAATATTTGGTGTCAGCCGCATTCATCACCACCGGCATCGCAACAGCCTTGCAGGTAACGCGAGTCCACATCACCAAAACGCCCTTCTATATCGGCACCGGGCTACTGTCTGTCGTCGGTCCAACGTTTGATATCTTACCCATCGCCTTCAAGTACACAGCCATGCGTTATGCAAACGGAACGTGCCCGACCGCCGAGGATGGCACGCAGCTCCCTTGCCCAGAGGCCTGGGGCGCCATCCTTGGCTCAATCCTCTGCACTGTCTGGGTGCAGATTCTTATGAGCTTTGTGCCATCCAAAATACTTAACAAGATGTTTCCAAAGGTGGTGACAGGAAGTTTGCTGTTGTTGGTTGGTGTCTACTTGGTCGGAAATGGGATGAACAATTGGGGCGGCAGTAGTAATTGCCATGGCGGCGTGGGCTACTATACTCTCTGCCCCGATATCTCCGCTCCACGGCCGCTGCCTTGGTAAGTCAGTAACCGTAAAAAAGTAAATCTTCAAATTCCGAATTCATCTGACTTGGATAAAACAAACTCTAGGGGCGATCCAAAACTTATCGGTCTCGGTTTCACGGTCTTCGTTACGATTGTATTCGTGGAACAGTTCGGTGCACCACTAATGAAATCGGCTTCTATCATTATCGGACTTCTCGTTGGCTGTCTTGTGTCTGCACTCACGGGATTCTGGTCCATGAGCAACGTCAACGCTGCGCCAGCTGCGACGTTTCTGTGGATACATACGTTTCCTCTATCTGTAGATGGCGCCTTGATACTTCCCCTGATTATCATGTTCATCTGTGAGGCTGTATCGTGCATGCCTGATATCCTCGCCACAGCAGAGATCAGCAATGTTGACATCGAAGGTAGAGAGTTTAACGCAAGGGTCCAGGGAGGAATTCTGTGTGATGGACTAGGCAGCCTGATTAGTGCGCTGGGAACCGGTTCGCCCATGGTGAGGTAAAGTATTTTAAAAGTTACCTCTGCCTTTATCTCCCTTGGGGCGGAGATCGCTACTGTGAAACTACTTCCTTCTATATTGCACCATAAGACCGCGAAATGTTGCTAGAACTAATCTGTGGATAGTCAAGCGGGGAACAACGGCGTCATCGTCATAACAGGTTGTGCCTCACGACGTGCCGGCTGGTGCGCCTCTGTATTCCTGGTATTGATGGGTGTCTTCGGCAAGTTTGGGGCAGTCTTCGGAGCGATGCCACCATCGGTGCTGGGCGGCATGCAAGTATTCCTCTACAGCACGATTGCAGTAGCGGGCCTGCGGGTGCTAGGGCTAGTTCGATACACTCGGCGTAACCGATTCATCCTGACTGTTGCGTTAGGGATCGGATTTTTGGACGTCACTCAACCGGATTGGTGGGATAGCATGTTGACATATTCAGGGTCTAATGTCGCTCTGTCTGGTTTCGAGCAAGGTCTCAATCTGATGATACAGACGCCGTTTATCATTGCTGCGGTGCTCGGTGTTCTCCTCAATCTAGCCTTACCGGAAGATGCTAGTCAGATGGATGATATGCTAGGAGACCAAGATGGGCGGGTCTTGCTTCACAAAGAGCATTGAAGGTATTGTTTACAGGTGTTGGACTAGAGGAGCATTATAATAGGTCATGAAAGCATCATCAAGAACTTTTGGTGAAAAAGAGATAGCGATATTCATAATATCGTAACTGGTGGACCGATCTGCTGCCTATCGAAATCTTAATGGAGTCATAAGCGTAATGCTAGTTAGCTAGCTGGACTAAGAAGCAGTTCGCACTTTTATCCGAACCATAAGATCTACCTATGACGATGGTAATAATGTGAAATAAGCTTTCTAAGGCATGCCATTCCTATTCGACAATTGCTCCTAATTAGTAAGTCTCGGAAAATTTTATATAGGCAACTTCGAACAAGAAGCGATTGACTACAACCATATCAGAAATTGAGCCTTCGTCTCAATGTTATTTTTCGTCGCCATGGTGCAAGTCCTCTTCAAATTCTCAAGGTTTACAGGTTAATAGCCTACTTGAAATTTTCAAAACCCTGTCAGGTTTGAATCTCAACCTCAATATCGTCATCTGGCTCCACAATAGCGGCGGTAACATCAGCGTTCATGGTAGTTGGAAGCTTCCATTCGCCTTATACAAGCTTCAGGTCTAGTCTTCCCCAAGGTTCAAAATCCCCATGGATAATTTGATCTGGCGTTTGCATGATATCCCTATTAGCTTCGAATTCCTTTTGGTCTTCAAACCAATTATCGCTCCACATGGGGACCATTCCAGCACAGCCCAAGCGCGATCGTCCAATGTCACATGCTTACAAGCTAATCCGACACTTCTAACAAGTTCTTACTGCTGCTAATCTGCTTATTTCAGGCATGATTAGGGATTGGCCGGCTTTGCACGTTTTAATGATGGAAAACAATAGGTTGAGCAGTGGAATGTGAACAGAATGAAAGGGAAGTCAGAAGCACTTGCATCCCGCCACGCAGTCCTGGCCTTATTCTCGATGTCCTGAGCTAACTTCATGAGTTCCTGGTGCATGTCGTTCATATGCACGGTCAACTTGTCCCAGTTGTGAATGAGAGCTATTTGGGTACTACGTTCGAGGCGAGCCGTGCGTTTTGAGTACCGTCCTTTGTAAGTCCGAGTCCATTCCTGACGCATGCTATTTAATGAGTATGGTGTGCCGGCCATGTATTTGCGGAAGGCTTTGAGCAGTTGGATGATGGTAAAGTACGTTTTGGACTTGCTGAAAGATTTATCTTCGAATAGTAGCGACTCTAACTTGTCGCCATCCTCTGCAAGTAATTCGATCTTTAATTATTCTCATCGTATTAGTGATTATCACATGTTATCTGAGATGTTATTGCTGGCGGGAGGCATGGGGGTGGAGGTTATATTTAAAAACTATGACTCTCATCTGTTCGTCCCTGATGTATTGTTTACACAATGTGTATATATATAAAAGTGTGAGTGCTATAAAGGCAGTGCGTGATAAAGGCAATATCTGTAAACCATCTTGGAAGAATATATCAAATATTATTACAGTCAAGTTGATACAATTCCAGTGTGTTCCTGCTCGGATGTGGGTGAACAAATAATTTTTCTTTTATGACATTGGCCGGTTGTAATCTAGCTCCTCTAGCATCGTGATGATGTCCCGAGGGGTGGAGTATCATTGCCAATGTGACGCTGGTTGCGTCTAAGCCACGGGGACCTGCAACACTCAGCGAAGTGTCGTCGGTCGTGTGGAATGAATTTGGCTAGAATATACGAAAACCCAACATTAGCTGAGGTGAGGTCAGCCAAGCTTTCCTGATCTTAAGAGCCGCCCTGACAGCAAAACGATAACCGTCTTACCGCTCCAGATATGGAGTGCTGTGCCGCCGGGCCGCTTTTCGGTTGATGTGATTTTGGGCCTTGGTGTTGGGGCTTGAGAATTATATCCTTTAAGATCATGCATATAGTTAGCGGTTGCGTTTCCATTATGTGATGCTCTTGGAGATGGGGCCATATCTACTTGAGTATTTACAGACCGTCATCTTCTGTTGTAGAAGGAGTGGGACTTTGTTTGCGTGCAACATTATGTCATTAGGGTATGGCCGTCATTGTCTTGTATGCCATGCTCTTGATTAACTGGTGCTGTTACGTCCGCTCCCACGATCATCTCATCGATCCTTACCAAACGCTTAGAGTTGCTGGCTGCTGTGTGTAAGACAGCTATCGATGACTTCAATAATTTTACATACCAATTTCTGATATAAAGAATGACTAATCATTTGTAAAGCTTAGAACTTTAGTTGATGTAAGAATTTTGAAACGCAAAGCTTCAGGAACTATAGAGTATTACTCGGGAAATACGACCCTTTACGTTAGCTGATAATGCTATTCACATAGTATTATTGGCCTCGCTACTAGCGCGTCGATGAAAGCTTAATTTCCGGCACTGGTATGGCATTATCACTTCCATGCCTGTTAATAACGGTGCCAAAGCTTCTTCATAGTCAAAATAACCCACATATGGTGCTACTCCAAAGGCAAGAAGCATTATTTATTGATTCTTTGAGGGCCGATATTGAAAGGAGGGGACTAACATTAACGGCACGTTAGCACAGGCAAAATAACATTATGTATTTTTGCTAACGTTAATTACACCTTCGGCACTAGCAATCCACCGCGCACGTTGATTCTGTTAACAAAGGTTGACACGTGAGGGTTTCAACTGTGTACTGTTGCGCATTTCTCTAGGTCCACAGCATCGCCGATATTAAGAACACTATAACCCTTACGACTACCATTTTATTATCAGAATCCATAACACTCATGCAAATGACCAGCCACCCGTCTTACCAGCAAAGAACCCATCCGGATCATACTTGCTCTTGATCTTCTGCAACTCAGCGAAGCTGCCGAACGTGGCCAACGGGTTCTGGTCCTTGGCTGCCTCGTTCAAGAACAATGGTAAATCCGGCGCATCGGGCGTGGCCGCCACCATCTTCCGGAAGCTTTCCTGGATGGCGTCGTAGACCGAGTCGAGCAGCAGCGGCGGGGTGGCGATGTCGTAGGCCGTCCAGAACCAGGGACCATCGGGCAGCTGCATTGCGTTGCCGCCGTTGGCATTGCTCCCATCTGTCAGGCTGCGCGCGACCGGGTACATGTACAGCCCGGTGTGTATGTAGCTGCCCTTGTTGGTATCGGCCCAGGTCCGCCAAGTCTCGAGCGCCGTCCGGTAGCTGTTGTCCTCGATGTGGTGCACGCCGGATCGGAAGACGTTGTCGGCCCTGGTCAGATCCGCCGTGAATGGCAGCGGCATGTTGGCCACTTCTGTGTAAGACTTGATCGAGCGGGTATCGATCAGGTGCGGTATGCTGGTGAAGTTGTCAAAGGCTGTTCCTGGGTCCTCACCATCGTATACAAGGAACAGAACGATAGCCTGGTCCAGGTTCAATGTGAGATCGGGTGTTGACAATTTCTCGTATGTCGGCAATATCGTCGCTTTAGAGTCGGTGTTGTACGCGATGAAGTCATGTATTGCCTCCAGCACCTCGTCGCAGTAATCAAACAAATACACGATGTTTCCAGCGTAGAAATTTCCGATAGGGCGAGTCTGCACGGTGTACTTTGTGACAACGCCATATGCGTTACCGCCACCACCGCGCAGCCCGAGAAAGAGATCGGGGTTCGACGTGTTCGAAGCAATGACAACGTCACCGCTCGGAAGAACAACCTCAAGCTCCCGGAAAGAGTCGCAGGCAATGCCATACTGAGGCGACAGGTAGCTGAGACCGCCGCCCAACGCCAAGCCCGTGCCAACGCCCGCCAACCTGCCGCCCATCACCGTCCTGCCTAGGGGCTGGTAGTACTCGTACAGGTCACCCCAATTGCTTCCGGGCTCATAAGTCGCAAGCGTGGAGGTGGCATCGTAGGACTTTCCAGTCATCTGTTCCAGGCTAATCAAGACACCACTATCGACGGACGAGAAGAAGGTGTTTGGATTGTGTCCGCCGGCCTTGATGGCGAATCTCGAGCCTGCTGACTTGATGGCCTCAAGAGAGATCGAGACATCCTGTGCCGACTCCGCATACACGATGCAGGTAGGATCGTACGCGCTCTGGCGTGCGTTCCAATAGTCTTGCGTTGTGGCGACGTACTTGGGGTTCAAGGAAGTCGACACGACCTTGCTACTGCCGAGCGACGAGGTGATATTTGCACAGGCAACCGACCCGGGGGTCGAGACGGCCAACGCACTGACGACGGGCGCAGCGGCAACTGCAAGAAGCAGATACGGTGGGGACGTGATCATCATGAGCGGTCAGGGGCCAGAGTAGTACGAACGCAGCCGACAGAGCCTCAAGTCCCCAATCACACAGTCTTCGGAGAAGGTATAAATACCCATCTTGTCTTATACATGTCGAACCACTGTCATGGTTATTAAAGAAATCCTGCCGCTCATACGCGAGGCACCCGTTGGGCTCGGCACTTGGGTGAAGCGCCAACAATCAGAACCAGTACTTTCGGGCTACAGCTTTGTATGCCACTTGCATCATCGGTGGGGAGCTGCAGACTGACATATGATCCACAGTTACGTGCAAAGGCAAATGAGCTCGTATAGTTTTGTGTGGAGAGAAACTTCTCTTTCCGGCAGTCTCGGCGCACCACGCGGTCGGTTTTGTGATGGAACTTGTATTGCCGATTGGCCCCTCTTAAGTTTCCCTTCGTCATATGGCTTTGGAACCATTGAGACTGGTCTCTGGAAAAGGGTTCCAAAACGTCACTGCAGCCACCCCATTCGCTTGTTTGCGACATACATATAATCCTTTCCATGGAAGTGACCCAGCTGGAATGTAGCTGAACTGTGGATATCCGCAATTATCCTTGCAGGACCCCACCTGTCAAAACAGTATCGCTTTCAATAGTGCAATCCCAACCCTTGCAAAGCCGTCAGCCCGTTTGCAAGACTGCTCAGGATTTTTGCAGAAATTGTTGCGATTCTTGTCAGTGACAGTCCTCTTTTCGGCCTGGACTCGGCTTGCCGGCCCCGTCTTTACTCGAAGCAGCCATACCTCGCTTAAATACTGTGCTATCTTTGGAATCTCGGTCGAGACTCTTCCACGAATTTGGGGAACGCGTGGATGCAAGACCACGTGGTGATGCGGAAAACTGACGACAGACATCCGTTCAAGGCCTCGGGATGGATCGTGGAAACTGCGTAGAATTAGCAGCACATTTCCCCGGCCATCTCCCATGATTGAGTCGTAGTCGCAGAAAAATTAACGTCTTAAAACCCTGCTTTGGTGGAATTCGGACCTGCAGGTGCTATCTCTCGATACAGCTGCAAGCGCAGAGGTCCTACGGCTAAATGACACGCTCCGGCGCATACCTATATAGCCCCTTGGCTTCAACGTCGCTGCCATACAGTAATCATGCACCATACCTTGAATATCGAAGTGCTTTATTCGGTATAGTTCTCAATATTTAACAGCGTGCGTGATCGCATCATCCTCCGTCTTGACCACATCGACCTCGGCCTTGATCTTCTCAATCTCCTCCGTCTTGACCTCCTCACCCGCCTCCCCTTTCACCTTCCCACCTCTGAATGCCTTTCTAAGCTCGCACTTGCCCAGGTTCTTCCCGCCGGCCTTGCACTCGTCGCACTTCTTGCCGTGGTTGATAATGAGTATGTGCAGTGCGTACTTGTCTTCGTCCGGCACCCTGGCATCAAGGTGCGCGTGCGCCTCCTCCCTGTTGCAGTCCTTGGGTCTCCAGCCTAGCAGCCCCGTGATGCGGTGCACATGCGTGTCGACGGCGAAGCTCTCCCTCCTGAGACAGAAGAGCAGCACGCAGCTGGCCGTCTTGGGCCCGACGCCCTGGAACCCGAGCATCTCGCGCATGGCGTCCTCGTCGCTGGCCCCGAAGAGGTGATCGAGGGAGTACTCGCCGTACTTTTCCTTGGCCTGGTTCAGAATGTCGATGATGACCTTTGACTTGGACTGGGACAGACCTCCGGACTGGATGGTCTTCTGGAGCCTCGGCTGGCCGCCCGCGACGATGGCGTCCCACTTGTCGCTACCGCCGTACTCGCGGTCCATGGACAGCTTGGCGCGGGTGCTGTTCTTGTCGCTCGTGTTCTGGCTCAGGATGGTGCGGACAAGCGCGTCGAGCACGGAGCGAGAGTCGCCGCATCCAGCCCGATCAGCTGGGGCGACGACTTCCTTGGGCCGCTCCCGGTCGCCGTGTAGCCCCGCGAGGATCTTGCGTGCTAGCTTGCATTCCTCGGGCGTTGGGTGTGCGAAGTCCGGGAACGGCGACTTGTTGCTGAACGCGGCATATTGCTTCAGCTTCTTAGCCTGCAACCCTGCTGCCTTTTCGGCCTTCGTCTTCTCGGTCCCTGCTGCCTTCTTCTGGTGCTGCGGACTTGGGGACTCTGCTTTCAGTTCCTCGTGATCTGGTTCTATCTTGACCTTCTTCTTCTTCCGCGACTTCGTCAGTGATTCTGATTCTGATTCTGATTCAGGCTCCGATTTAGCCCGCTTCCTAATACCCTTTGGGGTCGCAGAGGCTGCCGCTGCACGCTTGGTGATGCGCCGCGGGTTCGGCGTCTCATTATCCTCCTTCTTGACCACGACTTCTTCATCGAAGGACTCCTCCTTCTTGAGGTTTCTCTGACTGCGTCGTGGTGCGACTGCAGTCGCCGTTCCTCGCGCCATGATCCCTTGACCGATCCTGGACGTTCTGAAAGCCAAATTTGATCTGATGATGTATCTCAACAGCATAGGATGTCTCCAGTAAAAACAATTTATAGTAATCTTGCTAGAAAAAGCATTGCCAAGAAAGTAATGAAAAGATCTAAGTTGGGAAATAAAACGTCTCTAGATCTTGGTCCCTCGCTCGGGAAAGCAAAAAGACCACACCCGGCCGGATCACCAGGCCTGAAGTGGTGATGTCACCCGTGTCGCTGGTATGTGCAGGCGGTCGGTTCCTGCGCTAGCGTTTGCTGGGGCCTCTCAATTAACAGCGATGATTTTAGGCGCTAAAATCCGGGGGGCTTTTCCAGCATGACCGATGTCACTGTCGCCTCAGGCATTTAACGTCAAGTTCAAAGCCATTCTTCAGCATTAGTTTGCGTTTTGCAGCAGCAATCGGCTTTGTCCTATCCACGATGTTTCCCCGGGGAGTGGGGGGTAATCAACAGGCTCCACCACGCAAGAAGGTAGCATGCTTGATCACAACGGTAATTGCTCATATGAATATCCCAACGCCAAAACGCAAGCTGACAGATCGAAGAGTGATGGGACGATGTATACGAGTGTTGGCCCAGGAATTAGTCTAGGCCTGTTTTGTGCATTTGCGCACGTGTCACGTAGAACAGGAACCTTTTGGTTATAAATGGATAACACACTCTGCATAGTCTAAGGGTATAATGGTAATAACACAATCTCGTCAAGCGTTGCGGTTCATCAAGCTGCTCCTCCGTCCCAACCCAAGCCACTTACGCCGTACACTTTGCCCACTTTGCGGGGTATTCGCATTTGATAAACATTCTGCCTCGCCATGGTCCTGCTGATACATCTTGGGTGTAGCGGAGTGCACACGACGTGGCGTCAAGGGCCTTTGACTGCTGCTGTCCATGCTGGTGCCACCAGGCGCGCCTCGTTTCCGCATGATAGGCGGTGGCGTCGCACTTGACAAGTCATCATGGAAGACAGCTATAGGGGCTCTCCAAGGCAGTGTTGCTGGTGGCGGCACGCTGGAGCGCCCGGTGGGGCCATCCTTCCGAGGATGTGCATGTGTCGATTGCATCTGCTTGCCAGAGGAATTGGCTTCTGCGGCACTTCTTGGCACCTCTTGCATGTCCTGATTGCTTCCAATTGACCTCTTGAACAACCTGTTCAGTGTACCAGATTTTCTCAGTTTCGTTGGCTGTCCTGCAATTGGGGGATACTGGTTTCCTTTCGAATCGCCCGTTCCATCACCGATATAACTTTGCAAACTTACAACCGGCGGACGCATACTAGCAGAATCAACGCTGTTGCTCCTTGTTTTCTTCGAAATATGGCTCACACTGCTTCCCCGAACGAGACTCTTCTTAGATTTCCCGGTCTCTGGATGATTTGAAGTGCTAGTCATGCTGCCAGTACGGGCAGAGCGGCTAGAGCGCCGAACAGGAGGCGGGATCCCACCATCGGGTGCTCTTGGATCCGGTGCATGATACATGCCGCCATGTGGAATTATTAAAGTAGTCGGTTGCTCGTCCATAGGGTCACGTCTCAAGTCCGGCACAGGTGTGAATCCCGTCCCTCGCATCGCGCCCAGTATTGCATCTGTTTCCCACCGTCCTGATTCTGTCGGAAAATTGAAAAGATCAGGCGATGAGATGCCATCATCCGTTACCCTGACATTGGGCTTTACGCTTTCATGCATCCAGTAATCGATATCACTGGCTTCTGAGTGAGCATCAGCACCTCCATCTGTATCAGACTCGGAGCCCCAGCTGTTTGCCCGATGACGAGACATCGGCGTCTCGTCCGCCGATGTGGGCCGCTGTGATTGTACTTCAGAATAATATTCAACGTTGGCGCGGGCTGTTTTCATGGTAGGGCCTAGAAGGTCCGTCTGGCCCGTCACGACAGGAACTGGAGCCAGGTGTGAGAACTTGCCCTTGGCCAATTGCGGAGAAATCTGGGGAGGAAGAGCTATTGTTGGTAAGGCTTTAATATCATGGACAATCTCGTCCTTGGGCAGACCCCTTGAGTTCTTTGTTAAGGTATCGTTAGAATTATGGTAGCGGCGTAGCATTGAGCTTGACGTAGTATCGGGAGTTGGAGGGAGCATTCGAGCATTTGCAAAATCGGTCGTCTTGGGCGAGGTAGTGACCACTCTGCGCAGCGCCTCCCGCTTCTCTTGTTGCGTTCTGACCTGACTTCTAGCGCGTCTCGACATAGGAGGCTTGGCCGTGTTCACATGACTCGACGTAGATGGACGAGAAGAGTTGTTCATGGACAATTTGTCTTCGACTCGCCCTGTTCGCTGCGGAGATGGGCTGATATCGAGGACGTCGCTGAAAGATTGCATTTGGGATGCCAGACTGGCGTCTTCCCTGGAGACGTCCCTGAGTAAATGACTCCGTGTAATGCTACTCCCTTGACTACTGCTGTGCCCTAGACTCTGTCCCTGAGAGAAATCTGGCATCCTGATCCTATCCGGTACCACTGGATCCTCGAGACTTGGGGGTGAAGGCATCTGTTCCGGAGTTCTGGCAGTATTACCGTAGACACTCATGAAAGAGCTTTCGCTGAGAACACTGAGGCTTGGACTGGCAAGTCGGTTGAACTCGCTGGGAGCAGCACTCATGTCAGAGATCTTGCGCATGTGAACAAAGCTGCTCTTGTTGTTCAGAATCATGTCACGTAAATTGACTGTTCGCTCGCCGTGCTCCGATAAGAAGCTGGACATGCGCTCCAGCGTTCTTGGGTCACCCAGACGACCAGCAAGGTCGGTTACTGGCCGTAAGCTTGGTGAGTTCGACGCAGATAATGCTGGCATAGCGGATCGAGTTGGTCCATCTAGGTGATCTTGCGCTGTAGGATCTGGAATGTCTGCTTCAACCATGCGTATCATCTTTTTCTCTCGCTCCAGCTCGTCCACTCTAGATTGCAGGTCCACGATCATATCAATAGCCTCAAACATAGCCCTGTCGCGTCTGTCGAGTTCTCCGGTTAAGTCGTCATATAGTTTCATGGTCTCGGTGCTCTGCGCCAGCATAATTGCGTGTTCCTTTGACATTCTTTGCGTTTCCTGGGACATTCTCTGGGCCTCTTCTGAAAGCCGTTTTGCTTGCTCTTCCAGAGCTGTCTGCCGTTCTCGACGGTGGTATAACTCTAGTTTCATATCCCAGTTTTGCTTCTTCAGTGTTTCAATGGCCTGAATGACATGTAAGTTACAACAATACTGGGATGGAAGTAGACTGCTTCATACCCGGTCAGTCTCATTGCTCCCCGTACTATTCAGTTCGCCCTCGTTGCTATTATTGGATTGTACCCGTCGTACCATGGCAGCGGCGCTCTGTCGAGCTGGCGAGCTTCGTATGACATTGTCTCCGTCTCGAGTACGACCAGTCGATGTACTCATGTTTCCCTCGCTCATCTTCTTTTCTGCCCGCCGTTGTTGTATCTTTTCCTGCAGAAAAGTCGAAGGCTGAGATATGGTGGCACTGTCGGAGCCGCAGTGGTTGTGGTGGAATCGGTGAGAGTGCGAGCTTGTTGTGCTCGTCCGGGAGGGAGCTCGGGAGCTCCCCGGCCGTCTCTGGCCTTCGGTGCCGTCCATCTTTCAGGTGCAGAAGCGGTGGTGTTGTGGAGAGATAATGTCTAGGCGCAGTAGGGATGTGACGAGAGCACAGAAGAAAAGCTAGCCTGTTGCCATTCACTGGAGGCGCCGATTGTTTGGCGCCCTCCGCCGTGGTCCCTTAGGTAGTAAGGTGCAAGAAGAGCATTGAATGGCTGGCTCGCTGGCCAGATATCAGCCAGATGTGATCAACGAAACAGCGTATAGGACGGGACGGGGGAGGCGCACGGCTCAGTGACCGAAAAATCAACGATTTTGTGAGTGATAGTAGGGCACTTGGACTATGAGAGTTGTCTTTTCGTATGACAGTCAAAAGACCTCGAAATGTCTCTGAAATGTGCCAGAAGAGATGCAGAAAGGACGTCTATAGCAAAGGCTATTATTGTTGCTTGGACCCCCGGCGCTCGCTTGGGATGCCGGTTGTTAAGCTACCCTGTAATAAGCTCTACCGACTGATAATGTAACGCCATGCACCCAAGGTTCGTCACGGTAGTAGCTTTGGGGCAAGTAATTGTTTGACAGCAGACAGAACCGCTCAGGTAAAATGAACTTATTACCAAGTCAGCAGTTGTCTGCGTTTGTCGTCCTGTAGAGCAGGCAAGGAGAGGTGCTGAAGAATGCGGGACAGCCAGTGCTGGAGTCAGGGCACAAGGGCAAGCAGGAGCTCAAGGCGCCGGCCAACTAAATGATGACAGTCTTGTGTGCTGCATGTCTCACCGGTAGTAACGAAGTGATGTGTCAGAAACAACAGGAGAGCAGAACCATCACTTGAACAGCAGGGCAAGGCTTCATTCATGACCCGGGCAGGGTTGGGAGAGAGCCGTCGTTGCTGTTGTTGTTGTCGTTGTTGGAGGGGAACGAACAATCAAGACGCATGCAAGGGATCCATCCAAAGTCCATTGGCAGTTCCCCTGCAAGGAGTGTCCCTCTGCCCTCTCGAATAGGCGGTCTTAGTTTAAGGCTGCCGCTGTCAGTGCTCCACTGTGAGCGCAGTGGCACAAGCGCCCCCATCAAGCGCATCTCTGCCAATCCCTGTGAAGCTATGCGGTGCCTTGCATTCCTTGTCTGAAAATGGGTGTCATGTCTGGTTTTCATCACTACATGCTAAGACAGATAAGGTATAAGCCTGCGATTACAGCAAATTGGAGCCGCGGGGGACGCCCAGGAACACGAAATTGGTGGATGTGCTAGGCGTCTTTAGTGCCCTACCGTTGTGCCAGTCTTTCGCTTGGACTGGGTTAGATGCCGGCCTCTTAACCTTACTGTGTATACTATAGTAGGTTAGACTAGGTTAGGTTAGTCTAGTCTAAATGAAGCTTCTGCTTTCGTCTCTTCGGGGAAATTGCGCGTGAGAAACGACGCCAAACAACGACCAAGCCCGTCACAACAGCTCCGTTCTGACGCCGCCCAAAGCTTGCATCATCAACGTCGATGCAAAATACATCCCTCCGTCGACGTGTTCTTCGCCAGGATAGAGAGACAACCATGTGTCCTGCGGATGCCGGGCAGACCCTGGTTGGCACCTTACGCGCAAGCTTTCGCGAGATGGCACGTCTCCACCTTATGCGTGCACTTTGAGCGCAGGTGACGACCAAGTTTCGGTACCCGGGGGGCTGGCTTCTGAGAGTCGCATCGAGCCCAGAATGTGATGACAGTCACGACCACTCAACTTCGCCATCACAATTGCTGCGAAAGGCTTGCTCCACAGGCTGCATCCTGCAAGTGTTGCTTTTGGCGATAACTCAACAAGCCATGGCAAAAATCTCTCACTACTACGTGTTTTAGATAGGTACATCAAGACCAAAAAAATCAAATGACCTTCGTGTCAATTGACAGAATTCAAAACACTCCTCTCATACATGTTGATTGAGACCTTTCGAAACTTTGATGAGCGCCGCCCAATTTTGCCAACCCTCTGATCCGGGCGCATCGAACGACTTTACAGGGTACGATATCGGCAGATTTTATGAGACCGTGCGTTTTGCTTTTTCCATAGCCCAATGCGTGGATCATGACCAAAGCAGAACTTCCTGCGATCATCTAACGCACCCCTAAGGTTGACCGGCGCCGTTTCACTGACCGCGGCAAAGAGGAACCCGCCTGTTCGTTCATGGGCGCATCCCGCTGTCCCGGCCAAGCCCGCTGAGCGTGGTTTCAACACCAAACGCTTAGCTGCATGTCTTAGTTGATGATCGCTGTCCCAAAGCATCACTTGTCGGTTGTCGCGTCACGTTCAGAATGCAACATTTATCGACTTGCACCACAACAATTATACCACAAGCAACATGACCATCGCCGATTTCCCGGCCGTGTCAAGGGCGTCTCCAGTGCTCCCTGATCCTACATGTATCTAACAGGACATATATGCGGCTCGCATGTGGCATTACAGAATCTCGGGGCTTGGTCCTCGGGTCCGTCCCGTAACCGGTATCAACCCAGACGCCACCCACCAAACCGCGCCCATGGTCACAATCACAACGTTCCAGTTACACCATCCGCATTATGGTACGAATGAGCATGATGCCAATGGGATTGGAGCAAACTACGTTCATATGTCGGAATTGTATAGGGATTCAAGTCCAGCAGCTTAGTAGGAGTCGCTACCTGTGATTACTAACTAGTCTAGCCTAACTCTTCCACGTTTCGCAACCACACTCAATCTGCAAATGGCATTGTCTGTCTCAGACACTTGTGGCACGAAGCTTTCTTGCAGTGGAAAGACAATCTTACGTCGAACAAGTTCATGAATGGCCGTCACATCGCCCATTCGTCATTGTTACCATTGTAATGTAAGACACTATCTCCGGACTCGAGCCTTGGTAAGGGCTCGTAGTTGCACAGTCGCAATACAATCTCGGATTTGCATGACACTGCGTGGATGTTGCAGCTTGACGCCTCATTCAAGTGACTCGACAGATGGTCCAGTGGAATGGTGCTTTGGGCCTCGATACGTGTCGGGCATGTATGCGTATAATATGCGTCTACCTGCTCACATGACGCCGAGGCCACCAATCAAGCCTTGGCGACGTAGCACTTCTCTCGCTTCCTGTGCCTGCTTCCTAAACCACCAGTGCATAGAAAAGAATGCCATGTTAAGCTTACAACTCTTCCAAGCAATACCAGCTTGCAGTCGTGACTAGTCGACACCTATCAGCTATCGCAAGTCCTGAATTCCAGTTAGTACAGAAGCTCATTCAGCACATAAGATTATGACTCCATCTCCCGACATCATGACAAGGGCTAGCCGCATTCTTAGTTTTGACCGCGTCCCGATCATAAGATCGCTATTCTGAGCTGATTTGTCTCAATCTTATTTTATATGCCAGTGGTCACACTAGGCACGTGGTTGACCAAATACCTAAGACTTCCAGATAAAACAATGGCTCCGGTGAGCGGCTGCCATGCCCTTCGTGAAGATCAAAATCGCAGTGAAAAATCCAGCCGACAGGGGTTTACCACCACCTTTGCTGATCGACCTTCATTCATGGTCTGATGGTACGTTGTGACTCCTTTGATCGGTGACTTACATATATGAGCTTTCATGGCTGTATCTTGGTAGCCGTACGATTTATGGTGCCCGCCCCACACTTATTCACGGTGATTTTTCAATACCATTATTTCGATCCATATTTCTTGGTCTCGATGCAGAAGCTTGATCGATGTCGCGCTCGTAGTCGTAAACTCCATGCATGCGAGAGGGTTGTTGGGTTCGCTTTCGCAAGGCCGTCGAAATGGAGATATTCTCCAGCCCGATACCAGGGAGTCCCTTGACGAAAATGGTCTTGTAGCTCCATCTTCGGTCCGTGGAGCGGTTGACAGACATTTATGACATGCCCTATCGTAGAGTTCCACGAGAACAGACATACCCAAACCCGGACTTGTATGTCTCTATCACAAATCGCTCTCATAAGGTAAAAGACGCCCTGTTGCTCTGCACCGCAAAAGGGACAACGGCACAAATCCTACCCCATTATGTCGCAGTCATTTGAACCGCCCCATCCTCCGCCCCGGCCTTTCCGCTATCCGCCACCTCAGTCGTGCTGTTATCCTCCTTCTTCCAACGATACTCCTTCTCGACCCCAACCCTCCTCTGAGCCGTATCACATAACCTCACATCCCCGCACTCGCAGACGGGCGGGTTGCGTATCCAGCGATACGTGATGCTCCAGCGGTCCTTGCGAAGTCTAACCGCGCCATCCGACAGCGTATCCGTCTTGCGCTTCTTGATGCCGTGCGTCCAGTGCAGCCGGGAGTCGCCCGACATCCTGAGCAGGCTCCTAGGCTTCAGGTCGACCTCCACATTCTTCTTCTGTCTCTCATTGCCGTCCCCGGGGTGCGCGAACTGCATCAGCACCGGCGACCCTAGCGACAGGGCGTACAGCTGGTCATACGCCGAGTGGGTGTCGACGTGGGGCGGGATGCCCGCGCCGGGCGGGTAGTGCTGCAGGCAGACCTGGTCCGGGGGCCGGTTTTCTTGGGTCGGGATCAGGGGTTGCAGCCAGGCCGGGAAGGGCGTGAAGGGTATGTCCGGGTCCACACCAAAGGTCTTGTAATCGAACGTGTAGCCGTAGTGGAGGGAGAGGCGGCCCGTGCGGCCCTGGGGCCACGGCAGCGAGGTTCGGAATATCTGGATCAGCTCCGCCTCGTGCGAGGCCGTGATAAAGTCGTCCTGCCAGAGGAGCCCGGACGGCTGGATGGGCAGCGCTTCCATCTGGCACCCCGGTTTCGTCCAACGTGAGGATGAAAGGGTAACCCTAGAACTCTATACCAGATGATCCGCCTCCCAGGTAGTTGTCGATTAGGAAAATGAGGGCAACGCCAGTATTTTCTTTGGAAGATCCTGGGTTAGGGCCTTGATGCTCGACTTCAAATTGCTCTTCGATTCTTTTCGACGAAAAGTTTTCAACTACCCCGCCACCTGACGTTTGATTCTCAAATTGACAATGAGGGAAACAAGTCAAAATTTGTGATATATCCGGAAAGAGCAAGTATAAGGATAGTTATATTGCTCGGAAGAAAAGTATATTACCAATTTGTGAGCAGTACAGACTTGACTTGCGTCAGACACAATCGCACAAGAAGTGAAGTGAGGTTGGCAACTTAGTGGTTGGCCCGTGCGCCTGCTCGTTCAAGTCATCGTGAGAGAGCCAACCTGGGTAGCGACGAGAGATATCTTTCCATGCAGTTATACGGTGGTAACTCGACATCAGTTTATTACCAACTGGCCTTCCTAAGTCATTCTTCGGTCTAACAACATACGTTTATACGCTGTTATGCTCTAATTAACGCGACGAAACAAGCACATATCTGCACTGTCGATTGTAAACACTATATACATACAAAGGATAAGCTCAATATGACATATTCCGAAAGAGGAGAAAAGTCAATATGTACAACCCTGACTAGCCATGCTCAAATGAAATATGGAATTTCCCGATCGTTCCATTACCAAATCCCGAGAACCCGTTCCGCCTTAGCATTGCTATTCGTGGTGTTTCGTGCTGTTGTCCTTTTCCTGTCATGCTCCGTTGAACCAAACTCAGCCCATGCCGAAGAGTTGAAGCAGTCCATACCATTCATGTCCACCATATCGGCGCCGTTAATCATGTCGCTCGTGAATACATTACTCAATCTATACTCGTCGCCTCCCGTGCTCAAATCCGAAAAAGCATTTGACAACCCTGCCGACAACGGCCCGCCGTCGGAGATACTGACGCTGCCAAACTCTGAGCTTCGAGTCGTAATTATACTGAGGCCTAGATCATCTGTTGACGTAGAATCAATTCTTCCCAAGGAATGGAGCGACTTTGGACCAGCATCAACATTTAGCATCGTTGGCTCGGCCGCCAAATCCAGTTTTCCAAGAATCTCATCAGAACTTTTGCCATCAATGACTTCACCTACAACCCCGCTGGTTGCATGCCAGGAATTCTCTCCTGTCGGCTCCAGTGAAGATATAGAGGGGCTTAGGCTAGTTCTCATTCCACCTGGAGTCTGTTCTGCAAACATGAGCAGCTTGTCCGCATACATTGTCTTGCTGTTCGGACTCGCACTCAATGTCTTGATGAAGAATTCCAGTGGATCTAAAACCGCTGCGCGGCGCCCAGATGGTCCGAAGAGAGATAATCCGCCGCCAACAAAGTCCATTCCTGCCACGCCGTCCGCGGCTCCTCCAAAAGGCCGTGTGGGGTTTGTCGTGCCTGAGTCGTAGGCACCCATCACATTCACACTCCAAGTCCCAATCTCGAATATTTTTTCGAAAATGCCCATCCCATGCACCTCGACTGCGCGGCTGGGAAGGGACTGTAAGATTGCAGCTGTATCCCGCGCAATTGAAAGTGGGAAGGAAAAGGAAAAGCTCTCATCACCAGCAGCTGTAGAAAGTAGGCCCTGTCGGAATGAAGATTGCCATACAATGAGCCGAAGCCACTGCTGGGTCACCATCAGATCAGCCTTTTGGATAGTCGTCGGGTCCGGCTCATCATCGTCCTCTTCTGAGCTTAGATCCACGTTTAGTAGTAATTTCGGTGGGCTTGGGCTTTTCTTTGGTCTCAGGAAATCCAACGGCTGAGCGAGCAGACGCTGCAGATTGAGATATGTTGTGGCCGAGACTCGGGGATCACTACCGTCGTTCCACGCTGCAACAAAGCTCTCGTCTAATGGTGTGTAGCTATTGACCAGCTTCATGAACCCTACATGGATGTCGGATGCTTCGTAGTTATGCTTTGTCGTCGGTAAACTTGGAGTTTTTCGGAGAGTGAGAGGTTTGTTCCTGAGAATCGCGAAACTTCGTTCGGTGACGAAGAGGATCCAAAACACGCGCTGCCGACAGAGCGTTTCTTCAGATGAGATTCCGGCATAAGCCGCATCGTCGTGTAATTTGAGCTCGATAGCTAGGGTCAGCGCTTCGCGTAAGTAGAACCATGACTTCCTGCTCTGGTTTATCTCGAAGAAGCTTGTGCTGAGCCAGAAGGACGATATCACAGCAGCGAGAGAAGTGTCCTCCAAGAAATCGTATTTCTGCCGAATGGATATGCACTCGTCAAGGAAGAAACGGCCGACATCCTCCCACGGTGGCTGACCAAGCACTGCTAATGACTTTCCAGCCATATGAAAAGAAGTAAGGGCGCTCAAAGCGTACACCAAGTTCTTCTCAGAAGATGTCATGGATCGCACGATTGTGCTTCGTATCCATGGCATGTAGACAAGAGGCATGATGGGATAAATATGTTCGTAATACAGGTCAACGCAAGCTGGGATAAGATAGTGATAATCCTTGATTCGAGGCTGGTAAGCGTCGCTTGTAAATGGGCCTTTAGGCTCAGGGGCGTTTCTGGGGTCTGAGGTCACTGATGTCCACGGTATAAATGGTTGTGATGGTGGCGATGAGGCTGCAGACTGTGGAGCAGTTGTCGGGGCTGAGTTATAATTTTCTGCGTCAATGCTGCTGCTACGATCAGTTCATCCCTATGCCTATGGCGAAACAATTAACGAGTAAAGGGTGATATCGTACTCAGAGCCACTGGTGTTTTCTAAACCGCGGGTACCCTTCTTCTCCTGTGCCCGCAACTCGTTAATGACGCGCCCATGGCCGCGTTTGGGGCCCCTTTTCTTGGGAACATGGTCTCTCTTGCATGTGAGAGTCGCGCCTGAACACTGTTGGCAAGGATAGCGACCATCACAGCGTATTCCTGCAAAATTGGACTCAGTGATGGCGCGCCTTCCAGTGGGGGTGGGGGTGGTAGATGTAAGACAAGACTGATGATATGGCTGAATCAAGTGAAGATGGCGCAAGCCCAAGCGCAGGGTAGTTGGGACATGCTTATAAACATGAGAGAATGACTTACTCCTCCTGCGACAGTTGTCGCATACGGTCCGCTTGCTTACGGCTTGAATGTGCCCGAGATTCTCAGCTCCAAATACGTCTTCCCTTTTGACCCTGGTAGGGCTGGTGGGAGCTGAGGTCATCAGTAGACCGGGCCGAGGCCGAGCAGCCTCATCGCGCTGCATAATTGAACGTGAAGACTCGAGCATAGCACATGGGCTCTTGGCTTTAAAATATGCCGAGCTTGTCTCCTGAGTCTCAGGCTGCCATAAGGGGAAGATTTGAGCGAAATGACCGGAAATGACGAGCGAGAACTAGAAGAGGTTTGCTCATTGTCTAGATGGATTGGGGGACGTTGACATCACAGACCTTGATCTGGGGATTAACTAACCTAGCATAGCTCAAAGCTTACAAGTGTGGAATGCGGGGAAAGCTGAAAGAGACCCTGACCCTGGCTCTTGAAGCCGCCAGCTTAGTAAAGGCTCAAGCAAGCTCAAGCTCAGAACGACAACGACAGCCATGTGTCGTGTCATGTGCACGTTGGGCCATCGGAGGAACCAATCAACGCAAAGACTACTGATGTTGTGGCAAGTAATTTAAGTTTCGGTTTTGCAAGTGGCGTGTCTTCGTTTTACACACCCGCGGAGCATCACATATTCAGTAGGATAGTGACTTGAGAGGCCTAGAATCTAGATGTTCACTCATTTTATCAAACAAGTAGATGGCGGACTGGACATTCGTTGTTACTACTTCCAGGCAGAGCCAAGCTGCCAGGTGTTGAGGAGCGTTCTCCCAACCAGGGCCCCCGCTAACGGTCCCAGGCGGGGCCCTTCCCACTATCGCTCACTATTTGCCCACAACATCGACCGGTGGAAACTCTAACAGATCAGTGGCCCCAACAACTTTGCTACGGGCCGAACGCAAAGAATCGTGCATATAGCCCCTGACCTACAATTAAAGATGCATCTGCAGCTATAAGTTCTTACATGATCGTATTTCATAATCTCATTCGCTCTTCGTCTTAGCGCGTGTATCTACTTCCGTACTTGTATTGATACGGTCTTGGCGTCTGTGCTTTCGAGGTCTTCAAGGACTAATACCCATTACATACTACGTATTCATCCTACAACCTGCCCGACATGCATCTAATTGTAGTTCATTACTGACCCTGCTTAAAATCCTACGTATATGTCATCGGTACCCTGCTCTGTGATGCCATAGCGAGCCTGTATTCTCCTGATCGTGCGCCTCATGGGTGCATAGGACCTTGTTCTCGCCATTCGTTTGGTAGACGAATGCCGCATTGAATGTTCCAATGGCGCCAGTCCCCTTGTAGCTGAGTTGGACACCTGATGCCAGGGGCTCAAATGCTGACACAAACTTCTTCAACCTAACTACGCAGCTGGTCCAATGGTCGTGAGGACTGCCATCTCGCCGATTCCCCAACAAAACAACGTCTTGACATCCGCCACGCATCAATTGAGCATCATGATGAGGTCGTGTTCAAATACGACCCAGCCGTATGGCAGTCAGGAATGCTTTGCGGCAGACCTGCCGTAACATCCGCGCAATATAAATGATCCCTCCTGAAAAGTCGATCACACTCACCCTCACAGTACCCAAGAGGGGTCTTTTCGTCAAGACTGGTGATTCATTGCCAAAGGTATCAACGGGCCGTGGATTTCTTCCTTTTGCCCCTATCTTGAATGAGTTATACCCTGAGCAAAAGACCGTAATGGAAAAGTACATTTAATCTGCGGAATGCAGAAGGGTTGATCTAGGATATCTCAACTTTCCATAGTCCCGGGCAGAACGCCAACTGGGGATCACGGAATCAATATGGAGACTTTGGAATACCAGTATATGTCCGGCTGTTTGCTCAGAGCCAATATGGTACTAGTGACCGTCGGCGATCACCTGCCTGCATGCATTCCTCTCACGAAGGGCCGCACAGCATTCGGTCCATTGCACAGCTACTTGTGGGTGGAACAGCGACGCCAAATAGCACTGGTCAGCCCATATTATCTGAAGACGTTACGTTGCAGAATGGGGGATATTTGACACGACCTGCATGCGTAACTCAATTACTTTGCATAGATCATGGTGACCAGCTGCGTTGCGAAAAGGAATACGAAAAGATGTGAGGTTTCATGAGCCAACAATTGGCTCTCTGATGCATCGATGGGGTTTCCCTGCAGAAATGCCAAGGTAGTCGCGCCTACTGCAAGGTACACGGCATCGTCGCTTCCCTCTAGCCATCTTGTTGGCACATACACGAGAATCTAGTGTTGTGGTGGTCAACTCCATCAAGCTGTCAAATAAATCATGATGCCTTGCCAAGCCGTCGCAAAACAACCTCATAAACCACAGCTTCGTACATCTTATTATTGCCGGTCTTCTCTCCTCCGGCTCTATATACCAGCTGCTGTCCTCGACCTCGGCCCTATCTGGTTTATCCTGCGCGCAATAACTTCCTCTAGTAATGGGAAAATTAGTAGCCAGTATATTATCGCTGTTCAGCTTCTTAATCGTTAATTTACAGAGCTACCTAGCCAACGCTCTTGGTCTCAATGAGGCTACCAGAGCATTGAATGGATTGATTGCAGGTTGGGACCCGTCCACGGGCCTGTACAATAGGAATGACAATGGCGCGGCTTGGTGGCAGAGTGGCATCGCCCTACAAGCTACCTTGGACTTTATGATCGCGACAGGCACCACCAATCACCTTCCGTACACTAATTACACCATTGACCTGCAGCGCGCTCCTATCAGCTGGTGGCCACAAGGCGCTGGTGACTTCCGTGCTGCTAGCACCGATGACACCGGCTGGTGGGCACTTGCTGTGCTCTCCATGTACTCCATCACAGGCGAAAAGTGGCTTCTCGATATCGCTGTGGAAGACGAAAGCTATATGTCTCAGTACTGGACAACTGAATGTGATGGTGGATTGATATGGCGAATCAGCGACCTCTCTTACAAGGCTGCGATAAGCAATGAGCTGTATATTGAATTGACAGCTGCCCTGTACAATCTCGTCGGCGACCCCATCTATCTTGGCAAGAGCTTGCGCGCCTGGCAATGGTTCGAACATAGTGGAATGATTAATCGTGGCTACCTCATAAATGACGGGTTAATGCATGGACCGGACAACACTTGTATCAACAACAACGCGCCTACATGGACTTACAACCAGGGTGTTATATTGGGTGGTTTGATCCAGCTCTACAAAGCCACAGATAACATGGAATACATACAGGCTGCTCGCATCATTGCAGATGCAGTGATAGCAAGCCCTCAACTCACCATGAACGGCGTCTTCACGGAGCCATGTCCAGCATCTGGATGCATTAACGATCAGAAATCCTTCAAAGGCATTTTCGTCCGATACTTGGCAAAGCTCAACGTACAACTCCCCGATCGGCCTTACAGCACATATATCTCGCATAATGCAGCAAGTGCATATTCCAATGCCCGATTGAGCACTAACGATGGGTGCGATTGGTATGGGATGAGCTGGCAAGGTCCGTTCAGCAGCAGTTCTGTTGGGAGTCAAGAGAGCGCAGTGATGCTTCTTACGGCTGCGCTTGTGACATGATGTATGTATCATGAAATGTAATATTAGTGCGATATTCGTTGCAGTCTTTTGTCGGCCCTGTACCTAATTTCTGTATTAGCTTATCTTCTTCACATGGCGCTCTATGCTGGTCTACCTACACCAAACCACAATAATTCACTAGGTTAGCAAGTACTTGGGTTGCTCTAACTTATCTGTACCTTATCAGTACCGTGGCACTGTACGCCGCCCTCTTTGTTCAATTTCTTCAAGTATTCTACTAGTGCAGCCGTGGGTGCATTCATTGCCGGCGTGCCCGCATACTGATTCGGGGCCGGCCATACAACATCTCGCGAAATCGCCACATACAATTTCCACATGGACAACACCATTCCAGGTCTCATCAGACTGCTTCCCTCCCAGAAAGGTCACTGACTGGTCTGAAGCTTCTGTCTTATGTGCCAGTACTTTATATAGGGTTGCTTCAACTTCCTTTTCTGATTCTGAGTCGACAAACTGTCGCACGACCAGGAGTCGGGCAGGCTCTGGATACGGCTTGCCATCGACTTTGAATGGCAACTTGCCGCCATCCAAAACAGTGCAACCTCCATGTGCGCCTTTCAAGAACTCGACCGCAATTCTGAAATTTGCCTGAACGAAAATACCCCGCACCACTTCAGCGCTCTTGTCTTTCTTGATCATCTTGCACATTTTGGCATTAAGAGCGTTGATCTCAGCCGTCACTCCTTCAGGAACAGGTCTGACGGTGGGTTCTTGATACCTTAGCTTGAATTTGCACTGTACCATATGGTCGCCACTGACAACCTGCGCGACGGCATGTGTCATCTCTACGTCCAGCTGTTCCATCCTCGCCATCGTGGTAAGCAACGTCTTCTTCGCCGCTTCCATCTCTGGCGACTCAAACATGGCGACTGTCCTTGCGCCATCCTGGCCCTGCTTTGCTGGCAGTCCAAGCACAAGTGTGGTTGCGACGACCACTCCGGTGTGGTTGCCGTCCAGGAAAACAAAGTCCTTGCCGTGGTATCGACAGGCACCATACCGAACGATGTTTTGCCCTATTTCCTCCATCATGCCACTCCTGTGACACTCTGGGAATTCGTGCGCCAACCATTCGCGCGCACGCTGAAACTGTGCTGCTTCGCTAGTATCTTCTGCCTTTTCTCCCGGGTTTGTGCTTTTTTCGAGAGAATCTCGCCATGGCTTAAGTGTTGCCCACACCACTTCCGGTAGCGTTACAGGTCCCGGGGCTGGCCGCGGGACCCTGTTCTCATCCCTTTCGTGGCTTACTTTTGAGCTGGAGCAACCCATCTGTGGGAAATGTGGTCACAGCCGCGGTTTGTCTGGTTGGCGATGAACTTTTGTAAATGTTTGCCTCTCTGTGCGGAATAATTAGACAAGTGTAGTACGATGTCCTCTGGTACGACTTGTGTTAGTTGTGGTAATGGCCAAGTTTTGTGCCGAGTGTATCAAAAGATTGTAATGAAGGAACATTAAATCTCGATAGTGCCACTGCGGTTATCACCATCCGCAAGATCGTGGTGAAGATATATCTATTGAAGTAGTGAGTGTTGGCAGCACTATAATGATGAAAGGCTAAGTGGATCGTGTCGGCCTTGGTCGGAGTTGTTCTCGGCCTGATCAATATAAGACTTGAGAGATAGGCCTTTCAGATAGTTTTCATTTCATGCTTTTACACTTTTGTTATAGTTAGTCGTTGATTTTGCGGCCATGTATTCAATGACAACGAGAATGGCTCGTTGTCGCTAATTAATAATATTTTGGTCGTCAAACTCATCCTTTTCACTCTTTATCTATTAATCAGAGCCTGCGAGTTCATCGTGAGGCCCGTAATCAAGGGACAAGACATGGACCCTGGCTCACTATGTATCCCGTGGAATGACTCACATGCTTTGAAGCAGGCGAAGTACCGTCACCTTCGCTCAAGCCATTGAGTAGTTTTACACGAGAGATACAGCGTCTTACTATCAACACGATCGTATCCATACCCATGCGCGCTAATCTCTAAAAAGCAGTCTATTGTTAGGCCTTGCTAGTGCGTATTTACCTCGAGCCTCCCACATTATTTAGTGCCTACGCCCTATAAGGCAGCCGCTTTAACCAACCCCTGCCAACCGTGTTGCGTATAGTGGATAACTCTTGACCGGATCCTATATGGTCTGGTCGCATTATTTTACCTTTCATGTCACGTCGCATCGTCAGTTACAAGTTTACAGTATCTTTCCAAACAGAATGAAGAAGTGCTCTGCCTAAATGACCATATCGTGTTACTTCACCAACCAACATACGACGCTTATCAGTTGCTTGTTTTGCTAATATTGTTTTTCTCCAAGTCTCACTAGACATTAATTACTGCTAGCCATCCCATTCGTCTCATGCTGTCCATATTTGGTCCGTAACCCTGTGGTTTGTTTATTAAAGGTGGTATCTTCACCCTCATACAGTTAGCCTACTGCTTGCTGACTTGAATAATCTCGCGGTCTTTTTTGTTGAAAGTCTTCAGCCACAGCTTCCATGACCTTTTTTTTTTTTTTTTTTTTTGGCCTCTTGGCAGATACAACCAGCTACGTGTCTTCCAATTGATGGGCACTCGCTGTATCATTTTTTCTCCATTACTATCTGCCCTCCAATATATTGGTCTGGTCGGATATATTGAATACATTGGGTGTCTTACCTAGATGATGAATGAATCTCATCGTCTCTGCTTGAGGTGGCTTTAGCCTTTCCCTGAGACTTTTGTGTACGCCTGAAGGATCAGGCTTGTTCCGTCCCCAACGCCTTGGGAAGGAAGTGGTTATCGTATCTGCGAAGTCTTGGACCCAAATTCAATAAAGAATTTAAATAAACCACCTCCCTCCCCCCAAATAAAAAAGAATTTTAAAAATAAAAAGATCAGCAGACAGAGGCTTACGGTCATCAAGTATCCATAATTACAGTTGGTCCACCATGACAACTCGGCGGTTGAAGCTGCGGACATCGCTGGATCTGGTGCCCCGGTACACGACTTGGTCCTTGTCACGCTCGGAAGTATTTTCCAACGCCAAGAAACAGGATTGATCGAGGGTCCGACGGATATGTAAGGGCGAGCCAATATTGATGTTATCCCGCAATAGCCTCTCGTTGGCTTAATAATCCATCTCTTCTGCAACTTGTGCCACTTGGAAGAGGTATTGTCTTAGCAATTCTCTTTTCGAGTCATGTTAGTATGCAATGGCATTGACGGTGTAGTCTTACTGACCTGCGTGTGAGAGTGCGCGGCACTTTCGGCTGGGCAGTGTCTCTGTTGTTCCTCTGTTTTTTGGGCTTCGACATAGCCTTATCGACTGTTTGGGGAAAAGCACCCGCCATGCTCATTTATGCTAGAGTCAATACCCATAACATGATTAATAGCATCTACCATCCTAGCACGACGGCTACTTGTCTCCCAATGGAGATATGGTAGCTTCATTGAGGCTGTCAGCAATTTTCCGTGGGGAAAGTTTTGCAACACTTACAAAAAGCGCGATGTTCTTTTCTGGAAACGGTGGTGGAATCGAAGAAATCCTCTTGGGAGTACTAGGAAGAGTGGGGAGTAATGGTGCTGAGACACTTTTTGGAAACTTCGGTCTGGCCTCTGGAGGAGTGTAAGTCTCTAATTGTTTTTGAACCGCTTACTGTTACCTCTAGGGATCAAAGAACACTTAGTTCTCATGTGTCTTGAATGAACTGGTCCGGCGCGACGATGGTCATACACCAGTTCCCAGTTCCTGTCAGCGATCAAGTTGTCCCTCTGTGATGCGCTTGCTTTGTCCAACGGCCCGCTCCCATGCATCTAACCTTTCCAGAACTCTCTTCGTAGTACCTGTCAATGGCTTTCTGTATACTTTCTTTTAGCACTTACACGTGACTTGGGTCATTTGAGAGATCTCACCTCAATCCAATCCATGTTGTTACTTGGGAAATGAAAATACCGGATCGTATCATTAGGACATGCTTGAGTTAGAGGGTTGTCTTCTGACTTTCTCAATATGTCTGTGATTGCAATTTTTTGGTTTGGAAAATCGCCTTCCAGCAGTGGCGATTTTGCTGGTGTATATCCAACCATCGTCCCACTGTCAGGATCCTTGTTGAAATACATGACTCCTGCCCTAAACCCATCGTAGGGATCATATTCCACCTGGCCGTAGAGGATGGGAGCTTATCCGGCGACCTCGTGGCCGTGCGCTCCGATGCTTGTTGTGTTTGTTGAGTTGCATTGCGATTTGAGATATGATTGGTAGTCGTCGCCTCGGCCAGCTCGACCGTGGAACAATCCCTTCAGTAATCTTTGGCGGCCTTATTGCTGCTAGGTGCTTTTCGTCCCAATCGCGCAAGTACTCCTTATACTCGGGTTTGATGGTCTCGTCCAACTGCGCCTGCCGTTCTTGCCGGATCTGTGAGATGTCCGAGACAACCTCGCCTTTCCAGTCCGTTTTAAGCTTCTGCAGTCTGTCTATGAGAATCTTCACATCGGGACGTGTCAAGAAGCTATTGCATGACTTGTCGATTCTTTCAATCTCGTGAGTGACCTTAGGATCCTTTACGTGTCTCAAAAAGTCCTTCCGATGGGCTTCCCGAATACTTAGGTATGCCTCTACTGCGTCTTTGTAGTGATTCCATGGCTCATTTGCATAATCCTGTTCGTTGTGATATTCCCGTATATAATTTTGGTCAATTGCTCTGTCACGGCCGAGCACAGGATCTATTGGTCCTGTATATTTGGTACAGTGCTAGTAGAAGATGCAAGGGCTGCCATGGTTATTGTGGAGGGTGACAATGCACGATGTATCAAGAACGAAAGATAGAAGTCGACCCAAGCCTGCCCCTATGTATTAGACGGAAAGTAGTCCATGACAGCATGCATGAACTGGAAAGGGGGCCACAAGCCCATGACTATTAGCATTTTTATCGATATTTTGAGTATCCCTTTAATAGACTTGGGGCTTTTGTTACTACTCTACCTTGAGAGATCCAAAGCCTCATTTTGGCCCCCAATGTTATCTGAAGGGGCTAGTCAGCACACCACCAGTGGTATGATGTTAACCAATTGAAATCATACTTTATGACCAGGATAGTATCACGGTGGGTGAATCAGCCAATAACGTATCGTACCAGTAGGGCGTTGGCGGCAAAGCATCTTTATTCCATGTCCATGGTAGAACGGGAGGCATGGAGGTGGTTCGCATACCCGTCGTAGAAGCCCGGCTGGCTGATTGCACCATAACTGATCGAAAAGCTTAGTCCTGTATGTCCTCAGACTCCCTGGTGATTGTTGTAGGGTTGGCTATGACGAGATTCGCAACGGCTACGAGCAGTACCAACGACAAGTAATGTTACAATGCATTCCGAACATTAACATACACCACGTTGTTTCGCTTTCTATGAGAACCCCCCTTTTGAAGAGCACCTCGTGTTCAAAGGTGGCTGTCGCACTCACAGAGTCTAATAATCATTTGCCGTTATAAAGACAACATGTACTGATAGCTTGGTTCCTTTTCGTGGACACGTTCCCTCCTCTCGGAAATAGTTGAGTTGAAGTAATAATGCGTATTTAATGCCGAGAAGTGCATATCACTACACAACGACCAGCAACATCCCAAGACGTAGGTGGTACAGGTGTCGTTTTCCGTGACGTCGTTCACGTATGTAATACCTTGTCGAGAACAAACAGTAATCTGGGGCAAGCTGCCCAGTTGTAGGTTGACAAGAAGTTCGAGGGCCAGCTGTGGGCAACCTCCGGATCAAAGAGGGCCCTCAGACTCTGACTCAAGTCCTGGTAGACCGGAGTGAGGCAACTTGATTGTTAATTGGCCATATGCATGAAAAATTGTGTGCTCGGTGATAACAACTCGTACGACGTCGTGCCTCTCAAGATACACACATCAAACTAGTCTAGTTTGTTGTTTTGACTAATGATGTCATCCCAGACGGCTTCCCCGCTAGTCGTTGCGAAGCTTAGAAGGGGCCACATGGAATCTCCCGACGCTGATATTGCAAAAGCTTCCCTAGACTAGACTAATAAGAACAACAGGTCCGCTTTGATCAGCCTCATTCAGGCACAAATCCATCAAGGTGTCCCATGCGCATCGCGAAAGGTGGTTCTCGTTCTTTAGACTACCCTAGATCTTTCTTGAAACCTGTCGATACTACAGTATGTAGTGCGGACGACGTGCGGCTTTGCAACTGGCCCCGGAAATAGCGCCGAGATACAGGAGATCCACATTCTACTGCCAGATTTTTTTGCTGAGATAATGCGGGAAGAAGTTTGCCCTCTGCTATTGTGAGTTTCTAGAATGATGAATACTCCACGTAGACCACTAGACCTCATTTGTAATCAAGAGTATATAAAGAACCAGGTCTGCAAGTATCGAAGGATCAGTATACAGCAGCATCTCACCCGAGGCTAAACTCTGATATTCTACAATGGCTCAGGAACACATCGATAACCCCGCCGCTAGCGGCATTTCTTACTTCACACCCGCACAGGAGCCTGCGTCTGGCACACAACTCAACGGCTCCACGAAGCTCTTCACTCCCCTCACCATTCGTGGCCTCACTTTCCAGAACCGTCTTTTCCTTCCTCCTCTGTGCCAGTACTCTGCCAAGGATGGTTACGCCAACGACTGGCACCTCACCCATCTAGGTGGCATCATCCAACGTGGACCTGGGTTGACAATCGTCGAAGCAACTGGAGTGCAGCGCGTTGGCCGCATCACTCCCCAGGATCTTGGTCTCTGGGAGGATGGTCAAATCGCGCCTTTCAAGCGTATTACCGAGTTCGCGCATGGTCAAAACCAGAAGATCGCCATTCAGCTTGCACACGCCGGTCGCAAGGCCTCTTGTGTTGCACCCTGGTTGAGCGCAAACGCCGTCGCGACCAAGGAAGTCGGTGGTTGGCCCGATGAGATTGTCGCCCCCTCCGCTATCGCTCAAGAGGAGATCAACCCTGTTCCCAAGGCCCTCACCCTGGAGCAGATTGACGAGTTGAAGAAGGATTGGGTTGAGGCTGCCAAGCGTGCTGTCAAGGCTGGCTTTGATGTCATTGAGATTCACTCCGCCCACGGCTACCTGCTGCACTCGTTCTTGAGCCCGGTCAGCAACAAGAGAACAGACAAATACGGAGGCAGCTTCGAGAACAGAACCAGACTTGTCCTCGAGATCGCCGAGGCCATTCGTGCCGCCATCCCTAAGGATATGCCGCTCTTCGTTCGCATCAGCGCGACCGATTGGTTCGAGTTTGACCCCAGCTCCAAGGAGGAGTTTCCCGAGACATGGACTGTCGCTCAGTCTGCCGAGCTCTCCAAGCTCCTTGCCGAGAAGGGTGTGGACTTGATCGACGTCAGCTCTGGCGGTATCCACGCCAAGTCGGCGACTGCCATCAAGTCTGGTCCCGCCTACCAGGCACCCTTCTCCAAGGAGATCAAGGAGAAGGTCGGCGACAAGGTCCTCGTCTCTGCCGTCGGTGGCATTAAGACAGGTGCTCTGGCTGAAGAGGTCCTGCAGTCCGGCGTCGATGTGGTTATGGCTGGCCGTTGGTTCCAGAAGAACCCCGGTTTGGTGTACCAGTTCGCAGACGAGCTTGAGGTGGATGTAAAGATGGCCAACCAGATTGGCTGGGGTTTCGGAGGACGTGGCAACCGCGGCCGTAAGAGCAACAAGCTATAGAGGTTTGTCTAGCCTGACCTAGGTCAAAGACCAGGCAGAAGCATGCATTATGTAATCATACCCCCATAGATCAACGAGCATAGCATAGGCGCATGGTAATTTGAGATACTTGACAATTACTCGCAGTGTGTGTCATCAGTGTTTGACGTGTGACCGATTTCCAATTGACCTTCCGGTTCCAGTTGAGACTTGAAATGATTGTTGCAGGTTTAATTTTCTTTCTGCTGCTTGTCTTGGCAACCAACCATTCTGCCGGAAGCCATAGTCGGATGCGCATCCGGAGACATGTGAGCCCCAGTGAATGAAAGCAGTTCAAGAGGTAACCAGCCGTACTGTCCTTGACGCATAGTATTTGAGCCAGACATGTAAACCAGGAATGAACGTGACGCTTATTGTGACGCCTTTTGGCCTTTCTTTGGCTTCCTCCAGGCAGTGGACCCTACAGCAGCAGCCTAGGCCTGCTAACCTCAGGTGCTGGCGCTATTTCTGGCACTTTTATTAATTAACCTAGGTTAGTCTAGAACCCATCCTTGATGCAACCAGGCCATCACACCCAAACTCGCCCGTAATTCTCGTCGCCTGCCAGCACAACCATGGCGACCTGCCAAAGCAACGCAACCAACCATTTGGTCTCGTGTTATGGTCGAAGGTTCTGTATACACGAGGTAGTCTCGTGGCGCTCTTTCGGGCTCACGATGACATCGGCGCATCGATGTTGCCAGCGGCGTCTGGGTGGCGCCGAGTGACCTGCTACTGTAAGACTAGTCTGGACTAAGCATAATTCAGCCCTGAGCGCGAAGGATGAGCACTAGATCTCGCTTAAACCCACTTGGGAATCGCTCCAGAAAATGTCAGGCACCCGACCGGCATCGAGCCTCCTTGGCACGCCTAAAACAGGGGAATGACAGAAGGAGATTTGCTTCTGCCTGTCAGACTCTTTTGCGGCACAGCAATTCTGTTAAAAAGTCCCGGTGTCCTTTGGTACTACATTTGGTACTACCTCCAGTCTTCGTCTTCATTGCCACCTTGCTTTCCAGCATTTGTCACTCGTTGCATTGCATTTCATATCACTCGTTCTCTCGTTTGCTGTAGTCGTTTCCCCGTTGTGATACCCTCGAGTCGCCAGCATTTCCCCGACTACTCCATTCAAGTTAACTCGAAACGCGACCCACCTCAGACTGATCCACGAGCTTCTGAAGATTGTCGCAGAGACTTGGATTCTTGGCCATACCTCAAAAGAAAGACCGGGGGAAAGAAGGAAATAGCATCATGTCGGAAGTGAGGACCGACGAACCCATGGCGCCTGCGAGAGCTACAGCGCCATCGCCATCCCGCACTCCCCAACCTGCGACGCAGGCTCAGCAGTCTGCGGTGCTTGGCTCGACTGCTCATCCACAGCAGCCAGTATATTCACAGTATCCTTATGCTCCACCTCAGTTTGTTCAACAGTCTCGAGTCATACCATACGACAAGACATGGCATTTGATCAAGCTCGTTCTCAGGGCTGCGTCGCTGGTGTGTTGCGTTGTTTTGCTAGGCATATCCATCGCTATATCCATCGGCCCAGGATACGATGGTTGGAATATCACTATATACTGGGTTGCGCCTCTCGTTGCCGTGGCAGGCATATGGGACCTTGCGGAACTGATAACCATCCTCGCATGTGGGAAACGCAACGGCGCACAGCACCGCCGAGGCATACATCCCGGCGCTCATGTTGGTGTGGAACTATGTATCTGGCTAGCTGGCGTCTTTTGTGTCTTTGTGTCCGTCATGGCATATTACTCCGCAGTTTCTCAACTACGTAACTGTCAGGAGGAACAGGAGGATGGCCGTTCTTCGTCAAGCAGCTCCTATTACTCGTATTACTGTGACGAGGACGAATGGGCCATACTGTCGAAAGGTACAGTCGTTCCTATACTTAGGGCCATTGAAGCCTTCATTGCCCTTTTGACGTAAGTTGCACTATCTTCACGAAAAGCTCTGTCGTGGCCTAACACTCAACCAGGCTTGTGCACTTTATCCTGTTTGTCTATGCTTGCATTGAGACGAACCAACGTAACAGGAGCCGCTCTCAGTACATGATGATGCCGCCGCAGATGTACTACGGCCCCCAACCCGGTATGGCACCGTACGGCTACCCGACGATGCCTCCTCAAGCATACATGGCTGCTCCTCAAGGTGCTTCCTCGAACGAGAAATCGACTGCAGCCATCCCACAGCCGCAAGGTAACCACTCCAACTTTGCCGGCTTCTACGCTCCCGCTGGAGCTACACCAGCGTATCCACCGCAGCCTCAAGCCACACCAAAGGAGCCCATAGCGGCCAGTAGCAGCGCATAGCACTAGCATCAATGATATAATTGTCTATGGCTGCATGCATTTAGCGAAAAGGCGACGTTTTTGATAGATACCTATTGTTTTCAGTAGATAGCACATACCACGTAATGTAATCTTAAAGAGCTTCACCCCGCATCACGCCCTTCCCCGTCACGTAGAGTACCGCTGGTCTTACCGCGATTACCCGAGATCTCTTGACCCTTGGAATGTGTCTGTGCTATTACCATGGTTGCCCAGAGTGCAGGCCACGGCTCGGTCTGCGAGAGTAAACGCCAGTCTGACGAAGCCGCGTTCTACTCATGGTGCCTCGTGATACTATAACCAAAAGACATAAGTCTGGGAGTGCCATAAGCGCTACTCTAGTGGACGCGCCCCGCGAATCCTTCGTTCTCCACAAAACACGTCTCAGCGGACTCTAATTCAGCCTCACAAAAAATGTGGTTTTGAAAGGTCGGTGCTAAGAGACACATCGAGTAGGGCACAGGGCAAAAGCTGTCTTCTCGCGGATGGGACTCTCTGACACGCCACCGGCACACGTGCCTGAATGGGTGGTACCCCTTTCCACCACGTTTCTCGGCCTCGGCGTAGTCTTCTGGGATCTGACATACATCCTGATCACCCGTCGCAGCCTGCGGACACGATCGTACGGGATGCCGATCCTGGGCCTGATGACCAACGTTTCCTGGGAGATGGTGTATGGCTTTTACGTTGCCGAAACCGCGCTCGAGCAGTCTGGCTTCATCCTCTGGCTGCTGCTCGACCTCGGGCTCGTCTACACGACCATCCGTTTCGCGCCGGACGACTGGGCAGCCACATCCCCGAAAATTGGCAGGAACATCTCCTGGGTTTTGGGTAGCATGCTCCTATTTGGCTGCTGGGGTCATTACGCCTTCGTTTCGTGGTGGCTCTCAGCCCCGGGCATTGGGTTTGGCGACAAGACTGGTAAGTGGTGGCGCGGCAAGGAGGGCTACGATCAGACAGAGTTGGCATACTGGTCAGCTGGAGTTGCGCAAATGGTGTTGAGTGTTGCGAGCGTGGCTATGCTCCTGATCCGAGAGCACTCTGGAGGGACAAGCTACAAGATCTGGTGAGTTCGTTCCATTACTGATGCCTGAAGAATTCAAGTCCACGAGTCTGCAGTGTTTCTATGACATAGTTGTATGGAAGCTTAAAAGCTAGCTGCACTTTTCATTCTTATGAATAGGACTAAGCTTGCGGATTATCGAGCCGATGCTGTCCGCACTCTGTCCATTGGTCAAACCCATACCCTATTCTAATTATGCTTGGCCCTGGATGCTACTTGGATAAGAACAATGGGCCTTGGCTAAAAATATGATCACCTCGATAGGTTCTGCAGGTTCTTTGGCTCTTTGTCTGGGATGGGCTTCTGTAACGGTGTTCTCTGGTGGTACTGGCCTGAAGCACACGGGTACTGGGTCAGCCCTCTCGGAATATTTATATGTGGCTGCTCTCTAGCTGCCGATACGGTCTATCCTTTCCTATTACATTCGGTACGCAAGCATGAAGTCCAACTTCCAGATGGTAGATTAGTCAGAGGCGACGAAAGAAAACAGGCAGAGCGGAAGTCTCAATAGCCGAGAGTATTGCAATACGGTTGAGGTCGGGCGTTCCGAGCCTGAGCCAGATAATGCCAGTACATGGTGACATATCACAGGCTACATAATTCTTGTTGCGGGAATGAGGAATGTCCCTGTCCTTCTTGTTACCAGCTACGCAAAGGTCAAATTCAAGTTTCGAAATCCTCCACCACTTGATACTATCCGTAGCCACAGGCTCAGATAACTATATCTAAATAAAGAAACCCATACACGATCGACAAGCATTGATTTGCATATGGCATTGTAGCATCCAGCATTTCACCGAAGCAAGGCAGTGATGCCAATAATCTCCACAGCCTCCTGGGAAGAGATCAAGAAGTTACCCATAAAAACTAGGCACGGCCGCAAGGATATGGCACAGCAAACACTGATAATCAACATGCCTGCCGGCCAAGGCACTGAACCAAAGCGCCGGGACTATTTTCTCCCTGATTGAGCACTGAACTCCGTGTAGCACAAAGCAGCAGAATATGCTGGCGTTGAGCTGATATCGTTGCCTGCTCCATACGACCAAGGAGCACCCGACACAGCCGCGTGTAATTAGGCAGCCAGATGAGCTCTTTCCTGACAGTTGATCGTGTTCTTCCAGAACCGGTGTCTTGCCCAGCCAAGCGGGGACCAATAGTTGTTGGGGCTAGATTCATGCTCTCCGGATCAAGCGGTCGAATCCGTCGAAAGGGGCAGTTTATACTGTCACATGAGCAAAATGTGATGCGGGAGTCCACTGAGATCGTCGTGCAAGGAGTTCATGTATTGCCGACATGTAGCTGTGCTTCTGCCGTGAGTGCCGGCTCAATCATAGTTTTGTGCCGCATGAACTAAGATCGCTACCGGAACCCGCTACGCATCAGCCACCTGTAGCATGATTTGTTTGGGGGGACACGCCAACGATGGTTCAGACCTTTGAACTTTAAGGTTTGAAAGTGCCCAGCTTTGCTCTTCTACCTGCGGATACCACAGTACATTCCTCGGTCCGCAAGGACTCACCAGAGTTCGTTATCTTTTTGTCTGATGCTCGGCCGGCCCGCAACAAGTTGGCTTGCTGGCTGGAAAGTGAACCTGGCTTGCAGTAGCCCGCGTAGGCCTGTTGATGCTTTTCATTTCAGCATGCCCAAAATCTCCACTCATGCGCGATCGCTGTAGGGATCGCAAGCGTCCACTTTCGTGACACCGAAGCTGCAAATGCCGGACATGACCTTGAGACATGCAGAATGATAATTCCAGTAGCTGATCAGATGAGATTTGTATAGAAAAGAAAACTCTATTTCCCTTTCGTTTTCTTCCTTCAGATGAGCGGGCAATATATTGCGATCAGCACAACTTCCTTCTGTGGCCAAGTCACCAAGGCTCCTGGGCTAGTAAAGCTAAATACGGGCAATTACACAGCATTGGAATTTACACGACCTTGAGAACGTAAGGGTGATCTCACAGATAATCATATCGTACGACTTATTTCTCGGGATACAAAACTAGGAGGGACCCCTGGTGAGCTCCACGCGGGAGATCACTGCATTTATTGCTTGACCGATAGCCGGGATCTTTGGGACCCAGGGTCAGTGTGACATTCACTAACGAGGTGATGGGAGACCGGTCAGTGGAGGAATTGCCCAAGTGAGCCGTCGATAGTTTGGCTCTGGTTAAGACGTCGACCAGGTTGTTTGGTGTCGTTGGTTTCTGGTATCCGAAGCAGCGCTGGGCGTCATGGTCTGAATGGTCTGGACATCCTACAGATTAAGCTGACTCCTGAGTACTGCATAATGTGTACTTAGCCTTTCTGCTGCCGTGGCGCGCAGGCAAGCAACTCGGCTTCTAATGAGCCCTGTCCCTAACTATCGGATTGGCGAGACTTGCGCAACTGTCTGCCAGCATCCATTGGCTACCACTAGGCCGCGGTGTTTCGTCTAGCGAACTAGGCAAAGTTAATATAGTATCTCGTTACACTCACACATGGACTTCACGCATGTGCGAACGATAACGTAAGCGGAAGTCAATTATCCTGTCGTACTATGTAGCATATATGAAGTGCATGCGCTTCTCGGCAATCTGCATAATGAATGCGACAACTAAAGAGCGCATTGCGTGGTACACTGCAGCGTCGTCATCTCTATTAATATACATTTTTAAGGCTGCCCGTGGAAGCTGATATCTGATTGTGGCTACCACCACATAGCAAACAAGGAATGTGATCATATCGCTGAAAATACATCGGGGACAGTCTAGACGAGAAGAAAGTAACAAACGTTAGTTAGTAGTTGATAGTCAGAATACGCGAGACCGACAAGGGTACCATTTCAAAATGAACTCACACTGCTAGATGAAAAGGACCATTAAACTCTTCACTCCGGTATCCGTTATCAGTTTTCGGGCATGGAAGGGTCTCGGTCTTGGTTTGACAGAACTTTGGGGGCTCCTCCGAAGAGATAAGATAAACCTTTGCTCGAAACAAATTCCATCGGAGATGTCCATCACAAGATACCAGGGAGCCATGGCATCATTCTCGTGCTATCGACGCTCTATGCGCTCTTAGGAAGGTTCATGGGTCACTGGGACAGGTGCCCTGCAATTGCAAACGCTAGCAATGCAGTCAGACGGGCTCGAAGGAACGGCTCGACCTGATAGAGGGCAACGTTCTGCGGTATGGTCAAAAACGGGATCTAGTTTGCTAGTTGCTGGATTGACATCAGCCTAAAAGAGAATGATCTTCTCTCATACATGTTTGACAGGCGGGCCTTGAGTCGCTACATTATCCATAACTGCAGTAGCTCAAAGGCCCAAAAAATGCACTTAAAGCTCTCTGGAATACCGGTGCTCTGTCCCAAACGTGGGGTCTCAAACTCACCATGCGATTTGACAAGAGCGCCGAAAGCAGCCCCCAGAAAGTCATGCTGGTGATCGATCCCCTGCTGGCGACCGGTCTGCCTTCTAGGAAGGATTCTGCAAGACCGTTGACCGTGATCAACCACGCCGGCCCTGGCATGTCGGATGTAACCACAGGCTAGCAATGGTTTCTGATACGTCCTTTAGTTCTTTTATCTTTCCAGGCATCGCATATCTGAACCATCATCAGAATCGGATAGAAATTAATCGGACCTATTGGGAAACAAATGATAAAGATCTGAAAACAAGCCCCCCCCCCCCCCCCCCCCCCCCCCTCTCCCAAAAAAAAAAAAAAAAAAAAAAAAAAAAAGGGAAATCGTAGTCATTTGCAAGCTTTGCATATGCTGTTGCCCATCCCTTTGGATGCAGCCTTGAACAGCGATATCCGATATCTGATGAGAAACGTCCCTCATACAAAATCTTGGTAATGAGTTGCTTCTGCGGCCCTTTATGCATGCACGAGGCGGTCAGAGGGAGTACAGCTATTGCTGGAGGGGAAGAAAAAAGTAACCTGTCAGATCGCGAAATGATACGCGACAAGATTTGGAGATAAGATCTCCGCTGTTGACTCACGGGAATTTAAATGCGATGGCATGTAAGTTAATGTAGTAGGTTAGTATTTTTACCCCTCCATCCCGCATAGGCAAGCAATCCATACGCGCAAATGCACCCCGCCAGATCGTTGATGGCTCACGAGACTTATGCTCCAATGCACACGAGGTTGTACCGGGTAAGAAGACTGGGCCATGCGTTAAGAAGTGTTCCGTTGTACGATAGACACAAGCTGCCTTTTCCATGATTTGATGCGCTTCATCTATACTGAAGAGCATATGCGGTAGGTCCAAACAACAGTGAGACACATGATCCTTCTGTCCGTCCGTCCGTCTGTCTGTCTGTCTGTCTGTCTAGACCCTGACATCATTTCCAGTGTAACCCCCCCATATAGCAAAATATACGAAAGCCTGGCCCAGCAAGATGTACGCCTAGCTCCAAAAAAACAAAACAAAAAAGCAAGTATCCTCCTAATTTCAGAGACGCCAAAACGAAGTTCCTCATTCCATTGTCGCATTGCCATGGAGAAAAATAAAATAAAACAAATCCAGTAGACAAATCCTTTCGCCAAGCCATGTTAAAAAGTCAAACCGAACTAGCCATAAGGTTTGCACCCTGTTTTTTACAGTCTTTATACGTTGCTTTTCATAGTTGTAAATGCGCCCAAAAAAACTTCGTCAAAAAGCTCTGCCATCGCGCGGCGTCCGCAGTTGCCTTTGCCGGATCTCGAATGTGCGGTCGGAAATTCGAAGGTCGGCCGAGGTCGTGTAGTGTGAATTGAAAGAAATTAGCCAGTAGCGGTAACTTTCAATCGTCGTTGATCATCCAAGTCCATTGATGACGGATGGTCTGAGTTAGACCTCGTGTTCATTAAACGTAGGGGGCCCGTGTATTGCTTCGTCGAATCATCCATTCCCATGCTGGAGGAGAGTATGGTCTGCAATCGCCTACGTGATTGTTAGTGGGTTACAGTGTATTCTAGCCTTAGGGATCAGCACAAATAGGGTTTGCGCCTCAGGTGACAAACACCCTCAGAAAACGATGATGATTGTAGGCGCGAGGGAAGAGAGAGACAGAGAGAGAGAGAGAAAAAAAGGTGTGGGACCAAAAGAAAGAGAGAATCAAACGCTTAAATAAAACGTACTGCATAGTTCATCTGATCTGGGAAGGATGTTAGCATCGTGTGGTGCCATATGTGAGCGAGCTATCGTACCTATATTCTGCTGTTGTCACATTTGGCGGACAGACCTTATGCGTCCGCTCATAGCTTGAACACCACCTTTGGACACGAAACCGGAAATGATCGCAGCAATATTGCACCTATATCCCAAGACGACAATGATTAGCGACACAATTATTTATGGCCTGAAGGGAGGGTTATTTCTCACCTGAGTGTAGTCACACATATTTGACGCAATGAGTGCTGTGTTTTGTATACCAGCAACTGTATAAGTCAGTCACAGTGAGCTTCGTGTTCGTGTTGCGCTGAACTTGGCGTGTGTAGCTTTGCAGCTCCCTAGTTGTGGTAATATTGCACGGTGGGACGATATAATGGCTAACACCATGCGTGACGGTGGCTTTGCAGAGCCAAAGATGGAAGAGGAAAGGAGAGATGGGTATATTTAAAAGGCTGTTTTAACTTTTCAGCATGGAGGTTCAGGCAGCCCGGGATTGGGAGTGAGCGTTGGGAACCTTTTGGGACTTTTTGTGCACCAGCTTAAGTTGCATGACACGCCTTAACACTAGGGAGAGCGCAGACTTTCTAGTGGACTTGACTAACACTTTGGTACCTTGCCTATCCACTACAAATCTTCGAAAAGAACTCTTCTCTTCCTTGGGAGCATCCATGATCCCTGTCAAACGTTAACGCGCCTAAAATATCCTGGCTGGCCACGTCCAGCTTTGGCATACCATTTCTTGAGTGACTGACATGTCTAGCGGCGGTACCTGGCTCGGATCTTGTTGGGGTCTTCCTGGGCACTGATTCTTGGGATTCCATGTCGTTCCTATAATGCATCCACCACTCAGAGGTGAAGACTGGACCAATAGGGTAGACTGATTCTTGTCCTCCCGATTTGACTTTCACGAAGTCAGGCAGAATCTGACTAGCATTCAGGGGCTTTCTACTATATAGCACTACATACGCACAACTGCAAACGAAGTACTTAGGCACGGAGAAGACATGTGTTCAGGTTTCGAGTCTCAAGGTCATGGGTCGTCACCAAGCAGCGCGAGTCTTGCAATCACCCGAAGCTGGAAGTTATCGAGGCTCTTACATTCCCTACTTGATTCTTCCTTTTCCATGGGATTTCAAGCGACGGTGTAGCCCTGACAATGTCCGTAGTGGGTACATATTGTGCTTCTCTCCCGTGAATCTGTGGAGTGTTTTTGGCCTGTTTGACGTCAAAGTCCCTGAGCTGCGCATTTGCATGTTGCATTACCTGGTTTCAGATGTAAACCATACAGAACACGCGGTCAGTACTACATGCACCGTGTCCGGTCGAACTCTTATCACAATTCAGTGACAGCGTAGTAAGGCCAAAATCACGGCCTAAGCCCGACTCCAGATCGCGCCGCACGGTACAGTGGTTCAGAATATATCAAGGACAAGCCTGAAGGCATCTGCCGGGATTTGCCTATTTTTGATAGGGAATTGTTGTTTGGGAGTACTTCTTTGTTGCTCGAGAATGAAACAAGGCTGATGAGACTCAACTATGTACATGGGCCCCGCATTTCAAAACCACCACCGGAGCGCCAACTGAGAGGGGTTTAACGTCGAAAAGATCCGTCCGACTAATCTTGGAGATGGACCAGTGTAACAACGGATCAAGCCTGTCAACTCGTGGTAATTGAATGCCATGACATAATGTTCCTGGATTTAGGCTCGAGCTACTATCCCGGATTGCTCCATGCTCAGCAGGAAGGGTGTGTTTCGTGTACGGCATGCCCGGCGGTCTTGCTGGCGCAAATGACTGAAGCTCGATGGTGTCACCGCATAGATTAATTGAACATAGTCATCCATTGGCGGGCTGCATAACGTCTGCACCAGCATACATCACTAGCAAGCAGAGCTTGGGGAGCAATGTGCAAAATCGAACGCATCCACGCATTGGGTTGGAGTACAGATACGGCTTTCAGCATGGCTTGACCAAGGATGGTGTGAGGTGGCCTCCGTTGAGTTTGTTTAACCTTGCCATGTTTGCACACTCGCAACCCTCTTGCAAATACAGAATTGACCGATACCCGACAACACGTGGGCATCAGGGAGGCCATGCATTTGAGCAGGGGTGGGCGAGCGGGTACTCTATCCTCTTCCAGAAAAGCTCTTTCGGTGTTCTTTTGATGGAGCCTAAGGATAGGGAGGGTCTCGGCAGGCCTCATTATCCAAGGCAATCATGTTTCGCAAACTGCATGCCACCTTGGAAACTGGGGCAGTCGTCCAAAAACATTGGCCCAACAGGGTTTTGTACATTTCAAAACCTCTAAAGACTCGACACTTGATGGCATACTGTCCAGCACTTTGCCCGGGGCTCAACACGCAAGGGCCGTTCAGGCGGGTTCCTGAGATGAATGCGCCATCCCGAAGGACCGCTGACAAAATCAGGTCATTCAACGCCTCCAGTGGACAGGCTCAATCCGTTGTGTCGGGTCTGCTAGTGGGCATCAGCGCTTTCTGATTTGACAGGTCCAAAGAAAGGGCGTAGTCCGGTTACGCACCAGGGTCTGTCGAATCTCGTTAGCACTTGTAGTGCCATAGATACAGGACACTAACAGCACAGGCGATTCACTTTCGGCTCAGGCACATTGGGTCTCACTGCTGGATGATGTGCTTTTGCACGACCCTCGCTGCGATTTTGCAAAGCCAGGCGTCGCATGGGGTTGGACCGAGGCCCTGGGTCCCCAGTGACTCGGCTCGATCGTGAATGTATGAATCAAGCACTACGCTCTCAAATGCACCCATGATATTGTCAAAAGTAATACGCTGGATCACGACAAGGTCATTGCACCCAACATCCGACCGAACGCATCAACCAACTGCCAGGCTGACTGATGTCGGAAGATCACTTCTAGGACTAACGTTATATGTGTAGCGTTGTCGCATGGCAAATGCAGATGAGCCTCTTGCGCCATCGTTCTTGCAACAGCACAAGGTCATGGACCGCACGTCGAGACCCTTGAAATTACCAGTCTTTCAACTTTGGCCAGCCATCATATTGCAAGGTTGACATCCTGGAGCGTGCACTTTCACCATGTGTCGCTAATCTTTATGTTTCTGAATTATGCTAGCACCTTCTTCGGACGAGGGGATGGATGTCTGTTGGACCTTGTCGATCAGGCATATACTTGAAAAAGCGGTCTATCTAGTCAATCCTACGTGCGTCATAAAGTTGACCGGTGAGCAGAACTACACTTATCCATTTTCATTGGTACCTCACATCTCCGACCGGTGTGCTGGCTCGTGTTGATCAGATTGCACCTTTGCGGACCTAGTCGGCCCTCAGCGCGTCTGATCGCTTGAGGTGGTTTTATGAGTCGCCAACAAGGGCAAACGCGTATATGGGTAATCTTCCGATCAGTTCGACCTCCACTGCCACCGAGGCCATGGTTGTACATAATACTAGTATCAAGCGCAACCAGCATGGGTCTCCACAAAGACCCACTCAACATAATGGGATCGGCTGTGTCAATGAATCGCTGTTCGAGCACTATGAGCTCGTCAAGAGAGCAAAGATACATAGTGTTCATGCAAGTTGCGGGTCGTCCCTCGTCTTGTGATCCTTCCAGAACATTACAAAGCTTCTAGCGGCATGAACTTTGGCGGACTTACAGAGGCCGTAGTTTCATGGGTTTCGAAAGTACTGCTAGTGATAGCGCAAGTTCAGTTGTGGGCCGCCAGGGGCCGTAAACGTCTGCGTATCCGAGAGAAAGCTTTTTTACCACTGGACGTTTCTACGAGATCATGGTTCGGAAAACTAAAGATTCGGTTCTGAAGCAATGATATCCTAGCGCTCCTGGCTCTTAGACGATTCCATACAATCGTGCTTTCGAGGTTGGTACTTCTACCTTACTGACAAATACGCCTTTACTGCACAGTCGCGGCACCAGAAGAGTCCCACTTCCAAACCGCTTTTTTCTTCTTCTTGCCACTGTACTGATCGACGCATGGCGGTGATCACAGAAATGCCTGCAGTACGGGCAATTCTTGAGACCGTGACACGCAGGGGGTCGATGGTAGCCCGCATGAGAAAAAGTCATATGACATGGCCCACTAGGGTTGGGTTGATCCTCACGTAGAAGGTTGTACCAAAAATATTCGCCTAGTCAGTTGAGATTAATTTGACTATTCAATAAGTTACTATTGTTGCACACGAACTCTAAAACCAACGATCCTTTTTCAACCAACACGCAATTACGATAGTGCTTCGTGCATCAGCAAGAGCCGAGTCACGCCAAGGGCTTATCCTGGTGGAGCTTCCGTATCAACGCCTGTCAATGCGCTTCTTCGCTCAGGCGAGTTTGCTCAAGCCATCACGGCAAAATCCTAAGAACCACCATTCAGGATGTGATACGTTTCCCCATTGGTTAGAATTTCGGGGATGGCTGTGCCCATGCAGTTGTGATGATGCTTAGGCCAGGAAAGGATTCAAGGCTTCAGTCTCGGCAAGCGTTGTCAATAGCAGCTGAAGTTGGCCTACGCCTCGTGACCTCGCCTAGCACCACGTGGAAGATACTACAAGCCTCAGCCTCAGGCCCACGATGACGACCCCCACGCTCCTCGGCCTTCCGAACGTATGGTCGTGAATACCCTCCTTCGCATCCCAGGAGAAAGGACGCATTCCGTACAAAATTTATTTGCACAATTCTTTCCACAGTTCTCTTGCACTGTTCTTATCATGCATCTGACTCATTGGAGAAAAATCAATGTCGGCCCAGTTTTATCTATTGATGGGTTTAGAACTTTTGGGAAAGGGAGTGTTTGTACATCTCGCATCGTAGTAATAGCTCTCAGGCATGCTAATGTAATTAATTTGGCAAGATACAAACTTATGTCAGTGAAAACATACTTGTAAAGAATGACAATGAGTCACCCCTCCCCCCCCCCCCAAAAAAAAAAAAAAAAGAAACAGGGGGAGAAAGTGTGGTGTTTTCACACAGCAACCCTGTTACATGACTATTCAAAGTGCCTCAAGTTTTCATCAGTATGGTTAGTATGAAAATAGCGACTTAAATAATACCCGTCATGATGCAGTGTTTCTAAGGCGTATGGACCACATATCCGGTTTGAGACATTTCCATCGCCTCATATCCCGAGGCAGCAATAGCGTGCTCAACGGCCGGTGCAGGTTTATAGCTCGAGTTCCACACTCTCAGAGGCTGGCATCGCTGAACAAGTCAATACGGTCCCGTCCATCTGAACACCTCCCGTTACAGAGCCGCACATGAGTTTGGCAGCACAGCTGCCACACACACCAACTCGACAACCATAATCGGGTGTAAGGCCTAACGACTCTGCCAGTTCCAGCAACGACTTTGGGCTGTTCTGATTCCAGATTGCCGAGACGTTGGATTTGGCGAATTTTACCCGGGCCGTATTCAGATCACTAGTGATGGACCCGGACGGCAAAAAAGATTCGCTTTTGATTACCCGCGACGGCACCCCTACTTTTCCCAAGCATTCCCTAATCGAAGTTTCGAAAGCAGTGGGACCGCATATATGAAACGACGACATTTGAGTTGGCAATGTCATATCAGATGCTCCAAGGGGGTTCATGGTATATGAAGCTCCGAGTATATCTTCGAACCATGAGGGATCTGGTCGGCCGGCGTAGTCATAATCATCGCCGTCTATATCTGCCTCTAAGGGGTGAGTAAAAAATAGATGTCTTTGAAGTGGAAGTTTGAGCTTAGCCAGCTCATCTCGGAAGGGAAGAGTGCCACTATTTTGCGTTACATGAATCCAAAGCGCTTGGGCTCTCGCAAATTTGGGATGAATACTATGCGCTTTCATCATGGCGAGAATAGGCGTGATACCAATGCCGGCAGATATATAGACCTGACGAAATGCGACCTGCGTCCCCCAGTCTAAGAAGAAACGACCGGCTGGGGACCTCACGGGCAATATAGTGCCTACTATACAATGCTCGTGCATCCAAGAAGATGCGTCCCCCGCGTCTTTAATGGTGACTCTATAGTTGGACGGACTATCTCGAGAGGGAAAGTCGGAGATGGTCCAGTTGCGCGTCTTATTCCCTGGTAGTTGGATTGATAGAAACTGACCAGGCAGGTAGTTTGCCAGCGCTTGTTCGTCTCTGGGTCTGAAATAGAATGATTTTAGCCCAACACCTTCTTTGACCACTCGAGTCACTTCAAGATCCCTCCAACCTTTCCAAGCATGCTTGCCCTTGTTTAATGAGTCTTCAATAGCCCACAGTTTCAACATAATGAAGAACCTGTTCATACGGAGAAGCAATTGATGATTTGCAAGAATATCAAGTGTGTCTCTTGTTGTCAGGGATGTATCGTAAGCGACACGAGTAATTGTAGCCACATCCATATCATCATTGGAAGGACTCTGCAAGAAGGCTTGATCCCCCGGATGTATCCGGCCACCCTGAAGCACACGTAAGTAGACTCCAACTCGACCAGAGTCTGCCAACGGCTTAAGCCACAGGTCACTTTGACCACATCTCCAAGCCAGCTTTCCGCAAGGGATGCGGGAGCCGCACACCTCGAGCTGTACTGAGTCGCCTATTCTCCACACATCTCCTAGGTGTATATCATCTTCAAGGTGGACCTCGTCCTTGCACTTGAGGGTTATGTTCTCGCCCCAGTGACACCTGAGTAAAGTCACCATTAGTAGAGTCATGTAACAGAATCAAAGAGTTCCTTACCAATTCCAGGCAGAACGCTCCACACCTAGGTTTGAACACCAGTAGTCGTAATTCTCGGCGAAGAATACGTACACCGGCCCATCATGGGCTGCCGTCCTATTGCCAACGACACCAGACTCATTGAGCTCGATATAGCCATTGCTCGATGTTATAGGATCACGAATGATAGAGGTGGATATCTTCATACCACGAAGCTCATACTCCTTGGGCACAGACTGACTAACTGCGACGACCTCCATAATGATATTAGTGTGAAGAGAATCTAATATGGTATAAGCTGAAGGTTTGAGAACAGATGAAGATGTATTCATGCTTATATGCCGTCATTGCAGCGCCTTGCGCTGTTATCCCCGAGTTTTGAGTGCGGACCCGGTCGCCGGCCTCCGGACTCGGTCAATTTTTGGAATCCCCGGCTGATAATACCTTCAAGTTGTCAACCGGACTTTACAGTACTCCTCCACACATCAGCATTGCATCCAAAACCGCACATTGGATCTTGCACTGGCTAGATTGAATGCGCAACACCATGACAAATCTTTGTTCGTTTGAATGTTGAGCGTCAGCTGCAGAACTCGAAATCGAGCATTCGTAGGCGCTTGTGTTTGATATCATGTGTATGCATTGTGTCAATGTGAGAACGTTAGATATTTATCCTGACCAATTCAATCGGCGTCCTTGGCATGAATGCAAAGTCCGATCGTGCTGGGATCGAGGTGAAATACAACCCACACTGCTATGGAAATCGAGCACCGGGAGCTTCTTATCGGACAGATGAGTTTTGATGGCATTTGCGACTTTCTTCAAGCAATCGGGTTGGGCAGAGGGACCTCATCATGCATTGTTATGAGCTGATGTTCGCTACTAAGCATGAAAATCTCGCAAAACATGCAGCTCTACATAATGTGTGGCTAGTGAGAACCCAACGTACCCACTCAAGCTGCCCAAAAGCGATGCGCGCACCAGCAAAGGAAAGCTAAAGCTGACACGTCAACTTGTGCAGATACTTCGCTGAGCATCCCCTCAAATCTGCTGATCTGATCGTGATTCATTCGGCGATGCATAACTACTGAACAGATGGATCGCTCAGCAACTTTTGGTACCTGGAAGCGTTATAAGCTTGGCCAGGCGCAATTCACAAAATGGTTAAAGCAAACTTCTGACCGTATCAAGGGTGCCACCTCGGCTGGTGAACCACAGAAGCCACCGAACTCAGCCTCCAACCATGGCACCGCTCAATTGGAGGCAATGGTCAAGATAGTTGTAGACAAAGCAAATCCCAAGGACATCCCACCATCCTCAATTCGTATTCTTCGGGATGTCGTGAGCCTGAGAAAGAAGAGTGCCCGTTTTTTTGGCAAGGTCGCGTCCAGGTCCGAGGACGATAAGCTCAAGAAGAGCAACAGCTCTCATGAACACATGATCAAAGTTCTCGAAAAAGCACTCGTACAGCTGGAGGCGGCAGGGTCCAAAGTGACCGGTAAGACCTCGCAACCTGATAGCGATGGTCAGGTTAGCATGGACGACATCAATAACATGTTTGAGTTCTTGAAGGTTGAGGAGACCCAGAATGCAGAAGACGTTCAATCAGAAGAGTCTGAGCCCGAGAAGCACACGAAAAGTTCCAGTAAAAAGAAATTTGGCAAGTCCAAGGGCAAGAAGCAGAAGCAGAAACAGAAGCCTAAAAAAGAGCCCAAGACCCAATTGACGGAGCCAATGTCAGTTGACAGCAACTGGGTTGACGAATTCAAATGGATGGATGATGACGGCGATGATGACGAATTCGACTACTACATGCTGATTTACTGTGAGTCTTTCTACCCTCCAAGACTCATCCTCTAGGATGTCACCTGTGCACGCAATGGGGGTGCCATATAGTTGTGCCGCACCACCCACTAACCTCCCTTCTCATTCCGCAATACTCGTGTTTCGTACTTGTAAGCCTTGTTCACTGAGCTGGCAATAATTACTGACATGATGTTATGAAGGCTTCTTCGAAGATTTCAACTCTATCCGCGATTATGTTGTCGATAAATGGTGCGACTACTACTTTTACCAATCTGTGCCCATTGAGGTTCTCGGTGTCATCACCAATGCTGCATGCGAAATCTTCCACGAGATGGAGTCGGAGCTCTTTAAAACGGCACGCGCACTGAATTTGCCCGCGCGAATGGTAGAGTACCAATTCATGATGAACACTTTGTTCATCCAATACGGTCTGAATCACGTCGACTATTCCAACGACAAGATTATGTCGGAGGAAGACTTGCAGCAAAAGATTCACCGAGAAGCGGACTGGTTGGGTTTCATGACGTATACCCGTCTCGAAAACATCCTGACAAATGTGCCCCCGGGAAAGGTGCCTATGTATCCTGCAGGAACACTCGAACCCCCTGTGTATGGAATTCTAGACGCCGATGGTGTGGCAGAGTTCACAAATACCATCATCTTCGAAATGCTGCCGGACTTTTGCTTGCTCAAGGCTTTAAAGGTAAACCGTCAAGCGCCGAGTGTTATTGGTGCCCAAGATGAAGTGACGTTGGACTTCGAGGGTGCATTACGAGCCCGGTCGTATCCGTCGGCAATGGTTTTGGGATTACAGCTCTACGTTGATATACGTTATGTGTTGGAAGGCGACACAGTCAAGGTTTTTGATCAGATGCAAGACACAGCCCGCCAAAATGAGGCAGCTCTAACCAGGGTATACGAACATGTACAACCGTCGAGGTTGAAAAGAGAAATGTGGGGACGCATCGCGGAGATGAACTGTGTTATGCTAGAAGATTTCATGGAGCAAGACAAAATAAGGCGATGGAAAGAGAGAGGTATCACGGACGAGAAAGTTGAGAAACATTCTCTTCTCAAACGCCACCCAATCTGGTCCGGCTTGCTTAGCCTTCGATGCAGGCTAGTTTCGAACGACCTCGGCCACCGTATTGTCAGCTCATCTACGGCAGTCCTTGCGGCAGCCTTCGCCTATGAAGCAGCAAGGCTCGTGGCGAGGGATTTTTTGCCGAGCTGGCCTTCCATGGATGGGTTTATCAAGTACTACGGCCAAGATTGTGTTCTTCTGCAAGGCAACTTATCCGGCAATATGTCGGCTGCAGACTTGCTCAAGCGATTTGCGGAGTATGATCTCACGAACACCAAAATTGCTTCACTGGTGGGCTTTGACAAACCATCAAAGACCCAAGCTGCCTTTTATGAACGATACGGGGTGGACACTGAACGTTCTCGGCAAGATATGAGATATCTACAGGATATAATCAAGGAAAAGTATAGCGTCAACGCTACAATTCTGCCCCCTCATTTGAGCAACAAGCCCTTGGCTGTCATCAACCATAATGAGAGGGACGCGACTGAGAAGACTGCGGAGGTTGCGAAGAGTGGGACGCTTGATACTTCCCTGAAAACAGCTGAAAGATTTTTCGAGCCTCAACGTGTCTCGCCAATTCGGCTGCTGGAAGTTTTGGGCGGTGCTACCATCGATATCCTGGACAACCAGCTTTCTGTTAACTATCTACAGCTGTACGAAGAAAGCATTGTACTTCTTGAGGCAATTTCTGAAAAGTTTCCAGAAATAACGGAGAATTGTGGCTTACCCCAGGTTGAGGACAGTACTTACGTGGACAAATTGGGGAAGGTGCTTGTAGGCCTTGCGACATCAATGGGCCACAACCCACATGATGGACAGGCGGAGCAGCTGGTTGATGGAATCAAGGAATTTCTTGTAGGGCTATCTGATTCAGATACCCCCAATCTGCAGATATCTTCCGAGTATGAAACACAGTATTGAAAAAGAACATCGCAACGATTCTAAGAAGGCTGAACGTGTCCGCTGCTATGCAACACCTTCCCGTCGTCCGCATATTTCGCACGTTCAACGACACCCTTGATAGGTAAAGTTGCCGCCAATTAGGATGTCCCGCACCCTACATTTTAGGTGCGCCTTGCCATTGCCGAAACTTATGTCCAAGAAATCCGGCAAAACGCACCAGGTCTTGACCCCCCATCCTTCCTCAACCTCCATGCCCAGTTCACCATCATTTTTTTTTTTTTAGCACTGTCTACTTAACAATAGGCCGTGGTGTCAAAGCAGAGATTCTTTGGTATTCGGCAAAGAGCGGGCTCGGGGCTGGGTAGAACTTTTCGCATGTGTTCTGGAGGTTGCATAGACTACTGGTGATGAAGAGTAAGCGAGAATCAGATGAGTTCCGTAGCAGCGCCATGAATGCATGCGTCATTAAGTGTACCGAAAACATTAGTGTCGAAGGTCCCATAATTTAATCAAAGCGATGTTTACTTGTTTGTAATCCCAATCGAATTCGCCGACTTGATTAGCATTCAGCACTGTATTTGCAAATACTGTTATAGTCACTGAAAACTATACTCACCAGCATGATTGACAAATGCATCAACATGGTCATGAGAAGGTCGGACCTGCTCGAAAGCCTTTTCGATAGACTTGTCACTCCCGAGGACCCAGATATCCATTTCTGCCTCGGACTTATACGAGTATAGATTCGATAGTCAGGGGTCTGAACTCCATCCCGGCCAGCTGAAGGTGATAATTGATGCGCCGCACTCGCGTTGAGTACCTGTAGACCTAGGCTTCGGGGGCTGCCTTGGGTACCAATTCTTGTTAGTCAAGGTTTAATTATTTGAAAGAATATTCCTCACTACATTGAATATGACATCAAACTGCGACTTCATGTTGATGGCTTGGTTGGCAACAACACGGCGATGGATTGAAGAGACACCTATTCGGGGAATTGCATGGAAAGAACACAATTGTCGGGAAAATCGCTCGTGACGATTCATCAGGTGCAGGCGACTTTCGGTCTCACTTTTCGACCAAATACGTGGTGCTAGGAACTCTCTCGTTAGCTTGTAGCGGTCTCCGACGATCCTTCCTAGCTGCCGCGTCTCCAAGGCGAAATACAAGCTCATGCGCGACAACCTCAAACCGCTAACGTCTGCACGCATGTAATCATGTTGTGAGGCGACGGCGACAGTGAGGACCTAGCTCCAATTTACAATGCTCAAGTCGGCGTTATTATCCATGTTTTGATAATATCAACAATGTCTCGACGGCTCTTCCGCGGCTTTCCAGGTGGGCCACATACTCTGCAATATGTCATCTTTAGCGCAGTGCGATGATGGTCACGGCCAGAATAAGCAACTTCAAGCATACGTACCTGGTGGCAACTTTCCCTACGAGCAAAAACTGACCGGATCTAATGTGAAGAAGAAGAGGCAGCCATCCTTCTCATATAAGCCTATCTAACGGTACAGCTGGGATGCCTGACTCGCTGCACGTCGCATACCTCGTTAATTACTTGCGCGACGGCTATTTTTAGTCGACCCTGACCACTCAAACTCGGCGACGGACCCCGACAAAATTACTCGACATGCCAGCGAGTCAGCGCCGTTAGCGAGCTCGCCCAGCACAATTTCTGTAGCCAACCATCGTCGGGTGTATCCGGCTTCACAGTTTGTTAGATATTCACCTTTCAGCACTACCATGTTATACTTGACTCGCGCGGCGATTTTCACAAATAAGCATGCGAGTCGGTCGGATAAGCAGGTGCAGAAAGGCAGATTTCAATCAGGGGCTGATTCGTGGGCACGCATTGCTTTTGAATACAGCTTCTGAAAATTCATCCATGGATCATTTATCAGTAAGGCGGTTGCGTGATCGTGGACCGGCGCCGGAGCGGTAACATATCCTTGGAGCTTTGCCCAGACGAAAATCCTCCATCGTGGATCGGGTCGGGATTGTGCCGCTCCACATCATGCCTTCAGATATGAAATCGTCACTTCATCGTTTCCGTGTTGAAAGTCGGCCGTCCCCATCATTGCATAGCGATCCCCTAATGTCCGACCGGCGGCCTTCCGCGGGTGGAGTCGAGAAGTCATACGATCTCTTGACGGCCAAAGCGAATCACATACCAGCGTGCGAAAGGTGAGATGTCCTGGCGGATCAAAACTCCACCACCGAATTCTGACATGGTAGCAGATGTCGCAATTTCAAGAAGAAGTGTAGTCGGACGTTTCCAGTTTGCTCATTATGTGCCAGCGCCGGAACCAAGTGCTCTTTCTCCACCCCGACCTCGTCCGCAGATGCTCAGACACATCATTTGAGAGCACGACTGAACTGGCTGACTGCTAATGTCAACCAAGCTTTGCCTGCCGGAGCCCCTAGAATTGACACCATTGAGACCGGAGTGGACTTGACAGAGCTGCTGCGATGTATTCCAGCTAGAACAGCTGCCTCCCAAGAGCAATCGCCCGCAGCTGTAATCACCGGTGCTCGGGATCTACATCTTACAGGAGATCAGCAACTGGTCGATCAACCGATGACCGATCCTGGCAGTGGTCATTTGAGCATCAATGGACAGGTGACAAACTCCCCAGGGTGTCGCGACAACGTCTTCGAGCCTGCTGAGACCCTAAACAATACTCCCCGAACGATTATCGATGGCGAGCATGTTATTCGTCAGAAGCTTCCCCCAAACGCCGCCGCCCGGCGATTTGTAGATGCTTACCTTCGTAACGTCAATCGGGCATATCCATTTGTTGATAGGAACAAGGTGCTTCGTGATCTTGAGACGCTCGGAGATTGCCCGACACGACAACAAGATGCAAGCTCAACTTCATTGTACCTGATAATGGCCATTGGATGTACCACGCTTCAGAGAGCAGGTCAAATACCAGATGACACCGTATCCAAATTCGATGTAGTTTATTCGGATATAAGTAAGTACATGAGAGACCGTCTGTGCACTATCGTCTCAATCATACCCTAGGTTTGCACAACACTGTTGGACACAATATCCTGAGGAGACTCGTGCTGTTCTCCCAGGGAAGGGAACCCTTTCCTCTAGCCAATACAAGAATGGTAGCTGACGGTGTAAAACTAGTGCAAGAGAATATCTGCCAAGAAGGAGTCGAGTCTATACAAATACTGGTGCTGCTAGCGCTCTATTCTTTGTTTGATCCCTCCGGCCCATCTGCGTGGTCATTAGTAGGCATGGCGGCTCGTCAGGCTGTGCTGTTGGGGCTGACTCGCCGCCAAAGTGAAACCAGATCCCTTTCCGCCACCGATATCGAGCTGAGGCATCGACTCATCTGGTCGATATATGTGCTGGATCGGATGATGGCGACTTCCCTTGGCCTTCCCGCTGCTTTAGTAGATGAAAGCATGAATGTTCCGCTACCAGGGCTGACCATTGACGAATTCGCGTCATCAGATCGGTCACAGTTTGCGACCATACTACAGACGAGCCGTCATGTAATCGTGCTGCGACAGATTGAAGGGCGGATCCTAGACCGAGTGCACCTGCTCAAACAGTCCAAGATTAGTACACTTGCTCTTGCAGATCGGCGGGCAATACTGCAAGATATCCGAACAGATATCGAGAACTGGTACAGTAATGGCTGCTTGGTGTGCCCACCCGAGCCAGACAATATTCCCATACATAACTCCATTACTTGGCTGAGCGCAAGATACTACTATTTGCTGCTCCTCCTGTATTATCCCTCTCAATTCACTTCAGCAGTGGTATCGAAGGCGGAGCTCCTGCGCTTTGCACAGAAACATGTGCATTCAACATCAGTGCTGTTTCAGCAACGACAGCTACCACTTAACAGGGTGACACTGTTCCGGATATTCCCAACTGCTTTGGTGCTCATGCATGGTTACGTCGCATGCGCAGCCGATTGCACTCCTTTCCCAGCTCAAGATGACGTGGCTGTGCTCATCAAGATCTTGGAGGCATTCTCCGGCGGTTGGTTGGTCGCACACCGAGCATCCCACATCCTGCGCCAATTTCTCAATGTAATCATGAGCTCGCCGGAGTATACTACGATACAATTCTCCATCGCTAGCTTCACCGAGTTGATGCAGGAAGCTCTAGGAAAAGCGACATGCTACGCTTCCACCGAAATCGTAGAGGACAGAACAAGCAGACGACTTGGCTCATACGGTTCTCTTTCTGACACTGGAAGGACAGGTCTAGGATCGGCCACAAGTATGTCGGGCCTGGTTGGGAGCGATGAATCAGACATGAATTATGAATGGCCAGGGTCACTAGATTTAGACTTCCTGTAGCGGATACCCTGCAACTACAAAGCGCATCCATTTCAACCGAGATTGCCCTAGAACTATCGAACAATCAAGCAGAACTTTGTTCTGTGAAGAGATCAGCATTGATGTCCAACTACCTAATCCGTGCCTAGCAACAAGCCCACTATTGCTCTGTCGCGGGGTTGTTACATCTATTACTTAGTGGCGGCACAAGCATAAATCATTTCACCGGCCCGGCAGTGGTTCTTAGTGGGGTTCTTATCCGCAGCGGCGATCACAACGGGCAGCCTCACAACCAAAACCTGCTGAAAATTCAGAATTACATCGGAGCAGCAGTATTTTCTCACAACCCTTGTCGCTGAGTTTTTCGAGAAATACTTCTACGGATACAGACACAAAGCTCCGACTTTGACAAATCTATTCATTTCTATCCGGACCACTGTCCAAGGTCAATTAAGTCAGCATGACCTCCCAGTCGGAGCGGTATGCCGCTCTCGTTGAGTGGGTGCGCGAAGGTGGGGGCCACCTCCACGATAGTGTTGAGATTGCTCAAGTCGATGGGATGAGAGGTTCGTTCCGAGCCACAGGTCCCGTGAGTACATTTTTTACAAGGTGCGACCCTACAGACCTATTACAGCAATTCAAGTCGTTTCTCTAGATGTCAAGCACTCAATACTCACGTCTCCAGTGGTATAATGTTGAGCTTCTGATGCATTGTCTCTATGCACCTGGTTTTTGTGGCGAGAGGACTAACACTTGACAGATCACAAGGGGCGATGTTATCGTCACAACTCCTCTTTCGAGGACATTGTCATATCTGAATGCTATCAGTGGTCATTCCGCCGCACCAAATTTCTCAAACGAGACATTTAAGTCACCGGAGAACTCGACTTTTTTCCCCACCGATTTTATCAACACAGTTCCACCGCATGTTATTGGGCGATTTGTTCTGATGTAGGTCCGTATGAAGCACTACCTGGACGCTTATTTTCAAGACCGCTCTGACAATTATTTGCCCTCAACCACCTACCTAATTACCACTGATATACAATTTTGCTGATCAAATTTGTTCATGTTAAAGGCAGCAGTATCTACTGGGAACTGCATCAAAATGGTGGCCATACATCCGCACGCTTCCCCAACCAGAACATATCGGTGGCATGCTACCGGCTCTTTGGCCAGAGGTAACAAATTCCTCAAGCAGATATTATGTAAACATCACTGACTTTGCCAAACAGGAAGACGTCAATTTTCTTCAAGGGACTAATGCATATGTCGCTGTTCAAGAGATCAAGTCGACACTCAAGAAGGAGTACAAGGATGCGATCAAGCTTATGCCAGATGACATTCGCACTACTTACACGCGACCTCTTTACCTTTGGGCATATGCGATCTTCACAAGCAGGAGCTTCCGCCCCTCGCTCGTCCTACCGGAAGCCGAATCAATGAATCTGCCTTGTGCCATTGATGACTTTTCCGTTCTACTCCCTCTTTATGACCTAGGAAATCATTTGCCCACTGCGACAGCTCCCTGGACAGCTGATCACGCTTCCCAAATGGTTTCACTACATTGCGGTGACGCGTACGAAATTGGCCAGCAAGTGTTCAATGTGAGTTTCTTCTGCAGTGTTGTTTTGTGTCTAGGTGCTAACAGTAAGCTAGAACTATGGCATGAAGACCAATGCGGAGCTTCTACTAGGATACGGATTCATGCTGTCAGAAACTGATGACTTCCATAACGACTATGTCCACATCAAAACAAGAGCTGCAAGCGATGACGATTTCTCGTCGACGCACATTGTTTCGTTGCGGCCATTGAGCGATCCAAGCTCTTTGATCGGCAGATCACGAAGGCTGATCTCCAGCGATGTTGAAGTTGTCCCAGAGTTCTCCCATATCCAGGATTCGCTGGTTACTAGTTTGTATGATGCTATTACTTCAGCGTCGGGCGACAGCGAGACGGATGATCTCTCCATGGACGACATGATGGCAGGTAATATGCCGAAAGCCATCCACGAGAGGATCATTCAAGCGCTTGGTTCCAAGCTCTCTTTTGATCTTGATACATTGGACGAGGTCGAAGTGCCACGAGATGGCCTCAATGCCAACCAGCAACTGGCAGTGGAATACCGCGACCAGTGCCAGAGTGTCTTTATAAACGCGTTGCGGGCCTTGGCGAGTTCCAGTCCTTGAGGAAGACGAACTGTTTGAGACGCATTGGTCGGTGAGATTTTAGGACCGCTGGGGTCTTGGCAGGTATTTGATTTTCTTCAATCAAAATGGACGCAAGGGGACGAACACTCTGACGTCGTAACCAAGATTTGAACATTGGGTGACGGTCAGATGTAGCCGCCAGAAAGAGGCAACCAATACTTCGCTTGGCGTGAATGCCACGTATCGTGTGGCGGAGTCAAAGGCTGAATACCTGGGCGATAATGAGCACTGTAATGGGTAATCTTGGCCTGCCTTGGCTGCAGCTGTCATGGCCAATATAAATAATCCTGCGTTTCGTACAGCCCGCATGCCACAACAGCCATACATCACTAAGCTGGCCAAGGTATACACGACCTTAGTATCAATCCCAAGAAACCATCCAGTTGCGAGTGTCATTCCCGAGCGTTTGTGCGCAGAAAGATGAAGAGTGTGTTGAAAAGTACTAAATTCATGGGTATCTTAATGCTCAATCTGTCGCGCCTCGTCTTTTTCTTCTAGAAAAATGTCATTCTCCGTGCTTCCGATGGGGTGAATGCTGAGAATTAGAACGCCTGCAAATCCCCGCTAAATGCACAAGCCAAGCTCAATTGCTGACCTTGCTTCCATGATGCTGGATAGTTGAACCATGCTTGAAAGCCGCCTCAACATCATCCGGGAGTGCATGCATATCCGCATTCATCAGATCTAAACCGACCTTTGATGCTGCGGCACTGATATATTAGCACTTCAAATTTCTCCTTGGGGGGCGGATCAACCGGTTCGTGCTTACGGAGTAGACAGCTATAGTCGCCCAGCTCGAGTGCAGCGCTCATCCGCGCCGACCTATAGCAGCCGTAGGTCTGCTGCAAGGCCAGCATGCGCTTCCACAGGCGTTCAGGGTCGCCTTCCGTGCCCTCCTCGAGAGTCTTTATCGAGTTCCTCCTCTCGGAAGTACCCTTCGGCGCGGTGTGCTCGCTTTCGCTGCATGAGCTGGGTGAGGGTGACCTCGACGGTTGCATGTCCTCAACAACAGTGCATGGCGGCGCTTGTGAGGAGCTGGCCTCATTGGGGTGGGTTGCTTGCGGGCACGGGGTGATTGCGTCGATGTCGTCGCTGAACGTCTTCCTGCTCGAGGAGCGTCGACCGGTTCTGGCCATTTTGTTTCTTTCCTTTCCTTCGAAATTTTCGCCTCCTGTTACAAAGAAACGCCCAGTAGGTAAGATGGGGCTGTGCGTAGGTGGGGTGTTGTCTGAACAGGTGAATGTGCTGCTGGAATGCTGCTAATAGATGTATTTGTCCAAATCAAGAACAAAGAACTATGGTGGATCTATCACTGGGTTTATATGCCTCTGAATGGCAATTACGAATATGGGTAAGCGAGTCGCAGTCACCGGCGGAGGGAAAGGATGTGCGATGTCTTATATACCTACAAGGTCCTCATATGCATAAGGTCATCACTAAGGTTAGTCGTATGTCACAATGAAACCTGACGGCTTTGGCCAATAAGGTACAGCCACTGGACCGCCGCTTGTTGGTGCTCTTACTGTACACTCCGGCTGACTCAAGTACCGGTCGATGTGCTGTCTGGCTTGTTTCTTGCACAGCTTGTCAACATCAAATAGCGGCATTGTGCGATCAGTGTGCATCGCGACTAACCTAGGCAACTGGCCGATGCTAGTTTGAAGACCGCGGATACGCTGGAGACCATTAAGATTCAAAAGTACTGCATCAGCCGCGGCCATTCAAGCCCAAGGAAAGTTCCCCTAAGACTAGACTAGACGGCAGTCGTCTGGCAGCAAAAAGTTTGTCACATTGAGCCAAGCTTTTGGCACCCTGGAACCTCTGTTTTGATGGAAAGGGGGGGGGGGGGGGGGGGGGGTTGTGGCATGCACGCTGCAGGCTTGTCGATCTTCAACTACCGAAAGCATCCGACCCCACCAGCAGCTTATTTGCCAGTATGTCCGTTGTCGGATGGCTGATCCGTTCCTCTGCAGAAACTTGAGCACGCTCGTCAACGATTGTGATAATGATTGCATCGTGACACTCGTTGCCGCTAGCGCATCTGTGAATTCAGGCCCAAACCGTCAAGGGATTCACATGGCAGTTCGACTTTTATGTGATATGTCAACAAGAACTAACTTCTGGAGCAGATTAGGATTCAAGGAACCACATAGTCTAGGTTAGCGCTGCCTACGTAGCCCAAGGGGACAAGAGAGAGGGATCAAGGTCAAGGCTCGTGGGCCACGGGCCATGAGCACAGTCTCACCCAAGAAAAAACATTAGGCTAACCTTAGCCGGTTGTCTTGTGAGCCCTGACGCGAGAGCTACAGGCATGTTGTGATGGCGCGGGTATAGCACGAGACTTACACGATCAGATAGGATAGTGCGGGGGGTCGAGCCATTATCGCCAGCTGAGGTGGAGTTTATGAACCTAGGCTAGCGGTTTAGTGTGCCAGTGCATCGCCCTATGCCCACCGGGAGCATGGCCGGAAGCATGGGATGCATGATGAAATTGGGCAGATGATTGTTGACCACATCAACATGAACCAGCTGCCAGCACAAACAACAGTGGCTTTGATGATGGGTAGGTGGGCCAGAGGATGAAAACATTTTAATCATGCCGAACAATAATTGCATCTACCATGGCAGCCAGCGCAAAACAGTCCCTGTGCAGAAATTTTCTTATCGGGAAAATAGTCATTCGCAGCCCGCTTCCCTGCACCGCACGAGGTCATGTCTCACCTCGGGGGGCACACCATCTCCTGGAGCCCCCCGGCACAGAGGGTTCGATTTCTTCTGTTGATTGAGATTTTCATATATCCCGCGTCCGGAGATAAGATGGCTTCTGTGAATAGAAACCAAACGAGCTTTGCGATACCACTGGCTTACCCGATTGAGAAACGCCGTATCGCATTGAGTCATGACGATGGCACACCCGTGGCCTATCGGAGCGTTGCGCTCCAATCCGTTCGCAAGAAAACCAACTGTCGCATGGGATCGGCGGTCATGCCGCGTTGAGCACAAGTTGACACAAAACACACAAGCACGAAACATTCAATCCATTTCGAGCCGCAGAATTAAATGTCACAAGTTGCTGGTCCTGTCGCTGTGCACACCGAAGCAGTCTCTTCCATGAGCCCGATACATAGTGCGATGACAACGAGCGTATGGTTCCGCAGAGTTGGAATTATGTCCGCCACGACGGTTGAGTTAACGCTTGTATAACAACATGCTGTCATAACATGCAGCAGCACTCAAGGTGACGTCGACTATTTATTTGTCAGTCTGAAAATACAAATGTGAACACAGATCCACCAAGGCACAGAAGCACCAGGTAAGTAGGACCATTGCCGATCGCAACGGCCTGAAACCTTTGGACTGGTGCATACCTTGGGAAATCAGGGCAAGCGAAAGGCAACGGAACCAGATCTCGTAAAAGCACTTTGGGGGCAAATGCCCTTGCTCATCGATTGAAACTCGTTATAACATTGAGCGCATGTTTCATGCTGCTAAACTGCAAATTGCGACCAAAGCATCATGTACTCATAAAACTTTCCAACAACTACACCAAGCTAGGCGCATTCGGCCCGTTGTAGAAAATGTTCATGGCATTCCGCTCTGCTACAGTGTCACATTCATTACACAATTACATAAGAACTAATAACTACATGGGCCAGAAGAGCCCTTACATTATTGCGTTCACGCATTGTGACATGCCTCCGCACCGCAAAAATTGCAGCACGTCAGATCCTGCTTCTATACTACATCCCCTAATTGGTTGCACTAGACTAACCTAGTGTAGATGAGCCCGCAAGGATCCGATTGAGTTTGCGGGCCGATATCTTGGCGAGCAAGGTTACGTCTAGGTAAGAAATGGAATCGTGCTGACGTGTAGAATTTGTTACAGTAAAGAGTTAACTTAAGTTAGTGAATCTTCCGACCATTTGGTATACCGGTCTCCAACCTTGAGGTCAATCAGCACCCACGCCTAGCGGTTGCAACTGAGTTCAGCACTGACACGAGGCTCGACATTCTCAGCACAACCAAGACGAAGCCCTTTTTTGATGACCCTGCCAAACAACGTTCGGTCGTTCTCTTGGAATTAGCTCCTAGTCTAGTCCAATTTAGAGTTAATTGTCTCGACGATTTGTGCAGCAACGGCCCAGAGAAGCCCATGAAATGGTGTGCATCTTAGTTATTCACTGGGCATGGAATTGTCAAACAATTGATCGTTTTGTTTTTCTTACTTTCTTTCCTTTTTTTCCCCCTTAATTCTTTCGCCTACTGTTCAAAAAACAAATTTTACAGAGAGCGTTGGCTAAAGACGCCAGTCGGTCGTGCGTAACTACATTCTGCCACTCTGGACAAAGCTTGTCAAAGTACAAACCGCCCAAACAGGTGACGATTTGATCGCAACGTGGTAGTTCTCGGTTCAATAAATATGGAATTGTAACGTAGTCACGTGGGGATTCAAAACTGCGTTAGTGAACCCGCATTTAGGGCATTTCTAGCTCCAAGCCATGGAGCGTCCGTAAGCTTATTGCGCAACGTTTGCGTTTCAATTGCTGTCGACTTGACTCAGAATACACGTACTGTTCTCAACGAGAGCTATAAAATGAACATAATATTATAGTGGAGCCTCGTACTGAGGAGAAAGTTGGCCATAATTGAACAACACACACGATCATAGGGACCACACCTAATTACCGACACACGGACTTCATACTTAACGATTAGTGCTGCATCAGAGTTGTTGCAGGTCGTTTTGGTTTTGTTGAAGCTAAAGCATTGGTTTGCTATTTCACAAGAGATTCGCTAAGATACGTTACTGTATCATGGTACTGGATAGCGGACTCACTTCTTATCGATTCCAGCGTGGCTGGCATCACACCTGCGTGTCTACAAACTATAATTTTCTTGACAAGCTACGCAGCCTGAACTCAGAAGTTAAGTTGACCATTGAGCCTTTCAAAGCTGTCTCAAAGGAAGAATAAAGAAACTCCAGTCTGGGGGTTACTCTTATGCGTGATACATTTATATTGAGCCGTGAGTATTGACCAGCGAAGCCCTCCTAATGGAATATTCCGAGACCACGGTAGATATAGTCATCCCTGATGTCTTTGATCGAAAGCGAGGCAGCAAGATTCCGGACGGGAGACACACAGTGGGTTTTGTAGTGAAACTTACGTGGAAAGAGAACAAGATGGCGGACTGCCTTATTCAGTTGCGAGTTAAACAATATTGCTTTTCAGGAAATTCGGTGCATGGTTCAAAGCACTCCAACCTCTCGTTTTGAGGTATATGCCCCTGATTTACCTTTCAAGTTGATTTTAACGTCCTTACTATTGAGGTGGCCAGAAAAAAGCCTATCACGGACGTCTCGATCATTGGCACATCGATTGGAAAGATATTTGATTTATTTAGCCTGCCACAGAACTTTACGAAAGGTCACAAAAACAGAAGTATTACTGACTATGTGTCGCCTACTGCAACATTCGTGGTACAAGGTGTTAAGGCAAAGGTGTTGTTATAATTACAAGAACATGACTTGGGTGACAATCACGTTCCGGCTCTAACCGTTCACTTGGGAAGATGTGACAGAGTCTGGAAGGGCTATGAGCTTCGATGGTTTGTTCTAAAGGATGGCCGCCTGAATTACTATAAGAATCAAGGTAGGGATCCAACCTGAAGACTAGAGTCATCAGTTAGCCTTTCGTGCATTGCATCTGGCACAGGCACTTCTTGGCTTGGAGCATTTTCACCTTGAATTTTCTCTCCCCATACGGGATCTTCGAGTAAAATATGTTTTACACTTGAAATCTCTAATAGGGATGTCAAATGGGAGCTGAAGGCTAACCATGAGCTAGACTAGTCTAGAGGGGAAACTCTAATATTGGAAGTTGAGTGAAGACATATATTAGATACAATTCAGGATATATCTAGAGTTTTGTAGAAGAAGAGCAAGGAATTTTTTTTTTGTGAATTTCGTTTAGGTGTTTTTACTCCAGAAAATTTCAGTTGTGGCAAAATGGCAAATGTCGAATGGCAAATCTAATCATTTTGTCGCTAGCATCCACTAGAGCTATTTTTATCTGTCCACGATGTACACTGCTTGACGGCGCCGACAAGAGCCAACTCCTGTCCCCCCACCCCCGCAGTAAGCAAATCATCCTAGAGCTGTAACGTAGTCTCGTTGCCTCTGCCGCTTTCCATGCGTGGGTCGAGTTCAGGAGGGTCTCTACAAAGGACAGTCACCGATTTCATAAGGTAAAGTTCCTGGATTATGAATCGTATGAACGTTACCATGTAGCTACAGGTCTTGATATTGGCTTGACTTGGTTAGTTCCGATTAATTGATCATGGAAAATATATTTATCAAATAAGCATGGGTGGACACAAATAATATCAAGGCCTCAACTACTTGAAATAATCTAAAACAAGCTTAGTCGGAGCAAACCACAGAATGGCACGTACAGATAGCATGGGAGCGCGCGAGCAATAAATCGATACATAGAGGTATATAAGAACAAATCATCTTGGACAGTTCGAACAGCTTGGCAGGATTTGCTAGTCACCATGAGAAACATTACGTATTCCGGCTTTAGATCATGTGGGCTTGTGCCACCCGTCTTGAGCTTGGGACAAGTCCGTTTGTTGTACAGTCCCTAGCGAAATCAGTCTCCTAACCTACTCTCTTTCACACCTCACTTTCGGGCCCACTCTAGTGGAGCCAAAGCTGACCATATGTACCTACTCGTGCAAAGAAGTACTACGCCGTTTTTGGACCTACTGACAATACTCCTTATGCATACACAAACACAGCAGCTACCCCACAGTGTTCTGTCCATTCAGCCACCGATCCTCTTTAACAACGGTGGCGCGTCGAGGCGAATAACACTGTGCTTTCCCTATGGAGTTTTACTATATATGTACTATAGCGACGCTGCGTCAAATTGCATAGAAACAGATTGATATTATAGCGAAGTTGTCAACGACCATCGGATTAATTCTTTATTGTTTCTGCATGACGTCACCACACCCCACAGTGGCAAGCAAGCTCCGGAGGCGTCACATATTATGATTATTAAACGTGATAATTCTAGAATATGCTACTATAGCCAAAATGTTAACTATGCGACCGATGTTTCTCAAGATAAATGAGGGGAACACCCTAGGACCCTCCATTTCAAAGGATTGGAATAAAGAGGTTACCTGAATCGCATGATTAAGACACCACCGGCCGAGGTACCAATAACAATAGTATCGCCAGATATGGCTAATTGACCGGGACGATATTGGGTAGGTAACCACAAAAGATTCTTCTCGCCAAACACGATCCAGCGTGAATTTTGACTTATACTAAAGCCATCATGTTGCCTAGCTGGTATTGGCACATCATGCGTCATATGCTCATGCAGAACGTTGTTATGGCCCCGCACAGACGTATTCTCGTCGGGTCGTGCAATAGTAAATGTTCCCTTATTCGTAAGAAGTCGTGTTCCACCAAGGTCAAACTGCAGGTTGTCTACAAGACCAATCTCTAGCACCTGCCGCTCTGCGCCCGTCTCGACGTCCCAGATCCGCACCGTCTTGTCCCTCGACCCCGACGCCACGAACTGGCCGTCGGGCGAGATCGCCACTGAATAGACGATATTCGTATGGCCCTCGAGCACCTGCCGCTCTGCGCCCGTCTCGACGTCCCAGATCCGCACCGTCTGGTCGTTCGACCCCGACGCCACGAACTGGCCGTCGGGCGAGATCGCCACTGAATAGACGATATCCGTATGGCCCTCGAGCACCTGCCGCTCTGCGCCCGTCTCGACGTCCCAGATCCGCACCGTCTTGTCCTGCGACCCCGACGCCACGAACTGGCCGCCGGGCGAGATCGCCACCGAACTGACCATATCCGTATGGCCCTCGAGCACCTGCCGCTCTGCGCCCGTCTCGACGTCCCAGATCCGCACCGTCTGGTCGTCGGACCCCGACGCCACGAACTGGCCGTCGGGCGAGATCGCCACCGAATTGACTTCATCCGTATGGCCCTCGAGCATCTGCCGCTCTGCGCCCGTCTCGACGTCCCAGATCCGCACCGTCTGGTCGTTCGACCCCGACGCCACGAACTGGCCGTCGGGCGAGATCGCCACCGAACTGACTTCATCCGTATGGCCCTCGAGCATCTGCCGCTCTGCGCCCGTCTCGACGTCCCAGATCCGCACCGTCTGGTCGTTCGACCCCGACGCCACGAACTGGCCGTCGGGCGAGATCGCCACCGAATTGACTTCATCTGTATGGCCCTCGAGCACCTGCCGCTCTGCGCCCGTCTCGACGTCCCAGATCCGCACCGTCTTGTCCCTCGACCCCGACGCCACGAACTGGCCGTCGGGCGAGATCGCCACCGAACTGACGGGATGCGTATGGCCCTCGAGCACCTGCCGTTCTGCGCCCGTCTCGACGTCCCAGATCCGCACCGTCTGGTCGTTCGACCCCGACGCCACGAACTGGCCGTCGGGCGAGATCGCCACCGAATAAACGATATCCGTATGGCCTTCAAGCACCTGCCGCTCTGCGCCCGTCTCGACGTCCCAGATCCGCACCGTCTTGTCCCTCGACCCCGACGCCACGAACTGGCCGTCGGGCGAGATCGCCACTGAATAGACGGGATGCGTATGTCCTTCGAGCACCTGCCGTTCTGCGCCCGTCTCGATGTCCCAGATCCGCACCGTCTGGTCGTTCGACGCCGACGCCGCGAACTGGCCGTCGGGCGAGATCGCCACCGACCAGACGATATCCGTATGGCCTTCAAGCACCTGCCGCTCTGCGCCCGTCTTGATGTCCCAGATCCGCACCGTCTGGTCCCACGACCCCGACGCCACGAACTGGCCGTCGGGCGAGATCGCCACCGAATAGACGGGATGCGTATGTCCTTCGAGCACCTGCCGCTCTGCGCCCGTCTCGATGTCCCAGATCCGCACCGTCTTGTCCCACGACCCCGACGCCACGAACTGGCCGTCGGGCGAGATCGCCACCGAATTGACGTGATCCGTATGGCCCTCGAGCGTTTGCAAATGGGCACTCCACCTAACGTCAACCCTCGGTTTTAATGCCAGCCATGCCGGCTCTTCTTCACAAAATCTTTGTCGCACTAAACTCTTTGTAGGACTGAAAACAAGTGCTGATGCGTAGACTTGAAGTGGATACTGAGCAATCACGGCCCTATTATATTTAAAAAATCGTGTAGCATCAAATAACCAATCTTCTAGATCCTTTATCTCGTGATGACACTGCATATGTTAGATCTAGGCAAAACAAGGATAAAGATATGTACCTTTGCATAATTGTGAAGCTTCGTGACCGAGGCAATCCCGAGCGCTGTCGCACCTAATAAACTTAAGGCTTCTAGCCAGTAAAGATACTTCTGATGCAGAAGTTCCTTAGTTACCGACACTGTTTTTGTGCAATCTTGCTGGCCATCGTGAGACTCTCCATCGATGAAATGGTCAACCCAGGACACAAAACTATATCGTAATGGAGCGAGCGTGTCTAATGCTGGTGGATCGATGTCCTGGACAAATGTACCGGGGTCTTGTAAATCGTATGGATCCCGTTTGAGATGTTGGGATAAAACCTTGAGTGACAACTCTGCTAAAGCTCTGTGTTTCGAGGGAATGCCTCCAGATGGAAACACAACATTCGTTGCTTCTGTGGTCAGAAAGTCCTTCGCCGATTGATGAACGAAATAGACAATACCGTCGCGAATGGTAAGAAAGGACCCACAGAGTTGTACAACCTCTTCCAAGTCTGATAGGTTATCGAAAGATTTGGGGTCGACTAATGAAGACAACTCTGCGAGGCTTACCGGCCGATAAGTGATTGACACTACGCTCAGAATCTCACGACAGAGCTTAGCATCAAGCGAATCGTGGATTGAGCCCAACATTCGTTGATAGAAAGGATCTAGGCCAGGCGGAAACTGGTACAGTTCGCGGAGAATGTTTCTGGCTCGCACTTTAGCATCCTTGAGTCGTTGGACAACCAAAGCTACCCAGAGAAATGTATTGTCTGCATTGGTGTTCATATAGTCGACAACCTGGCTATACTTTTCATCGTCCAGGTTTTTGGCTACTCGTAGCTCCTCAGCTTTATGGCGGATATAAACCTCAACAGTAGCAGTGACGGAATCCTGATTGAGTTCCAGGCTGAGCCGCACTTTTTCACTGGCCGCACTAAGCATGTCTTCGATCTGGGGCCAGTTACGACTCGAAACCAACCACTTCGCATTCCCCATTTGGGACTGCTGTGCGATGAAGTTGATGAGTTTGGGCAGATCATCGGAGCATTCGTCAAGCGCATCAATGACGAATACCACTTCGCGCGACTGGCGATCTTGTAGCAACAAAGTCAAGATCCGCGTCAATGCATTCCATGCGTTGGCATCCTCAAACAGTCTTGATCCAGTCACTTTCCATTCTTCGTGTAGGTGTCTCGCCAAGGAACGATTTTGCCTGACAAGCATGTATATAAGACCGCGGAGCACAGCTGTGGCGTTATTGAGGTTTCTGTCAGTGGCTTGGCAGAAAAAGTATGACACCATGGGCTGATTTATTGATAGACCCTCCAATTCGTCCGTGATGCCGCAGAGTAGCATAGTCTTGCCTTTGCCAGGATCGCCCTTGATCTAGAGCAGAGAACTGTTTTTGTCGCTACGCCATTGCTTGAAGTCCGTGTTCTCGAGTATCCATCGGAACGAGTCTTTTAGTAATCCGCCTTTCGTTGACCGAATGCGTGACTTGTCGTCTTGGGGATTCGAAACTCTGAGATCAGCTAGGCATTGGTTGATGCTTTCTTGAAGTTGTGCATCTTCGCTCAGGCGACCTTAATCGACTGCTAGTTCCCTATACAGCCTCTGGAGCGCCCCCTCCTCTCCTTCTCCGTAGTTAGACGGCATTATGACACCTAAAATACCAAACAGACAATACGCCTTATCTTCACCTCTAGACGTAACTCGATTGTTCGCCCAAGACATGCGACTTTCGATATCGAATTCCTGAAGAAGACCTGGCTGCAAAGCACGGATAGGAATATGCGTAATCTCGTGTATCAGCTGCTCTAGGGTAATCTTCTTGCCAAGAAAGTGGCCTTTAGCAGAGAAGAATTCCACCACGCCAGGAGCGATAAGTTCTTAGAGCGTCCATCCACGAGTAAACCATCTGCTCTTCCGAAAATCAATCTTCCACGTTGATCGAGCCGGTTCGTCGGCCAAGCCATCGTTACAACAGACATCGGAAAGGTATGCATAGCATTTCTGAGCGTTTTGGTACCATCGAAACATCGAATTAATCGCTTCTGTAAGCTCGGCAGAACTAGATTTGTCAATACAGCAGGTATCTACCCAAAAGTATTCGAGACCATCGCGTCGAGCCTATGTACCGCAGAACAAGATCTTCTGATAAGCAAGCTTATAGTCGTAGCATCTGTTGTTAATGTCCTGGAATGTGATTTCGTCCTCATCTCCGCCCCAAGTATGGGAGAGAATGGCGTATGGCGGAATATCATCAGCACGACGTTAGGTGAGGATCAGCTCGTTTCTGGCTCCAAGCTAAAGGAGACGCATGTTCAAACGTCTGCTTAAATCGTTCGCATCGGAGTCTTAGTCGTAGCTATCGTCGAATCTATAATTGGGGTTGATGTTAATGGGAGGAGATTGGTTCAGTCGGCGAAGGAGGAGCTAAATCAATCACAAGACCTGGAGCCTGCGACAATGAGGCAGTGCAGACCAGCATCGGCAATAATGCCAACGGAGCTGGCTGGCCATGTGAAAGCAAGCATCATTTTGCGCGTCATATCAGATAGACAAGGTGAGATATAAACAAATTCTGATTTACTGGTCAATTGTCAAAATATTTTGCGGCGATATGGGATTCAATCGAACACTGGTAGCTAAGAGATTTACGTTACAGGCGGTCAGTCCTCTAGCGCGTTCGGGGCTTACATCTCCATAATCTTGGATTAAGATCCTTGGACCCTGAACATCCCCCAAGTTGATGCAGCTCAATTTTCACTCGATACTCCAAACCGCCAAACTGAACACTTCGGGAGCGATTATTGGTGGTTTGGAGTATCGAGTGAAAATAGAGCTGTTGCTGGCTGTCGAACAGTCACATTAGAGCATTGCCTTGAGTGCGGCGTCGTGATCCACTCTACACGTCCTCGATCGATGCTTCGATAACACTAACGTACATGATGAAGCAACAATCGCTTCAAGAAACCCTGAGAATATGGTGTCGGCAGGGGCATAGACCCTCGAACATCCATTAATTAGTAACGCTATAATCGGAAGACGGGGTCAAGTACTCCGTCCTTTATTCCTTAGAGCCACAACACGTCCGCTGATCGCTAACATACAGTACGCCAATGGCCATTCGCCTAGAATGGTGTTTTGCATCGACTGCCTGGAGTGATTTTTCGTCTGTCCAAATCAGGCGCAGAATGAATGCGTGTCTTATTGTTGCATCCAATATTTGATAGACGATATTACAGTATTGTAACCAAAAATGAATTGCTCTTTGGCAGTTTCGGAGATATCAATAAAGGGCTGGAAGGAACCCCAAAGTGGACCGTGTGTACCGTAGAACGGAATGCACTCATGCGGAAAGAACACTGTGAGTTGGTCAATTGTGCATACATAAAAAGTACCGTAAGAAGTCCAGAATCGGCGCAGTACTTGTTAGCCTGACTAGGTACATATGATCATTTTCGGCTCTACTAGAGTGGGTCCGAAAGTCAGGTATGAAAGAGAGTAGGTTAGGAGACTGATTTCGCTAGGGACTGTATGGTCGTGTTGATATCTTAGTGTTTCTCGGACGATTAAGTCTGAAAGTTTAACTATAACTTCAACCCAGCAGTACAAATGCCAAGGCTAGCCATACTAACGACAAGAAAGTCCCTACTCCTCTGCTCCCTGGCACAGCATGGGCTTGTACCGGTAGTTGTGTGCTCGTGGCGTTTGGCCGTATGCCTCCTGTCCCTGTGGCGCCTCTGGAGCTGGTTGAGTTGCCTCCTCCAGGCGATGATGTGGCCGCCGCCCCAGTCGTGCCTGCTTGACCCCCCACGGTTTTCGTGGCTGTTACCGTGTCTGTTGCCGTGACGGTGACATTATTGACGATCGATATGATGATGACTTCCGTCGTGATGCTGCCGGCAGCGCCATTGGTTGCAGTGGTTTGACACTACGAAGAACTTAGTCAAGGTGGTGCTTAGTGAGAACCACAGTCACTTACGGCTACTCCTATACATAAAGCCGTTAATACCGCTATCCAGAGCGGAAGTCGCATGTCTGCTGTGAAGACCCGCGTCTCCACGACTTGGGCAAGGCTACTGGAACCGTTTAACTCAAGGCTTTGCAAGAGGTTGAGATTTAGCGGACAAGCTCAATCGTCCGTAGTTGAAGCTTCTCCTTGTCGGTCGACTTCCAGGAACCCACGGATGACGGTTCTCTACCCGCCCTCGTGAAGGACAACGTGTTCGCGTTTCTGGCGCCTCGACGAATGCTTTGCTAGTTCAGGATCGTCAAGCGTTTCCAGCTATACGGTACACGTAATGGGCGCTAACAAAAACAGTCGTATGCAATTGTCCGAAAGCAGTTTCGTTGTAGGAATCGAGAAGTGCTGGTATGCGATGCGTGTAACGTGGTTGCGTCCAAGTTCTTCGTGATACAGAAAATGGCAGTTCCAGCTACAAAGTTAGCGGTATTGACAATTGACAAAGGCAAAGTAGGTGCTTGTGAATTGCTGATAATTACATTTGATGAAGATTATCTTCAGATGAAGCCGTGAAGGCGGTTGATCCCAGACACTCACGACACAACTTGCTGATTTGGTACAGGGATCCATGCGCAGAGGTGACCAATTCCAACGGCAGAAACCCAGACAGCGATCTACTCAGCTACTGAAGCGTCAGACCCCCCTGGTGGAATGCACACGGAAGAGGACGAGTAAATATAACCTGAAACTCTTGGACCGGCTCGGTGGAGTTGCATGTTGCGGTTTTCGAGTCTTGGTATTGCGCCCGGGCTGCCATCGAAAGATCATGCGTCTTCTTGAAACAGGCACGGTCGCAGCAACCAGAGCACCAACACGGAAGCTGTAATATATCTGGGTTCTTCCCCGCCAAATTCGTGTTTGTTATAGCCAAAGCTGGGAGACCCTCCAGAGAAATGTCAGACTTGATGGCGGTCAATGACGGGTTGGGACTGCGAATAGTGTCACTGCAGGAACGTTCTGCGGCGACAACCCTTTCATGACAGGTGGAAGAACGAAAGTCTAAAAGACGACCCTTTGTATAGCCTTCAGCACCTCACGAAACGCAATTGATTTGCATCACGGCTTGCGATCATATACATATGAGCAGACTTGACAACCACGCTGACTAATTCCCGTGCAGTGCATCCTGCAACTCAACACAGATGAACAAAGTGATGAACAATGATTACGGAGAAGGTTTGTTAGCACTATCAATGCTATCTCAAGAATCATCGTCCGGGAGCTGTGCATTCAGCAAATCCGCAGTGACGATGAGCATCTTCAGCGTCAGGCGCAATGAGCGACCTGACGAAGACCTTTTGGTCTAACCCGCCCCGAGAGACATGTAATCCAACATGATTTCCTCCACCAGACAGAGACAATCTGTTCCACATCCAACCCAGCATTACAACGTGCCGCCCATGATGAAATACAAATATGCTAATGCTACTGGCTATGTTGGCCGATGACGAATGCGTGTCTAGATATGCAGTTTGTCCAAGAAAATGGTGTGCCGCAGCTAAGCGCTTGGCTGCGCTCAGTAAGCAAAAGTCAAAAACGCCGAGTCTAAATGCGAAAACCCGCTGGTAAAGCGAGGGCTGGTGGTATCAGACAAAAGAGGTCGATCGGAGACCTAATGAAATGCTGAGTAAGGGGGGGTATCTCGACATGTGGGAATCTCTGCTCCACAAGTCTTCCTCTTCTCATTGTGTAGGACAGCCTAATGTTTCTTTTGCTCTCCGCTGCTCGTCGTTTTCGATTTCGACGGGTACGACGAGTAGGAGTGGCTTTGTCGCACCTGCAATGCCCTGTTAGCATCGAGCACAGATTGAAAGTGGCTGCTTTCGGTGGACCGAACCCTTTGGCGACCTCTCCTTTCCTCCTCTGCTGGCGTGCTCACTGTCCTTCTCTCTTCCTCGTGCCACTCGCTAAGGCTCTTGCCGCCGAAGAGGAGGTCATCGTCATCGATCTCTATCGGCTGCATCCATCCGTACCCTTGTGTGTCGGTACCAGGCGACGAGTAGTAGTAAGGCGACACGTTTTGGGCGTGATGCGAGTCTGTCGACGTCGTGACCATCTTGAGAGGCGAAGGATTGGCAGTGTAGGACGACGTGTGAGCTTGGGCGTTGGATCGTTTTGTGGTGCTGCTGGTAGGCGGCGAAGGAGCCGAATAAGACTTTGTGCGCAGATGAAAAGTATACTGAGAAGGTGACCTATTCCCCGATGTTGTCCTGGAGTCGGCTGGGTTCTGGGCGCGAGGTGACGACATAGATGTCCCCGATAGAGGCGTGGCAGCTGAGGTACGGGTACGGAATCACGATTGGTGTTATGTACGCGAATGATGTGCAGAATAGGATGCTGGAGATCCGAGCGGACGTGATGTGAGCACGCGAAATTGGATGTGGCACTGCTTTTAATAAGTGTCCACACCCCGACCTTGGCGCTCGGTGAGTTGATCTAGGCTGTGCTCGCCCGGAAGCCTTGGTGGATAAACTCTGCACGGATAGCTGAACCAAGGGCTGTGTGTCCTCGATCTTCCGAAGGTTTGCGGCTGGAGATGTAGTAGATGGCAAGCCACTATATCGAGTCGTGAGATGGAGGGGGCAGATGGAGACCGCGAAACCGAGAGAGCTGGTCGCGGATGCGGGAGACGTGGGCGTGAGGCAGACTAATGTACGGACGCGAAAGGTAAACCTGGGGGTTGGGTAGCTGAACAGGACGAATGCGGGGATTTCCGGATGAGGGAACTCCAATCAATAAATGGTCGCGGGTTTCGTCAAAGGAGGTGTGGATGGTCCAGACTCCAGACCACGGAGAGGATGCGTGATTATGTTTCACTTTAGCGAAAATAGCGCCGCCCGCTGGTTGCGCCGTTGCCAGGAGTCCTGGCTGACCAGAAGACGAGAACTCGTGACCGATTCAGGCTTTTCGTTACACAGTAATATTGTGACCGGATATGGAAACGAGAGCTTGTTAAACGGCCTTGGCCGAAATGGTGACTACGCGATTAATATGGAACTGAGCTGAGTGGGTGAGGTGATTTTGACATGTGCCGATGGTAGCTTCAAGAAGACATATAGACCAAGGAGCCTAGAATCTGAGGCCTGCTTTAGGGGGGGAGGATTAGGCTGATAAAGTAAAAGTCTGGGGAAATGCTTCGTGGGGCTCGCAAGTGGGTATCGTGGTCTTTTCTCTTCTTTTCATTTCATTTCTTTCAGTGATGCACCTTCGAGTGTGCCAGGAGTCAAGCAAGCTTCTCTGCAGTGGTGATTACAAGGATCTCCAGGTTTGCTCTGTACATCTATATAATTGTTGGCGATTGCGCACCACCATGTCTGGGCAAGTAATCGCGCATTTGTGATCTCGGGGTGGACCAGACGTCGTGCACTGCTTATGTTTACGTTCTCTTGCGAAGTTTCTTTTGCTTGGATCAACGCTATCTCATGCTGCAAAAACTCTGTACGAGGAAAAGTCTCTGTGCTGCCATGTAATCTTTACTTGTTGGTATCTAACGCAGTTTGCAGATCGCTCAAACGTTTTCCTAAACGAGCCAAATTGCGATTCAAGCACTCAACAATGACGAACTTTTGCCTTGCCCCCCCATTCTGGTGGATGCGAATACCTGACTTATTCTGCTGAGTACGCTGACTCGCTGTGTTTCTCCATGATCTTTTATTTATTACTTGCACCCAAACGGCGGGACGAGAAATTTCCCCGCCAGTCACTTGGCGCATCTGCGCAGCCTTGTGGTGGGAGGGTGGTTTAAGAACTATCAACCGTAACCTAGTTGCCTAGCTAGTATGATAAATGCCCGTCATGATTCACGGCTACAGTCGTAGCCGCGGAGTGCTCGGTCCATTGAAGGATCAACAGGGTCCTTGTTGGAGGCTGAAAGAGAGGGATGATATTCAACGACAGAACGAGTGCTCCCGCGTAGACTGGCGATCGCACGCCGTTCTGGCAGTTGATCGGCGACCTTTGCAGCAGTCCTTTCTACCTTCCGGTGCCGCGTTTGCGGCCAGTGGCCCCCCCAAAAGTGTCAGAACAGAACGTGCTGGAACTTATCTCCGTATCCAGTATGTTTAGAGCGTGTAGTTTGGTACCGGCACAAGCGCTCAATTATTTTGGCCTCGTCTAAGGCAACTGGTCACGATCCAAAGGCAACTGGTCACGATCCAAAAGCAGGCATCAAGATTCCAGCTGAAAAATACCGGATTCTCACCACTCCATGCCACCTTGCGACCAATTGTAAGCTACGGACTTTTCGAGAGCTTTTCTAATATGCTTGATTTGCCGAATCTAAGCCCTGCTGTAGTTCCTGAGGGGCACCACCTTTGAGGCTCTTTCAAGAAGTCATGATGCAATGCTGATCCACTGACCAGGGGCGACCATGGCGTTAAAGGTACCGTGATGCAGCGGTTTCGTGCCTGAGTGGCTTTCGAAAGTGGCGCTTGAATGCCACTGGGGCGGCATTGTCGGAAAACAAGTATGCATCACCATCTGCTCAGTTGTAATCTCATAAATGTGTCATCCTCCACTCGTGATTCGCTTTCGCAAATCTCATAGCTGCACAATGGCGCTGGAGAGGCGGCCATGCACAGCACCACCATGCGGTGAAGACTATTTCAAGTGTAACATGAAGGCGGGACACAGCACTCAGCCGCCTGATAGTGGCGTAAAATTGCATTGTTTGTGGGATAGATCGACACTGTCATGATAGCCACATTGAGCGTCTGAACGTTTTGGCGCAGCTGAGTTCTGGACACGAGCATTGCTTCCCGTCTAAGTTTCCAGATGTAAAAATAAGCAAAATGTAAACACTGCACATCTTTTGGTTTGAGCCAAGAGTTCTGGAGTTCATGGTCCTAGCACCGCGATTATGCTAAGAGTACTGCGGGTTTCATTATGCGACCTACTGACAACTAGTGACTCGTCTCGCTCGTGTGTTGTTGATCTTTGATGCTCTTCGTGTCCGATCAACTATCAGCTCATGTAAGCCATGTGGGAGATTTTGTGCAGACTACCATCGATTTGATGAACCAATATCACAATCGAGGGATGAAGCAAATGTATCGTGGATCGGGTTCAATTGTTACCCGCCGATCTGATAATTGAGGCATCTCCGACGTGTCGCCGCCGCTTACTCAAAGCCACTGGGCAGGCTACGAGATCTTCGCCAAGTGTTTCCTATCCTACGTACGTTCTGATTCTAGACTTTTGGGTGAGATAAGCTTTCTTAGTCAGATATACGGATACCATCACAGGGCTACACCGTCGCTTCGTCAGATCTGGGAAGGTGCTTTGATGTCCGTAAAAGTGGTCCAGGTGTAGTCATGTTACTGAGCCTCAGTTGAGTCGCGGCACGGGTTTTATTCGACGCTGACATGTGCTTACATCTCATGACCGCAGCTTGTCCGTCATCACCCGCGTCGTGGCATCGAGATGGCATAATAGAGCGGCCAGTTAGCATATGTGACTTGTCTAGATTAAGTCTCTTGCAAATTTCGTAGTGAACCAAAACTTCTGGCAACGGAACAGTAAGTCCTCACTGGTCGCATCTCTGCCCTGTTGTGTACCAATCGAGTCCACAATATTTCCCATGTGACACTGGGCCTCGGGGTAGCTTAACCCCGGGGACACTCGCCAAGCTGTGGTGCGGGGTATCTGCTGCCAAAAGGTTGGACCCTTATTATTCATAGTACGGGCCCCTGGCACCCCGTAGGCGCTGGACTATTCAGGCTATCAGCCATGCCTCGCATGCCAGGATGCATGACATTTTGCACAGATTCGAACTCGATGAGGGGGTTGGTGGGCATTAGCGGCCGATCGTTGCACTTGTCAAGATAGACTCTGGGCTGGGTCCGCCCATAAACCCTTCTGCGTATTCTGGGAAACCTCGTAAGACGCGCGTATGGCAACACTGTTAGTGGAAGTTTCGCATTCGAATCCGGGAGACAAAAAAGAGCTTATTAGGTCTAATCATACTGTTTATATCATCACTACGATTTCGGTTTTGCGCGGACGCGGCGATGGAGGGACCCCGGCGTCGAGGCGCCGAATCTTACGGAGAAAGCATGTCGCTTTGGCGTATTCCGGAGGGGGGAGGCTCCTCCCATCCAATACTTTCAATTAATCAGAGGGCATCCGGTGTAGGCGAGAGGTGGCCGTATCACATTACTTTTGACGGCCGAGCCGCTTTGGGTCACCTGGACTGGTCATGATCTTGTGCGCACCGAGGACGTGCCGACTACTAAGCTGGTGATTTCGAGAAGGACAATATGCGTGCTTTGGAATGGTTTGACACGAGCTGCAGAACTTCAGTAACGGTTCAATGTGACTTCTTGTGCTAGAGAAACACGAATATGCAAAGGAGCGGGCTCGTTGTCGTACCTAGTACCATCCGCAATCCATGCCCTAAGTATGTCGTCATCCAGTAACGTGAGGCGAAGCGGGGGGAACTACGCTATTGCATAGCTTCTGATTGCGGCCATCCGCGACATGTCCGCCCGCTGGCTTAGTGCCCGAAGTAAGGCTACCAAAGATCCGGGTTCCTTGGGCCATAGTGGATTGATGATGAAGAGATTGTTTTTTTCACTGATGTCATCGCACGCTTTGATCCCACAGAAGGTTTCCCAATTCCACGATCATAGCGATGGAGGCGACACATGGCAAAACAGCCCGGTCTGTGAATATGGCTGTGGATAGAGTATCTGATTGATATGAAAAGGGCTACATCCTCATCGCTTGCCTCGTGAAAGAATGTGCCAACACTCGTGAGCCTTACTTATTAATGCTGCATACAGAGTATATCAATACAGCGCCATCTTGGCTATCCTCTTAGCTCAATCTTCCTATTAAGCATGTCGAACTACTTCAGCAGCCATAGCTCACTTCAATGGAAGTTTAGGCAATGCCTTGAGTATGTAATGGTTTACGAGTCAGACACTCGTTGCAGAATCTAGAAAATAACAAATATTTCTTATTACTCGAAGTTTTCCCCTGCGCATGCCTGAATCAAGTCCTTAACGCCGTGCCTATGTTCACGTCGACCACGTAATGCTTTCATGACACGCGCAGCTGCGATAGAAAACCATAAAGAAGAGCATAAGGAAAATCGAATCGTCATGACAGCTTGTTTCCCTCACTCCAACCCCCTGAACCTGCGGTTGAACTCTTCCACCGCTACCGCGACCATTCTGTACAAGAAAGTCCTTCCACTTTCCTCTCCGATCGGCACAAAGGGGCCGTTGGTACCACCTCTGAGCACGATACTAAGGCCGGTCCTCTCTTTTGCAATGGTCTGAACATCCTTGAGTGAAACATCCCACTCGGTCGTCAATCTCCGACTGCGTATCAACAAGATTCGACTGTAGGTGACCATGACGACCATATCTTCTCGAGGCAGCTCGAGATGGGCGATGTATTCCTCATTGAAGTATCGCCCGTTGTCAACCTGTTTGAGCCAGGATTGACCGAGAGCCTCGCGCTGGTTGTATGGGCGCACTACTCCGTCAGATGGGATGAAGCGTGTGATACGCACGCGGTCCAATTCAGAGCCATCAAACACGGTCGTGGTGTTGCGGACTCCCTCAGCCACGTTCGACGCAAAGTCTAGAATACCCACAGTGGGTTTAGTGACGAGGCCGAGTGCACCCTTGCCCACACCCTTGAAGAAGCCTGCGGCGCCTTCCTGTTCTGCACCTTCGAGGGGTTTCTTTGCTACGCCGCCGACACCTGATGCGACTGAGGTGAAGAAAGAGTTCGCACCAGCCGTGAAACCATACAAAGCATGCTTCGGTCGGTTACGTGCACGTGTGATACGGCGACGATCCTGGAATTGCTTGTCCAGAGTCGCTGCGGCCAGACCTTTGCTAAAACTTCCAGTGATCTTGGAGAATGAGTCCGAAAATCCGTAGACTGATTTCTTCACGAAGCTAGCAGCACCCTTGGCGATGCCGATTCCAAGGTCTTCGGGCTTGTCTGACATGATGAGTCCTTGGTAAGGTTCGTAAAAGACGTCTGTGATGCCACTACTAATATTGTTGAACAAACCAACCGGGTTGCCGAGGAAATCCGCACTCCCAATGATCTTGTGAACTTGGTAAATGACCTCTTGACTGTAATGGTTGGACATGTTTTGGACGAGGACGGGGATCGATACACGTGCATTCTCCAGAAGTAAAGCATTTAGTCGGATAGGTGCATCGTTGACATTGCCAATTGCCATCGTCATCGCATTGATAAAGAACATGACAGGGTTGTGCGACGAGGTCTTGTCTTCGATGTTGACCCGTTCGGTGCGCATGAACGACAGATCGAGCTGCATGGGCTGAATGTTGAGCACCTCAAAGTATATGTCCTGGCCTGACTGTTGTTGCTTTGGCTCAGGAATACCAAGGCCTTCGTCACAAAGCTTACCCTCATGGGTCTCGGTCCATGAAGCACCCGGCACTTTTGTGAAATCGAGAACAGCGTAGATGAAGTCCTCATCAAGTTCGACTGTCATCTGTTGCAGCAGCACAGTAGCGTACTTGATGTAGAGGACACCATAAGAGTCGTCCTTGACTCTCGTTACCATGGCGTGCAATGATGGGTGCGTCTCGATCTCTTGAGCTTGCTTAGGAACCACAGAAGGATACAGGACCATGGGGAACAGTCCTCCATACAATTGGTTATCGATTTGTATCCATTTGATCGAAGCACTGATGTTCTGGTATAATGCTGACTCGTTGTACTTAAGTTGAATATCTCTGAAAGTGACATATGCAAGCTCCTTGAGCTGGGAGTTGATCAACGAGACACCAATACCAGACAGCTTGAAGCTTGCCTGGAACGTCGTATCATTATCAAGCTGTTTAACCTCAAAGCCGCTAGTACTGGCAGAACCGAGACCAGTTCCAGTTCTTTGTCGGTACAAGCTCTTTCCAGGCTTGAAGTTGGATAAGATTAGAGTCTGCGTTGGCCCATCTGCGGCAACATTGATGTCGATGATCTTCTGCCCACCAGAACTGCTGACGAACTTCATAGGAATGAGGTTTCCAATCTCGGCCAATTTGACATGTCGCTCTTTGCTAGAAGTACTAATGACCACCTCCTTGAACTTGGCAGCTGGGAAATCCCAAGCATACGGCATGATGCTGCGAGGGGGTAATCGATATCGTACGGGGCGCCACCCAGAGCGATCCTCCACACCATCGTCATCGACATTGGGGTTTGCTTGCCAGAAAGTGAACTCTGTGTCGCTCTCATTGCGCATAGAGAATGGCCAATTCTTGGTCTCGACGCTGAGGTGTAAGAAAATTGTGGCATCCTCCATCAGTGTCTCAACCCGAATGAGACGTTGGCGTTGGCCGGCCTTGGCAATCTTGACGTGAGTGGTACCGAGATCAGAAATGTTGAAGGAAGAGCTCCATTGGTTATTGATACCGGGGAAGCACAAGGCCAGTTGTTTGGCATGAGACCTCTGAAGAGCATGCAGAGGTTGCAGAGCACCTGGTCGCAGGGTCATTATATTGGACGAGCCTGGTTCTCGGATGTTTAATTCTTCGCCGGCCTTGTTCTGAACAACAAATCTCGGGGCTAGAGTGACGACCCTGGTCATCTTGTACTTGCCATCGCCTGCCTCGACAGTGATTCCCACGTGGTACTCTGTGGCTTTGTCAGCTGTCGGGAGAACAACATCCGTCGTACTGCCAATAGCATCGAAACTTTGAGGCTTGCTCCACTCCGAGCCGCCAACCTTGAGCAAAGCACGGTTCCTATGATCATCGTTTCCGAAAGAGAACATAAATGGCAAAGCCTTAGGTTGCTCTCCATTCGAGTTATCAGCGAGAGGTGATTGACCAGCAGCTCTCTTCGCTTGCTGTAGGAATTGCTTTCCACGAACATTGACCTCCAAACCTGTCTTATTCAAGACAATGTACGGGCTGTAAACGGTGACCTTGAAAGCGCCACCTCCGTTGGGAACTTTAAAGTAGTGAAGTCGCAGTTGAAGCTGGAGGCCTTCCTCATCTTTGCACAGTAACTTGTTCTCTTTTCGGTAATCGTCCTGTTGTCCGGGGTTGATGATGGCAAACTCGCTAGGTTTAAACACCGTGTCCTGCATGTCTACGCTCATAAGAAGGAGATGCGATAATTCCACAACATGCACGGGACTAACGCCACCTTTGCGCAGGAAATTTGTCCAGTCCTTCTTAGTGTTCTTGTCATAGATCCTGTACTTGAAATCGTATGGCAGCAAATTTTCGAGGATGACCGGGGGCGAGAGCTTGATTTTCATGTAAGGATATTTACTAGGATCATAGTCAGCGAGCGTTATCAGGAGAGAGGAAAGGGAATATACCCATTCAAGAAATGACCCTTGTCGAAACTGGTGTTCATCTGAAAGTAGAACGGGTCATTGCCTTCACCCTTGCAAACCAGCGTTCGGGTTGGCCTTTTGATCAGATCCTTCCACCAGAGGTGTTCAGATGACCAAGCATAGCCAAATCCGGAGTCCGGCCGCACCAGCAGAGACTTGACAAAACAAGCTGCGACAGGTGCAGGTCGGCTCTCACCTGGAGGAATCTTCTCGATCTTCAGAAGATGCCCTTCTTGTGCATCGTAGACGCCTAACTCCACGGGGATCTGCGTATCATTTTCAACTACCAATGGTGATCGCAGTGTCACATATTTGATGTTGTCCTCGCCAAGCTGCACTTCAACGAGAAGTCGGTGTAGTGTGTTGTCTGTCTTCGGTCGTAAACTGTATAGATATTCACCATGGCGATTGATGCGAATATTCTTGACTGTATCAAAACCACTTCCCTCGATCTGAATACTCACAGTATTGGTAGTGTTATTCTCTGTCATGATATTTTCCCGCATTTTCTCCCAATGCTCGAAGCTCCAAGGAGCTTCTTGGCCATCCTCAAGCTTGACAGAAATGTTCTCGGTATTGCTTTGATTCCTCGCTTGGACAACAACATCGAATCCAGTATAGTTCCGGATCTTGTATGGGGACTCGGCCCCCCGTGCCTTGCCCAACACATCTTCATTTTCTGTCAAAAAGTCAAAGGATTTCGAGGCAAGTGCGATAGTAGCCGTGGTGACTGTAAGGTCAAAAGCCTTTCGGGACTGCATGTCGATGGACAGCATGCCATTATTTGGTTGCTTCGCCACACCAACACCAACCTGCCAGGGCTCAAGCAGAGGCTCCCAAGCAGACTTGGCAAAGTTGTAAACATTAATGTACATATCCATTGCTGTCTCCGCTTTGAGGCTACTGGTCCAGTCGGCGGCTGATGCTGTGAAGCTCTTGATGTTCAAGTCCACGATGGGAAGTTCGTGTACATCACCTATCAACACAACCCGAACGCCGTCGATCGATGCGGTCAACTCCTCATGTCGTTTGGGGCCACTATTGACATCGTGGACTGGTCGTGGAGGCTGTGATGACTTGCGCGTTCGAGTCGTCAGTGTGCCAGCCGTCTTGGATCGCTTTGTTCGATTCGCGATAGTTGAATTACCGCGACCGCTTGCTGTGCGTTGCTTGAAACCGTCGTTACGGAGCTGTTCTGCCTTCTTGTCCGAAGCGCTGACCCTGTTGTCCTCAGGTTGGTTTGCAGAAAGCTCAGAAGCCTTGCTGACAATTTGAAGAACGAGAAGAATATCGCGCAACGAAAGGCGCAGGATAAGAGGCTCGATGTCGACATGGATATTGGTCAGATTGGGCTGGGAACTGTCCATGGACATCTGAATAGAAAAGTCATCTAGGATACGCAACCGTGACTCTTCGAATCTATCCATGCGACATAAGAACATGCCAACCTTCTGAACTTGGAAAGTCAAAGCGTGCTGTTGTGATAGAAGCACCTGTTTGGTGCCCAAAACGATAGCCTCTGAGCTTGAGCTCAATGGATTTGCGATAAGGATCACCTGAGCATCCACGATGTTGACGCGGAAGGCAACAGTTATCTTGGACTCCTCTTTTTTTTGCCCAACATTTTGGAGTTGTCCTGGCTTCTGAGATTTGCTGCCCGTGAAGACAACTTGCATCGAATCAGTATCAGAGTCTTCGGGTGAGTCTTCCGAGCTATCGTCCACTTGCACCGCCTCATCAACCTGGATACTAGCGGTAACGAATCTTTGCAGCGCGAAGACGTAGTCCAGGGCAAAAATGACTCGAGGACTGTCGATAGCAACCATTGCTATAAGATTCTTGTTCTGGCCAGAGCTCATGGAGATGGAAGCCATGAATTGTTGGACACTCTTATTGGACGAAGTCATGATCTTGCGGAACTTATTCCCATCCTTCTGGCGCGAGTCCTGGATGGTGAAGGAGTGGATGACGAACTCTGCCTCGAGAGATCCGTCTGCCAACATACGAGTCTTCAGTTTGCTGTTGTCGAGAGAGAACTGCGAAAGACTAGCGCTATCGGTATTGCCGGTTCGTTTGCCCTCAGGGGCATCGATCAACTCAAGACCGATCTTGTGGGCCTCGAACACCAAGTCAAGTTTGGTCCAGGTATCCTCCCGAGAACCAAGTTCAGGGCCCAGATCGATGAGAGAGTCTTCATTACCAGTAGTCGTTGAAGACATGGTCTTAGCTCGTCTCAATGTTCCCTCGTCGACATCTCTCTCTGCTTCTTCGCCGCTTGCTTCAGCATCTGTGGCGAAGGCAGCAGGCACAGATCTCGAGATTTGGAGAAGTGATTTGAGTTGATACTGAGAGATTTTGAGGTTCAAGTCGGTCATCTTGCCCTCAATCTCCATGTCGGGACGTTTCGATCCCCTTTGGTGCTCAGCATAAGTGATGTTAAAGCCGAGATCGACATGGTCGATCATCTCCATCTCCTCAGATTCGTCTTCTTGGAAGTGGTACAGAGACGTAAGTCTTACGTTACGAATACCGGCCGATAACTTCATGGCAATTTGAGCGTCTTCGGAGTCGTCCAAGGGAACAAATTTGTTTTGAGCATAGATCTCTCCGAGGTAGGCCGTGATCAGGTCACGCTTCGCCCTGCCCGGTACGACCACACCAGGGAAGACGATGATGGGTGTGTTGACGAGGACGTCGAACTTGAAACGGCTGGTGCTTTGTTGAATTTGCTGTGCCTGGCTTGCAGCAGCTTGGCGTGCGGCATTGTAGATTGCCTGCATCTTACCGAACTTGACCAAGAATTCGATGATCTTTCTGAAAGGTTCTTCTTGGAAGTTGATCTTAATGGAGCCAGCCCGTAAGAATATCGAAGAATCATAACCAGGATATGCATTCTTGTTATCCCTATCAAAAGTCTCATATCGAAAGTCCGCAAGCTCGTCCCCTTGGATTGTGACCAGTCTACGAAGGCTGGAATTCTCGGAAGCGCCAACGTTTACATCATCGACTAGACTAAGATCTCCCAACTTTGTAGCTATGCGCATCGTCTTTCCAGAGAGATAGACACCAACGTCAGCATGGTTGAACGAGAGAGTCGCGAGCCGTATGCCATCGTTATTCAGGATCAATCGTATAGTTTTCAAGTCAACCTTGACCCTGATAGACCCTGCCTGTTCCGGCTGTTGTTCGGGAGGAGGTTCCACAATCTCAGGTAAGTCGCTCTCATCGTCACTGTTCGTGATCGCTCTCCTCTGCGGCTGGGCGTTTGCATTATCATTGTTGGTGAAGGTTACCAAGATAAAATCCAACAGTGTTAGCAACGTCTTCCTTGTTACGACGAGGTTGATGGTCGAGACCGTGACATTGATGTTAGTCTCTATACCTTCGTAGACTGGCATGAACTCTGGCGACTCTCTCTTAACCTTGATAAACTTAACTGTAACCAAGTCTCTCTTTTCTTGGCGGTCCTCAACATCGCCGGATGACACGATTGACTTGAACTCGACTGAAGGGTTGTTCTCAACAAAGTCGTCAACGGTGACAGATCCAAGAGACACTTCAGCAACCATGTCAAACGGTCGGATATAAAAGTCCAAGTCGAAGTCCTCAGCAACCAGCTCAACCAACAGAGACTCGGGCTTCTCTCCGTCGGGGTCGCTCCTGTAGAGGGAGCCTTGCAGTTTATCGACAGCAAACGTGAACTCAAACGTCCGTTGCTGCATCTTCAGTTGTTGATTAGTGCTGCCTTCAGATGCATCTTCGAAAGCATCATCGTCGTCATCGTCGTCATGAATAATGACAGCAGTCTGTGGGGTCGAAAAAATGTTGGCCGAAGACTTCCTCTTATGGGCCTTGTTCGACCTCGTGGAACGACCAGATGCACTGCTGAGCAACCTTGGTCTGTTTGGCCGTTGTTGCGATTGAGCCTGCTGTGTATCTCCACCAAATTTCGGTATGGCAACATCAATCAACTTCATGAGACTCTTGTATTTGGTGTCGGACACAGTGGCGTGCAAAACAGGTAAGTGACCGGACACCTTCATCTTGGTAAGGTTCGGTGCCTTGGGGAGGATTGACATGGCCACCACGAAGTCGACGTTGATCTTCTCAACGATATGGTACATTCTCGTATCGTCCTTTTCGATCAATTGAGACTTCGCATCGTCGATCGAAGGGCCGATGAGGACCTGCGTTGAGCTCAGTTTGACGACAAACTTGTCGTACATTAGCGACTCAAGTTGCTTGAAGTCCTCGTCGGAGTATGACTGTTTCTGTTTATCCTGAACCTGCTTCATTACCTCCTTATCGACAAGCTCGCTGTTTACGCTGATGTGGCCAGCGTCTATGATAAGGCAAGTAGATCGTTCGGTGGTGATGCTTTGCGGAATAATGATCAAAGGCGCTTGCAAATCGAGCTTGGCGTTGATTGTCTTGTGTTCATCTAGAGCAAATTCGAGGCCAGCTCTCGTCTGCTGCCTCAAGCCCTCAACTGTAGCACCTGCGGTCTCCATGAGAGCACTGATGGCCTCCATGTGTCGCTCGGGCGGCTTGAAGAAGTCTACGATACCTACGACGAAGTTGGGATTCCACACAATCTCGAGAGGCTTCAGTTTAGCGGTGACAGCAAAGTCACCCTGGCCGTTTAGAGGATTCTGCTCAACTTTCAAATCAAAGAACGACGTGTTCTGAGAGGTTTCTAGGTCTGCAATCGAAAGGCGCTTCTGCTTGTTTGTGTCTGGCGCATCCTTGACTCGAACGATCTCTTGAAATATGGAGTCAGGGGTGGTTCCGTCGTTGACGCGGAAGCCGCCCAGGCTAAGGTCTGCAAGCACCGAGTCTGGTCGTTTGAGGGCCTTAGCTTTGAACATGTCAAAGTGCAGACTCAACAGGTCGGTTTTGGACCCGTGGGGGCTTTGTCGCAGAGTGAAGCTACCAGTGCTCAGAACTGTGTCGACTTGCATCTTGACAGTATCTCGGGGAGCATCGACGGCATCGGCCAATGCTGTCTTCTCGTCCCAATCGATCGCTTCGTACAGCTCTTGCCGCTGCTCTTCCGTCATCTGGGTATTTTCTGAATTATCTTGATGTTGCTGTTGAGATGGCTTGGAGCCCCAGATCCAGGATGACCATCCCTGCTGTTCATGTTGCGGCTTCGGCGGGGCGTTCTTCAAAGCTTCGGCGTTCTCTTTTTTGAGCTGGTTACGAGCCAAGGACCTCCAAAAGCGCAGATCCTCGTACGTGAGCTTCTCCTCGAGCCTGGTGAGATCTTCCTTGTCCTGGGCGGAAAGAGTTTGGTTCGCCTTGATCTTCTTGAAGAGTTCGATGTATCGGCGGCGATTGTCTCGCCTCTCACGGAAGTAGTCCCATGACCATCTTCGGTTGCGATCGTGAATCTTTGACAGGACAGCATCTCCGGCGAACCTGAGCCATGCACGGGGATCTTGTTTTGGTGAAACCCCCTTTGGTTGCAGCTTCTTGTATTCTTGGTGGCGGATAAAGTAGTGGAAAAGATCTACCATCATCAAGGCATCGCGGTATTGGTCGTCATCAAGAACGACACCGATCTCGTCGAAGAGGAGGCTGGCCTTGGTCTTTGGTGTGTGAACATGGCCCGTCTTGTCTAGTGTGATCTTGGCTTGGCCGCTGACTGGCTTCAAGATGAATTGATGTCCTACCGTCGACGCATCTTCCGCTCTGCCAATCAAATTCTTGAATTCCGCAATCAGATCGTCGTGGGGCAGGGCATTGTCTCCTTGGTCTGGTACCTCGCGGCCGGAGCCTAGAAGCTTGGTGTCGGTGTTCCAATACACAGCTAGCGCTTCCAGCTTGGCGAGTTTGTTCGTAGACTTGGTTGAGTTCTGGATGAAAGTCGGCTTCCACTCGCCGTCGGTGGAGACTGCGCTGAACTCCTCGAGAGTGACGCCGAGGGCGAAGGGGTGACCGGGGGTGGATATCGAGTCCTCGTATCGCACGTGGATGTTCTTGACTGTGACCTGCAGGTTATCGACAATCTTAGTGACCAGACTCTCGGTGAAACTCTGACTCTTCTTCTGCTCTTCCTGACTGAGACCCGCTTGAGACCGTTCCTTGAGGAGCTCAGCAGAGTCCAGCTTCTCCATCTTGAGCCTCTGTTTCCTGCGCTCCTCTTCGTCTTCGTCGTAGGCAGCCTCCTCCTTGGGCGAGGCCAGCAGGAAGACATCTTCGATAAAGACCTTGACTGGGGAGCCGCGCAGATTCGACCAGGGTATGACGAGAGTGAGCTCTCCGAGGTGTCCTTCGACGACATTGATGGGGAGCTTGAGCTGGTCAAGTGCTTCCTTACGCAGCTCGAGATTTCGCAGCTTCACATCGCCAGACCAGATGCCGACTTTCAGCTGGGTTGGGTCAAAGTTCTTGACGTACATGCCCAAGAAGCGGTTCAGGAGGCCGGAGACCAGGCCTTCGAGCATGGTGATTTTGGGGTGCCGTAACCCGGGCCGGGGAGATTTGTGGGATTAGGACGGGGTATCGTAAAGGCTCATAGGCAGGAAACGTGTCTGTCTTGGCTGTATGTCATGAGGGTTCGTCGTCGTCGTGTGGTCGTTGCCTCATTTACAGTTAGGAGGTCGTTGTTGGCAGCATTAGGATTACGGTGGATCCAGGAGCCGGGGCTGCCACTGAATAAGAGGAGCGAATCGCGCAGATGTCGAAGAAATGCAGCAATACAATGAGCCAAGGTCGAAGGAATGAAATGACCTGCGGTGGATGCAATGCAATGCGATGCGATGCGACGCGATGCGATTGTATGTGATGCAACTGAAGTTGAAATGGCACCACGATATTGACAGGTGTACGTATACTCTGCAATGGCTAAACCTAGGCCCTTACAGTAGTCGAGGTCCTCGGTTGGAGAGTCTCGTGTAGCGTGTATGTGAGTAGTGATGCTTGTTTGGCACCTGCAATCACCAGGAATAGACTTTCGGAATTTGTGGGCAGTAATACCAACACAGCAGCACGCATGTGGCATGTGGCATGTACTTTAGCTGGCAGATTCGTTGGTGCCTGATCGTTATCCCCCTTCTATCCATCAGAGATTCGTTCATCCCTAACTATCCTAATCCCAATTCCAGTCCCAATCCTGATGCCCCGTTCCATTGTATGACGCCAGAGGTCGCTGGAAATAGCAGACCAGGTGTCGGTAGGAAAACGCGCAGCGGGGCAACTCTAGCGGGGCATTAGTTGTTCACGGGCTTTCTTGACTGCCAACACAAATGACTGCAGCTGCCAACTAACATACGAGGCATCTATCATGTGCACACACATTATATATCTTAGTATTTATTCCTTCCGTACTTATTCTTGTTCCCTTCCATCGACTCCCTCCACTATCGAGATATCCATGCATTGAGTCAAGGTAATTGGTGTCACTGATGACCTGATCTTCTACGCACTCCAGGCTTATATACCCATGAAACGCGGGGTAGTTCTAAAATCAATTCCAAGTCTTAGGCTCACGGACGGTGTGATCAAATACTTGTAGGGGCTGGCCCAGGACTGACGTACAAGCGCAGTGGGGGGATTCAAGCTGTGGGCAGCCCCCTTGAACGCTTGAGGTCGTTTGTCTTTCTAATGTCTCCAACATTACGTCACTACGACCGCAAACGTTCTAAAAGCTCGCGAGCTTTTCGCCTAGCTCCAGACTCCAAGCTCCAGGCTCCAAGCTCCAAGCTCCCAACCCCCCAGATCATGGTGATTGATCGATCAAAAACACGAGCAAGCCGGCATATAAACATTAAACAGACTGCGAGTTGTCAGCATGCGGCACGCAATACTGCGTTGTGGAAATTCGTTTCAGCGCTTCGAGGTCCAATTGCAGTACCTGGCGACGTAACCTACCAGATCCAGTTTCCAGTTTCCAGTTCCCAGTTCCCAGCCTTGATTCGCTCAACTCTCGGCAGTCATAGATGATACAATTGCATCAGCCATTACATACCCATACTACTTTCTCCATCTCAGTCCCGCAGCACGAATCTTATTTGTACGATCCGTGCCGGCTGAAATACGTCTACACCCATCATCTTTGTTTCCAACAAGTGAATGATTTTTTGATACCAATTGATATTTCTGATTTTATACCTCTGCCTCAAGTGTTATTCGCTATTTCCCTGCCAATTGTGCCTAAATCTTCCCCAGTTCCCCTGAGTTGCAGTTCCCTGAGTTGCACCAACCATGTTGCGGAGCACACGACCTCTCTGGACGAGTTCGACAAGAACTCTTCTTTCGCAAAACGCCGCCACGACAACCTCTCGCCTACAGGCTTCTCAATTGACCTCAATATCTAGATCGAGGACACCCAATGCTTCCACAACGGCACGCGTCCTACCTCTGATACACAAGACATCCTACGCCACGAAGCATGTGCAGGACAAAGAGGATCCGGAAGAGGTCAAGAAATGGGCTGAGGAGAAGCTTGAACCGCACCCGGAGGCCGTGTCTAGCGAGTCAAGTGTTCGACATTTCTCGGATTTCCTAGAGCCATCTCAGAGACCCGCCAACAAGGACGACCCAGCAGCAGCGCCGCCAGTCAAGGACGGAGTGGCCCATGACTTGGTGAGTATAATCGCTTTCGATAACTTACTATGCCGTTCGTACAACTCAACCAAGAACGCGCAACTGACTCTCTTTCTCCTCAAACGCAGAACTTGGTTAAGGAGACCTTCTCCCTTAGCACCGTGCCTAAGGAATCGCTCTATCTCGGTCTCGCCGGTACTCTTCCTTACCTTGCAACATCATTCAGCAATGTCTACCTTTCATGGGCTCTGAACACCGAGTGGCCGACATCCTCCAACTTTGTTAACTCAATCCTAATGACCCATGATAACGCTAGATACTGGCTTGGTGTTGTCGAGCCTTTGCAAATGGGATATGGCGCAGTTATCATCAGCTTCCTAGGCGCCATCCACTGGGGTCTTGAGTACGCCGAAAAGACGCCCAGCAAGCCTCGAACGCAATTTCGGTATGGCATGGGTGTCGCAGCATCAATTGTTGCATGGCCTACATTGTTTTTGCCCTGGCAGTTTGCCTTGACGTCACAGTTTGCTGCATTCGTCGGCCTGTACTTTGCCGACTCTCGTGCCACAGTCCGAGGTTGGGCACCCTACTGGTACGGCACCTACCGCTTTGTCCTTACAGCCATTGTCGGCGCAGCCATCATGATCAGTATCATTGGTCGCTCAAAGATTGGTGACACTGCCCCACGACTCTCTGGTCTTAGCGAGAAGTTCCACGCGACGCATGGCGAGGAGCCATATAGCAACAAATGGGCCAATGCCGAGCAGCCAGCCAAGAAGGAGTATCAGAATAAAAAGGCAGAAGAAGAGAAGCGCAAGCAAGAAGAGGAGGCCAAGAAGCAAGAAGAGGAGGAGGCCAAGAAGCAGAAGGAGGAGAAGGAGAAGGCTCAAAAGGAGGCCAAAAAGCCCAAGGACGCGGACAAAAAAGATGCGAAGAAGGATGCGAAGAAAGACGAGAAGAAGGATGAGAAGAAGGATGAGAAGAAGGATGAGAAGAAGGATGATAACGAGAGTAAAGACAACGCTAAGAGGGATCAGGAGTCTCAGGATAATGAAAGTGGTGATGAAAAGAAGGAGGGCAAGGTTGAAGAAAACTAAGCCGTTTAACGATTGTACATCTCGGTTGCTCTTCGAAATGGCTCCGGATGCATTTCTCTCTGTATATAAATAGAGCCTGGCGTTACTGGGACTGGATGTATACTATCAATGATACATTTGACTTCGAGGCCCTGCACGGAAGGGGTCTACCCAATATCGTCTTAGTGACCCATGTGAAGATAATGCAACACTGACGTCCAAAGTCGAATTCCCAGAATCTACTGACAGGACCATGATGTACATAGGGATGCAAAGAATGCAAATTTTCGGCACGTGTTTGTGGCGAGCCACAACATAGGCGCTCTGCCGAGGGAGTACTTTGCTTTACATTATTTTCTCGCGACAACCGAGAGCCGGTCAACAAGCGCACATCTTTCGCTATTCGTCAGCTCGCTGCATTCAGGCATGACTGTCACCGATGATGGCATATTTGAGAATGCCGAATCACTCACGCTACCGCCAGACCGCCTGAGCGTGAAAAACGCTGCAGTCGTGTGGCTACCCGGATCCCCATACATGCGTCGACGAGCACGATATTCAAGTATCGTCTCCTATCTTCACGGCCGTACTTTGCGCAATGACCACGGTGTATGGAACATGTTGCTGTACGCCCGCGGTACTTCTTTTCCAAGCAAAGCCTTACTATACAAGATTGACAGTGTAGCTAGTCATTACTGCAGTCAAGGCGTCTAATAGCATATTTTGTGGAACTCATTCTACTCATTCCTGTGGCAAGAAAGCGCATGGCGCTACAAAGCCATAGGTCATGAATCGCTTTAGCATGAACCGTGTTGAGATTTCTTGGATAGCCTTTGATTTAGGCACTGTATTTTGTTTGTAATGATGTTGCAGAAGCAAGTAGTCAATAAAGGTACCCTGCAGTTAGTAGTATATTCAAAAACTCTTTAAGACTACACACAACTGTACTTGTCGGTGTTTAAACGGAATCGTGGCTTACCTACATCTACTCTAGCATTGTTCTCTTACACTTTAGTCCGTGTTGTGTAATCCATTCGCCCGGTTAGTTGCGGCTGCCCACTAATATCGAATATCATCTTGCACATAGTTCGGCCATGAGACCGTATGTTGATTCAAACGCCCGACAGAGGTGGTATCGTGGATCTGGAAGCGCGAGAAGGTCTGCAAAGTCTGACAATGATCGGCTCTTTGCTTCACGTCTTTCAGATATCTGTCTTGTATCCCTCATGGACTTACATGAACAATCGCGTCATGGAAGGTTTCTAATCTCGGAATGATCTAGTCTAGAGCAGATAACAATCCTCTAGTCTCTGCTTTCGAAGCTGTCCAAATTCTTCACCATAATCAAATCACCCATACTAAGATTTATGTCTCGTGCGCATCCACAGAACACCGACGGTTGCGGGACAATTCATTCCTTGTGGGGTCTTCGAATCCGAGCCCAACCTCAGTGCTTAACGCAATAACCGTGAAAGGCCGCCCATGTAAGAATATCTATGAGCTCGGGCCTTCTTCCCCAAAATGCCTCTATAGTCCAGACTGAACCACAATGTTCATGTTTTTGGTCGACCCCACATTCCAATGCAGGTAACGACCGGAATTGTAACCCCGCTATGTCTGTGCTTTACCATCGAGGAAACTAATACTGTAGTCCAAGATCGGTGTTCGGGACTGTCGCCGAAATCTTAATGTACTTTGACTTTGTTTTAACCATGGCGATGGGACTTTATCCACTCGTTGTCAAGTTTGCCGCATGTCAGCAGCCGGGTATAAAGGGAAATAGTGATCTGATTTAAAGGGTGCGCATAGAACAGTAAGTAGTCTTAAACGACTAGAACCCGTAAGATGACTTGATGTCATTCATATGCGATTAGAGTACCGTTTACCTTAGTAGGATAGTAGGTAGAAATGTCACTAGCTATTGGGAAGTACTACCTCGCAAATATTTCATGTTGGCCAATCGTATCATAGCCAGATGTTACCTCTGCAGATGTATAGACACACGCTGGAGAACTTTACGGTGCATGCCAACACGTCGGTGAACGGTGAAGTAGCGTGCCTCAGACACATCAGTTCAAGGAGCACAGGGTAATAGCCAAAGCCACATAATAGCTTTGCATCATCCAACTTGTCATTCAAGGCCAATCGTGCTAAATGTCATGCTATACTGATTACTCGGCAATCGATTCGTCAGACCCGTCGAAGAAGTCGCGCTTGATTCGTTGCTGATAACTCCGACTATATAGCGGAGTTGGCCGCATTTCCACCCCTGCCTGTTCTGGCCAGCTAACCTAGGGGAATGTGAGACCACAATCGGCCGCACATTCTCTGGTAAGACCTGACGTGATGTGCGTATTTAGTAGGCAAACACATCAAATCATATACTTGTGTATTATCGTTTATTCCAAACGCATGAGCTTTTAGTTGGTTATTTAGAACAGACGAAGATCTACGCATGGTCTAACGACCAACTCGTATACACATATGTATTCTCCCAACCTGTGACTCCTGTCTCGGTAAACTTGCCGAATACCCCTGGCTGTCCACGCACCTAGACTATAGAAGCTGGGGCCGAATAAAAGCTTGAGACACCCAGGGAGCTTTACAGCAATCATTTGCAACCCAGCCAGCACAGAGAAATCAGCCCGGGTAATGATATTGTCGGATACCGTAGCCCTTGTAATGAGTTTTCGCCGGAGAACGACGATCTATTTACGACATAGCCGTCTCGTGCGATGTTTAATCCGTTGTATGAAGATCCTATACAAAATAAATAAAAACAAAAAGGAGAGGGAGAGTCTGCGCATGGCTTGGAGGCCAAGCTTTCCCAAATTCTGCGACTGGGCTGGCTATCTTCAAACACGGCGGTTGGCGCGTCGCTCATAAAATAACCCTTACCCAATACAGCGCAGGCCCCTGGGGAAGGGCCCCAGATGCACCAGCGACGTACCCCGTAGAAATCAACCAATCATTAATTCTCCCAGCCCTCCAGCACGTGTCTGTGCCCTCGGTTTGGAGCGACAATGGCCAGGGTTCACAGACTTTGTGCTGGGGTTTTGCACTGGGAATGACCTCGCAGCTCTGTCTAAATCACGTTACTCGCAACGCGGTGGCTTGCCTGAATGTCCAGTCGATGTTACCTGGCGGAAAACTCGCTCCAGACCATGCAACCAGTTCGGGCTCTATGGCCTGTCCGTACACCTAGAAACCCTTGCTATTGATCTGGTGTTTCGGCCGGCATCAGAACCAGTGTAACTAAAGCAGCAATATTCGCTTATAGCAGCTCGAGTTTCAGCCAATTTCTATGATGCGATTGCGCTCTAGTGCTACACAACGCCGTCGCGTATGAAACGATGGGTCCGAAATACGTAATGCAGTATCTCATTTTCGAGATCAGGATGGGAGTATCGCCTGTCGGCTACTGCTTAGGTGCTGTGGATGGTAGTATCGCAAATATGTTCGTCCAAGCCTTCTTTCAGACGACTCTTACATTTTGGGTCTCGGTCTGCTAGATGTGGGCCCCAGTTACAGCAGGAACCGGTTTGGTATGCGAGCCGATGCATGTCCAGATCGTGCCCAGGACTTCCGGGTCGACCGTTGATTCCCGATCTGCCTGATTGGTCTCGCCATGCAACTGATATGTCGGTAGGCTTCATGATACATCCAACCTTAAGCTTTGATGCTGTGCTGCCTTTTACCCCGGATTGGACAGGCCTCTTTTCGCAGTACGTATATTCACGCAGATGGCTTCATGCTTGAACGTCCGTGCCATAGTCACTGGAGCGAAAGGCGGAAAAGCCAATCTTATCTTGCCAAGATAGGCTAGAAACATTGAACCCTGAGAGGTTGTGTATAAATCGACCGAGTCGCATTGACAACCCAGCATGCCCAGTGACCCTTGTACCTGGCCGGACATGATGTTCGGGTTTGTGTCAACTATGAAAAGCTTATTCCCCCGATACTATCCTTGATTTTAGTCCCACCTGGCCCTTCACTTTTTGCCCCCGAGTTCAGTCAATCCTTCTTCCTTATCGTGTTCGCCAACGTAGTCCAGAGCGGTAGGCACCGTCACGGTGACCGCAATGGCAGCTATCAATCAACTTCCCGCAGGCGCGGAAGGCATAGCCGCGTTCGCTTTGATTTACTCATCTATAAGCTGGATATGTAGTGCGTTGCTTATATGGTGCGCAAGATTGCACCAAGAGGCCTGGTCATGTAAGTGAAATAGTTGAACTGGCTTTACTAGTTGAGCAGCTGACTGACACGGTTTACCAGACATTTCTCTCCTCGCGTACTTCGCGCTAATCAGCAACACTGGCTCGATCGTTCAGCAAAGCCATGACATTACGTACTATCGAGACATTGTGACAGAACAATTTCATCGGAAGACTACTTTCCTCCAGAATCCAGAACTTGCGATCGCCAACGGTTCTTATGGGTTAGATCTTGCCCTATATTACATACGTCAGTCATTTTCGTACCCGCCTCAGATCCGGCCTACTCATGCTTGGACAGAATATTATTGCTACAGCGTTGAAGCGATGCTAGTAATGTTTTGGGCCTTTGAACTTGCCCAGTCCGTGTATGGGCTGAGTGCGAAGCAACACTTGAAGATGGCGTTGAGGAAGGTCAACTCTGCAGGAAAAGTGATTGCTGTGTTCTTCCCAATGTTGACCATCCTTCTACTTCGTGCTCCTGCTGTTCAAAGAGTCTTTGTTGTTTTCATTTTACTCGCAGATCTTCCCTGTGCGTCAAGCCCGTCCATGATACAGATCTTACCATTTTCTGACTGTCTCTAGTGATGATCAGCTTGGCCATCAGTAGTACGACGATGGTTGCGATACTCGTACGATATGTCCAGTCCCGAAAGCAGTTCTCCAATTGGACACCACAAGGAAATGGAACTACCGTTACCAACGAGACGTCTACCGACACTATTCAGACCACTGAGACAGGGCACTCTGGAAATGCGAAGAAGTCATCAAGGAAACAAGGCCTTTACGATCGCTGGCTGATGGTCCGCTTCACCGTGGCATTCGTAGTCTTGGCGTAAGTGATATTGGATCTATGTCTGAGTACTCAAGAAACTGATAGCCTTGATAGGTTGTTTGAAGTGACCAATACACTTTTCCAATTGCAGTCGGTGAATAATAACAACAAGGATGCGACATTAATCGAACCCGACTTTAGTCTGGAGAGAGCAAAATCGACGTTCTTCCTCTTCCTCCCCGGTGTGACTCCTGGTATATTCCTCTTCCTTGTGTTCGGTACAACTGCCGGTTGTCGAGCGGCGTTGTTAGGAATCTTCAAGTTCAAATCGCGGAAAGAAAACAAGGTTGGAAGCGGACGCAATCTATGGAAGCACTGGCGCAAACAAGCCCGAGAGGACCCCGAACAAGTCATACAAGACCCATTTGCGGACTCGTCGGAAGCCGATTTCAAGGAGAGCGATGGAGTCACGTCACCTTTCCCATCTGGAAGCTTGGTGTCCAAGTATAGTACACAGTTCAGCTCCACCCAAGAACCTGTCACCTCTTTGGCGCCATCTCATCAACAACGTGCCTATCCTGTATATGACAAATACTCCTGTCGTCAGGAACCAATTGTCGATAGGGCTGGTGCTATGGAACTTCGAGTAATCACGTCCCTTGAGCAAATACGGGGAGAGTACTATCAACCAAGCCCGGATCAGAGCGACGACTCGGGGCCGATATTACCAATTATGAGTCCCCAGGAACGAAGGATATCTAAAGCAGCGACAGGGACGGTTTTGACAGGCCACAACAAGCCTGGTACACCGAGTACGGGACAGTAAGGGAGCGCGATGAGCATTATGATACCCACAAAACGAGTGATGAGGAACGGGTGCAATACCGCAAATGCTTTCAGAGCCTATAGGGAGGTCAAAGTTTGCAGGCTTGGCCTTGTAAAACAAAGTGACAATACCGGCGCGAAAAGTCTTCATGCGCATCCCCATATAGACTCGCTGTGAATTTAACTTCAAAGTCGCGATTGAGCTTCGCTGATGTGTATGCCAAGATATTGACCGTCAGGGTGGGGGGGGGGGGGGGGGGGGGAGGGCAGCGACCAGCCAGCGCTAAGGAGCCTTGAATGAACGATCTACATTTGTGAGAGCACGGATGCTGCGGAGGTAGGGTCTGGAGCAGTATGGGCACAGATCCACATGTGTGCATGGGCTTGGCGAACAAGTTTTCCATTTCACAAAACATCCTTTCAGCAACGAAGATATAGATAAATGCGATGAATACGCGCAAGTTCTGCTCAAAAATGCCAATTGATTTCAGGAACTAGTCACATTGAAGTATTGTGACTCTTGACCTGGCGACTATGATGTGCTGTTCCTAGGATGACGTGCGCCGCGGACTGAGCTAACGTAGCGGAGTGCTCCGCAAGACCTGAAATCCGGGGACGTGGATTCTACACCAGCACGGGGACGTGTCCACGTTAGTGAGGGTATTTGCAGAATTGGGAACCAGTGAATTCATTTCAGAGCTGACGTGTCCCATAATATTTAGCAGGATTGACTTTAGCTAACACAGACTCCCGACAGACGGGCGTGGGATGGTAGTATTCGGGTTGCTAACCCCACTATCTTCAGCGTCATGGTGACGCTTTGAATAGCGATCGAGGTGTGGAGGGGCACTGGATCTGGTATTAGGTTACAGCTCTGCAGGAGCTTTACTGGTGCTTTGTCAGAGGACAGGCAGAATCATGTCAAGAATATAAACAACCAGCGAACAAACAAACAATTGAGGCCCAAACGGATAGACCCTGACAAGGACTTTCAAGAGCCTGTAAGTCGCCTCTATGGTTTCACGTATGGTCTGACAGTGGTTCGATGTTGCCGGTGCCAAACTGCAGTTGATCAACATACAGCTGAGCCACTGGTGGTGATACGTGGCTGACCTTCACCAGTAGAACTCATATAAAAACGCGTACGCTGCTCTTGAGTGAACTGCATCAGCAATTATTTAGAAATTGTCAAGTATTCATCGTAAGGTTACAATCATGCGTACGATACAGAAACCCCAGAAGCCTCGCAAGTTTTCGGCTCCACCGTCGAAGCATCACAACAAACGCATGGATGAAGCTGCTGCACAAGATAGCCACCTTGGTCCCGCACTTAAGACCTTGTTTCTCGGTATCTCAGCAGCAGAACTCGAAGACCATACGGTCGCAATATCGTTAGCTGCCCACGACACGACATATCTTGTGGATTTCGCCGTCGAACATCTGCAACTGAGTGGAGACAGGAAAGCGAAAGACGTGATTGCGGATTATGTCATCAACTCGGTACAGAAGTACGAGCAGGAACATTATGTCAAGATGGTAAGTATCAATCTCTTATCGTATTCTCAGGAACGAATGAGTTCGGAAAGTTGCGACACCTCAGGCTCAGCATGAAATCATGTCCTACACCAGGGATGTGGTTTGCTATTGTACAGCACCAAAATTAATATGCACACTCTATACTGGGTAGTCAAATTAGATTGCTGACCAAGCCCCAAAATCTAGATTGGTGCAGGTCTACCTACGACGATCAAGGACCTGAGCCCTACGCTCTGTTCCCGTCTATGGCTGGACGTCGATGTCATTCCCATCGTTATCCGCCCGGATTACAATTCTGAACAGCCATCTTTCTGGCAGGCCAAACATGTCGACGAACAAGCCGACTCAATGGCCCGCAAGTGCGTCATGTAAGTAGAATCTTCCGTATAGGAAGGCGACAACGCAGACTGACAACTCTAGGTGCTTCGGTCCATCGTTCGTTCCTCTGCTCCAGGTCGGTTGGCAAGGTTCCGTGCAGGTTGATTCAGCTTTCAAGGCTCAAATCAACTCGGCTGAAGACCACCAGAAGACAGTTGGTGAGACCACGTGGAAAGCTGTGAACCACTTCGCAAGCACGCTCAAACAGAACAAGACCAAGATCGCATTCTTCAGTTCAACGCCTCAGGGAGGAGGTGTAGCATTGATGAGACATGCACTCGTTCGGTTCTCAAAGCTTTTGGGTGTTGATTTGAAGTGGTATGGTAAGTACAGTTTTGTAGCCTCCGCTCAACCACGAATTGGATACTCACTACAGGAAATAGTGCCAAAGCCGCGTCCAGGCGTGTTTAGATTCACGAAGAATATGCACAATATCCTCCAAGGAGTTGCCAAGCCTGATCAGCGCTTATCTGACGAAGAGAAAGAAACAATCAGGGGCTGGATCACCGACAACGCCTTCCGGTATTGGCTAGCTGAGGGTGGTCCCCTGCGACCGCCGGAGGAAGGCGGAGCAGATGTAGTAGTGGTAAGCTATTCTATCCAACATCTCGTAAGGATACAACCGCCTGACGCGGGTCACAGATTGATGACCCGCAAATGCCCGGACTCATTCCGCTCATCAAAGAAATCACGCCTGATCGGCCAGTCCTTTACCGATCGCATATCCAGATTCGCAGCGATCTTGCGGCCAAGTCTGGCTCGCCACAGGAAGATGTATGGAAATTCTTGTGGAACGACATCCAAAAGGCCGATATGTTTATCAGTCACCCCATTCCAGCATTCGTGCCGGAGAATGTCCCACGAGAGAAGGTTGTCTACTTGCCGGCAACCACGGACTGGTAAGGATTCATTGTGTCATCAAATTTTACGTTTGCTGACTCTCCGCAGGCTTGATGGCTTGAACAAGCCAATCAATAAGTGGGATAGCGGCTACTACAATCACAACTACAATCTTCAGTGCAAGTCTCAACAGATGTAAGGATGATCTAAATCTTTTCGATGGAATCACCACTGACGCAGACGTATAGGACCGAGCTTGGTTTCCCAGACCGTGAGTGAGATGAGTCACGCATATTCGCACTACATTGACCAAGTGTTTAGGGAAGTACATTGTCCAGATTGCTCGTTTCGATCCAGCGAAGGGTATTCCTACCGTGATCGATTCATACGCAGAATTCCGCAAACGTGCAAAGTCTTCCGGCCTCAAAGACGTACCACAACTTGTTATGTAAGCTTTCTATAAAATCAACGGTCGAATTGGGAATTGACTGTCTAGTGCCGGTAACTCTTCCGTCGATGACCCAGATGGTAATATAGTCTACGACCAAGCGCTTGACCAGATCGAGTTGCACTATTCGCACCTCGCCAAGGACATAAGTGTGATGCGACTGGACGCAAATGACCAGTTGCTTAACGTCTTGATTGCGCAAGCTCACGTGGTACTGCAGCTTTCGACTCGAGAGGGGTTCGAGGTCAAAGTTTCAGAAGCACTCCATGCAGGCCGGCCCGTCATTGCCACCCTCGCAGGCGGCATTCCGTTGCAGGTCAAGGACAAGAAGAATGGATTTCTGGTCAAGCCGGGTGACCATAAAGCCGTTGCTCAACATCTGTATGACCTGTTTGCAGACAATGAGCTTTGGAAGAAGATGAGTGAGGGTGCCAGGACAGGTGTTAGCGATGAAGTTAGCACGCCTGGAAATGCCCTCTCTTGGTACTACTTAGCAGCCAAGTGGACTGAGGTTGCTGGTAGTAGTAGTAAGACAACTTTAAAGGGTGATGAGAAGTGGGTCAACGATATGGCTCGCGAGGAAGCAAACATTCCCTATGAGGTGGGCGAGAATCGTCTGCCACGCTCCTACACTCAGCACAGCAAGCGACCACTCACACACAACGGCAAATGATAGAAGTAATTCAAGTAGACCGCCTAAATTTTAGCCTACCCATCGAAGTTTCGTTTTATCTTTAGTGGGATTACATGTTTGTACATCGGATATCTACTTGTGTCATGAGCACAACTGGTCTGTTCTAAACGCTTCAACTTCTTTTCGTTGATATAAAATTCAAGCATAACTCAGAGCCCTTGGAGTACTCTATGGAACGTCTCAGTCGAGCATGCAGACTCCGTCAGGATCTTGTCTGTGTTACGTATGTTACTCAGTGCAGGATCTGTTGCTTAACGAAATACCAGCTGGGTATTGGAGACATGTGGATATACGACGTGCTAGACCAACCGGGAACAGCCGCGGATCCCCGCGTCATCTGAGGTCAATACTCTTGTGTTGCTGCCACAAAGAAATCGAGGGTCCCGAAGGTCACACAGTTCGTGTTTTACCATGCTACACAGCTTAGTGACCCCTCACATGGATAGTAGTCTGAGACTTTTACTTACATTGGCTTGAAAAGGTAGAGACTGATCTACGAGACTCGGATATGCTAGCTCAACATCCCAATCATGGAGCAAGCGCAAGAAAATTCCCATAGAGGCGGGTAAAGGCAACATCCCACCAGGCAGTTCAAGCAGTTTTGAGTAATACGACTGCGACGATGGACTTGTGGTTTGGGATTGACAGACGCATAATACATGCAATATACATATTCGACACTGTCTTGATTCGGGCTAAAGAACACGCGGTTCAGTTGTCGAGGTTCTTATGGGAGATGTGACAGAAAATAAGGGTGAGCAGAGGTGTGAACGGGATCACTATTACTATATTCTAGTTAAGGCCAGTCATGTACCAACCTATGAAGTATATTGTTCGAGCTCAAGTTTAAGGCATATGCTACGCGGTCTGGTATGCCAAGCTGCGTGGTCATACGAGTTTGTGATCTAGGAATCCAATGTAATTGACCGCCACGTCAGCAATTAATTGAGCGCCGATCCCATGATGCTGAACTTGAAGTCACAGCCTGTGATTGTGTACCGAACATGAGCTGCACAATCATTTATTGACGTTTCTTACCATATCGCACCGTAACTGCGCTCTGACATCTGTCAAGATGACAGTATAATGAGCACTCGGCTTACCAGGATAGCCAATATCAGATGTAAATTTTACGATTACAAGCCATCAATATTATGATCGCAAGTCTATGCCTACTGTATCTTGGGAGTGAGCAAACTGTGGTCGCGCAAAAATCCGCCATACCCGCTTGATCCGTTTCGGCCACCGTAGTTCGCTAACGGACCGCGCCGGAGTCAATCAGCCAACGTTAGCGGCCAAAATTTTACGTTACAAGCACTCAATTGTCAAAACGCATGAAAAAATCCACGTCCGAACGTGGGTGGAATAAAAACCCGTCCTGGAGCGTTCTGGAAGACCATTAGGAGGATTGCTATTTACAACCAGTCCGTTAGATTCCGGTCTAGAGCATGTGGCTGAAATTGCTTCCACATAGCCGGGTCGCATGGCTTTCCGATTTCAAGTCGCGGCCGCCGCGGAGATGGTCATGTCACGAGAATAATCGGAGCCTTTGGTGGACTGATCCTTACACACAATTTACTGCATCGTACGCTTTTTACAGTATGATGGGGATAACAGGGGCTTTCTGAGTCAGCTACTGGTCTCTGAAGGCGTTTCAATATGACAAATGCGTGAATGAAGGTGAAGAATTGCCCGAGAATTGCGTGTGGTCAAGCATGTGCTTAGGTGAGTGATGATTCTGCTTTCTCCGGATATTACATTACCGTAGCATCGTAAACTTAGTGTCTTCAAGAACACGCCCCACCATTATATAAACAACACTACGGAATCCAACTCTATTGTATTGGAATATCTCGCCTGACCTCGAAGACCATCCTCACTTATAACAATAACAGTTCAGACCTAATTGACCCAACGGAGTAAACCGCAACCAATCACTATCACTGCAATGTCTCAGATTCAACATCCAGTAGATGTTCCTAAGACAAGCGGCCCAACTCCCAAGGTCGCAGCACCGATCACACCTTCACAAATTGCTATTGTCAAGTCGACCGCCCCACTTCTCAAGGAGCATGGCGAAGAAATTACTAAACTCTTCTATGGAAACATGTTGAAGGCCCATCCGGAACTCAACAACATATTCAGCACAGTATCGCAGACCAGTGGTGCCCAACCACGAGCTTTAGCGGGCGCCGTTTTCGCGTATGCCTCATATATTGACGACCTCGGCAAGCTTTCATCCGCCGTGGAGCGTATTGCGCAGAAGCACGTCAGTCTTACCGTTCAGGCTGACCAATATGCAATCGTCGGAGAGCATCTGATTGCCGCGGTTGCGGCTGTCTTGGGTGATGCTGTGACCCCTGAGGTTACCGACGCGTGGACAGCAGCGTATGGTGCACTGGCCGACATCTTTATCAACCGCGAGAAGGCGCTCTATACTGCTTTTGAGAACTGGCAAGACTGGCGACCATTCAAGATCCAGAAGAAGGTAGCAGAGTCTTCTGAAATCACGAGTTTTTACCTGGCCCCTGAGGACGGAAAGGAGCTGCCTCTTTTCAAACCAGGTCAGTACGTCAGCTTGCGCGTTTTTGTCCCAGAGCTAGGGTACAATCAGCCGCGACAATACTCGCTGAGTGATGCTCCACGACACGACTACTACCGCATCAGCGTCAAGAGAGATTCGGGCCAAGAACCAGGCATCCCCGGATTGATCTCAAACACGCTCCACAACAACTATAAGGAAGGAGACACAGTGCATCTTACACACCCTGCCGGAGAATTCGTCGTTGAGATCCAGCCAAATGAGACAGCACCAATCGTACTCATATCTGCTGGTGTTGGTATTACACCAATGATTTCCATTCTCAACAGCACTATCTCTGCCGGCTCAAAGAGACCTATCTCTTGGGTCCACGGTGCACACAGTTCCGAGGTTCAAGCCTTCCAAGATCATATCAAAGACATCTGCAAGGAGAACCCTAATGTTCAACCTACTATTTTCAGAACCACTGTCACTGCTTCAGAGGCTAAAGGCGTCGATTACCATTTCGACGGACGTGTGGACTTGGACAAGCTTGATAAGAACCGTGGTCTATTCCTAGACAACAACATTGCAGAATACTACATCTGCGGTCCCACAAAATTCATGAAAAACAATGAAAATTTCCTTTTGAATGCCGGGATTGATCCAGGCAGAGTACATGTCGAGATTTTCGGAGTAGGCGATGGCGAATAGACTTCTCGCGATGATATATCGACAGACAGCGAGTGTGTATATCAGAAGTCAGGAGTTTCGGAATATTTGATATCCGGTTTGCTTTAGATAGGTGCTAGACATTAACCCACTACTCTTTTCCGATTCCACCATCGACAATTAAAAGACCCAAAGTTTCGCATGGCCCAGGGAGAACTACGGGTACCTGAAAACTGGCCTGCTTCATCTGTAATGTCTTGAATCATGTGCTACTGATTCGTGAAACTCGGAACGCTGCCCCGGAGGCCGCTCGCGTTTACGAGTCTTCCCTGCATTGCCAACCGCCACCGAGGTCCAACTGTTTCCCAGCTGAGGCAGAGTTTTTTTTTTTCCCGGTGTCGAGTACGCCTTACTGAATACTAACTTCTACATACCGCTCCCTTCACGCCACCTCGTGGGCGGGCGCTATTTGGTCCCCCCGATTCGGTCTGACAACTCAAGTTCCCCTGCTTGCCACGTTTTTGGCTGGGCAACTCTCAGCCTTAAACACCGAGATATCGATCCCGATTGGGTTCAGGACATGTCGGACGAACCCTTTAGCCCGTGCTATCGTTCGATGGAGTCACATCGCGACAACGGGCTTTTGAAGATCAGCTGCATGAGGTAATATGCCGCTTATCAATCTCAGGACAGAGCAGGGGTCTCGCAGCCAACCCCTGCTCAAACGCATGAAATTATTGAAGTTGTTGCGAAAAGATTGATCCCAAAGTCCATCCTTGCATGTAGCCGCACAAGATCGCAACAATTCACTGGTTTTAATAGCAGCTCTTCTGTGGGCCTTTGGGGGATAGCTACATTTCACACTCCACCACATTCATACCGCTTCAAGTGAGAGCCTGGTCACACGGCGATTCTGTTGAGTGCCATTTGCAAAACCGCACACATATGACGCATGGTTACGGTTGGTGGCGCAATGTTTTCAGGAAACATTGACCAAAGAGCATTGCCTTTTTCCAGATGGCTGCATAATCCCCAGCTCGGTCATGTCGAAAGGCCATGATGGCAAGCAGACAAGGTTGAACTGTCTCAGCTGAAGGATGCACATGCATTTGGTGCATTAATCCATGGGACCAACATTGAAACTTCATTGGGCAAGGGCAGTGCTTTAAGTCTTCTGATAAGCAATAGGTCATGTGCGGGAAGAAATTCTTCAGTGGGAAGTTCTTTTTTCTTCTTCTAACGAATATAGTATACGCCCGTAGCTAAACAGGACTAGACAAACTTTGTTTGATGACGATGAAATATCAGGATTCCCACGAATTGGCGCCGACGCCACTCCGTCGAAAGGCGAATCATAAACTGCATGGGGCTGAGATGGTGTGCCGCAACGTCTCTGACAGGCGCCATGAACCATTGAATTAAGAATAACCTGACGAATGATAAGCTTGACTTGATGGCCTTAATGGTTCCCAAATAGCACGACTGTTATTCCAGGGATAAATGCAAGATGGACAACCGCGATCGACCCCCCTGACCTGCAGCAGACTTCTCAGGTTAGTGCTGATGACATGGACATGGGCTCGATACGACCAGCTTGTAGCAGCTGAAAATGGCACATGTAAGGGTCTTTGCTTGTTCCAAGGAAAGACCGTATCGTCACTGCATGAAGATGCCGAACACCGCGGCATTGGGTCTGACCACGATTGGATTTGTTGCTTTTCAGCTGAAAAGGAATGAACCCGAACACTGGAAATACCCAGGGGGCCGGCTACGGCGGGTGCGGGAGATCCACCATCGTATCCGGGCCACGGGCAGACGGGTACTTTCTAAATCACCCCACCAGATCGTACGCCCATGAGAGTACCGTAGTTACACTAATCTTGCAGTAGTCATCTCCCGCCCCGGTCTATTGCTTTAGATATCTTGACCGCGGGCTCGAAAGACATTGCTTTACTCGACACTGCATAGTCCTGTGCCGGGCTGCGGCTGTGGCTGACCCAAACTTCCGAACCACCGAAAGAGACCTGCTTTAGCGCATTGGTCTAGCCCCCACAATAGATTACCGCTGACCCGATTTAGGCCAGGGGCTGTAATACCACAATATGTAGCAATTGGATTTACGTAGACCATACATGCGTATGATATGTGCGTCGAGAGTTCCGCACAATAGCAGAGCAATACGTGTCAGTGGAAATGGAAGTAATCATGTGTGAATTTCTGCATGTCTGCATGCCCAAATGTTCATGGACGGTAAGCTGACTATGCGCCACAGTCTGTTCTTATTAATGCAGGGCTGCGGCCCTGCATCACTTTTTGTCTCTCTTAAATGTGCCGCGTACTCGAGTAATCGGTTCGATCCGTCGGCAATCAACAACTTCAATTCCGCCCGAAGACGCAGTGGGGGATATAACTGATCTGATCGACGACAGGGATATTCGCAGATGACCAACTGCAAGATGAAGCCAGCCGTGTTGCCCAGATTACGTTGGTTTCCAACAATCTCGAACGCCACTTCCTCGTCAAGACGAACAGGCGCGCGCGGGCACATTATGGAGGTCAACTACACTCGTTGCATACATTTCATTAGTTGAAGTGGAAAGTGACGTATCACATGAATTTTCTTCTGGACGAGCCAGCCAACTTATGGGGTGTCTTGTCGCAAAACAATGAAAATGATAATGGAGGTCACCACCTTGGTAGTCTTAGCCTGGGACGAACATGGTCACCCCGGAACAATAGTTCGCCAAAAAGGACTCACAACAGGGGGCCCGAACAATCTATTATTCCTCGACTACGCACCTCCCCCACACGGTCTGCCGTGCAACTCGTTAGCTCCTTTTGACGGGAAGCTGAGAAATCTAGTACGACACCGATATAGCCAAGTTCGGCTTTGTCACATCACCTATCCCAGAACATGCGAGTCGATGTCTAGTGACTTGATCTCCACCCCGCTGAGCCATATGAATCGATAACCAGCTATTCTGAGATGTAGATTGGATGAGTCTGTGTCAGCTTGTGGAAGCCTATTCCGAAGCTACCTCACTAGGCTGGTGATGACCTTTGACGCCATGGTCGAATCGGAAGAAACCCAGAGTATTTCTCAAGAGGTACATCATCACGAAGAAGATTATGATTCACTCCTCGAGTCAAGAGGACTTACTCTCATAGAGACTGTGCGTCTGACTTGGATGTCTGGGCCTCGAGAAATAGCTTGGTGTGTCCTTCGTCTCATCCTCGATAAACTGGCACAGATCTAGTACGATGTAGGGATAGATCTGGGTAGGGTAACACATAGCTCATGATGTTGTCACAAATCGGCTGAACACATGCCTATCCATGTCTTTGATCTGTAGGTTCAAGGTTCTATGCATAAATTCCAGCTATCTGGTTCGTAGTTGCTTTCGTGGTTGTGGGGCTGCAATCGACTGGACTAGTGATAATGTATATCCTACCTAGTACAGACCAACCTGTCAGATGGTCTGCTGTCTTTGACCATGTCACCAATACTTGGCGGTAGGTCGGGCGGAATTATTTCATGCAAGTACGGTTCATCCCATCCATTCAACTCAAACCATCTCCCAAGACTCACCTTGTATTCCCTCGGAAACCCATTAGCATCTATCCGTAACCACTTGGCCATCTTTTGTGCTATCTATCCGCCACCGTATGATGCGATTGGAACGACACGACTGATCTATTACTATGCCGGGACCGATACTACGGAAAGCTTGTGACAGATGTCACGAGCAGAAATTAAGTTGCAAACGAGAGGGGGCGGCAGAGTGCGTAAGATGCTCCAGGGCTGGACATACCTGCACAACCAGTCCCTCCCTACGAAATCGAACCAGGCGCAAGAATGTCTATAAGATACGGGCATCATCGACTCAGCAAGAAAGTATGAAAGCGCTCCGGCCCACGCGATCCGTTCATTGCTTGAGCAGTGAGTCATGATCGTAAATACTGTGAAAAGTCGTTGCTTACAAGGCTCAGCATCTGATAACTATTTGCCTGCTCCTCCGCCAACTAGTATAACTATACCTCAGATACCCAATCCGACCAGCTCGCTTTGTAGCGTGAATTGGAACCTGTCATTGCAGCAAATCATTGGCGGGTTTTCTCAACCAGATATAAGTTGGTGGAACGACATGCAATCGACTGTGCCCGCTGGTGGAGTCACAAAACGGGTTGACATGCAGCTTTTTATGCCAGATGATGTCAACCTCGGATTAGACGCCTTGGATGGATTTTGCCCTGCTCCTTTATTGAACTTGCCTGAAATTTGGCCGCCAACACCGCTTCGTGATTCTCGCACATTTGACGTCGACCCATATAGCTGGTACGATTACATAAGCGGTGGAGGCATTGTCGCCTCGCACAATCAATATATATAATTATTATTATTATTCAAAAGATCTCGGCACTAGGTCGGAGAAGGTATCATAAACGGGGAATATGCTGAAAAAAATACTTATGCCAATCACGATGCGTGGTTCAGTACTCAATATGAACTCACAGCCGATATGACTCGGGCGCCCCCGGCATGCCCTCGAACATGATATGCATCATACTGAGAATATACTGAAGATGGTTCAGACTGATGTCCAGACTGCATTTAAAAGGCCGGAAGAAGGTTTTGTTCGAGTAATTAGGTCGAAATAGAGATTGTCCTGTGACTTCGATCTCGGCACGGTAATAATTTGGGGCGACTTACCAACAGAGGCTGCAGGCTTGCCGGTTTCACGGCCCGAGAGTCATGCAAATGCTCCTGTCACTGGTATCGGAAATGAAAATGACGATTTTCAATGTTCCAGAGGAACAATACAACGTCTCGAGGTGTTCCACCTCTGAGGTAGCGCAGGCGACCTTGCGGTATTGTCTCTCGGCGATGAACCGACGAATCGGAGAGGACGACCAAACTTTCAGTATTAGAGTCTAATGCAATGGCACAGTTTTGGGGCTGAAGTTCGGCGTTGACCAACGAATCAAGGGTGTCCCAGCAAGTTGAGCGTTTGTAAGCTTGCTTGCATGAACAGTGAATATAGCAAAGTAGCTCTCAATATAGATATGTATATATGTATATATATTCCGTCACACGGCATAGCCAATCCTCAATCCGGGTCTCACAAAGCATAACTCGAGAACAACTTACTGTACATACTCATCTCTTTTCTTTCACATCATTGGTCACTAAGCTCTCCCATTGTGTTTGGTAGCGCCGTTTTCTTACAGCCACTCATCGCCATTATCGAGGTGTTGGCACAACATGTATAAAGAACCATCATCAGAGCCTATAGCTATTGTAGGAAGCAGCTGTCGCTTCGCCGGAGAAGCAGTCTCTCCGTCCGCGCTATGGCAGGTTCTTGCCAATCCTCCTGATCTCTCAAAACAAGTACCACCGAATAGGTTTAACGCACACGCATTCTACCACGAGGATGGAGAGAACCATGGCACAACGAATTCAATCAAGGCTTATTGGCTCGAGCAGGACCACCGAGTCTTTGATGCCAGCTTCTTCAACATTACGCCCAAAGAGGCGGAGGCCATTGATCCCCAACAACGACTCCTACTTGAAGTAGTATATGAGGCAATGGAGTCTGCTGGATACACCTTACACCAATACTCTGGAAAAGATGTGGGAGTTTTTGCAGGCGTTATGACCGCCGATTACGATACGCTGTCCCAGAGAGACGAACTTTCGGCCAGTCAGTACTATGCAACCGGAAACGCACGATCGATTATATCGAACCGAGTGTCTTACTTTTTCAACTTTCGTGGACCTTCGATGACCATTGACACTGCATGTAGTTCCTCCTTGGTCGCACTCCATCAGGCTGTGCTCAGTCTGCGATCAGGCGAAATAACTTTGGCATGTGTCGCCGGTGTCAATCTTATGATTACCCCTGAACAATTTATCGTGGAATCAAGCCTCCATATGCTGAGTCCCTCTGGAAAGAGCAGGATGTGGGACCAGAGTGCCGACGGATACGCACGGGGCGAAGGAGTTGCCGCGCTTTTCTTGAAACCTCTTTCCCTGGCCTTACATGATGGTGACGAGATCCTTGGTCTCGTCCGGCAGACTGGGGTAAACTCGGATGGCAGAACGCCTGGCATCACAATGCCCAACCCCGATGCACAAGCATCGCTCATCAAAAGCACTTACCGTACATCAGGATTAGATCCTCAATTACCCGAGGATCGATGTCAATACTTTGAGGCTCATGGCACTGGAACACAAGCGGGTGACCCTAGGGAGGCACAGGCGATCCAGGAGGCCTTCTTCGGGGAACACAGCACGAACAAGCACCACACAAAGCTCCTGGTTGGATCAGTCAAGACAGTCATTGGCCACACTGAAGGAGCCGCTGGATTGGCCGGCGTTCTCAAGGTTTTGCAAGGTATGAAACATAACAAAGTGCCGCCAAATCTCCATTTAGAGACTCTAAACTCATCTGTTCGACCATTTTATGCGGAGTTGGAGATCCCTACAGTTCTTACGCCTTGGCCCAAACCACTTGAAGACCAACCGAAGAGAGCCAGTGTGAACTCATTCGGATTCGGTGGGACAAATTCTCATGCAATCATTGAAGCTTATGATGCAAGGATTCACGACACCGTTGCCAGGAGATTCACAGCCTTTACTAGGAGGCGAACTCTCCACGATTTAGATCTTGACCACGAACTTTCCTTGGGTATGTCGCCGACTACACTTCCGCTATTGATATCGGCATCATCACACAAGTCCCTACGAGCCGTCGTCAGTACTTGGAAAGACTACCTCGTACACAACCGTGATACCTCAATCCAACAGCTCGCCTGGAATTTATTCCGGTACCGCACTGCCCTTCCTTACCGACTTTCCATCTCGTCATCTTCTGTCGACCAGGCGATCGAGCAGCTGGAGTTCATGATCAGCCAGGGTTCAGATAATGCCGAGTTGGGGACCAGGTCTCATGCCGCCAAGCGGCCACACATACTGGGCATCTTTACCGGCCAAGGTGCTCAGTGGCCGGCCATGTCACGCTTGCTTCTACTATCGAACGGAAGATATCGTCAGACTATCCAGGAGCTGGACCAGGTCCTGCAACAGTGTCCAGATCCTCCGTCTTGGAGCCTTGAGCAGCAGATTATGGCGGAGTCAAGCCAATCTCGGCTCCAGGAAGCTGCAGTGGCACAACCGCTCTCAACAGCACTCCAAATTGGCCTAGTAGACCTACTCAAGAGTCTTGGCATTAGATTCCAGGCAGTTATCGGCCACTCTTCCGGTGAGATTGCAGCCGCATACGCTGCAGAGAGGCTGTCGGCTAGGGATGCTATGCTGATCTCGTACTATCGAGGACTATACGCGCACCTTGCGGGTGGGCCAAATGGAGAGAAAGGTGCCATGATAGCCGCTGGCATGTCGGAAAGTGAGGCCTTGGTTTTCTGCCGCGACCCGTTATTCGAAGGCAAGATCTGTGTAGCGGCCAGCAACGCCCCTTCAAGTGTTACTCTCTCGGGAAATATGGAGACAATCAATCTGGCAAGGGATAAATTGACCGCACAGGACCGCTTTGCCCGCCTACTGTTGGTGGACACGGCATACCATTCACCTCATATGTCGCGGTCTGCACTCGCATATACTAAGGCACTGAAAAAATGTAACATTTCACCTATGGTTGGAACTGCTCAAATACACTGGATATCAAGTGTAAATGGCTACAAGGAAGACACTGAACGTGACATTGAATCTGCTTACTGGTCAGACAATATGGTTCGTTCCGTCCAATTCTTTGATGCAGTCAAGGTGGCCCTTAAGACATTCGGTCCGTTCGACTGTGCGGTTGAAGTTGGGCCCCACCCGGCTCTCAAAGGACCAGTCGCTCAGATTTCTAAGGCCATGATCGGAGCTCCAATCTCTCATTACGGATTGCTGGAACGAGCAAAAGACGACAGCCTTGCTTTCTCGGAGTTTTTGGGGCAGATCTGGTGCCAATATGGTCATGCAGCTATAGATATCAAGCAGTACGTGAGGCAATCATCTGATCCCTCTCTTGTGGATACTCGGCTCCACGATATGCCATTCTACCACTGGGACCATTCGCAGACTCACTATAGAGAATCGCGCATCTCTCGCCAGTTCCATTTCAAGACCGCCGCTCCTCACGAACTCCTCGGGGCAAGGACACGTGACGATAACGAGTATGAACTACGATGGCGGAACATCTTGCGACCGGAAAAATTGCCATGGCTTGAAGGCCACAGCTTCCAAGGGCAAGCTTTGGTACCTGCTTCTGCGTACTGTGTTATGGCCCTGGATGCCGCCATTCAGTTTTTGGATGGCCGAGCGGCTTCAATCATCGAAATTCAAGACCTGGATATCATGAGTGGCATCAGCATGGAGCCTGATTCTTTCGGCACCGAAGTGCTTTTTTCCTTAAGTGTCCTAGATCAAACTAAAGAGAAAGCGGCACATAGAGTAATCATGGCTTCGTTTAGCCTGACCTCATGCACAGCGGATGGCCAATCTCCCATGAGGAAGAATGCGTCGGGGAGGCTTTCGATCATACTTGACAAGTCCACTCCAGATGCACTACCCTCTAGACAAGCATCTCTTGCTGAAACACTTTCCGCCAGTACTGAGGGTTTCTACAACATGATGGATGAAACCGGCTTAGTCTATACTGGTCCGTTCAGAGCGCTCCAATCGATCCAGCGGCGTTGTAACTTTGCATCAACGACGTTGAGAAGAAGGCATCCTGAAGACACCACCCAGCTTTCTGTCAGCCCCGCTACACTGGACAGCTGTCTTCAGTCGGCTTTCTTGACCTGGTCTTCTCCTGGTGACAAGTCGCTCTGGACATCTTTCCTGCCCAGCCACATTTCACGGATTCAGTTCAACGTCGCTCATTGCTCCAAGCGCGCAGTGCCCGATGAGCAGGGCACGCTACGAGTGGATAGCCACCTGACCAATGTGCGCGGTAGTGGTCCTGACTCAAAGGCCATGTTCACGGTGGACATCTGTATATATAACGAGAAAAATGAAATGGAGATCGAGATCGAAGGTCTCACGGTCGCAGCTATTGCCCATACTCGACCTGAAGACGACCATGAGCTGTATCTACACACCGTAATGGATGTCGACCCAACAGACGAAATTGTCTCGCCAGATTTGATGGACACTGAGAGACATCTACCAGAACTGGTGGAAACATGCGAGAGGATCAAGTCTTTCTACACAGACTCCAGGATCGCATTTCCAAATGACACGTCTGAGTTCATTGACCACCTCGTGGGAAATTCACCGTTTCGTGAGTCGCTCAAGTTGTTGCAAGACATGGGCCACCTTCTGCCGGCGCTTCTTCCATGTATCCTACCAGGTATCATCAAAGAAGTTAGGGAGCAACTACAACTCGGCCGGCATATTCAAAGAGTTACCGAGCAGATAGCCCACAAATATCCAAGAATGTCCGTATTGACCATGATGGACTCAAAGACGAATGTCACAGACCGTGTACTCCAGGGCCTCGGTAACTCATTCATGTACCTTACTATGGCCACCGTCGGGACTGATGGCGAACCTCGCGATAATGTGCGCTCAGAAATTAACGGCAAGGTTCACTACAGACACCTCCAGCTAGATCAGGACATTGTAAGCCAGCTCGACTCAGCGGGCCGTGCAGATCTTGTTGTTGTCGCCTCGTCAATATTCCAGGCTGCGGATCCCAACGTCGTGCTGAAGAACATCAGGACTTGCATGAACGATGGAGGTTTTCTGATGTTCGTTCATGCAACTGAGAGCCGCATGAAGAAAGCTTTGGATCTTGTGCTCCGGCCATCGCAGACAGAGCAAAACCAGTTCCACCCAGAAGCCGAGCAGAAGCTAATGGAATCATGTGGGTTTGTAGATTTCGTACGAAACGCAGACCAGAGTTTTGGACAAGGATTCTCCATCAGCGTACGCCAAGCGGGTGCTCCATTTGTCAATGCTATTGCAAAGCCGCTTGCCTGGCCAGCAACACATGCAAAAGAGAACGTCCTCATCATCGGGACTAAAGGTGACAGAAGCTCTCAGCTTGCTCTTAGTTTGCAGCGCCGCTTGTCAGCGCTTTATGTTGCAGTCGAGCTGGTGGCGTCTATCGAAAACATTCATCTGGAAACACTGCCAAAATACAGCTCGGCAATTGTTCTTGAAGACTTGGAGTTCCCAGTCGTGTCAAGTATGACCGAGAGGAAGCTCTCTAACCTCAAAGAGCTGTTCCGTCCCGACATGACGATCCTGTGGCTGACCCATAACGCACGATTCGACAATCCAGAGCACGCCGCCACGCTCGGATTCAAGCGCACGGTGTCTGCTGAAGTCCCCAACTTCAACTTGCAGGTCTTAGACCTGGATGATCTCGAGAGCCCGGACTCGCTTGTCGTAGAGACCCATATACGGCTCACGGCAGCAGGACCACCAGCCAATGAAAGCCTGTGGGTCCGTGAGCCCGAGATATACATGGATAATGGCAGACGACTGGTGAATCGAGTGTTGCCACTAAAAGACCTGAACGAAAGAGCCAACGCCCTGCGCCGCGTTGTAACAAAGCCCGTCAATACCATCAACCAGAACACACAGCTCGTCTCGTTTAAACATGAAGATGGTGGTGTAGTGCGCAGAGTTGTAGCCTCTGATTGGGCTCCGCACCCGACGGCCATTGCTGGTACAAGATCGCTACGTATATTTCAGAGTACATTGGAAGCCGTGAAGCTGGGACATGGCTGCTTCGCTCACGTGTGCCTGGGAGAGGATCTGCTGACGGGCGAAAAGAAGGTGGCCCTGTCTACTATGAACGCTTCCTATGTCGAGGTTTCCTCTCCGTTGGCTCGGAGACTGCCCAACACCGGCTTGACCGGGCCACAGTTCATCCACTCTCTCACACAGTATCTCGTTGTTCTGTCAGCATTAAGACAGGAATCAGGTATTAAAAAGGATCATGTGGTATTTATCGATGCAGAACCACTCCTTGTCGAATGCGCTAAAATCGTGGCGAAGAGCGAAAGGGTGCAGTTCAGCGATTGGACTACTGATTTGTTCAAGCGCGCAGGCACCCTTGAGTGCATTCAAATCCATTCCAGGTCATCTGAGAGACAATTGAAGGCCTTGATGCCTCCTAATGGAGCGACGATCTACGATTTCTCGTTGGATCGCGATCTCCATCGACGAGTGGCCAAGGTGCTCCCCAAAAACTGCAAATACCACCGTGGCTCTTCGCTATTGTCGTCGTACCGCAGTGACCAGACTACCAACTCAAGCCTGACCCCTGAAGCAAGCTCTACTCTTAGTCTCGGATTAGAACTGGCAGCGCAAACAGCTGGCTCTTCATTTCAGGCATCAGCCGAAATCATCTCAATTGACGATGCAGTGACCGATGCCCCCTCGCGCACACCATTCACCAACATCATCGACTGGACCATATTGCGCCGCTCCTCTTCTGTCGTTCAGCCGCTCGTGTCACAACAGCTCTTCTCACCACACAAAACCTACATCCTGATCGGCCTAACCCGTGACTTCGGCCAGTCGCTCTCCCGTCTATTCCTCTTACACGGCGCCCGCCATATCGTGCTGGCTAGCAGAAACCCGGACATGTCGCCCGCCTGGGTTACCGAGCTGCGGCAATCATACGGTGCCCAAATCGGCATTGAGAGACTCAATGTGACCGATTTGCCCTCGGTTCACGCATTCAGATCGCTTCTCTCCACCTCTATGCCGCCAGTAGGTGGAATCATCAACGGCGCCATGGTGCTGGACGACCGAGTCTTCAGCCAGATGACGGTCGAGACATGGAATCGGGTGCTACTTCCGAAGACGGTCGGGTCTAAGAACCTCGACGTGGTCTTTTCAGACCCCAAATCCGAGCCTCTAGACTTCTTCATCATGACGTCCAGTTTCGCGGCCCTCGGAGGACACCCAGGCCAATCCAACTACGCCGCGGCCAATATGTACATGAACGGGTTGGCGGCAAACCGGCGCAAGCGTGGCCTGACGGGCTCCGTCCTCAACATCGGCGTGATCTACGGGCTCGGTTTACTGCAGCGAGAGAAGGAAGAGCTGTACGTCGGCCTGGAGAGGGAAGGGTACCCGCCGATTTCTGAGCGGGACATCCACCACATGTTTCTCGAGGCCATCGTTGCGGGCCGACCTTCCGGAGAGGAGCCCTTCGACATAACGACGGGGCTCAGACGGTTCAGGTGGGGAAGTGAGAATCCTCTGCACTGGCACCTGGATCCGCGGTTCAGTCACTTTACTGTCGATGAAGGCGACTCCGAGGCAGAGGCGGGAACCGGGGCCCAGAGAAGTTTGGCGGACGAGTTGTCTTCAATCAAGGATGTCGAGCTCATGGCAGATCGACTCGTTGCCTCCTTCTCTGGTCACCTGCAGGTCATGCTACAGCTCTATGAAGGCTCGGTTAACCGCCATAGTAGTCTATCTGAAATCGGCATTGATTCGCTGGTCGCTGTGGATATACGCAACTGGATCTGGAAGACACTCGGCCGAGATGTGGCTGTCATGAAGATTTTAGGTGCAACCAGTATACACAGATGTAAGTGTTGACGAACCGTCGCTTGAGTGTAATTCAAGCTTGTATTAATTGGTCTCTAGTTTGTTTGGATATCGTGGAGCAGATATACGCTGAGAATAATGCGGCGGACGATTCTTCTGCTGCTGACACTCCTTTAACATCACGAACACCGTCAGAAACAAGTGGGCCTTCTTCATCCGGAATCAGCACAGCTCTAGCTGAGAAGCCGTCCTCGCTACCGAGCCTCCAGAGAAGTTATGAGGAAGTTTGAGGTTTTCCATGTTTCAGTTGTCTTATAAGAGTTGATCATAGGAGTTGATAAGGTTTTCCTTCTTGTTGGACTTTCAATCATTCATCGTGTTCACTATATTTCACTGTTATGGTCAAGTTGGAGTTAAATTTGACATTGATCTGTAAATATCAGGGTATAGAGGGCTGTGTATACATGGATAAATACAAACTCTCGAGAGCGTTCATGATTGCTGGTCGTTCAGTCTCGGCCAAAGATGGCGGCGAAAACACCAAGGGTCAAGGCATCCGTCAAGAGTGATGTTTGGAGGCCGAGTTAGTCGACAACTCATCCACCTCGATTCACGCCTTCTCCAGTCTGTTGGCGACAGTCTTCCAGTTGATGACGTTCCAGATAGCATCGAAATACTCGGCCTTGCGGTTCTGGTATTGGAGGTAATAGGCGTGCTCCCAGGCATCGATACCGAGCAGAGGAACGTAGTTACCGGTGACGGGGTCCTGGTTGGCCCGGGTGATGACTTGGAGAGTGCCTGCGCTCTTGTCCTTGACCAGCCAAGCCCAGCCACTACCCTGAATGCCTGCCAATGATGTGTTGATCTGCTTCTTCAGAGTCTCGAAGTTGCCGAAGTCTTCGTCAATCTCCTTCCTCAGAGCACCTTCGGGCTCACCGCCACCGTCCTTGTTGGCGGGCGCAAGATTCTCCCAGAAGAGAGAGTGGTTGACATGGCCACCACCGTGGAAGTTGAGGAGAGGTGCGGCAGCGGCGGCAGCAGCGTCGTTGCCGCTGGACTTGGCATTTTCGATGGTCTCGAGGGCGCTATTCAGACCGTTGACGTACGTCTGGTGGTGGTTCTTGTGGTGTAGCTCCATGATCTTGCCGCTGATGTAGGGCTCAAGGGCGCCATAGTCGTCTAACAAGGGGCTTGGTTAGTTATCGACAACTGAAGTCGACCATTTGTCACCCGAATTCTGCAACGAAAGAATAGACGGGGGACGTGATAGCTTAGCTTCGCTTACAGGAAAGATCAGGAAGTGTAGCCTTGCCACGAACAAAGGTGATGCCTCCGATGGCACTGGCAGGGCGAGAGCCACGAGCGACCTGGCTGGCAGCCCGTAGAGCAGTAGACGGCAGACGAATTGGCATGGTGATGGTCTAGTGTTGTTCGAGATTGGATTGGTGGACTTTTTTTTTTGGAGTGTTGTGGACTGGCAATGTGGTGAAAATGTTGGTTTGGTATCAATTGATTACAAGAATCGAGAAGTAGGGACTCACGGAATCCAGAAGTGCGGCGGAAGCACCGTATGTGTTCTGTGTATGTTTAATCCTCTCAATGGGGGGGTGGAAGAAGAGGAGATGATGTCAATTAAGCTGTCAGTCACATCAGGTGCAATACAGTACGAATGGTGCTATGCCAAGTAAGGCCCGAAGCTCTGGGGAAAGCTGCCATTGTCACTGCTACAACATGATGAACAAAAAGCCGGACAGAACGGAGCTCTCAAGTTTCAGTGGGGCCTCTGTCAGCGTTTCGTCATTGGAGACGGCAGCTAGGTTATTTTAGTCCAGTACGGATTACACATCAGTACACATTCCGGGAGTACTGCAATGCTAGCTTGCAGCTTGCTCCCGCGCAAAGTTGTTATTGCAGGTGTTAGTCTGCCTTATCAATCAACTCGCCATATTCGGCCTTTTTCGCCATGGCGAGCTGCACTCACTAAGTCTAAGGTAAGTTTACTTGATGAAGTGTCCGCGCCATATATACAAAGGTTATGGCGGCAAGCAGATTCTCTGTGGAACCATGCCAATCAAGTTTGGAATCATCTCGTCTTCCTCGGCGGACTTTTGGTGGACTGCTCTGCTCTGCAAACCGCTAAAAAAACAAGTCAAGAGGAATATTTAGAACGGAATCATATAGCAACATGGCGTGCCTGTCTAGCTTTCATCTTCACAAAGACCTCGGCATTGATTTTCAGGCTCAATTGCCGCAGCTGCCAACATGGAAGCTCCCCACCGTCGTGTCACCAAACGTCCAAGCTCCAGGGCGCTCATACTATGTATGTATGTGTGTATGTGTGTATTAGCCACGGCCGCCGTACCATAGGGCTACAGTATGTGCCCGACCCGCTAACCTAGGCTAGACGTACGGCAAGGACCGAGAATTAAGCACGAGTACGGAGTAGCGCGTCGTAGCACCCCGCCAAACGCGCACACGGTAGGTATAACTACACTGTACGGATTATTGGCCGACAAGCCACCAACCTTGGGCAGGTCACAGCACATACAGTAGGTCAGTGATAAGTGCTTCCATAGCAGCTGGAGGAGTCACGCTTGAGGGGCCCCCCTTCCCTCCCCCATCGCGTATTTCACCCCACCATGGGATTGTTCATGGCGACAAACCTTTCTTGAGTCTTGCGCTTGAATTTGCGGCAACGAGACAACTGACCAATATGTCTTACTACGATTTAGACGCAATCCTCACGGACGCCGAAGCAAGTTCTCCCTCTTCCATGCATCTCGCAGCTTGGCGGAAAACTACTGACCCGCTTCATTCAGAAAGTCCCCTGCAAGTTCGAAATCGACGTGCCAGGCCTTGGCTATCTCGACAATAATCCTTCGCAGCCTCTCAAGGCAAACACGACCGTGTCTCTACCGCTATGGCTAGCCGAGCTCCTGGCACTGGCCAACCGGTCTGCCAACTCTCAAGACTCATCACCTTTCCTCACTCTCTCGATGCCTACCACGCTTTCGAACGAAGTCACATCCGCGCTCAAGGCCGATCCACGCGCCGTTCCTCTGCGCGACCAGTCGCACAACTTTTACGCATTGGCGACGCGAATGCTCGATCTGTTTGAGGAACCGGAGGTGGCTGCAGTGTTACGGAGGACATTCGTCACAAGAGCAGGAGAGACAGCGTTGCACGCGAGGAAAGTTGGCGCAAGCGACGACTACAAAGTAGCAGGGGGGGAAGAGTTCATGCGTGGCCTCGAGGCATGGGAGCGCGCCCTGTTCTTGCGAGCACATGATGGCGCAAGAGACTCAAAGAAATGGATGGAAGGCGTCAAGAGGTGAGCGCTTTGAGCATGACGATCCGGCCAGGAATGTCTCAGGTCTGGCCCACAGCTATCATGCCATACCCGGATGGGTGTCCCGTGCTGCTTCTTCAGGGTTGGACAAGATGACGGATCCAACAAGAAGTTTTGGCAGCTGTGTAAGACCTCTGGCACGGTTCCAGCGGAGGTTGAGGAACGATGTCATGGTCAGCTTCGTGTGAACTATCCAGAAAAGACATCAAGCCCACGCTCTAGATACCCATGGATACCCATGGATAGGAGACAGTGGAGCTGAGGACATACCAATTTGGGCCAGTCTGCACGTCACGAGATGAGAAATGAATATCAATAATTATGTACGTATCTCGCAAATCCCGGGTGCCAGCTGCAGTAATAGTTGTGAACGTGCAGTCTAGTATGCAGAATGAGCTTACAGGGTTACTGTTATCGGAAATTCACGTACTTGACTGATGAAGCAGAACCAGGCTTATCACCACAATCACATGGCTCTTCAATTGTATGCCTGCTTACAGCGATGGAGTACAAGGAGTGGTCGATATATTGCTGGATCGCGCCGTGACGAACGGCAGGTAAAGTAGGTACAGTGTGTGCTGTCGGAGATCTGGAACTATACGCACTGTATTTACAGCTCACTGATTGCCTAACGTCAGGTGTGTACTTGGCGCTTAATGTTGATCGCGATAAGATTAAGATAATGATATTGTTTGTATGTATATATTTATGTGACGATTTTCGGGAGCAAGTTGTAGTGTAACGCGACGTCAAGTAAGTTAGGCCGTGCTAGTTGGCATTCACGATTCGGAGTGCGACTTCGACTTTCGACCCTGCAAGCTCCCACTGCGCAAATCCACTGCTGCAACAACCTTTTGTGTTGCCTCCTTACTCGTCGCTTTTCCTACCTCTACTTTTTCCTACCTCTACTTTTTCCTAGATTCAGCATCTCGCGCAAGTCACCCTCATTACGCCGGTTGCCATGTCTTTCGACCCCGGCAACATCTCGAAAGCCGATGCAGCTGCCTATTCTTCCTCTGATTCAGACATCGACGACGACCGCCTGGACGCACCCTCCGCCGACCCCCGGTCCGATTATCTTGATGATTTCAAGCCACGCAAACGTCGCAGGGTTGGAGGTAATGCCAAGGAGAGCGCTGCTTTGGGCATTTTCGGCTCCGACAGCGAGGGCGAAGGATCAAGTCGCGGGCGGAACGGCAAAAAGAATTTGAGATTTCAGAACATGAGTTTTGTTTCTGCTGGTCGCCAGAAGCCTGATGCCGAGGAAGAGGATGACGAAGACGAGGATCAAGACCTGGTCGAAGATCTCGAGTACGCCGAGCCTGCTCGGTTTGGTCTGGGAAGCAAAGCTACCGCTGCTCCCGGCGAACAAGGATATAACGACGACGACGACGACGACGACTATGATGATGATGAAACAACTACAGCTGGTATTGGGCTCGGTTTCAAATCTGCTGCCGGAGGACTAGGCTGGGGAACACCGACACAGACGAGAGCCCCCATGTCCTTCACAAAAAGTAGCGACACACAGTCTCAATCAGCAGTTAATTCATACAATGCGAGCGCACCCTTAGGGAGTGGCTTTGTGCCCTCTTCTGCAAGGGAGCCCATGCTCAAGCCCGAGTTTCGCGATGCACCAAACACACCAAAGCAGGCACCGAAACCGAGCGTCTTTAGCAAAGGGGCTGGTGGAGGCGGCGCAAAGATGAGCTTCGCCCAAAGAATGATGGAAAAGATGGGCTACAAGGAGGGACAAGGTCTAGGTGCTGAAGGGCAGGGCAGAGATGTCATCATCGAGGCTGTTTTACGACCTCAAGGTGTCGGTTTGGGTGCCGTCAAGGAGAAGTCAAAGCAAGAACGAGATTTGGAAAGGCGACAGGCACGAGAACGCGGAGAAGAAGTGATCGACTCGGACGACGAGGAGAGGAAGAAAAAGAAGCTGCGCGAGAGGAGGAAAAAGGGCCTCGAAAGTGGTTCGGCGAGTGGTAGTAGCACACCCAAGCGACCAAAAACCAGGTACCTCACCGTCAACGACATCAAGAAGGCTGCTCCTGGATTACATATACCTGACGCATTTGCTCCTATCCTGGACATGACCGGGCCAGGGAAGAAACTGCTCACACCCGGATCTGGCCTCATGACACCGAACGCCGGCACTGGTACAGAAGTCGCTGAAATCACCGAAGCACGAAAGCTGGCTGGCCGAGCTCAACGCGATCTCAGTGCGTTCGTTGACGAATGGAAAACACTGGAAGAGAGGAAAGCCTGGCTGGACATGGAGGGCTACCAACGTCAACAAGAACTGGATGAGTTCCAAGGTGACTTTGAGAAGATGCAAATTGTGGCTTCGACTCTGGACGAAATCTCCCGGGCAGCAACACAAAGAGAGTGGGATCCCGTCATTGTTGGCCTGAGACGAATTGAAGCATCTGGAGCCATCGATGAGGACCTGTCAGCTGTAGCAGTCGGCGCAATCCATCCATTCTTGCGAGATGCGGTACAGGGGTGGCAACCCCTCGAAGATGCCAAGCTAGGCAACTTTGCTGACGACCTGACTTCTGTTCAAGGAGTTTTGTGTTTGAAGAGCACGAAGGCGTCAACTAACGCTGTTACGAAATGGGATCAGGACCTGGACAGTACACATCGGCAACACCAAAAATCAACTACACCGTACGAAAGCATGGTGTACAAGGTTCTATTTCCGAAGTTGGTCACAACGATTGCACAACAGTGGGACGTGCATGATCCCACACGTCTATTAAGCGTATTCGACAGATGGGAACCTCTCTTTCCCAGTTTTGTTCGTGCGCAGCTTATTGAACAACTGGTCCGACGACTTGACGAAGCCATCAGTAGTTGGAAGCCGAAGAGCAAACAAAGGCACAACCTGCCACATGCTTGGCTATTCCCGTGGCTACAGCACCTCCCACCTTATCATCTAGAGCCTCGAGGAACTGGCATTGTCGCTGACGTCCGTCGAAAGTTCCAGAAGCTCATTCGAGACTGGCAATTTGATCGTGGAGTTATACCAGGGTTATCACAATGGAAAGATGTTTTCCGGCCATCGAAATCACAAGACCAATGGAAGCCTCTTGTTATGCACCACATCCTGCCCAGTATGGCCAAGTATCTTCGTGTCAACTTCCGGGTTGATCCAGCGGATCAGGAGCCCTATCTACCCATGCTCAACGGAGTGCTAAAATGGAGCGACATCTTGGCTCCTTCAATGATCGCCGAGGTCATCGTTGCTGAGGTTTTTCCCATGTGGCAAGATGTCCTTCACCAATGGCTTACAAGTGATGACGCCAACTACGAAGAGATTGGTGCATGGTTTGAGTGGTGGCAAGAGACAGCACTTGCGGAACTTTCTGGTTCGGAAAGCGTGGCTGCCGAGTTCAAACGCGGAACGGAAATGATCTCAAAAGCGTTGGATCTTGGTGATGCAGCCAAGCAGCTCCCCAAGCCCGACGGTCAGCCTGCTCATCGACCAAAACCACGCTCCACGCAATCTATTGGTGTGCCTGTGGTTCCCATCGCCAGTCCTGTAACTGACTTTGTTGAGAAGTCATTTCGCGAAGAGGTCGAGGATTGGTGCAACGAGAACGATCTTCGATTTATTCCTACTCATAAGACTACAAGCTTTGGTCAGAAGTACTACCGTCTTACTGCCCGTATGGATGGCAAGGGAGGCGTCCTGGCCTTTTTCGAGAAGGGTGCAGATATCTTGGTTGCTGAAGGTCGAAAACAGGTGTTTGAGCTCAAGCGAGACCAGAAGGATGATCAGAACCAGGTTACTGAATGGTTCATGCTACTTGCTCATCTTGAAAACGAGAATAGATAAATATCAGGTGGTCTAGCCTAATGGAAATACTACCATGGCGATTCTACCGCTATCGCATATAGCATAGCATTTACCCACATTCGATCACGGAACTTCAACAATCTATAATTCATTAATTGAAATCAAGTCGAGAGAGATATCCACACTATAGTGTGTTTGCCTCGATTACGTTTGGGTCAATCCCGGCAAGGACTACAAAACTGACACGGGGATGCGAGAATTTGCAAGACCTTTGGGGCACAGGATTAACCTGAACATCATTGCAGTTCTTTGGCTATTTTCTCGCAATCATCTCTTCATCAGACGCGAGACGCACTTGGATTATTAGCACCAAGGCAGGTCTGCCTCGCGCGAAGTCGGGACTTGATCGTCTCCTGCCAAGCTTGCGACTATATAGCACACAAACAGAGACATGATTCAGATTGCGAATCTGGAACAATCCGGACCTTTGGGTTGGCGGTTCCCTCGAGATGAGCACGCGGGGGACATGCTTAACAGCGCTGTGCGACGTGAGACAACACGATTTGCCGCGGTTTATGCCAATATATTCCTGTCAATATACAATTCATCAAGGGACATGTTGATCATACAAATAAGCCACATGTTACATCCCTGGGCACTATAGGCATTGTAGGGTTGTGTGTGTGCGTGCTTGCAATGAGTTCCGCCGGAAAGGCCAATATGGTATGGTGTACGTGGTTTCATTCCGCTTGGTAAGCGTTTATAAGAGCCAATCAACTTCCAGCCAACTACCAGTCAATGCCACACCTCTGCCCAGGCCAGCAACCGAATTAATCTGCCGCTGGGAATATAGACTCGACCTAGCAATCCACTAGCTCCCTCATGCCACCCCATCCCCAGGATCCGAGAAACCAATAGCCCGTCGCTAGTTATTGATTTGGTTTGGTATACCTTATTCCGATTCCGAATGCAGGGAGTAGGTCCTTTTTACCTGAAAGGTGATAGTCGAAGTTGGGGGTTGGTCACCCCCGTGATTAGATCTCCTTCTGCGGGGAAGCCTGAGGGTGGGATAAGATGTCTCGGGTGTGCCCTTGCAGATGAGACGATAATGGTAGGTATGCGAAACAACTGGTTTAGTTCTAAGGGAAGCAATAAATATATACATATACAGCTTCCTGCGGTTAATACCAGATATTTTCTTCGGGGAGAATCCATATATTCGGACCAAGTGGCTGGCTTATTTGTTGAAAACTTAGGGGACGTCTACCAACATGTCTATACAGCCGACCAAAGACGACTTGGACAGCCCAGGCGTGGCAGCCCAGCACTTGGAACTGCCGAGAAACATCGATAAAAAGGTCGTCGAGGGTGTGCTCCTTGATCCCCAAGCTGAAAAGAAATTGGTCTGGAAGTGCGATCTCCATGTGTTACCTCCCATCACGGTATTATTCTTCCTGTCGTTCATGGACAGGACCAATATCGGTGTGTATTATATCCCTGTGCTTTGGTTCATATTAGCAACTTTCTTACAAGACCAGGAAATGCGAGAATTCAAGGCATGACGGCAGACTTGCACATGACCGGCCATGATTACAACGTGGCCCTGTTCATCTTCTTTGTGCCCGTGAGTCGCTCTCCCACCAGTAGCCCTACCCATCGCTTATGCGTCTTCATCTTGACTGTGTTTCACCGGCGCCTTGCTCCTGTGTTGTGACTGAGTCTATCTAGTATGTCTTATTTGAGATTCCGTCCAACATGATCATCAAACGCATCGCTCCCTCGACATGGCTTAGTGCCATCATGATGCTCTGGGGTGAGTAATTCCCACTTGTATACCGAATATTGCAACAACAAAATGCTCACAAGGTGTAACAGGCATAGCAACACTCGGCCAGGGTCTCGTCAGGAACAACAACGAGTTGATCGCCTGCAGGTTTATCCTCGGCTTATTCGAAGCTGGCTTATTTCCTGGTATGCTCACCATATCTTACAATTTAATGGAAAGCTAGTGAATTCATGCGCAGACTAATGAGTGCTCAAGGTTGCGTTTACTTGATAAGCATGTACTACAAGCGGTACGAGCTACAATGGAGGATGTCTTTATTCTTCTGCGCCAGTATCTTAGCTGGGGCATTTTCAGGCCTACTGGCATTCGCGATCGCTAATATGGGCGGCTTGGGCGGGTACGGTGCATGGCGATGTGAGTTATATTGTCCTGTTGTCCTGTTGTCATGTCGTCTTGTCGTCTTGATGGGGCGGTGGTCGAACTCAACTAACCGTCGCAAAGGGATCTTCATCATTGAAGGGCTTCTGACGATTGTTGTCGGCTTTGTATCGAAATGGTGGATCGCCGACTGGCCAGAGACAGCCAAGTTTCTGACCGACGAGGAAAGACAGGTACTCGTCAGTCGGCTCGCCCAGGATACGGGAAGTGCAAGAATGGACCATCTCGACAAGAAGGCAGCAAAGCGTATCGCCACTGACTGGAAGGTCTATGCTGGAACGGTGGCGTACTTTGGTGTCGTGAACACTGGGTATGCAGGATCGGTGAGTGTGGGGACCCCTGGCATTGGTTTGCTTGCTTGCTAATATATGGAACAGTTTTTCATTCCCACCATTCTCCGCCAGATGGGCCTCACAGCTGCGGCAGCACAAATCCGGACTATTCCCATCTACATTGTGGCAACCATTGTATGTCTCAGTACGGCATACCTGACGGACCGTCTCAGGCACAGATACAGCTTCACAATGATTGGCATCGCCATCGCCACCATCGGTTACGTTCTTCTACTTTTGCAAAATGTCGTCCCTGTCGGTGCACGCTATTTTGCCCTATTCTTAGTGGTCAGCGGAGGCTACACCACGCAGCCTGTGACATTGGCCTGGCTTGCCAATAACGTCAGCGGACACTATAAGAGATCGGTATCCGCTGCAGCACAAGTTGGCTTTGGAAACCTTGGTGGGATCGTCGCGTCCAACGTTTTCTTTGACTCAGAAGCGCCTTTGTACTGGACTGGCTACGGTGTGAGCTTGGGGATGCTCTGGCTGTGCGCCGCCGCATGCACAGCTCTCTACTTGGGAGTTCGCTTGGAGAACAAGAAAAGAGACCGTGGCGAGAGAGACTTCACGTTGCAGGAGCCAGATGTGGATAATATGGGTGATGATCACCCTGATTGGAGGTTCGCCACGTAGAAGATGACGCTGTCGTCTTGCCAATTTACGACACCAATTTGTCGCAGGTAATGGAATTAAGGAACTAAAAAATGTCTTGATGGATTGTGGATAACACCATGAAGTGGCACTCATTAACTAGATTGAAAAGCAATGAGATATCTAGACTGTTATGCACAGTGTGTACCCTTACTCCGTCACGTCGAGCTCTTCGTAGTATCTGTAGATACCCATGGAGTACTCCTGGCGCCGATCACTCGCTAGATAATCCTGGATGTGAGGTCGTCCCTTGACTGCTTCGTATAGCTTGAACACATTCTCATACTTGCCACCCTTCTCAGCCGCTGCCATGGCCTTATGGAAAGCGAACTTGGTTCCATCGATACACTGCCGAAAAAGGTCAGGAATTGCGCAGAAGTAGCAACGGCCCAGTAGCAGTGGCCCGCTGGCTTGTTGCTTACCTGGAACAGCACCAAATCTGCGATCGAAAGCTTTCCACCATAGAGCCAGGGACCTTCACCACTAGCCTCTCCTTTGAGGACTCTTTCAAAGTAGCCGAGGAACTTGGGAAGGCGATTTTTCACAAAGTCCTTGCTCTTACGTAAACTCTCCTCTTTTTGGTCCTCATAGTATAGTCCCGTTGCGATAGGGTGGTGGCAGTCATGGACCTCGTTACTCAGACCGTCTAGCGCGGTCAAGACCAGCTGGTTCACTTTGTACAATCCGTCCTCATCGTCTTCCACAGAAGGAGCCAGGTTTAATCGAGGCGCAAGATAGAGCAGAATGTTGGATGTTTGACCAATGATCAGCTCTCCATGCTTGAGTATGGGCGGAGCAAGTGGAGGCGGGTTTTGATCATCTCCCAAATTCTTGGCGCCAATCTGTGCCGTCAGGACATCCATGCCATCCTTGAGACGTGCTGTGTCCGTATATGTGGCTCCTGCTTCCTCGAGTGCAAGGCGAACGTGCTCTCCGCGGCCAGGAATACCGGGCCAGTAGATCAGCTCATAAGGGACATCCTTGGATGACTTTTGGCGCTTAGAAGCTGGCATGCTGGTGCTGGTGTCTCTATGGGACGAATGGTGCTTGTGGTATGAGTGGCGCACAACTCTGAATGAGAGTGAATCCTCCAACGTGTAGCAAAGTGTGTGAGAGCGTATGGATAAGGCTGGCAACCGTGTGACGACGTTGTTCATTAGGTCAGCTAGATAGCATGATGAAAGGATGAGCCCTGAGACCAACTATGAGTGCCCCGTACAGAGTTACCGCAAGTCCGCTGTATGGGAGCCACATACGGGGTGTTTGTGGGTCGAGGCCTGAAAGGCTCCAGCTGGAGCTTCCCCGCCAGGCCCGCCACATGATCGCAGCGGGGCAGTCACCCGCTGTTGTTGTTATACCTGCATGATGACGCGCAATGAGCTGAAAGAAGGGGAGCTACCTGCAGTATTTTTTGTCGCAATATTATGTATAGTATGATCTCGAAAGCAACCTTGGGCCTTGCACTCGGCCATCCCCCGTCCCGACAACTTGTCAAGAACCAGATATCTAGGTTGAAGTATTGACAACCTTCTGAAGAATAGACCTGCATTCCGCCGGATGTTCGAAAACATGCCACTTTTCACGCGGCACACCTTTGAAAGCCTTTTCAAATCTCTCCGGCTCGTTCTTGGCTTCGATGCCAATCGCGGCAATGTCGGTGACCTTGCGAATGAGAATGACCATGACCCAGCCAGGAAACGCTCGATAACTGTGAAAAGATTTCAGTTAATCACGTCAGGTTCGTCTTGATGTCGAGCCACCTTACATCTCACCATATGATTCGGGATCTGCCTGAGTTGAGTCGCCAATGCATATCATCTTCTTTTGCGGTAACCAAGAGTGAATCCTCTTCATCCGGTCGACCTTGTACTCTCCAGTTGCCAAGGTGAGTTGCGAGAGGAGGCCAGGGAGGCTCATCCAGCTCGAGTCGCGTAAAATGATTGTGCCGTGGGGGTAATACTTTGTTCTGAATTCTCGCAAGAACGGGTACAGGTTATATGGTGACGCAGAAAGATAGAAAAATGGCGAGTTCCTCGGAATATGCGACTGCAAATACGCATAGAGTTCTGGCATTCCTGTGCAAGGTGTTGGCTTGTCTACGAAGGTTGAGCGCAGAATACCAATAGGATCAGAAGTCATGGTGACCTTGATCGTGTCATCGATGTCTAGCACCACGTTAGCACATCAATAGCAAACTACAGTATCCAGTACAAAGGCACAGGATACTTTGCGAAGTTCTCGGTGTGCATAGGCAAAGCGTTCAAGCTTACCGGATATAACTCCCCATCCTTCAGGTTCTGCATAGAAGGTTTTCATTTCCTTTAAGCCCTCAGCATCCTTTGGTACCTGAGCAATGGTATAGCCCAGTTCATCAACATTTGTCCTATCTGGGAGCTTTTTGACGTCGTTGCTGATACCATTCCTCCCTCCAGGGCCAAGAATAAGCTTGTAATCATTGGGTTGATGTAAAGCGTTGACTTTTGTCCCGGGTCGAATATCTTGGAGAAAAGGGTTAATGCGTTCTCCAATTGTCAGGTGTCCTGGATCGCCTTCCGCGAGTCCAATCTCCTTTGCGACAGTAGAAACGGCATCAATTATCGAGCTAGAACAGTCTTTCGCAAATACTGCCGACACGAACTCGGCCTCCCATTTGCCCGTCTTGCTGTTGCGATATGCCGTGTTGTCTAGAAGCCACACCGTGTCCGTGGCCGAGACATTGCGCGGCAACGGGTTCCTTGAACCAAGATAGGACAAAATATCATTAAGCTTGCTGTTTGATGCCAGCTTCGGAGTTGTTGGAGAGTCGGAGCCAGAATAATTTGATAGGTCCGACTCCGTTTTCACAAAGTTGCGCTCGGTTCTGGTGCGCTCCTGCATCTCGTTGGAGTAAGTGGTTCGTGGCAACATCTTTGCTGATACGTATGGCTTGACAGGATATATTTCATTTATAGTGTATGATAATCGGAGATCAATCCAATAGCCGTGTAGCAATTATGACTGACTGTCGCGCGTGATCGGCCAAGTGGAGGAGCACGCTGATGATGGTGAGGCTACGGGATTTCGAAGTTCACGCGGTGGGCAAAACGAGACCTGTGTTCGATATATGACCACGAAATGCAAAGGACCGTGAGGAGAGGCTTCTACGTCTTGTAGGGTGTTGTAGTTGCGACTCTGAGCTTCAGCGACTCATGAGACCATCTGGAGGCGGCAGTACCTGCCTGAAACTTATGCAGCCGGGGGGTGCACCTGCATCCTATGACGGCTCGACGATCACACCTGATGCCGTAGAAAGGGAAACAATAGTGCAAAGATGTTCAGCTGGCCTGCAAACAAGTGGCGGTGCCCACCTCTGTGCTGACGGCTCAGCTGACACACAAGAGCGCTTGGCGGGCTTGGAAACAGTGGTTGATGTCGCATCGTGACAGCGACCCAATGAACACCGAATAGAGATGATCAACCAAATTGCCGAGTATCTGAAAATCCCAATCGTTCGCGACTTCCATATCGTCTCATCACGTCTGTTTTTAAACAGTAGTATTCCGTACAAACAAAACTTGGAAGAGAATCATGCTAACCCAACCCGGTATGTAGTCTTGGTTAGCATGCGGCGTTCTCCCAACGATAACAAACTATCGGAACCTAGCAATCAATCCTGCACCCAAGGGTACTTACAGAGCCGTATAGAGTGTGGAGAACATGACATCGGTCGTTCACTATAGGGCTGCACGCCTCGCTGAAGGGAAGAAACATTACAATGACTAGAGCTATATGATAGGGCAATCAACATTGCTGACGATTTCAGGTTGCGACTGATAGGAACATCGATAATTTCCAAGGCCGTCTTTCCAGAAAATTAAAGATGGCAGTTGAGTGAAATTGCTGACTAGAACAGATCTGACGAAAAGCCCGGCGAGTTCATAGCTCCTAAGCATGCGTAAAGACCAGTCTTAAAGGTATGTACTTCTTAGTGCTAGTATCTACATACATTGATCTGCAGGCTGGTCGTCGCTCGCTCAGATTTGAGGTCAAGTACCACCATAGTCCTTTGATGTTGGTGTGCTCTGCGGCAGGGTTTACCGATTGTTGGAGCTTATCTATCTATCCCCACAGTACTCACGTTCCTCAGCGCGTCAGCAGCCCCTGAGCCCCCTAATCATAATCAAGAGCGCTAATAAGGCTGCAGCACCTCGGAGCACTTTCTACGACATCGCAGGCGGTTTGAAGCCTGTGACTTTAGTCACGACAGCTTTTACAGAGGTTCTGTTCATACGCCGCCGCCGTTCTTTTTGCCCAGAAGACCGCCCTCTTTGTGATAAAGAGACGTGACCTCCGTCATCTTCCGTTCCTCGCCATGACCCGTTCGCCTGTGTCTTCTGGTCTCTTGCCAATGCCAGGTTCACCATCTTCCTCGTGGGCGGTTTACCAAGCTCGCTTGGCTGCCATCTTTCGAAATGCCGACAACGCGGTGCTCGTTGCATTCTGGCTGTTCGGTATGTCGCAGTTGTAGCGATCGAGTGGGCACCTTCAGATTCATTCTTTCTATTGCTAACATTGTTGCTCTGCAGGGCTGATCAACAATGTTCTCTACGTCATCATCCTCTCCGCCGCCCAAGATCTCGTTGGTTCCGACGTACCCAAGGGAGTAGTTCTCCTCGCCGATGTCCTGCCTTCCTTTTTCACGAAACTCCTCGCGCCCTACTTCATACACAAGGTGCCCTATTGGGTTCGGATCATCTTTTTCGCCGTTGGCTCCTCGCTCGGGATGCTCCTTATCGCCCTGACACCACCCGACAGATCGGTCGGAATCAAGATGGCTGGTGTGGTATTTGCCAGCTTAACGAGTGGAGGAGGAGAACTCAGCTTTCTTGGATTGACACATTACTACGGCCACATGAGTTTAGCCGCCTGGGGTAGTGGGACCGGCGCTGCCGGTCTAGTCGGTGCTGGTCTGTACGCCTTGCTCACGACTTGGTTCGGATTCAGCGTCAAGAATAGCCTACTGTCATCCGCGTTCTTGCCCGTTTTCATGCTGCTCAGCTTCTTCGTTGTCTTGCCCCGTGGACCTCTTCGTGACGGCCAGTCGCAAAAAGAATACCAAACCGTTCCCGAGAGGGACCTGGAGCAGGACGAGGCAGAGGACCTGCCGACCGACAATGCAGCAACAAGCCTCCTCTCCTCAGGACCAGCTGTCGCAGCAACCGCATTTTCAACGAAACAAACCGACTCCGCGGCCAAATTCAACATGAACCTACGAAGAGCAAAGTCCTTGTTCTTTCCATATATGCTACCTTTGTTGCTAGTATATGTCGCCGAGTACAGTATTAATCAAGGCGTTGCCCCGACATTACTCTTCCCTCTGGGGTCGTCGCCATTCACTAAATACAGGGACTTTTATCCGATGTACGGCTTTCTGTACCAACTTGGCGTCTTCATATCGCGATCATCTATCGCATTCATCCGCGTGCGGCACCTGTATCTGCCTTCCTTCCTGCAAGTAGGCAACCTAGTCCTGCTCACGGTTCATGCCCTTCTCTTTTTCATTCCAAGCGTCTATATCGTCTTTCTCATCATCTTCTGGGAAGGTCTTCTTGGCGGCACTGTATACGTCAACACGTTTGCTGAAATCATGGAAAACATCCCCGCTTCGGAGCGTGAGTTCAGCCTGGGCGCAACGAGCGTGAGCGACAGCGCCGGTATATGCATAGCTGGTTTCATTGGAATGGCCATCGAGCCCTGGCTTTGCAATTACCAGGTCCACCAAGGCCGCGATTGGTGCAAGAAGATAAAAGTTGGTTGAAGAAGTTGACGTGATAGTATTGGATTGGTACTAAAATCTGTCGGGGCAAACATCACCTTGGTACACCATCGTCAGATCTATCGTCGATCCATGAATCCTTCCTCGAACGTCCTTGCTCTTTGAAAATGAACCCTGAGAAACGTCCACTGTTGCCTGTAATCACGGTCTTCGGTATTGAAGGCAATGGGTTCGTTGGAGGTTGTAGTGGAAACTCAATAGACCCCTCGCTCTCGCTCGGGCTCGCCTTCTCCATGGGAAGTTGAAATTCTAACGGCGGTTGCACTGTTCCTACTGACTTTGTAATGCCGGTTCCGGACTCGAGGCTTTCGAGGTCTATGTAGTCGTCCTGTCCCGCAATGATTGCCGGCTTTAAGGATCTCCGCGGCTTGCGGCTCCATTGCTTCGACAATGACCCAACTGTATCAGGTTTGCTGGACTTTGGCTTGTTGTACTGGTTGTACTGGTTATATTGGTTGTACCTTGTGCCTGTCCTCGACCTCGAACGGAAGAGAAGAGGCTTGAGTACCGGGGCGCAACCACAGATTACTCCTAGATTGACTTCGACCGCGGCCCAAATCCACAAATAAAACCCTTCCCAGGTCACATCGTACGTCTCGACCTCGACGTAATGCACCCAGTATGTTCGCATACATCCCGCTACTACGACGATACCCCCAAACCCGAAGAGAATCATCAGACTAATGCGTTGCGACAGTGGTAGTTGGACTTTCCAGAGTGTCGGCATGGGTAGGACGTAAACGATAAAATCCGTGATGACGGTAACTGTGGTTTGTGCCGCAAGAGGCGGCCATTCGTGCATGCAGTCGCGTTCCAATGCAAAGAGGTTCCAGTAAGAAGTTGCAGGGCTGTCCTGATGTTAATGATCCGCGATTTCTTGCGATTTCTTGTTCGGAGAGGCGATCTTAAACGTACCTACACTGCAACCATAGAAGCATCAAAAAAGCCGGTATTGCTGTGCCGACTATCGCGATAGCCGCCCAGGTCAAGCGCCGGAACCAGGAGCCCGGCAATGCTATGCGCAGGTAGCTGGCCAGAATGGAAAGCTTTGCGAAACCGGAAGCGAAGACAAAGATAGTTTGTCCTGCGATCGAAACCTGTCTACCTTGAACCATCTGTGTATATGTCAAGTCCCAGGCATGGATATTCCAGCCATACAATTGCGTCGCTAGCAGGTCGATTGTCAGCCTTTTCGCTCTTCCATTTGGCCACCGGCAATGTGTAGTAGTTAACATACCAAGAATAACTGAAACTGTCACACCACAACAGCAAACGGCAGACGCAACCATCAACCAATCGTCCCACCAACTTCTCTTGATCATGTACATCCGAACATATAAGCGCAGCGCTAAACATATCAAGGCCAGCGGTAAGATTGTGAGCTCAACGATCATGAGCGTAGGACCTCTTGTCTCCGGGTTCTTGTAGTTTGGCCGCGGCCACGAGGCAATCACCTCCGGTGGTGGAAAACGCATTTTGCCCCCGGCCCTGTACTAATTCGTTGTTCGGGCCCCGTACACAAAAATGCGGTACAGCGCCTGAGGAAGTTCTCGTCTTATCCCACTCCACTGCTGATGTGCCAATACCCGTATACGTAGGTGAGATGCGATCGCGTAAGCTACCAGTCAGAATGGCATTATAACAGTCGACGATGTTCGTGAAACAAGCGGAAGGTCTATAGTGTAATGATCTCTATGTGAACCGTTGGTCGAGGCGCACTTCGTCCGAAGTGGGCGCCGATGGTATTTGTGAGCTTATCCGCCCTTCTGGAAATCAACCAACCTCGTGCGGCACACAGACACCGCAGCCATGTGGGCATCAGAAGTCCATCTATCATTACTACCGCCGTACTTCATGGTTCATGAAGTTCTAGGACTAGGCTATTGCAAAAGTGGCCTGGCATAAGCTTGGCAAGCTACTGGGTATTCTGCGTGTGTCCCTAAGTCGTCCCTGATGATCTCACTAAGCTACTAATGGTGCGAGCTTGTAGTTTCAGAGGATCAACCAGATTTGAAGCCTAAGAAATAGCTGTACCTTTGCCGGGTTTGTGTGGATTGCCTTCGCCGCACGATTCGGTAGCGACCAAGTACGGTTACAGTAGGTGATGATCTGCTATGGAGACTTGCTTGGCATGGGGCTCGGAACGGTGCTAGCTCTGGTGCTGTGGGGTAGACTTTCAATTCTTCTACGGCCTGTAGATCATCGGAAAATACAAGTGCTATCGTCACAACTTGTTGGCAATAGTTTGGGACGTTTATATGCCATATGGCACGTGAACTTGATCACAAGGTATATTTCAATAATCGTGGAGCCAAATCTGCTAGAGCTATCTCATCTTGTGAGAAGGTTGTCACGCTGTAGTATCCTGATCAGTGTTCACCTGACTTATGAACCTACCTCCACTACTATTATATGTACGTTAAGTTATTGAGCGCAGGTATGGTACAGGGGCTACTAACCTAACCGTAGTCTAGTAGAAGAAACGCACAGGCTGCTCTCACACACTAAACCGTCCACCATAATGATCTGTTGCAATTACTACTTCGATTACCGAATATATAGCAATTGAATAATATTATTTACTTAATCGATAGCCGTTCACTGCAACCTAGTCAAACGTTTTAATATATCGGCGTAGGCTTTTCCGAGTGTATCTTGTTTTACCCTACTATATCGTCGATTTAGGAGTCTCCTGGTAGCTTAGGGGCTAGTTCTAGGTTAGACTTCACTAACCTTAGTGGGGGCTTGTGCATTCCTCTACTGTAAGGTTAGGTTAGTTAGTCTACTACAGATCCATAATAGCTTCTGGGTATGTAATATCAAAGCCAGCCCCACCCAATCTCCTCTGCACCCAAAGCTTCATACTATGTATGCAGGGGAAATAGATTCTTCACTTGCATCACATACGTGCGCACTACAAGTTATGGACTAGCCTCTAATGAGCACCTGCGACACACTGCAATCACACATATCCGTGGTAGAACCTCGCACCATCTCACTGTTGTGCATCTCTATTTTAACTCACCACGAGGGAACACTGGGATCTGTCCACAATTAAAACTATCGAGATCGGGCCGCTTCAGCTTCCGCATATTGAGGGGCGAATATCTTGTGATCGACCGGCACTTATCGCAAGCCATTTCGGGTTCATGAGGTGCCGGCAGTCAATGTTGACGATATCAGTTCAAGTGCCGCCAATCGCTACCCCCAGATCTTCTATCGTATCCACGAAGGGTCGTACTCCGTACATGTTACAAAGCACCAAACCAACAATATTGTCAGGATGGACCTAAGATCTTGATTCATTAGCTCGTATTGCATTCTTACTCTTCCAGCCTTTGAGTCCGGAATGATGGTAAATATTTCAGCACAGCCATAGAGCATTAGATATGCGACCATCCCGCCGGTTTGGGGTATCACAAACACCATGATCGTAGACAGCCCCATGTAGGAGTTTGGAAGTTAGGAAACCCCAACTGTCTCCATTCACGCACGTTTCGGTATCACGTGTTGCCGGTATTTATTATTGTAGCGCGGAAGGGGTGCAACTCAGCGGGAGAAGCCCGATGACAATGCAACGCCATTTGCACCAAGCGGCAGGGAAGTATTCGCAAGGAGAATTTATGCTTAGCGAAACGTGCCCCGTAATTATTATTGTATGATAGTTTCTATAGTTGGTATAGAATGCTGTTTTGGTGAAGGATAGTTGATGTACTGAAAGGAAGGGCCTGAATTTACTCGAGCATAGGATAGCAAATACGGTGCTCTCATGAGCGTGGGATCGCAAGTGTAACGCTCTAAGCGTGAAATGATAGTATAGGTACTGTCAAGTAGTATATAAAAGTCTGAGTCTACAAAAAGAATATCGGTGTACAGAAAATGGGTATATGGCCACTGGCTAAGTCACGTGATCACCTGCCCCAAAGTTAGGTGATCTGAGGGCTTGTCGCCTTAGTGTACGGAGTGCTCTCTGTTAACTATGGCCATCTATAGTCGTCCATATTGCCACACATTGTGAATATCAAAGTAGATGACCGCGTCAAATGTAGAAAGCCTCACACTTCGCAGCTTGGCTGACACATCATTAGACTCGTGCTAGGCGACGAGTATTAGTGTTATTGTCCGCCTGTTCAAAAACTCCAACTATGATGGCTTCTCTCTACAGCCGGTCACGCAGTTCTTCAAGGAAATTGAATTCCTCCGACGTCAAGTACATCCCTTCAGGCACCCTCAGTTCTGTTCGAGTGACAACTAGCTGAGGACTTGTATCTGCCAGAGTCCTACCATCATCGAACTGACTAGAGCCGCTGGTATTGGTTTTCTCTACAGCCGCGCCACTTCCTGTTTCCACGTCCCTGTCAGCGGCACTCTTCTTGTCCTGCTTCCACCTGAGCCCAACCTCTTCTGGTGACCACCAATACATGGGGAACCTCCTCTGGATGTTATTGATCAACAGCGCGACGGCTTGCATAAGCACACAGCCCAAGAGCATGACTGGGATCAGGAACCAGCCCATGCCAGCCATGTTGCTATCGACAACGGCCAACAGCGCTGTCGCACCGGCCGGGGGGTGCACTGTGTTCGTCAGGGCCATCAGTGCCGTTGCTAGCGCACAGCTAAGAGAACCCCCGATCCATATATAATCTCTAGATCCAGTGCCCAGCTCGAAAAGCTTTCTTATAGAAACAGCTACGACTGACGCGAGCACCTGACTGATGACCGCATTTCGAGGTTGAGCAAGCGGTGACTCGATTGAGTAGAATTCGAGGACAGCTGCAGCGCCCTGACGGGTGCCATCAGTTCTGTGAAGGGGAACGAAAATAAAATAAAAAGAGAAAGAGAAAAGGGACGAGGGGAATTGCTACTCAGGTTGCGACTTACAAAACTGCCAACAATGACAGGTACTTCATGCGTTTGAAAGGACGCCATGTTTTGGTTGACAGCCTCCATAACTGTCAAGCTCGAGAAAATGCCAATCGTAGCCCAGAATATGGTCCATAAATGTGCCAGAGGTTGCTGCGGTTTTGAACGGTGTCCAAGGAAATAAGACACTTGATGTGGGATATACTGCCATGGTGGCCTCGGTATCCATGGGTTCACATAATGGTCAATTGAAAAGTTCCAACGGTGCGACTTTGACTGCATTCCTGTTGTCCGTGCTACTCGTAGTATCTTCAAAGAAAATACAGGGTTCTGTAGATAATCCCTTCTTGGGTTTTAAATCATTCCTGCGTAGCCGACTTGTGAATCAAGAATGTCTGGATTGTCACTCAACCAGGATGTCAGACAACGTGTAACGACCTAAGTAGTTTCGGTGCGCCTTGGATTCTACGCTGAAAGGTTTTGTTTATTTCCTCTCCTGCATTTCGCTTATATCTGCAAATGTCGAGCGGCTGTAGCCGCACATTCGGAATGCTTGTAACATCTGAAGCCAGAGTGTTGCAATGACGCCGGCCTTGGAAGCATGACCGGAAGAACTGTTGTTCTGACTAACACGGACGTATTTTATACGAGAAAGAATCATACTATGACCAACATAAAGTCTGACCGGCATCATCTTTGCTAATGGAAACTTTAGTGAGACTAAATAGCTTGATGACAGGTTGTTGGCGTGACACCTCAGTACCCGGCTCCGGACTAGTGGAGCTAAGTCCGGGGTACACATTTCCGCGGAGTAACAGCTCGGTGTACTTCAAATCGCGTTCAACCAGCAAAAAGCAAACCCTAGCAACGGTATTCCTTAGTTTGCACGTACAATGGACCGTTTGAATCAGTCTGGGTGTTAAGTGTTCTGACAGCCGGGACCATTAAGTCCACCTACTCTCCAGGATACTTTCATGTCATTTCAATTAAACACCAGACTTAGGCTAGTCAAGTTACTGTATGAACAAAGTTAGTATTTCCCCAGATCTGTGCTACGGAACCCGCTGATCCAGAAGCATGGCTACAACAACCGATCTTTGAACGACTTGTCGGATAGTGAATTGTTATTACAATGTCCGCTTGCAAATCCTGTAGCGTTTAGACATTGCCGCCGGATAGAACTTAAACTTGAACTTCACGATATGGCGTTATTGTCGACGAAGCAATATTTTTCTGAGGCCTCTGCGATAGTAGCTGATTTGGGCAGTCGACTTAGTGTGTGGCTGCACTTAGCAGTGTTTGTTGTTCGATTCCCTTCTCTATTCAAGAGCGTGCGATAGTTGTTTCGGCTTACTCGCCTTTTCAGGGACATCATTGAATTGATGATATTAACATATGATAAGTCTTTGCGAAAGGAATCATTTCCGGAGATCAGGCTATGGCCCGCAGTTCATGCAAGGTGCGTTTTGGCATTTGACGAGGTCAATGGTTACACCATACCCACAGTTACCTATCATAAATTGATGTCGACCCACAACTTTGGCACCGGTAGGACGACATCATAACATGATTGTAAATTAGATCTTCATGGCTTGTTGGAACCTTCCACGCCTTATCGATCTTACGAACAACCTCAAGCATGGCTACCCCGAGGACCAACCTTACAGTATATCTCTGTTGAAATAGGTCCCAGCCACCCACATGTATATAGCAAGTGTGCCACCGGACACATGACTACCTACTGATTCTCAACCAATTAATCAACCGATCTACTCCTCATGCCTTCGTCTTATTTTGACAATCTCAGCTTCAAGGCTCGATCTATCAACAATCCGCGTTGCTGTAATTCCGTTGTTGGCTTTAGAAAGCACTATTTACGCTCCAGGGTTGCCAAAGGATGTGCCGCTAGACCTATTAGCACCCAAGCGACCCCGCTAGTAGCAAAAACATGTATTATAAGCCTGAGAGGCCTAGCACCATTGGTACCATGAAGACCACCAAGCAAAACATGCGTGCCGCCAGCAGTTTCAGCCGCAAATATAGGAGATACCGCCCACGATGTTCTCGATGTTATTTTGTGCTAGCTGAACAATAGATCGATAGGCAGGCATTTCCAGATAGCTGACATAAACGTTTGGTGTGACATTAGGGCATTAAATCGATTAGGCATGAAACTCTCGCCTTATAGACGCACAAGTGGGAGACGGTATGATGTATTTTCTTGTACACGCAAATTGACCCTTGGGGATAGGCATCTGTCAAGGTCGAATCTTGCTATGTAGGAGGCGTAAGGGGCAACGGCCGAGAGCCTTGCGTCACAATGGCACGCGTTTCCGTCTCAGAAAACCTATCAACAATGGTTTTCATGTATGCGACTGCCGTGTTTGTGAAGTGCTGAGCTGACTGCAGCATCTCGGGAGAAAACGCTCTGATTGATTAGATTCGATGGGTTTGATTTTGGCTGTGATAAGAATTCTTCTTCTCCCTCAATTTCTTTTTTTCCACATTACCTTGAAAAATGTTAATAGCAACACTCAGGCCAGAGTTGATCGTCCTTGGCAGCACTTGGTTTTCTGTCACTGTGTTGTTAGCTGACAGGCCGAGGCGCAGGCCTGTTCAGCTTTCACCTCCACATTCTCGGAATTTGGACACCATGAGAGTGTACCTAGATCAGCGCCAGGATGCTTGATGTAAGACAACCGTCGAAGTTTTCAATCCCAGAATGCGTCGCATCAAATGCGAGTATCCAGGATCAAGCGCCAGAGGAGACTGATCAATGGACTCTGCTCGCAAATACAATATTGCTAGCTCATCAATTGAGAGCCTCGGGTTCTTATGATAGTGATGATGAGCGACAGCTCTGATGTATCAAGAGCGATGCCATATCGAAAAACCTGCGATGCATTTAAGGCCTGGGACTGTTTCTGAGATATTACACGTGTGTTTCCTTCATCGCTGTGACGTCTTTGTTCGGAATTGCCATCATCACTGCTATGGTACAAGCACGCCTCGTCGGCCATCCAGCAGTATAAGTTTGCGCCGTCACCAGTCTCATAGGGCTCTAAAGCCATCACCGTGACATGATCGTATGATCTGGTTCTTTGGAAAGAGTTGGATGGGAGAACATATGACCTTTGTAGCCGTACTTGCCACAATCGAATGCAGCACAAGGTTCGAGTTTTCGCTACAAGACTTATCTTTTTGTATATGACGGACGCATTTGATGTCAGAACAGTCATCAAAAGTTGGGGCGCACTGCGAAGGTATACCAAACTATCAAGCGGAAACAACCATCAGATTTGTACGTAGAGCTGGCAGTTATTATATTGGCCTTGAACTCGACCGCTGACTGGCGGGAGCGGATAGACTAGCCACGCTTTCGATTCTGGCGCTACGTCGAGCATCTGTTTGCCGGGTTGTATACTAGTATCCTTTTCTAGCATCTATGTAGTATTTGCTTGCGAATCCCTTCGTCTTCATCACTTCTTTTATAATGTACTGGCTTCAACTTGGCTTGGCAAGTTATGAACATCTTCATTTGTGTTTGAAGCTTTCACTTTAAGACGATCGAGTAGCCAAGGTAACGTTACTGTGAGTCAATTATTTAGTGCTCCACCGCCTGTGTTGGCTGCTGTTTGCCGCCGTTGTTACCCCGCCATTCTGATGTAATGAAATCAATCTGCCAAGAAAATGATTAAAACTTGATTGAAAAGCGCCGATTAAAGGTAATCTGAGGTTACGATGATTGCTTCTTTATGCCAAGGTGTACAAGCCATCGAGCTACTATATACGTAGTAAACATGCTTGATACGATGAGCAACAACAAGAGCATTGTGTTTGACGTGGTAGGAACATTGGTTTCTTATGATCGCCTGTTCGTGGCCATAGATTCGCGTCTTGGCGACCGACTGCGCGCTCAGGGCATTCAACCCAAGTTGCTTGGTTGTTGTTGGTTGGAAACGGCAGAGAGAGAATACACATACCTCAGCCTCAATGGCCGGTATGTAGTGTTCTTCGAGATTTTCGAGGCCTTGTTCTTCCGCGTACTTATGTACGCTGGCATTTCGCAGCCCCGCACCTTTGCCATGCCAGAGGATGTACAGTATATCATCGGCGAATGGAGGAAGTTGGACCTCAGGCCTGGAGCAGCTGAATGCATCTCGAAGCTTCGTGAAGCAGGTTTCACTGTCTACTGCTTTACCACGGCCGAACTGTCAAGGGTTCAGGGCTACTTCGATAGAGGTGGAGTTGAAATGCCTGCTGAACATCTGATTTCCTGCGACACCGCAGGGCTAGCCAAACCGATCCCTGAAGCCTACAAACAGATCTGGGGTAAATTCTCATCATCTTCAGTCAAGCCCTGGTTCGCTGCCGCGCACATGTGGGATGTGTCAGCTGCCACTAAAGTTGGGTAAGCTCTAGACCTTTGTCAAGCTAGTGTTAATGAAGCACTAAGGTTGGTGAATTTAGGTTCCGGGGCGCCTACGCGACAGTATTAGAAGGAGAGGCCCTGCCGGAGATATTTGGAGAGCTGGAAATAATGGCTGAGACACTACCTGAAATGGCAGAGAAGATCATCGAGGCTTCTTGACGCGCATGGCATTATTCTCCAATGGCATATTCCTCCACCGGATGGCTACTGCGTTTGCAACTGACACTCTAGGGTAATGTATAGACGGTACGATTGGTCACTTTGGAATGTATAGCATTGAGGTGCGCTCCCCACAATAAATTTCGAGGGCCTTTTTGGCGAGCTTGTAGGCCTTAACTTTTGAATAACAGATTATGCTGATTATGAGTCCACAGGATTCGAGTTTTGTATGTGGTGACTTAGAATGTCTCCCCTGGGATCTCGCCACTTCGCCAGTTGGGTTAATACCGTTTGCCTGCGAACAATGGCTCCGAAGCTCGCCATCAACGCAGATGAAGATAAATGTTTACCTCAATTGTGTGTCACACAGGAGCTTGGTGATTCCAGGGTATTATTAGTAACAAGGCTCCACAAGTACCTCTTATGTCAACCGTTGCATTCTTATAACCTTTTTATAGAGGCTGGTCCTTCCATTGGGCGCTCTCTGCCGTATTCACAGCCGGAGCGCTGGCTCTCTGAGGAATCTGGCGGGGAATCAACAAACCTATCAGTTTGGGTGGGATGCAACAAGCATGACAACAAATGTGATGTCACTAGATGAATTGCTCCAGGTTGGTTTTTACCGAAACTAGTTGACTGAAATTTCCACCGTCTTTGCTGACATAGAATCGATGCACTCTGGTAGTGCCATAGCGTATTTGGGTAAACTCGGCGATATCGACACCCTTTTGATTGAGTACCACATCCAGCTCCCAAATATGTTGCCATGGCACTAGCAGAAAATCTCTTTGATGCTGCCATTGAGGCCAAAAGCGAGCAACAGCTCCAGATAAGAGATATCGTGCTTATCCGTAGTGGATAGTTCAGCAGCATGGCGTGCGCGTAGGATCTAGTACAAATTTATAGTTACTTTTGCATTATCTTCGAAAATTTAAAGGCTTGTATGTAATAACATCTCCTCCGTCCATATTCTTATAATGTAACTGGTGGCAACGAGAGTTCAACCCTCTAAGCGATTTCTCGCTGCAAAGGATATATCTTCGCGTTTAAGAATGAATGTCTCGTCTCCGACCTCAACTGTATCTAGGACAATTGCGAGTCTTCGACTCAGAATGATGCAAAATTCGTATTCGAATAAGGCAGGTCGGGCAGCTCGAAAATAGTCCTCCAGCGTGAAGTTTAGCTATGCTTCTCCACAGCGCTCATTAGGTGGTAGCATCGCTCGTGAGTGGATAGTCAAGTAGAACCAGTAACATATCAAATCCCATGGCTTCACTCGGCGTTGGCCGGGTCTCATTTCTTCGGCAACTCCCACGTTAGGTGGTGCTTTAACCCGTACGCTCTTCTCAGGCATAGAGGGTGCCCGCCATACATGCATGCTTAACATAAGCCATACTTGTGTAAGGCAGCTTAATGTTTTCTATCCAAAGAGTGAGGGCTTCAAAGCCTAGACTATAGGCGCTTGAACTATATGTCGGTGCGACGAAGACGTAATTTAACACCCAGACTTCCCAATCTGACCCATTTCTTCACCTCAGTGTCACCGGCAAAAGTAGCACTAAGAAGTCATCGCCCGAAACTTATACTCGTGATTGCATTGGTTGGTCGCTGTGGATTGTTTCTCATCGTGTTGGCTATGGTGAAGCAGACCGCAGAGCGTACTCCTGAGTGAGAAACAACGGCATCGAAAGACAAACAATCTTCGTCGATTTTCTCAGTAACCAACAACAAAATCGGGCAAATTGCCGGGGTGTAACAAGCATGCATTGAGCTTTTAGGATACTTTAACTAATGTGATGATAACTAGTATTTTGCCTATCTTCACGGTACCTGAGCTTCGTTCTTAGTTAACCCGAGAGAGGAGAATTTAGGAAGGAAATTATAATTACCAAGTATTGTACTTCACCGGATGTCACCCTCACTCCTGCTCCCCACTACACGCAAAAGCATTCCAACGACACACCGCGTCATAATTAACCACGTCATCAACATTGACAATGTGATCATACTGCCGTAAACGTTAAATGTACATTATGGTGATCACATGAGACTTTTCTTCGGGACATTGGAACAATTCCACCGTTGGTCCGGATGAGCAGCATCGAAGAAAGGTCATGTCGGGTTGATTAGTCGCGAGTCCATAGCGGTTCTGATGGGATGCGGGGGGATGGCGTAACTTGAGTTCGGTTAAAACGGAACCACTCACCAACCGGTTGCTTAGTATGTTGTAACAGCGTTGTTTCTACAAGACAGGAAACTTGCAACGAACAGAAGATGCTGCTGTCACTAATTTCCTTTGACTTATGGTCCATGGCCGTGCTCAACGTCGTTGGATCGGTGGTGACTGTCACAGCCTTGCAGTCCAACTTAGCACCGGGCACTTTTGTTACTCCTGCGGCAGCTGTCAAGCCAAGATTTAGATACTGGTAAGAGCTCTATATCGGCCTTGGAGTATCGCTAACGGTGTAATAGGCTGCCTGATTGTAGTATCGACGCCGATCTAATGGTGGATGACATCCAGCAGCTTAAAGAGCGCAATGCTGGTGGTATAGAGCTTCACAATTATTTTGGGTCTCCACAGGTTAATATGACGTATTTATCTGCGGCAAGATTCCGTGCTGACTTCCTCAGGGATACCCTCCCACAGACTGGGACACAAATGGATATGGTTCTCCCAATTACCTAGCTCTCTTCAAGGTTGCTATGCAGGCGGCTTTGAAGAATAATATCTCCTTCGACTACGCCATGAGCAACAATGGGGCTGTACCAGCTGAATGGAATGATCCAGGTCTTGCTTGGGCTTTGGTATACATTAAAATTCGATACGTTGCGATAGTTTCTAACCGACGGTCCAGAAATCAAGCAGTGCCACCGTCAATGGCACCTTCAACGGAACGTTACCAGGTTGGGGCAAGGCGAAATTACTTGCTGCGCATACGTATGCGGTCACAAACGTTGAACAAGTGAACTCGCATTCTACTACACCATTTGGTCGGCGTGGAAGTTATACAAAGTCTACCATATCGAATCATTCGCTTAGGGAGGTCACAAGTCTGGTTCAGATGGATGGTACTGTCAGTATCACCCCGACCCTGTTAGAGGGAGCTAAGTCATATGGCCTCGAAGCATGGTATTTATATCAGCCCCTTGGGCGTGAGATCATAGCCAACAGTCACCCAAAGACTTTCCTTGGAAACGGGAGCTTGTACACAGATCATTTCTCATCGACAGGCGCAAAGGTAATCACTGATTTCCTAGAAAAACACATCTTCATTGATGGTGCCATGGAGCTCATCAAGAAAGTGGGTCATTATCTATGGGAAGACAGTGTTGAGATACCTGCAAACGTGTATTGGACGCCCGGGTTAGAGAATCTATTTGAGAAGCAGCATGGTGTAAGTAAGGTTTAGCCCAATTTACGATCAGAGCTAATAATTACAACAGTACTCCATCATTCCCTTTCTCCCGCTCATTCAGTCCATCGGTGGATACCAGGCCAGCTCGCCAGGTTCGAGGATGGTGACTGATGCTGCAACGTTCAATACTGGGGTCGTAGATGACTTCTTATCGACATTAAATGTTGGCCTCAAATCTTATTACGATCACCTCGTTAACTTCACGAACTCGCTCGGGCTCAAATTCTCCGCCCAGATTGGATACAACCTTCCTGTAGATATGTTACGTGCAGTTCCTTTGGCGGACGCGCCCGAGACTGAGACTCTCTCTTTCGGCAACAACATCGACGGGTTCCTCCAGTACTCAGGACCAGCCGACTTGTCCGGAAAAGAAATTATTTCTATTGAGCTAGGAGCTGATTACGAACTGTCATTTTCGCAGACGTGGAGCAGGCTGTTGCATGACGCGAAACGTGCTTTTGTTGGAGGAGTGAATCAAGTCATAATCCATGGTGCGACATATTCATATAATTTCACCGGAACGACTTGGCCAGGCTATACAACCCATGGATATGACTATCCTGAGCATTCTAGACATCAGCCTGGCTGGGATGTTGGATATGCCGAGGCTTTAGCTTATCTTGGAAGAGTTCAATGGGTCTTACAAAGTGGTACGCCAAAGGTAGACGTGGTACTTTGGGATAAACAGTGTCCACAAAACGCGTTTCCCTCCACATTATACATACCATCCGATCTTCAGGCGGCTGGATACACTCACGAGTACCTTTCCCCGGACAACTTTGCTCTGAAAGAAGCTTATGTGCACAATTCCATACTGGCTCCGAGAGCGCAAGCTTTTAAAGCCTTAGTCATTCGCGGGAACGATACCTTGACGCCAGAAGGCATCAGATATCTCACTAATTACGCCGAGGCTGGCCTCCCTGTTATAATTAGTGGAGATTTGACATATAGATATGATACCGCTGATGAAACAGCCATCAAGGGAGCGAACGAGACATTGAAATCTTTCATCGGCGCCAACAATGTCCATCAGGTTCCATATGAGAACCTAGCTTCATCGATCGCTTCAATAGGTATTGCTCCGAGATCGCGTATCGATGCCAATGGGACGTGGTATACCAGATGGCGAGAGCTATCCAACGGCGATATCTACGTGTTAATTTACAATGAGGGCGACTACAGCACAGGCAGCATTACCTTCCAGGCAACAGGGTCAGCCTATTTTCTGGACGCATGGACTGGCGGGGAATCCAGAATTGGAGTATATACTCGGGATGATGACAACATCACCATACCGATGGCTCTGCAAACTCTAGAAACAGCAATTATCAAACTCAATAGTAGCGAGCCATTGAATACGCACGTTACTTCACACACAGCATCCGTCCTAGGGTTTCAGATCGATGATCATTCCGTCATAGGAGCCAAAGCTGCTTATTCGAATTCGTCATCAATAGTTTTATCTTCTGGCAGGACCGTGGACCTCGATGTTTCGAAAATCGATCTAGCTTATACCATGAAAGACTGGAAATTGGTCGTCGAACAATGGGTTCCCCCGGATGATCCATATGATCTGGACTTCGACGCCAAGAAGTTAAATACTACCATTGATATCTCTGGAGGTGTTCTCTCATCTTGGAGTGATCTCGGATTGACAAACATGTCAGGCATCGGATTCTACAACGCAGAGTTCGAATGGTACTTAGACAATGATACTAAACTAGTAAATGGGGCATTTCTCTCCCTTCCAGCTATAGATCAAGGTGTTACCGGATCGTTAAACGGGAAATCCTTACCTACACTTGACATCACAAATCCACGCGTGGATCTGTCGTCATTTCTTGTTGTAGGGACGAATTCATTGACTCTTAAGGTATCATCAACTCTGTGGAATAGCGCCCGTGCGTACTGGGATCAGATCAAAACGGCTGGGAAAGGGCCATCTCATGATCTTAGTGTGTTTCCGGAGATGCAGGCTTACGGCATCGTCGGCGAGGTTGTAATTGTGCCCTACGTATTGTTTAACATTAATTAAAAGACCTAAACATTATAATAAACGCAGTTTTAATAATATATAAAGAATTTAATTATAATGTATATCTTTTTACTAAGTTAAATAATAATAGTATTTATTATTAAATATATTGTAAAACTTTAAGTCTTTTAATACCTCTTTAAATTATATTAAATAATAAACCTTACTTGAAAAGTTAAATAAAACTCGTAAGTTTTATATATTTTACGTTTTAATAACGTTTATATTATAATTTTTATAATATAACTTTAATTCTTATTTAATTAATATAACTACTTTTAAAAAGATTAATTATCCTTTATATAAAATAATCTCCCCGTTTATAATAATTACTAAATTAAAACCTTTTATATTCTTAATATTAACGTAATTACGGCGAGGTCGCGGTATATATTTAACTTTATTAAAGTTATAAAGCTTTTTAAACGTATTTAAACCTTTTTTAATAACCCGTAATAAAGGAATATATATATAATTATTTCGGGGGCTTCGTTATAATAATAAAAGGGTATATTAAAGTAATAAATATTAGTTATATTAATATTATAAAGGAGTTAAGTAAGTTATACGACTTTTATCGTAACTATTTAAACTTTAATTAATATAAAGTTAAAAGGATAAAACTTATAAAATAAAAAATGGGTTATAATTTTATTATACTTTAATTTTAATCGTATAATTAGTTTTTATAATAATATATTTAAATAACGATAAGAATAACTCGTTGTTATTAATTAACGTTATTTTAATTATTAAGTTTATTATTTTTATTTATTTCTTAATAATTAGCCCGCGAGTAAATTAACGAGTTCGTTATAAAGCTTATATGTGAGAGTATGGGCGCGGTTAGCGCTAAGCTGTGAGAGTTGACAACACTGGTGTGAGATAACAAGCCTACAACGTCACGAACTGTAAAGTTGATATGGGCTTGTAATATGTCTTGTCTTGAAAGCTATTTTTGATACAGGTTAGAGAGAGCTGTCTATATACCTGTTATATCCCACAGCCCCGCTGTGGGTACTGTAACAAGTGCCCCTCCAATACAAAATTTGTCGTCCCTGACAATTCATCATTCCAAGCGAAAACATGATGTAATACCTAGGTCATAGCCAAACTGGTTCATCTAGAAGAGACGCTCTAGCTGTGAGTTGTAATAGCGAGCTTGTTATCCATTGCCATTTCTAACGTCTTCACTCCTCATCCTCCTCGCTACTGGCTACGTCGATGACCTTGCTCGTAGTATCCTTGTTGACTTCGTCGATTAAGTCCTCAAATTCTGCGTAGAGGTCTTCGCCGTTAGGAGGTCCATTGCCGGTAACGGCAGCTAGACTGTTAACCTTGACGGCGGGATTGACGGTAGCGGAGTCTTCATCGTTAGTGTCCTCAAATTCGGAAAGGCTGTCGCTAGGATCCGGTTTACGAGGTGTGGACTTTGCGGATTTGCGAGGTGTGACAGAGGAGGTGTCATTCCTAGCAACCGTCTTGTCTTTCTCCACACGGTACTCGTCCATGAAACCGTTGAAGTAGAAGACCGTCTCCTCGAGTTATCTGCGGGTTTCCTTCCCGTCTTTGCCCTACTTGACCATTTCTTCTCGTAGTTGAAGAATCTCCTTAGTGAACGTCTTATAGGAAATCTTTGCGGAATTGGTAGCTTTGGCAATAGTATTGGTAAACTTCTCGACCTCCTTGGCATGTTGCTCCTTGGAATCCTCATAGGCTTTGGCGAGTTTTCGATGAGCAGCCTTAAGTTTCTCATGCGCCACGCTGAGCTTTTTAATATCAGTACCGTTAGACGTGACTTTGTCTCCGTCAGCCTTGCGAACTCGCTTGTTCTTTAAGGCTTGTTTGTCTAATCCCCTTGCTAACACTGCTAGCTGATCCTGGATGTTAACAACTGCTGCATTTGTTCTAGTATTCGAGTCCAGGCCTGCCGTAGGTGTCATAAGGTCAGTTCTACTAAGCGTAGTGAGAGAACCGGCAATAGAACCGTTGAAGCGGTCTCTAAGGTCGCAATACATGATTGCGAGAACGCTCGCTTTAGCTGGCATCAGATGGTCGTAAGGTGCTCCCATTAACTTAGCGGCACTGGCTTTGCTAAGGCGATCTTTAACACTTCGAATGAGACCATTTAAAGCCATTGTTCCGGACTTTGCGCGTCTTTCGTAGAACTCATCAATTTGATAATAGGTTTCTTGTAACAAGACGGCATTGTTACCAATTTAAGTGCGAGCTTTCTCTTTGGTAGCGTTAAGCATGACCTCGTTCACATTAACTGGCTGGCTATAAGTCAGTTTGTTGCCTTGTCTGTCGTAGTCAATATTATCCCTAGCGTGTGCTTCGAGAACCATGACCTTTTCGTTGTCAGGCATGACAGCGTCGACGGCTATCTTACGGCGTAACAAAAAGGCTTTCATTGCTCCGGTTCTATTGCCTTTAGTGATCCATTGTTAGACTACGCCCTTGCCATTAGGGGAGGCATTCTTGGCTTCCTCCTAGTTCATGTAGTCTTGCATAATGGATCGGTTATTGTTAGCAAAATGGTTGGTAACTCTGACTTTTCTGAAGGTAAAACTGATTGTTTTATCCTTTACATTCTATACCGGCTGGGACTCGTTTAGCTCTACTACATGTATGTGTCCATCGAAGTTGATATCAAGTTGGTGATGACCAACATATACGGCGTCATTGGCAACCGGTGTTATGGGCTGCGACTTCTTCTTCGTCTTGGTTTTCTTGGTAACGGCCTTATTTGTAGTGGTAGCGGCTTTGTTCGTGTTAATAGCGGCCTTGTTAACCCTAATGGGTACTAGTTCCTCTGCGAACGGATCATCATTAATGGCCATAGGTTGTTGAGCCTTAACTGCCGGGGCGGCACTGTTAACGAGGGCGTCAATGTTAACGTTGTCATTAGCCTTTGCGATAAAGGGACTGGCCGGTTTGGCTTTGACTGCTTTCTTCGTCTTAGGTGTAGTCTTCTTGGCCGCTTTGGCGGCTTCTACGGCAGCCTTTTCACGGGCCTCGTTAGCCCTGTACGCCGCCATTTGTGTTGGTGTTCTGCGCTTTTTGCGAGACGTAATGGGTACCGCATTTGATTTATCGTCCTCAAGCTGGCGAACTGGGCTGTTACGTCGTTTTGCCATGTTAAATGTTCGATCTGACGAAAGGCTTGTTAAGTTCGACGGTGGACGCTAAGTTAGAAAAATGTGGAAATGTCCGCTTGAGTTAACGACCAAAATGTCAAGGCTAACGGTGAACTTGTTAGAGCCTTAGACACGTGTCGTGGTATGTTTGGGGAGTCTGCGAAAAGAAGAAAAAATAATAGAAGGGATGGTTAACAATAGCTGTTAAAGCTAGGGAAACATCTGTTTATACTGAATTGAATAGGCCTAATCTTAAGCCCTATTTTTTAACACAGCCTGTTCGTAGTGCCTGACGTTTCCCTTGTCAATTCTCACATCTCCTAAATATGTATATAAATACATGATAAACAATGAAAATAGTAATCGTTATAGCGTGTTTGTAGTGAATGTAATAGATATAATGACTATTAAGTAAACATAAGGAAATCATGGGCGTTTTCGATTAGGATATTACCCCCCCATATAATTACGATGTTATACTGAGCAATATCATTAATAAAGCTCTTTCTCTCGCCTAGCTATATACCGACGTTTCGCATTTTTGTATTCAATCCCCTAGTTTACAGGGTTTCGAGCGAAATACTCGGTAATTAACGCATTCGCGCCTTGCATTAATTCGCTGGCTGTTACCTAGTTATCGTCCTTTAGTGCGTAGTCTTTCCATCGTATAAGGAAAGACAGACGTGGGTTTACCTTGTTCTATCTAACGCGGTGTTTAATCACTCTCTCGACTTCGTAAATAGGTGCGCCTTCCGCGTTATGTTCCACTGGTCTTGGTTCCGGAGTCTCTCTCTCGTAGGGATCCTTTCCTTATAACGGCTTGAAAAGATGAGCGACTGAAACGATAGGATGGACTTTCCAGGCGTCGGGAAAGTTCAGCTTGTATGCTTGTTGCCCGATTACCTTTTCGACTTTAAAGGGTCCCGCCCTCTTCGGGGACCATTTTGCCTTTAGTTTACTTAGAAGATGGTACCCTTTGCCAAGTCTAAGGTAAACGGTATCCCTTACTTCGAACGTAATAGGCTTGTGCCTTTTGTTATACCGTTCTTTGGCGTACTCGTTCGTAAGGTCGGCTAGAATGGCAGCCTCCGCGCTATAGTCTGCTCTTAGAACGTTAAGAGCTTCGGATAATACCTTCGTTCCCTTCTTTTTGGCAATCACGTCTAGGGCCGAGCGGGGTTTGAATCCTATGACTATCTCGTTAAGAGTCATGCCAAGTGTACCTGCTAAACTGTTGTTTAGGCTATGTTATAATGCTAGAAGAATTTCCGTCCACGGCGTATCTAGTACTATCATGTAATGATAACGAATAGCCGCCTCCACGGTTTGGATCTTCCTTTCCGAGACTCTATCTGTTTAGGGGTGGTAAGCAGCTAACATGAGCAACCTAACCTCTAAGATGTTAAATATTTCTAACCATAGGTCGGAGACGAACTTCTTATCCCGGTCACTGATAATGTTTAGAGGTAGTCCCTAATCCGAGAAGTGAAGCATCCTTAAGATCATTACCGCCTAGTCTTTTGCTTTGTAACGCGTCGTACCTGCTAGTAATAGCGTTTTCTTCGATGCCTTATAGCTAATCATATACAGGCAGTCTAGCGTATCGTGGTCCGGAACGGTCCAGAACGTCCCTAGCGCCGGCTCTAGCGGCATGTCCGTTACAAAGTCCATCGTTATTGTCTCGAACGGCCTTAGGGGAACTCTGATTAGTTTAAGGGAACCCGGTGGCAAATCACGGTCCGTATAGCCTTATAAGCACGCGCTACAATGGTTAACGTACCGACGTGCCTTCTAAGCCTTATGGTGGATATAAACTCCCCGTAAGTCCTCTATTATCTTGTTCTATCCGAAATGAAATTTAGCGTCGTACACGGTAAATAACACTTATTATACGCAGTTATTTAAAACGTACAACGATCGGGTATTGTCCGAATCGACGTGGTATAAGAGACCATTATTAATTGTAAACGGGCGTTACCGTTTCGAACGATAGTAATGATAAGATCGTTCCTCCGGCTATTGCCTTGCGCCTTCCTTGACCAGCTTCTGGTATACCGATCCTAGTCGTTTGTCGGTATCGTAGCCTTTAATGATCTCTGCTCGAAATTCGTCGCTAATCACTACTACCGTGCTTGATATGTCGCCGAGGTAGATTTCATTATCCTAGACATCGTTTAAGACGTCTTCGACGCTCTTTTCCGCCACTATACGGTACTCCGGCTTTACTAATAGTCGTAATAACGTATCTGGGATTACGTTCAAGCTACTTAGAATATAATGAATCGTTAGGTTAAACTATGCTAAGTAAATAGCGGCGTTCGCTAAGCGCGGGTTTGCCTTGCTTAAGTCCATGGTTCGCTGCGATATATAATAAATGATAGATAGCGTCGCGGCATAATTAGTTAGGACTTGGATTAGGAGAGCATTAGCGTGTATAAGCTTTCGTAGCTTCTTATATGCCCATAGCAATATAGCTATTTCCGCTTCGGTCGATCCATACTTCTTTTCCGTAAGAGTGGTCATCCTTAACAAGTATAGGATCGGGTGTATCGCCGAAGACGCTATATCCTTCCTTAGTATGGACTTTCCGTCCCATATCTTGTCGAGTTAGAATACCATGACCCCGATTACCTCCTTATAAGCATCGATCTTCAAGAATAACTAGTCTTTTAGTATATGGTGCCATAGTTTGGACTGATTACATAACTAGTGTTATATCCCTTAGAAGGCTTTAAGCTCTTCGCTTGTTAGTTCGAAAGCCACCTTCGAAGTGTACGCTTTCCTTGTATGCTTTGACACGCCTTGTAACAGCTGTCCCTCTTACTTTAGCCCTGCGATTAACTCTGTCTTTCTTCTAAGTAATAGGGCGCTTAGTAGGCTATACCAAGCGATTCCCTTACGTAACCAGTCAGCCATTCCTAAGTAGGTCTCTAGGGAAGCCAAGGTGTTTGGAAATTAGAGCTTACGGAAAGCTTCGATACGGTCGGTTGTTTTAACAACTCCTTCGCTATCTATTACGTGGCCTAGTAATACCACTAAAGAGTAGCTTAGGAAGGATTTTTTCGCGGCGATATGGACTCTTGTTTCCTCGAGTATCTTGAATACTACTACTAAGTATCTTAAGTGATCCTCTTCATTATTACTAAAGATAATGATGTTATCAATATAAGCTTTAACAAACTTCTTATACGGGAAGAATATCCGGTCCATAAAGCGTTACGCGAATGTTAGTGAGTTCCGAAAGCCTATTAGCGCTATATTTGATCTTTCTAGTCCCCTAGGGCTTATCACCACTATACGGTTACAGTGTGCCTCTCTTATTAAGAGTTAGAAGAAGAACTTAAAAGCATCGACGGAAGATACGTGACTTTTTCTAACGAGATCGCCGATAATGTCATCTTGGTCTAGTAACGGATAAACGTTAAGCGTTACCATTTTGTTTAATAGTCGTAAGTCTAATACTACTCTCCCTTTATCAACGTTATTCACTTTGCGCCAAACAACGAATATAAAACACGCGATAGAGGTAAGTTCCTTTTAGAAGGACATCTTGCCTTATACGTATAGTCCATCGTGGGTACTGTCTAAGAACTTGCGATCTTTAACGCTTAAGGGGTATGACCTCACGACCTTGAGTTTTTCTTACCATTTATCGACAAGATCTACTCGCATTTTGTCTTCTTCCGCCATTAGGATAGTGCCGCGGTCGCGCTAAATGTTATGCCTCTCGGCTATTTCGATTACCTTTGCCGCGAATTCGGGGTTCGTAACACAAACGCTAGCTCTTGCTTTTGTTTTAACGAATGGGGTATCCGTAGGTTTCGATATTCCATACGACGGGACAAGTCGTGCGAAGTCCTTGTCGAGTGTTTCCTTCTCGGCGTCCGTCTTAACGGCCGCGAAGTGTTCGCGTATAGATACCCAGTCCTCTCTGGAATAACTATCGTCCTAACAGTCTTTTATCTCGCCCCAGTTAGCAGGTTCTTATACTACGATAGGATCGGTTTCCTTAATCGTTCCTACCCTTTCTCCTCTTCGAATGGTTATAGCCCATATAAATGGGTTTGATACTACCGCCTTTTTTGGTGTCTTACGATCTAGTATCGCATCAAGAACTACCCTATGGCTACTTTCCATCGTAAAAGATGTAAGGGTTTCTCCTTCGTCGGGATTCTTCCGGGGAAGATTTACGAAGCAAGTATCGATCATTACGTTAAATAAGGCTAATATCGTAACGGTATGTGCTAACATAACCTTGCGCACTACCGGAATAGGCCCTTTTCGAGTAACGTGCCCTTCTACTACTATGTTGAAAACCGACCTAAAGCTTGTTATAGACTTAACAAAGTTAATCTTAACCCCATGGTCCGTTATAAACTTGGTTCCTAGTAGCAGCTTAGGCGCTAGGTCTAGTAGTACGTTCGCTCGTATGTTAAAGTATCCTTTTACTAAAACTCCTTTAACTCTTCCTTCGATATAGAAGTCAAAGTTAGCGGCCTTATCGAGACGAGTTATGCCGTTAACTCCCCTAATAATCACTTCTTTTTAGTCAACGAATTCTGGCTTAGTCGCCCATTGGCGTAGCCATGCTTCGCTAACCACGTTGTCCGAGCTGCCTAAATCTAAGCAAACTTCGACAGGTTGGTCGTTTAGACTCGCTTTCACGGGTATCTTGAAATACGAGCTCTTGGATGGCAACCTTTTGTTCCCTCCCGGGGCCGGGTTTGCTTCGATTACTTGATTAGGCTAAAAGGCAAGTAATCCTTCCTCGCTAGCGACTTTAGTTATCTGGCTCCCTTTCTTGTCATCCTTAGGTCTGATTCCTAGTGACTGCTTAGGCACTAGTACGTGTTTGCTTGCTTGAACAGCTTAGGTGTCAAGGGTTTCGGGATGAGTGACGAAGTACACTTCTTCCTCGGCGCTAGACAACTCCTCTTCTCCTTCGCTAAAGCAAGCATAACCTTCTTTAAGGAGAGCTGCTTCGTCGTCGGGGGTGCCTTTATCGTGTTCCTAGGTAATTGTCTCGTTAACAAAGTTATAACTACTATCTGTCCTGCGACGTTGCTAGCCCTAACGCTTATAACGCCTAAATCGACGTTATCTATTAAGTTGGTTATACCTGGTTGCGCCATCCTCGCGCGGCGGCCCTCGTACGGGTGGCCGTGAGGATTGGCGCTTAACGTCGCTTACTCGCCACTACGGCTTGTCTAGGAGTCTCGCACGTTAATCCTATCGACCCTGTCTGTCTAATGGTCGAGTGTAACGTTCGCGGATATGGCTATCCGGGTTAGAATCCTTACGATTCTGCCCGTTACCTCGCCTTTCTCCCCAGTAGGCGATATCCTCTTTCTGGCCCTGCTCTACGAGTAATGCTGCCGTGGACCTGTTAGGGCTAGCCTTAAGCGTGTCGACTAAGGCTTTCTGCTTCTCTTTTAGCTTATCCAAATATGTTAACGTTAGGCTGGTCTGTTCCGGCTTTATACACAACGCACGTAGCTACGGGTGTAGTGCTCTGTATAGTCGAGATAATAACTGGAACGGTGTAATGTCACCCCAGATCCTTGCGTACTTAAACAGTTTTATTACGAAGGTACGAATGGATTCATCCTTCTGGTTCATCTCTAGGGTATACGTCCGTTTGGTAAGCCATTCTCCTGCCTCTTCTGGCCGTATGCCGAACTGCTTTACCACTCCCTCCACGAATGTCGTATGTGACACCTTAAGTGCGCGTGTTTCCTCGTCTAATAACTACTGGTTTACCCATTATAGCGCCTGCCCTCGTAACAACATCCATCCTTCGCTGCGAATGGCTTCTTGCCTGGCAAGGTTGTCGCTACTCCAGTTAGTGACGTGCTTGGCCCATAGGTGCACGTCCTTCCAAGTCATGGTCTTCCCATCCGACCATATAGAGTCCTTTACGTCCGGGTGATCCGGGTGGAACAGGCCAACATCAGTTAGCCGCCAAGCGGAACGTGACGTGGCTGGCACTATAGGAGCGTTATCTAGCAAATCCGATGATCCCACCGACGGGGTCTTAGTGCGTTTTAGCTTTATAGCGAGCTCCCTAACTGTCTTAGTAAAGGCTGCTATTAGGGCCATCAGCCCTTACGCGTCGATGTTATTGGTGGCATTGGCTCCGCCGTTATTAGCACCCTTACCGGGATCCTCCTTAAGTGGGTCTGCGCTCCCTTCCGCCGACATGCTTAACGGGGAGGGCGTTATTTCCCTACGTTAAGGGTTCGAAGAACGATGATTGCGCGTGTTTAGAGGTGTGTTAAGATACTGGCTTATAGATCCGAATTGTAGTGTTATTAGTCCTTCGCGTGATATGCTCGCGATATAGGCAAATTTGACAGCTAAGTTGGTAGCTCTTGTAAGAAAGAAATTATCTTCGCGATCCCACTCTCTAGGGTAGGGCTCCCTAATTAGATCGAGGGTCTTGTCTACTTTATACGGTGTTTTATTAATTCGAACGGTTGTTAAGTCACGGATGACTCTCCGTACTTGTTCGCGAAGTGTGCGAACTACGGGCTTGTTTTCGTTCGAATCGATAAAGGCGTATAGATTTCTCGCTAGCTTAACGTCGCTTCTTGTGATTAAGGGGTTATTAATGTCCATAGGCCCTTACGGCGATAGTACTGTAATACTAAACAGTGACTTTTGTCACTCCTCACTTATAGACTGCCCCTGGGGTGAGGTAATGAGGAGGTATATAACTAATTCGGGCTCACGTATAAGGTACCACTTGTAAGAGTATGGGCGCGGTTAGCGCTAAGCTGTGAGAGTTGATAACACTGGTGTGAGATAACAAGCTTATAACGTCACGAACTGTAAAGTTAATATGGGCTTATAATATGTCTTTGTGACGATTATACTATCGGGTTGCACAACCACAAATAATATAATACAAGGGGGTTTATGCTAACAAGATATGCTAGCCACGAATAGAAGACTATAGAGATAGACCTTCGAATATACTGAGCAAAGAGATTCACAAGTGTAGTCGTCAAAGCGTGAGCTTCACCTATGGGTAAGATAGATGCTTAGATTGATCACTGAAGTAATGACTGTCTATGTAGAGTAGGGAATCCAATCCTTATTATATCCATTCATTCCTTCACTGTGATAGTTCTGCTCACTGGTGATCAGTAGAGGTATACTGATCACGACTGAGCCCTGTGTCCTTTGATCAGTGTCGCTACACTGATCATCACTGATCATAGCTGAAGGGTCACGTGACCTCATGGTGTCTCCTGGCCAATCACCATGCTGGTTGCCAAGCCTTCCTCTGGTTGGTGCGTTCTGGGGACTTCCCTGCGGCCCATGTAATGGCCTCGTTCGTAACATCAGGTCCTCCCTCTCTTTGTCTTAGCCCTCTAAGACTTGGTCCATAAGTAGGTCTGTGTCGTCGCGTTTCAATCTGGTGAGTTCCCTTCTTCTTCATGTTTTTGTGATGCATGGCCATCATGTCTAATCGTGTTCAAAAGCGGTCATCCGGAATTAAGAAAATCCGAACTTCTCCGCAACAATCCACTGCTCGTCGCCACGACCTCGTCGCAGCTTTCGACGACTTCGGGTTTGAAGTTATGCCGTGCTCTCGTTGTTTCGACAAAGGTTGGAATTGTGTGATGATGGAAGATGTTTCGAAATGTAAGGAGTGTACCCGCGCGGGGTGCAGTTGCGATGGTTCTGGTGTTCCGCTCTCTTCCCTTCAACGGTTACGGGAAGAGCATCAGCGTCTTTCACGCGAGGAGGTGATAGCTGAGGAGCGCTTTCTGGAGCTTCAACGCCGTCATCAATCGGAGATGAACGAAGCGATTGCTCGGTTGATTCGTCTGCGCAAGCTGAAAGAGAAGGCTCGTTCCAACGGTGTGAAGATGGTTCAGCGTGGCCTTCGTTCTCTGGAAGAGTTAGAGGAGCAGGAGCGCGCGGAGTCTGAAGCCGCCCTGGCCGTACAGGCGCATGGTGGTTTCGGGGTTATTGATTGGAGCTCCGTTGGGCTCTTGCAGGAGTCCGTCCCTGCGGATACCTTCGATGGTACTCCTCAAGAACTCCTGGGGAGCGCTCAAAATGCTTCTTAGGTTCCCAAGTGTTTTCCGAATGTGGGTACCCTTCCCATTTTACCAAGTACTGATAACCTCTTCCCTTTTTCCTGTGTCCCATGATTTCCTCGACCTCATATTCTTGCTGACCGAGTTGTTCGACCTCTAGATTGGTTTCTAGTTTCGTGTTTTCTGGTGCGGGTTCAAGCAAGGCTATATGCACGGTTGGGAATATTCGCATGGTTTTTGGTAGCGCTAGTCGATAATTGACTGGCGAAATGACTTCGTCGATTTTGAATGGTCCGATCTTTTTGAAATCGAGTTTGTCGCTTGGTCGCTTTGTTTTGATGTTTTTGCGTAAGAGGTAGACCTTGTCTCCCCTCCCTAAGGTTGGTCCCTCAACCCTTTTCTTGTCGTAGTATGTTTTCATGCGTTGTTGCACAAACATCAATTCCTGCTGCAATGATTCTTGCATGTTTCGTAGCTTATCGACGTGTTCGATAGCTTTCGGAGCTTCTTCTCCTTCTAATGGTTCTTTGGTGATGTCTGGCTGGTAGCCATAGTTTGCGTAGAATGGTGACATTCCGGTGGGTTCACTAACCGCACTATTGTATGCAAACTGTGCTGTGGGCAATAACGATACCCAATTGTCTTGTTCGTAATTGACATAGCACCGTAAGTACTGTTCGAGCGTCTGATTAGCTCGTTCCGTTTGTCCATCCGTCTGAGGATGATAAGCTGTGGATAGCTTATGTTTGACGCCTAACTGCGTCATGAGTGATTTCCAGAATTTCGACGTGAAGAGCTTGTCTCTGTCGGAGATGAATTCGTCTGGTAGCCCGTGCTGGCTTATCACTATTCGTAAGATTGCATATGCGAGTTCTTCTGCATTGCTAGCTTCTTTGTACGGAATGAAGTAAGCGTACTTCGTGAGTCGTTCCGTGATGACTAGGATACTGTCGTATTCCGTTCCTGTCATGGGTTCCTTGGATAGCGGTAGCTTGACAATGAAGTCCATGGCTACTGACTTCCATGCTCGGTCGGGCGGTACTATCGGCTGTAGTTCCCCGTAAGGTTTATGTCGTGAAGCCTTGGCTTTATTGCAAAGGTTGCAATTCTTGATGTACCTCTGTACATGCTGTCTCAGGTTGGCACAGTCGAATTTCTGCTGAATTCGTTTGAGTGTCTTGAATACACCCATGTGTCCTTGAAATGGTAATTCGTGATAGTCTTTTATGAGATCGTCTCGGAGCTCTTCCGGGATCCATAATTTGCCGTTGTATTTAGCAACGTTTTCCATTCCTCCAACTTCTAGTGTTGGATTGTGGAACAGATCCTGAAGGTGCGGTTCTGTCGCAGCCTTGATCTTGCTTGTCCACGTGTCTGCTGTGTTTACCTTGAAAGTGGCGTACATGCTCATCGCGGGTATGAGGTTCCCGTCTTTGT